GCGAGTGGTGGGGGAAAAGAGGTCAGGACAAGGGAGGAAGCCCCACTTTGGCTGTGGAGACCACGAGTCAGACAAGATTATCAACTGAGCGCACAGAAAGCGACACGCGCACCTTGATCTCGACAGCACAACCAGATCCACCAATCAGGTTGTCGGCGAGGACTGCTGTCTCTCTGTCTGTGTCGACCCTATCCTCCACTCTCCTTGCTTCGGGACGACTCGCCTCTGCCGCTTGCCAACAGCTGCACCCATGCCTTGTCAACCTTCACGACCTGGACATGCGGCAGAAACTCGTCTGGAACGAGTCGGCGTATGGCCACCTCCTGGAAGGCAATAACAGGATCGTCAAGGTCACCCGTCGCGGGGCAGGTGCGGGTACGTCGATTGTGGCTGGTTTGACCGCGATCTTGCGCAGACGAAGGACTTTGTTGGTGAACAATGGATGCACCGGACCAACGTAGGAGAAGACGATGGCCGAGCCGCCTTCTGCGATGTACCTCCAGTTCACAGTAACAGTCTCAGACACCAGGCTATTCATGGCCAATAGTACGGGGCTGACGGGACAGGGGAAGTATCATTTGTTGCGTCGCACCATGCGGACAGATGACTGGAGTGTTATGGTATGATACAGATCGTACAAACAGACTCGGAGTGGGTTGACACTAAGACCTACCGGTCAAAACACGATCACGTGCTTGGCGCGTAAATGCGACTCCCGCCTGGGGCGACTCGTATTGCAGCCTTTCAGGACGCGTATAGTATTCTATTTCGCGAAACCATGGCATCATATAGGTCGTTCGACAATAACAAAGATGCACAGCAATAGCAGCGGCATAATTGTTCAATCCGTACCAGTACATGATTGGTCTCTGTCGATCAGTTTAACTACCTCGAAGTCTGGCAATCGGAGTTTGTACGCGCTATTCGCACAGATGTCTCTAGAAGAAAATACAGGTGTCATGTCTTCTTTCTCTGCGACACCATGACTAAAGTGCGCAATTGAGCGGTGAAGATCGCAGGACTAAGATGGGACGACTCACTGATATTCAAGATACTCTTCTAGATCGGAATGGAGGCATGGCGGTATGCATTTGCGGCAACTCCATGATGCGTTGTTCTGCACAATCTTTGACTCGTGTTTCTTTGCATTGGCCGTATCCGTCGAGTCAGCAATTCGCCAGACCGACATGTCGTGATTGGACTGTGTTTGTTCAATGATCTATTGGCAAGTTGCATAATTGTCAAGGACTACTCGGTCAGAGCATTCGATTCCACTCACCGCGGCGCGCCAGGTCATAATTGCGCTGCCTTGCGTAGCAAGTCTGATGTCAAGGGCATCCATCTCCTTTGCAGTCGTTGTCTCCGGATCTCTGCCACAGAACCGTACGATTTGGCACGCCGGTTCAGACAACTTGTATTCACGAAGCCGCATTAAGAATGGACGCATGATATCTTGCAAGGACTGGGGATACGTGTCTTGTTGGGTTACCGAGGAGCGCACGCGCTGGCAGCTATGGGCCACCACGTTCGGGAAGAACAGACAGGTTTGAACACAATCTCCGCAGCGAAACGTTGTCGCCGCGAGTTCTAGCGGGTCGACATTCTGTGGGAATCGCATGGTGGAGCGCATCAGGTCCCGTAGTTGGTTGCATACGCGTGATCTCCACCCCTCCAGAATCGCGCCCACCTGCGCTTGCAGCGCCATGAAGCTATGCTGATGCACGCATTCCTTCGCAGGCCGGTTCATGATTTCGCAGATTTCTGGTGTGAGCGCGATATCATCCATGTCCACGCCATAAGCCCATAACTCCGGATGTTCTGCTAAGTGTTGATTGAGAAGCTTGCGGCCTGCCACATAAAAGGCCTCCCAGCGTCTGTACATACGGCTCTCCCATTTGTAAGCACGGCGTTCCTCTCGGATCTCCTGCATGCACTCCAGGATTTCTCCCTGGATCGCCCGCCAACCTGGGTACATCTGTAAGTAACGGCATACGTGCACGGAAAGCTCTCGCACTACGCACGACGCTCGGTCATCGGTCCATGTGTATTCATTAGTGGATAGTTTCTCATGACTGAGAGTAGGCCTCTTGAGATTGAGCCTCGCCCAAGGAACTTGAGCTCTGCACCCCACCCCAGTGATCTTAATTTGGAGTCGACGCTATGACGATCGATGAACAGCGTGTACAATGATTGACTGAAGGATGCATACAATTCGAAACGTTCGCCCTCCAGGCGTTCACTCTCGCGTATAGACGAATAGCCGAACCAGCCCTCGCACGACTCTTGGAACTATGCGCGACGGTGATCAGATAAATCGGGCGGCTTGGACTTGCGCAACTCACCTTTGCTAATTTCTTGACGTGCTGAGTCTGTCCTTGGACATATTGCTCCAGGGCTTTCTTGTTACGAGATTTAGATAGCCCTTTCCATGTATCGATGACTTCCTGCGCTTCAGATCGAAGGCAATAACCACGACCGGACTAAGGAGCACGGTAAGAGAACTAAATTGCTACGTCAATGTTGCAGCTCTACCATCACAAAGATATCCTTTGGAATCTTGTCCATCCCTCGTTCTCGAAATAGATCGTGTTGATCCACGACACTGCCCGCAAGAAAACATAAATTCATACGGAATGTCAATGGAACGTGCATCATGAAACTCACAGCTGAGGCCTGCATGTCTTGCAAAGCCGCACAAAGAGCGACCAGTATACATGGGGTGCTTCGCGTTTCCCACAGGCCTTGGAATCAGTGAAGGCAGCGGTAAGCCATACCACTGTCTTCGTCAAACAGAATCTGACTTACCGTACAAATGGGCGAGAAGACTAGGGCGACCCAGGCAGGTTCAATTAATTCCTTCGGACACCGAGGAAGAGGGCCGTCGACTTGTTTCAGAGACTGTTTCCAGTAGTAGGCTGAACTCTTCCTCATCAGGAATGCGTGGAATGCCTTGGACGTTCGCGTGAGGCTGAGTAGATCGTGTGGCAGAAGATGCCGCAGGATCTATGTATCATCCAAAACATACACTGAGAACCTCAGAGGCGTGTCAGACTTTCACAGACTCACCTCATGGATGATATCCATTGGCATGTTCAACATGTCCGAGTCTTGAAGGCCACTTCGTGTCCGACTGCGCGTATTTCGTACTTCCAAACCTGCGGAGACCATAGGTGTCTTCGACCGCTTGATTATTCTAGGTGGCATGGTCAAAGTTGTTGCCTCAAGAGGCGGAGTAGATGGGTGGATGAACGTTCTCTGAGCAGTGAGCGACGCGACGATCGCGTGTGGACCTCAACGCGTCGCGATAAGCACGTGACGACCTGACGCGCCTGTGGCTGTGAGCGCTCAGCACTCCTCAGGTCGGTCCGACTCGGCTCCTCTCGAGACTCGACTGGCGCGGCGAAGCTGATATTTAACTGATTAACTGACCAATACCGTCAAACGAGACGTTTCTGCGCCGAGTAGGCGGAAGTGCGGTACACATATAACAGCTAGTTGCAGAACATTAGGCGCAGACGAATGCGCGCGACATATGATGACAAATAGGCGCTATCCACACGAAGACGTCGGTTTACCCACTTCACCACACCTCGCACCACCATTTTTTTTGCGTTGCATCGATTGTCCCTGCAGCAGCCGTCATGAGAGGCATGTCTTGCAACTCGGTGAACACGACCCCGTGGACGCCTTGCAGGAGTACTGGCCAGTGCCCGCAGACAATTGAACGTGTATCTGCCCCCTACACCCAGGTCTACGACGTCTGTCGGACTCGTCCATTGTAGCTGACTGCAAGCAGTGGTGTAGGGGAGGCATTATTGCATTGTTACTACTCTTAATGGAATATACATTAATAGAGTGTCCGAGGAACGTGACCGCGTCGCTATTGCTCGGTACAGGTGCTAGTGCAGACGACTGTGAAGCCGCAAAAACATGATGGTGCAGAAGTGGGTGAACCAACGTCAACTGTGGCGCGGCGCTTATTTGTCATCATATGTCGCGCGCGTTCGTCTGCGCCTAATGTTCTGCAACTAGCTGAAAACGCACGAAACCACGCCATACATACATTGACTATGAACGAGTACACAGTTCACCGGCCTTCAGAAAATCCAATGCCCGGAACGCGAGCACACTATTTACGGCCCTCTAGGCTTATCTAGCTGGTTACTCCCCTCCAAAAAGCTCGTTCCACAGCGCTGGTCCAGGTGCCGACCCGAACTCCGGTAGGGATGCATCCTTCCAAACAGCACCGGCGCTGATCGTTGGGTCGACCGATGACTGTTGCCGCGCGATGAACCCGTGTGATGCTAGACGTCCATTCGCATGCCCAGGTCCTAAGTTAGACATGTCGCCACAAAGCCCCGGCAGCAAGGTCCGCTCGTCATAGTACTTGCCGCTCGTCGTCATCGGAGGGAAGGATCGTCCAGGATAAGGCGTGATCGGCGGAGGGTAGCTTGGACATCGTTGAAACATAGCTTGTTCGAACATGGCACCAGAGGTAGCGAACACCTTCGCACGGTCATTGACAGTCTCGCCCAGTTGGAAGTAACCTTCGTCAGTCGGCGTTACCAAGGGCGTGTATCTCGAAGACGAGCTGGAGCTAGAACCGTTGGAAAGCGATGGCACAGTAAGGCGAGGCAACGAGATGTTGTTGTACGACCGCGTCCATTGTGGGCCGGCAGCAGGCTGAGGGTAATGATAACCGCTAGGCTCCGTTCCAACTGCAATATCCACGATCATGTCTTGACCAACCATGGCACCTGGGGCGGACCAGGCGCCACTCGCGCCAACTCCTGAGGCGAGGTCACTATTGAGCCTAGAGATTTATGAGATATGAACCATAGTGCAACGACTGGATAGAAAACTCACGCAAGCCTTGATCTGGACCGTGTCATGCGTGCAGGCCTTGACATTGCCGCTGGCTCCTGCTCACCGTGGCTTCTCGTCCTCCTTGGGGATAGATCAATTGTATCCGATAGAAGACCCTCCTTTTGCAGCTTCCTGAGTTGTGTCCTCACGGCTTTGTGGTCTAAGACATAACCGCAAGTAGCGCCAAGTCTGATGCACCTTTCGCAGCTCGGACGGCCTCCGTTACACTAGTAGTCGAATGATCAGTGTGGCGATGAATGCAAGTAGACGCGCATCACGTACCTTTGTCTTCCTAATTCTGCACCTCTCGCACGCCTGTGGCGTGCGCTTCCCCTTCTCTATGCGTCGTCTTGCGGGGGAAGTGTCGCAGGACCTAGATGGGAGCGGAGGTGGAGGGAGGCCCGCAATACGATTCACGACGCCTTGAGCTTCGCTATCCAAAGGAAGCATGAATTCCTGGAGGTTCGTCCTCGGGGGCGGGGAATTGGAGAGTCCCATGGCAGTGACCACGGCGTCCATGTCTACATCGGCCTCGCGGAGAGCACTATCCGTATGGTCGATCACCACAAAGTTGACCGGACGCGTCGGCTGTGGTGCAACAATTTGAAGAAGAGACGGACATATGGTCTCGCTTGCAGGGGGTGCCGACACAGACGATGGCAGCACAGAAGAGTCCGAAGAGGCCAGCTCGTCGAAGAAGGCTGAGACCGATGCCGCCATTGTGAGTCTGTTACGGATGGAAGTGAGGGCTGAAGTGAAGCACAGTGAGTCGACAGTCGTTCATTCTTTGACCTATAGGCATTCGAGTCTTGCCTGCGAATCGCGATGACACCGCAGATCGGTTGAGACCCAAAGAACGTACTCACCTCAGGCTCAGGTCCAACACCTCGCTAGAGCTCCATCACAGGCGTATTCCCAGCCATGATCGCCCTTTAGTCGGCCGACATTCACCAAAAAAAGGAAAGGCTGCTGGCTCATGATGAATTCGCAGGTCAATCGTGGCAGGAAGGCGTATAGATGAACTTTGCCATCGAAGTTGCTATGTTGCAGATCCCCGATCGCAAACAGATCTCAGATCTCAGATTCAGATGTGAGCACGTCCATTGTCCCACGAATCGCTTAGGGTCCGCTTAGGGCTCTCACCAACTTACACTCACCAAGTCCCAACAAGAAGCCTAAGCCAAACCTCTGGCCATAGTTGGGTCTCGCTCTCGAAGAGCGGACTAAAGACGAAACCGTACGTCAACGCTTCGTCAACGCACTACTAACAACCGTTCCGCAGGAATTGATCAGACTTTCGCACTGTCGCGTTGCCAGAGCGTCTCGTAGGCTGTATGCAATTGCCTGATGAGTTGCCCTTCCCCTGCAATGTGTTATACATTTCCTCGCCGTGCAGGAGGCTAGAGAGAGCAAACTCGTCCCGGGCTTCAATTGGGAAACGTGCGACCCCGCTTTATAGCGGTCTGCGGTGCTTGTAGATGTCGTTGAGTGGCAAAATATAGTCTGAGATCTTTCGTATCACATTTATCCTGGAATAGACTGAGTGATGATCCTTTATAATTTCCCAGTCATTTCCTTGGCACTAATCCTACCCAAGATAAGTGGAAATCAATAGCCATCCTGTGCGAAATGGAGAACGTGTATACTACGAGGATCTGCCAAATGCAAGCTGTGTAGTTCGACCCCGAGCCTCTGGATCCTCGGGTAGAAATGATTCATGTCGAGCTCGTATAATCCAGACTCGATCAGGCGGTCCAAGACGCGCATGATCCACTGCGCGCAGCTCCACGGGACATCCCTCGTAGTCTTGCTGTCGCCCTGCTCCGCCTCCTGCTCTTCGATGAACTCTTTTAGATCATGGTGCGGAAGGTCCGCGTCGGGGAGACGCACGGCTCCCAAACAGGTCAACGAGCGCTGTGATGACAAGAGGTCGACGGCCGTCTGGTGCGCGAGGTGCCATGTACGCTTAACAGCCACGCTGTTCGGCAGCGATAAATTGTTGCCATTGAACACCGGTCCTACGGCTGTCTGTGAAGCATCCACCGAGTCCTTCCCGCTGCCCGGGGAAGGATCGACGACGTCTATGACCTGGAATAGATCGACGCACGACCAGTCGGGTGCTTGATCACTGAGATCAGAGGGGAGGACTCGGAGCGCAATTGACCAATGAAATCTGCCCATTGATGGGTCGAGGGCCTCCAACACGACGTAGATTGAGGTACGGTCGGTCATCCCGCACTAACGAAGCCTAATTCTATGAAGATTTTACGGTCCCATCAATCGTATTGCGCAAGCCGTAGGTATTAGATTGTACCGACCTTCACTCCGTGTGGGCTACTGATGTACTCGCACCAACTAAAGCTAGGCACCGACGGGGAGGAAGTCGTTCGAGTCAAGTATCTGAGACCTATGCGAACAATGTGAGTGCCTAGCAGTCAGTACCTGAGGTAGACTTCGTCAATACCCTAAGTAGTCGATATACACTGTGGTCTTGAGCAGCGACAGGCTGATGCCGGCGGACCTTACAATGAGTTACTGACGACTCAAGCTCGTATTAGTAAGCCGTATTGAGGCAATAGGCGCCCATGAATATGTGCACGCCACACCGGCCCGGGGCCTCTGTCGACGGTCGACGGTCGCCCAGCTTCGAGTCCCCCTCCTCCTCTGTTGCTCCGAGCCAGACCGTTTCGCATTGAAATGTCTCTACAATTGTCGAACCACCAATCTATGCCAGTGGCGCCACCAAATCCGTACGGATTTCGTGACCCTAGGAGTGTTCCCGGGAAACCCAGAGGAGTCGACATCCTCATCGCAGCGCAAGAGCGCCAGCTCAAGCGTTCACGCTACGAACGGTGGATGCAATGCGCAGCGAATAGGTTGCAAATGACCGTGCTCAATTCCTTGCGTAAAATTCGCAATCTCATGTGGCGCTGTAAGCAACATTGTAACTAGAACGTTCCGCTTACGCTTACGCTTCAATTGCGGTTAGTCACTCTAGGCCGATGGTTTTGGATTAAAGCTTGCCATGGAACAGACACGATAGAAGTCGAGACGATGCGCATGATCTCCTCTCGCACGCGGATACCCGTCCCTCATGTCTGGACACACTTCGTCTGGAGTGGTAGACGCTATATCATAATGAGCCGGATCACAGGTGTGGCGCTGTCGACTGTATGGTATACAGCAGAGCCGCATTTCAGAGAAGTTATCGTTGAGCAACTAGCCAATTGCTTCGATGAATTACGAACGTTACGCACTCCGTATGGCCGTCGTATCTGCTCCGTGCTGGGGGGCCAGTACGGGACTTCCGACTTCGATACCAACATGTAGGACCGTTTGAAGATGAAGACGACTTCAATCTTCGTGGCGCACGATTCTACAACGACTTCGAATACCTCCCCGCCGAATGCATGCCACAGCTCGTCGCAGCTGTGCACTCGATTAAGCACGGCATTGTGTTCACACACGGTGATCTTGCTACGCGAAATGTCATGGTCGACGGCACCAAAGTTACAGCGATACTTGACTGGGAATGTGCTGGTTGGTTTCCGGAACATTGGGAATATTGCAAATCGATCTTCGCTACGCCATCGTGGGTCCGTGAAGATTGGCTTCCATGGCTCCGCCGTATGCTTCCTGTCTATGACTTGGAAGCTGAAGCCGACAAGATGCTCGTGCAAGGACTCTGGGAACCATTTCTCTAGTACTGCCCCACGTAATCGGTCGCGTAGGTAGGTAAATCGGTGACAGACTTTAATAGAGAGCTTTTTGGTAATGTCTTTATCACAGATTACCTTCAAAACCTTGCGACTGCAAGGTTTCTGCCCTGTCGCAAACTCGGGCGTGAGAACTGCAACCTGTCGTGGTTTGTTTGTTCTCCTGCCGCAAATGGTCGCCACTTGCTCTTTCGCTGTCTGAGCCAAGACAGTTCTAGTTAACCTTGAAGCTTGACACGTTGAACTGTGTAGATTCCTGCTGCCCTCTTCCTTGTTCGAGACAGAAAATGAATGCCGATGATCCCGCCGCCAGCGCACCGGCCGTCGTCACGGTCGCGCCGCCCAATCAGTACGGGTTTCGCGACCCAAGAAGTGTCCCTGGAAAACCCAGAGGAGACGACATTCTCTACGCGTGGCGTGATCGCGAAGCGAGGCGAACACCCCTTGAACGATGGCTACGACATACCTTGAACCGGCTGAAAGTCACTCTCCCCACCACTTTCCGCAGAGTGCGCGACTTCATGTGGCGCCGTGAGTAGCACCACTGCGACCAGTCCAGTAACTGAGAGCATTGACACAATCGCATAGTTACCCTAGGTCGATGGCTTTGGGTCAAGCGTGGCCATGGAACAGACATGATAGAAGTCGAAACAATGCGGATGGTCGCTGCTCATACGAACATACCGGTCCCTCGCATCTGGACCCACTTCGTGTGGCGTGGGGCTCGCTACATCATCATGGATCGTGCTCGAGGCGTCCCACTGTCTAATCTCTGGTATGATGCCACACCACAATACAAAGAAGAGGTGTGCGCGCAGCTAGCCAACTACTTTCGCGAACTACGGTCTCTGCCCACGCCGTACGGTCCTCGCGTCTGTTCGCTGTTAGGCGGCCCGGTGCGAGACTTTCGTTTGCGTTTTGATCACACAGGGCCGTTCGAAAACGAGGATGACTTCAACCATCGCGGCGCGCGGTTTGGCTGGGATATCGAATACCTTCCCGCTGAGGGTATGCCTCAATTAGTCGCAGAGGCGCACTCGATGAAGCACCCAATCGCCTTTACTCATGGCGACCTTGATCCTCGCAATGTTATGGTCGATGGGTCCAGGATCACGGCGATCATCGACTGGGAATGTGCCGGATGGTTTCCCGCACATTGGGAGTACTGCAAATCCATCTTCGCTACGTTGTCATGGGATGATGACGACCACGAGTGGGTACCGTGGCTCCGTAGTATGGTTCCCGTATATGACACCGAAGCTCGAGCTGACAAAATGCTCGTACGCGAACTTTTCACGCCGTTGTTGTGACTTCCATGTATATTGTACACGCGTCAGTAGGTACTCGATGCCCATGGATCATAGCTCTCGCGGACGAGTCACAACGCGAATGTCAATACATCAGGTTCCGCGGTGACTAATGTACATTCGGGCAGCTACTGTTGTTATACAGGTTATATACGAGCCGAGACTACTAGGCATAGCTAACGATGTGGACTACATTCGTATTCCTTCTGCGCATCTCTAGTAGATTGTTGGCATAGATCAGAATTTTGGCACGGAAATGCCTGAGATCAATTCTGTACATTCCCGCGTCCATGAAGCGTTGGAGAACACGAACGACCCACTGTGAGCACGACCATACTTGCCCCGCGGGCAGTGGAGTGTCCCCCTGTTGCGGCTCCTGCTCTTTCACCCAAGAAACGATACTCTGTGCTGGGACATTGCAGTCAGGAAGTCTGACGCAGCCGACGAAGGTCGAACTCTTGAGCAAGTCTGTCGACATCTTGTGCAGTGTCCTCCATTCACCAACGCTGTGGGGCTGACTGGCGTCTTGATTAGTGATCTGGAAGATGGGGCCATTGTTGACGGATGTGTTGTAGGGTGTGACGATGAGAGCCCAATGATAACGCCCTAGTCCGATGTGATACAGTGCGATGTATAACGATGATTGAGATGACATGTCTGTATCATCACTATTCAGTTAATTCAACAAGGCATCTTCATTCACGACTCACTTGTATGTCACTCAGTAAGTATAACCGTGTTTGTGTTGCTTCGATCGATATCCTGACTACTCGATGTTGACGATCAACATGCAGACTGTTTCAATACGAGGAGGCTTACCTACAAGAAGACAAGCAAGAGACCAACCCGACTACGTGGTGGACAGGCTGAGGCAGCTTAACGGCGCCCGAAGGTCCCTTATATCTTGAGCGTAGCACTGCGGTACGGGTACGCTGATGAGGCACGAGGGGAGACTTCGAGGAGACTATCGCCTGTCCAGACGTTCTGACTCTGAGAATCACCAGGTGGCTGGCTCGATATTCGTGACAGAGACTTGAAGCGCGGAGCCAGAAGCACATCCATGGCACATGCATCAAGGAGCCTTTTTCAGCCCACTGCGGTTTGGGATGAGGTTCTATAGCTCTTTACGGCTCATCTAGGCTCGAAGAAAACCTGGACCATTGTTTTCCGGCCATGCTGAACACTTGATATCCGCCTCACTGGCCCAAGTAATCAGCATCGGCTTGAATGTAGAATATCTCAACAGTAGTTGGTCACATACCGAGGTCTATAGCCTGCCTCGTACGACCTGACCAGACACATCCGACTACGGCCATCGCAATCTTGCGAAGCAGTCAGGATGATGATCTGATAGGCGGCATTTCAACATGAGCCTGCACGGCCACAACGCATGTAGATGGAAGGTTTGACTCACTCTCAGTACATTGAGGGAGTGTATGTTAGTACCGAGAAGTCGGCGGTGACATGACATGAAGATGCGTGTCCTGACTTCGGGGTGTTGGCGTAAAGTGGCACATTGCGGGGGCTTATCCATTTTGAGCGCATTCTTCGCAATCAGGCTTCGCCAGTTGGCTGGAAGTGTAGACGCACAAGTGATACATTCACCGCATATGTAATAGCAGTGAGATGGCTCTTGAGAAAGGTGGAAATCCCGACCGATGCAGCTGCCTTCGCCTAGTAACCAAGCACCCTGTGGCAGCATGTTGTTAGCGATCCAGAAAACTCTGAAACATGCGACTCACTGACTTTTTAGCACACAGTTGAACGCGACACCTTGGTATTTACTGGGAGGGTATTTGCTAGGAGGGCCGAAACCACGCATGTAAGGTTGTCACACGCCACACAGGCCATTCAGCAGAACCAGTGCTTTCTTCTGCTAGTCAACGGTCATATAATGCCACTGCCGGAGCGGTCCACGCTCTCAATGTGTTGATTGTCCGATGAAACTTGAGCTCGATTCCGCAGAAGATTCCGGCTGCTGGCGACATGCGAGTCGGAGTATCAGGGCGACCTGATATGTACTGTGATGAGTGAACGCTGAACAGCCAAGGAGGAATCGCCATTGTTGGCCGATACGACCATGGACAAGCCGAGGACAGTCAAGGTCCACTGCACGACTCAGATCATCGATTCAACGCGATTGTCATTATTCGTACACCTTGTGCCGATATCCTACCTCACCTGCAAGCCCGCCAGACGGCCCACGATGCCCGTCACGCCAATCGGCGACACCTGCGCGACGTCCCACACGACCAGCTTCCCATCCACACCCGACGTGCTGACCCGCGCGACGTTCCCCGGGCCACCCTCGTACGCACGCAGGTTCGTGATCGTGTTCTGGTGCACCGTGAACAGCTCCGACTCCGTCGAGGGGCCTGGCGAGCCGGGCACGTTCGAGATACCGCGCGAGTCCGCATTACGGAACGTGTTGAACGCGGCGCTGTTCAGGCGGCCCACGGGGGACGCGTTGCCGAGGCCTGCGCGGGCGGCGCCACCGCCGGTCTTGTTCGCGTTCGGGTCGTCGAGCGTGCCGGCGAGCTCCCATCCGCCTTCGCTCCCAGAGAACACGAGCGGCTGGCAGTCGTGTCCGGCAGCGATGATGGAATTCTCGGTCGTCCACGTCAGGGTGAGGAGCGGTAGACTGGAGAGCTTGATAGTGTAGGTCGGGACACTGCTGACGCCCGGATAGACGATGCTGATGGAGCTGTCGTGACCTAGACGATAGGAATGAGCTTGCATAAATCTACCGTGTCACATAAACCTTACTAGCGAAGGCAAGCACGTCGCCGGAAGGAGAGAACCCGACCGCGTGCACCCAACCGCCCGCGTGACTGGTATACTCGCCGCAGATGGTGTTGAACGGGAGCTTCTCGCCCCAAACAGTGGGGGCAGGCCTGCAGCCGCATCAGATTGAAGCACTGCCATAAGCTTTCGCGCCACGCACCTCTTGTCGACGTCCTTGATATAAGCGGAGAACACGCGGGCCTTCATGTCGGCGCTGCCGGCAGCAAGCAGGACGTTGTTCGGATGCCAATCGACAGAGAGCACAGTAGACCTAATCGGCTTCTTCAGAAGCCTCGAGACCCACCAATCGCCCTCCGGGTCGAAGGAGCAAATCGCGATTGCGCTTCACCCTGCTCGTCAGATTACGCTGAGCATGACCGGCAGATCCACTCACCGAGCACCGCTCGCAACAGCGAACTTGTCCTCGTTCGGGCTCCAGCGGACGTGGGTCGCAGCCCTGTTGATGCGCAGAAGGACCAGTGTCGGCTTCCAGACCATACGACCGGTCTGCGCGTCGGGGCTCTGCTGCCACACATATGCGTTCCTGTCCTGGGCACAGGTGACGATACGGTTGGAGTTCGGAGCCCAGTCGATGGAGGTGATCAGCTTGTCGTGCTACATGGTGGTATACGCAGCACGAAGGATGAGTTATCTCTCTCGATAGCTGCCATTGTGTGCGCACCTCGGACAATGTCTCGGTCTGCTTCCACTCATGTCCACGACGCTCCCAGATGGTCGCATCCTTCGAGTTCAAGCTCACAGCAACCTCTTCACGCACCAATTAGACGACTTTGCGGCGCGGTATGGATGACATACCAGTGCGGTTAGCGTTGAATGAATGAGAGCTGATAGCGGTCTGATTCTGCCCGAGAGCGTAGAGTTCTGGAGGTGCCATTGTTGCAGAGGACTGTCAGTCTACTACTGCACGACGGCGTAGGCGATGATGGTGTTCCAGGTTGAGTGTAAGTAGCGTCGCGGACTCGAGTCTCCCCGCAATCGAGGGTGCTGAGATTGGCTCGGTTTGGATTGGCTCATCGGATCGGTTTGGATCGATCGGCGATCACTGCTCTGGCCGGGTCACGTCTACTGTAAGTTAAGAGCTTGCAGTCAACCATCACAACACTACCAATACATTCCAGACGTGCACTGTATCATCCCCAACCTTGTCTGGCACACTGTCTGTGAAAATGCGCAGCCGAAGCACCAGAAAATTCGAGTTCTCGCCATAGCTGCGCGGTAGCAATGGCATACATTGCACAGTCGAGTCCCATTGGCCAGTTACAGATTCACGACAGGTTCCAATGAAGCGGTGTGTGGTCCGTTACGAGCAGGCTTTCCGGATGTGGTCGGTACGTGGTGCATTTTCTGCAGATGAGGCGTCCGGTAACTTACGTGCCAAGCAGACCCAGTGGTACATACCGGCGTGACGGTCTCGTACCACACAACTCGGAGCCTATGCCAGGTACCGCTTCATCCACAACCCTCCGCCGGCACTCTGGCATTTCTCCACGTTAATGTTGATGCTTCCATTTTCGAGAATGTGCCACGGTGCAACTAGCATCTCGCTTGAGTTCACAACCTGCAAAGCAAGAGTACACAACGGTAACGTCGTTCTCCCGCATCCGCCTGCCGCGTCTAGCATGTTTCCGACCAGTGGTCCGCGGAAGTTTTCATAGGTCTGCACATGGTCCTCGTGGCCCGGATGCTCCCTATACTCGCTGACAATAGCATGTCGCGTTTCACCTGTCACTGCGTGAATGCTCTTGCAGACGCCTCCAGCGACCCGGCGCAAATGAACGAATTCTGCATTCCCCGGCCGCAGCTTCGAGCAACTTGCCGATATCTTGGACTTATCCTGAATGCCGTGAATCCGAGGTTCGTTCCATACCTAAGGACTGGTGCGCCGCGTATAGGCTGATATGTCGGTGGTTTGGCTCCTGGAATGGTGTGAGCCGGAATACAGTAGCTCCAGCATATCCAAGGTTTACATCCGCCGTCCGCGGCAGTTGAGTAGTGCCTTAACTATGTGCATTGCGATACCTACCGGAGAGATTGAGGTCCGTTCCGCAGGCCCTACCAAGCTCGAAATCGCACTGTCCTACGCGCCGCCATCCCTTGTTCATCCACATCCAGGGTGCGCCATCACGTAAGATTACTCAGATACGCGCTACACGGGACACAGCGAGTGAGTCTATCCTTCGTGTGGCCTAGTGATGCTGCTTACGATACTCTACACGTTCCAGTCTATATCGCCAATATCACAACTCGTGTTTCCGGGCCCGCTATTGCTGAGTCGTTCATCACGGTGGACCTACAAGCGTCCTCGTCTCGCCTCGTGTTGTGCGGCTGTCATATCCGCCTCGCCTCCGATAGGGTTGTTGATGCGATGTGCGCGACGTCGTCCTGTGGCGCCTTTAATTCCGCCGCAATTACGCGTAGAACACGCTGCGCTGTGACCTGCCTTTTCGGTGAAGACGGAGAACAGCGATGACAGCTGACGAATATGCCGGTGGACGTTCGGAGACACTGCGGCGTAGCCATCGAACGAGCCACGCAGATCACCCTTGAACCACCTTGGCGCGTAGCTCTATGCAAACCTGGCCAGCGAGGATCGCTTCGACGCTCCTAGGCATTGGCGTTTCGTGCGAGCGTGGACTCTTGAGTCAATGTCGCGATGCGCACGTTCTCTGCGAGATCGGAAGACTGGAACTTCACTGACTTGCCAGGACCACACACTGACAGTTCTGGACACATTCGAAGCAGGGATAGACAGGGAACGGTGGTACGGTGGTACGTTGGCTCTGCACATCGCCTCGTGTTGAACGTTGTCACATCTGGATGTCCGCATTTTCTCCCAGTGCAGTCTTTTCTGGGTGAGTCCGTACGTCAGGTTGCTGCCTTGCTGCAGTTGGCATCGGCCTCCGTACGACGGAATGCTACGCAATCACTCACGCTCAAGCCCGAGGCTCTCACCTTGAGGATCCCTATTCCAGTTGCATTGTCCGAGTTTGCGAGTGTATGTGTGATTGTCAATATTGACAGTCTTGGATATCTCCCATCAATCCTCGTCATGGACCGCATGCTAACCAACGCTGGATGTCCACAACTACGCAGTGGATTATTCTGTCCTTCTGCGCCGCACTGAATGATGATCCTCATAATCCCGGGAATGCATCCCACGCCCGGAAGATCAGGACTCCGTCCGTGGGCTGCCTCCCACAGGGACTGCTCCTCACCGGCGCAATGCGTCACTTACTCACGATTCGAGGCATGGTAGAGGCTCGTGCCTCCGTATGGCAACCACCCCCGGCACCCCCGGGCCTACCTTCTCGAGGGTCTCGCACTGCCGATATGGAAAGCGGTCTTCTGCCTGTTACCCTTCACAGTTTCTCGGACTTGTACGTCAGTGCGGTCTGATTCCAGCCGCGCAGGCCCCGCGTTCGGATACGCTCTATTTGCAACGCAGCTAGAACGCGTGCCATCAGACTGTGTGCTCGCAGTGCCTTTCAGGCAGGCTCAAAGGCCGGCGCTGATATGGCCATACGCCGCCGCTTCGCGGAATGACCAGACCTGCCCTTCCGGGCATCGAAGCTTACTCACGGGCACCGTGAGTAGTGACGACGCACCGCAATACGGACGACGGAAGGGTCGTTGTATTAGGTTCCGTCAGAGGAACCTTCGGAGCACGGGTCAGCGAGATTGCTCCTCTGAGGTCTGGCAGATCGCTGGAGGAACGATGGATTGTCTTGTTCGACCCAATCACTCGGATCCGCTTCGGAAGCCTCTCGTACGTAGGATGCCGGGCCCCAACTGCCTGGACAGGCCCACCACTAGGCGAACTAGGTGTAAGTAGTCACGACCGAGCACGGCTGTCACACCGAGTCAGGGCGAAGCCGAGCGCAATGCGGGCCTCTTGGATAGCCGATGAAATCGAGATGCAGGGAAAATGAACTGGAAATGAAATGTTTAGCGTGGAGAGTCTAGAGTGGATTGTAGAACCACCCGAGCACATTGACGGGTGCTTCTGAGACGGTGCTCGGGCGGAAAGCAGTAAAGACCGAGTGGCGGGTGGCTTATTGTGCACGGCGGGGAGGTGCGGGAAAAGGTTGAGCGAGAGTGGTTGACGTAAAGAGGGGATCAGGAGATGGGGACGTGCGATGGGATCGAGGGGGAAGCACGCGGAAGGCACGAGGATCTCAGACGAGGAGGAGGAGAACAATAAGGGCGTCGGCAGGGAACCGCGACCTCCCCTTTCCCCGCGCGTCTGTCGGCTCGTATTCGACGCCCGCGGCAGCAGAAGATGCTCAGACGTTCAGATTGCCCGCCCTCGTCGCCTGGTGGTCTGTTGCCTCTTCCGTCCGCGGGCCTGTTGCTACACCCTCCTCCCGTAGTCATATATCTACCCCTTTATTGTCTGCGCAAGTCGCTGCTGCTCTCTCCTTCCCTTCCCCCGCGCTCGGACGAGTCGGCGCTCGTCTTCGCCCCTACTTACCATTCTTGCACCCACCGCAGTGCCACAGACCACACGACGTCCCCTTTCAGTCAATTGTCTCGACAGCCTCACCTCCGGTGCGAGGCTGCCATATCAGGTGCTCCATATCAGGCCCAGCGCGCACCCTGCGTGCACGAGCTATCCGAACACAATTGGCCTATGTCTCCGGTAGACAATAACCTTTGCCTTGATGCTAAAAGACAGGGCTATCTCTCCAGCTTCACGTCACCGAGGCCTCGCTCAAGCGTAGGGCCTCCTTCCGACCCTTCCATCCGAGCGCCCCGACGGACAATGCACGGTGTCGCCTTCGTCCCTCGTCCATTCCCTCCACCAGCCCTCGCTGACGTTCCTATTGAGTATATTATTGCACAACTTCGCCAACTCGCTCCTCATTACTGGAGAAAGCCCGAGACTTCTGACTGCACTATCGGTATGTGCCCCTGGGCATTGTATCTCGGGTCAGAGCAATGTCTCATCCCATTGTCTTTCAGTCGTTCCCTTGGATACTACAAATCAAGCAGCCTGCTCTCCAACTCTCGGAGATGCTGCCGAGGATACTTGTTCGCCACCCGGTGACGTGCCTAGCCTTCTAGGCTTCTCGCGACAACAAGAGGAGGAGCCCGCTCCTCGTCCCGGCCCTCGCATGGTCATGCAGGTATGATATCCTCTCTCCATATTAGCTCAACAACTGACACAATAACCTCCAGCTGCACATGGATTACCTCTGCGCGCACTCGACACTGATCAGGGGATTCATGAGTGGCGCGTCGCCGTTCGAGCTGATGGAGACCACCGCCAGTTCTACGCTGCCGCTTCATCCCGAGGCCCCGACTCCTGGCTTCCCCGACTCGCGCCGGTCCTCTTTCAGTCTTCCAGCCCCACAGTTCCCGTGTATGCTTCCGTCGCCGCCTACGCACCCCTCTGTCTACCTGCCCGTGCCTGACCCAGCGTCTTTCCGCCTGCTGGTGCACTACGTCTACTTCGGCTCCACGTCCTTCATCGAGGATGCGCTGGACGATGGCACCCTCAGCTGGGAGGGTCTCGCCCGCAATGTTGAGTACCTCGGCATGGGCGCCGAGATCAAGGTCTTCCTCGGGCGATGGTACGGGCGCTGGCGGCATGGACACGGGCCCGCAGAGTACACCTCGGACTCGGACTCGGATTCGGACATGGACATGGAGTTGCGTCGCGAGCGCGAGTACGACAGCGACACAGATCAGGAGCTCGAGCTCCCGCCAAAAGACATGTCTGCCGCTACGTCTCCGACCGTGTTCGATCCCGATGACGAGTACCGCAAGGTGGACGACGACGAGATCATGAAGTCGTCTGAGCCGTCGCGCGGCCGCAAGCGCACCCCGCGCCGCTTGGTGCACTCGTGGTCCGAGCCTGGACTGGACTCTTCGGTCAAGGAGCAGCTGCGCACCGTTCGCTGCCGCAGCAAGTGATGCTCCGCGTCTCCTGCTCCGCCTATTCTCCCTCCCATTCACCCCTGCCGCCTTGACCTGAGCATCCCTGCTACGATTCGAACACCCCTTCGTCCTTCGCCTCGAACCGTGCGCGTTCACGTAACCTTATCTTAATTGCTATCCACAAGGCGCGCCGACCTCCTTCGTAAGTCCGCTCATCCCCTTCAGCGATTCCCCAAGCTCATGCCCGCCCGAAGGACCTTCTCCTACCGTTGCCATTGCTTTCGCGGCGACAACCCCCCGCTGACAGACGACCAGTTGATGAACCTAGACCCTCCTTTGCACCGACACCCACCATCCACCCTCCTTCCCGGGTGCCCCGCCACCCGTTACACCCGCCACCTAATAGTACCCGTAATACCGAGCACCGAGGCGCCAGGCTCTTTCTCGCCCTGTAATGCGGCGCCCCGAACTCGTAGTGGAGCGCACTGTACGCTCGCCACGCGTGTGCGATAGTATATAGCAACTGTAGGTAAGTACGTCGTAGGTGTATCCGCAGCCAGAACAGAACTCCGTCGCTCGTTACAACGAATTGATAGTCCAATGTACGATTATCCTGTGTGTCTGTGTGTGTTGATACTGTATCTCGGAGATATCAATGTGGAATACCTTTGGACCGTTCGAACGAGGTTTCATCGCCGCGATGCTTCTAGCAGCCGGGACGGCGTGATGTGCGCAGTGTCCGCGATGTCGTGGGGGCGTCGATGTCGTTCCTCGTGTCTCGTTCAGGAGCTACCGTCGGCAACGACCCTTCCTGGACTGGGCCCGACACTAAAGACAATTGACCTGAGAAACGAGCGTGCGGGTTTACAGCTCCGCGAAGGTGAAGTTCATTGACCATCGGGCCTCTTTATTGTCTTCGTCGGTGTCGGCAATCACTCATTGCAAGTGAGTGGGCATACATCATTGCGCATTGACCCCTCTCTCACCAGGAGTGCTTCTGCTTCTCTTGCGCGCGCGACTGGTGATAGCAACGCGGTAATGTATCTGAGGAAGTGGGGTTCCATGCGATCGTAACGATTGAACATCACAGACCGATGAACGGCAGAACATACCTAGCACAACCGACGCCTGTCGATGTGATTGGGCAATCCAGCGATCGTGCCGTGGGCACTAATTAAATGCGACCTGACGATCGAGAAGGCTTGTGAGTGGCCTTGGCCATTTGTGGCTGAGCTCGTCCGGACACGTCGCGAAATCTGCGCACCTATCTGAAACCAAGTTGCGTGAGGGGTTGAACCAGACGATATCAACGAGAATTAGGGGTGCACCAAAAGCAGAATGGTACATTGCGACGAGACGGGTATGAGAACGAGACGGGTATGAGGACAAGAGGGCCAAGGAAAATCTACGGCTACAACGGTGACAACAAGGGGATGGGGGGGGGGCAAGCTGTGGGTCGTATGGTAGTGGTGGTGAGTGAAGAGTGCGGGCGACGATGACGAATAGCGGGACGCGCAAGCCCATCTGACGAAGACACGGAGAAGAAGGTACGCGTGAGTAGAACAAGGCCGTTCAGGACTTGTTTAACTGGTCATATTCCAGTTCTACTGGCATTGCGACCTCCCCTCCTAGACCAGGGAGTCTTTGGTTCCGTGGTACAGTCCGCGTCTGAACCCGCTTTGAAAGGTCTGGAAGGTGGTCCGGGACATACGGAGGCTGGGAGTATGGTCAGTCCACGCACGAGATGAGAAGCGACCCGTGTGGCTTACCACAGTTAATCTATGGCGCATCCCCGTCCAGTCAACCTTCCCGTGCATGAAGGGATGATTCCGGACTTCGTCATTCCTAGCCAGCTTCTCCTTGCGACCCCTCACGGCGATCATGCCGTACCGTTTCGCCATGTCCCGCGTGAGCATCCTGCTGACGAGGTCTTTTAGGTCGGGATCGATGTATAATCCTTTGATCCCCTTGACTTCCCAGAAGTCACCGGGAGTCGCCTGCATGATCATGTTGTAGACCTCAGTTCCCTCGGTCCCAGGAAATGGCTGACACACGCGCGTTCAGGTCTCTTTCAATCTCGCGATGCTGAAACGAAAGACTTACCCAAGCATTGGTGACCATCTGGTATAGGATGACCGCCGCCGACCACCAGTCGCCCGCCATACGGATACCCTCGGGTAGCTTCCTCGGATCGTTGTCGAAGAACTCCGGCGCGGTGTACGGGAACGTCCCAACGTGTTTCCAGTTGAACTGGTTGGACATGAGACCCGCGACACCAAAGTCGGCTAGTTTGAGGTACCCGTCCGCGCCCATAAGGATGTTGTGCGGCTTCAGGTCGCGATGCACAATTTTGTGCGTATGCAGAAACTCCAGCGCAAGTGTGAGGTTGGCGAAGTAGAACCGCGCGTCTTCACAGCGTAACGGGCCGTGGTCCTTCAGGAATGCGTCGAATGACTCGCACGGTGCGAGTTCCGTCAGGAGATAACAATGCCGCTCGTCCTGGAAGGTGTCGACGAGTCCGGACACGAACGGATGCCACGGAAGTTCTGCGAGCCTTTCGCGCTCGGTGTTTCTAGCCTCCAGCATCTCCCTGATAGCATTCAGATGGGCCTCATCCGTCTCGTAAGGCCTAACCCAAGTGTTCTATATTCCATATGAGCTGAATGCCACACATATCTCCGAACGGGCTCCTCACCATCTCCGTGTGTCTTTGGGTTGACTTGTCGAGAGCTTTCAACGCGAATTGCGTCCCAGGGCGATCCAGTCGGTGATCCCTTGATTTGGTTCGCATAACGCGAACCAAGGACACGAAGCCGTAGCTACCGTCGCCTGACGTCGTGTAAGTGCCACACAGTAGTATTTGACCGACAAGACACGCAACGTACCCAATGCGCTGACATACTCCAAGTCGCTGAGCTTGAGGGGCGTCGGACGGTTTGACCTCTTAGCAGGTGGCGCGTACGGCTTCTTGCCATGAGCGACCTTCGATTGTTGTCCGGTTTCCCGGCGGTCGGCCTCCGGGACATCCGTGTTCGGGATTTGAGCACCCTAAGCACCCGTCGGTGAGACTTCCATCGTTCACAAGTGCTGTACTTACTGGAGTTGGCGAGCCCGAGCGAGTGGCTCTCTTTGAGCCTTTCGATGTTCTCGTGCCACTGCCAACAGTGCGATGCTTCGACGCGTCGGCGCGGGACTCCTTCGTTCGTACGGCGGGCATAGTGTGTGTAAAGGCTGGGTGGTGGTTAGGGAGTCGATGGAGGTAGCAGAGAAAGAGGCTGTTGGTTGAGAGACGGTTGAACGCGATGCCCTTTATGCTACGCCACACCGAGGGTGGCCGAAACAAGCGCCCGGTCAAAGCGCAAGAGGCTGTCCTTGTATTCTGCATTAGGTTGTTGGTCCACGCTTATCAAATGCAGCTTACCGTTGCGAGTGTACCAAAGGAGTGCCTGCGGTCTATGGTATGCGACCATAAGGGTAACTGGCCATTCGAAGGCGTGCAGCTTGCCTGTGGGCTGTCAGTACTGGTCAGTACGTTCGCAATCTCAGATCGGGACGGAAGCTGCCTGTGTGCTGCTGGACACAACGAGCCAGTGACAATTAGACAATGTAGGCCCGCGTCAATAATCTGCTTAGACCCAATCAGTACTAACCCAAAGGCGATTGCAGGCGTTCCTTGTTGACAACCTGCAGAGCGTCCTATACGACAAGTCCGGGTTAGAATGAGAAACTTGTTGCTGGGTATCACTGAGAGGCCACAAAGTATCGACTTCCGAAGCAACAATGATTGCGAGGATATCAGTTAATGAGTGCAATGATTTACGGAGATATACCATGCGAGCAGCGGAAACGACAGTGTACAATGCTAGTGCACCTAGTAGGAGATCGGAACACGTCAGCTGTCGACACTCGCTGGCGTATCCAGATGACACTCACCAGAGCGAGAAATGCAGAAAGAACAGAAACGATTACCGTATGTCTAGCGTTGACGAACTCATACACGACGGAGTACTGCACCACCGGCACACGCCCTCCAGCTCCAATTCCGAGCAGCGGCCTCCATCCAAGCGATAATTTATCATGGCAGCCAAATCTTGATCGTCTGGTCGACGCTCCCCGATGCGACGACGTTGACAAACTTCTCAGGTTCCGCCTTGGCATCAGCGGCGACGCCGTTGGCCTTCGTGCCATCGGCGCCTTGTGGTTTGGATTGGGGACCCCATGCGAGGCACGTCACGAAATGTCCATGCGCCTGCACGGTCTTCATGCAACGGCCAGTCGTGAGCTCCCAGACGCGAATTGTGTAGTCGTCAGATGCGGAGAGGAGGAACTTGCCCGTGGGATGGAAGACGAGTGCCCGCACCCAGTTATCATGTCCCGCCTAGCAACGCGTGTAAGGACTTATCGCACTGAGGGCTGCGCAACCTACCAGACTACGAATGAGTTGACCGCCTTGGCAGTCCCATATCTTGACGGTCTTGTCTCTTGAACCAGTCGCAAGGTATGCTCCCGATCTCTTCACTCTGTCTTTATCCTGGATACCACCTGTCGTAGATCACACAACGGAGATTGCTACAGCTGACTTACTGGAAGGCCTCCAAGCTCGCGAATTGCAGTATATGCAGCAATAGGAGCAAAAGCGACGACCTCGACGACATGTTCGTGCCCACGGAACTCCAACTTCGTCTCTCCATTCAAGGGATCGCTTAGCCGCGCAGTCTACCGAATCGAGGTGCTCAGCATCCAATTGCAGCCGGTCTGCGTGCTACATACCTGATCATTCGAAGCACTGGCGATTAATCGACCATCGTCTGACGGCTGTACACACCGAACCCACTCAGAATGTCCGGTGATCGTGCGGACGAGGTGCCTACACGCATGTCAATGTGGAATCGCGCAGGACATAAATGTAACTCACGTGGAAGCAACATCAAATATCCTGATGGTCTTATCTCGGCTTGCACTAACGATTTGCTGGTCGCCAGGCATGAAGCGCACCGAAGACACTGTATGGTCGTGCCCGGAGAATGTCTTCGTATTGCGCCATTCATTCTGTGCATCCCAAATCTTGATCAACAGGTCGGACGAGCAGCTCACTGGTATACCCAGGCGGCCTCAGCTATACCCAATGCACGCGGGGATAAGATGCATCAGTCATACCTAGTAGATTGCCCTTACTGTCAAAGTCAACGTCATTTACGGAACGCGTATGGCCTTTCAGCGTCCGTTCGAATTCTCCAGTTTCCCAGTCCCAGATCTTGACTGTACCATCATCGCTTGCAGACGCAATGAGGTTGAACGTCGGGTGGAACGCTACTTTCAGAACTTGTCCTCGGTGTCCCGTCAGAACATACGCTGCCGGCGCTCGCGGGACCCAGTCTGTCTGCATCTGCGCACGTTTAGCGGGTGAAACAGAAAGCTCTTCTTGCAGGGACGCATTCCGGTTCTCTAGGTCCATAATCTGGACGAGGGCATATGGCTGGTGTTAACGTGAGTATTGCCTAACGACGTACCTTCTTCTGCAGCCGTATCACGCTCGTCCATTTCTTCTCCAGCAATCCAGCATACTTGGCCTTGGGGTCGGGCGTGTACTCAATTCCAGCATCCGTCTTGAGTGAGTTGAAAGCATCCGTGAAGTTGTTCGAGTGGAGGTATTCGAGTATTGCCTTGTGACTGCATCGATGAGTCTCGGGTACCCAGACTCGAGAAATGCGACCTACAGCTCCTCCTTCTGCCGCTCGGAGAGAAGAGACATGGTGCGTGTTGCTGCGAACTGGCCGGGCGACGCGTCAAAGGAGGGGCAGCATCTACCAGCGGACTGGACAGACGCGAGTACTGGGCAGACGCGACCAAGTCTCAGTCTCGCAACGACTTGCACCCAAATCACTGCCTGCCTCAAATGGCAGGGAGACCACGGACACCCCGGAGACCCTCCGGACCGCGACCACCTCGCGCGCATGCTGCATCTTTCCATCATCCCCTCGCCTTGGATTTTCTTCTCTTCAATCCGAGCGGATGTCTTCGCAGTCGGGCCATACCATATCTCCCCCGCCAGTCCCTGCGTCGAACGCGGCCTCTGGCGGTAGTGGTGTTCGTCGCCACCATACAATCTCGGCTTCATCGCGTTCTAACAGAACGACCTCCAAAATCGCAATCTCCGAGCTCGAGGACCCGACTGAGCAAATCTGGAACGATGACGAGCTCGTGGATCAGGAATGGTCTGGCGGCATTGGGGCGGTAGGCGAGAAGTCGTCGCTGCACAGACAGGCGTCCTTGCCGACGCGATATCATCGTGGTGAGTCAACCCGAGCACTATCACTGGTGTTCTGCCGATTAACCACTATCCGCTCGTTCACAAGTCCCTTACGGTAGTCAGCCAGGCTCGCATACACCCAGGACCCTCAACAGTCTGTCTGCTATTGCCGGACATGAGGGCGAGGAAGAAGAATGGGAGAGGGAGATGCGCGGCTTGCGTGACGAAGAAGAGGTACGCGTCATAGTCCTCCGCATCATGCTGTATCTTCACATTTCGCACTGACCTAGCACGGCCTCTCGACTTCTGACCATGGACATGTTGCGGACTCGTCGTCATCGGCAGCTTCGCCTCTGTCTCCGCACTTCGGTACAGGGATTTCTCATGGCCCGTCACCACCTCCGGGAGGTTCTGCCGGCGTGCGTCGGCACCAAAGTCTCAACTATCCCAATACTACTCCTGGTGTCCGACATCTGACCTCTGGCCTCAAACGTGCTGGCACAATTCAGGCGGGCCCTATGAAAAGCCAGACAAAGGGAGTGCCGTATTCCGGTGCACAGAGTCCTAGCCCGACCAATGCTGAAGAGGAATACGACAACGACAGCACGCATGCGGAGGAGGACTCGTACTTTGGACTGCCCACACAGCAAGGCCAAGGTCAGTATCCTGGCAGTCCAATCGGCAGATCGTCGCCGTGGAACACCCCCGGCAACGAATGGCGTACTCAGATGGGCGGCAGCGGCACGTCGCAGTTTGGAAGCAACGGCGGCAACATTGGAATCGACGATGTCTCGCGTGCGCTCTCTACGCTGGAGATCAACCAGCAGTATGGCGGTGCTTCTGGGGGTTTCCAGCAGGGTCAGTCCGTGCACCCTCCTCGCTTCAATCCTGCTCACCCCCCGCCCATGCAAGCTCCTGGCATGCGCGGGAACAACAACAGTTCTTCCCGCAAGCTCCAGCTTGTCACGGACTTGGATGCCCGAAATGCGCAGAGCTCGGTACAGAGTGCCTCGGCATATGTACCGCCCATCGGCCATGGCTTGCCGGCGACTTCCCAAAGTCAAATTCGCGAGCGTGAGGAGCAGCAGCAACAACAGCAACAGCAACAGCAGCAACAACAACAGCAGCAGCAGCATCAACAGCAACAACAGCAACACACTGGTCGGGAGCGCGCCTTCACTGCATCTGGCACCACTACCTGGGACCAGAAGGAGCGCATCTTGGGCGGACGAGCGTCAAACCCGAGTCTCCACCATTTGTACCAGAAGAACGGGGCTGGCGACATCCCGAATGTACCCCCTATCCCCTCGCAGTATCTAAACCAAGGGCAGGCACCAAGAATGGGTGTCGCGTCCCCTCCCCTCGGCAGCCAAGCACACAGCCGTGCTCAGTCCCAGAGTGGTTCGCAGAGCGGCTCGTTGGAAGGATTTATCAGCTCTCCCATTGATGTCCCAACTTTGATTGCGACGAAGGGCTATAACCCTGTCGACTTCGATACGCGGCCTCTATTCGTAGGTATCCGGTTGATTGTCAGCCACGAATGAGCGTACTGATCGGTCTCTTGGTTAGGCGCGGTTCTTCGTCATCAAGTCGTACACGGAGGATGACGTCCACAAGTCGCTCAAGTACGAGATCTGGAGCTCCACCGATCCCGGAAACAAGAGGCTTGATAAGGCCTTCAAGGAGAACGCCGGCAGGGGTCCGATTTACCTGTTCTTCAGCGTGAACGCCAGGTAAGGTTTTCTCCCAGTACCTTGAATTCTGAATCTCGGAAGGCACTCACGTGCTGGATTCTAGTGGTCACTTCTGTGGCATGGCGGAAATGCTGACGCCGGTACGTTGCGTCTCCCGCGCCTCGTCTCGCTGTGTGGGTTTGTTAATGGTTCTGCAGGTGGATTATACCCGGAGCAGCACTGTATGGGCGTCGGATAAGTGGAAGGGCGTTTTCAAAGTACGCTGGATTTACGTCCGCGACATTCCCAACGCCAACCTGAGGCATATCCGCCTCAAGTACGTTTTTCCCATGTTGTCAGCGTATCATGTACTCACGGTTTACCATGTTCAGCAATACGCAGGAGCGCAAGCCAGTCACGAACTCGCGTGACACGCAAGAACTACTCCCTGATGCAGGTCAGGAGATGCTGCGTATCTTCCACACCCATCCGGCAAGGACGTCGCTGCTGCAAGACTTCGCCTTCTATGAGGTACGAATTTAGCGGACCGATAGTATTCGCGGCTGATCGTGTGTCACACACACAGCTACAAGCCATGCAGAAGGTGCAGACTGTCCAAGTACCGGGTCAACCTCAAGGCCTTCCCCTTCCTCAGGGCGCCTCATCGCCGACCCAAACTCCCATGCCGATGCAGTCGAACAATCAGTCTCAACTCTCTTCTCCGGGCGCGTCAGGCCAGCATCCATTCGCGATGTCGAACCCGACGGCCCTCGCATATGCCGCGCAGCACATGGGCATGCAGCAGATGAACATGAACATGATGGGAATGAACCCGCTGATGCAGATGCAGATGAACATGGGCAACATGGGCACGCCGTTCGCCAACCCGCACGCGATGCAGAGCGTCATGCGCCACCCGAGCCCCGGTCCCATGCCCGTCGGCCAAAACTTCATGGGGCTCGGCGGCATGCCCGGGTTCTGAGTCGTCGCTCGCAGGACCGTCGCGCAAGGTGTAAGAAGAATCTACGTCTGTTTTGAATATAGAAGAAACAAGCCCGACGCAATAAGGAAAGTCGGCCTCATTCCTTGCTCTTTATCCGTTTCTCCTCCAACATATGATATCCACCCTCTGATTGTCTGTCTGTTGTTTGTCGACCGCCATCTTGTATCACCAGAAGGTTCGGCACAGGTGCTTGCTCCTCCATCTATTCTTCCGCAGCCTACTGTCATCATAATGAGTTGTTGATTCGCGACACGATCTCCCTCTCTTTATTCCCTCTCCTACTTGATTCAACATTGCAACGTACAAATGGGACGGTACATACCAACGGACATTGATAGTCGAGTGTATTTGTCCTGATGCTCCCCAGTACTGACGTGCCTCTATGCCTACGTGCAATGTAGTCCTTATTTGAAGACGTCTAACTTAGATGGTTGTAACCAATGTACGGTTATAAGTTATAATGCTCAAGGCTCTTGCATGCAGTATCCGTGCGGTCGCTCGATCACGGTAGGCCTGGATCTCAAGCTCGGGGACGTCCTAATCTGGTCCTAATAGTATCCTCGCGTAGATCATGTAAACCAGTGGGACTGAAGTACTCATGTCGGTGCTCCTCTCGATCCTACAACAATGGATCCAGAGTCACACCGATGTATATCCCCGACAACCCAGACACAAGCGATTCTAATCCGTGAACTTGATGCTGAAGCTCTGCATCTATACCAACGTTCAGTCAGTCAGTTAGACGATCCACCCATCCGCCACCCAGGACTCACCGTGATATCGCCTCCACGATAGCTCCCCCTCTTCTTCTTGTTCTTCTCCTTCCTGAACCCCGCACCACGCGTCACGATGAGGTCGCGCGCCGCACGTTCGCCGTAGTCGTTCGCTGCCGCGCCCTGCGCACGCTCACGTCAGTATCGTCCGCCCACACAGGCCAATCTAAACGCACCCTAGACTCGAACGTATTGTCCTTTAGCCTGTCGTCGACGAACGCGACCTCGTCCACCTTGATACGCTGGAAAGGCACATTGCCCTTCCTCGGCTTGCCCTTCCCGTTCCCGTTCCCGTTGCCCGCCTTGTCCTTGTTCTTCTCGTCCCCGTTGGCGGCATGCTGCGTCCCCGCGCTGAAGTCCGCGATGTTGACGGTCGCAGTGACCGCCGCAGAACCGTCCTCCGCCACGCGCTGCTTCTTCGCGGTGCGGACCTGCTTAGGACTGGGAGGCGATGGGGCGGGGGATGAGGAGCTGGAGGAACTCGAGCTTGATGATGACGAGTCCGAGTCCGAGTCCGAGTCCGAGTCCGAGTCCGAGTCCGAGTCTGACGATGAGCTGGAGCTCGAGTCCGAGGAGGACACGGCGGGGCTAGGCGCCTTGCGCTTCTCCACTTTTTTCTGAGGCACGGGCGCATCGCTGCTGGAACTGGAGTCGGAATCGGAGTCTGAGTCAGACGAGCTCGAGCTCGAACTTGGGGTGGGCATGGGAGGTTTTGGCTTGGCCATGGGCGTGGGCTTGGGCTTGGCTTTCGCAGGAGTCTTTTTCTTGCGTGCTTCGTCTTCGTCCTCGCTCGAGCTTGAACTTGAGCTTGAGCTCGAACTGCTGCTGGAACTCGAGTCGGAATCAGAGTCAGAACTCGAGTCGTCGCTGTCGTCCGCATCCTTGGCACCCTTCTTCGTAGCAGGCTTCTTCGTCACCGTCTTTGCCTTCCCAGTGGGTGCACCAGGCGAATCTGAATCGCTGCTGCTGCTGCTGTCGTCGTCATCGTCGTCGTCACTTGACATGGTTTTGCTCGTTGGTGGGGACGGGGACTTGGCTGGTTCAAGGACTACAGCTTTTGCCGGCGCAGGGGCCTTGGTTGTCTTCTTCTTGCCAGCTGCTTCCGACTCCGACGCTGAGACGAATGGGGATTAGGTACGCGGGTGAGGTCTGAGACAGGGACGTACAAGAACTTGAACTCGAAGAGGATGAGTCGCTGTCAGAGTCTGAATCGTCGTCGGAGCTCGAGCTAGACGAGTCAGACTCGGACTCGGAGAGAGCTGGAGCGTGCATGAGTACGACACGGAATCGGGTGCGAGAAGTATTCAGACGTACATTTAGCATCCTTCTTTGCTTTCTTCTTCCTACGGCATGTTAGCACAATCGTGTAGATGATTCAGTACAGCGAATACTCACTGAGTAGCCCCCGCCTTCGCCTGAGAAGCCTTCCACTCCGATACAAGCTGCTCCAACTTCGTGTCGAGGCTCCTTTCGGTGTCCAGGTCAACGGTGCCCCTCGCGGCTTTCTTCACCGACTCAGCTGCTTTTGTATGTGACCTTCGCGAGAGGAAGTCATAGATGAGGGCATACGTTACTGCTTGAAGGATGATCAATTCGTCTCTCGAGCATATGTGCCGACTGTACGCACGCAATACATTGATGTCCATGTCCGAGAGCCAAGATGTGGACGGTAGTAGTGTGTGATATGGGGAGGCCGATGCGAGCAGACGGGGCACCGGGGAGCCAATGAGAGGGCCGGAAGCAGAAATCTGCGATCTGCCACGGGGGGCAAACAGGAGCACACAACGCGATCCCGGGAGCTCGCGCGGAAGCGCCCAGCGGTGGGCAACGATGCACTCAATAAAAGGCCCAGCTCCCGCCTCCGCCAAATTCGACGGCTCCTCCCTCCGCATTGCCATCGTGCACTCGCGATGGAACAAGACCGTCATTGACGCGCTCGTTGAGGGCACCGTCGCCAAGCTCAGGGAGCAGGGGGTCAAGGAGAGTAACATCCTCCTCCAGTCCGTCCCCGGCAGCTTCGAGTTGCCTCTTGCCTGCCAGAGGTACGTTCCAACATCTCAGCTATCTGTGTGGGCCGTTCACCTTCTCTAGGGTGATTGCTGGCTCTCATGTTCAGGCGGGAGCGTCTGCAACCGACCTGCTGGGTGGTCTGAACTTCGGGTCCATCTCCTCCCCTCGCCCTGGTTCGCGCGCGTCCACTCCCGCCCCCACCGTTGCAGGCATGCCCAGCCAGCCTTTCGACGCTGTCATCGCCATCGGTGTCCTCATCAAAGGCTCCACCATGCACTTCGAGTACATCTGCGACAGCGTATCGCACGCGCTCATGCGCGTTCAGCTGGACACGGGTGTGCCGGTCATATTCGGCGTCCTTACGGCTCTCAACGACGATCAGGCCCTGGAGCGAGCGGGCATTGGGCGAGGGGAGAACAAGGGACATAACCATGGCGAGGACTGGGCCGCTGCTGCGGTAGAGATGGCGTCGCACACGAGACGCTGGTCGGAAGGCAAGTTCTGACGCGGACAGTGCTTTTGGAATGTAGACACCGCTTGAGGTTGTGTACGCTGTGTACGACGAACAGAAGAGTAGCAGTAGGCCCGAATGTAAAACACAAGATTCTGCTCGTGACAATCCTGGACTGCGAGGACGACTCAGCTGAGGAGTGAGAGTACGTATTCATACGTACTGCCAGCGTACTGCACGGAGTTGCCATATGACGATTGGTTTGTCCGGCTACTGTCGCCGCTGTGCAGCCACCCGCCGCCGACTCAGGTTTACTCAATGACAACCATGGTTGCCGTCCCCCTCATCCAGCCCCGCTACTCTTCTTACTGCACGCCCTGTGCGACGCCATAGTTGCAAACGGCTCTGGAAACTCTAAAGCTAGACTGGTTGCTGCTGACCGTTGATCGCGCTCGACGCCTGACAACGTCCGGGCGGTACTCCAAGCCTTCCCTAGTCTACCACCCTTCAATTCGTCTCAGAGCATCATGAAGAAGAAGGTAAAGCAGCAGACCTGGTCTGGGTAACATATCTGAAGGGGGGTCATGTTAGGTGTTGCTCATGGGCGCGTCGGGGAGCGGGAAGACGTCGATGCGGTCTTTGATCTTGTAGGTCTAATACACGATCTACTCCTGCGAACGCTCGCTCACAGCTCGGTCCTCTCAGCTCGAACAACCCTGCGTCCCTCACCGCGCGTCTCGGCGCGACGATCGACGTCGAGCAGAACCACGTCCGCTTCCTCGGCGACCTCATCCTCAACCTCTGGGACTGCGGCGGCCAGGATGCATTCATGGACACCTACCTTGCGCTGCAGGCGTCCACCATCTTCCAGCACGTCGGCGTCATGATCTACGTCTTCGAGGTCGAGTCGCGCAACATGCCTAAGGACCTCCAGTACTACCGCGACTGCCTCGCCGCGCTCCAGAAATACAGCCCCGACGCCGCCGTCTTCCTCCTCGTGCACAAGATGGATCTTGCCCGCGGCTCGCGCGCGCAGACTCTCGAGAGGAAGACCCTTGAGCTTCAGCAGGCAAGTGGGGACGTCTCTATGACCGTGTTCGGGACGAGCATATACGACGAGAGCCTGTACAAGGTACGCCACTTCCTCAGCTTCTACTCATACTCTCCTCACGTGAAGCTCTAGGCGTGGTCCCGGATAGTCCATACCCTGATTCCAAACGCTGCCGTCCTCTCCAAGCACCTCACCACCCTCGCGCACGCCTGCAGCGCAACCGAAGTAATCCTCTTCGAGCGCACCACCTTCCTCGTTATTGCGACCTCCTCTCCTCCTCCCTCCGCGCCGCCCGTTAGCTCCCCCGTGCTCTCCTCCCCGTCCTCCTCGCATGCCACAACGAACGGCCTCCTCACGCCGACCTCGCAGGGCTCTCTCCCCGCGCGCGAGCCCGAGCTCGAGGCGGGCGCGGACGCACACCGGCTCTCGCCGACGCGCTACGAGCGGACGTCCGAGCTGATCAAGGCGTTCAAGCACGCGTGTTCGCGCGTGCGCGAGGAGTTCCACTCGCTCGAGATGGAGCTGGACGAGTTCACGGCGGTGCTCGACGAGCTCACGAAGAACACGTACGTGCTTATCGTGGTGCATGACCCGACAATAGGTGCGTCTCTTGGTGAATGCAAGACGGAGTGCAGTGCTCATGGTTGCTTGCAGAGACTGCGGCGCTGAGGATGAACATCCGGCTTGCCCGGAAGAAGTTCGAGGAGCTGCAGGGCGATAGCCTGGTATCATAGACGGACTGTATGCTTTCGGACACGCGCCTCTGCTCGGAAGACCTGCTATAAGATCATACCATACACGTCGCTATGCTAATACATTCCTCCATCATGTTTGACACAGACCTACCGACTTATCGAGAAGCTCAAGGGTCGACCCAGTATGGAGGTGCCTCTACAACCTCGCCGAAGCCTCCTGTATCCAAGCCTCCTCGTCCCAGACCTTGACGGTCATGTCCGGGCCGCCCGACGCGACGAGGCTGCGAGACCTCGCAGACCTCGGGTTCAACGCCAAACACGACACGAAGTGCGGGTGCGCCTCGACCGTCCGCACGCAGCGCCCCGTCCTCAGCTCCCACACGCGGATGGTATAGTCGTCCGACGCAGAGAGCAAATATTTACCACTGGGGTGGAAGACGAGCGCCTGCACCCAGTAGCAATGGCCCACCTGCGAATGGATGCGAGGTAACGATCGGTATGTCAGTGGCGAGAGATCGGACTACTCACTAGGGTCCCTATGGCCTGCCCGCTCTGGTAGTCCCAGATTTTGATGCACTTGTCTCGCGATGCGGTGGCCATGTACCTTCCCGGTCGCTCCGGGCCACCAGCCTCCTAGACGTACAGTGTAGCGGTGACATTGAAACGGATGAACCGGACGTACTGAGATATGGCCCGCGAGTTCGCGTATGGCAGGGTAGGCTGCCACAGGTGCGAAGGCAGCCGCCTCGACGACGAGGTCGTGCCCTACAAACTCCACCAACGTCTGTCCGGTACGCGCGTCGCTCAAGCGAGCAACCTGGACAAAGTCTACTCAGCCTCTGCTCGCCATGACCAGACGTGCGATTCGCACCTGGTCGGATGAACTCAAGATGGCCTGGCCGTCATAGGACGGGCGGACACATCTGATCCACCCCGCATTGGCTATCACGGTGCGAAGCTCAGCCCTAGGAGGTACGATACAGTGAGCAAAGCGAGTATTCTGGCTCGACTCGAGGACAGCACATACGCCGACGCCACATCCCATATCCTGACGGTCCCATCGCGGCTACCGCTGACGATCTGCTGATCGCCGGGCATGAAGCGGACTGAGGACACGGTATGTTCGTGTCCCACAAATGTGTTCGTGTCCGCCCACCCGTTTCCGACGTCCCATATCCTGATCGTGCGGTCCGAGGAGCAACTCACTGGCATAAAGCGTTCAGCGTTCAGCCCGTTACACGAGTTCGCGGTTGGAGTTTGACAGACAGACCCGACGCTCACCAAGTAGAGTACCCTTGCTGTTGAAATCAAGGTCATTGACGGACCCTATGTGCCCCAGGACAGTCCGTTGCAGTGCGCCGATGTCGTACTGCCATATCTTGATGGTGCGATCGTCACTGGCGGACGCCAACAAGTCGAGGGTAGGATGGAAGGCGACAGCTATCACCATACCCTGGTGTCCATCTAGGATGACATCTGCCGGGTCTACCGAGTATGAATTCGTTGCTGAATCTGCCTGGTTCATGATGGGAGAGGACAAGTGGGTCGACGCCTCGAGGCAGTGATGCTAATCGCAAAAAGGTCCGAACCGGGGACCCACATACGCACACATACCTGTTTAGACAATCCAGTGACCGTCGTCTGAGTTGTCCACTGCTCCTGACATGGTACCGACGTGTCTGGCTGAGGTAAATTTGTACCCGTACGTGAGCCAGTCGATACAATGAAGCGGTCGGAATGGCTGAACACCAGAGAGAAATGCCGCACTATGTACTTCAACCATCGTCGACAAACACCACCGTAAGGAAGGCAGCTTGGGTGGAGACTGAAGCGAAGGCCTCAGCGGGTGGACGATCCCACGACGTGCGGGCAGACATACCAATGGGTCGAGCACATCATGTCGATGCTCCAAGATGTTTCGTGCGGTATGCAGGGACTCAGAGAATGTCGGTCATATGATCCAGCCGATCGTTATATGGCCTCTAACGACCGCACTAGCTTCATACGAATCCAGTTTTGTTTGGGTACCTTCGCCTTCGATTTTCCCTCGGACATACCCAATACATCGCGTCGATAGTCCGCCAGGATGACTTCGCGTGAGCCTGTGAGCCATACGACCTTCGGACTGTGTTCCGGACCATTGGGGCGCACGTACATCTCTGCATCACTGTTGTCCCTCAGAACAGACAGGACTCTTGGTGGGACGCGTGCCATGTCGAAGTGGAGACGGAACCTGTGATCGTACAGCAGAATCGGGTCCTCGCGCCTTGGTCGCCATTGAGAGAGCAGTGGAGCTATCTTGACCAATAGTGGCTTGGGTTTCTTGTCCAGTTCAGATCTGTTCTTCTCGTGCGGTGGAGTTCTCTGCAAACGCCATGCAGGACGCATATTTTCCGGTTGCTGATCCACCTGCCGGAAGATGCCATCCTGAGCTACGAAGCCAGGTCTGAATAAGACGGACGCCCCGGGTACAAACGGCGATCGAGGTCGCACTTCCGGCCCATTTTGTGTTACGCTGTTCATGATAACTTGATATGCAGAGCTGGATCCGCTCGCTCGCGCGCGACGTGAACCCCATGGATGGCATGAAACATAGCGCAGGACGCGTGCCATGAGACCCTCGAGCGTATCACTTGGGATGTTCTGCAGCCATGCCGAGGGTAGTGTCACTGTAGACGGTAAAGTCGGCAGCAGGCAGCGTGCCAAGATGTTGTCGACTGCAAAGAAGGTCGGGGTATTAGCCTTGAAGCAACACGGGGAAACCGGGTTTTTACCGACCTTGTCCGTTGACCATGTCAACATGCTGTCCTGACAATCGTACAATCTCACGGAGATCATCTCGATTCTGAGGGCTGTCAGAACTCCCCTTCAGCAGCTTAGGAATATTCATTTCGACGTCCGACAGCGTTGAATGCTACAGAAGGAATGTTACTTTGCGTCGAGACGAATTGAGAAGCAGCTCACCAGTCCGTCTGAGGAGTCCAGCGCATGCCGAATCGCATTCCGCACAGTGAGAGACGGTTCGAAATTCGTTTTGTCGATTGTATATCTCAAAGCGTTCTGGTCACATGTGGAAAGGATCCTGGCCTGTTCGTAAGCTTGGACCATGTTCGTTCGCACGAGCCTGCAGGATCTTACCTTCGGTACAGTCAGGAACGGTCGTACCATCCACCGGGACATGCCTTGATTGCCAAAGGAAGCGAGCGGATCCTCGCTTGCGTCGTCGCCCATTCCCCACCGCCGCACGGGCATCATACCACCGAGGCCCATGAAGCGGCTTTGGCGAGCGGCACGCATGATCACGGTTTCGACTTGGTCGTCGGCATGATGACCAAGTGCAAGTACCGTCGTGCCTTCTCTGGTCATTAGGTCGAAGAAAGCCCGCATGCGCGCACTCCGCGCGAGCGATTCAGTGGATGCCGCGTGAGGGAAGTTCGGATACGGAGGTTTTGACCATGGAACTGTGAAGACGAGATGCTCGACATCCAGGGCTCGCGCGTTTTTGGAAGCCAAATCTGCCATGTCATTCGACGCCGCCTGCAGTTGGTGGTTGATATGAATCGACAGCAGTCGTCGGGGCAAACCAGATGGTCCATTCTTGACTAGTGAAGACAGACTATGGAGCAGACACGTAGAGTCCGGACCGCCAGAGTTTGCTACCGCTACATGCGTTCAGTATATGAGATACAACATAGAGATGACGTGCATTCATACCGATCGTGTGTGGCCATCCTCCAGGAGGTATACATCGTTGGAATAACTGAAAGAATTCACCCTTGGATATGGGGGCCAGAGAGGGCATGGTGCCCAGACCGTTCCTCTCCCAACAACGACGAGGATGTAATTGTACGCACGATCTAAGTTATATGTATGGCGTTCTGGCTGAACTGAGCAAGTGTCCGAATACGAGTCGAATCGGCGACCGGGTCCAGGGCACTGGGTCTAGTACATGACTTACCGCATTTGGTATGCAGGAGTTCTTGAACGAACAAGAAAAAAACACGACTTTGTAGCGACCGCTACTTATACAGTAAATGAGCAGTCACAAGTCCGTCCAAGAGATGTTTATCCGCGTCTTTTATTGCGCAGAGTAACGAGGCGCGTACATTGATGTCACTAAATGTGCAACAAGAGGTCGTCGACTTCCTACTCGCGTAAATGCCAAGACTACGGATACAGTGAACAACGAGCACTGCACTATAATAAATAGAGCGAACGTCCAATTCGGAGAGGCGGAAGGATCGACAATATTCGGGGTATCGCAGTACGATGATAATACAGTACAGAACAGTATGGTACGTGCGTGGTGACCAACATGTGTCGTCTACTTTTGGCGCAGCGGACCAATCTTGCCGCCTTCACTGTGAGACCCAGACTGCGAGAAACCGTCAGTCAAACACCGTAACATGTAACAATATGAGGCTCACAAGAGATAGCGATGACAAGGTACAAGGTCATGAGCCTAGAGGGAGACGGGTGAGATATAGCCGGCAGTTGCATGGGACGAGTGAGACTCACATCATGCCTTCCATGTAGTTTGATTTACCGTCTTGAATGAGGAACTGCACCAGAAGCACAGACACGAAGAGCACAATCGTCTGAGGACGCCACGCTCATGAGACATGCGTTACCTCGCACATGATGCACTACATACCTCAAAATTGGAGAAAAAGAGCGTTAGGTTGTGGCCAGTCCTGCGATCGAACGTCTCAGCCATTGTCCTTCTGCGTTGAATCCATGCACTCACATCCAGCCTACGATCACAAGAAGCGGAACCACAAAGGCCGAGATTTGCTAGATTGAATAGCGATCAGTCTGTGCGGTTGTGATGGACATAATAGACGCTGTAGACACGCACGATCGAGCTGCCCACACAGATCCCAATCGTCAGAGCCATCTTGTTCTTACGAGCCATCCAGATCGAGGTGACATGTTCGGCTGCGTTGGCTACGATGGGAAGCAGTATCACACCGATGAATGGCTTCGAGATGCCATAGCGGGTGGCGACCTCCTCGATCGAAGCAACCACTGGGACACAGAATCAACAAAGGAACCGGCGTGCGATCGAGAAGCACTCACGGTAATCGGCGCAGAATGATGTAATGACGGTGACAAGCAGAAGACTGCGAAAACGGAGTTAGTTGGACTCTGAGCCGCAGCGCTTCACAAGCACGGAAGCGAAGTACGCACGCGGACCCAGCAGCAGGGACGTTCATCAACTGTGCTTCCACCTCGCCCTCGTCCTCCGTAAATAGGTACGCATGTGTCTTGAGCTGTGAGCGGGAGTAGGTGAGGACACGCTCAACAACTAGGACGCAGAAACGCACCTGGAAGAAGAGGTAGCCGACATATACGACCAACAGAAGCAACGCCGTCCCGCGCGAGATGAGAAGCAGGCCACGCTCAGACGCCGTGTCGAGATCTGTGCCGTCGACAACAGCGTTGGCGATCGAATTTACCAGGGTCGTCGAGTTCCCAGCGTGCGATTGTGCGCTGTGGTATGCGGCGGGGATGACGAGGGCTGTCGACAGACGGTCAATGTCAAAACCCTCGGGGGATAGAACGCCATACTGATGCATGCCAAAGTCATGAGCGAGCTCGAGCTGTAAAGGTGCGTGGTCAATTCTAGAGCGGAGTCCATTGAAGGAGAGGCATACGCTTGAGCGGCCGTTTGATGAAAGCTACTTTCTGAGTATTTCAGGCCACCTGGTACGAGAATTCAGAACCGTTGAGATGCCTTCGCAGGTGCAATGACCTACCTGCGAAGAAAGAGCATCCCAATACCAGGAGGAGGTTCGACAGGATCGAACCCAGCATCTTCGGGAACATTAGGGGCAATGAAACTAGAGACTATATGCTCCTATTCACCGAAGTCTGTACAATTCGCAGTTCATCTACGGTGAGTAAGCCCACGTCAGGAAGAGGTTCGCTTGGGACAATGGCTGAATCTCACTTTGCAGAAGGGCAGCAACGCCGACAATAATCTCAACGGCGTTCCCGAAAGAGGCATTCAACAGACCGGACAGTGTCTGACCCAACTTTAGTGACATTTGATCCGTCGCGGTCCCCAGGAGCTGCAAATATGGCTTCAGCATGAGCTAGGCGGACACCATTGCCACTCCTCGCTCACCGCTGCCAGAGGCATGATTGCTATGAAACTGAACGCGAAGCGTAACGCGGCGTCCCAGTGCAAGTGCTCCGCGAGGAAGCTCAGGGGAATGAACACGAGGAGAACATTAAGCCAAGAGCCAAAGAAGAAGAATCGGTACGAAGCAAGCCAGCTGGGCTGGCCCTCTGCTTTGAGGAACTCTGTGGCACGATGGGTGAACGACGGCGACTGGGCGTTACCGTTGCCATTTTGCGTGGGGAGCAGGGGCGTCGTTTCTGAGCCGGTGGACATGGTTCGGAACGTTGAAGGGCTGTGTAAAGACAGGCAGGTGGCTGCAGGTGGCTTTATACGAGTGACCGTACACACGATCGGGCCACTGCGGGCAGTGGCACCGGCAGGCGGGACAAGTGCATCATAGCCCGCTTACATAATGTGCTTCTGGGGTGCCAAGACTTTTATGCCAAGGAGCTCGGATGTCGACTCCCGACGGCGCAAACCACCAGCCGCGAAAACGCCGCCGGTTCCGGTCAGGAACAAGGATCCAACACCGAAGGAGCAAAATCAAAGAACGGCCAGAAGGTAAATATCCTCTACCACCGACGGGGATCGAACCCGCAACCCCCACCTGCTTTTTCACGGTCACGTGGGCCGAATTAGGAAGGTGATGCGCTACCATTGCGCCACGATGGCCTTAGACATCATGGCCATTAAGTATATATATATACTGCGTGTCGATGATCCGCCTTGTCGTAAGGTGATGTGCTACCATTGCGCCACGGTAGCCGTAAGAGCTAACTTGGGGCCAATTAAAATTGGAGAGACGGTGATCCACCTTGGCGAAGACAACGTCCTGGCCAAGTCTCTTGATAGGCTCACGGATCCATACCCAGCAAAGACCCAGGAAGGCCGCAGGAAGGGACACAAGATCTACATGTACAGCATTACGCAGTACACACAGCACGGATACAATATTTGCGGCCTTCTGACTCCCTACGTAGCTAGCCAAGACACCATTAGCCCAACTTCCAGCTATTATGCAAACCTATTGTATCATCTGCCCCGTTCATTGGCCCGCTGCACCCGAGGGCGAGCTCACTGCGCTCCTGAACCATATCCGCACCGCCCGCGTGGCCATTCGCCTCGGCGCTCAGGGTCTTGCTCTTTGCGTTGTCAGATCGGATCTTCTCCAACATGGACAGATACTCCTCGTCGACACCGCCAGTCACGTACTCGCCAGTGAACACGGAGCAGTCAAACTGCGGAATTGACGGGTTGAACTGCCGCACGGCCTCGATAAGGTCGGGCAGTGTCTGGAAGATGACAAGGTCCGCGCCGATCGTCTCCGCAATGGCGTCCAGCGACCGATTGTGGGCGACGAGTTCGACGCGGGACGGCATGTCGATGCCGTAGACGTTCGAGTAGCGGATAGGTGGGGCACAAGACGCGACGATGACCTTCTTCGCGCCGACGTCCTTGGCCATCTGGATGATCTCCTTCGAGGTTGTACCCCGCACGATCGAGTCGTCGACGATCAGTACATTCTTGTTCGCAAACTCGAGCGCCATCGCGTTCAGCTTCCGCCGCACGTTTTTCTTCCTATTGGACCCAGGTCAGATATGCGACATAGCTACATCGACGCAGACCTACCTCATCTGCTGTCCGGGCATAATAAACGTGCGCCCAACATATCGGTTTTTAATGAAACCTTCTCGGTAGGGCAGATTAAGTTTCTGCGCCAAGTTCAACGCCGCCACTCTTGACGTGTCCGGAACCTGATAACACAGCCTTCAGCCGCTTTAACTCGCGGCAGCGCACCGCGGCACTTACGGGAATGACGACGTCGACCGACAGGCCCCTTTCGGTGAGCACGCGCTGCACCTCCGCGGCAAGCGCGTCGCCCATCGCCATCCGGCTCCGGTAGACACTTATCCCGTCTAACACCGAATCCGGGCGGGCGAAGTAGACGTACTCGAAGATGTCCGGTGCGAACGTCGCCGCCTTGCCGACAATCCTGCGGCTGACGCTGTTGCGTGTAATGATAACCGCTTCGCCTGTATACTGCCTCAGCGCCGCCCGGCCCATGTCCGAGGCGTGAGACGCTCACCTGGCCTGACATCCTCCCAATCGCCAAAACCACTCGCGTCCGCAACTACACTCTCGCTTGCAAACATGTAGTCCTTGCCCGTGGCGCTGCCAAACGCCTTGCGCGAGGCCATGCCTACAGGCCGAATGCCATTCGGGTCTCTGAAGGCGATGATGCCGAAACCCGCGAGCATCGCTACACAGGCATACGCGCCCTTACACTGCTCCATCAGGCTACCGATCGCGGTGAAGATATCCTCTTCATTGATACGGAACTTTCCTGTCTTCTGTAGGTTGTCGGCAAAGACGTTGAGGAGGAGCTCCGAGTCGGACGTGGTGTTGATGTGCCTGTGGGCGGTGGCGTCCATGAATTGGAGGAGAGACTGCGTGTTGATGAGGTTGCCGTTCTGGTCGAGGGTAAGCTGATGCGCAGCTAGCAGAAGAGTGGGCTTACATGGGCAAAAACGATGCCGTACGGCGAGTTCACATAGAACGGCTGCGCCTCTGCGTGGTGAGAGCTGCCTGCAGTCGGGTACCGCACTACACACGCAAATGACTCAGTCAGAGATCACTGCATCTGGAGAGCATCACCCACCGTGTCCAACGCCCATCCAGCCGTACAAGGTGGAAAGCGCGTGAGCATCGAAGACGTCTCTGACCATCCCGTTTGCTTTGCACTGGTAGAAACGTCCCTTGGGCCCGCAAGTGACGATGCCGCACGCATCTTGACCGCGATGCTGGAGGAGTGCCAGGCCCTCGCAGATCTCTGGTGCCGCCTCCTGGCTGGCGTCGTGGAGAATGAGTCCCATAATGCCACACACTGGGAAGATCGCTCGCATCCATGAGCATGCCGGGGGCGAGCACTTGCACTCACTTTCGGGCTCGGGTGAATGGCTGGCTGAGCAGCGAGGAAAGTCTAAAGGGCGGGGCGCGTCGCGCGGGCGTGCGAGGAGACAAACGTGCGTGAAGGCATCTCCCTCTCAGACAAGGACTCTGGCTGCTCGACTCTGCCGAATTTTTTGGCAGTCCTGGTGCACGGTCCGGCCACCGTCGGCAATGGGCGGCTCTCGTCTCCCGGACGCGTCGCGACGCGCACCCGGTGCCCGTGGTCTCCGCCCGTCTCCGCTTCGAATGTCCGGCCGCCGTGCCCTCCTGCGTGGGGGCAGAAAAATAGCAGTCGCGGCGGGTTGCAGCCCCTTTGCCAGATGCTGCGAGCAAACGGGCAACGGATAGAGCGTGCGCGCGCATGGTGTGCCAGCAAACCAAGGGGCGTGGGACGGCGCACGGAATGTTGAGGCGGTCGCTCTCGGAGGAAGCCGGTACGGGGGGTAGCGGAGCCTGAAATGAAGTTTATGTGGGCGTCGGCCTGCCTCGTCATTCCACCTCTTCATCGTCCACGTCGTCGACCATGCTCACCTCGCGCGGCGTACACCGTCTCTCCCGCAGGGCGCTGAACAGCGCAAAGAAGACCAACGCGTTCTTCTCCACCGCTGCAGTCCCTGCCATCGCGGCCCGCGTCGCCCACGCACCCTCGTCACAACGCGCGCAGGCTCGTGCTCCCCGCGCGCCAGCGCAGTCCAGTCAGTGCACATTTCTCGGCGTGTCGGGAGTCTGTTCACTCATTTCTTGAATGCTCTATCTTTTTTTTGTGGGTTTGCAGCTCGCTCATATGCCACGGAGGCAACGGGCGTCAGCGGTCATGTCAAGACCGTTATTGGCGCCGTCGTCGACGTGCAGTTCGAGACGGAGAACCTTCCCCCCATCTTGAACGCGCTTGAGGTTGTTGACTTCCACGGCGGTCGTCTCGTCCTCGAAGTCGCCGCGCACTTGGGTGAGAACTCGGTCCGTACCATTGCCATGGACGGTACCGAGGGTCTCGTCCGTGGCCAGAAAGTAGTCGACACGGGTGCGCCCATCAAGATCCCCGTCGGTACCGCGACGCTCGGCCGTATCATGAACGTCATCGGCGAGCCCATTGACGAGCGGGGTCCTATCAAGGGTGTCAAGTTGTCTCCCATTCACGCCGACCCTCCGCCGTTCGTGGATCAGTCTACGACTGCGGAAGTCCTGGAGACTGGTATCAAGGTCGTTGATCTGCTTGCGCCTTACGCTCGTGGTGGGAAGATCGGTCTTTTCGGTGGTGCTGGTGTCGGCAAGACCGTCCTGATTCAGGAGCTCATTAACAACGTCGCGAAAGCGCACGGTGGTTTCTCTATCTTCTGCGGTACGTCCGAGTTCTTCCGCACTATCCCCGATATTTTTTAATTTGATGTTTTAGGTGTCGGCGAGCGTACGCGTGAGGGTAACGACTTGTACCACGAGATGATTGAGACGGGTGTCATCAACCTTGACGGTGACTCCAAGGTCGCCCTGGTGTTCGGTCAGATGAACGAGCCGCCCGGTGCCCGTGCCCGTGTTGCGCTCACTGGTCTGACCATCGCGGAGTACTTCCGTGACGAGGAGGGCCAGGACGTGCTCCTGTTCATCGACAACATCTTCCGTTTCACCCAGGCCGGTTCGGAGGTGTCTGCTTTGCTCGGTCGTATCCCGTCTGCCGTCGGTTATCAGCCTACGCTCTCGACGGACATGGGTGGCATGTTAGTGCACCTCACAGTATTCATCCTTCTCAGTGTTGACGACCGTTGTCCACAGGCAGGAGCGTATTACCACCACCAAGAAGGGTTCCATCACGTCTGTGCAGGCCGTCTACGTGCCCGCCGATGATTTGACGGATCCTGCTCCGGCTACAACTTTCGCTCACTTGGATGCCACGACTGTGTTGTCGCGTCAGATCGCTGAGCTCGGTATCTACCCCGCCGTCGACCCCCTCGACTCAAAGTCCCGTATGCTCGACCCCCGTATCGTAAGTGCTCACCTGTGATGTCGTTGAATGATGTCTCACACGTGGGTGCTCTATAACAGGTCGGCCAGGAGCACTACGATGTCGCGACTGCCGTGCAGAAGATCCTTCAGGATTACAAGTCGCTCCAGGATATCATTGCTATCCTGGGTATGGACGAGTTGTCCGAGGAGGACAAGCTGACCGTACGTTTTCTGCCGTGCTGCCTCAGTACACGTACCTAAGGAGCGTTCTACAGGTCGAGCGTGCTCGTAAGATCCAGCGTTTCATGTCGCAGCCCTTCCAGGTCGCGCAGGTCTTCACCGGTTTCGAGGGCAAGCTCGTGTCGCTCAAGGACACCGTCCGGTCGTTCAAGGAGATCCTCTCCGGCAATCACGACTCGCTCCCGGAGTCTGCGTTCTACATGGTTGGCACGATCGAGGACGTGAAGACCAAGGCCGAGCAGCTCGCGAAGGAGATGGGCGAGTCATAATCGGTCGTGGCAGTCGACGGCGTGACGTGAGCTGTGCTATGGATGTGGCTCGGTGGACTGGAGTTGCATTTTAGTTTAGAGCTGCAGTGCCAATAAAAAGTATATCATCTTCTGCAATGTTGAGCTAACGTCATGCGCGAATATGAATACCGTCGTATGCTGCTGTGTGATTTCGGTATGGTAAGTCTCGCCGCTGGGGCTGACTACCAGCACGGCTAGCGTTCCTCACCCTGATGTGGAGACACGACTGCCAGCGAGCCGCATTCCATGTAGGCTGCCCGAATAGCGCTGCGTTCAACACGTTCCATGACTCGCGCGATATCGAACGTGCCCGGCTCGTCAGGCCTTTCGGCGGAACCGGAGCTGTTCGCGGTTAACAGGTACGCGTTCACGAGCGTGCGCGCGTACGAGGGTGGTCGGAAAATGTGGCGCAATTCAGTACATCGGGCGTGGATGAGTTGGTCGTATACGGCGTCGCGTAGGGGTTGCCGATTGGCGTGACGGGCATTGTGTCAATAGGCCGTGTAGCGGGTATGCATGTATAGTTCAAAAAAGTTCCAATGATCAGATTCATAGTCGCTACGAAGCAGTGCTCCATACAGTGGTGTGTGGCTGGAGTCTTGAAAGCTTGACTACAGGCATCCCACGTCAAATGGGTCACCAACGTCCGATGGGTCACTTCCTAATGTAGTAGTCTAGCGTCCAAATCTGCCGTTTTTGGAAAGTGATGCGCCACTGGGTGGCACCGCTGCCACTGCGTCGCAATAGCAACTCGAGCTATCCGGCCTGTATCGAGCAGCGACCTCGCATGCCTGAACATCGCGGCCAGTGTACGCGGCCCAAGTGTCTGAGTGGTACGCAGAGTATGACAAACTCGCTTTGCCACTCGGAGCGCTACTTGGTGACCCATTTGACGTGGGATGCCTGTAGTAGTACCTTGGCTCGCCGTTCATGGCCGTATCGGTGAAAATTGACGACAGCGCATACAGAGGCTCTGGGCTACGTGACAGAAAGCTCATCGATGCACTCACTACGTTACGTAGAACTTATAGCGCCGTATGTAGTACTGCGATCGACGGCGATCGGCAGGCGGTCGAAGTGGCTGACTAAGGTCCCATAAAGGGCAATTTTGATGAAGCGGTGAACAAGCGCGGCCACGCCTTGTACTCGATTGGGAGCACAAAGGCCACGGGACAAAAGGAGGGCCAAAGCAGGCGTCTCCTTTCATCGCCAGGCCCCATCTCCCGTCCCATTATCCTGGACAGCATGGTAGACATGCGCTAAGCGGCGCGCCAGGCGTATATAACACGTCCGCCTCGTCCTCCATGCCCCGAGCTCCTACCACCTCAGCCGCCGCTCGAATACCCAACGCCTCTGATTTCACGCCACTAACGACATGTCTGTATCGATAGAGATCCAGCCACACTCGGCCTCGCTGGATATGTACGGCGAGCCGGACAAGTCGTGAGTCTTCTGTGTGGTCATGTCGAGGATATGCAGCTCACGCGTAGCCTTCTGCTGCAGCACCGCGTATTCGCTTTCCGGAGACATTGTCATCTCCGTTTCGTCCCCATTCACCTTCTTCGAACGTCGCAAACCCGTCCGCATCGTACTGCAGTCTCTCACCATGGTGTTTGAGGGCCAGTGCGAACTGATCACCGAGGACACCGGCTATGTCCCGTTCCGCGTCTGCAGTCTCTCGAATGAGCTTCTCGCTGGGCAGACCATCGAATTGAGCAACGAAGGGCATGAAGAGGACGACAAGCCCTGCGTCTGGAGCGTCGCATACAACCTGGTCGCTCCTGGCTGGCTTCCGGCATCTGCAGTCTATGGTGACCACCGGGGCGAAGCCGGCACCCGCTATGCGCTCTACGCGTCGGCCAAGTTCCTCACTGTCGACGACGACGCAAATCGTTCGTGGTTCTCGGCTTGCTGTTCGTCGTTCCGCTCGCGTTCTCGTGTCGTCTCCGCGCCCAGGTGCCCCGTTACTGTGAACCGCTACATCAACGTCTCCGGGGAGAACAGTCGCCCTACCGTTGACTATAGCGTCCAGGCAGAGCCTCGGGCTGATGTAGAGCTTGCATCCAAGTTTCCTCTTCATGTTATGTCGAAACTACGCGCGGTCATCTCAGTACCAACTTACGCCGACGTTGAGGACTCGTCGTTCCCTCTTTGTATGCGTCTCCGCATGCAAGATCTCCCGGACGCAGAATGCAAACGCGTTCGCTTGACCGATTTCTCTGCTGATGTCGAGCAGTCGGAACAGTGTCGGTATGTACCCCTCGCCCTGAGTCTGAAAGGAAGCTGACTATATGCGCACAGCTCGGAGCCCTCTTCGCTGTACAAGACGCTCTTTCCCGTCCCTCCGGCCTCGGAACAGCCTCCGTGCAGACCTCTGCGCGACCCCAACGCCGCTCACGCTTACTACGACGTCGGCTTGGCAGACGTCCCTCCGTCACATCACAGCCTCACTGACACCCGGTCGCTCCTCCCCAGGGACTCCTTCGGCCAATTCGCTCTCGCCGGCGACGGCTACGTCTTCAAGGACGACGCGGCGCCCGAGAACGCATCGACGTGGTTCTCGCTCCGCACGCACATCCCCGTCGATAACACGCGCCGGAGCTCCAAGACCGGTACGCGCCGCCTTCGCGAGACGGGAATGAGCCCGCTCTTCGTCGTGAGCCATATGCTGCATGTCAAGATGACGTGCACATACGACTTGTCGGAGGGCGGGGAGGAAGAGCCAGAGCGCGCGACGGAGGTGCTGCAGTTCAGCGTCCCGCTGCGCTTCGCGCGCATCCAGCGCAACGCGCCTGAGCCGACCACGCTGGGCTACCTTTCGAGTCACGCACAAGTACCCTCGATGGATGAGCCGCAGGGTTCGTTGTTCGCGGCGCTATTCCCGATGGCGAGCCTACCGTATGCACCATCCCTCCCGGCGTACTCGCAGCTTTTCGACGCGAACGGGGACCGCAAGATCGACTATTCTGTGCCGCTTCCGGCGTACAGTCCACGTTCATCCCCGGCCGCTTCACCGACGTCTTCCGTAACGAGCCTCGACCTGCTACTTGCCCCGGGCCCAAGCTCTTCGAGCAATAACATGCTGGACTACTCGGAAGCTGCGCTTCCTGGGTACTCCAGGGCATGAAAGTTGCGCATAGTTGCCATCGGCTGCATCCTCCTCCCAACGCACCTTCGCCTGTAGAATTCGACCTTCGACCTCTCGTGCCTCTCGTTGCTCGTTCGCTCTTCTGTTGCTCTCACTGCCCCGTTTCTGCTTTCGATGCGCTAGCGCCTCTGCTTCACTCGTTCCGGTTACATCTCCATGACTCTGTAGCATCCATCCGCCTTGACATACCTGTAGCCATACTTGCCCATCGCATGACCGATATGACACTTAGCGTTCCAGTTGACTCGTTGATCTCGTGTATAAAGACCGTCATGTCATTGAATCCCTCTTAATCGTACAACGCCTGAGCCTTCCGCGTCCAGGACCTTCATCTGAGTTGTATCTTATCGAGCACCTCCCACCCTGGTACAGGACCGTTGCACTGAATGATCCATATTTCTTCACCGTCAATGCCCTCGAGCACCTCACTCGCGTCACTCGCGTTCCCTGGGTCCTCCGAGCAATCCAATGCGACGCCGTCCGCGCGCTCTAACACCCGTCCCTGACTCTTCAGCTCCTCCCTCACCCGCTCGCGTTCCTCCGCATCCGCATTGTCGATATAGTACAACGACACATGCGGGATCGGCGGGACCGCGCCCTCGCCCAGACGACCCCGGAGATGCGCACGCAGCGCCGCGAGCGCGTCCACGTCGAAGACCCTAGCGTACACCGACATGAAGTACTTCTCGCCGACGTCGACGGACTGGATCTTGGCGCGGATCGCGGGCTGGTGCGCGGGGACGGCCTCCTTGAGCCCGGACGCGGTGGGCGTGGTGGCGAGCGTGATGTGCGGGTGGAAGTCGGGGAAGGAGGAGGGCGAGTTGGGCGAGCTACGCTTGATCGCCATGACACGCTTGAGGAGGGCGGTCTGCTTGGGCGTCGGGACGAGCCACAGCGAGATCCCTGCCAGCCAGAGGTCAGGCGAAGCGAGGCTCGGTCTGGGCAAGCGGCGTACCCGTGATGCTTGTGCGCGAACAACTACAAAGGTCCTTCTTCTGCCTCTGCTCGTTGTCTTTGTGAAACCGGCTGCCGCCGGTCTCCGTTGATGCAGGTTGTTGACCTCTCAAGGCCTCGATGTTCCGTATGCAGGCTGTATTGTTCCCCTGCGAATGTCGGGGAACAATACTCTCGGGATCCCTCAAACAGTGACTGTGCTACCACGGTCAAGCACAAGATCTCATTAGAGGCCATCACGTCCCTTCTGCTGCTATCGTTTTCTTGTGTGGACAGGGTGATCATCGGTATCCACCCGACCGTGACAATCCGACATGGCAACGTATTCTACAATGCCAGTGCGCACCGACAATAGGTGCGCATTCGAAGCCGGTGGCCTACTTATGTGGTCACTCGCAAGATGCTCCCGCTCTGTTGTCTCAACATGCGTGCTAGTAGGCAAGTTGGGCAGCCATTTGCAACACGACAGACAAGCTGACCCCGCCTCACCACAGTTCTACGAGCCAGTCGAGCTGCTCACATTGGGCGAAGATCGCCAAATCCATCAAGACTACATCTAAGTCGTCATCGACCCAGAAAACTATCTTGTGAGCCGCGATCCATGCGCAGCTGGCTTCCTCTCCGAGTCAGCTCACTGTTTCCCTAGAAGCCCCATCGACACCGCACAGATGGGGTTATACATGACTGCGCATCGACTGAAAAATGACCGCACCGTCGCCCTCTACCGAGACATGGAAGATCACTACACCTCCGCCATCGCAGCCTGTGACTCCTGGCTCACAGCCCATGCAAACCAGAGTGGTTCCACCGTCAAGTTCCGTCCTCACTCGTCCGCGTGGAAGAGGCAGCGTTCGCTTGACGGCGCGCTGGCACGCCTCAGAGACGCCGGCATCACCTACGACCCGAGCAGCGGCGAACCACGCTTAGGCTCCCTCTCTGCGGGCGCGATGAGCGACGCGCACGACGCGCGGCTGCACTGGCTCGAGCTCCAGCCGGAACGGCGCACCGTCATGTACTTCGACAAGTACGAGGTGAGCGGCAGGAAGAAGACGCTCACGGACCAGCTCCTTGCGTTGAAGAAGGCGGAGGGGCTGCATCGGCGGGAGATGCGCCGGCTGTTCGCGGAACGCGTGCAGGCCGCACAGCACAGAGGGCTGAGGAATCTGCGATGCGTGGTGTGGTTCAATCGTATACCTTATGCGGTTCTTCACGATAAAGAGCAGAATGGGTCTCGGAAACGTCGACGGGCCTGGCGTCGGGTGGGCAAGACGGTCATGTGGCTGCAGAGAGGGAGGGGCCAAGTGGACCAGGGGTCACCGCCGCATAGCGCGATAGATGCATGAGTTCAAGGATGAGCGGAGGAAGAGGTAGTCCGTCATATACATTATACACTAGGATTTTGTACATACATCGCGCCGCAGTTAATCGTTGTACAACAGAGATCTGAAGCAGGAAGCACACTAATGAATACAACTTACTCGGGCGGAAAACCAATATGGAGCAGAGCCTCTATCCATGGCGATGTCATTAGAACCTATGTAGACGTGGCGCAGCATGGGATCACTCGTCCTTCACGCTGATCCACGACTCGCCCACTCCAGACCCAGCATTACTCTCCACGTCCGCCTCGGAGCCCGTCTCAGAAGCATTGTCATGTTGCTCGGGGTCAGAATCCACAGCTTGCTCCTGGGCAGGCAGCTGCGATTCGGCAGGCGGTGCAGTGGTAGGGGCAACAGACGCCGTGGGAGGGACAGGCGGAGTGTAGGTAGACTGAGGCAGAATGACATGTGGCTGAATGGGAAGCAGCGCGTTCCGGATCGAGATGAGGAAGTGCGGGATGTTTAGGATGGTATCCAGGAGCACGCCGGGGAGGTACGATGCCAAGGCGTAGGTCCTCGCTGTTCCTGTGGATCAGTAAGAGCACAAAAGAGAACCGGTAAAGATGCTTACCACCAGCACCGACAACGACCCTGTCGCCGCGAATGAAGTCACGAATGCGGGCCATGCTCAAGTGGACCATAGCGTTGATCGCGGACTTGCCGCTCTTCCTTCCACCGCCCACGACATCTACGATAGTGTTCACAAACACCGAGACGTCCGTCGGCTTCCTGTGCACACTGTAGTGCATACCCTCCTCGACAACAGCCTCGAACGCCGTCCCATACGCAACCTTCTCGCTAGGCGTCCACTCCTGCACACTCTTACGGACATCTTGGACCGGCTCGCTGGCAGGAGCGACGCCGATTGCTCCCACATCGACAACGACAACTTTGATGTTCTTCATGCTAGCGCTCGCGTCCGTCAGCGCGGCCATCTTGACCTCCCTCCGGAGCACTTCCATCGCACGGAGCGTCGCCGCGGCGCTCATCGCCTGCGCGCCCGCGAACGGAAGCCCGACCCGCGCGTCGATCGCAGGCAGGCACACGACGATGCTCTTCTTGCCGAGGTTGTTCGCGAAGGCATCGCGTGCGCGTGCAGGGTTCGCCCGGAGGAGGGGCAGCAGCGCCTGGATGATCTGCAGCGGCGTGATGTGCGTCGCGGTCAGGTAGGTGGAATACGCGTCTTGCAGGGAGAGGTGTTCCAGGGGTGCTGGGGGAGGGGCGACGGAGGGGGAAGGGAGTGTGAGGAGAGAGATGACGGAGTGAACGTGCAGGTGGTGGGAAGGCGAGGCGTGTGGGTCGCCGGCGGCGGTGATGGGGAAGCGGCGCGAGAGCGTCGACGAGAGGGAGCGGAGAAAGTAGGGGATCGTTTCGGGCTACGCGAGTGCAGTGTAAGACAATGGAATCGACGGTTACTGAGTACGCACCTCGGATGGATCAAGCACCAGTGCGCGCACATACCCATGGCAGTTCCGTTCAATATCCGCGACAGCCTCGGGAGTCGATACGCTAGTAATGACAACAAAACCCTTCTTCTCGAGCTCGAGGATGAGAGGCAGTCCCGAAGGAGAGTCTCCACCGAGGACCACTGCGATGGGATATCAGCATAATGGCATGCATGTCGCGCCTCGTGTACTCACCGACGACTTGTCTACGGTCCGAGCTCGCGGACGCCCTCACCCTCACTGTTGTCGAGCCGGCGTGGTAGTAGCCATAGCCGACTAGCAAACCTGCACCGACTGCTCCGAACGTGATCCCAGCTGTAGTCCAAGGGTGATCTGCAACCCAGTGCGCTGTGTGCCGAAGGAACGACTGCGACGGCGGGGGTGGTGGAGGCGGCGGAGGCGGCGGGACCTCGAACGCACCAAGTCCAGGGATGTGGAGATCAGGAAGAGGCGGGAGCGACTGAGGGCCGAAGCGCGAGACGTCCTCCCACAGACGATGGATCGCTTCGTTGACCCGGGGAAGATCAGGAGTCGCCGCTTGCAGAGAAGAGAAGAGCAGCTCTTCGATCGACTGCATGTAGTCCTCAATCTGCTCTACGGTCGGGAGTAGACCTGGCATGTTGGCGAGGGCGACGAGGAGGAGGAGGGATGGCAGGCAGCGGAGAGCAGCACTCGCGAGGCTCCCGCTCCGCCCACGCAAGCGCGCTGCAGCCACCGGCCTCGACGCGTCGAGCCACCGGTGCGTCTATTGCCTTATTTGGTAGCAAATTCTACTGAACGCCCGTCAAAGCCGCGCAGGCCCCTCTCCGCTTCCACAGCGTAACATCGCATTCCTCTGCACCCTCTGAGCGAGCTCATTCAAAAGATCATGCAAAAGCGACGCCAGCAGGATTCGAACCTGCGCCCTCAAAGAGGAACAGATGGATGGATTTCTGGGCCCTTTGCAGGATAAACCAGAGCTGATTCTAATCTGTCGCCGTAACCACTTGGCTATGGCGCCTTACCGGTATGTCCTCTCTGTATTTCAAGTTCCTGGTCAAGAAATCTAAGATCCGAAGAGGCCGCTTCATCGATTGTGAGTGAAGCGAACGTAATCTACTTTGTGGACATGATCTTCGGGGGTGGCCGGTGGCCACTACAGTTCGTGCGGATAACCACTACAGCTGTACCACGTAAGTAGTAGTAAGTACAGCATGCACATGGCTTTAAAACTTCATCTCAACAACCACCTGACTGTCATTCACGCCGGCTTGTGGGTCCCACTGACTAGCCGATTTCTGCGTCACTGTCATAAGTACTCAAACATTGGACCTAACTCACCATCAAGCACATTGTGGTTACTTGACTAGTCGTCTCAGCGATGATAATAAGACAAACGACATTAACCGTCACGTATTGAGATCATGAATAAGGGCTCCACTATGTTTCTACATGAGGGCCAGTTACTGCTACGGGAAAGCAGCCTAGTGCAATACATGGTGCATGGCGACTGGGTGGTATCATGGAATTCGAAGGTTAAGCAGCGCGAAACAAGTCCCTTAGATCAGTCGCAATTATTCCAGGGATTGCGCACGTTCACACCGCCACAGTGACATCGATCAGTGGGCAAGAGGCGGACATGCGGGAGGGTGGATATAGAGTGGACGTGTGCAGAGCGTGGACGGTGGGCTGAGGGTGGGTTGCAGTGCAGGGGACGTGGGACGAAGCGAGAAGGCCAATCAGGATCAAATCTGGCCGGTCGCAACCGATTTGGCCTCATAAGCCCCAACAACTCGGCGCCTATCCTCGAGTAAGACCGCGCAGCGACCGTCACCCTCCCATCGTCGTCCCCGTCGTCGCCCCCGCCGAGCTCGCATCCCCGCTCATCGTCGCCCGCAGCGTCCAAGGTATGTCTTCCGCACCCAGCGCAGTGTCTCCTCCCCTCCCACGTTCCCCTCACCACCCCCGCTGCCTTCCCTTCAGAGCCTCCATCGCCCGACCTCCTGTCCCAAGCTCCTCCCCGTGCCCCTCCCCCACAAGCCTCCCCACCGCCGTGTGCGGCCGCTGAAAGACACTGAATCCACCTTCACCATGCCAGAAGCTGACAACACCCGCAAGCGCTCCCGTTCGCCCTCCGATGCCCTCAACGACCAGCAGAAGCAGTACAAGCGTGCCAACACAGGCGCTCCCTCATCCTTCGATGACTCACACCTCGTCCATGGCTCTGCCCGCGCCGCCGCCCTCTCGACTGACGTCGACATGAAGCACGTCCCCGCCGACACCACGGCGTCCACGCCCTCGCCCACCCAGCCATCCGACAAGGCCACCTCCGACATGGCCTCTGGAGATGCCAAGCGCGAGGACAGCAGCTCCGCAACCACATCTGCGGCCCCAGCAACTCGTCTGCGCCGAACGCGCCACCTGCTGCCAACATCCACATGCGCTGCCTGATCGTTACCCAGGACGCCTCCATCATCATTGGCAAGGCCGGCACGCACGTGAACGAGATCCGGGATAAGAGCGGGGCAAGGGTCATGGTCTCGGAGAGCATCCCAGGCAACCCAGAGCGCATTCTGAACGTCAGTGGCCCGCTGGATGCAGTGTCCAAGGTGGGTCCTTTCGTCAACGCCCGCGGGCATTTGTCTGACTGAAGCGCGTCCAGGCGTTCGGATTAATCGTCCGGAGAATCAACGACGAGCCATTTGACAAGGCCTCTGTCCCCGGCAGCCGGGCGGTCACTATCAAGTTCATGATCCCCAACTCACGTATGGGTTCGGTTATTGGCAAGGGCGGAACGAAGATCAAGGAGATCCAGGATGCAAGTGGGGCCCGTCTCAATGCAAGCGAGGGCATGTTGCCCGGTTCAACAGAGGTACGCTTTGCTACGGCGCGCAACAACGAACGTAGACTAACGCGTGCACTTAGCGGGTACTCAGCGTGTCAGGCGTCGCCGACGCCATCCACATCGCGACCTACTACATCGGCAACATCCTCATTGAAGCGAACGAGCGCATGCCGTCCTACAACAACTCGTCTTACAGGCCGTCGAGCTACTCGCGGCGGCCCCCGTCGTATCAGGGCTCGTCATACGTGCCGGGCTACTCGAACCCGTACGCGGGCGGCTCGCACAGCGCCGCCCCGCAGCAGCTCCAGACCCAGCAGATCTACATTCCCAACGACCTTGTCGGGTGTATCATCGGCAAGGGCGGCGCGAAGATCAACGAAATCAGGCATATGAGCGCGAGCCAGATCAAGATTATGGAACCTGGCGCGGTGGGCGTTGGCATGAACGGCGCGCCGGCGCCCGCTGGCGGAGAGGGCGAGCGGTTGGTTGTCATTACTGGCCAGCCGACTAACATTCAGATGGCGGTGCAATTGCTATACCACGTATGTGTTCACTGGATGTATGCGTGTTGCAGCATTGACTTACTGTTTGGGACAGCGACTCGAGCAAGAGAAGCAAAAACAACTCCGAGCTCAGCAATCGCCTGCCTAGAGTGTCCGTGCTAGCAATCATCGTCTTCAGCTGAAGCGCAATGCGGCCCACCCAGGGCCGGCTCCGTTCGATTTTCGCCTCTTGATCTTTAATTGCTCGCAGGCCCTTGTATGTGCAGATTCTTCGCGTCGGGTCTGTGTATGCGTGCCCCGATCCTACTTAGTGCCGAACTATGACTGTCGAGAATCGTGTGTCGTGTCGTGTGTCGTGTGTCGATCGTCTCGTTTCGTGCTGCTGCTCTGTTGTGTTCTCATGCTGCTCACCCCTTCCGTCTCGTCGTATGTCTCCTCCCTGGTGGTTCTCCATGTGAATAGGTACTATAACATCGCGATCAATGTCGAATGCATGGGTTGACATGAGACGCATCGGTCCCGCTCATCTGATCGAACATGATCTCCCTAAATATGTGCAATAAGTAACGTATGCAGAACTGTCAGGGCTGGGCGCCGAGGGGTGTGGGTATAATGTTAGTGTGTCGCGAGATTGACAGCAATGTACGATCGTGAGGATGACGGCCTCAGATTAATTCCAGGGAATCATCGCCCCCGAAGAACACATCTTGGATGCCAGCCTCCATGGCCAGATGTTTCTTCTTAAGGCTATGATGCTACACACGACCGAGCCCAGTCAGTCAGACCGTTCAGTAGCCGTGCCGATATACGAAGCGCACCTTCTTCCTGTATTTCGACGCCTGTGTCTGCCACTTCTTTGCATCCGCGTTGAGCTCCGTGATGGCGACCCTGCTCTGCTCGACCTTCGCGCGTTCGACATTCAGCAGCGCTGTCGATTCTTGCAGCTCCTCCTGCAGGTCGTCGATGCGCTCGGCCCACTCCCTGCGAAGGGTGGCGAGCTCTGTCGCCGCGGCCTCGCGCTCGATGTCGCGTGCGCGCTGGAGCTCATGGACGCGCTCGGTGAGACGGCGCGCCATGGTCTGGAGGGTGTCACGTTGGGATTCGAGGCCAGAGAGACGTGGGGTGTCTGCGGCTCTCTGTCCGCGATCTCAGAGGATGTGCAGCGAGGGATCGGGTTGGACGACGTACTGAGCGGATGTCTTCAAGGAGCCCCATGATGTTCGATAGTAGATTCTATATGCGGGTTAATGAGTACGGATTACACAGGATAGGCGTACTAGTGCGCACCCGTATATCCGGAGCCTCAGTGTCCTCCAACGCGGCTACGAGGTCATCCGTCCTGAGCAAGGTCAATTGAGAACCGCCACAGACATACGGGCATACCTCTCCAGGGCAGACCGCAATGCAGGCGAGTCCAGCACATCCTCGCTCTCCAAGACATCATAGCACCCGTGCAGTGCGTCCACCGCCGTACTTGCCGCTCTCTCATTGTCCATCCGCCGCCCCGATCCCTGCGCGCGTGGCGATGGCGGCCGCCCGGCTCGCGTTCGTAGTCGGGGTAGAGCTTGATGAGCGCGTCGAGCTCGTACGGGCCGTGCGCATATCGCACACACATCGCCGTTCGCGAACTGGTAGGTGGCGCACTCGGCGCAATAGAGGTGGCCGCAGAGGGTGGTCATGGGCGTATTCGCCTCGTCGAGGTTGTCCTGGCAATACTGCAGCGCGCGTGCATGGCTGCGGGAAAGGAGGGGGGAGGGGAACGAGGAGAGGGACAGTAAGGATGGAGGGGGCCTCACGGTGCAAGGTGTGGCATTAATCGAGTACAGCGTGCCAGGCGGTGGCTGATGCGGCGAAGCAAAGCTTCTCCTGTTAGACGCGCGGAACGCGACGCGCCTGAGAGCGGTCATGTGCCTCCTCCTCCGCGTCGACTGACACTGGACCGTCAGTGTCTCAACAGATGGCCCGTCAATGTAAAATGATGGGATTTGGCCCCCTAACGTCGGTTGCAAGACTTTTTGACGAGCAGGCTGTTGCATGGTACAGGTGATGTACAGTGGCCTGTTAAATTGTATCCCGAGTTGCAACTATCAGACTGGGCGGCCCACTACTACTAGTAGCCTACACAGGGTACCTACTATGTATGGCACTCGAGCCCGGGTGCAGTCCTTACAAGATGCGGCTCGCAGCTACAAACACAGACATGACAATCAAGGCTGAACAGCTCGCGAACGAGGGGAGTTATCAGTGGTTGGGTTTCAGTGGTGGCGGACGACGACCCGACGAGAACTGCGCTTGGACGCGCCGATTAATGCCACTGGAGTCGCTCTTGGGCACAGAGCTGCAGGTCAGCAGTATATCCTCTTCGCGCCTTCGAGCAAAATCCATGTTATGTTTGAATGCGAGCGAAATCTCACGCTGCAATGATACGATCTGATCTGTGATGTCAGCGTGGATGCGGCTGGACAGACACAAACCTTACACGCCGCTAGTTGCACCGCGTGCAGTCCTGGATGAGGACAAACGACCAGCACAGCTCACTTGTTTAGCCTCTACATAAGCACCTCCGATTTGATACTGGCATGATGAAACAGACGAGTGCATGGCAGAACACCGCCAAAGCGGCGTACGTACTCTGCACCAACCCTTCCCAGGCGCTGTCTTGTGTCTTAGAGCTGGCGTGTCCAAGAGTGCTGTATCAAACCATGTCACATGGGTTCACTGTTACATAGAGACTCGCAGTTCGTTCGTTGACCCCCCTGTAGCAGTCAATGAATGTTCGCTCCGCTCGCAACAATTTCGAGAGACTCGTCCGAGTCGGAGTGTCCCCTCGATGCCGTGATCTGCGCTTTCAGTGCGTAAAACTGGGCTCGATGTTAGTGCCCATCGTCAATTCGCACGCCACTCAGGTTACTACCTTCTTCTTGTACTTCGTAGCATCTCTGCGCCAGAGTTTCATCTCCTCATTGACCTCGCAATGATCTCCTGGCACTCTTGCAGCTCATCCTTCACGGATCCTAGATCGTTTTTGAGCCTCGCGACCCTTTCCCGCATCTCGGAGTTCTTGGTTTGGACCTCCGCACGTTCCCTATCCAACTGAGCCTGTATCGTCCTTCGTTCGCGGTGTCGTTGTCGAGATTGCTCTTTGTAGTTGTTGCGGAGGGTGGCATTGTCTCGTTCACACCGCCGCACTTCCCTTTCAACCCGCGCGATGCGTTCCGATTTATCCACCCTCTGTTATCGCCGTCTCCGATGAGTTGCACAAATGGGTGCAATTATAGGTCGCAGTACTTACTGAGCAAGCTACTTGCAGTGTCTTCCTGAGGGTCTTCATGGTCTTCTAAAGCAATCTCGTTCATAACTTTGCCCTAGGCTATCGTAGGGAAGGACGTACTCTGAGTCGCACTTCCACACGCGGCTCGTGCTCAAGGATGCTGCCCACCTCGAGATCCTCCGCTCTAGCTACATATAAGGCAGCATTCACGACGGTAAAAAGATACTTACCTTTCTATCATGTCATTGACAATGGTACGATCGCCCCAAGCCTCCTCGTCCCCGGAACTTTCCTCCGTTTCGCGGCGCCAGTCTGCTCTGCACGCGAGGCTTGTGGCTTCTCGTAATCGGGGTATAACCTAACCAGCTGATGCAGTGAATGTGGTTTCCTGCATATTGCGCACGTCGCGCCCGGAAGTGCGAAGTTGAAAGTGGCACAGTCCATACAGTAGAGATGCCCGCAGCGAGTGGCGACAGGGGTGTTCTCCTCATTGAGTGGGTCGAAACAGATAGTGCATCTAGCGTTCATGATAGCGCAGAGTACAGTCGGATGAGGAGATGGGTATGCGATGGTAGGTCGAGAAGAAGAACGTGGGCGCCGCAAGGCAGGACGCGCCACTCAGCGCGACGCGACGCGACGAACGCAGTCACATGTGTGGCAAAAATACCTGAGGCGCCCATGCAAGCGCCCAATGCCACTGCTTCTTGATCCCTTCGCAGAATTGTTACATCGCTTCAGCTGCGCTCCTTTGCCTTGTCAGTGTCCCCGTAACGACTATCTCTCATGGCTTCGCTTCTGAAAACACAAAAGGCAAATGCTGCCAAGGTCGATGCAAAGGGGAAGGGGAAACGAAAGGCGGAGGAGTTCGTGGACGCAGACGAGGAGATCCAGGCTCCCGCGCCGAAGAAGATGAAGAACAAGCAACGGGTCCTGCTGCTGTCCTCGCGGGGCATAACACACCGCATGCGGCATCTCATGAACGACATTGAAACCCTCCTGCCGCACGTCAAGAAAGGTACGTTTCACAACCTCACTACAGAGCGCCCCGCACTGACACTCCTCGCAGACTCAAAACTTGACTCTAAGAACCACCTGCAGCTCCTTCCCGAACTTGCAGACCTCAACAACTGCAACAACACGCTCTACTTCGAGGCGCGCCGGCACGAGGACCTCTACCTCTGGGCAGCGAAGACACCGAACGGGCCGAGCATCAAAATGCACGTCCAGAACGTGCACACAATGGACGAGCTAAAGATGACGGGCAACTGCTTGAAGGGGAGCAGGGGTATCGTCAGCTTTGACAAAGCGTTTGATGAGAGCGAGTGGGGGAGGTTGACGAAGGAGGTGTTCACGCATGTGAGTGTTCGCCCAAGTGCTTGTTTCGCAGGAAGGGGGTTCTGACTTTGCGGCGCCCCTACAGATTTTCGGCGTGCCTCCACAAGCGCGGAAAGCAAAACCGTTCATTGACCATATCCTGACCTTCTCCATGCTCGACGACAAGATCTGGTTCCGTAATTTCCAGGTGTGTACTACAACTCCGCAAACAGGTCACTCTGACCGCCCACAGATCATCGAGAAAGACCCGCTACAACCTAACGGCCCTCCTCAAATGTCAATGATCGAGATCGGCCCCCGCTTCGTGCTCACGCCCATCCGGATATTCGAGGGCGCGTTCGGCGGAGCAACGGTATATTCCAATCCAGGTCCGTCCCACAAGTTGTCTTGTCTCCAATGTAGATTTAACGTGCTTGCAGAATTCATCTCACCGTCTGCCGTGCGATCCGCACTCAAGCGGGAGAAGGGCGACAAGTATGGCAAGCGGAAGACGGCAGAGGTCGAAAGGACGGAGAGGAAGGAGATGCGGAAGCGGGAGGAGGACGAGCTTGCTGTATCAAAGGTCTTTGCATAGGAGTGTGCTTTCCATCTGTTTTCCTTTGCTTCGACGTTACCACTGCATCTCGCTGGAGGGATCATTGGACCATCCTTATCCGTACGCCGAGTCCTCTATGCTTCAGCGGCGTCCTCCGGAACACAGCACATTTGAGTGGGATCACCAGCAGCTGCAGTGCTGCTGCCCTCGAGGCAAGGCGGAATTATTCCCAGGAGCCGTTCGAACGTCCTCTCTTGACTTCACTGCGTTTGGCTTTGTCAAGTCTGCGTTTAGCTTTCTCCACCCGCTGGAAGCCGCGTACGCGCTCTTTCTGTTCTTCGGATGCTTCGTTGACGATCGACGCAGTTGCGGCATCGACGATGAGAGTACGGAGCTGTTGGGCAATGGTTAGGTTCTATGAAGCTACGAACGAAGACGGTGGGACGTACCTTGGTCAGGCAGTCCTGTACGTTTTGTGCCTGAGAGCGGTAGACAGTCGACGTTATTTGGATGCACTGCGCAGACGATACGTAGGAAGGCTTCACAGTTCATCGCGCTAGTCAGGCACTGTCGTACGGTCGAGAGAGCCCTCAGAACATACGGTCTGCTTGATGTAGTCTCGAGCCCACATAGGTATCCAGGACGTTGATAGAGGACATCGTAGGGTGGCCTTGGTATTCACTTTGTTGACATTCTAAATCACATTGTGGCAAATTCAATGCTCCAGTAGACATTTCAATCCCCCAGACTCACCTGTCCGCCTGGTCCAGAACTACGAGAGAAGGAGAACTCGACCAAGCTCTTCGGAAGCTCCTGCGCCTTGAATTTGGCAATCCATGCTCGCGCTTGTGCACTGTCGGAGGCGTTCTCGAGCTTTTCGAGCTGTGGTGGAGTGGGCACAGCTCCGGAATGTGCTCGTCTTTGTACCAGGACTAAGACAGACTTGGAGAGCCATGATTGGCGGTACGACGCGAAGAAGGACGCCCACCCGGTGTTGAGACGCGCCATACGGATCGCAGGACGGAGGTCATGCTCAACAAGTCCGCAGGCGGCACAAAAGAGGCATATGTTGTGGATTGTCTGAGTCGACTGGCAGTGGTTGGTACTCGCAGCGATATTTAATCGGGAGACGGTCGAGCCCTCGGTGGTCCCGCGAACGCGTCGAGGCTGCACGTGCGCGTCAAGTCGCGTCCTCCGCGCGTTCTGACCACTGTGGAACCTTGTCCTCCCCGTCCACCTCCCCGCTCCGTCCTTGACAAAACCTCTCTGTTATGAGAACCATCCGTCCTCCGTCCCCCTCTCCCTCCGCCGACGAACTTGGTATGTACCTTCAATTACCCCATGCGCGTCCGAGAACTTCTGAATATGGATGAAAGCCCCTTCGATCACCAGACACCTACAACCCTACCACCCCAGCCCGCCCCGTACTCGCCACAAAGCCAACAGGGCGTCCACGTGGAGGCAGTAAATCCGCTGCAGGACCATCTTCCAGACCCAGCACCATCAAGAACGCGCCGAAACGGACGAACGGGACAGCCAAAGGGAAGCAGCCGGAGCAGATCGTCATAGACTCGTCCGAGGACGAACTTCAACCAAGTGCAGCTGAAGACGTTGAAGTTGTGGCGGTACACCCTCCAAGGGCTACAGCCAAGAAGGCCGCAGGACGCGCTTCTGACACCTCTGCGACGAACAAAGCGAAGTCTACCTTGGCGAAAGGCAAGGCGCGGGCTGAAGTGCAACCTCCACTGAGATTAAACCCTGACGCGGCGCATGAAGATGACGCCATGGACGTGGATGGTGCTCACAGCCCCGACGAGAACGGGGACGAGCCGTCTAGAAAGCGTGTGCGGAGCGGGCCACCAGCAAAGGCGGCTAGGGCTGCTGCAGGACCCAATCGGTCGACGAAGGAGCAGGAGGCCGTGACAAGGGAGAAGGCAAAGTTAGCGCAGGACAATGAGGATCTTCGTAAAGAGATCGACACCGTAAATACTGCCCGTCTTTGTGAACATTGGACAAAATATTGATGCACATCAACCATAGCTCAAGTATGAGAGGGATCAGTACTCGAAGCAGCTCGAGGAGGCACTACAGATACGACACACTGAGCCTGAGCAGGCGTTGCAAGAACAATTGGCGTTGTACGAGAACATGTTGAAAAGTGAGTACAGGACACAATGCCAGCGAGCCTGAAGGTCAACGACAACGCGTCAGACCAGCAGATGTGGCAGAACCTGTCAAATGCTGCCTCTTCTTCTACGAAGTCCCAGATACCTCATTTTCTATCGCGTGATGCTGCCGATGCTGAGAAAGAGACGACGGAGAAGGAGGTTCGAAGGCTGAAGGATGTGATCAGACAAAAGGATGCCCAGCTCGGGGACAAAGACAAACGAATATCAGACCTGGAGAGGGAATGTGCGTTAAGCAAAGTCATCTCCCTGTGTCACTGAGCTCACGCGACACAAGTCACGGAGTTACGGTTCGAGCTCAATCAAGAAATCGAGAGGGGCAAGACACTAGCTGCTCGGTCGCAGACAGCTGCACCTGTGCGCTCAGCCGTCAAGTCAGATGGGGACCCCAGGAACGCGGCGGTCATCAAGCTCTATGAGGATATGACCAACCTCCTGATCATTTCGGCGAAAGTCGAGAAGAGCCAGTTCCTCGGCCTTGACGAGAACAACTTCACCTGCGTCTATACCCATACTCAGAGTGACAGTGGCTCAAACGAGGAGAACGCCAGTAAGTGCAAGACACGTCCTACCCTCATTCCTTATCGTGTCTAACAACTGGCACTCGTAGGCTTGAGCTTCACTCTGCACGAACAGTACGGTCATCCGGACGGCAGTGATGCGAGCAAGCCCGTACAGTCGAAGAAGGAACTCATCCGGAAGTGCAAGTATGCGCCGCAAACGCTGCCCGGCGAGGAGCCCGAGTTTTTCCAGCGGCTCGATTACTTCAGAGAGCCGTTCCTCTTCTCCTGGGACCAGCTCACCGTATTCCTCAAGACACTTACGGAAAAGATGGCTGAAGCGGTCAATCCGGAGGGCGACGAGGACGAGGACGATGAACTGAAGGAAGACGAGGGAGCAAGGGTGTAGACAGGGAGGTGATTCTTATTGATTAACGAATGATCATACCTCCGAACTCTCTATGTGTAAGTTAAATGCCGCTCTGCAGGAAGGAGAATGTGGATGTATAATTCGCACCTACTTTATTGATCGGGTTATCTGCTGTACTGTTGTATACAATTTTAGGATGTGTGCTAAGGATTAGCGCTATAAGCCCCTGCCTTTGTCCACACCCGCAGGCCACGGTCGTCCGGTGCTAACCTCGCCTTCTGTACAGCGAGCCCAGCGAAACCACCTTCGACATCAGACCCACTCAGGAGCCCACCAACCTTCACCACACCTCCACCACCTGCTCGTGCCCCTGCCTCGCCGCATAGTACAATGGCGTATGCCCGAGGCTATCGCGTAGATGAACCAGTGCCCCCGCCTCCAGCAGTACATTACCGCATCCACACTCCCATTGAGCGCAGCGGAGTGCAACGGCGACCGCCTGCTCGCCGGTTCAACGCAATTGACGAGCCCCCCGCCGATTGCGATGTTCCTCCGCGTCTGGCTGGGGAACTCGGAGCCGGGGCTCGTCGCGTTGTCAGTGTTCAGCTCCGCCTCCGCCTTCAAGCAGAACTGGATTGCCTCGACGTCGTTTCGGGCAGCAGCGAGATGAATAAGGAATGGGTAGAGTACGCTCTCCGTCGACGCGGCCTCCGCTGCTGTCCAGGACCACGGCGCCGCGGCCTCCAGGTTGCTCTCAGCGCTCGTGTCTTCTGATGATACGACGACTTTGGGACCGTGGGTCTGGCCGGAGGAGAGCCGGACTACCTGCGAGAGCACCCCTGAGATGCTCTCGAGGTTGCTGTCGATGCCCTTGGCTCGCTGATCGCGGCGGGATGACGCTCACGGGGCGTGTGAGCTCACCGCGAAGGGGCGTGCCGACCAGGGCGCGGACCTCGGAGAAGGAGAGCTCCGGCTTGGACAGGAGGTAGCTCAGTTTCGTCAGGGCGCACTATGCACAGCATCGTCAGCCATCGCACCAAGCACGCAGGAAGGTGGCCATGGTATGGAGGTGGCCGGGAACGGGAACTGACCTCGGGCGTCATGTCCCCGCCGCTCACCACGCCCGCGGACAACAGGCTCCGTCCGGTCTCGTACGCGTCGGACACGGACCCCTTCGCGCATTGAGAAATCGATACGATCACGACTCCGCGGTCGCAGGCCTCCTTGAGCGCGCCGACGAGGTCGGACCGCTGTGGGGCGTTGCCCGCACCGTACGTCTCGAGGACAACACCCTGTGTCTCGGGCGCTAGGAAAGCGCGGACGGTGGCTGCTGTGATGCCTGGAAAGAGGCGCAGGGTGGCTGTAATGCAGTGAGCTGTGCTGTTGAGATTCGGAGATGCCTACTTACCGACGTGCGGGCTCATCTCTGCGGTGCTATCATTGTCAGCGTCGTTGACGAACACGGAGTATTAGAGGAACAGACCTTTGTGCGACCTGAAGCGTCTGAGACTGGTCTGCCTCATTACATCATTCCAATTGACGACGATGTCGATGCCCACTGTGGTTGTGTGGTGAGACATTGTACATGTATGATCGATCGAGACGCACCATTTACGAGCGGAGGGAAGTTGGGGCTTGCGAAGGCGTTCAGATCATAGGATGAAATCTTTGACACTCTGTTGCCACGGTATAGCGTATGATTGAAGAACAGACAGCATTCTGATTGCTCAGGTCAATCAGGTAGACGAGAGATAGTGGCCGTGGCAATGTACCCGGGATGATGTAGTGGCCAGCGAGCACTAATGCCCCGAGGAGGTTGTCCACAGCGTCGTTGCGAAGTTGAGACAAAGGGATCTGGGCACCTGTTACAATCTTTGAACGGTCATCATACTGCGAATACTCATGAGCTACGACTCGGACTCATACCACTGTCTTTCCGAGGTCTTCCAACAGAAAGCTCAGAGCTGATGACGTGTAAGACATGGTGTCTGTTCCATGCAGGATGACGAAAGCGTCAAAAGCTGCGTAGTTGAGTTCAATTTCGGTCGCAATCCGAATCCAATCTATGCTGTCCCGGTGGTCTCAGGCGAGTGTGGAAGTCAAGCCCATAGATTGCCTTGCCTGTGATCTCTATGTTGCTGCTATCCAACAGAGGGTCCCACTGTATGATAGGTAGCATAGTATGATTATCGCACCATATCTCGTAATACGTTTACGCGCCTCAAGGACAGCATAGCGGACGCGCTTCTGTATGCCGCCAGGCGCGGTGCTTCGCGGGGTAATCATGCTGGGGAGTTGCGCCTCATACAGATCGTCGGCTATCTTGTTGCACAATGGAGGCTTGGGCTGGCTCGTGTCGGATCCGGTGGCAGCTAAGTTTGCTGTGACATGAGACATTCCTATAGGCCGCGTAGATCGCACGAGCAGCGTTGGGTGATGCTGATTTGTGTGGCCGGCAGAAAATGAACCTGCGGCTTTTTGGGCGGGGCTAGCTCTTCCACTATTGCTCGTCCACTCTCGATAGCCTTCGACCGAAGACGAATGCGAGAACAAGGACTCTTCAAGCGGATCGTGAAAGCGGTTTTGCGTGCGAAGCGACTCGGTGAGGAAGTATGGCTCGGGAACATAGCCACGCTGACCCAGGATCATGTTGATTGTGCCTCCTGTGTTGAGAATGAGGACCTTGACTCGTCGGTGGCCTGCAGGACCTCCATGCTGGACACGGCTGATGCGGTTTTAGGCATTGAAGTGAGGCGAGACGTTGGCGAGGCGCGTTCGAGAGAGGCGTGGCGAGGTGGCGTGCGTGATCGCGGAGAGTGAGATTGGATCGGGGGATAAGATTAGATGGCCTCCAGATCTGACTGGACCCTTCTCCTGACTCGAGGTTGCCTCTCACCGTCTATAAAAGCTGCCAGGCCCGTGTGCAGCATCCCATTCACACCACAGACCACAGGAAAACATGGAGGCTATTCAGAAAGTATTTGAGGCTAAAAACCAGGCCGTAAGCACCAGTCATTCATACATCGCTTGGGTCCTGAAGTCATCCGACTCTTCTGGCAGACCAGCCCTGCGCTGGTGACCTTCACCACAGCGGGTTACCCCACACCAGAGGACACCGTGTCTATCTTGCTGCCATGCAAGAGGGCGGCGCAGACGTCATTGAGCTGGGTGTGCCCTTCTCGACCCGTCGCAGATGGACCGGCTATCCAGGAGACGAACGTCGTACGTTCGCATTCTCTTCTATGTTAGTATGACGCTGAGAGCACGTGCATAGATCGCACTACAACAGGATGTACAATACCCCCATTGTTGGGTATTGTCAGGAGGCACGGAACAAGGGTCTCACTGCGCCTGTACTGCTCATGGGTGAGTCTATATGATGTCCCAGACCGGATGCCCGAGTAACGAGAGTTTTCAGGCTACTACAATCCACTGCTTGCGTACGGGGAGGACAAGGCAATCCAGGATGCAGCTGAAGCAGGAGCCAACGGCTTCATCGTTGTCGATCTGCCGCCTGAGGAGGCTATCACGTTCCGCGAGAAATGTATCAGGGCCAAGTGCGCACGTCGAACAACGTAATCGGTGATCACTCTGACCGCAGACCTAGGCTGTCGTTCGTTCCCCTCATTGCACCATCGACTTCAGAGCGTCGTATCGAGTTCCTTGCGTCTATCGCGGACTCATTCATCTATGTTGTTTCGAAAGTACGTTCTTGTCGTGCGACTGTACACACCCTTCTTACAACTTCTCCAGATGGGTACAACCGGATCCTCAGTAACAGGGACAATGAACACCGCTCTTCCCGACCTCATCTCCCGCGTGCGCGAATACACCGATGTCCCTCTCGCCGTCGGTTTCGGCGTCGCGACGCGTGAACACTTCGACCTCGTTGCCGATGCAGGCGCAGACGGCGTCGTTATTGGCAGCCGCATCGTCAGTGTCATCAAGAACGCACCGCAGGGCGAGGCAGCGAAGACCATCGAGGCGTACTGCCGCGAGATTAGTTTGAAGGGCCAGCCACCACGGCGACCGAACCTCAACGCGGCGCGCAGCTCCGCCTCGCGCGTCAGCAAGGCGAGCAAGGTCACTGAGGAGATCAAGAAGTCAGGTCTGTCACCGCGGTTCGGCCAGTTCGGTGGCCAGTACGTGCCGGAATCGTTGTGGGACTGCTTGGTCGAACTCGAAGATGTGCACCAGAGCGCGATGAAGGACCCGGAATTCTGGAAGGAGTTTGAGAGCCTGTATGGCTACATGAACCGACCGTCGAACTTGTACAAGGCGGAGCAGCTCACGAGCCAAGCGGGTGGCGCAACCATCTGGCTGAAGCGGGAGGATCTGTGAGTGTTCGTTCATGGATTTGTCTACGTCTATACTAAGACGTTTTGACGCGCTCAGCAACCACACAGGCTCACATAAGATCAACAACGCCATTGGCCAGGTAGGTGGCTGCCAGACAGATTTACGTCGTCTTTCTGACGCCTTGCTAGATTCTCTTGGCAAAGCGGTTGGGCAAGAAGCGAATCGTGGCCGAGACCGGTGCAGGACAGCACGGTGTAGCAACAGCTACCGTCTGTGCTCGATTCGGGATGGAGTGTGTCATCTACATGGGTGCAGAGGACGTCAGACGGCAAGCACTGAACGTTTTCCGCATTCGCATGTTGGGGGTCAGGTAGTCTCATTCATTCCTTCGAGCTTCCGATTGCTATGTGTTGCTCCAAGGTGATTCCTGTCGCCTCAGGATCATGTACCCTCAAGGATGCCGTCAATGAAGCCATGCGCGACTGGGTCACTAACCTCTCGTCACGCACTACCTCATCGGCTCCGCCATCGGCCCCCACCCTTCCCCACGATCGTCCGCGACTTCCAGAGGATCATTGGGAAGGAGATCAAGGAGCAGCTGCACGCGGAGATAGGCAAGCTACCTGATGCCGTCGTCGCATGTGTAGGTGGTGGCAGCAATGCCATCGGGACGTTCTACGACTTCATATCGGACAAAGTGCCGGCTCATCGGAGTCGAGGCCGGTGGTGAAGGTGCGCGTCTCGATCCCGCTTGCTATGAGCAACTCTGACTTCAATACGCGCTCTAGGTCTTGACGGTGATCGGCACTCAGCCACCCTCAGTAAGGGCGTAGCAGGAGTGCTCCACGGTGTCCGCACGTACATTCTCCAGTCGAGCGCGGGTCAGATCGTCGAGACGCACTCCATCAGTGCTGGCCTCGACTACCCCGGCGTCGGCCCCGAGCACGCCTGGTTGAAAGACTCGGGCGTGCGGATATGTCGTCGCCACCGACGAGCAGGCGCTGCGCGGCTTCCGGATGTGCACGCAACTAGAGGGCATTATCCCGGGTGCGTAGTATCACTACTGCACTATCGTGGACGAGTCTCATGGATCCCTGGTTTCAGCTCTGGAGTCGTCGCACGCCGTGTGGGAGGGCATGCGGTTAGCGAAGACGTTGCCGAAGGAGGCCAACATCGTCATCGTACGTCCCGTTATTTTCTGATACTGGTGTTCCTGGTGCTCACAGGTCTCGCCAGTGCCTGTCGGGCCGGGGAGACAAGGACGTGGAGCAAATCTCGCAGTTGCTTCCCGGGAAGTGGGAAGACGTCCTGGACTGGCATATTACGTCGTGAATAAGATGCACAATGTACTGTATGGACCGATAGATTATACAAGACTACTCTAGAAAGTAGCCTTTCACAGCGGACAAACTGCCATGTGCAAGAATCCTAACATATCAGTGTGTAACTGGGTATAGATTAGCTTAGTAACGAATGTTCCCGGAAACCAATCAGAGGCCGTGCCTTACAACGTTCAGTTGCCTTACGTGAATATTTAGTTACACTGAACCTGACTAATCTACACGCTTACAAGGCAGTTCAATGTCGCGACGCCGTACACGCTGGTTTGTCCGCTGTGTTTTCAGAAGAGATCAGTACAGCGCCTGCAGGTAAGTAGACAGACATCTCAACCATATCCCTTGCATAGTGTGTCTTGGGGACAGGAACTAAGTATGGGGATCTCTGCAGACAAGACATATTTAGCAAAACTATTTAGGAAAACACATTCTCTCAACAAAAACCACGTGACCGACGCAGGGCTCGAACCTGCAATCTTTTGATCATGCTTACGTAAGCAGCTTATTACATAAGCATACCGTCGTAGTCAAACGCGATGCCATTTCGCCAGTCGGCCAGGCAACGTCATGCGGCTTAAATTACCAATAGTGACTGCTAAGGTGGTTCGAAGCGTCTGTTAACTGGTTCATTGACTCGACCTCATTGAGAAGCTTCGGCAGTGGGCCTATTGGGAGGCAGCAGTTTACTCCCAAACCGCATCTCTCTGCATTTCAGATTTTTATCCCATCACTCTATCCTAGTCATGTCGTCAGAACACAGTGTACCCGCTGCCCGCGCGGTCGAGAATCTAGCAGCAAAGTTACGCAGAAGGCAAGCGATCGGAGACACTCGCGGTTGTGTACGACTTGCTTATTTCATGTCACGGTCTTTGCAGGCAGGTGGTAGGCTCTCGGGAGGCAGCGCTCGAGACCGTGCTGGTACTTCGCCAGGTCGTTGCAAAAGCGCGATTTTCCAACATCGACCAGCTTGTGAGTCTCCTCCGTGAGGTCGGCAAGCGGCTCGCCGAGGCTCAACCGAAAGGTGCGCGCGATGTATCTCTACGCCCAATGCTATCTTACTCACTTCCTCTCGTCGCCAGAACACACCGTCGGAAACGTCGTCCGCAAAGTGCTGCACAACATCCGCGAAGAGTACAATACCGCGGCGAAGGGCGCTGCCACTGCACCCACGAGGAACGTGTTCTCCATCTCCAAGTTTGTCCTGCAGGGCCAGCCCAGAAAGCAGATCGTCGCGCAGAAGTCTGAGGCGACAATATCGCTGAAGGAGGATGACCCAGATGACCCGGACTCGTTTGCGAAGGGCCTGAAGCCGGTGCTCATGGAGGCCATCCAGGACGTGCTGGACGAGCTCGAGACGGTGTACGACAACGTCTCGAAGACGGCGAAGGATCATATCCATTCAGAGTACGTTTGTACACAAGGAAGTTCGCAGAGGGGACTGATCAATGGCTCTCAGTGAAATCATCCTCACGATTGGGCATTCCAAGACGGTCGAAGCATTCCTGAAGTCCGCGGGGCACTATCGCAATTACACCGTCATCGTCGCGGAGACGGGTCCTTCGTACGTTCTCAACCGAGTCTCAGTGCATATATTGTTCAATGACACCGTCCTACAGTTACAGCGGCCACGAGATGGCAACCTCGCTCTCCAACGCAGGAATTTCCACCTTCCTCGTCCCCGACTCCTCCATCTACGCGATCATGTCCCGCGTGAACAAAGTAATCATCGGCGCACACGCGATCCTCGCCAACGGCGGCATGTTCGCGATCACAGGCACCCTTCTCGCCGCGACCGCCGCGCGCGCGCACAGCACGCCTGTCGTCGTGTGCACGGGCCAATTCAAGCTCACGCCGGCGTGGAACCTCTACCACGAGTACGGGGCGCTCGACTTTGCGGACCCGAGCAGCGTGCTCGGGTACGAGGAAGGGCCGCTCGTCGACAAAGTGGACGTCATCAATCCGTACTATGACTATGTCGGGCCGGAGCTCGTCGACGTCTTCATTACGAACGAGTGAGTTGCCCCATCCTCGTCCTAATCCGATTGCTCATCCGGACTCTATTTCCGCTCTAGTGGCGATCACCCCCCTTCGTCGATCTACAGGCGAGTCATGCATCAATTTTGGCCGATGAGCAGTCGCTGACGTTCACCATCCATATAGGCTCGTGAAGGAGAGCTACGACGATGAAGACCAGCACCTCTAACACGCGCATCAACCTGCATCAGCATCATGCGTTATCTCACCGGGCGTTGATCAGGAGCAGGATGCAGCTGCATGCCGGACGTCATCCGACGTCTCCGGTGGAACCACAGGACATATGGACAGGCGCCATGTCCATACGGCGCGGCGCACCGGGGCATGAGAACGCAGGCGGTGGACCTCGAGGCAGGGGCGCGCACGTCGAGGAAGAGGAAGGCAGCAGCGAGCGGACGGCGTTGTTGGGCATTGTTCTAAGGCAAAGCGAGCAGGACCACGTATACTACATTATTGTACTGGACGCTCATCCGGCGGCGAAAGGGAAGGAGAGTCGATATTGTACGAGCATCATCAAGACAGAACCACGGCGACAGCCATCCAGCCAAGACCAGAACCTGCGGGAGCGCATCTCCGCCCGCGATGCATAAGGATACGGGGACAAGTAAGAAAATTGAGCGGAATCCGAGAACTGATGGAGGGGATAAAAAGAGCGATGGTATAAATGTATGAACAGAGAAAGAGCAGAGAAGGCGATGTGGGGATGCGGGTGTGTATCACTGGACGACGCAGCATCCCTTTCCGCCTCCGCCTTGCTGTGCGTACGGGTCCTCGTTCTTTGCTACTGGGCCCCATACAGATGGTACCTGCGGGAGGAACGTGAGTCAGCACGACAGCCGGCGCGAAGCAACGAGCGGTGTCGATGTATGCATGGGCGCCCGAGGATATGAACTGGGGACAAAGAGGGGCGGGGCTACGCACAAGAGGGTCTTTCGTTGTTTTGCAATAGCGGATCAGGCTGTCGTGCAGGCAGAGGAGTGAGCACTTGCAGGGAGTGTACACGACGGCATGTACGCACCTTGCGCTAGCTTCGCTGACCCTTATCCTTGGCCTCGCCAGATCCTCCCTCAGCCGTTGGTTATGCTCGGTGAGCCGCCGAAGCTTGAGCTCCGACATTGACTGCTTGTGCGGTCGGCCGTTCATCTTTGATTGAAGGGTGGGGGCGAGTGACGGAGGGCGAGTGATGGGAGGGAGTGGGTGGTCGTTTTAATGCGCTGGTGGTCGTCGTACGACACTCTGGGACACAGGGGGTCGAGGGCGAGGCGACGGCCGCGTAAGAGGTCAGATATATGGTCGTGCGCGGCGTGCCTTGCCCTGCTCACCGGCAGTCACAGTTGGGGTCCAGACAGTGCTGGGCCAGTCAGGTCGAGCGAGCCGCGCGGGGTGGACCGACAGACGAGTGCGTGCGCCGACGAGAGGGCGGGAACGCGTAGAAGGGATAAATACAACAAAGGGGGCTGGCGGGGGAAGAGGGCGACGATACGGTCGGAGGAGAAGGAGAGGCTTGATTTCTCTCAGGGCTGCACAGGTCGGCGCTTGCCTCCTGATATGGCACCAGCGTCTGCCCGTCTGATCCCTCCCAGACCCACACGCGTGACACGACCGGGCGGTCGGACGACGCACCTGCCCCGGTCGCCCAAGAACACTCGTCGCAGTCCATCACCCACCGTGCTAACGAAGTGCATTAGGGGAGGCGGGAAACTCGGCGTAGGTATACATGTGAATGAAGGACGCGATCCGTGTACTAATGCAAAGCAGTAACGACGAGCTAAGACGGCGAAGACCAAGTAGGATGCATAGGGTTATCCATATGTACTAATGCGAAATGCCAAAGTGCAAGCTGAATGCGGATGCTGAGGATGTGACTGTCCGGGGTGACACGACATACGACGGGGCGGCGCGTCAGAAGTGTAGGGTCGCGAGGCGGCGGAGAGCAGGGTGCGCATATTTGAGAGGCGGCTCGTAGCGCGGGCGCAAGCGGAGGTAGGGGTGAGGCTGCTGCTGCATGCAGCGATTTTCTACGCACAACATATCAGGCCTGCTGCATTGCGGACCATTTAGACAGCGACAGAACTCACCACGAAGGTGACTACATGACGACGCATCCGCAGCCATTCGATGGTTGTGGTGCACCAAACGGATCCTCCGCTTTGCTAACGGTTCCCCATACTGATGGTACCTGTTCAGTTCAGGATGATTAGCATTATGACCACGGCCACGGATAACAAGGCATCAGCTCTTCGACGCAGTGCTCATCATGACGGCACGAACAAGACATGTTCCGCGGCAGCTGAGGTGAATACTATCGATGACGGATCACAACATGAATCCAATTGAGGTGCGCCCATCGGTAATTCAATGCCCACCAGCGCTGGCGCTGGCAAATGCTGTCTGTTCTCATAGCATTCCACCTGCGGACCGCCAGTGCAACACAGCAAGACACGTCAAGCCGCACAAGACCCGCACGGGTATTTAACATGACGCGAGGTACCCTGAAGATCATACTTACGAGGTAGTCCTGTGTGTTCTTGCAATAGTTGATCAAGCTACAAACACCAAGTATGCGTCACCTCAGTTTTCACCCGCTGTAGCCGAGCCACGTACCTCACACTGGCTTCGCTAACACGTATGCGGGGTCTCGCGAGGTCCTCCCTCAACCGCTGGTTGTGTTCGAGGAGCCTCCGGAGCTTGAGCTCGGACGTGGATACCTTCGACTGGCGGGAGCTCATGGTGTGGGCGGGGCGAGGCTAGGGCGAGGGCGGGTCGGGTAGGAAAAGGACAGAAAAGACAGCACGAAGTAGGCCCTGCCCTTCTGTACACTTGGCGTAGCAGGCGGCGGGGGCGCGCGTGGCTGTCGCAGCTGCGAGACACTCCAAAAAAAGAGGGAAGGAAAGAGGGCAAAGGAGCGGCAGAGTGTCGGGCGAGACGAGGTGGAGGCGCGGGATCAGGTCGTTGGCATCACCCAAGCGCCCGCCCTGGACCTTCCCTTTTTGGGCCCCCGCCATCACCGTCACGTGCCCGCGTCGCGACTTCTGCCGCCGCGAATCTCTCACCCGCGCGTGGCGCTCTCGGCCCAGCGTTCCCCGCCATGGTCCGCCAACAGACGCAGCTCGTCCAGAAGTTCTCCCCCCATGCTTCTCGGTTTCAGAAAGTAGCTAGTGCGCGATACGGTGTGTAGACGGTCTGCTATTTTCTTGCTGTGGAATCGATGTTGAGGCCGCCGCACAGCAAAAACACCGCAGAAGTCGCCCCTTGCGGCCATCCATCCCGCGGCGAGAAATGTGAACACGAACCGCTTCCTGCAGTCTCGGAGCAAGCTGGCGCCAATCAAGGAAGACCCCTCGAGGACGAGGAGGATGAACAGTCCGCATACACCCACCTCGACCGCCAATTTGATGCGCTCGAGCGGGACGAGGAGCTTGCATACCGTAAGCACGCACACAGACGGGATGAGGACGATAGCATGGACTGGGACGACGAGTCGACGCTCGTCGCGATGCTTCAAGAAACGTGTGTGATGTCCTTAGTTGTGACGAACGAGTGATCATATGCTACGTCTCGACAGTCCTGCGGTCGACGAACAAGAGGAAGTAGCAGCCTTGGCGAACAAGCTCAAAGCTCCTATGGCTGCACAAGGCGCGGCGATGAGGGAGTATCTTGGCGAGACACTCCTTCCTGTCATCGCTCGCGTGAAGGAAGTCCACGGTCTGCTGGAAGACAAGGGTAAGTTCGCGGATGCGGCACGCATATATTCAATAATATTACCCCTATCACACAGTCGATCTCGCGTTCGGTGCCGGTATCATGACGTTCGATCAGGTCTGCAAGAAAGTTGAGAATATGGCGATCCGCGACGAGGACGAGCTGAAAACGGCTTACACTGAATGTCAGGTACTCCCTCCTGTCTCTCAGGACAGCATCGTTTGAGACTGAGATCAAAGCCTGACATACTGCTTTCAGCATAACATGGAACACATTGTCGACCAACTACAAGAAGCGTACGCTCGGCGCGACGAATTATGGGTAATCCTACAGCAGGACGTCGATCAGTGCGGTGAGTATCCGTTCATTTCCGTTGATGGCGGGCCGCCGTCGCTAAGCGTTGGATCCTCCGTCATGCATGCAAGCCGAACGCGCCAAAGGCGCTCTCGAAGGTCTGCCAGCTGACGTCGAGCGCGCTATTGCGGCGCTGGAGAAGAAGAGCAAGGAATTAGACAAGGAGGGCTCCGCGGCCTCCAAGCAAAAGATGCTAAAGGGCCTTCTGGAGAAGCTCTGACGCCGGTGGACGTCCCGACCGGTTTTGCGCTCACTCCGGGTGAGTGCGAGCATTTGCTCTCGCGTTCTCCGGTCATGCCAACAATGACTACATGTCGTCATGCTCAGCCATAATTGCTGCTATACCCCATTGTATCCATAGTCTCGTTTTCTCGACTCACTTTCGTATCCGAACTCTTTCCGCTGTATCGATAGAACAGGTGGATGCACGTCAGCAGCTGCCCACATGTACAATAGGCCGACTTACGACCTAATTGGAGGCAGTCATGATGTGGTCGTAAAGTACTGGCGCTGCGAACAACCGTTCGGGGACTTCAATCAGTGGGGAGGATCGAGATCTGGTATCCTCGATCGCCTATTGTTGCGATCGGCCTTTCCGAGTCGACGTCGTCGTTCTGTACCACGACTCCGGTGAGTCTCTCGCGTCTTTACTGGACAAGATTCTTCCCCATTTCCCAGCTTGGCAATGCATTTTTAGCGGCTGCTGCGGTGTGTTCTCATGACCAGGCTGTTCACGTGTACATGGCTTCGAATCTTGACGCGGTAACTCGCAAGCTTCTATAAAGTCAGAAGAAAAGCAGCCCCGACCGACAATGCACTCAGCTTTGGTTTTGTGCATGTTCTCTTCTGTTATGTTCTAGAACGGCATCGCTGACGTACAGGCAGGGGTTTGTGCGGCGACTCCAGCTAGGGCGACCGCAGCAAGCAATCAATGTCTTGAGGGCACTCGACTTCGACTGAGCGCCACCGTAGCTCTCACAGCTGCGGGGCCAATATTTGACCTGTGATACACTGCACACATCCCATGAAACGCTCACGGCCGATCCGGGTCCAGACTCCTTCCCGCCCTCACTGCACGGAACGCTCGGCCCGGGACTTCCGAACAAGGGCTCGCTACCTGCAGTGAGGACTGGCACAACTGGTCCTTATGTCAGCAAAGAAGCATCAGGCCGCTCGAGTGCCGGGTCCAGAGCGGCGTGTGCCAAGTGATGGCCCTGCCTAATTGAGCGAGCTTCGCGCGCGGCCGTCTTCGCGAGACCGACGCGACGCGACGCGCCCTACAGCGTCTCGCTGTCGGCGTCGCCAACGCAGTCCTGGTAGATACTGTCTGAATGTATTTATTTTCTCTATCTTTTCTCTCACCCATTTATGCATGGTCACACCGAACCACTGCGCTTGCACATCTCGGGCACTTCATAGACAACGATTTCCATGTTCTGCAGTGATGCAAGTTGTTTGAGGTCATATTGGACTTAATAACAAGATGAATATGATCATTGTGGTGTAGTGGTTTGGCGTTGTTAGCAATTTTGACAGTGCGCGGGTTCGAGGCCCGTTAGTATTCTTTTCTTTTTTCACGGCGTGGTAGGACCACTTCTTCACTGCGACACCGTAGATTTATTGCCGTGTACCTATACAAAAAGTGACACGATCCGAAAATTATGTGCATCAAGATGGGAAGCGGGAGCGACGTAGCACTCCAGAAATGGAGGGAGGGCAGCAGCCGACCACACCGTGAAAAAGGTACTCTGCAGGAGACTCGAACCCGCGCACTGTCAAAATTGCTAACAACGCCAAACCACTACACCACAATGATCATATTCATCTTGTTATTAAGTCCAATATGACCTCAAACAACTTGCATCACTGCAGAACATGGAAATCGTTGTCTATGAAGTGCCCGAGATGTGCAAGCGCAGTGGTTCGGTGTGACCATGCATAAATGGGTGAGAGAAAAGATAGAGAAAATAAATACATTCAGACAGTATCTACCAGGACTGCGTTGGCGACGCCGACAGCGAGACGCTGTAGGGCGCGTCGCGTCGCGTCGGTCTCGCGAAGACGGCCGCGCGCGAAGCTCGCTCAATTAGGCAGGGCCATCACTTGGCACACGCCGCTCTGGACCCGGCACTCGAGCGGCCTGATGCTTCTTTGCTGACATAAGGACCAGTTGTGCCAGTCCTCACTGCAGGTAGCGAGCCCTTGTTCGGAAGTCCCGGGCCGAGCGTTCCGTGCAGTGAGGGCGGGAAGGAGTCTGATCCGGGTCCAGCATCAGTCCCGGTTCTGCTTATATACGACCCTCTGTCTCCTCCCACCTTTCCGTTCCCGCGACATCGTGCACGATGGTGCTTGGTCCAGGGCAACGTCTGCTGCTGCGTGCGCTCGTCGTGGTGGGCAAGTATCCCGTCCTCGTCGTGTCTGCTGCCTACCTCCTTGACCGTTATGCCGGCTGGGCGATCCCTGCGTGGATCGTATGGCTGTCGGCGCTCGGAATCATCCCTCTCGTCGCCTTTGTGGCAGTGCGGATCAGGTACTGGCGGATCCACCGTGCCGCGGAACGTAAGGGCGCCATCATCGCGCCTGGCTGGAGTGGTAAGTGGCCCGGAAACCTGGATGTCCTCCAGGCCGTATTGCAGAGCTTCAGACACGGATACCCAGGTTTGTAACCATATGTATCCACAACGATAGCGAGTGCGCGCGAGCTAATCTGTGCATATCAGGCGACATCCTACTAGAGAAGTTTGGACAGCTCGGTCCTACCTATCGGTTCAACGTCCTATGGGACTTTGGTATTATGACATGCGATCCTGCTATCATCAAAGTAAGCAGTCAGCGAAGTTATCAGCGTGTATGCGCGTAACGAATCTGTGCCAGACTATCCTTGCCACTGAGTTCCAGAACTATGAGAAAGGTCAGTGTCGTACAGAGCACCTGAGTAAACGGAGTACTTATTACTGCCTATTTTTAGGAGAAGTATTCCAAGAACAGATGAACTCTTTATTGGGGACCGGGGTCTTCAACTCGGATGGTGAGCAACAGCACCGTGTCCAGTGCATCAGATCTAAGTTTTGAGATGCTACCTGTAGGGGACATGTGGAAGTGCGCATATACCCGTCCCAAGCGACCATAGATGTCCGATACATACGTTTTCCATCCACAGATGGCACCGTTCAATGACGCGTCCTTTCTTCAGCAAGGATCGCATCAGTCACTTTGAGCTCTTTGACAGACATGCTGGTCAGCCTTCTCTCTCCCATGTACAGTCCATGAGCACGGATTGACAGCAACTGCACGCAGAGGCTGCCCTGGACAAGATGAGGGAGCGCTTCCGCGCAGGCTACGCGATCGACTTCCAGGTATGCTCGTCTCCTCTAGTCCTCAAATATAGAATTCATCTAATCACTGCTGTTCTCTCCAGGACCTCGTCTCGCGCTTCACCCTCGACTCCGCTACGGAGTTCCTCTTCGGGGCATGCGTCCACTCCCTCCGCTCCACCCTTCCCTACCCGCACAACATCTCCGCCGCCTCGCCCTCCTCGCCCTTCCCCTCCACCTCTGCCGCGCCGCCGTCGCCGACTGTCTCGGGGTGGACAAGGCGGAGGCATTCGCGACGGCGTTCTCGAAGGCGGAGCACCTCTGCGCGGAGCGCGCGACGATGGGCAAGGTCTGGCCGCTCTCGGAGATGCGCGAGGACAAGACGCGCGAGCACATGCGTGTCGTGGACGAGTATCTGCATCCTATCCTCGAAGAGGCGCTCCGGAAGAAGGCTGAGAGGGAGAGGGAGAAGGCCCGGGTTAGTGGTGGGAAGGTTGGGGAGGACGCGGATGAGATTGAGGAGGGCGAGACGCTGATGGACCATTTGGCTAAATTCACGAGCGGTGAGTGTGGGCGTTTGATGGGTGTGCGGGTGCGCTGAGCGGTGTTATTGCAGACTTGACAGTCCTGCATGACGAGGTGCTCAACATCCTGCTTGCGGGACGTGATACGGTCAGTAGCAGCCGACCACAGAACGGGACGCTTTGCTGAGAGTGAGATCCGATTGCTGGACCACGTATGTAGACGGCAACTACGCTGACCTTCACGGTGTACCTCCTGGCCATGCACCCTGACGTCCTCAAGCGCTTGCGCGCGGAGGTGTTGGAGAAGGTGGGTCCGAAGCAGAGGCCGACGTACGGGAATATAAAGGAGATGCGCTACTTGCGGGCTGTCATCAACGAGACTCTGCGTCTGTACCCTGCTGTGTCAGTAAAGTCTTCCATGTCATCCATAGCACAGGATATTGATGTTTCATGGATCACAGGCCATTCAATCTCCGGTGAGCTCCGTTGAAGCAGCTCAGGATCTCCTCAGATTCCTCATCCCGGTTGCACTTCGCGTGAACATAGCGCGTCGTTGAACGAAGGCCTTCTCCCGAACGCCAATGGCAAGCCGTTCTACGTCCCCGCCAAAGTACTGTACGTCTTTTGGATCATCCAAAGAGCCCGTCCATCATCTGAGACGGTTCAACTGCAGTGTGTCGTACTCAGTGTGGGCCATGCACCGTAGGGAGGAGTACTGGGGTCCCGATGGTGCGCACCTCCACGCATATAGTCGGGCACTGACCGACAGGCCATCCAAATAGCCCAGGAGTATGATCCTGACCGATTCCTCGACGAGCGCGTGAACAAGTACCTCACTCCCAACCCATTCATCTTCCTCCCATTCAACGCCGGGCCGCGGATCTGCCTCGGGCAGCAGGTGCGCCCCTCCCTCTGCCTCACAGATCCGCCCAGCGCTGACTCCCCGCGCGCGGAAGTTCGCATACAACGAGATGTCGTTCTTCCTGATCAAGCTCCTGCAGCGCTTCTCGACGATGGAGCTCGCGCCGGATGCAGCGCCCCCGAACACGCTGCCCCCGAAGGAGTGGGCGCGCGCGCCCGGCAGGAAGGGCAAGGAGAAGGTCTGGCCGAAATCGCACTTGACGCTCTACGCAACGGTGCGTGTGCTTAAATGCTTCGTCTCGATGCTATGTCGGTGGGTGGCTGACTTGAAGTTCAGGGTGGCGTGTGGGTGAGGATGACGGAGGCAGAGGAGGGCGAGGTCGATGTGCAGGTGTGATATGCTTGTCGAGGGGTGTCTTGGACGGTTTGTTTAGGATGTGTATCACAATGTATGTATTAGTACTGTATGATCTAGTGGAACCGAATTTTGGCATCTCTGTTGTCTTTTGCTGTCCGTACGCCGTGAGCTGGACAGGACGCAGACGATTTGGATGGCTCCGTGCAAATCCCTTTATTGTCACTGAGGGCGAAGCCCCATGTAGACATTACATGCATCGTATCTCCGCCAGCTCCTCCTGTCTTCGTCGCGTAGCATAGCCGTCCGCCAGGCTTCGGGTAAAGTATGATAATATAGAGCGAGGAATTGAAATGAATTGGCCGTGGTGTCGACTCGCGCATCCGCTGCAACCCCTCTGGGGTGTGACCGTCTATCCCCTCGCCGTCCTGTCCTTCAACTCGAGGTTTCCGTAAGCGGCCGGTGTTGTGGATGTACCGGAGAAGGGCTTCATCAACCTGGGGGGTAGTCTGGGGCGTAGTTCGGCCATGACCGCCGTCGCTCCGTACTGACAGTGGCATTGAACCACTTGAAAAAGTCCACTACAGTCTGTCGGAGATCCCAGTAAGTAGATATTGATCCAGCCTCAACGGCGAATATAGATTGAAACCGACCTGCGCTATTGCACCGTCCCTAGGGCGGTTGGATGGCGTCCAGTTTCCCCCCAGTGCCCAGGTCTCCGCTAATCGCCATTCAATCTGTCCATTGTCGAGCTCTGCAAATTGTTCGGCGCCGGCGTATCGTCCGACTACGACGTCACTCGGGATGCGCTCTCCTGGAAGCTCCACGGGACGATAGATTACTATGCTATCGTGCGATGGATCATCAGCACTCAGTCAAATATCCACATTGATGTAAACGCGAACCCTCTCCTGGCTTTCTTATCCAAAAACATGGTTTGAGAAATGTAGAACTGTCGTTCTCGTTGGAAGAAGGGGTATCGATAGCGTACCGACCATACAGACTCGGTCGGAGAATATTCCGACAGCATCTTCGCCGACTTGAGTTCTGGTACGTATCTGCGCATGAAGTGCACGTTATCGTCGCAGAATCGTGAATGGAAAGACACAGTAGGACGTACAGCATTTCTATCGAATACTTGTTGACGGCACGATAATGCCAGAGCTGATCCAGCGTGAGGTCTCGCGAATCGTGTTTGCTCACTCTGCAGTCCCAAGGGGACTCATTGTTGCCGTCTTTGCATCTCCAAGAGGTCTTGATGTCCCCCCTATGATGCTCAAGTGGACGAAACACGCGACATCGTTCCCAGGATAAGGTGTAATTCATGAGCCACTTGCCGGCCGCGACGGTTTGTTTCTCCGGGAGAATGTCTGGCCAGTGACGTATTAGCCAAATCTCCAACGGCCCACCAACTGACATACCAATGATCAAAGTTGGTATAAGAGTGATCTTCAAGCGCCTTTCGATGGTCCCCGGGACAATATCATCCTTCGACGGGCCAGTATATCGGTCAAGTTCGAGATGGTGTGGAATCGGAATGCTTTTGTCGTTGAAGTAGAATGCTCTCTTCAGATCCAGAAGTACCACAGATATCCGTGGACGCTTGTGCCGATCCTCCCTCCAGCACTTCTCCATGATCCCCCACACTTCGCTGGACATTGAAAGCGGGGGTGACTCTGTGGGCCGTAATGGTCGCTTCCCTGTGAGTACCTTGTTGATCACTTGTGCATCGAGTCGGCTTTCGTCGAACGGAAAACGTTCAGTGAAGACCTTGTAAACGTATGTCGGATCGACATTATAACGAGAGCCGAGGCGTGACGAACCTCCCACATGACCATGGAGAATGAGTAGATGTCGCTCTCTTTGGTCGGATTGCCATGTTCGAGGCCGAACTTATCAGGGTCGTGGAGCTCAGGTGCCATCCACCGTGCCGTCGAGGCAAAGACAGACACGTTCGTCACTATGTGAATTGTCTCTGGCTGATAGAGGATGGTCGTCAGTCCGAAGTCGGACAGGCAGGCACGTCTGTGCTCATCAATCAAGATATTTGCCTGAGAAGCCGACGGTCAGCGTGTTGTACATCAGAACAGTATAAAACTGTACATACTCCCTTGAGGTCACCATGCACTATGCCCACCGTGGTTGAATGAAGATATTCCAGGCCATGAGCGACATCCAGAATCTAGAAATCACCTCAGTACGACGCAATAGCAAAGTCGGATATCCTGACCAGAAGGGGTCGATTTGCTTTGGGGTTGTCCTTCACAAACGATATGATATCACCACCGATCATCCATTTGCAAACCATGCTTAGCGGAAAATGCTGTCGGTCTATACCGAAGAATGGGACAACACGAGCGTGCGAGAGTCGTTTCCAGGTGATCGCTTCCCGACAAAAACTCTGACGGCTGGGTTAGCGGCCCAAAGTCACTGCAACCAGCTATGCCGGCACTGACCTTTAGGACAGAATCAACGGAACCCTTCGCAGCTATCCTGATGACCTTCACGCCTACGTCTTGTCTGCCGAGGCGGCCACGCCAGACTTCTGCAAAGCCACCGAAAGCCACCGGGCCGTCCTTGGGGATGAGCAGGTCCCGCGTCGCGGCAGAAAGTGAGGTCGGGAGGATACCCTGCTTGACACATATCTTGCGTAGAGTATGAAACACCGTACTGTAGAGTCTGTCATAGGGTTCAATGGAGTTCATAGCCTTGAGAGATGAATGAGCTCAAAAAATCTGGAGGTTCGTACGATTGTGGTACCCACGTCATCAAGGACGTCGATGAGTGCTGTAGCATCGTCTGCGTCTGCATTCATGAGCTTCTCAACCTCTGCACTTGAGTTCAGACACCCTTTGAGTAAGGCAATTTTGTCTTGCATCTCATACTTTGCTTGCGAATTTGCGAGCGTCGTCGGTGAAGATATCCGGGACGAGCTTTGCTGTCCATGGAATAGTGAGCCGGGTGCACAATGCAAAATGCTCTAGGTACATCACCGACCAATTCGAAGAAGATGCTCGGGCACGAATTGTACAGATTCGCCAATTCTTCTCCAATACGGAGTAGGTTAGTAAGCACCGTCGTAGTGTCAAAATGCCTCCATGTCCCTATTGACTGATGTAGACTCCAGAGCCACCTGCGTCAAGATGATGAGCCAGTGACTCATGCATAGGCGCGATGTGGTCACCTGTCAGCGTGGAGGACAAATCCTACCAGATGGAACGGTATATTGTTATCTCGACGCGCCGTTACATACGGCTGGCAGAACTGCAGCAATTGGCGCAGCGACTCCTGCGCATGCATGAGTTAGCGTTGTTTTAGCGGACATAATCGGTGGTAGACAAACCATGCGGGGTCGCAGGTGATCAACATGGTTTATCAAGAGTGCATGCTGACTGGCTAGGTCGACGGACATAGGCGTATATATGGTTCACCGACCGGATGGCTGGCTCAGTGTTCCGAAGATGCTGCTGCGAAGTAGACTCAAGTCAACGATGCCTCGCCCTCTGACGGTGTCGTGGTTGTGGTTGATGAAAGGTAGACGCACAAGCTGTGCAGATCTAACGTCTCCGAGTTAAGTCGGCTGTATTGTGTGGGAACAGTGTGGTTAGGTGTCTATCACACATCGCGAGTCCTAATGCTCGGTCCATGGTAACCCAAACTTCGCAGAGGCCAGCTATGTAAGCAGACGGCGCTGGAATGCAGCGCGCACTTGCCCTTGCACGCGGCGCTCCCATGCGACCAAGTTGACGCGGCGGGCGACCTCGATACGCACCGCGTTGTCTCTCGAGTGCAAGATGCAGTGCAGATAAGCGAAGACGAGCGCGTCTAGAGCAGTCGGTGTGCTACGGCAAATCCCTATGTCAGATGGTCATCGGATCGCAACCTCAACGAGACATACATCGATCCAAGGAACCACTTGTCTGTTCCGAGACGCTCGGATAGAGATGAAATGGCATCCCGGTACTGGAGCATAACCGCATTGCGATCCACGTGAGTGCCGTACGGCGGAAGGATGCTTCCAAACCCATTCAGGGGAGCAGGCGGGGGATTGAGCATCGTATTCAGGGCGCGGTGCTTGGATGGGAAGGGTACGAAGAGCGCAGAGAACATGGACGGAGATGGCTGGGACATTGCCTGTGTACCATACCGCTCAGTCTCACAAGACGATGGGAGATCGAGGATTTACGCACCAAAGCTGCATGAACGTTGCCCTCCATTAACGACACCCACGCGCGACTCTCATCACGCGCTGCTTCATCCACGTACCCCTCCAACTCGCCTTGTCCGCCGTCCACCTGCCCGTCGACCCAGCCCGGAATGAGGTGTGCAGTGAGTAGCTCTCCGCCAGAGTCGCCGCCCTCCAATGGGACGTGTAGGTTGGGGAAACGACCATCCACTGCGCCGTCCTCCGTTACGTCCCACCGCACATGAATCTTGGAAAGGCCGCGCAAAGCGAGGTATGCCTGCCACTTCAGGCATTCCACGTCGCGACTGAGTAGGTCTTCGAGCTCCGGGCTCTCGTTACGAGGGGGATGTATCCATAGGGTGGGTGCTGCAACCGCGCGAGCAGTATAAAACGACAAGACCGGTGGGTGAGTATACAGCGGGAAGAGAGCAAAGAAATGGCGGAGCGGTTTCGGTAAGGAAAGAGACGGCAGCGCAGATGAGCTCAACATCAAAAGCAGGAGTTGTTATCGCAGCACCTCACACCCTGTCAGGTTCAAGCTGCTCGACGAGGCTCCGGAATCCGTGGCGTTGGGTTGGGTGAAGAGAACTCGGAAGGTTGTACTTGGACTGCACGGTAGACTATGATTACCATATGTGGCATTCAACGCCAACGTATGCTGACGTAAGCCAATAGCTGTGAGCCTGTACCGAATCGAGTTCGGCGTTACAGCGCGCAGCCTGCTTCATTGTGCACACTCATCGCTGTGACTCCATCCTCGGCAAGTAACAGGTCTCCAAAGCAGCTATTGAGGCTATTTCATGCTTGACTCCCGTGCACAGGCCGGCGCGTCCTCGACCTCCACGCTTCCTCGAATTGCTAACTACTCCCAGGGACCCGCGTCGTGTTCCATACCCTGCAGGCTCACAGTGAGGAAACCTTGCCATGTCGGACGACAGCTCGACACCCTCTCGACCGCCTACACCAGTTGCCGAGCTACCATCGTCGTCCCAAGTTCGACCATACCGCTTCACATGGGATCCGACATCAGCACGCAAGACAGGCCCTGGGAGTGTCTCGGCCACTACAGAAGGGCACGCAGATTACTTCGGCAATGCGACGCCGTATGACCTGTACGGTAACGCGTCGTTGGCATCTCTACAGCTCGGAGCTCTACCAGCAGAATGGAGTAGCGCGAAGCATGGGTTCCACGGTACGTTTACGAACGCCTTGCTGGCGTAGTGCGACTCATCGTCTACAGCGATCTCCACTGTCGTGAATAGCCCTCAGAGACGCTCTGCACCTCCCAAGGCGCACTCCAGCCTTCCCTCTGTACCTCCAGCCGACCTGCCGCGCGTACGCCGGAAGGACTTCGACGCGTATTGCACGCAGTAGGCCCCGAATGGGAGCGCTTAAGCATAACGCAGAGCTGGGTCGAGAAGGCACTGCGCAGTTGCCTACGACACCTCGGCCGTCAGGTTCCTTCGATGACAATGACCTCCCGCGGACACCCCGTGCTCAATCAGGCCGGGCGCCGCCTCCGCTCGAGAGCGTACCCCAGGTGTTCTTTGACCCCAGCTTCAACCTCGGAGACCCCCGCATATTCAATGCTGTCACGGAGCAAGGAGAGAACGGCGATTCAGCAGACGCAGACCCCTCGGCACTCTCGTACTCGCTACCTCTACTCGAGAAGCTCTCGCACCACGCGGACACGATAGAACAACACCTTGTGCGCGAGATCTCCGTTCGCTCGACGTCGTTCTTCGCCGCGCTATCCAACCTCCAAGACCTGCAAACCGAGTCCGAGCAGTGTCTAGATCGGATCGGGAAGCTGCGTGGCTTGCTGAAGGATGTGGACGAGAAGGGAGCAAGGAAAGGGTTGGAGGTCGTCCGAAGGGAGTGCAAACTGCGGAACATGGATTCGGTGAAAGAGGGCGTGAAGGTAGTAGGAGGTGTCGTGGACATGATGGGTGTCGCAAAGAGCCTGGTCGCGGCAGGACAGTGGGGAGAGGCGTTGGATGTCATCGACGAGCTGGACCGGTTATGGGATGCTGATTCCACCGCGCAGTTGCCCACAAGCAAGCCTAGCGCAGAGCCGTCTAGGCCAGCAGTACCTTCTCGACAGGGTACCCGTTCCCCACTACCGCCGGTCCCCGAATCACCACCGGAAAGCCCGAAGCCTCCGTCAAGACCTGCTGTCCACATACCTCTATCTTCGCTCAAGGCCTTCACCTCTCTACCTGCACACCTTCGCGCGCTCACCATGGACATCACTTCTGCACTAACCTCCGAGTTTGTTAGTGTACTACGGCTGGACCTCGTTGAGCGCGTCGACTCCGATGACCTGGAGCCGAGAAAGGATAACCCAGACGTGTCCTTGAAAGACAGGATAAGGCCGTTGCTGCAGTCATTGGCGCGGACCAAGGGCGTGCAGGAGGCTGCGGTGTCCTGGAGGGAGGTCGTCATGGCAGAAGTGAGGAGCATGATGAGGCGAGTAAGTGCCGCTAACCATTCGATGTCCTTCCTGAACTTACTGACGCATCTTCTTAGCGAATACCTGCTTCAGACCTCGAAGAGGATGGGAAGACGTGAGTCTTACGCGCGATGGCTCATTACGTGAAGTGCCTGAAGTGATCTTTTCAGGTCATCACTTGCCGATGAGCTGCGAGCCATGTCGCAGCCTGCTTTTATGGACCTTGCTCGTATGATGTACAGAAGCCTTCTTCGGTGTATCGGAAGATTATATCGAGAGGGCAGCATCATCCTAGAAGTCTTGCAGGCCATTCGGTGAGACTCTCGCTCGATAGTTTCAACATCTCATTGACTGTTAGTTGAGGTCCCCGAAGGCATCGGTTGACGTGGCCGCTCTCCAGGAGGAGCTGTCAGGCATTCTGTCTTCGGCCGCAGAATTAGCTCATACACGGGCATCTAGAGTGGTTGCTCTGCGTGGGGAGCAGCATGCCTCTCTGGACCTGCCGAGCTTCGTAACCCTGTTCAACGAGTCGTGGGTTTTCGTCGTCGAATCAGAGAAGATCTGCTGTCGCATGATCGTCGGCCTCCGGGGTACGATGATCAGCCAGGTTCGTCTAATGTGACTACTGCGGTTCTAGCGGAAACTCAGGTATATTGAATGCAGGCGAAGACGTTCTTGCAAACCTTCCACCAGGCACATATATCTCATTCTGCAAAGCTGGTTGAGGACGAACAGTGGAACGCAGCAGAAGTGGCGCCTTCAATTCAGCGAATTGTCGACCTCCTTGTCGACGCTTCCATCTCAGACCCACCAGATCTCCTACTCAATCGCCCCCCTGAAACACCGCACCCTTCATCTCCTCTCCTCTCTCCATCTGCGCTATCGCCACAGCCTACACTCTCACATCGGCCCGCATCCCCTCTTCCGTCACCAAACTTCCCTTCCGTGCGCCCCTCCGCGTCGCGCACGAGCACGCGACGCTCGAGTGGACCAGGCAAACACCTGCACATCGAAGATCGGGCGTACTTCGCGGTAGGTGCGACGCTCGAGGTGCTCGTCGTTCTCGCGGATTACCTCAAGATCATCATCAACCTCGAAATGCTCACTACGGAAACCATGAGCCGCGTGATCGAGCTCTTGAAGGCGTTCAACTCGCGCACTTGCCAGGTCGTCTTGGGTGCGGGTGCCATGCGCTCTGCAGGGCTCAAGAACATCACTGCCAGGCATCTTGGTGAGCATTGGCGGGATCCTACCTACTGCGCTGCATATATTGATCGACGGAATGCCAGCCCTTGCATCTCAGTCGTTGTCTATCGTTATATCGCTCGTCCCATATATCCGGGAGACGTTCCGGCGCCATCTCAGTCAGAAGCAGGCGGTCATGCTTGTAGAGTTTGACAAGCTGAAGAGGGTATGTAAAAACTTCCCTCCATTACACCGGATCCTCACCGCGTCTGTACGCTGTGCAGGATTACCAAGAGCACCAGAACGAGATACACCAGAAGCTGATTGCGATCATGGGTGACCGCCTCAGTGCCCATATCAAGTCTCTTCATGTCAGTCTGCCTCTCTCCCGTTTCAAAGCCCACTGGATGGCGTATGCTGACTGCGTGATCCGCGTGTCTGTTCGGCTTGCCATATGTAGGACGTGAAGTGGGACGTGCCAAGGACGGCGGTGTCAATGACTATATGGAAGTCATCGTCAAGGACACGGTCACGTTGCACAAGGTGCTCTCGCGGTATCTGTCAGGTTCCGTAGTCGAGGTGCGTGTATCAGCATTGCGTATGCCATTCTGTCCGGCTGAGACGTAAGTGCAGTTCGTGATGACCCAGGTGTTCGCGGGCATCAATCACCGGCTCTCGGAGGAGTACACCAAGATTGAACTGCCATCACAAGAGGCGAAGGAGAGGTGCGCTCGCATTCGCTCAGCCTACCTATCGCAGGGTAACCTTTCTCGGCCCATTGGCCAAACAGACTACTCGCGGATGCGCGTTACCTCCACCAGAAGCTTACGGGCCTCAAGAATGTGGGCGCTCCCACCGCCATGCTTGAGATCATCGTACAAGAGAAGCCCGTCAGAGTTCCTACACCGGCCGCGCACGAGGCCGCGGCACCACAGCCTACGACCCAGCGATTCAAAGGTATCCTTCAGCGAACGAACAGCAAGCGGACGTCCCTTCTCTCACCCAACCCCATACCGGTACCCGTTTTAGAGAAACCGCTTCCGACCCGACCCCACCGCCTGTTGCGCCGTCCCCGGATCCAGACGCGAAATTGCTGCCGGTAGCGCTGACATCCGCGTCGCGGTCAGAGGACGCGCTTGCGATGACACAGTCGCCATCTGCCTCGCAGGTAGACATATCGACGCCTAATGGTCAGGGCGATAGTGCTCCGTCGACAGCGGAAGATGCGCCTGTTGAGGGACCTCCCCGGATGCCCCATCAAAACCGCTCTCTCCTGCCGCGGTACCACTGCCCGCGTCATCGCCCTTACCCACGCCCACGCCCTTCAGCGAGAAGCAGCAGCCGGGGGTGCCGATGCAGAATGGCGACAACCTGAACGGGGATGCTACCGCGGGAAGAGAGGCTCCCGTTGCGTAGCGTGGGGGACTACTTTGCTACAATCGTTCACTTTAGTATACTTTTAATAACGTCTACATCTGGAATGGTATAGTTGCTTTCTTCATTCCCAGTTGTGCAGATTTACGCACACGCTTCGCCCGAGGATATACGACGCGCCGCAGGGGCGAAAGGAAGTACTCAGAAATTTACCGATCGAGTAAGTGGGTTTATTGCAGCTGCTGGCCTACTTCGCCCTACTCTGCCCCACTCACGTTTGGCAATATTCGGCGCGCTGCACGAGTGCATGAGCTTGGAGGGTTAGTTGATATAATATGTAGTACCCGTTTTGTGATACCGGGGCGCACGACAAACCAGTGGACTTCCGATGATCCCGGGCCTTCAATATTGTCAATGGTACCGGTCTTGTATGCGTCCGAACGAACTCTTTGTGGACGCTCGCCAAGGCACTGGATCCGGGTGAGTACTAGGAGTTGGTCGGCGCGAGCACACCGGTTGCATTTGCGCAACCATTGACAGAAGCGGGAGCCTACAGAGGACGATCGCGTACGAGCAAGAGACGAGAGCGACGCATTGGAGGCCCATAGTCACGCGCGCACGGTGGAGAATTCTCTGTTAGTTACCTCACATTGTTAGCCTCATATACCTATGTATTCCCGTTTACACATCCTGGGATGTGTTCTACGGCTGTCCGGGACACCCAGCGCATGAAGGCCAAACACTAAGACAAGACAAGCCAACTTAAGTATGATCGAGGCCGCCTTCGAGGTCGACCTTGGCGACCGGAGTAGATGCATACGACTTCGTCACTGCTGTACAACCACTTTAGTACACATTCAACATTCAAGCCTTACAACGAGTCCACGCGATTAGCATACATTCTGTTCCACACCACACATTCGTCCTTCTGCTGGTACAACCTATCGGGCACCTCACCATCCCCCCTCGCGTTCGCCCTCCTGCTTGCCCTGGTCGTAAGAGCCCTCAACGTTATCGCCGAAGCGCTCGACGCCTTCGGCCTGCAAAGGCGTTAGTTGATTCTCGCGCATGATGGACACGGAAGACACGGACCTTCCTCGCGGCCCAGCCAATCGCACCCCCGATAGCACCTACGATGCCCTCGCCGACGTCCTTCACGTCGCGCTCCGCCGAGCCAACCTTGCCCACCGCGTCAGACACAACTCACGGCCCGCGCTGTCAGGCGCACCTCGTCACCGGCCCATCGCGCCGCGTTGTACGGCGCGTTCTCGACGCCCTGGACGGCCTCGCGCCCAAAGTTGTCGACGTCCTGGCGCGCCTCGCGCCCGAACTGGTCGAAGCCCTGGCGGGTGTCGCGCCCGAAGTCATCCACGTCCTCGCGCGCGTCGCGCCCGAAGTTGTCCACGTCCTGGCGCGTGTCCCGGAAGTCCTGGCGCGTGTCGCGGTACTCGTCGCGCACGTCGTTGTCGAAGCGGCGCGCGTCGCCCTCTACGCCGCCGACCTGTGGGTACGATCGGTGCAGTGAGGTGCGCGATCGGTGGTCAGATCTGTGAGGCCGTGTATGGTGTAGAGGACGAAAGGGGGCGCACCTGGCGGCCAGTCCAGTTGGCTGCGTCGTCGAATTCACGGTCCATAGTGTTGTGAGCGTGGTGCGGGTTGGGTACTGAGTGAATGTATGAGACGCAGAGGGTGAGGGCGTGAGGCCGGTGTGCGGGGTATTTGAAGGCGACGGGGCCGGGCACTGCACGTCGCCGCCGCCAAGCCATCGCAGACGCGCTAAGCAAGGCAATTCCCGATCGTCGTCTGTGTTTGCCACAGCCGCGACTTGACCGCGACAACCGTTTGCATCGTTGGCTCGCCGCTCGCAGGTCCTATGTACCTGATCTTGACTCACTGTTCTGCGTAAACTGCCTGCATGGACTACAAGGAGAGACCAGAGAAGATCATACCAATTTAGGGGCATGCGTTCTCAGTGGTACGTTGACGCTGTTCGACTGAGACATCGCCGTAGTCCAACGTGCAGATTGTCATCCAGCGGTCCAGAGGTCTTGCAACAGTACTGCGATATGACTTGATATTAGCCTCCGAGTCCAGCGCTCGCGACGCATGCAGAACAGCGTCACGGTCGTGCCACCATAAGGCGAACAACCCACATGAGCACTCCAGCCATGCTCGACGATCCAATTATCGGTGCGTACCCCCGCATTCAGACCTTCCATTCGCTAGCCGTGGCGAGATTGCGACCTCAATGTGAAGTTCGGCGGATGGAATGCTTCTCGGTCCCGAGTTCTCTGCAGCCGCTCACGGAACTCGAGAGCCTAGTCCGTCGCCCTGGAACGCGCGATCCACCTGCATAAACGGGGTCGTCCTGCGTTTGCGGTGCGATGTATGTATAGGTCTGGACTTGCGCTTCGTCCAAGATTCCGGGCGTGATGGGTAGGTCGGGCTTAGGTGTGGTGCTTGTTTGGTTCCGGAACCAATACTGAGAGTACTGAGTACTGCAGTGATTGGTGCGCATAGTCTCCGTTGCAATGCACACCCTCTTCCGCCGCACATTCAGCGTGACTGCACCAAACGGCCCGGGTCCTCAATTTCAACGACGACTGTCTCATGGTCCGAATGCAATCATCCGCTTCACATGAGATTCGACAGTGATCTGCTTAGCAGACCCTGGCAGCGTCTCGGATCGTTACATACCAGCTGCGTGGAGTAGCGCGAAGCACATAAAAGTGCTTGCCGTTCTGTTATGGTACGCAAAAGAGACTAGCCTACCCACCCTCGCTGTTGCCGTCAACCCTTCCCAGACGTGCTGACTTCAAGCAATGCACCTGCCCGAACGTCCTTGCTCCATCGCAACCTTACTCACGTATTTACAGATTCCTGCGCCCGACTTGGCAAATGCATGGTCACCGGTTCCCTCAGCATGCAGTTTCACAAAGGTACCGTCCATAATTGGTTATTGTACATACATTTCCGTCCTTCCGATACATTTCCCGAGATGCTCGAGCTTCGCACCTAGCTCCCCCAAACTCGCTCTCAATGCCCATGCGCGCGGGCCGCTCACCACCCGCCTTGCTGCTCGCCCTGCTGCACACCCTGGTCATACGAGTTGTCGACACCACTGCCAAAGTTCTCGACGTCGCGGACCCCATCTCCGATGTCCCGTCCGACATCGGTCACACCGTGGGCCACATCTCCGGCCTGCCAGAAAGATCAAATCCGTGTCAGCTCGTCCGCCGTCGGGATAAGTGGAGGCGAGCGGCATGACCGACCTGGTCGCCCGCCCAGTGCGCGGCGTCATCGGGGGCATCGGCGACGTGCTGGACACCGTCGTCGAACGCGTTGTTGACCGAGTTGTCGAAGCGCTGCACGTCGCCCTCGGCGCCCCCGACCTACCACACCGTCCGGCTGTCAGCTCTAAGGCTGCCTTGCTCGACGAAGGACGGTACGTCTACCTGCTGGCCAGACCAGTTCGCCCCGTTATCGAAGTCGCCCATTGTCTTGCGAAGGTGCTGGTGGTTGCGGGAGGTAGGGTAGAGTGGCAGAGGAAGCTGGAGATGGTGAGAGATAGAACCCGACTGCAGTGTCACTTATACTGGTCGCGAGACTTGCTCGTTCAGGAGGGAGGGCTAATTATAGACCATTGCATCATGGCTATAGGTGCTAGCGCAGGTCTACTACTGGACACCGACTCGCTATTCTACATGGTCCGACAGACTCCGAGCAAAGACAGAAGACGTTCGAACGGTGTTCGCCAATATCGCAAAGTCGGCGCGGTGTCCGGTCGGATGCACTGTCGTCGCGCACGCGCCTCAGGCGCTGCCCGGTGAGTCCGTGGAACGCGCAATATGCACGTCGTCCGTGTTCATCTGTGTTCATCGATGCTCCCAGCGCGCCAAAAGACGAACGTGCAAAACCCAGCGCTGGCCGCTGCAAGACGTTACCGTACTTGTCGTGGATATACGAAGTATCCGATGGATGCGTCCGACCGCACACGATCGACGATTCGTTACCGCTCCTTGCATGCCCTCGCATTCAATGTTCCCATTGGTGAGCTGTGTCAATGATCGCCTGGCGGTCTTGAGTTTTGATGGAATGGGAGTCCACTCGTTCTCGAGTGTCCCGCAGCCGCCCTGGGTCGAAGAACCCCAGATCCCACCTTAAAGCTTGATCAAAGGGGTCGCTGACGATGTTTGATGTTGTGGTTTGTAGGTCTGGCCTTGCGCTTCTGAAAAACGTTTGAGGGACGAACGTGAGGCCTTGAGGGGCAGCACGCGCTCGGGCTGTCGGACACCACTTGCAGATGTATGGCGAGTCTATGCATGATCAGTGCTCGCCAGCGCATTTCAGACCACCGACCGAGTCACTACACGTGTATCAGGGTTCGCTGTGTTCGCCGTCGTATTTGAGGACGATTCTATCTGTATTCATCGGGCGGGTATTCACACGAAAGCTTGGCCCGAGATCAGAACTCGGTCGCAGATCAGCATGAATATGCGTTACACTGTACCTCACTAGAACAGGGTCGACGTCGACGAGACAGACACGAGTCCTTGTGGAATAATCAATGGTGGTATCATTGCTGGCCCTGCGGAACACTCGTCGTGCAGCCCTGCACGTCGCAGATCTACGCTACGCAGGCACGAGCAATGAGTTAGCGATTATCGCGCCCGGTGTCGCCGACCTGCCATGGAAGAACGTGACATTAATTCATGCGAGATAAATGGTCACGTCGGACTCGAGGTGTATTCAGCTTAGCGAAGACGGCTGTGTAGTCTACCCTAATCTTCTGGGAAGTACACCGGGAGCACGGAGATGGCGATGCGACACGGGAATGCACGTCCGAGTAGCACAATCAACGATAATGATGCTTGAACAGTGCTCTGCTCTGCTCAAGCGTCACTATCAAGACAGGCCCGGCACGCGAACTCACCTTCCCGACATCCTGTACAATGGTTGTGGGCTGTCAACATCTCGCCGGCCCGGGGCACAGCGACGTCATCGCCGTCCATGCTGTCGACTGCTACGATATGTAGCCACGAGCTTATCTGAGGGGTTGATTAATTCGCAGGCAAGACGGGGAAGAGTGGGGACCTGGCCCGACTGTCTGGGACAATATTGTGCACCACTGACAGCCTTCGTGAACGTTTGAACGCAGACGATGAGGCTTTGAGTGTCACTCACAGGCGCAGGTGCACGGGGACGACATCTTCACACACCAGTGCGCCCACCACAACTCACGGGTACACCGTGGCAGGGCATTGAGTCCGCGTTGCCGCCGGCCGGGCGCGCTGTCCTGTCGACGCCATGATCTCTGTAGACGACCGACGGATCCGCCTCACTGCGCAGGCCCGCTCGTTCGCGGGTGCAGTTGGAGCAGCGTTTGAATAGAGCGCTGTAGGTCCGCGGGCGATCGCGAGGACACGCCCGTCTTCAACCGCGTTCACATGACACGCCGGCGGCCTGGAGCACGCACAAGTGGACGGTGGGGACGCCCAGACAGGAAGGTGTCGTGAAACGACGTACGTCACCATGGCCACGGGACCAGGCCAGCGATGCGGCGACCAAGGACGACAGACGGCCGCCACACGCGCAAGAAAACGGATGAGCGGGTTCCCGCCATCGAGCCTTCACTGCGACACCGGCACTTGGTCCAGTTCTTCCGTGGGGGTTCCCTGCGGACGACGGGGCCTGCATGTTGGCTACTGGGGCCTGAGGACTGTGGCGGTATGGTGTACGCGGGAAAAGGCTAGCGTACGTACCAGTTTGAAAACATCAGTGAAATACAATGCGTGCACGCTCCATGGTGAGAGCGAGCTGTCATGCTCACGCATGGTGAAGCTGCCTGTGGCGGTCTGGTCTGTCACGTAGACTGGAAATTCGAGAGCTCTGGGGCTCACAACAACGTCATGGTTACGCTGGTCGCAGTGGTCTGTTGTCCACTCCCGTTGCCTGGCTCGACAAGGCGGCCGCGCCGGCGGTGATGCATTGATGCCGGTGTCGTAGTCCTGGTCCCCTTCCGCCGGTCTTGTATGTTCGTGTCACGTACCAGCATAACAACAACAACATTGCCGGAAATCCGGGTTCGAAGAAGAAACGGCGCATGTGTGGCGTGACGCGTCCGAGTATGTGGATGAGTCGAGGCCCGGATCGCTGCGTCTGTCGAACAAAAGCGTGATCCCACTAACCTACGCAGAAACAGAATGAGCGTATCACGACTCACCGTCGTCCCGCTCGCCGTCGCCTCAGATCAGTCAAATGCACCACCGAGGCGAGACCACACCGGGCGATGCAGTGCCAGTGGACGCGAGAAGTCGATTCACGTCGATGTGACACCGGTAGTCGCGAGAAGCTGGACGACAATGGCGGGAATGAGCATTGTTCGCCGGATATGGGAGCGCGGTGCCCAGTGAGGCAGCGATCGAGAAGGGCGCGAAGAAAGTTCCAAGCATGGAGGGCGGTCGCGCCTCGGACTCGCAGGCGGCGTCCATGCGGTGGCACGGGCAGGTATGGAAGGCGCGCGCCGTGCGGGGCTCAGATCCCGGAGATCTGCCGTCCCTTCGGTGGGCCCTGGACGTGCTTCTGTGATCGAAGCGATGGTACACACTGTGCAGTGCACAGTACCGTCGTAGTGATTCGCCATATAGATTCGGACCGTAGAAATGCCTACGAGTGCAAGTCGTTTCTTAGCTTCTAAAAAACTTACAGTTCACGCATACCGGTATGACAGACCTGGCACCGGCGGAAGTGCGGTATGATACCTTTCACAGTCAGGCAGTCTGTCAGCCATCGTCAGAACTAGTGTACTGACAAGTAGCGTAGTTGGCAGACAGCTTCGACGCGTACGAGAACTGATAAATGCAGTGCAAGGCGGTGGATTGCGTGCATACCACACGTATGGCGAATATCCTCGATATATGCGGTCCACAGTGTGCCACGCAGTGCATCTTTCGAGAACTCATATGGTACCACTGGGACGACCCGCGCCTGCTTACTCATAATTATGGGTGCTTCCGTGAAGAGCTAGTGACCTACGAAGAAGCGGCCAAGACGGTGGATGATCAAGTCCTCACTGGCATCGCGCAACCTTGTCTGACGCCGAGTAGCGCATTCACAGTCATCTCAGACCACCGGTGCACCCTTGACTGGCAGGGTGCCCCGAACGCGTCGGGTCGGCGTCGGGGCGCGATGCGTCCTAGGCCTAGAGCCCAAGGCCAACAGCCCGAGTCAGCGTCGAAAGAACATTCAGACACCAGAAACATCCCAGAACTCCAGGGTGATGCAAAAATGCGCCTGCCTGCTGGATCTTGGGGTGCTTGGTGAAATGGACGAGGCGTGCGTGATCGCGAACCGCGCCTGGCGCGAAATAGGCTTTAGCATGCGTCCGCGACCAGACCGGGGCTGCACGGGGTGGTCTGGGCCCTCCGCCCGCGGTCTGCGCAGAGTGACGGGGGTTGACTCGGAGGCGCACATCATCTCGCCGACGCCGTTCCACGCGTGATCTGTCACCATCGTCACCGCGTCACCTCGTTACACAGCACTCAAAATTACAGCCCGCACGCGTCATGCCGCCGGGGATGGTGTGAGCGACGAGTCCCCGTTCCCATCCCGTCCGCTTTTAGACATGCGCAGCGGGGTGACTGCAAGATCCAAAATCCAAAATCGCCGCTGACGGAGGCTGTGACGAGTCCGTGACGCTGTCGGATCACGCTCGACCGTCCCCTGAGACGAGCAACGCTCGCGCTCAGCTGACTTGCCCATCTGTCCACGCTCGTCCGTGCCACTCGGCCACAGCGCTTGCGGGCGGCGCAGGCGCCCGGTGTGACGGGTCGCGCGCGTCGCGTCACGCCATCCTGGCGCGTCATTTGGGCGGATGACGTCACGCGGCGGGCAGCCCGCGTCCCGACGCACGGGCGTTGCGCGCACTCTATCCGTATCGGGCCATCGGGGGACCGCGCACGGACCGTCACCATGCGACGCGGCCGTGGATGGACAGAAAGGGTGCGGGAGATCGTTCTCCGGGAGCGAGGACCTGTCTGGGGACGGACTCGGTCCTGGCTTGGCTCGAGCGTGCCTCGTCCCCGGTCGCGGCGATATGAGAGGATCCTTGTCTGCGTACATAGGTGCTGTCTGGGCTATGAGACTGAATTGAGCTATTAATTGGGGGCGTGTGTATGCGCCACTGGCGTACTGAAGCAAGCTTTGATTGTCAAGCACGGGGCCGTGCCAATCATGACGAGGACCACTGTACTCGATTTATAACATCTCCACGTCGAGGGAATGCAAGTTATGCTCGCACCAATTGAGGTCTTCGTGATCCTGATCGCCCCGAGCTGACTTAGATAGAGAGCCTGTCAGCGTGGATCGCAGGAGCGCACTGGAACAGGCCGAGATAGAGTCGAGCAGTGACATAATTGTCCGGGAATGGAGGATTCGCGCGGTTTATCGCATCGGCGGTAATGCAGGATTACGGAGAGAGGCTAGGGAGAACCGTCTGGAAGTAGAGCGGGACGCACGAGACGTGGACAGCGCTGGGAGACGACAGCTGGGCGAACGCGGAGGAGGTGCGCGGGCGAGGACGGTCAGCATCCGCATCAGAGAAGCGGCGCGAGAAGGGAGAGCTGGCACGGAGGAGGTACGTGCGCTGCCCATATCAGCTGAGAAGACGCGGGTGGCGTCGTACGCATCCGGCCATTGCGCCATGCTGCTCGCTGCGACGTGCGGTCCCATTCAGTCCACGCAGGCACGTCACGCATCCGCTGCCCGGTGCACGCAACCGATTGCGTCCGACGCGGTGCTACCCCGGGCGAGCAGACGCTCGCGAAACAGGCAGCGTATCGGACGCACTGAGGCGAATGTGCACGAACGGGCGAGCCGCCTGCGTGACGGTGTGTCCGGGCGAAGCACGCGATGGATGTCGACTGGGGGGGTGACCGGGGCGCCAAGCAGGAGCAGGGATGGCCTGGCTGCGACTGGGATGGTACACCGGCTGCGAAGACGGTCGACAGGCAGAGGCGGCGTCTGGAATACACGTTTGCCGGGAAAAGAAAGGGATCTGGAGAACGGAGGCGGCGCACGCGGGCGGACAATGGGCACAAAGCCATAATGAAACGTGCGCTACTGTGAGCGGCCGGCGTGTGACGGCGCGTGACGGCGCTGCCCAAAGGGGCAGATGCCGAGGGGCAGGCGGGCGGCTGTCACGCGGCGGTGACGGCGAATGTCACGGAAAAGCGAGTCAAGTGAGAATTTGGCGTGCCTCGATCGCCTTCACACCCCTTCACAAGCCATCCCTTTATATTCCTCGTCTGCATGCTCGCCTGGCCCAAGACACCCCCGCCCCCCAGCCGCGTATAAGACCTCTGTCGCCGCCGTCTGCGTCTTCCTTCTCCCCGCCATCTTGCTGCCCTGCACGCTCCCGCCATGTACGAGGAAGTCTGCCTCCTCTGCGGTCGCCCAGTCTCCGTCGATGGGTGCGTTCCCCGCGCTATATCCGTCGCCCGCCAGTCGCTAACCAGCTTCTATTACAGACGGGCATACTGCAGCGACGAGTGCGAGAGCCTCGACACTGCTTCCCCCTCCATCTCCACCTCGTCCAGTGCCCTCGCCTCGCCGTACCTCCGCTCAAACAACGGCCCCGGCAGCCTCGCCGACGTCCCTGCCCTCGTTTCTTCCGCCATCGGACGTTCACTGCGCGCGCCGGCGTGTCAAAGCACAAGAACCGGCACTCCATCTCGTCGTCCTCGACGTCGTCCGCTATCTGGTCCGTCTCCACAGACGAGGAGGACGAACTCGCTAGCGCCGGTCCCGATGAGGACCTGCTGCCCGGCTCCGGTACCGAGAGTGCAAAGCCTGCAGATCCTTTCCTGTATCCGTTCCAGCCACGCGGTGCAGGCCTGTCTTACGCCCGACGCCCGTCTGGTACCAACCAGCGCTCGACTGTTCCGACATTAAACCGACATACGTCGGCGACCTCGAGTCCCTTCGCGGGCACAGGCTCGCCTCGCAGCGCACCGCCGCCTTACTCGCCCGCTGAGGAGGAGTTCCCCGACGTCCCCCAGACGTCGACGTCGATCCGCTCCGCAGGCCCGCACGGGCGCGGCCGGCGCAACCGCAGCAGCTTTGCGAGCGACCCCTCCAGCGAGCAGGAGATCGACCACGAGACGACCGTCACCTCCAAGCCCAAGCGCAACAGAGCCAGTCTGCCTGCATACTTCTCCCTGCTCACGACGTCAACGTCGTCACCGACGCCGCCCCGCGCACACGGACGCCCTCCTCCTGCAGACTCTCACAGCGATCACGCGGTCCTTCCAATCATCACCTCCCACACCCCGCGTCGCGGCGCAACCTATGCTCAATCCGGTGACGCCTTCTCCCAGGTCCACTTCAAGCCCCAGCCTGGCCCGAGCGAGCGTGGACGAGGTCGCAAGCGTGACTCGGAGGCGCGCTCGGCATCGAGCCGTCGCTCGACACAGCGCTCTCCTCCGCGTCAATCTCGTGCACGCGCCTCGCCCTCGCGCTCACCGCCTCCCTGTGCGCACCACCGTGTCCACATCGGCTCGCAGGCCCGTGCGAGGCTGGACAGCATCGAGAAGGTCGCGGACTGGGTGTCCAACAGCCCTGCGATCCCCGTGCGTGGGCGGGCGCTCACTCGCCGAAACAGCTCCCCGCCGGTGAAGCCGAGGTCGATGCTATGCTGGAGAGGCGACGGAAGAGGATGACATCGCGGCCGTGCGAGAGGTCCTTGCGAAAAGCCTCCACTTCCACCCTGACCATGACGATATCTACGTCGCTAGCCGTGACCGCAGGGGCCGGCGGCGACCCGACGAGCTGGATCAGGGCCCCGTTGCCGTCGACGGCTACCGTGCGCCAGGCTACGGCGCCGGTCGCAGCGGCTTGATTTCTCGTGACTGCGAGCGAGAACGCGGGCGCCCCTCGCGCGGCACTAGCTGTCTCACGTATTCCCTGCTCTCATCAGCATGAACGAACACAGACGCAAAATCACGACTGGAACTATGCACGATTCATCTCAACGATACCAGCACCGCTCATCTCTGTATAGACGCAACATGTCCGCCTTCTTGTCTCCGCCGCAAAACTTCTCGCACCGCCTGCCTGTCATCTCCGCCACCCCCACACTCAATCGTCTCCGCATCGTCTTCCTCGCTCCTCGCATCCGCAGTCCATCTATCGTCGGTATCTCAACATATCCTGTGCAGGCCCACTCCGCTTTCTCCGTTTCACCTCCAAAACGCCTCTCGCCCGTCCGTCGCGAACCGTGCACCTATTTGCTTCGAATGCACAGCGACGCCTGGCTGGCATGATGCCTGCGAGTGCGTCCCGTCGCCCCTATCTCCGCCTGGGTAGGGGCGCGAACTCGCCGGCGCCGGTGTTACCCTATCTATGTATCTATACGACGCGGTCAATTATGCCTGCTCCAGCGCTTCCCGTCTTCGCGAAGGGACTCGGTGGGGAGGCCGGCGGCTGTCGCGTTTAGGTTCGGGTTCGGTTGGTGTTACCCCATTTCTTAGCTTCGCGCTCGCGTTCCAGCTCAAAATGATCTGCGCCTGTTCGTCTTCATTCGTTTTTCTTTTCGTTCGACTCTATGCTGTACGTGACACAGTTCATACCACTTCTACCTTCACATCGCAAAAAGGGGTTGGTTGCTCTTTCACTTCACCGGTAGCACACGTTCGGTTCGGCTTCTTCTCTCGTACTCCTCACTCGTCGTTGAAATGCGCATCACGTTCACGTACGTCTATATCTCACGGTATCTAAGCACCTTGCATCGTCGCTTTGCTCTCTCCCCATCACACACTGCATCACCGTAACCGTCACCGTCACCGCTCACACATTCCCCCCATCTCCTTGACAGTCCGACCGCAGTTACCATTCACTACCGTCCGTTATCAACGAAGCAGAAATATATCCTTGTGTAATACCAGTAGCGATCTAGGCCCTGCGTAATCGACCGGAGTACCCTTGTATCCTCGCTGTGTGATGTGCGCCCGGGCGTTGTTTGGCTGGCTGGGTGTCACGTCTGCGGGGGGTTTGGTCTGTTGGTGTTGGGATTAGCGCGACGTGCGACGGGAGGCTTGGAAGGGCAGATGACTGGAGGCGGGCGGCACGAGCGTGATGGGCCCGGGGAAGGACTTCTAGCTCGATTGTGACACGGTGACTGGGATTGCGAACGGCGGCGACTAGCTATAGGAGCACCGCTGACCGTCTCGGTGTGACTGGAAGGGGCCTCCTTGCGGGTTCCAAGAGGAAAGAGGCAGGAGCCTGCGGGCGCCCCGCGCCGTGATTGGACGGGAGAAGCGTATATGGCTCTGGTGCAGGATGTGCGGAGGAAGTGGGCGAGCGGAGGGTTCGCGAAGACGCGGCGTCGGAGGCGTCACGGGGAGTGGGTGCGCGTAAAGCTTGTCTTCGGCGTGCCGGCTGCGTGGAGAGGATATGACGATGTGTCTGTGCGATGAGATGCGGTCTTACGTTGACGGCCTGTGCGTGTGGGCGCGGTGCGCGTTGTATTGGCGTGTGGAGGATACTGTACGTTGCAGTGCATACATTGATCCCGGCATCCCGAGAAATGCGGGCCCGAGTCCGCATGAGCGAGCAGTGGGAGCGGAGTCTTTACTGCCAGTAGGAACTCGCGCGCGATGCGGCCGCCTCCGTCAAGTCCCCGTTCTAAGAAAATAAGAGAGTCAGCACACCTCAGGACCACCGGGATGTTTCAGTCCGCCACGGACAGGATGCGTTGTCCGTGAGTCCAATGGAACCTTCGACGACTTTAACTGAAGGCGTCTTCCTGTCATCTTTGTATGATCGCACCCTCGAGGACATCCGCATGTTCTTACTATAACTTCTTCCCGGTGGAATCTGGCACTCACGAGTTATGACCACTGTCCGCGTGTGCGACGCCACGAAGCTGTCCAGGTCACTTAGAGTTTACAGGCGCCGGGTGTCGGATACGCAGTGCATGTCACTGTGTCCGGTGCACACCGCATGTGGCCTTCTTTCGTTTCCCCGTACGCACGCGGAGCTGGCCGGAGGATATAGACAGCATACTAGGGACCCAGGTGTGGCGTCAGGATGCGGCTGCGGAAGGTGAGACTGACTTACTCCGAAGAGTCCGACGTATTTGTTTTGGGAGAAACCTGGCACCGCTCAGCCTCAGTGAACGGTTTGTCCGTATCCAAGGAGGTGGTGGGATGACGCGGATGACATCGGGGGACCGCCACCGGGTCAAATTCCAAAGCCTATGTTTCTGCCGTCTCCGGAGGCGTGATCAAGGAAAGACCTGGAGTTTTCCGAGACGATGAGTACAAACCGAACGTACAAGCGTGACATGATGCGGCCATACGAAATCGTACCCATCTGGCGTGCAGCGGCAGACGAGGCACATGGATGTGGTCGTGAAGGTGACGAGGGTGGGCACGCGTTTGCCAAGTGTTTACCACAGGCCTGCCACATCATGGTGAGGATAATCCGGGACGGAGTACGATCAGCCAAATTGTCTGGAACCGTGACTGGGCCCACCGTCGATTGCAATGTCACGAAAGACTCGCAGCGTAGCACACTCGGATTGTACGCGGGTGTCGTCCCCGCTGAAGGAACGACTATTCGCGAGGCAGCACAGACATCGATGAAGTTGAACCAAAGTTGAACCAGTTCCGAAGTCAATGGGCAACGAAACGGCTTATGTCAGCAGACATCAAGTGTTGAGTATCAAATAAGGCAGGTGCAGTAGTTGCGAATTTGGGGCTACGTAGCGTCACGGTGAAGACCCTGAAGGGTGCTTAGACAGACACCTTGTCACTTGCACCCCATAATGCACCCACGCAATTAGTAAGAAGTCCAGATCCCGTCTCTCAACGGTATACGGTAACACGTACAGTAAGTAATGAAGGCACTAGGCCCGGGAATAAATGGGGTCTGAGTGCACAGGCGCATCACATACTTATTCTGGGCCTCAGCATCGGCCACATCCATTCATAGCCTCAAGCTTTCCGAATACCAGTGTACTACCGGCCACAATTTTCAGATATTTTTCTTGCTATCGTAAGACGCAAGAACAGATGTACGCACCAAAGCGGCTGTCATGATGCGGCGGCCCGTGTCTCAGGCGTAGGCGTATCATGACGCCAGCCCGGATGATGAAGCCGTCGCTGCACGGCCTGTATGGTAGAAGCGAGCGCCGTGTATACAGAATGCTCAGGGCATATTCAATACAAGACGTTGGCCACTTCTTCGTTGTTGGACAAACCGCAGACCCTTTGTCCTGATTCCTGAAGGCGATAGGCTAGACCGGGTACTAGTCGAATGACAACAATATTCATCTGCTCGAGTCTACGTCACAGGCCATCATAAGACGACTATCAACTGCCCTAGCATACACCTAGTCGATCCCAACAGCACACAGCCTCCACTTACTTGTCTACATAGAGCTTGGCCCTCGCGGACAATAAAAGGAATCGAAAAGAAATCTACCCTGTCCTCCTCATGAATAAAGTACGTTCGAGTAATGCCTGAAGCGACACCGTTAGCAAATTCATGTGGATTCATCATACGTCGTAACCCAGCCATGAGGTTGTATCGTAGACGATTCGATGATAAATGTTGGTACTGACTCTCGGAGCACCGGTGCGTACCGCCGGTATGCCACCGCCGCCTTGTAAACGATACAGTCAGGCCCAGTGGTACAGGCCCCGAACTCCATACAAAGGTAGAGGGAGACATTCATGGCTCGTTCGACGTCCAGCAATAGACCAAGTGTGTATCTTAGCTGCCACCCGCATCGTCTCGAAACGGTCATACCCCCAATTTTTCTCAAGCGACGAACATCGGGGAACTTACGTTGTCTCACTAGTCCATGTCTGCGCTCTCCCACCCTCCGACTCGGCATGTCCGTTTGTGTATCGTAGTATATGTATGGTACCAGTGACCGACGCACTGCGTCGCAAGATAGGTGTCCCAAAGCCACAGCCGCGGACGCCCTGTATCAGCGGATACAACACGTCGCCTTTCCACAGCGGAAAGTCACATAAATCTGAGACGCACCGTCGTGAGCCCGAAACAATGTTGTCACAAACGCGTCCGAACTTGGCAGCCCAACCCGGCGGAGAGGCCGCGGAATATGATCGGTTTGGCTTCCACGCTGGGGTTTCGCGCCCCGAGACAGACACATCGCATGGAGACGTCTCCGAGTCGGACAATAAGCTACCTGATTGCCTGTAACTTAGTGAGCTGCAACCACAGCATGCCGTGAGCTGACGGACATGGCGCGTGACGATGCTTACATGGATTACACGCTTTGCGTGTAAGCAACGGATGGTCGGGATACAGCGCCCCGTGTATACAGATGTATGTGCAGTCAGAGAGATCAAACACGGCCGACGCGCTGCTGACGCTGGGGTCACGACTACTTGAAACGAGAGTAAGCATTTGGTATCTTCCCGGACGCAACCGGTAGGTGTCACTTACCGGTGTTCAGCAGGCATTGCCCTTGATTGCGCCCGTGGGTATCATCATGAGCAAGCCGAGTATTACACACGGCCACAATAGACGACGTGATGTTTGAACTTTCATAGCATACGCAGTCACGTACATGACGACAGTGTGGCGTCTGCTGGCTGCAATTCAACATCGACACAGGAGAGGGGCTCTGGTAGTCGGCTTCCCTTTCTTTCGAAACCCTTCACATCGGGTGCCCGGACCTTGGGCGAGGTATGGGGGTCTTGAAGTAGTTCGGATCATGGAGTCAGCGTGACGAATCGAGACGGGCATCGAGGGCATTAACCAGGCGCTGCTCCTTTCATTGCATGAAAGGAATGTAGGCAACCTAAGAAACCATCGTGCAGAAGCGGTCACCGTAGAAAGTGGTCTTGTGGCACGTGTAATCACAGATCTCTACGTAGTGATTGCCCTGCGCATAGAACAGTGAGCTGCAAACGAAAGTAAGCGAGTGGGTCATTGACTGTGGGCACTTATGAATTGCTCGGCCGTTGCAGAATGAAGCGCACCACGACAGAGCGACTCGTACTGGAATGCCGAGACTATACACCCAGTCGTGGAAGATTCCGGCTCCAGAGCAGTTGACACATCCAGTAGTTCAGGCAACATTGTTGGTTCTACGTTGCTTCGCTCTATTTAAGTACAGAAGGGGTTGATCCTCGTGTCAGTTCGATGGTCCACTCACCAAACTGAAGCGCGAGGCTTCGCATCGACATGTCGTGCAGTGCATGGCACGAAACCAGCAGTGCTGATCAAGATGCGATGTCAGCAATCTACAAGCGAAGAAGGCGTGTACGAACAAGCTCTGATGCGATTGAAGCTCGATAGGCAAGGCTCGCGCCAGGTGCACGGGAAAGAGCTCTTTTGTTGCAAAGCCCTGCTCTCAACGACACACGACGGTCGGAGCTGGCGATAGCAATACATTTGGACGAGATTCGCGCGTATCCGGGCCGCAGAAGGGCAGCCATTATCGATGCAGGGCATTGGTGAACTCAGGTTAGACAAAGACGTAACGAGGCGATATACGCCCGCTCAGCTGTACGACGAGCGTGACCACCGTATCGAGTAGACTCTGAGCAGAGCGGGCTGCTGGCGGTATAGTGAGATGATGGCAGTTCGGGAGAGAGAGGCCTGCGTCGGAGTCCGGCGTTGTGGTATTCCCCAGGCGGTAGACGCGTGGCCGTAATGAGGGGTGTGCGCACCCGAAGCACATCTACCACGACCTGACATGCTGCAGACCGACTGAGCTGAGCCTGCCTTTATTCGCAACCTCCTCGAGTGTCTGCACTCGCAGATAACACCGCTCTACACAGTTGAACCCGTACCACCATCGTCACCATTGATTCATACGGCGAGCGCAGTCCATCGCGGGTCACCTCGCCGCACCAGACACCAGTCCTGGAACCCAGTGATACCACCTTGCCACAGCTCGTATCCCCGCTTCTGAACACTGCGCAGCGACCGAGGACACCGTCGCGGAGGACTAGCCTGATTCCATCCATTCGGCCGAGGTCTGAACTCGAGGAAGGCGACCCCGAGTCCTCGACTTCCCCCGTCCTCTCCTCCAGCCCCGCTCCTTTGTCTTATCTTCATCCGTCTGCTGGTATCGCGCGTACTTCGCCGTCTACGACTGAGTTTCGCCGAGAAACCGATCCAGACTTTCGACGTGCCAGTAAGCGGCAGAGGATCGACAGCCAGAGTTCGTCTGCCTCATTCATCGAACGCTCTCTCCTCTCCCAAGACACGTCCTCATCCTCCGTCCTCGAATCCACCGCCATGAGACCCACAGAGCCTGACCAAGAGTCGGCTGTGTCCGTACAACTTGAAATGCCCGAAGCAGGCCCTTCGTCTGTGCCAGGGACCTCTAACGGGCATAACGGCTCTGCTGCCAAGCAGAACGGCTACGGTAATTCCTACTCAAATGGTTATTCGAAAGCATCCGCCACAGATGCCACGAATGGAGGCAGGCCCGAGAAGCAGGCGATGTCTACTACGAGGGTGTCTTTGCCTGGATCGACGCTCTATGACGACTCGTATGTGGACCGGGAGGAGTTTGTGAGGCTGGTAATACAGAGCCTGAGAGATGTGGGTTACATGTGAGTATTCTGCTGTGCAGTCGTCTTGCTCCTGCTAATGCCTTGCGCCGCTGAAGTGAATCTGCCGCCACTCTGGAGGCTGAGTCAGGATATACCATGGAGAGCTCTGAGGTCGCGGAGTTCAGACGGTGTATTCTGGATGCAGATTGGACGCGAGCGGACGCCGCCTTGATGCGTCTTGGTGTCGCGGACGACGAGAGACTCTGGGTACGTTCAAGCCTTCATATGACGTTGACCCCACGTCTGACGCCCACCACCTCTTGCAGGAGGCCAAGTTCCTCATCAGCCAACAGAAATACCTAGAGATGCTAGAGGCGAACAAGGTCACCGCGGCACTGCATGTGCTACGGAACGAGCTTGCGCCGCTGAACGTAGACCGTGATCAACTCCATGCATTATCGAGGTTCGTCTCAGTCATAGCGGGACCGGGTCGTGCGTGCTGACCATATTGCAGTCTCATGATGTGCTCAAATCCTGAAGACCTACGACAACGAGCAGGGTGGGACGGCGCGTCGGGACATTCCAGGCGACGCCTACTTGGTAACCTGCAACGTCCGTCTTCCTTTGCACTCTTTTCTCTGCACGGTCCTCATATATCTTACTGCACAGGATACATACCTTCATCCGTCATGATCCCGCAACGAAGATTTGCCACACTGCTCGACCAGGCCCGCGCATATCAACAAAGCCTGTGTTTGTACCACAATGCACCATCGAACTCACGGACGTTCTCTCTATATACCGACCATCTATGCGATAAGGACGCGTTCCCTCGAGTCACGACAGCGATTCTGGAGGTTCATACAGACGAGGTTTGGAATCTAGAGTGGAGCCACAGCGGTAACTTTCTTGCATCGGCGAGCAAAGACAAGACAGCGATCATTTGGAGGGTCGAGGTAAGTTCAGCATCTGTGTCGGAGATTCTACCGATGCTGGAGCGTAAGTGCATGTACTAAGCGGTGTTTCTATAGCATGACAAAGACCCGTCAATACGAGAGATCTCGCAACAGTTCATCCTCCGTGACCATCCATATCCCGTAGGATGCGTAGCATGGTCGCTTGACGACTCTATACTGCTGACCTCCGCCGAGGATCACATCAAGCTCTGGAACACCAGGGTAAGAGCGTCCTCCGCCTGCGATCTCATATCTTGGTTGAAACGTCCCTGCAGACTGGGCTGTGCGTGAGGTCCCTTGAGGCACATTCAGATGTCGTAACAGCACTGGCCTGGCTTCCCGACGGGTCTGGCTTCATCTCGGGTGGCCTTGACAGGAAGATTATCCTCTGGGTATGCCCTTGTCTACTCTTGTCCCGTCTGACTAGCCTTTCATTGACTTCGATCAATTTCCTAGGATGCCGATGGCAAGCAGCGAGACTCATGGGGTCAGACCCCAATCCGGGTGACCGACCTCACTGTCACCCCTGACTTCACGCGTCTGGTTGCTGTCGGCATGTACGATGTACCTACCAATGTACCAGGCCCCACCGCCACGCCTCCGGAGAACGGAAATCAGCCAGGCGCAGGACGAACCGCTGAGAACCGAGTGATCGTGTACGATCTGTTAACGAAGCAACCACAATTGTAAGTGCTTCCGAAAAGAGAGGCCGCCAATGCCCGGAATTAATTGTTCCCGCGCCTAGGTTCATTCCTGTGGACGGGGAGCTGACGAGTGTGGAGGTTTCTGAAGACTCACGATACGCACTGATCAACCGTGCACCCGAGCCCAATGCTCCATGCGTACGTACACATGTCTCCGTCCACGCTCGCTTGTCTGACAACTATGACAGGAGATCCACCTGTGGGATCTTGAATCGGAGCGAATAGCGCGGAGATACCTGGGCCACAAACAATCCAAGCATGTCATCCGAAGTTGTTTTGGTGGGATCGATGGCAGCTTCGTCGCTAGTGGCAGTGAAGGTACGCCGGTCATCATTGCACCCGCTGTGCCGTCGCCCACAAGATCCGTGCTAATGTCGGAACCGCGTACCCCGTCTATTATAGATGCAGTTGTCTACATCTGGCATCGTGACACAGGGACCCTGCTCGAGGCCCTGTCCGGTCACGGTCCGGGCAGCGTGAACTCGGTCGCCTGGAACCCGCGGAACGAGCGGATGTTCGCGTCGTGTTCGGACGATAAGACGATACGGATATGGGAGGCACCACCTGTGCACGTCGTGGGCGTCCCCGTAGATGCCGAGGACCCGCGACAGGCACACGAAGTGGATGGTAAGGGGAAGGGGAAGAGCCGAGAGCGGTGGGACGGCCAGGCAACGGGTTCTAGTTACGGACTTGGGTCGAGCTCTGGCTCGACGTTGCTGTGAAGACAGAACGTATCTGTCATGCTGATATGGTAGGTCGCATGCATTGGCTATCGGTTTTCGTTGCATACGGAATTTTACAACTATCATCGCCATTATACTCCATCTCGCTGCATCACCCGTTGCATGTCGCTCTGTTTAATCGTCACGCTAACGTCCACTTGCACACATGACATCTCTCTTCGCATATAGAACTGTAAACGCGTCTGAACTAACATGTACATTTACCAAATTGACACTCGGACGAAGCGGAATGATTCCGATCATGCTCAGCTGAGCAAGAACGCGAAGTGCCTGTCGCGTCTGTGGCGTGTGAATCAGAGATACACAACGCGCTACGCGACGCGTCCGTTGTTCTCACGGTCTCCCGCTGTCGTTCACAAGCCATTCCGAGTTCGCTGAAGCCTGAGTGATACTGTTAGTACCGTTCCCCATTGAACAGACATTCACGCTGATCCCCAGTCAGCTTATGTGTTGCTGCTGCCTTCACGCATTAATAGATGCCTGTAACATGACACAACTCGGAACACTGACTCCACTTCCGCACGGACTGTCTCCAGCCTGGGGCATGTCCATGGCGGAGGTGCAGATAGCGGTTCATTTCTAGTGGTAAGCGCGATTGACCTTACTGAGAACCCGCCGACTCGCAGCCGTACCCTGATTCCCCTTCGCCGGCGTGCTATCCTATCCCGTTTGAATGACAGAAGCATCTTCAAATCCCTGTCCGAGCTCGCCGCTGACTCGTATGTCCTTAGGGCCGGGGTGCTGCTGATCTAAAAACTGCGCAGTCTGGTTCTTTAGGCGTGCCATGGGATATGTGGACAAAACTCAATAATCAACGGCAATGTGCGAGATAATTGTCGAAATTAGTGAGTGCCGTGTGCTACTACTAGTATGACACCTCAGCAGACACATTGGGTCCTTAACTGCGGCTGGCATTTTGCGATATGCTCTGTGGGTTCTTGGCATTCTGTTTCTGGCAAGCTCTGATCGAAAATCGTCCTGAAGGTTTGGTGTTACATACGAGTACTCGACGCACACATCTTCCAGTGTAGATAGTGCGGGTCTCTCGGGTCAAGTTACATCCGCTAGAGGCATCGTCGGGCTACGGGCTTACGGCTCAGAAATGCCACACCACTACTAGCCACCGTAAGGAGCACGCCGAATCCCTTGCGATCCTCAGATATGCTGACACTTCGCCTCAGGTTCAGGCTGCGGTCAAATGTGTTAATAGCTGCCGCGACGATAAACACCGAATCGGTATGTCTTATTCCTCCGCCTATCTACATCTACGTCTTCCTCTTTGCAGAGTAGCAGCCCTGGTCGACTGCTGGGAACTTTGCAAGAGGTATTTGAAGCGATCCACCGTGGCTCAGCTACCGCCGAGTCTCTTCAGCGCACTGCAATTATAACCGTTTGCGCACAGATCCAATCCATATTCGTGCATTCCACAGTGGGATGAACTTCTCCGTCGCTAGTATTATATATGAGTGCCCCTCTATCTGTCAAATCATAATTAGCGGGGTATGTAGTACGTCGCAGAGAGCGCATGTGCGACTTGGTCTGCACTGAGGTCGAGGCCCTAACACTGACCCATTCTGACGATGTCTGCATGTGGTCTCGGCGCGTATGCTCAGGGTCTACAATACAATTCTGTTCCAATAAGTGACAGCGCATGCCGGAAGCTCCCATTCTGACGACATGGTTTTTTATTCGTAATGGCTGGACGCTGCGGAATGGTGCGGCTCGTGTCTAATTTTGTCGCCACACAGCTCTTGGGCGCTCTAAGCACACTAGTACGTCTACGGCTGTCTGTGGACTTGCTCGTTTTTCTCGGTTGCCTGTCGTTGGTTACGGTTGCAGGTACGCTAACGAGCACGACGCAGAACTCGATGCGATATTCACGGAGATGGCCCTCCCACCATGTCACTTTGAACACCGGCTCAATCGGAACCAGTACGAGTTTGTTGGATTACGTCGTCCCCGTTCGGCCTAGACCGCATTTACGACAGCCTCTGACCTTACATGCACGTCGACAGCTGCCCTGTAATACTCATTCGTTAACCGACAGATCCCCTACACGTTGCAACGCCGATTCGTTCGACTTTTAGCCAAGAATTACGGGGCAGTGCGCTGGCCACGGCGACAGAGCAGTACATAATGGCTAACGCGTCCGCACCGCAGTTCACCGTCGATCGCAGGAAGCCAAGGCCAAATTTGGGCCAGATCGACCATATCGCCGATAGGTTACGAGATAGACTAGCTCTGAATACATATGAAATCTAGTGATACCAACAGTATACAACACGGGGGACCCAAGTGTAAATGCAGATATGTGCTATGCTATGAGTGTATGGTGGATCCAACGGCAATAATAAACAGCGTGAGAAGGGATGGACTACCTCTAAGTCCGTGTAGCGTCGCGTGAAGACGGTAATTGCGAATGAGCACGATGTTTGGGTATGAAAATTGACATGGGATCTTTCTTTCCTGAGCCAGACCTAGCAGACACCGGGCGTGACGGGGGAGAGTGACATGTGGCGGGTGGTGACGTAGAGGGTGGACTACATCGCATCTCGAAGGCGGACAACGGTGTGGAAGGAGGAGTATCCTTCATCGCAGGAGGCGATCCGGAAGCCGGAGTACGACGCACGGCTACAGCGGTCACCGTGACGCGGCTGCCGGAACGGTGGCCTGGGGGCACAGAGCTTCCTGAAGGGGTTGTCGAGATCGTGGCTGACGAGGAAACCATTGGGCGGTTGGCGGTAGGCACGGATGGCGCCGCACAGGAAGTCTTGGCTTTCATGGGGATCATTGGCGTAACGTAGACACCCTTCTGCATGCGCGCTGCCTCTGTTCGAGTCCTCTGAATAAGGGTCTTGGGCTGATACGTTGCACCCCCTGGTGACATTAAGTCTTAGCACGACGAGAAATGGCAAGTTGGAATACAGTCACGCACAGGGTCGGCCGCGTTTGGCGGGCGGCAATCTGTCAGTGAGCTTTATTCCGGATTCTTTCTTGCGGTCGTCAGCTTCCTGGCGGATTGTCCGCAAACGCGACTTCAGGTCTTCGAATCGTTGTGCCTCCATCTCTTGCAGAGCCTGCCAAGACCCAAGAGTTGTGAGCGCATGGCTACGGCGACATAACAAACTACTCACAAACCATTGGTCGCGCCATGACTCCGGTTCTGGACCTTGATCGGATTCGCATATCTGGGCGGCTTTCATGGAGGTTCTGAAGCACAGCCCCTTCCAAATTTCTGCCACCGCAATAAGTCGAAATATTCGGTAAAGATGTTGGAATGACGCACCTCCTGTCTCTTGCTTATATCCTAGAAAGCCGCACGAAAATCATGAGTACCCTGATCGTAAGAATTGGACAACACGGACCGGACTGGCCTGCTCTAACCGGAGCAGCATTTCGGCGGTGCAATTCTCAAGTATGGGTTTAACTAAGTCGAACCGCATACCGCTCACAGTAGATATGGCTACCTTCAAATCAGACCTCCGGCATGACACAATTTGAACAGAAGACATACAGTCAACATGATTTGATGCCACTGCCCCCACAATTCGGTCAGCTCCTTCCTACAGATTTCGTGTGAACTTCGCCATTACGGTAACACACTCACCTCGCTGGCAAAGCTGTACAAGAGTCGGCATCCGAAGAGCTGGTCTTTCTGTGTCTGACTGCATCCTGTACCACCCAGCTTGGGCTGATAGTTCGCCTCGATAGATGGGTGTCGTAAATGTAGCGCGTGTGGCTGCGTGTCGGATGCATTCTGTCGGTGGCGCGTATCAATGCTTCACGTGCATCGCTGCGCCTAAGTTACCGACAATTCCTTTTCAGGCAACAAGCAAGGTTGAGTGGACAGACTAGCCAAATAGTATGCCTTTCCCCTACCAGCTCGCCGTGCCTATTGAGGCCCGGCGGTTTGACTAAAGGCTCCAGCCGCATCACAGTTTAGCGACGGAACGTAACCAATACAGGCCGATGCCGATGACGACGCGTTGGCGTGCTGCTTGAAACATGGCCCAGCCTTCGCTGAACCCTGTGTCAAAGGAGGCGAGGCGCGTGTAGCCCAAGTGTAGCCCGAGTAGGACAAGGGTCCATACGGCTACTGCCCGCGGCCTGTCCGAGAAAATCGAAAGTTGTAGTAGTCATGAGTTCTCCGATCCTTGCGCTTCGGACGGTAACTATCTCCCGATTTACTTCAGCTACTCTATTGCCGCCAATTCAATTGGCCCTCCCCCTTCGAATGCGCACACCGAAGTCTTGTGAGCAAAAATCTTGCGCATGATTTATTGATCTCTCATCATCGACGGACATGTCCGGACAAGAACGACCTTCCTTGCTGAACACGGGAGGGACAGCGAATACCACGGCAGCTATTTGACAACGAATGGTAACTAACCCATTACCTCTTTGAACATCCCGTGTCTAGATTGAGGAAAGCTGGCAATGTCCTTGTTGGGATGACGGCGTGGAAACGGGATGCTCCCCCCGGCTAACACGCTAGCGGCTGATGCTCCTAATCTGTCGGATCTGGGACTCATCGTCAGACAAGGCTGGAGTTGCTCAGGCTCCCTGGGGCGCCAGCGATCCGTACCTGGTGGGCGCTCAATACCTCAAACTATCCCTAACTCATAGGCTTGCACGATTTCTGGTCACGTATGCCATCCCGGATACGCGAATGATGCACCGGAGCTGCCGTAACCTTACCCTCCGTAGTCGGGCCCAATGACAGAATCGGTGCCATTATTTGCGCGAACGGTTTGGTCCATAGCGCTAAGGCTCACTGTATGCAATGGCGTCGCACTAACCACCGAAATTCTGCAGGCGGTCGAGGATAAAAGGCCGTAGTGTCCGCGGACTTCGCAGCCGTCACCTCCTGCCGTGTTCTCGTCAAAGCTGCGTCGCCTACCTATGTTCTACGACCCCGCCAACGACGTCCAACGCCCTACTCATCCTCGCTTGCATCTTCGCGACGTCCGAGATGCGCATATGTTGTTCGAAGCCGTGAGGCTCGGTTTGATCAAGCGGGTCCAGCGCCGTCTGAACGACGCCGAGAGGTCGAGCTTCATCCAGTCGGGCGCTGTGTTCGTCTGGGAGGAGAGTGAAGAGGAGACTGGATTGAAGAGATGGACTGACGGCCGGATCTGGAGCCAGTCACGTATGCGGGAAGTGAGTGTATTTTTGCGCCTTCCAGCCATCTGCTGCTAATCATGAGCCGTATCATCATCAGCCTTACTTGTTTTACGATGAGAAATTGTCTCAAGATGACCCTGACCCTCCGAGCGGACAGTCGTCCAGGTAAGTAAGCTGCGAGGGAACCGGAGGCGCCTATGGATGCTGACATCACATGTTGACAGATCAACATTTCGTTTCGTAGAGGGACCATCGAGGACATGGTCCTCGTCAGCCCAGTCACACTACGAGCGCAGCGAGCATCATCCGACAGGACTCGTGAAACAGGCTTACTCTGCGTGGGTGTTGACCGCCCCCAATACCCGCCCGCGCAAGTGGCACTTGACGGCGTATTTCACCTACGCTGACTTGCCGAACATTCCAACGGTCGACCGCGATCCGACCTTGCGCAATATAACCGTGCCACAAGGCGTCTATAGGAGTGGAAAATCGAGGACGAGGAACCCCGACGCGGGGCCCGTACCATATTCCCTACCTGCGCTTCATTCGGCGACACACTCGCTACCAGGTCGTCCGGGCACTCCTGTCATTCTTCCACCGCCAAATGCGGACGCCGCCCCCGGGCAGGGAGAACAAAGCGGCAGCCCGCGTCGTTCACAGCCGCGTCGTCCAGAGGACGAGAGGATGATACGATTGCTGAACTCTAAGCCATTTTAATGGACGCCATCGGACGCTTAATGGTTCTCTTTCGAGATGATAATGATCAGTTTTGTCCATTCTTTCCCAAGGAGACTTCTAACTTTACCTTGTCCTAATACCGAAAAGTACGGCCGTTGAAGTACACTGAAAGTAGCTGAACCTCCCTAATGTACATATCAGTGATATTATCTTGCATGCTGTCGGCTTCAATTGACACGTTTCCTACGAAGGCAGCAGAGGCACGAATGAAACCTTTCCCGTCACTCCTCGTCCGATGCTTCATTCTCTACTTGTTCTGCTCTCTCTTGCGCTTTCATTGCACCGACAAGATCGTCTGACTGGCCTTTTTGAGCTGCCAGCCGCTGTCCTGCAAACCGCGCATGAGCTCAACATCCGACCGGAGCATCATGGCTACCTACTGATGAGCGTATGTATCGCTTCCTGTGTCTTGCGCTCCAAACGTGCGAGTTTCTTCTCCATTTCCCGTTTCAGGTCCCAGTTCGGCCGTTTCGGCGCAATGTTGAATAGGTCCTGCGCAGCACGTCAGACCATTTGGCAACATATGCTCCCGGACACGCTAACCAGATCCTGTGCTCTTCGTTGCTGGTCTTCCGCGATAATGGCCTCCGCCATGCCTTCTACTCTCTTTTCCACGGTGTCCTCCATGTGCGCCTCATCTTCACGGGTGTGCTTCTTCAGGGTACGGCTTTCCGGATCAAAGGTTCTGTGCTTGATGACTGAGTCCGCTGGTTCGCTGACGACAAGACAAGTTGTTAGACAACAGTAGACACAGTTCCACAATGCTTACCCCTCATCCATAGCCTCGCCGGCCTTCCGTTTGCGAAGAGCAATGAGCCGCGCTTTGCGAACTTCAGAGGCATCTGCGAGCGACATTTTGTGGACAGGCGGCTTGCGAGAGCGTCAAGGCTGAGAGAGAACACGAACCCAGACTCGATTGATCATAGAGTGGCACCCAATTTGGGAGTGCCGCGGAGTGGTTGGTGTTGCTGACTAAGCATCCCAGAGTCGCTGTATTGGGCGCTTCCGGCCGTCTGGATAACTTCTTGACCAACGCGCTGCTACCCATTTCGCGCATATGCTTCCTGCTTTCGTATAGACCCCTCTGCGCACAGCCTCAGAACGCACAGGCGCGCCGCTGATGAATGCTGCGTGGCAACACTCCTGCTTGAGAGCTTTCCAGCGATACGCGACATGTGCCGGGCAGTCATGGGATGTATCCTTCCGGAGAGACCTCGCCACGTCGGCCGTCTGTTGCGCTGCTTCTAGGAAACTTGTTCGCATGGAGGATTTTCCATCTGATGTCATTCGGTATGGTGTCACCATTGCGAATGCAGACTAAGTGTTCTGAATCTGATCAGGAACTTCTCGATAATTGCCCACATCGGTATGTTGAATGCTATCCGCTGGTCGCAGAGAAGCATCGCAAACTCAAGCTACCCCATTTGCTATAGATCATGGTAAATCGACGCTAGCAGATAGGTATTTGTGCGCTGCCAAGCCGTTGACCGCTACTGACGCATCGGCAGATTGCTTGAGGTCCGTCGCGTCCGGCGGCGTTTTTTGGAAGCTAAGAATTGATGTCCGTGTAAAGCTGACAGGCACGATCGGCAAGCGACAGAAGGGTGTGAATCAACAGGTCCTGGACAAGCTGAAGGTGGAGCGGGAGCGCGGAATTACAGGTTCGTCTTCAGATACATGTACCGAGATATACTGCGCTGAATGCGCTAGTCAGTGAAGGCTCAGACGGCGAGGTAGAGTATGCGAATTCTGTACGGTAACCTCTCACTCACCATGCCATTCAGTATGATCCACACAGTCTCCGGGCAACAATATCTCCTTAACCTCATTGATACACCTGTGCGCAGTCTCCCTATACAGTTATATTGGACTCGATGATTAAGCCTACATACCAGGGACACGTCGACTTTGCTTGGGAAGTCTCCCGTTCCTTGGCTGCCTGCCAGGGTGCCTTGCTGCTGGTGGATGCTACTCAAGGCATTCAAGCCCAGTCGATCTCCGTCTTCCACATCGCTCGAGAGCGCGGTCTCAAAATCATTCCAGTGCTGAACAAGGTAGCCGTCCCCTAGTGTCGAGGTCCCCGTTTTTTCGCTGACAATTCTGACGCAGATAGACCTCCCCGCCGCACAACCGGAGCTCATCGCCGCCCAGGTGCAATCCACATTCGGTATAGATCCCGCCGACTGCATTGAAATATCGGCCAAAACGGGCAAGGGCGTCGAGAAGGTCCTGAAGGCCATCATTGATCGAATTCCAGCTCCCGTGGGCGACGAGTCTGCACCACTGAAAGCCTTGCTATTTGACTCTTCGTACGTATGTTGCCTGTGACGGCATCACATTGTGCGTACTCACGGCTGTGCAGGTATGACAAGTACCGCGGCGTCATCTCACTCGTCAGCGTCCAGGCAGGCGTTCTGAAGAAGGGAGACAAGATCGCATCATGCCATACACGTAAAAAGTATGATGTCGCCGACGTGGGTATTATGCACCCTGAAGAGGAGCCTGCCACCTGCTTGCGACCGGGACAGGTGGGCTATATCGCGTGCAATATGAAGGAATCCTCGGAAGGTTTGTGAGTGAAACAAGGTCGATTGTGTGCGAATTGAATAATTGTCCACAGCTCACGTCGGGGATACGCTGCACCGCGTCGGCGAGTCCGTCGAATCTTTACCTGAGTTCAAGCTGGCGAAGGCTATGGTGTATGCGGGCGTTTACCCTATGGACAGCAATGATTTTGCGAAACTGGAGGAATCCATAAAGAGGGTACTGTGGTGTCTGTTGCGTCCCTAAGGAGGGAGAGCTCATGCAGGGTCCTTTGGCAGCTCACTCTGACTGACCGGAGCGTCGAAGTCACCCGTGAATCATCCACTGCCCTTGGACAGGGCTGCCGGTTAGGCTTCCTCGGCACATTGCACATGGACGTCTTCCGGCAGCGGCTCGAGGACGAGTACGATGCAAATGTCATTATCACCGCGCCGACCGTGCCATACAAAGGTAGGTCCCTCGGACGCGTTTCTGTGCGCTCGCGCTGTTGAAACACTACGAATTGGCAGTGGTATACATGGATCGGTCTGGAGATCGAACGGAGGTTGTCAGCAATCCGACTGCTTTCCCGGAAGTTGCCGACGCAGCGACGCGGGTCAGGGGAGTCCACGAACCCATCGTCAACGCATCTATCATTGTGCCGCAAGGTAGGGAACTCCGTTCACTCCACTCGCGTTTCGTTCACCGAGTATCCCTTTGCATCTAGAGTACCTCGGAGATATGATGGACTTGTGCTTCAGCCACCGCGGAGAGAACCTCGATCATCGCTACCTTGACGCCTCCGGAAGCACGGCTGCACGGATCATACTGACCTGTACGTTGCCCTTGACGGAGATCGTGACGGACTTCTACGACAAGCTCAAGAGCCGCAGTTCGGGGTTCGCGAGCTTCGAGTGGGTCGTTTCACGCAGTGGTCCATTATGCCAACTAACGCTGGTCCCGGCAGCTATGAGAATGCCGGGTACCAGAAGAGCAATATGGTCAAGATGACATTTCTGCTGAATAACAAGCCAGTGGACGCTCTCGCGTTAATTGTGCATCGGTCAAATGAACAGGAAGTTGGCCGCCAATGGGTCAAGAAACTACGTGAGTCATGCTCAGCTGGCTCACTAATTCGATTGGATACATTTGCTGAGTGAGCACCTTACAGACAAGGTTATTCCTCGGCAGCTATTTGAAGTGCCCATCCAAGCCGCAGTCGGTAGGCGCATCGTCGCGCGCGAGACGCTATCCGCCTTGCGCGCAGACGTCACGGCAGGACTCTATGGCGGTGGGTAGCGTCGCCACAATTTGTCGAGCTGGCGACTAATGTCTGTTTGACGTGCACTAGGACATTACGAGCGGAAGCTGAAGCACCTGGAGAACCAGAAAGAGAGCAAAAGGCGGATGAAACGGGTCGGCAGCGTCGATCTTCCGCAAGAGGCATTTTTCGATATGTTGCGGACGAAATCGTCGTAGGCCGCGGCTGTCTGACCGCAGCCCTTCACATGTCAACGCTACCCCGGTCGCCACAGAGGCGTCCGTTGGTGGCCGCTGATGGTGGTGGTGTGCCGCGCTCCGATCGGGGAAGCTTGGCAGAGGTGTGTACAGCGCGCAGTGCTTAGTGCTAAAGCTACATTATACCGAAAGCGCATATAGTATGATGTCACGACGGAATGGAGATGTATCGAGCCGTGCCGGCGGGACGGAACGAGGGCAGTAGTGGTTGGTGACATACCGGGCCCCGTGCCATTTAGAGGGATCGCAGGAAGGCGCGGACCTGCGCCTCTGGGAGCGCGCCGATAAATTTGTTCACCGGTTTGCCATCTCGGAAGGCCACGACGGTGGGCAGCGAGCGGACCTGTGAAACGCGTGAGGATGCTGCGACGCGAACGCCGGATGGGAGGGTGCACGGACATTGTACTCCATCGCCAGGTCCGTTTCGGCATCGGTGTCCACGGTGACGAGGTCTACGGCGGCGCCGCTGCCTGTTTGAGTCTGGGTATCCGTGGCGACGTTCTCGAGGATGGGCGAGAGCATCTTGCATGGGTTGCACCAGCTGTACGGAGGCAGGACATGTTGTGTGAAGGTGGTGGTAGTGCGGACGTGGGCGAGCAGCTCACTCAGCGTAGAAGTCTACGAGGACGACCTTGTCCTCGTTCGATACTGCCGTTTTGAATGTCTATTTTGAGAGAGCGTGTGTGGTCCGAGTCGGACATGCAGAGGGTCAGTCAGGGCGCGCGGATGCATGAGCTTGAATAATGGTTGACAGACCTCGGCGTTGGCATTGTGGAAGATTTCGCTGCGTGTGAGCGTCGAGTGGAATGATCGGACTTGATGTCTAGACGAGCGAAGAGCAGAGAATATCGTTCGGGTTGCAAGACGAGCAGACATGTTGCAGACGACCGGTAGCGTGTGGCGGAACTAGACTCAGGTCGCAGCACTGTGAAGACGTCAGGCTTGCCGGAAACGTGATGCTCTACATATGGAAACCCCGATATTCACGGACGGCTTCGGTGAGGCGAGCCACTGCCCGGGTGCCTCGGGTCTCTCCGGGTGCTGGCAAAGGCCGCAACGGAGGCCAGCAGCAAGGGCCCAGAACGTTACCACTGACCAGTGCCGTCGACGAGTCAGTCGGCGACGGCTTCTCGCTCAGGATTTATCCGCACTGCCGTATATCATGATACATGACGGCATGGTACTATTCATGTAGGTTCACTCTATCGATGAGGGTACGCGGTATGTGGATATAAGGTTCGAGGAGGGGGTTCATGGGGCGTCTTGGAGTGCCCCTCTCTCTGATTACAGCACCCATCTTCATTGCGACTAGCGAGAGCAACCACCGCTAGTCTTCAGGTCAGTACCAATCAAGCATACAGCGTTGCGATAACGGGCAGGCTAATAGTAGTGTTTGTCGTGTCGACAGGAGTTTGTTGGACAATGGCCGCTACTTACATCAACGGGCACCAAGAGTCCGTCCTGCGCTCTCACAAATGGCGCACGGCAGAGAACTCTGCGGCGTACCTCCTGCCGCATATCAAGCCCGGAATGCGTATCCTGGACGTCGGGTGCGGCCCCGGGACCATCAGCATTGACTTCGCGACGCGCGTTCCACAGGGGCACGTTATCGGCCTCGAGAACAGCCCAGAGGTCCTCGTCGAGGCTCGCGCGACCGCGGCGAAGGGCGGCGTCGCCAACATCGAGTTCGTCGTCGGCGACATCCACGCGCTGACTTCCCCGACGGGACGTTCGACATCGTGCACGCGCACCAGGTCCTCCAGCACATCAGCGACCCCGTCGGCGCCCTGCGCGAGATGAAGCGCGCGACGAAGCCCGGCGGACTCGTCGCCACGCGCGAGGGCGACTTCAACTCCATGACGTGGTTCCCGGAGAACGACGCGCTCGTCGAATGGCGCGAGTTGCACATGCGCGTCGGGCGCGCGCTCGGCGGCGAGCCCAACGCGGGGCGCAGGCTCGTGTCGTGGGCCATCCAGGCTGGGTTTGCGCGCAAGGACATCACGGCGTCGTCCACCAGCTACTGCTACAGCGACCCGGAGGACCGGGCGTGGTGGAGCGTTATGTGGCAGGATCGCATCCTCGGGTCGTCCTTCCCCGAGCGCGTCCTTGACGGCGGTCATGCTACTCAGGCGGACTTGGAGAGGATGGCTCAGGCGTGGCGCAAGTGGGGCGAGCAAGAGGACGGCTGGTTCGCATTCCTGCACGGCGAGGTGCTGTGCCGTGTCTAATTTCCGGACATCACTCGAAAGTCCTCCGCGTCGTCGAGGGACTCGAATCATTGGTACGTACTGATCGTGATACCACGTACGGTGGTCACTGAGTCAACGTCCAATTATAGCGCATGTCTGGTCAGTCTCTAGGTAAATGAACTTCTCGCCGGTGATAGACATGCCAACTGATGAACTGCACGGGAACAGCTGTTAGCGGGATTGAAATGCCCGTGAGGCCTTCATAGCTCAAAGCAGGCGTAACCGAGGCGGAAGGAGGCCATGGTTGCTGGGTCGTACTGAATTGGCCAATTGGAACGCGATCGATGGGCTACGGACGCGCCCAGCCACGCCCTATCAGCGTGTAGTCCAGGCTCTCTTGAGCAGTTCAACACTGCCAGCGACGGTGCAGTTCAACATTGCCCGTCGAACAGTGGTTCAACACCGCATTCCCCGTGCCCTGCTGTCCGTAGCACGTATCTATTGTGGCCCCACGTCGTTCGTGGCGTACAGGCAGATGTCGATGCTATCACAATAAGCTGTCTCCTTGTCGAGGACTACGGGTGTTGTTGTTCGTGTGACCGGCCAATCGCAGCACGGCATCAACGCGCACAACGCGTTGCAACGGTTGCTCGCGAGAGGGCAGCAGGCTTCGAAGGAATGTTCGCTGCCCGCTGCGGAGGAGCGGCGCTGCCGTATCGGGCATCAGTGTTCCTGCCCGTTGTCGCCAAGCCGACCTCGTCTGCTGGCTCGCGCCTATAAAACTTGAGTACGCGGTGCGCGAGCCCTCATTCCACCCTCATCCCCCGCATCCAGACGGTCAGGTTTTAGCTCCCCGAGGCAGGGTAAGTTCTTCGCAGCGGCTTCCTGCTTGCATGGTCGTGTGCGGATGCTGACTGCTACGTTCGCAGTTCTCGATTTGGTTCTAGTTCCAGTCGACAGCTCTAGACGTAGCTCGCTCGTGCACTTTCTTTCCATTTTCCCAAGTCAAGTCCAAGATGCGCTTCTCTGCTATCGTCCCTGCCCTCCTCTCGGCTGGTGTTGCCCTGGGTGAGGTCATCACCGTCCAGGTTGGTGGCAACAACTCGCTCACCTACAACCCCCCGAGGTACGTATACCCCGTGCTCTCTCCCCAGGATCTGACGTTGACACTTGATCTGCAGCGTGAACGCAACCGTCGGCGACACCATCATGTTCGAGTTGTGCGTGTCTTTCTCGCGCTCGGTGCTATCTTTAGCGGATCGGCTGATGGGCGTCGTACAGCATGTCCAAGAACCACACGATCACGCAGTCCACCTTCGCCGACCCGTGCACGCTCATGACCCTCGCCAACGGCACCACAGGCGTCGACTCGGGTTTCATGCCCGTCGCTGCGAACTCCACCAGCTTCCCGACATTCAGCTTCACCCTCCAGAACGCGTCTGCACCGCTGTGGTTCTACTGCAAGCAGACGGGGTGAGTGGCTCTCCTGATATCACGCAGTGTGATGCAGCAACTGATCATTGTTCGGACGCTAGTCACTGTGCCAAGGGCATGGTCTTCGCTATCAACCCCACAGCGGCGAAGAGCTTCTCCGCCTTCCAGGCCGCCGCTGAGAAGACCGCCAGTGGTTCCAACTCGACGGGTGGCGGCGCGGGGTCTGCGTCCGGCTCGGCTGGGGCTGGTGGTGCGGCTGGCACCGCGTCGGGCACCGCTGCCACGACGTCGTCCACCTCGACGACCAGCGGCGCGGGTGCCGTCCGTGTGGGCGGTGCCGCGTTCATGCTCAGCGTCGTTGGTCTCGTCGCTGGCCTGCTCTAGAAGCCGGCTTGCATTGGGGTTCTGGGGCTCGGGGCTGAGGCTTTGTACTGGACTTGATGGACCTTCATGAAGACTGTAGTGCTGCGCATGCTACGTCCCTCCCGCGCTGTCGCGCTGGGCTTTCCTGTATTGCTACTTCCTGCCGATCGCTAATACGGATACGAGGGGTTCACCGGTGAACAAAATCTACCATGCGTGATGAATGGGGCGATGCTCATGGTACATTCTCTTCTGTCCATACTATTGTTTCATTAAAGGAAGACGGAAAGCGCGAGCGCCGACAGCTACCATGTGACCGAGGTGGCGTCGGAGTGATCAGCCGTTGCCGCAGGTTCTTGCCTCCTTCCACTCACCCTGCCCGTCTGTGGTCATCTCCATTCTGCATTCAGTTTGTACCGAGTAATGGCAGATCACCGCCGCAACCTTCCCGCACTTCGTCGGACACCTCACGGTGGCGAATGAAGTGACAGGAACACCCCGAGGTCGGCGAGGAGAGGTGAGGCAACCCAGGAGCTCACATGCACGGCTTCGGACACTGACCGTACGCACAATTGACAGATCATCCGAGTGATCATCATTGCTCGGGGCTTCCCCGTACACCACGATAAGGCCTTCTCGGACACCCTCGGACGACGCAAACGGTATGGTCGAGCATTCCTCGGGACATATTATGGCATGGTCGGGAGGCCTCTTGCTTTCCGACGTGCTCGAAGCCGCATCAGATGGGAGTCCCTCGATGATTCCGCATGGCTCTGCAGAGCATGGGCGGCGATAAGCCCCGGCCAGCTGGCATAACAGTGCGTTCATTCCCCACCGGCGGCATCCTCCACGAGGTCCCACCTCCCTAGACGTGCTTCTCACCGGGTTTGGTAGGCAAACGTGGTTTCTCAACATGCGGGGGCTAGGGTCCCAATGTAACCAGGCCATGCTGTCCACGTCTATTATTGTAGGGACTGTGGCACATCTGTGGCGGTCGTTCAATGAATGCGGCTTCGCGAATAACCCGCATGCCGACCCATGGACACGGAAGTGGTATGCTTCCATCGCGCATGCGCCACCGGACTTTGGTCGCATCCATGCTCTGTTGTCATCAGAAGAAGGCGGGGAGCATACGGTGCGGCGGCCATGGAGGTGTATAAAAGCCTGGACAACGGATGGGCAGACCAACAGGTCCAGTCGCCTGCTTCTCTCACTTAGGTCCTCCACCTGCGTCAGCGCCGCCGTCCAGCAACCATGTTCTGCAAAGCATCCTTGCTCACCGTCGCTCTCGCCCTGCTCGCTTCCGCGACGCCGGTCACGCGCGAGACCGGTATCCGCATCCCCATCCAGAAGCGCAGCGCTCTGACCAAGGCCGATGGTACCGTCGACCGCGACGCGGTCATCCGCGAGACGGTCCGGGTGAAGAAGTACGCCGTATTGACTATCCGTACCACACATTTGCAGTTACTGACGTGCACTCCCGTCGTAGCAAGCACCGCCGTAACCTGATCACCATCGACCGCAAGATGGGTCTTGAGAACTACGCCGAGGGCGCGTACATCCCGCCCGTCGCACACGTTCCTGCGTCCGTCCAGAGGCGCCTCGAGGCGCGCCAGTCCGAGGCGCTCACCGACCAGGAGGGCGGTGAGCAGTGGACCGGCACCATCTCGATCGGCACGCCTGCGCAGGAGTTCGTCATTGACTTCGACACGGGCTCGTCCGACCTTTGGGTTGCGTCCTCGTCCTGCAGCGGCTGCGATGCCTCAAACTATTACACCGCGTCCGACTCGTCGACGTCGCAGGAACAGAGCGGCACGTTCGATATTGAGTACGGCGATGGGTCTGAGGCGTCTGGCCCCATCTATACTGATGATGGTACGCGGATGATAGTCACGGCCGTGGATAGACGCTGATTTGAATCTGCTCACAGTCAGTGTTGCCGGTGTTGCCGTCACTAGTCAGACTCTCTCTGCTGTGACCAGCGAGAGCGGTAACCTCGTCGGCGATGTCGCTGACGGCCTCATGGGCATGGCCTTCCCTGCCCTCTCCCAACTTGAGGCGGTATGTCGATCCTGTTTTCGTCCTTCAGCACGCTGAGCTCTTTCTAGGACCCCTACTTCTGGACCGCCATCAGCCAGGGCGTCGTCTCCTCGGGCGAGTTCGGCTTCTACCTCGCGGGCAGCGACTCGGAGCTCTACCTCGGCGGCTCGGACAGCAACCTGTACTCGGGGGACCTTGAGTTCCACGACGTTTCCTCGGACTCCGGCTTTTGGCAGATCAGCGGCGCGAGCATCATCATCAACGGCGAGACCGTCGCCTCCGGCTTCGCCACCATCATCGACAGCGGTGAGTCGCCTAGCACAATGACTGAAACGACGGGAGAGCTGAATGGAGCGCATAGGCACCACCCTCATGTACGGTCCGACCAGCGCCGTAGGGTCGTTGTATGAGAATGTCTCTGGATCGGTGTCGCTCGGTGATGGCACCTACGCGTTCCCGTGCTCGGACTTCCCGACCGTCGAGGTCACCTGGGGTGGCAACACCTACGATATCTCCAACACGTGAGTCCAACGTTGGGTTTTCGCGCTGTGCGCTGTGCTTATGCGTGACCTGTACAGCTTCAACCTCGGTGAGACCAGCAACGGCGAGTGCCAGGCTGCTCTTGGCGGCGAGGACCTCGGGCTCGGTAACAACGTCTGGCTCTTCGGCGACACGTACGTACTTCGCTATGACTCGAATTATATATGGGAGCTCGTTGCTGATCCGGTTGTTTCGCCAGTGTCATGCAGAACCTCTACACCGTCTTTTCCGTCGATCAGAATGCTGTCGGTTTCGCTCCGCTTGCTTAAGTTATTCCGTGCTCCTTGTTGTATCCTCATCACCAAGATTGTAGCAGTGGTGTATTGCATTGGACTCCAGGTTGTTTTACGTGCCCTGGGTCGAGTCCGAACATACTACTCGCAGTTCGGTCAATCGCCGGAGCGTAAGAGGATTGCTATTAGCATTCTGGCGATCCGTGCATCGACCATATGTATCGCGGGTCACACACAGGCTTTGACTTTGACGTGAATGACTTGAAGATCACTTCAGAGTCATACTATGAGTAGGTCCGTCATGCCATATCACACTCTCAAACCGGTTCAGTTCATCAAAAGCATTCATTGCAGAATTTCAACAAAAGAATGTAGCGAGCATCACAATTTCGCGACGCCCCAGTACGAAATCCTGCGACAAATACCATACAAATCACGAAGTCCTCATTTGGTATCATGGAGCTGACGTGCCCGTGTGGAGGGTCTCGGTATGAGACTACTTCCTCAGTTGCTGGTCGCGCTCGTGTACGAGGTCGTCGCGAAGCCGACTTGCGAGTTCGTGGTTCGAACACGGAGTAGAAGCGCTCGAGGAACGTGTACCCGTTGATGAAGTCGAGCCCCGAGCCGGAGTTGCTCCCGATGTCGTTCACAACGAGGTAGACGTCATCCGCAGTCCCGCCGATCGCGCTGTTCAGCGAGCGCGGCCAGATCTGCGCGTTCGGCGTCAGGCTGTAGGTCGTCTGCGGAGCCGGCGTCACGTCAGTCCAGTGTAGGGATGGCTGGGGAGGAGAGCGGAGCGGGACGTACGCTGCCGATGTTGAAGTTGAGCGTATCAAGGCTGCTGTACTGCGAGCTGGAGATGCGCAGCAGGCCGGTGGTCGAGTCCTCAGTCCCGCCGGTAGCGGACTTGTACTTGTCGTACGCGTCTGTGAACATCCGGTGAGTCTCGATCGCGACGGTCTCTGGTGAGTCGCTCACCGGTAGCGATCAGGACGAGTGTCGTTCCAGTGTCGACGATACCAGCAGTGGAGCTCAGGATCGACGAGGATCCATACGAGATATCCTGGTCGATGCCCCAGTATTCGCTCGCGGGGGAGGTGGACGTGATGGGGCTATAACATAGAGCGCCCGGTCAGCGCGAGAGTCAGCGACTGGTCGAGCACGGTAGGACTACACGTAGTTGATGGAGCCGGTGTACTTGAGGAGTCGGTGCCGCCAAAGGTGAGCTCACCGTTGGCGTCGCTATCAGACGTCGCCGGTTCGAAAGAGACCGCGAGGACCTCCGTGTCAATGGTACCCTGGGAGAGGAGGTTGTCCGTGACTAATGAAGAGAACATTATCAGCGTTCATGTCATTCTGTCCAGAAACATCTTTCGCTGACCGGTGGGTACCGTACCGGATAAGCCGACAGTACCATCGGTCAGACCAACCGGGCCGACACTATGCGGTACCATCGAAGCTCAGCATCGCATGCATAGGTCCTAGCACAACACCCTTACCCGAGAATACCATCGACACCCGAGAAGCCTCTGGACAACGCGGCGACACCAATGGACTGCTCTGTGATGGTCAGCCCGTCGCCGAGCGTGACGGTGTCGGTGTACTCTGTGCCCACGAAGCTGCCCGAGCCGTAGGTGACGGACTGTCTTGTGCATGAGATGTTGTGACAGAAGTGAGTATATATGGATAAAGCTTACCACTATCTGACCGGTGCTGCTGCTGGTGGAGGTCGGCGTGTACGACTTGTCAGCGCCGATCCAGGTGTTGGAAGAACCTGTATCGACAATCAGGGAATCTACAGGGCCGGGATCTTAGCTTCGTACACAGCGCTTGACCAACACCGGAAACATACATTGAGTAGCAGGGGACCCGACACCGACCTACATTGATTGAGCTGGATGAGTTTCTGTGATGAGGGACGAAGTATCTTCTAAACCCACGCTAATAACGTAGGTGTCAGCGATGTTGGTCACATCAACACTCGCAGTGCGGCCCTCGAGGTCGGCCTGAGTGCGATTCTTGAGGTAGCGGGCCCTCGCCTGGTCGTTCGCGAGCAGATTGGTAAGGCTGGTGCTGTTTGTTCGGCGGACCAACGGCAGCGAGACGAGAGGCTTGTCAACCTGCACCGGGCTCGCGGCGACCGCGGCCGCGAGAAGGCGGTGGCAAGGAGTGAAGAACCGAATACCATGGCGTGTCACTGCTGTCTCTTGCGGAGGAGCGCGGAGGGCAGATGGCAGAACGGCTGGTCTAGTGCTCGGACGACAAAGCGACGAACACTGCATTGGAGGGAGAGCGAGGAGGCTTTATATCATGTCTTCCCAGGCAGACGTAGATAGTTCCTTTAACCTTCGTGCTTCAGGATACCCTTGTCTGATGGCGCCATTTGCTGATTGGAACTTGAATACACCCGGCTAGGCGACGTTTGCCTGGATGCGCGCATGGATGCAGTACTAAGTATCCGGAGAAGCATAACAAGGTGACCTGCTTGCGCAATGGGGAGCGATACACAGCGAACGATGAGGAAGCTCAGACGACGAATTGCTTCATCGGAATCGCACGGCACAGATTCCCTCGAGGACTCACCGAGATTCGCAAAGAGAAGCGGACTGTACCCATGTGGACGCGTACAAGAGCGAGACTAGAAGTCTGCTAGAACGCGAGAATCGACGTCCCCCGATCTCCTGAGTGCCTACCCCGCCGGCAGTCGCGGATGCGCAGGCTTGGCGCAGGTCATATCTGCCCACCAGACGATGCAGCCAAGCGTCACGGGGACCCTCGACCAGTTGTACCACACTACTGCTCTTCCTCTACCTTGCTTGCTGCCGGCCACTTAGACTGGCACAGAATGCAGCACTTCGGCTCAACGTACCGGTAAGCAAGACAACACGTGAAGACTAGTTCGACCGGGCAGGCGCGTACGTACGGGTCGACGGGCGCGTGCGTACAGAAGTTGTGAATTGTACGATGGCGACGGAATGCGACAGAGCTGTGAGAGATTCGAAATGATGACCGGATGACGATATGAATGAAGGAAAAATGGCGTATGTGACTTGCGTTCGTGCGACGAAGAGCATCCAATATGCAAAGCAACGAATCCGTGCATTGCGCAGTTGCGGAACGCCGCGGTGAAGAGTAATACAACACCCACCAACATGTTGAAGGGAGACAAGGAAGATACGTGGAAGGATGTGCCTGGGTTCTTGTAGCCATGTGGCGGTCCATCAGCTCTGCAATGTAGACGGACGGCGAGACCGATGATGATTGGTGACCTCCACCGTACTGAGGAGTTGGTCAGATAGCGACACATGAGCCCAGTCAAGACACCAGTGTCCAGGCCACGTGTCTCATGGAGACTACATGGGTCAATGATCCTTGCGGGAGGTGCGCCGGCGCGCGGTGGCGTTCAGTATACCACACGGGTTCGGAGAGTCCCTTCAACAGATAACTACCAAGAACAGAAGAAGGTTTCTGCTCTGAGAAAGCCATCCGCAGAGCAGTCCAAAAGAGCGAAGCTGAATAGGTGCACAAAATTTGGATCAAGTTCGTGGAGGAGACGGACAAGAGTACGCATCGAGAGAATGCCAAGCCTTGATCTGAATCGGTTGAGAGTTGCTGCTGCGCGACCGTCACATGCACGTGATCTGTGACACGCGCGTCTTTACGCGTTTGCGCGCAACGGACTCAGACCGTCCTGCCACCACTTACCGCATCCACAGACTCACTGAAGACTACTAAAGCATCTCTTTTTGTTTTTAACCTGCGCTGCATCGCGCTCCTTCCTTGATAACAATGGCAGAGGTCGACACTTTCGGTCACCTAGCAGCCTACTTGTCCAATCAGAATCGCCGGACCACAACCTGAATGTCTCTATCCAGCGGCGATGGAGGACACATTTACTCTGACAGGCCTGCTTGGCGGAGTCAGAAATGACGGGGAGAGGCACAGGCAGATGAGACTGCTGAAGACCAATGGAGGTAGATGGGTCTCGGGCTCACGGTGCGTATGAGGCATCTATATTTCATGAATCTTGCTAACCAATGAATGTTTCTCAAGAACTGCGAGACTCAGAAGACCATTTATTCCTACGGGTCTTTTGTCCGGTGACCCTAGCTCTCCAGTGCGTGTGTATCTCGACCCGTGTCTTGGTTGAACTTGAATGCGATTGCGGCTGTAGGCTCAATGCTACTCAAAGCTATGTACCGCTACCAACTCTACATCCCAAGGTGAGATACACTGCTGCGTGTCTAGTACAAAGAAGTTTACTCACAATTTCCCATCGACAGAGTCGGACCTCCCTGAAGTAACGGAGCTCCTCCGGCCATATGTACGCGCGGACGCACTCACGTCTGCTGTCGCTGGATCAGCGTTGGTAGTACTTCCTATGTCGTACGAGCGTCGAATCTCGATGGCAAACCTGTGATCTAAAGCGTAGGCCACGAAGAGCAGCGACAAGCCTTCGGTATGTTCACTTAGTGTCGATTAGGTATCGTTGCCTGACATGTCAATAGACATCCGGTGAGTACCACAGCACAGGGCAGACGGTGTGCAAAAGTTTGGCAAGCTGCTCGAAGTCCCGATACACCGCCTCTGGATCACCTTTCCACAGACGAAGCTATCCGTCTGTCTCGCTCGTGAGCACCGTGCGTTGTACTGTAACTTACCATCTCACACAGCTGCTTCTTTGTTCAGAGATGCAGAGACATTAGCGGCGGCTCAACAATCCTCTAGTGCGACAGCTGCACGTCTGGAGGAGAGGGAAGACTCTGCTCTTTGGGTCGACCGGTACCGTCCGAAACGATTCACAGACCTCCTGGGCGACGATCGGGTGCATCGCGAGGTCATGTCGTGGGTCAAAGAATGGGACTACTGCGTATTCGGACGTAAGCAGGGTCTTGGCCGAGGGGTCAAACGTCCTAGAGGGGAGGATGGTGACAATCTAGACGAATGGAAGAGACCGCAAGAGAGGGTACGCTGGACAGCTGTATGCCGGGCTATAGACTACGCTGAGTACAGATCAGATTCTGCTGTTGTCCGGACCTCCAGGTCTAGGAAAGACAACGCTGGCACACGTGGTTGCTCGACATGCTGGTTACCAGGTGTTCGAGATCAATGCAAGGTAGGATGCTCCTAGGCCCTGCTTGTCTGCTCTGCTTATTCTTGATCATCAGTGACGCTCGATCGGCACAAGTAGTAGACGACCGTCTACGGCCCGCGCTGGAATCAGGTTCTGCTGTTGGCAGTTCGAAACCCGTCTTGGTTGTCATTGACGAGATAGATGGTGCAACTGGTGGCTCAGATCATGTACATTCCCTCTGCTCTTGACGTGCTGATCTCACGACATCGGTAGTCTGCGGGCTTCATTAGGAGGTTACTTTCATTAACTCACGACCGACCAAGAAAGAAAGGTATGTGTCATTCGTCTCGAACCGTGACTGCGCTGTTGACCATACTATGCTCGTAGGCCGTAAGGCTGACCCGAAAGCCCCTCGTCCAGTCCTCCGCCCCATTATTTGCATCTGCAATGACCTCTACGCCAATTCGCTCAGGGACTTGCGGACCTCCGCTCGCGTCGTCCGGTTTTCGCGTCCCAACGACATTTACCTTGTTCGCCGCCTGCGAGAAATATGCGAGATCGAGGGTATGCGTGCGGAGTCGAGGGCGCTGACAGCGCTCGTGGGCATCGCACAGGGGGATTTGAGAGGATGCTTGAACATGCTGCAGGTAAGGTCGCTGCCAGCGTTTTCCGCCCTCGGTCTATCTCACCTCAACATCGGCACTTGCTAGCTCATCAAGGCGAAAGGACGAGATGTGACGGAGCCCGTGGTACGAACAGCGGCTGCGGGGATGAAACAGGTTGATATGACGTCTACCTCGGTACTGACCGACCTCTTCTCGCCGATGGCGCGAAAACGCACCAAAGATCTTGGACTCACTGAGGAGGACGAGGCTCGGTATGTCCGTCGACTTAGTCGGGAAGTCGAAAGTACCGGGGCAATGGACAGGGTTGCCGAAGGTATGATCTCTTCATTTACTTCATCCCTGTTTTTGTATCTAACTCCGTATGGCTATACAGGGTGCTTTGAATATTACGCGACCTTCCATCACCATGACGCGAACTTCTCAAGATATCTCAAAGCAAACGAGTGGCTCTCCAGCTATGACCGACTTTCAGGCGAGATGTGGACTGAGCGCGAGTTCGCGCTGTCAGAGTACTTGCCCTTCATGCTTGTAGGGTTCTATCCATTGTTCCAGGAACGCGGTCGACCAAGATTAGAGAGACCGAAGGCGACATGGGATGTACGTGTCGGCTTTCTTTCCGCCAGTCACTAGTACTGACAGAAGACACCTTGCGTAGCAACATGTCGCGACCACGACGAATCAGGAAATCTATGCCTCTCTTGCCCGCTGCTTGCGCTCGGCCGCTTCAAGAAATCGTGGAGACTACAGGCACCTTGCCGGCGACCAGATACTCCAACTTGAAATGGCGCCCTACCTCAACCGCATCATCTCCCCACCTCTGAACCCCGTGAGTGCCGTTGTCTGCTGCATTAAGATGTATGCTGAATTGCCTGAAGGTAAATCGTCAAATCATCCGACCAAGCGAGAAAGCGACTTTAGCTCGGCTTGTGGACATCATGGTCGCTCTGAACTCCGCTTCCTACGAGACAAGAACGACGACGGACAGCTTGTATATAGACTCGATCCGTACGCCTGCTTTTTTATGTTCATTGTCGATATGTGTATTGATCTGCGTTTATCAGTCCGATAGACGTATTCGTGACCTATGACGGAAAGCGAGCATCAGATATCGCGACGTCGAAATATGCCGTGAGGCATGTGGTTGCAACGGAAGTGAGCACATGCTAGCTAGACAGCATGATCCGCCGTTCTGACGTGAGTTTTTCTCGACCGTGACCTCTGTAGATCGACGACAAACTCGAGGCAATGCGTATCGAGCCGGCGGAGAAGAGTAAACCGAAGCGCTCGGACTTCTTCAAACAACGCACGTCAGTATCGACGGGGCAATCATGGAGGAATCATATCTGATCGGTACTGTGCAGGGCTAATGGTGCCACAAATAATGACGACGAAGGCGACGTATCACTTCCTGCAGCGAAGCGCTCCAAGCTGGATCAAGCAGGTCCACCGGAGAAGGTGCGCGTATTTGTTACATTTGCATTCATGTAGATATTCACAAGAACTAGATAGCTGTTGACTTCTTTGGCCGACCTATCGCAGCGCCCAACCCAGCCTCAGGTAAAAGTTCCTCCGGGAAAGGGGCGAAGCCGACTACGAAATACCGTGTTGCGTTCCGGTTCAACGAAGGCAACTCCGCCGCTGTACGGAAGCCCATCAAAGTATCATCGTTCCTGTAGAATGTCAGACGTCGTTGTAGCACTAGCATGTATCTTTAGTGATGCGCCCAGCTACCAACGATATTATCACAGAGCGCCATGCTGTGACTGGAAATCGAGACGTTATGGAGGAGGATGCCCTGGCGACGTTAACGTTCGACAACACCTGCCAAAATAAGCAATTGACATGATTCGGCCACATGCGTTAGCGCTGGACACCGCTCTTCCAAAACGCCCTCAACCACAGCGCAAAATTTGCAGACAGCCGGCTGCAGGAGCTCGATCTGCGCTGCAGCTTACGGGGGAGGGCGATTGAGACAGTGACTGACTCCTTTGCGGTTTCAACCGTTGTGGCAGGAGTGCGGCTTGTGCAAGCTGAGCCACACGTGAGCATATCTGTCTCATAACCTGCAGTCAAAGCAACGGATTCGACAACGCAGGACCTCTTGCGTAGTCCGGGGCACACCGTTGAACCTTTACGCGGTGTTGTAGAAAGAGATACCGTCCGCAGCGCTATCCGGCGCCTTCACACCTGACACAATCGGCACTCCTACTAGACACAGTAGATATGGCCGACGGAAAGACTGAGGTCAATGTTGATGCCAACACACGGCAGTGGAATCTAGACCCTGGTGCTGAATACAGGTTCGAGATCGATCCGGGTACCTCGTCAGCAATCAAGGTATGTTTCGTATATCCTAGCGACTTGAAGCTGTATAGAACGCGGCCACAGAAAGAAGGGGCAGCTGCTGATTCTCTTCCGTACAGCTCGTTTACGGACAAGCGGAAATATTCGGTGCCGAGCTTGCAGAGGGGAGCACATATCTGTTCGGCCTTGAATGCAAGGCAGCTGTCTACACCTGGCAAGGTTGCACCATTGAGATGAGTATCCAAACCTACCTCCTCTACCCGCGCATACGTTGACTTGCTTTCGTGTCTCCACGTCACAGGCCTCCCGTCTACGGAGTATGTCTCCGACGAGACGCCAATGCACGCATACGCGAACGTGCACTTGGCGCTCGAGCAGATGCGCGTGAGGGCTCTGCGTGCGGCGCACGGGTCCCCGCCGTCTTCGGACGACGAGGCAGATGATGCGAACCCAGACCCCCCGCGAGTACTGGTACTTGGGCCAGATAACTCGGGCAAGACGACGGTGGCTAAGATACTTGTCAATTATGCGGTGCGGACGGGCCAGGACTGGACCCCCATGTTAGTGAACACGGATCCAGGCGAGGTAAATCATTCCGTTCTTATCCACGTATACGATGCGCTGTTCTCATGCACGCCGTCGTCGCCAGGGTGGCTGGGCCGTCCCCGGTGCGATAGCAGCTGTGCCCGTATCCTCTCCTATCCAGACCTCCACACCAGCCACCACACTCGGCTGCGCTGCCTCTTCCGCCCCAACACACATCTCCTCCAATGCGCTCCTGCCGATCGCGTACTGGTACGGCCATGCGGAGACGAAGCGCAACCCGCTGCTCATGGACCGGCTCATCCGCAACTTGGGCGAGAACGTGTCGGAGCGTTGGGACCACGATGTGGAGGGCAGAGCGTCGGGGCTGATCGTGGACACGCCGAGCTCGTTTGCTGCGAGTTCGGGCGCGCAGAGCGAGCATCGGTAGCGTTGATTAAGCGTGCGTGGATGCATTCAGAAGTGGGTGTCGTTGTTGCGACTCCGTGGGATAAAGCTAAATGGATGCAGTCAACGTGATCCTCGTTGTAGGACATGAAAAACTCAATGTGGAGATGCAGCGGACATACGGCAATCGCATGGCCGTTCTGAAGATCCCTAAGTCTGGCGGAGTGCGTATTCACATCAACAATTCGCTTTTTCTTTGCTGACGATACACGTAGGTTGTGGAGCTGGATGCGAGCTATCGTGAACGTATAAGAGATACCAGCTCCAGAACTACATGTACGGAAAGGTCCTACGGCCGCCACCTGGCCTGTCGTCGACGACGTACCTACAGGGCGGCGAGCAGGCGGCAGATCTCACGCTCAACCTCGCTCCGGTGTCGTCCATCGTCAGCTTCAGCGACCTGACGATATACAGGATCGGAGAGGGTGAGCATACGCGCGAAACATCGGGTACACAGCTGATGTCTGTAACCTTGCAGAGACCATGGCACCGACGTCTGCGTTGCCCATCGGCGCCACGCGAGTGGTGTCAGAGATGCAGCCTCTGTCGGTTGACCCGGCGCAGCCTGGCTCCGGTCTCTACAACGCGGTCTTGGCGCTCCTTGCGCCCCCGAACCCGGATGAGTCCGAGAGGTACGACGAGGAGGTACTCGACCTGCCTGCTGTGGGCTTCCTTGTAGTGTGCGTGCATAAGCTTGTTGGTACTACTCTGTGTGACGAACTGACGGTGGCTTGTGACGATAGGACTGCGCTAGACATCCCGAACAAGAGGATGACGATACTGTCACCCAGCCAAGGGTCGCTGGTGGGTCGTACTGCGATCGTCGGCTCGTTCGAGTGGCAAGAGTGATGGGGAGAGGCTATGCTGTTCTGCGCCGTGCCGTGCCGCCTAGTGGTTCGTGTGTGATTGCTGTGTACTATACTAAGCCAACAGGCCTTTGTAGAAGCGAGAGAAGTGCAACAGAGCGATGGTGCAGATAACACCTGAGCAGCTAGTCTCATCGACCTCAGACATTGCCTGTGAGCCGGCATGGTATGTCTTGCTGCCCTCGTGTATCCTGCGCTGACGGATTCAAAATGTCTGACCTGCCTGGGACATACAACACCCTACGCCTCAGTGAAGGCCCAAGTATCTCTGGCTCGAACCTTGATACGTCGTTGAGCGACCACTACTTCCAGTCATCCCCTCTCGTATCCTTCTCACACTATCTGCGATAGCAACGACTTTTGTCCGGATCATGCTCTTGTTACTCAGTATGCCGTCGCTGGCCTCGCCTCCATGGCGTTCGCCGCGCGAATCTTTCTGCACGGTCCTTAAACCGTGAGTACCGTCAGCGGCCTTCGCAGTACGTCATGCAAGCAGAACTGACCCATCCTCCGTGGTGTAGCGCGACGTTCTTGACTCACCATCGCCGCGCATGACCCTCCACATCCGTGCTCCGTCGAACCAGCCAACGATGATCAGTCTCGAGCCTGCCGAACCGGAATACGCATCGCGCACAATCATGTTGCAGCAGGATAACGGGCCACCGGACAGCGAACCTACTCGGTTCGACCTGCGGAGAGTTGAAAAGATATCGGCGGACCCGCATCATGATCCTCGCGCCGCCGCCTGGTTCGTCGAACGTGGCGGTGGTTATCAGGATGCATATGCGAAGTCCGGCGTGACGGAGGACGAGATCAAGGTTGTCAAGGCGGTGGATGGAACCCAGCCGGTACGTCCACGGCAGTGGCATCATTGACCGCCGGTCTGCTGACACCCGTCTACAGTACGAGCATAAGTTCGAGCCGCTGAGCGGTGCTGTGACGGACGACCGAGCGCGTGAACGCTTGTTGTTCATGAAACGAGACCCCGCCCTGCGCGAGTTCCACAAGTTGGATAAATTCGACCTGTATGTGAATATATACAAGAACCACGAGGACTGTATGACGCTGGTCGGAAACGCTGCCCGTGCGGTCGCGGACAAGGTCGTCAACGTGTGCAAACAGACTGGGAGGTTGAACAGGAAACCAACCGACGGACTAGTACTCTACGAGGAGCCTTTGCGAAAGTCGCTACTGTGTTCGGCTGGGGGGCGACCGAGGCAATGCCAAAGGAGCAATGCGTAAGTGCCGTGCAGTCTACACCGGAGATCGCAATTCACTGGTATGGCAGGAATCACATCGAGCGACGATGAGCTGGAGGTGAATACGGAGCTCGCATCGTGGTGTGAGGGATTGGCGAAGACAATAGCTAGTGCTATCCAGTGACTGTTGGATAGTTATTCATTGGTGCGGTTTAGGGAAGACATTATATCTCACCTCTCGCAGATCGCCATTTGCATGACCGCCGAGAGCACATTGCTGCCAGCCCTGACGATACTCAAGCTATGTACGGCGAAGATGATTGAGCCTACGTTTAAAATTTATTGAAGTCAGAAAATCCGAGATTCTGACTTCGAGGATGTGGGACAATTTGTAGGGGTTAACCACTGGCAAGAGGACTGTCGGTCACTGTCGGTAGTGTTGCTCCGTGTCGCTCGGACAGGTGCCGGGTGGGACCGAGTAGAGATGACATCACGGGCGCTCAAGCTGGACGTCGGTGAGGTCGGGCGACGAGCACCTCACTCGTCCGTCCTCCTGCCCTCAGCCCCAACCATCCCAGCTGCAAGCTCTGCAGCCTTCTCGCCCCGCCCAGGCCGCCGCTCGCAATGCTTCCTCAAGCAGCGCGGCGTGCCGTCTTCCACCTTCCACGTCCCCCAGCCTCAGCCTGTCGACGACCGCCTGCACCCACCCGCTTCCCTCTCCCTCTCGGGCGACCCGTCCGGCAGCGCACCTTTGCTACCTCTCCGGCTAGATTAGATAGCCAAGCCAGCAAATCTGCGGACGCGCTGCCTCCGCCCCCTCCGCCCAAACGGACCCTCACACGGCGGTTTCGCACCCTCTTCAAGTACTCCTTCTACCTTGCTGGTTCTACCGCAGTGGGAACAGCCGTGCTCATAACTGCCATCTTCCTGCACGACGCGTTCACTTATGGCGAGCAGGTGCGTGCCTCACGTCTCCGTCGCGTCGCGTTGCTCATGGGCCCCGGCTTCGAACAGCACATAGAGGGCGTACCCGTCTCCCCACTCGCGCTCAAGCCCGAGCTCGGAGGGCCTAAAAACTTGCCCATCGTCCAGCGCTACCTCGGTGACTTCGAAGACCCTACAAACACTCAGCTCGTCGACAAGCCCCACCTCGTTATCGTCGGCGGCGGCTGGGGTGCCGTTGGTGTCCTCAACTCGCTCCGTCCCGGTGATTATCATGTCACGGTCATCTCTCCGGAAACGTACACCACGTTTACCCCGCTCCTGCCTTGTGCGTGTTTCTCTCTGTCGCGGTGTTAACATGGGCTGAACGGCGTGTCCAGCTGCTGCCGTCGGTACTGTTCAGGTGCGCTCCCTCGTGGAACCTCTGCGCAAGATCATCGCCCGGCTACGCGGACACCTATTGAACGCAAGAGCTGTTGATCTGGTTATGAGCGAACGCCTGCTTGAAGTAGAGACTGCGTGCACGGACGGTCGCCCGCAGCGCATATACGTCCCGTGAGTGATCGCCCTCCCTCCCGAATGGACTATATGCGCGATGTCTTCGCGCCATTGCACTCATCCATCGCTGACCACGTACCTAGGTACGACAAGCTCGTCATTGCGGTCGGCTCCACAAGCAGTACGCACGGTGTCAAGGGTCTCGAGCATTGCTTCCAACTCAAGACCGTCTCCGACGCACGCATGATCCGCCAACGCATCCTCGGTTTGTGTCTCCTCGCTGTCCTACCTCCTACCCGCTTGCTGACACGTCTCCTAGACAACTTCGAAGCCGCTTCCCTGCCGACAACCTCGCCCGAGGAGCGCCGGCGGCTGTTGAGTTTCATCGTGTGCGGCGGTGGGCCGACGGGCATCGAGGCGGCCGCGGAGATCTACGACCTCTGCCAGGAGGACGTGATACGGTACTACCCTAAGATCTGCCGGGAGGAGGTGTCGATACACGTCATCCAGAGCCGGGAGCATATCCTCAACACGGTGCGTCGCCCACTGTGCTCGCTCCTCGACTCCTGCTGACGCGCGGTGCGCGCAGTACTCGGAGGCGATTCAGAAATACGCGGAGGGCAAGTTCGTACACGATCGGATTGACCTGATCAAGCCTGCGCGCGTCGCGGCGGTGTATGACGACCGCGTGGAGTATACGGTGAAGGACAAGGACGGCAAGACGGAGACGCTCGCGATCCCGACGAACTTTGTGCTTTGGAGTACGGGCATTGCGATGAACCCGTTTTCGGAGAGGGTGTCGAACTTGCTGTGAGTGCTCCGATGGAGGGTTCTGAGGTGGGTGTTCATGTGGATTGGGTAGGCCGAACCAGGTACATAAGAAGGCGATTGAAGTCGATGCGCACCTGAGGGTCAAGGGTGCGCCGGTCGGTGAGGTGTACGCGATTGGTGATGCGTCCACGGTGCGTTCCATACGTTTCAGTCCCTCGTACCCTTGTTTGACGAGTGACGCTTTCGCGTACCATGGGGACAGATTGAGACGTCCGTCGTGAGCTACCTGCTTGAGCTTGTTGACGAGGCGGACAGGAACAAGGACGGCAAGATCGACTTTGACGAATTCGAAATCATGGGTGCGTTCGTCGTGCTGTTATGACGGTCGCCGTGGGCCTCATCTCACCCTACGCTCCTAGTCAACCGTATCAAGACCCGCGTGCCCATGGCCGAGAGTGCCATGGGACATGTATGTCAACTTCTCCAGAATTGTGAAAGTATGGTGTGGCTGACGGGATGTCGACACAGGTCCGGGAGCTGTTCAAGGCATACGACAAGGACTCGGACGACGCGCTCACGCTGAACGAGCTCGCGGTGCTCCTCCAAGAACTCGGGAATAAGATCACGTCGCTCCCGGCGGTAAGCCTTTATCCCCCCCTCTGCCTCCGCCTCCTCTCACGCACGCTCACGCGCGCTCTATCCCCGCAGACCGCGCAGGTCGCCGCGCAGCAGGGCAAGTACCTCGGGCGCAAGTTCACGAAGTTCTCGAAGCAGCGGGCGACGCTCACGGAGAACGGGCTGTTCTGGGGCCCGGGCTCGGACGAGGTCGTCGCGGGGCCGTTCCGGTACCTCCACCTCGGCTCGCTCGCGTACATCGGGAACGCGGCGGTGTTCGATCTGGGGAAGACGAGCTTCATGGGCGGCCTGGTCGCGATGTACGCGTGGCGGAGCGTGTATTGGAGCGAGCAGGTGAGCTCGCGGACGAGGGCGCTGTTGATGATTGATTGGATCGTGCGGTGAGTGGATTGCTTGGTTAGATGTTGCATAGTGGGTCACTGAAATTTGATTCGGCTTGACAGTGGTGTGTGGGGGAGGGACTTGTCTAAGCTCTGAAGCGGTTGGCCGCGTTGGTCACCCCCGCGTGAAGCGCCAAAATCGCTGCTGTACCGATCTTTTTAAAATTTGCAGAGACATTTGGATGGACCACTCTAGACTTCTAGATGTACCCTGAAGCCTTGTTTAGGATACGGTGACGATCTGCAATGCGACGATACTCCAATTTGCTGATGGTCCGCCGCTGTGCCAGCCTCAGGTGATGTTGTTGAAGGGCGGTGCCGGCTGGACTCTACAGTGTGTACTATTGTCTGCGAGGGTCGAGCCCTATGTATACAAGGCGCTAAGTGCACGCTGTGTGCGCTCTCTGAGCAGACGAATGACGCTGTCGTAAGTTTATGCCTCTGATGCCTCTGAGAAACGGAAGTCGATCGGCGATGCGGAGTTTGCTTCGTGGCGCCTGCATCTCTCGGATCAATCTCAGTTATGAGTCGCCCATGCCACTGATCTTGGCCATGGCAGCGCTCAACGTTCAACGTTATGTAACGTTCAACACTTGGGCATTCGGGACACGACCTCTGTAAGCTTCGAAGCGGAATGTCAGAAAATGGTGGTGCGTAAGTCACTCATCTTCGACGTATCAGCATGTCTCGTTAACTCGTGCTTAGATCGCTGGGAGGGCTCGACGAGGATGTCAGTCGCCACATCCTCCGTGAGCTGTCTAGAAAGGACTTGTGGTCTCTTCTGCAGACATGCCGCTGGCTTCGAGGGGCATCCATGCCCCTTCTGTTTCGAAAATGTACGCTCAATGTCCGCGGGCCGCGGAACGTGATCGAACCAGAGAGGTTTCTGCCCGCGTCGTTCAGACCTCACGTCCAGTACGTAGTGTGCCCTTCTATGACTCATCGCCTCCCACCTGTACTCACCCGACTCTGCAGGACGCTGGTTCTCCGTGATGCATGTCCGGATCATCGAGTGGTAGATGGACTGGAAGACCCGCCACACTACTTCACAGACAACCACAAGCTCTGTGGCGCTTTGCCTGGTCCCCCGCTCGCCGATCGACTACGGGAATTGCCTCATCTACGGTCGCTCAGGCTCACAATGTACCATAACTCGAGACACGTCACGCACGGTCTGTCATGGGACACTCTACGTGCCGTCTTATCAGTGCCGCATCTGCGCGAATTTGACATCGAGAATATGTACCTCTGCCCTGAGTTGCGCTCGGGGGAACAACTCCAAGTCAATGTCGAATCACTATCTACGATCACGTCGTTCCGCTACCAATTGTGGCAGCCACGGGAGCCGCTCACAACCTCCTTCGAGACGGCTGCGCTGTCTGTCGTATTGAGCCAATTGTGCGAGACTCTCGAGACCTTGGACCTCGCCAGCGAACCTGCTCCTCTATTCGCTCTATCCCAGCTCCGTTGTCCCCGCCTTCGCAAGCTAGTCTATCGCGGAACACCGTGGCAAACGCTGGCTGCACCATTCATATCATTTCACACTGGGATGCAGGATCTGCGGGCCTTCACCCTGAAACTCGACGTCACACCGGGAACCATTCCGCAGGTGCTCTGGCCTGCTGGCTATGAGGGCCCCTTCCCGTGGCCGGAGCTCGAGCGTTTGGTCATCTCGTTCCCCAATCCTCGGGATGAGGTATATGACCACCTCCCATCGTCCTTGCGGGCGCTGTCCCTGCGTTGCTGGCCCCATGTCCATGTGCAGAAACGACCGACCAAACCCAGTACACAAGCCCTCGATCACAACGCGCTGTTGAGTTCCTCCGCCATTCGCTCGATCCTACGCCGATGCAGCTCGTTGAACCTTGATCACCTCGAGATCGAGTATCGCGCCGACGATGAAGACGACGCACTTCTCCGACACGTTGTGAAGACGTTCCCGCTTCTCACTTCTTTGAAGATCCATCGCTATCGGTCCGCGCTCGAAATAGAGGAAGGGCGAGACGTGCCTGTAGTAAGCTATGGTTTTGCGCGATGGTCTATCTTTGCTCACTCTCCTTCCCCAGGATCACATTGCTCAGATGCTCGTCCCTCTTTCTCGGCTTCGTCGTCTCAAGATATACCTGGATTTAGTAAGGACACCGCGGCCTAGACCGGGCCCGGTATGGAGGTCAATAAGTTCACCTTACGTATACGATGCATATGCTGTTTATGACTTCGAGGGAGCTGTACAAGGTATGGCCAAAGTCTTCGCTCAAAATCTTAGTTCCTCTCTACGTGAGGTCATAGTATATAGTGTGTCAGAGAGTAGTCCTTACTGGCGTATTTATAACAGTGGGGAGTTGCGCTTATCAGTATAAATGTAGTAGCGAAAGCTAGTAGCCTAGTCCCCGCGAGACATGACAACCCTTGTGCATACGGCGACTCGGAGGCATGCAAGCTCACTTGAAGTTACCCTGGCAAAGTCGTACCGTATGCCTTGAACTTCCGTACTTGTCAGAACTGGTACCGGTACCAGTGTGCGTCCGCGTTTCCATAAGAGGCAACTCCGAGTCTCGGACAACTTATCGAAAGTTCGAAAGTAGTAGCCTGTACCAAGTACTATTTGACTAATACTACTTCAGTCGTACCACGTCTGCTACAGTGCTAGTCACCACCAACGGCCCTACCACAGTATCTGCGGCTCCTGAAGAGTCGTGATGTCTGAACTCCGTAACATGTAAGTCATTGTTCTGCAACACGTCACTCAGCGTGCCGCCTCAGGCTCAGGCTGAATGATGCAAGTTATAGATCACTAGGAGGGCTCGACGAGGATGTCTGCCACTACGTCCTACGTGAGCTGTCTGAGAAGGACTTGTGGTCGCTCCTGCAGACATGTCGTTGGCTCCGGGAGGCTTGCATACCCCTTCTGTTCCGAGACTGCACGCTCAATGTCTATGGGCCCTGGAAAGTTACTCAACCCGCGAGGTTTCTACCCATGGCGTTTAGGCCTTACGTCCAGTAGGTGCAATGCCTGAACATGACCAGCAACTCTTTCCTGTACTCATTTTGAACTCTGTAGGACGCTGGATCTTCGTGATGCATGTCCGGATCAGCGAATGGAGGATGAACTGCAAAACCCGCCACTCTACTTCACGAACAAGCGCAAGCTTTGTGGTACTTTGCCTGGTGCTCCGCTCGCAAATCGACTACGGGAATTACCTCGTCTACGGTCCGACTCAGGCTCACGATACATCAGAACAGATACCTTACGCACGGCCTGCCATGGGACACTCTACGTGCGATCTTACCAGTGCCGCATCTGCGCGAATTCAACATCAAGAATATGTACCTCTGTCCAGAGTTGCGCTCGGGAGAACGACTCAGCGTCGAATCACTGTCTCCGATCACGTCGTTCCGCTACCAAATGTGGCACCCGCGGGAGCCGTTCGCAACCCCCTCCGAGACGGCTGCGCTGTCGACAGTACTGGGCGTATTGTGCGAGACTCTCGAGACTTTGGACCTCGCCAGCGAACCTGCCCCTCTATCTGCTCTATCCCAGCTCCGTTGGCCCCGCCTTCGCAAGCTGGTCTATCGCGGAACGCCGTGGCATACATTAGCCGCACCACTCATATCACTTCACCCTGGGATGCAGGATCTGCAGACCTTCTCCCTGAAACTCGACGTCACACCGGGAACCATTCCGCAGGTGCTCTGGCCTGCTGGTTACGAGGGCTCCTTCCCATGGCCGGAGCTTGAGTGTTTGGTCGTCTCATTCCCCGATCCTCGGGATGAGGTATATGACCACCTCCCATCGTCCCTGCGTGCGCTGTCGTTGCGTTGCTGGCCCCATCTCCATGTTCAGAAACAGCCATCCGACATCGACCCCGCACATGACCGCCCCGATCACAGAGCGCTATTGAGTTCCTCCGCAATTCTCTCCATTCTACGTCGATGCAGCTCGTTGGACCTTGATCACCTCGAGATTGAGTACCGCGCAGATGACAAAGATGACGCACTTCTCCGGCACATAGTACAGGCGTTCCCTCATCTCACGTCTTTGAAGATTCACCGCTACCGATCCGCGCCCGAAATACAGGAAGGGCGAGACGTGTCTGTAGTAAGCTATCATTCCTACGTGATGGTCTATCATTTCTCACTTTCTTTCTCCAGGCTCACCTTGCTCAAATGCTCGTCCCTCTTACTCACCTTCGTCGTCTCAAAACATACCTGGATCTGGTAGGGACGCCACGGCTCAAGTGGGGGATGTCGATACGAGCGGAGATTTGGATGTACAATGCATCTGCCGTCAGTGCCTTCGAGGAAGCTGTACAGGCTACGGCCAAAGTCTTCGCTCAAAGTCTCAGTCTCTCTCTACGTGAGATCATAGTATATAGTGTGTCAAGGAGCAGTCCTTACTGGCGTGTTTATGACAGTGGCGAGTTGCGCTTATGAGCATAGATATGATGATGGGCGAACGCTCAAGCGCTCAGGCTCGGCGGTGTGCCTGCAAGGCGCAGCCTGATTGCCAGTATGACACCTCCTCCCATTATGCGTTAACGCATTTTCCCCAACGAAAAAAACAGATAGCTTTGGGGCGTGTAGATATGTGCATGCAGTGTAAAAACCGTACTTGCCCGAAAGGGCAATATTGGCACCGCGGCTACGGTTGCCCGATAGTCCGGGGCCGGGCATTTTTGCACGACGCGCCTTTGACGCGCCTCGGCCATATCGCGTCCGCCTGCTCCATGTCTTTTAGGACTGGGAATACTCACGTTACGGTCGTAGAAACATGACTGCTACACGCAAAGCACTGGGAACATCGAAAGAGAGGGATTAGCAAGCTCATCGGCCCTCAAAATTCACGCGAAAGCTCGACGACCTCGGAAAATGGTAAGCGCCCGGCGCGTTACCGCGACTCGCTCGCTCGGACTCGAAGGCGCAAGTCTGGAGGATACAACTATGGGCCATGTTGTATGCTGGTGCGTGGCTAGTTTTCAGGAACTTGTGAGATGTCGAACAGGGATGCAGATTAGCATAAGCAGGATGGTATGACACTCGGTACTACTGATACTGCAGTGCTGAGCGGAGTCCGGCAGGCCCAGTGAAGCCTCATGAAACTTCCTGAAGCTCTCGGTGTAGGGTTTTGATGTGCATGCTTTGTCCGGGGGTGATGAGGTGATTCAGATGTACGGTTCGAGACACATGATATATATTTTGGTTTTGTTGATGTACACGAAGGCCCGCAACGCAGTAAGTACGACTCCGAGGCAAGACCACTATTATTTTGCACCTGTCATAGCCATAGATAGATAGACGTAAAAGCACTTCTGAGCTTCTCCTACCCTCAGCACTTCGTTCTGCTCAGTATCCCAGTTGACTTCGCATAGTACCAGCTACTTCATTTGCAGCAGTGTCCGAGCTGAGAACATGGGCTGTACAATTCGAACTATGCCCGTAGTACGAGAAGTAAAACCACAGCACGTATGAATAACTCACCATATATACTGTGCTTGGTCTGCCGCGGCCATAAAGGTGGTGTAGAACTTGCGCCTTCGAGTCCGAGCGAGCGAGTCGCGGTAACGCGCCGGGCGCTTACCATTTTCCGAGGTCGTCGAGCTTTCGCGTGAATTTTGAGGGCCGATGAGCTTGCTAATCCCTCTCTTTCGATGTTCCCAGTGCTTTGCGTGTAGCAGTCATGTTTCTACGACCGTAACGTGAGTATTCCCAGTCCTAAAAGACATGGAGCAGGCGGACGCGATATGGCCGAGGCGCGTCAAAGGCGCGTCGTGCAAAAATGCCCGGCCCCGGACTATCGGGCAACCGTACGCGGCACAGTGTGCGTCATCAGAGGCAATTCCCGGACAATCGCTGATGCGGATCTTATCGAGAGTAGCCATATCTGAGTACTATTTATGCCAATGCTACTTCAGTCGTACCACGTCTACTACTACCAACGGCCCTAGCACAGTATCTGCGGCTCCTAAAGAGTCGTGATGTCTGAGCTCCGCAACATGTAAGTCATTGTTCTGCAACATGTCAGCGCGCCTGAATTAATTACGCAAGTTGTAGATCGCTAGGAGGACTCAACGAGGATGTTTGTCGCCACGTCCTAAGTGAGCTATCTGACGACGACTTGTGGTCACTTCTGCAAACATGCCGCTGGCTTCGAGAGGCAGCTGCTCCTGTTCTGTTTCGAGAATGCACGCTCAAGGTCTATGGGCCATGGAACGTGATCAAACCTGAAAGGTTTCTGCCCGCATCATTCAGGCCTTACATCCAGTATGTACTGTGCGATTTAATGACGATCATTGTGTTTTATGTGCTCAATGAGGCTTACAGGACACTGTTTCTCCGTGATGCATGTCCGGATCAGCGAAGGGACGACGAACTAGACAGCCCGCCACTCTATCACACAGACAACCACAACCTATGTGGTGCTATGCCTGGTGCTCCTCTCGGCGATCGGCTGCGAGAATTGCCCCGTCTACGGTCGCTCAGGCTCACAAAACATCAGAATAGATACCTCACGCATGGCCTGCCATGGAACACCCTACTTGCCATTTTATCAGTGCCGCATCTGCGCGAGTTCAACATCGAGGACATGCAATTCTGCCCTGTCATGCACTCAGATGAACAACTCATCGTCGATTCACTAGCTCCAATCACGACGTTCCATCACCGAATGTGGTACCCACAGGAGCCATTTACTTTCTCCTGCCAGACGGCTGCATTATCTGCCGTTCTGAGCAAACTGTGCGAGACCCTCGAGACATTGAACCTTGCTAGTGAGCCCGCCCCTGTTCCAATCGTATCCCGATTCCATTGGCCTCGTTTGCGCAAACTCGCCTATTGTGGACCGTTGTGGAGCACATTGTCCACACCATTCATATCACTTCACTCGGGAATGCAAGATCTGCGGTCTCTCTCCCTGGAACTCGATGTCACGTCAGGAACGAATACGCAGGTGCTCTGGCCTCCCGGCTACGATGGCTCTTTCCCGTGGCCAGAGCTCGAACATCTGCTCATCTCATTTCCTGATCCTCGGGATGAGGTATATGACCACCTTCCGTCGTCCCTGCGCGCTCTATCATTGCGCTGCTGGCCTCATATTCATGTCCAGCAAGAGCCAAGTGATATTGATGCCGTGGATGATCGCCCCGATCACAATGCTCTTCTGGGATCCACCGCAATTCGCTCGATTCTACGTCGGTGTAGTTTGTTGGATCTGGACCACCTCGAGATCGAGTATCGCGCCGACGACGAAGACGACGCACTTCTCCGACAAGTAGCGGCGACGTTCCCACGTCTTACCTCTCTGAAGATTCACCGCTACCGGTCCGCTTTCGAGATACAAGAACAGCGAGATGTACCCATGGTAAGCCGCCATCTGCCACCGCCAGGTGATAATTCGTCTTTACTCACTTATGTTCTCCAGGAACATATCGCTCAGATGCTCGCCCCTCTCACTCGTCTCCGTCTTCTCAAGATATACCTGGAATTAGCGTGTACACCGCGGCTCAAGCTTGGTATGATGTTTCGATCGCCAGCAGAGATATGGATGTATGACACATCTGACGTCCGCAAATTCGAAGTCGCCACACAGGCCATGGCTGGAGTCTTTGCCCGGCATCTCAGTCCTTCCGTACGTGAGGTCATACTGTACAGTGTGTCAACGAGTAGTCCCTACTGGCGAGTATTCGATGTCATCGCTGGGTACGCTTGTGTGCGGTAGTAGATGTGTAGACGAATGGTAGCTTAGCCTGCTACTGTGAATATTTCAGGTACTAGGGAGCACAGTGATCACAAAGACGAGGGAAGCTAAATGACCGTGTCGGCTCGGCTTGGGCTCGGCACCAAGCAGCGCTGGTCAGCCTTTCAAAATAATAACATTGACAACGTCTTGACTTGTTTGTGCTTTTGTGTATCTGAGTGCCTGTCCTAATCAGACTCATGCTCAACTCGAATGATTCGCTGATCTCCAGACTGCTCGTCACCGATTCACTTGGCCATCCGGTGGAACAGCCACGTATGTACGTACTACTATTTAGCGCGCAGTTGTCAATCGGTAAATACCGTGGGTGTGGCTGAGCGCTGAGCGCTGAGGCCGAGGCCTGAGGGTCGCCGCCGCTCTCAAACTGGAAGATCGTCACATCGCTGACCTCTCTACATCGCTACATATGTCGGAAGATACAGCTGGCTCGTAAGTGTGCCATTAGCTGTCTGTCGATGCGTCTGACTTTATAGAATTGGACGGCTCAACGAGGACGTCGGCTGCCGCATCCTCCTCGAGCTTCCAACGCCAGATTTGTTGTCACTGTCAATGACGTGTCGTCCGCTCCGAAATACATGCATGCCATTCTTGTTCGGTCGCTCCTACATAACGATCTATGGACCACCACAAGTTGAGAAACCGGAATTGTTCCTACCTACATCGCTCAGGCCTTACGTTCAGTATGCCCGTGAAATACCGTTGAGAGTCGCTGTCATTCCTGACCACCAAAATTTGCAGCTCGCTAGTCATACATGACAAGTGTCTGGACCAGCGAAGCATACATCACATGAACCAGCGGCTCTACTTCACAGACAACTACATGCGCTGCGGTGCTTTCCCTGGATCCTCTCTTTCCCAACGGCTGCGAGAGCTATCTCGCCTACGCTCGTTGACAATATACAAGGATAACAGCTCAACGCATGGCCTGTCGTGGGAAACTCTGCGGGCACTTCTCTCTGTACCACAGTTACACGAGGTCAAACTCAGATGGCTCTATTTCTGTCCCGACCTACGCCCAGGTGAAGAACTCACCATCGACTCACCAGCTCCGATCACATCTTTCCACTACCGGATGTACCACCCACGAGATCCATTCAGTTTTCCATCCGAAACGGCCGCACTCTCCGCCGCGTTGCACAGTCTTTGCGAGACTCTCGAGACAATAGTCCTTTGTAGTGAGTCTGCCCCGCTATCCACTATGCCCCATTTCCACTGGCCGCGCCTTCGCAAACTCGTGTTTTACGGGATGCCATGGACGACTCTGCCCGCGCCATTCGTGTCGCTATGCCTGGGGATGCAGAGCCTGCAGTCTCTCTCTTTGAAGTTGTATGCGACACCGTCCGCTGCGCCCCAACCACTTTGGCCTTCAGGCCAGTCCTGCGCTTTCCCTTGGCCAGCGCTTGAACGTCTTGTCATCTCATTTCCAGATCCTCAAGACGAGATATACGACCATCTACCATCCTCTCTGCGGGCACTTTCGCTGCGCTGTTGGCCCCACCTCCATGTACAACGCCGGTGGCGCGGATTTGGGTTTGCATGGCGTCAGCGAGACAACGCCATGCTAGATTCTTCCGCGATGCTCTCAATTCTGCGTCGATGCAACACACTGGATCTCGACCACCTCGAGGTCGAGTATTGTGTTGACAACGAGGACGGTGCACTCCTGCAATATGTGGCGACTACATTCCCGCATCTCACATCTCTGAAGATCCACTGCTATCAGTCAGCACTTGGGGAAGGGCGGAACATATCTGTCGTGAGCAGTGATTGTCTAGCTTCGGTTCGCCGATGTCCAGCTCATATTTCGCTCCTTAGGTACAAATCGCTCAGTCGCTTGCTTCTCTCACTGAACTTCGTCGTCTCAAAGTATACCTAGACGTCGTCGTTGTGTCGCAGCCAGATATGGTGCCTCCCAGAACCAACCTACAGAACGCGGCGGCATTATTTGCGCAAATACTCAGTTCGTCTTTACGCGAAGTCGTGATATGTAGCAAGGATCTTCCCTCTTGGCACAAATTCCAGGTCGTAGGAAGATGCGCACATAGGCTGGACGCGCGGCTCAGTGAACGTTGACCTTTCAGGAGTTGTGACTGTGCCTCAGAGTCCGAAAATGTAACCTCCGGTTTGACACAAACTGTGGCTGGTCACGGTGTTGTTGCGCTCAGATGACCAAACACACAAACGTCAGGGAAGAAAGGTGTCAGAGTGAACGCCAAATAATCATATTCCTCAACGTTCAACGAGCGGATTCAAATCAGCCACTGAGTCTGTGACGGCGATTACCGAGAGCGGTCACGGTTGTCACGGTGCAGCGTCACTGTACGTAGCCTTGCGGTGTTTCAGTCACTACTACTTCAGGCCTTCAGGTTCGACCTATCCAGGTACTATGCCCGGAGACACAGCTGGCTCGTAAGTACACTGATACACACTATCAAACATGTCTGAGCGATAGTAGGATGCTAGAACGGCTCAACCAGGATGTCTGCCGCCACATCCTATTCGAACTTTCAGTGGTTGACTTATTGTCGCTCTCAATGACATGTCATTGGCTTCGGGAGCCATGCATGCCTCTCTTGTTCGGCCGTTCTTACCTCACAGTCTACGCCCCGGATAAAGTCGTCCTGCCGGGTTTGTTCCTTCCTACGTCGCTCAGGCCTTACGTCCAGTACGTCTGCCTGTGTCTTCGACCGCGTCAGGTTCTCACTCTCACCGTCGACTTGGACAGTTCGATGATCATTCGTGACGAGTGTTTGGATCAGCGAAACAAGGCCAACATGAGAAGGCCGCCCCACTTCACGGACGACCTCAGGCTTTGTGGTGCTTACCCTGGTGCTGCCCTTGCTGAACGGCTGCAAGAGCTACCTCATCTACGCTCCTTGACGATACACAAAGTCAACGACTCGATGCATGGCTTGTGCTGGGATACACTGAGCGCGGTCCTCTCCATACCTCATTTACGCGAGTTCAAAGTCAAGAACCTGTACTTCTGTCCCATCCTACGCGCCGGGGAGCAACTCGACATCGACATCGTAGCTCCGATTACATCATTCCAATTTCGGATGTGGCATCCACGAGAGCCGTTCACTTTCCCGTCCGAGACGGTCGTGCTGTCTGCCATATTGAGCAAACTATGCGAGACTCTCGAGACTTTGGTCCTCACTAGTGAGCCCGCCCCACTGTCCACTCTGTCCCAACTTCGCTGGCCTCGTCTGCGCAGGATTACCTTCTACGGCACTCCGTGGACGACGTTGCCCGCGCCGTTCGTATCACATTTCTCTGGGATGTCGGGACTACGGTGTATTTCTCTGAAGTTGAATCCTCCGCCACACACCGTCCCCCAGGCACTGTGGCCTCCTGGCTACGCCTGTTCGTTTCCGTGGCCAGAGCTCGAACGGCTGGTTATTTCGTACCCTGACCCTCAAGACGGAATCTACGAACATCTGCCGTTGTCCCTCCGTGCCCTGTCCCTGCGTTGCTGGTACCACCTCTATGTCCAGCAACAATATTCCCGATTTGGTGCTTCGCATCCTCCTACCTATGACGCCCTATTATCTTCCTCTGCAATGCTGTCGATCTTGCATCAATGTAATAGGTTGAATCTGAACCACCTCGAGATCGAGTATCGCGCCGATAATGAAGACGACGCATTGCTGCAATACGTAGTAGCGACTTTCCCACATCTCGTCTCGCTGAAGATTCATCGATATCGGTCCCATACCGAAGAATGGGAAGGGCGGGATGCACCGGTGGTCAGTCGTCATCATAGTCCCGCTACGTTGAAGGTGACTTCGACTCACGTTGCATTTCAGGCCCGCATTGCGCAGACGCTTGCTGCTCTCACTCAACTTCGCCGTCTCAAAGTATATCTGGACTTATTGGAAACACCTCACACAACTATTGTACTACATGATGCGGCGGCGGTCTTCGCACAGTTGCTCAGCTCTTCCTTGAATATTCTTATCATCCGTAGTCCGAGTGACCCCTCTTGGTATACCTTTGATGTCATTGTCGGTTGCGCTCATGAGCGGCAGGAGATTATGTGACAGCTAATTTCAGAACGATAGTCACTTGCAAACGCGCGCGACAGACGATGACTAAGCGCTCCAACCTTCAAGAAGGCGGCGCGCACCGCTCTTCTGCACCACTGTCGTTCATCGTCTCCTGTCAATTTTGCGCGAGCAGACACAACAGATGATATATGATCTGAAATCTGAATTATGGACCTGTCTCTCTACCATTTACAGTAGTAGTGTAGAGCTACCATGACTCTCGCAGAGTCCGAATAGTTGAACTCTTTCTACATGGCTCGCGACTGGCAAGGCATGGGATTCACTGGAATGTCAGTGGTGTTGTAGAGCAAGGCTGACCAGACACATTCTGCATAATTATTGGTTCGCATCAACCTGATTGCTCACGGGATCGTGTCGTGTATGTCGTTGCGAGGGGCTGGTCCTGGACAGGTCGCTGTGTGTGGAAGATCTCGCGCAGGTTGCAGTGGTGCAGAAGAACGGTGCGCGCCGCTCCCGAAGCGCGGAGCGCTTAGTCATCATATGTCGCGCGCGTTCGAGAGTGACTATCGTTCTGAAATTAGCTGGAATAGATTTGGTACATCATTATTCACATGCAGGGTTGACACTGCCCTGACGCTGATGGTGTATGTAGTTCCAATACTTACATACACAGTTTCACGAGAACAAAACGACAAGCACAGCGATACTTACCATCCAATCGTCTGAACACACTTGCTGGCACCACACCTGTAATCCTCTCGCGGTTGAACGCGGTTGTATTTGATCCCACTATTACATACAACATTATCGGTCGTCTGTGTACCCAGCGTGTAATGTAAGCAGGAGAGCGCGCCCGACCTGCTTGAGGCGGGCAGTACTAGTGTGTATCGTCGTGAACGCACTCGGCGTCATCGTCGTGGGCAGTCGGCAGAGGCGGCTAGGCGGTCTGCACGACCGGCGAAGAGAATAGCGGCGGACTAGATGGAGCACATGGGGCGGTGTGCGGGGGATGCGGGGAGAAGGTATGAGTGCGAGTCCGGTATCGTCTATGCAACCAATATTGATGATAAATAGGCGGAAGGATGAACTTCCGGTGCGGCGAAGCGTAGACTTCAGATGCAAATAGCGCTCAATAGCGCAGCGGGCGGACGTTGTCGACGGGATAAACCCCAGCTTACAGGCGGAGCTTCTTGGGCTTCTCCCACGAGTACTCGTCGTTGCCTAGTCAAAGATCAGCATCGTTCTCTGACACAGTGACGAATGGCCACATACCGAAGTGACCGTAAGACGCGGTCTTGCGGTACTGGGGCTTTTGGAGACCGAGCTCCTGCACGATGACACCTGGCCTGAGGTTGAAGTTGTTGCGGATGACGTCGACGAGCTCCTCGTCGGTCTTCTTGCCGGTGCCGTACGTGTCGACGAAGATCGACAACGGTTCCGCAACACCAATAGCGTACGACAGCTGTACGAGGGCGCGGCGAGCGAGGCCACCCGCAACAAGAGACTTGGCTGCAGCCAGATGAGAAACCGATAACTGAACTGGATGAACGAGCTTACCGATCCAGCGCGCGGTGTACGCCGCCGAACGGTCAACCTTCGACCAGTCCTTGCCAGAGAAGGCACCTCCACCGTGAGCACCCCAGCCACCGTAAGTGTCAACGATGATCTTGCGGCCAGTGAGACCAGCATCACCCTGAGGACCACCGATGACGAAACGGCCTGAGGGTTGGATCTATTTGCAGAGTCAGATATGCGCTGGTGTATAGACTAGTGAATGAACTGACGTGGTAGACGGTGCGCTCATCAAGGAGCTCCTTCGGGATCACCTCCGGAATGATCTTCTCCAAAATAGCCTTGCGGAGGTCGGGCGTGGAGATCTCCTCGGCGTGCTGGGTGGACACGACGATGGTGTCGACACGGAGAGGGATCGTGGCACCACCCTCCTTCTTGTACTCGATCGTGACTTGCGTCTTGGAGTCAGGGCGGAGCCAGGGAAGGACGCCAGCGCGGCGGGCCTTCGACATGGCAGCGTTCAGGCGGTGCGCGAGCACGAGCGTGAGGGGCATGTACTCGGGCGTCTCGTCCGTCGCATAGCCGAACATGATACCCTGGTCACCAGCGCCGATGTTCTCGAGCAAGCCGTGGTCGAGACCCTGCGCGATATCCGGCGACTGCTGCTCAATGGCGACGAGGATGTTGCAGGTCTTGTAGTCGAAGCCCTTGGACGAGTCGTCGTAGCCAATCTCCTTAATCGTCTCCCGGATGACCTTCTGGTAGTCGATCTGGCCCTTGGTGGTAATTTCACCGAAGACCATGATCATACCGGTCTTGGCCGCGGTCTCGCAAGCGACCTTGGAGAACGGGTCCTGTGCCAAGCACGCATCGAGCTGTTCAAAGTAGTTGAGCGTCCATCCCCCTCCCTCACTGTTGTTGAATACGCACGATAGCGTCAGAGACCTGGTCACAGATCTTGTCTATTCATACCCACACCATTAGACCCGATTTCACCGCGCTATGCATGCGCGTCTACTCACCGGGGTGACCTTCGCCGACGGACTCTGAGGTAAAGAGGAAGTGGCCTGGTGCGAGAGCAGCAGCGCGCGCGGAACCGTTTGCAGACATGGCGAAGGAGAGAGTGGGAGAGAGCGATAGAGGGAGGCCGAAGAGATGCAGCTGGGAGAATTGACAGCAGCCTCTATATTTTGGCAGTCGGGGACCCCGTGCACCGCCCAGCACGCCATCCTCGCCTTCGGTGCATCGTTCGATGCGGCCATTTTCCTCAGCCGATTTACGTTCGCAGAACGCTCAGCCCATGCTCGCACACCCTTATCCAATATTCTCAGAAGCACACATAGCGGGGGCATGGGACCAGTATCGCTACATCTTTCACATAACCGAGCACGAGTGAGAGATACACTTTGACATGAGAATCAGAACGTGTCTATAGTTATTCATCCATGGCCATGACCCACAGCCACCTACCACACTCCGACTCCCAGAGGGTCTGAAGCAGAGGTTGCTGGCGCAGCAGGAGACGGAGAAGGCGGCTTGTGAGACGAGGGTGTCGACCTTTCCGCGTCCGAGATTATCGGCGTAAGATGCGGGGAGATGCTCTCGGTACTACGGATACGCGGCGCTGGCGAACTGGGGAAAGCGACTGTGGGGTCGAGCGGCAAGCGAGAATCGTCCCCTGATGATGATGATTCCTGACGGTGTGAGACATCGACATCCTTCGCTGGCGGCTCAGGCGCCTGAGGGTCTGCAGCGGTCCAAGGGTTGTGCAGCAGCACAGAGGGCACATTCGGCCGCGACGTCGCCCAAGGGTTCGTGCTTGCACCCAGCGTTTGCGGGATTCCTGCAGAGCGGGGCGGCGACGACCGTTGCGCTAACTCGGGCTCTGCTCCAGAGTCGCCCCAGGCACCGATCTCTTCCCGCGACCTCAGTTCGCCTCCTTGTCCGTCCCCAGGACTGGTCCCGCCCAGTGAGAGCACTTTGAAGTCCTTCGCCATGCCTCCGTAGGCGTCCTGCACCGCCGAGAGAGCTGCAGTCGCATTTGTAGAGAACCGCCCCCACATCGATCGCACACCGCCGCTTGAGAATAGGTCTGCAGATGGCATTCCGGCCTGCGGACGTATTGTCGAATATGTTCGCGTTGATAAAGGCGACGGAGTTCGAGGGGGAACAGGCGAAGGTTGCGTCGTGCGGTTGGGCGGTGTTAGAGTGCGATCAAATCGTCTCATACTCTCGTGCCGTGTCCGGGGTGATCCTGGGTTCATCGAGCTGGACGCATGACCCGACGGCGAAGGAATTCTGTCAACCGTCCTACGAGTCTCCGGCTGCGCGATCGCGATGCTAGGGGATGGGCTGGTTCCAGGAGAGGGCGGAAGCGGGACAGACGAAGGTGTCGCACCAGGGTTATTGACAGGATCATCTGAAGCTGTGTCTATAGGGCCGTGATACTCGGGATCCTGCGCAAGTTGTCGAGTGACGAATCTCCCGTTCATCTCGTCGTCTGCACGGCCATATAGCTGATACCAGAAGCGCACATCCTTTGGATTGGGCATGAGTACGCCCATGTCAGCGCCCGACCCTCGACGAGAGGGATCATCCAAAGACGGATCGTAATCGGGGTTGATGTTTAACTCATTCTCCGGAGGTGAGTTGAAGAAGTCCCAAACGCTGACCGTCCGATCGCACGGCGGCGGATTTCCAGCATCGCCAACGCGCCGCTCCCGCTCGGTATTGAAGAGAAATGTCCCGAATTGGCACGAGTAAAGATGACAGTGTAGTTGCCGAAGGAACCGCTCGTTGAATTCGAAGCGCTCGGGGAACTGCCGCTGCACCTGACGGACGCACTCGAGCCATTGGTGAAACACGGGACTCGTCTCCTTGAGATGACCCTGCGAGGCGAACCTGTTCTGTACGGATGCCAGGAAAGCCTGGGCGGCTTCCGCACCGCTCGCGTTGCCCGCGTTCTCCACGGGTGCGAGGAAGAACTTCTCAGAAGAGAGATGTCCGCATCGGTCGAGGAACTTGTGGCCGAAAGATAACCAGTCCTTCTCGATGAGGACTTGGAACCCACGCACGGTCCGATAGAAAGGATCCAGACATAGCTGAGAGAGCGCAGAGAGTTGTGCCGTGCGGTCCCACCCATCAGAACAATGTATGAGAACGTGTGAGGAATTCACATGCACGTTCCGCACGATGAGCAGCGAGCCCTCCATGATGGCAGAGATGTGCTTCAGCCAACCAGAACGTCGCAGGGCCTGCCTGTCCAAGACAGGTACGCCGAGTTCTTCGCCGGGGGACGCGTCGCTCTGGCCGACCGCCGGGACAACTTCAGCCTCCCTCAGGGCTTCGACGACCTTGTTGAGCGAATCGCGCATGACGTGGATGTGGTCGATGCCCAGATACGCCTTCCTGGCCTCCTTGTAGTTGTCCATATTCTCGGTACCGGCACCTTTCGCGGTGTTCGCCATTGCGTTCGTGGTAGGGCGAGCATCGACAATGATGTTAGTGGATGTGGCACCGTACACAGGACCAGCAGAGGCTCGAGAGTCGGGCGCCCAGTGCGATTGGAAGATCGCTTCTATGAGCTTCTCGTCCTGTATTGAGCGATTTTGCGTCAGACCGACCATCGGCTGGCTGGACCTCGTGATGCTTCCCTATTACGTTCATGAGAACCTTGGATGCTCAAAAAGAACTATGTCGCAGACTTACGTAGTTAGCCCAGTGAAGATAGGTCAACGCGGGCAGTCGACCTTTGCTGCGGTACTTGACCGCGTACTGCAAGGTCGTATCGCTGATACGGGTTGGGACAACAAGTCGTGCAGGATATGTTGGGGAGAACTGAATTACTGACCGTTATATATGAATAAGTGAGATGACTGGAAGTAGAAAGACGCACCGAGTAGTCCTTGTTGATGTCTGTGAATCTCCATGCCTTCGTGCGCGAACCAACCCCCATTCGCCCGAACTCTTCTCTTGGAGAGTAAAGTGACCATCCATTGTTGACGGAATAAGGAGGGTTCGGCACATAGTAGAACGCGTATAACTGCGTTACGGACGCTGTGACAGGCGTCAGGAAGGCGACGCAAGGCTGAGCATTCGGGGAACACGTACTCGCGACGGTGAGCTCCTTCACCGTGTCGAACACGTCAATCGCGCTGTCCTCCAGCGCAAACAATAGCGTCGTGGTTTCGAACGTTCGTGTGCGGATCATGAGAGGACATTGTCCTTGTAGGTTCAACGGGAGGCGCGTTACGAGCGAGATGAGGGGGTACGGGATCTGCGTCACGGAAGTCACTCAACGTCGAGCCCAGGCAGTGCTTACAGACTGACCCACATCTCCTCCTTTCCGGTGTCATCATAGTGGAATATGAGATGGTGAGCGGTCAGATGCACGGTTCCAGACGCTGTGCTGCCCGTCTTGGTGCAGAACACTCCCTCGACCTGTAAGCGATCCTCAGTGATACACTCGTAGTGACTGTTGAGTCATGTCCTGCCTTCGTTACGCGAATTGAATCCATGTCCAGCGGGATGGGCAAAGGTCACCGAACAGCCCAAGTAACGAACGCGACTGGAGTCTCTATTAGGAGAGCGCAGGGAGGGAGAGCGTCGCCCAAGCGCCGCCAGTAACCCGCGACAGTCGGTGTAGGGCGCTTATCGACTTGGACTCGAACTCGGACTCGGAGCTCCTTGCGTTCCCTGATTGCGTCCTCCAGCAAACTACTCGCAGCAGCATTCACCGTCTATTCCCAGGTTCTGGATCAACATGTCAGGAATTCCCAACTCGTATGTCATTTTATTACCGTGTGGTGGGACGTCTAAGTCGGATACAGATTAAGAGAGCTCAATGAGGATGTTCTGTGCCACATCCTCCAAGGGCTTCCAACGCGAGACTTGAAGACAGTGTCGATGGCGTGCCGCTGGCTCCGAGAGGCATGCATTTCCTTACTACTCAGTCATTGCTCCCTCCTTGTCTATGAGCCGGGGTATCTCGAACATCCCGAAATATTCCTGCCCGCGCCGCTCAGGCCTTACGTCCGGTACGTCCATCTGCTGCTATCGATTCTTTGTCCGCTGAGCAAAGCATATAGTTCGCTGACCCTTCGTGACGAGTGCATTGACCAACAATGTGCTGATCTTGATGATGACATGGACACGAACTTGCCTCTGTACTACACCGATGACCCCAGGCTTTGTGGTGCTTTTCCCGGCGCCTTTCTCGCTGAACGACTACGAGAGGCCCCTCACCTGACCTCATTGACTATGCACAAGCAATACATCACAACGCACGGTCTACCATGGGATACTCTACGCGTGGCTCTGTCGGTGCCGCATCTGCGGGAGTTCAAGTTTAGAAACTTCTATTTCTGCCCTGTCCTACGTGCCGGGGAGGAACTCGACGTCGACTCTCTAGCTCCACTCACATCATTCCATTACCGGATGCATCACCCACGACGACCGTGGTCTTTCCCGCCCGACATGGCAGCACTGGCCTATGTGCTAGGCAAACTGTGCGAGACTCTAGAGACATTAGTCCTCTCCAGCGAGCCAGCGCCGTTGTCCACCCTTGCCGAATGCCTCGTCTGCGAAAGCTCGTCTTCTACGGAACTCCCTGGATGGTACTGCCCAGACCTTTCGTGTCAGTTTGCTCTGGAATGCAGGGCCTACGGCGTCTCTCGCTGAAACTTAGCCCTCCGCCACACACCATGCCCCAGGTACTTTGGCCACCCGGCTACACCTGCGCATTCCCGTGGCCAGAGCTTGAGCGGCTAGTCATCTCGTATCCTGATCCCAAGGACCAGATATACGACCATCTTCCGTCATCTCTTCGTGCGCTATCGTTGCGATGCTGGCGGCATGTCTATGACGAGCAGAGCTACCACAACTACGCTCTCACGTCTGATTCCAAAGTGTCGTCATCATTTATGGTGGTAGGCCCACCTGGCATATCTTTGAAGTTGTTGCTGGGCGCACTCTTGGATAGGCAACGGTGTCAGTAGCCTTAGCCACCTCCGGAATCGCACACTGACACTTCCCTGAGCCAGAGAGATGCCAATATATCTCCTGTGAGTGGAATCTGGATCGGTTGAACGTCCATGTTAATGGTCTAATTGATCATGATAGGTCAGGCTCTCGGAGGCAGAGTCAACGGTTTTCTTGTTCAGGATATCCATCTGCGCTCTAGTCGACGCATCCCAGTGAATGAGACCAGGGAGAACACCCTGTTTGAGCTCTGTGAGTCCAATGTCCGTGCTGGCGGGATGGCGATAGACGGTACTGGTAGGTCGCTGAACGACGTCGACCCTTCGGTTCGGGCGCTTATGGGTGTGGCTGCCACTCAAGGTTAGTACCTCTCACCGACAGCCCAGGGCCATAGCTCATAGACATGCACCGTGTACTGAAGGGTATAAGTCGACCAGAATGCATGTCCGATTATCAATTGCCACTGTCCCTGTTAGTCTCAGTGGCGCTTTGTCACATCCAAGCCACACAGGTCATATTCTTTGTCTTCCGGGACAAAGCGTGTGGTTAAAGCCACTTTCGTTGAGATGAGCACCTATAAAGACCTGCGCCCGCTGTTCACTCCTCCATTTCGACAAGCCTCTCGACCAAGGATATCTGCATCCAATCCCGTGCACGCTGGTAATATGGCCTACTTCCGCCAACTCAATCGACGGTCTACTGCCGGCGAACAGGGCATCCCTCTCTCCTACTCTCCTCGGGACATCCTGGCTGCCGCTATATCGCAAGGCACCCTAGACGAACTGCCAAGGATCCTGGGACGTGCTGCCTACGACCTGGATACGTCTGTACAGGGCATCGCGCAGGTCATAGCGTCGCTCGAGCGGGTCGGGATCGACTTCTCCGGCGCACGGGCGGCCCTGGCGAACTCTGTGGCCCGGCACTGCGCGCGATGCCACAAGACCTACCGCGACCGGGAGAACAGTCTGAACGCTTGTGTCGTCTATCACCGCCTTTCGGACGAAGCCGGTGACCTGGGTGGCTCTGATTCTCGTTCGTGTCCGTGTCGAGGGATGGGCATGACGTTTGGTGACGCGGAGACCGGAGAGTGCTACCGTGGATGGCACACAGACGACGCCGCACAAGTGGACTACATATTGTCCAGCGCGATTCCGTGCACGGACGATGATGGCGGATGCGACAAGCCTACCCGTGCATGGCTCGCAGGACGGAGATGACGTAGGTGAGAACTCGCATACGTGAATTAGCAGTAGGTATCATGACGCTCATGCAATCTTTCCGTCTTGTAGATGATTCTCCGTCCATTCCGACTAAATTCTGTTGACTCGACATATTGCACTTGTTTAGTTCATGCTACTGAACAGCGTATGCCAGTCCGCTGTTCTCTTGCTCAAAATTTGCTGTGCTTCTACCTCACTCGATCAATACCAGATTGACTTAATGGATCGGAATTCTCTTGAAGTCTGTACGTGAAACTGGGTCTCTGGAAGGCTATGACGTCCGTGAGTACCCATTCACAATTGACCCATCTCTGAACCGTCTCCTCGCCGCCGTCATCCTCATCACCTGTGCCTTCTCCTACGGTCTCGACCAAGTCCAGATCCTGTGAGTGACCTTGGTCAACACACACTGGTATACAGTGAGTCTTGATTCAAGTTTTAAGATTGTAGCTACAGACTCGTTGACCTTGGCTTTTGTTTGACTCGGGTTCGAATCATTCGAGATTGGTGTCACCGAAGCTGTTCGCCGCAGGGGTACATAAGGCCAGCACAGACAGCCGCGGCTCTCTGGGCCATTTTCTGCAGACGGCCTGTGGCCCCAGATACGACGCCTGTTTGACGCGGAGCATATCGTGGAAGACACGTCCGGCGAACGGTCTGTCGGCCAGCCATGGATCCTAAGATACAATTACCGGGCGGAAGTCAGAAACGGCAACAAGAGAGGGAGGACCGAAAGAAGGCGTCGCCCAACGCGGATGTTCTGGGGTCGTAAATTCAACCGAGACCTGGGTTGCTTGCTGTTCGTGCGGAGCAAGGCGGTACTCCGACGGCAAGAGGCCGAGGGTGCAACGTTAGATGCTCATCCGGACAACATGACCGTACGTGCGGCAGTTTGGAAGCCTGGTGTCTAACACCGTCAGGAGTTACCGCAAGGTGGTCTGTGCTGGAAAGGCAATGGTGAGGACGTCGGTTTCCTTGCCTAATCTCGTCCGTACGGCGAGGTCACAACTCGGGTGCGGATAGTGTACAAGCCACAGTGCTTGGCACGCGATGCTATATTGGCAGTCGCACTGATCTGCGGGGTGTACTGGCATGCTGTGAAGCTTGATACTCAGTCCAGGGGAGAGGACACAGATCTAGACCCACGGAAAAGGCTCCGTGCCGTCACATTTCCATGTTTCACGGAGAGAGAAAGAACAAGAGCATGCATTCCATTCGATGACAGACCCACATACCTGCCCATTGGCCCGCAGAACGCTAGGGATGTACCACTTCTACTATGAACGAGGGAGAAGACAGAGAAAAAATGGAGCCGGTGGCGACGGAGGCGAAGACTCGGGAAGTTCGAGCGAAGGGTAGTAACGTCACTGAAGGCACTGGCAAACTCTGCCCACGGACAGTTTTCACGAAGCACAAGGGGCGTGACGCGGATCCTCTCGAGCGAACGATCAGGTCATGAGCGAGACATGCCGTACAGTAGGAAAATATTCAGTCGGACGAAGACGCGGAAGAGAATATACCGGGACCTTCAAATGGAGAGGGTGCACGGAAAACGGAGAATAGGAGACTCGGCTGAAGAGAAATGAAACAGAGTGGCGAACTTGAACGACGGCAAGGGGCCGATCCAGAAAACTTCAACTCACCGGAGACTACGGAGATGTCTTGCTCGAAGTACTAGGGCGTCCATCTCGCCAGATCCTGTTCGAGTAGTTCAGGACCACTTGCACTGCGTGCAAGGATCATCCTGGCAGGTCGGTCCGGATATGTGACACATCCCATCGAACCACTGATACTCCATCGTCGGCTGCTACATCTTGTCATTGCTCAGGCCGATATGCCTGGAGGATGTTCCCGCTGCCAGTGAGATCGAAGCAGACCGATGTCCAAGCTTCAATATCAATACCAACGTGCGATTGCACCACTGGCAAGATTGCACTGTTGCTGTGCCCGTGGTTAGCGGGGGGTGATAACCAGTGCAGGTGTGCATTTACGTTACCGTATTGCAAATGCACGACGATAGGGATCAGAATACTGGCGTCGGCATCCCTAGAGTTCAGAAAGGCTGAAGGTATTTAGTGACCGTAGAAAGTAAGGTGATCCGGCTGCCTGGACTCGTGGACACGATGCTGACGCTGGGGCATATCAGGCTGTATGCGTCGACCACGAGCGATAAGTGCTCGTACGCTTTCCGCAATACCGCATGAGATTTACTGTCAAGGCAGCCCTGCGAAGTGCGACGGACCTGTGTGGCCAGCACGGCGGTGGTGGTGGGGCGGAGACACCGGACTGGGCGTAAGTGCGCGATCACATCGATCGAGATTGGGATGTTCAGGCACGCGGGGCCCCTGCCGAGAATGCACGGCCCAACTGTGGCTGGTCGCTGCACCGCTCATCTCTCTTGCGTCCGCCTACGTTCCCGAGTGCCCTCACAGAGGTTCAGAACATCACAGACCGGCTCACCCGTGTCGATTGGCCTGCACCCCGCCTCCAAATTCCCTGCGTAAACATCACGATCTGCAAGAAGAGCACTCACGCCTCATACCGCCTCCGATGGGCCTCGGAGGCTTGGGTAAGACAGCCTGTGGCCCAGAAGTGACGGCAGCGATGAAGGAAGGTCATGTTCGGGCGAGTCGGCGAGATCTTAGACCGAACGGCACAACGCGTTCTCAGCATCGAAACATGATGATCTGTTCCATTTTTGCATTCAATCTTCCTCTGGCGCTCGAACGCTCAACTCAACATCCCGGTCAACGTATATGAACATCCTCTGAGACACTGCCCTCGTCAGCGGAGCGCCCTCCCCTCTCTCCTACCTCCTGTCATCCTTCTCGTCGTCCTGCTGTAGCCATGAGCAGCTCTGACGCGTCTATCGAGAAAGAGAAGCGCGGCGCCGACCATGAGGTCGCCGAGTCCTACGACGTCGATGTGGCGGCACAGCTGGTTGCGGGGAGCGACGGTCCTGTAGATCCTGCGGAGGCAAACCGGGTCAAGTGAGCATGTCTTGTCTTCCGTGTCGGTCCACGCATTTGACACCTCACACAGGCGGAAAATCGACCTCCACATCCTCCCGCTCATGTGCCGTGAGTTCTCCACGCAGACCTCTTTTTCTCGCATTTTCTAACACACTCCCAGTTCTTTACCTGTACGTGCCACGCAGTCCAGGAATACCGCGCGCATCTGACGCATCGCACTAGAATGCAGTTTGCTGACAAGACGACCCTCGGCCAGTCTGCGGTCCTAGGCATCCTGTACGTCCACCACCTCCTCTTCATCTTCTCTACCTGTTCCGGAGATACTCCTCTGTTCAACAAACCGCAATACTGCGGCCCCGAGTGTGCAACTTCTGGTGTACCTGTGCTGCGAAGAAGTACGGAGCCAGGAAGTTGTATCCCGGCCCATCGTAACAGCACCCGATGCCGCGCGCCAAACTCGTCTTACCATACATGAGAGCGTTCCGCGGCCGTTGCAGGTTTCCCCGTCTCGCGTTCGGAGAAAGCATCGGGTTTAGTGGCGATGCTAGCGTCCGCAGGGCCTTCGTGGCGAAGGTTTGCTTCGCATGCTATGCTTCGAACCGTGTGCACCGTGCGGCCAGACGCTGGGGAATCGTGTGTTCGCCAGTTGGAAGTCGTACACACCGGGGACTGCCTTCGCTAGGGTGTGCATGGAGGCAAGACTGGATGCATCGCCAGTTGGTCTGCGGACGGCCGTTGGTAGTCACCGGCGCTGTCTCCCGTAGGTCAACTGCCCGTGTGTCCTCGCCCCAATGCTCTCCAAACCGAAGCAGCAGTGCGACCAATGACAGCACATCCATCTCCGGAACATAGTTCTAAGAGAACATGACGCCCCCTCCCGCGCAACGCCGCATACAGCCAGCTAACCTCCCCGCCCCCGCAGGAAAGACGCGCACCTCGGGCAGAACCAGTTCGACTGGCTCAGCACGATCTTCTATCTCTCCTTCCTTGCCTTCCAGCTCCCGCAGAGCTACGCGCTCCAGCGGCTCCCCGTCGGCAAGTGGGTCAGCGTGAACATCCTCGTCTGGTCCATCGCGCTCCTCTGCCACGCCGCCGCGAAGAGCTTCGGCACCCTCCTTGTGTGCCGCTTCTTCCTCGGCATGGCGGAGGGCGCGATCACGCCGGGCTTCATGATCGTCACGTCGATGTTCTATACGCGCACGGAGCAGACGAGAAGGGTGGGGTATTGGTGTGAGTGCTTTTTGGCTTTGAAGGGTGGTTGGGTGTTGATATGGGCTGGACAGTCTTGATGAATGGCACGGCAGTCATCTTCCTCGGCCTGGTCGCGTACGGGACGCTGCACATCTCGCACGGCGCGCTCGACCCCTGGCAATGGTCAGTCCACTTCCTCTCCTCCTCGTTCCTCCCCGCCAGGCCTACGCTAACCCGCTCCCGCCTCGCAGGCTGATGATAATCACGGGGCTGATCACGTTCGTCACCGCGATCCTCTTCTGGTTCTTCTTCCCCGACTCGCCCGCGACAGCGCGCTTCCTGACGCACGCGGAGAAGGGCGTCGCCGTCGCGCGCATCAAGACGAACCAGGCGGGCGTCGAGAACAAGCACTTCAAGCGCGAGCAGGTCCTCGAGGTGTTCAAGGACCCGAAGACGTACCTCTTCTTCTTCTTCGCGGCCATCTCGAACGTCACGAACTCGGTGCGCAGCGTCTCTTCCCAATCCAGGAGTGAGGGTGCTGATGGGTGTCTGCGCGGCAGCTGAGCAACCAGCGCCAGATCATCGTCGCGGAGTTCGGGTTCTCCGCGATCGACACGACGCTGCTTGGGTGTGTGGACGGGCTCTTTGAGAGTACGTGCATCGTCGATCTCTCTCCCCGTCTGTCTAGCGAAGCTCACGGCGCCCGCGCACAGTCATTTGGATCTTCGTCGGCACGATGGGCGCGTCGTACTGGCCGCACGGGCGCGCGTACATGTGCGCGCTGCACTACCTCGTCGCGATCCTCGGCGCTATCCTCGTCACGACACTGCCGTGGTCGGACAAGGTTGGATTGTTGTTCTCGTATTGGATCGCGAGTGAGTGTTTTGGTTTTTGTTGTCTGGTGCTCGCTCGTCCCCTGTCGTGGGTGGTATCTCTGTGGTTTCATCGCATCTTTCGTCTGCCACGCACCTACATCTGCTTCTGCGGATCCCCTTCATTTGTTACCCCTTCTCCATTCCATCTGTCAGACATGCCCTTCGTGCCGCCACCTTCCATCGCTCGTCCTCGCTCAGCCATACTGACAACCTCCCCCAGTCAACTACATCGTGCCCTTCGTGATCTTCCTCTCCTGGGTCGGCAACCTCACCGCGGGGCACACCAAGCGCGTGACCACGAACGCGATCGTCATGGTCGGGTACGCCGTCGGGAACGCCGTCGGGCCGCAGTACTGGCAGGCGCGGTACGACCCGCGCAACCGCGTGCCGTGGGCGATCCTCGCCGCGTGCTGGGCCGCCTCGATGCTCATCATCCTCGCGACGCGCTTCTACCTCGCGCGCGAGAACGGGAGGCGCGAGCGCGAGCCGAGGGACGCGACGTATGACGAAGTGTACATCGTGGACGAGAAGGGCGAGGAGCAGAGGGTGGATAGGGTGCGTTTTCTTCGTGTTTGCTGTTCGCCGTTGGCTGTGTGGGCTGATTCCGTGATGCGTGCAATGTAGGCGTTCTTGGATCTCACCGACATGCAAAATCGGGATTTCAGATACGTGCTGTGATGAGAGAGGATCGCGGGAGGGGTGCATACGCGCAAGAAGGATCTTGATGCCAGCTCGGTAGGCATGTATTATATTTGCTTGGGAGACGAACGCGCGTTGGTAGCGTGCATGTAACGACTACTTATTGGACGAGCTTTGGGCTATATAATACAGGATACTCACCATAATTAGACTGGAATGAATATGTTTGGCACGTTGTACGAGCTCAACTAAATGTCACGACGAACAGCATGGGGCCCGCGTTTGCTGTGATGCTCGAGTCAAATGCTTTTTGATACATTGCACCATTCCGAATCTGTGACACCTACGATATGTAACGTGCATAGTCAAGTCTTTAGTCTAAGGATATACACGAGTAAAAGCCAATAAGTGAAATACGATAATTAGGTGTTGTCTCTATGGTGTCCGTGTTGTGATGAGAAGTTAGAAATGTGGTAAGTCTAGCACTGTTCAGCATCTAGGTGACCGACGTCTAGTTTTCGACAGGCTTGGGCTTCTCAACGAAGAACTCCTTCAGCGACTGGCCGAAGATCTTCAAGCCGTCCTCCATGGCCTCCTCCGTTCCCGCGAAGGTAAGGCGGAAGTAGTTCATGCGCTGTCGGACACGTCAGCATAAAGGCCTCCTAGGACACCACAATACAAGACACTCACGTCCTCAACAGGGTTTTCCGGGTCATCATACTTAGGATCCGTCGGGAGCGCGAACACCCACGCGGGCATGACGACGAGCCCATTGTCCAGGCACAGCTCGAACAGCTCCTCCATCAACTGCCTGCAGTTCGTGCGCGCGCCCTGCGCCTTCGCCTCACCAGCCTCCCTCCTGAAGCGCGGGTGCCGCTCGACGTTGATCTTCGTCCACACGAACATGCCCGCCTCCGGCACGCTCGCGTCCACCAGGCCGAGGGGCGCGACCTCCGTCTCGAAGAAGCCGAGGAAGACGTCGCGCCGGCGCCGGTACTCGTCGCGCAGGCTGCGCACCCACGCGTCGAACCCGGCGAGCGTCCACCCGGCGGGCCCGAGGAGCTCCGCGAGGAAGAGCTGGCCGAACGCGTGCGGGTGCTGCGTGGAGGAGTCGGTGAGCGCGACGAGGTGCGCGTGGAAGAAGGGCGAGGAGGTGATCACGCCGAGCCGCATCCCCGGCGCGAACACCTTGCTGAAGGAGTCCACGCGCAGCACGCGCCCGTCCGTGTCGAGCGAGAGGAAGGACGGTGCGAGCCCGCGCGAAGAGACGGCACCCTCCGATCCGGCTGGGGCGGCCTCCGCTTCGGGGGATGATGGTTCCGAGGTGTATTGAAGGAAGTAGTAAGGATCTACACATGAGAATACGCGATCGATGAGCAACCTGGCATCATGCGGGTTGACTTTCACATACCGTCTTCGATGATGAGGAGGTCGAAGCGACGGGCGAGCTCATAGATCTTCTTCCGACGCTCAACGGACAATGTCGACCCTGTTGGGTTTTGTCCGCATCTGTAGTGAGGTGCAATTCAGTCAGAACATTGTCGGCGTCTGATCGAAGGAAGTTACATACGGGACAGTGTAGAGCACGTGTGGCCTTGGCCCACGCTCCTCAGACCAATTTACCAAGATGTTCTCGAGCTCTTCTGGAATCAGACCTCCCTCGTCAATCTTGACAGACACCCACTTAATGCCATGGGGAACAGCAGCGTTGGCGAGCGAACTGAATGTGAACTCATCAGCGAGGAAGTGATCCCCAGGCGAGCCCAGCAGCCGGAAGCACTTCGTGACGCCGTCTCCGTTGCCGAGAGTCAGAGTGGCAGCGTGGTCTGGGGGATTGTGATAGAAGCGTGTGAGCTCGGTGACCGCTTGTTGCGTCTCTATGAGGCCTGCGCCCGTCGTATATTGGAATGCGGTGCGCACGGGCAGGACTGACGCTTCGTCGCGCGAGGAAGTGAGCGTGTGCGTCGGCGCGCTGGACCCTCCGGCGCGCCAAGTCGCCACCGGGTCTTTCTCGGCGACGGAGGCGACGTTGAAGGTCAAGCTCTGGATAGGGTAGAGCGATGAATGCGGGTCGCCTGAGATAGGAGTTAGTTGAGCTCAACGGAAAGGACGAGTGCGGACGTACCATTTGCCAGTGAGATCATGTTTGGCTTTCTGCGAGCCAATCTCCAGATTTGCTTCATAGCATTGGGCTTGCGCAGACGCGCCTCTTGCGAGAGATGGTGCGAAAGATCGACTGGAGTGGTGGACATGGTGGGACGACGGGTAAGACACGCGGGCGAGGGAGTGCGAGGGTAGCTTCGAGCTGCGACCTGTCGAAAAGAATGACGATGGAGTACAAAACGATTGGTGTTATATAGGATGGCACCGGATCAGCGATGAAGCCACTAATTTTCTATCAGGACACTGGTGAGTAGATGACTCGCGCCCAAGATCCGTCCGGAGGCCCTGGCCGGCTGCGCCTGTTGAGACCGGAAAAGAGGAAGGGGCGAAGCGCATGGGTTTACGTGCTACGCATCAGAGTTCCTGTCTGACTGGGTCTAACGTTGCAGGGGCTCGGCGTGAGTCTTAATGAAATGTTCCTTCGAAGGAGCAGAGGCGCGGGGGCGTCTGGAGAGTACCATACCGGCCGGCGAGGTCATCTCAGGGGCAGACACTGCACAGCATAAACTTTCTCCCGACGTACCGCAGGCTTGCGCACCGACGTCGGGCCCGGGCATGTCTTACAGACGTGGCTCTCGTCCCGAGCAATGGTGGTGGTTCCATCCGTGTCGCACCCCGACAGAGGCGGTGAGCGTCGAATGATTGGCCTGACAGAGGTGGGAGTATTCTTGTACGTTGCATAGCAATGCGCTCACCAGTGGCTTTCCAGCATATGGGTTGCACGTAAACTGACCGCCACCGGTTCTGATCAGTGCAGTGAGAAGGGGCAACAAGTTTCGACGCTTGCCAGAAGAAACCAGCTGCACAGCCACCAGGCGGTTGCACACACGCCTACCGTTTATGGCAATCACGCCCACGGTGCAGTCGTCCGGTGGTCGTCTGTCACTGTCCAGTGTCCTCCCCGGATACGATGGCTGCTTGGTCCACGCTTGGTTCACCTATCCATTGCGTTCCCTCGGACTCCCGGATGATTCATGAAGTCTTTCAAGTTGAAGAAGTCCTTCGTCCTCGGCTACTGTCGAGGGCTTCCTCCGATCGCGTGCGGTCTATCGGGCTGAATACCACCACCCAGCGCACCGCCCGCGGTGATGTTATCCACCTAGTCTCCATGAGGCACAGTGTCCTGTACACTGGGGGCGTCTTGACTGGGCTCGTCGATTGTTATTTGACCTGCCCTCGGTCGAGCCCCATTTGTATCGCCATCGGTTTGCATCGCAGAGCTGATAGATCGTCATACGGTATGGAGAGACATACAAGTTGCTGAGTACGTCCCTTCCTAGCACTTTCCCTATCTCTTTCCTGATTACGGTAGGTATCGAGCTTACTCCCTGGGGCTGACTGTAGGCCTTCTTTGAGCCCTCCGAGCATACGCAATTTCTCAAAGCTCGAATTCAGTATCACGCAACACCTATCGAATGCCCTCTGTTGTCTGATGAACTACGTGCGTACGGTCTCACAGACGGTACCCCTGTCAGTCTCCATATCCGGACCACCCGCCTCCTTCACGAGCTGGCAGTTTCGCCTTCGGATGCCATGGGCAACGCGTCGGGAACTCAGTACGTTCACACCCACTGTTGGCCCTTTTTTGATGCTACGTGCTCTTTGCTAAGGCGATCTACCTTGGCCGTTAATCTGGGTATGCGAGTGCTATACCATGATCTCCCCGAGCGCTGTATGCGACCCGTGCATCCCTTGCTGCAGAAAGTTTCCGTTCCACTGTTTCTCATCCGACAGCTACGGCCGCCGTCGTATACGAAATGCCGGCCATATATTCATTGGTGCCAATCCCCCTTCTTCTTTCAGGCGCTACGTTCATGTATACCTCCATGCAGCCTAACCCGACTTGCTCCCTCCGCACCCGCTGTAATCAGTCATGTCTCTTGACGCCATTCCAATATCGACCAACGTGCTCCCTCATCCTCGTGGTGTCGTCAGCCGCAATATGCAAAACAAACCGCACCCTCGACCGACCTCGACGTACGATCCGTCATGATCTGCGCCTGCCGACTGTCCGCACATTCAAAAACGCACGGATGATCTCCATGCAACACGACACGATCCGCTCGTTGCTTCTGTTCGTACAGTATGACGAACACCTGAGCGTGAGCGTCATTGATTTACCCCCAGCCGTGCTGTCCACATAATAGCCCCGAGCGCGCTATGTATGGGTCGGCCCCCGTGGAGTCAGTACTTGTCGCGTTCTTCGGGACGCTCGTCTGAGCGCAGCGCTGGACACTGTGGTGATAATACAGTCGTACACCAAGGATGGCAAAGGGAGCTAGGTCTAACCAACCTGCATGTGGTCAGCCCCGACACAATCCGTACTAGACACCCAGATTCTCCGGGTCAATCTCGGGTGAGTTCACTCCTACAGCTACCGTTTCCTAAGTGGTGACTTTGAGCCTGTGGAAGTAACTTGAAAGTCGAGAACACTGTGGCATTTCACCGTACCCTCCACTTCAAGTGCTCAACAGCTGTGCGTCGTTGCCACTCGTCAATGAGACGGGAATCCGGACTCTGATCCCTGCTACAGAGCCACCGCACCAGCGCGACAAAGCTGCCTTGACAGTCTTCAGGATGGTATTGCCCTAGAAAAGTGTCTTGTCTTCCCTGCTGAGTGTCCCCTCCCTTGGCCGGCCCCTGTGTACTGACCGTTACCAGCACCAGAGACGGCGGAAGTATGCTTCAAGATTCCTCGCTGCTGTTGTCCCATCAGAACTCTCTAGCCTCGCTTCGAACTGTGCTTGACTGCTACACCAGATATGGGGCTTCGCATCCACCTTGTCCTTTTTGACGAAGGTCAATCGGACAAGACATGGATCCTTGCGCCTGTTCTTCCTGGGGGAGCAAGCATATGACAATTTCCCCGTGTTCTGTGGGTGCAGTAGGGCTGAGCATGAGCGGATTGCAAGGTGAGTGATGCGGCGCGCTGGCTTGACTTATGGACTCGGATCACTAATGGTGGAAAGTCAATGTCCACCGTTCATCGCGAAAGAAAAGTGGGTTGTGCGTGGTTTACTCGAGTGAGCACTCATATCAGATGAGGCAGCAGGCAAACTTATATAACAGCAGAAGGAATGTCCGAACCGTAGCATGTGCGTTGCTGCAGTTCTACAGGAAGCACGTCGCAAAATGTCGCGCCTTCAGCCGACCTCGGTGCGTGGTAATTTGATACCGCTCTTTTCATTCATTATAATGCTTACCGCGTGTAGGTCGACTGTATGAAAGCATACGGGCGAACGCTGAAGCGTCATCGTGTCATTTCTGACCAAGTTGTCTAGCTAAGCGCACCTTGGATGGACGCTCACGAACACGCGGCCCTGTGGAGTCAATACCCAATCGGCGAAATTGTCACTACTGGTAAGCAGTGCTTCAGCGCTGGACAGTCTTTCTCAGACTCCCATTGTCTCAACCTTGATTCTTCCCCTTCTGCCCTTGAACTGCGTCCTGTGGACGTGCATCCTCCGTCGCGGATATATGCTCTCAGACTTTCAATTATGCTTTGTCTGGCGAGACCCGTACGGCCCTGTCTATCGAACAGCGACAGACATGCGGCACGAACCGGTCATACTTAGGTGATTATTGAACATGGAAATATTGACTGTCAGTCACGTGCCGAGTGACCATGCATAACATGGCGTCGGCGGTGCCTGTGGCGCCACAAGCTAATCTCTCCAGACAGTATGTAGACATTTCTTTCAACCTACAAGCTTCATCATTCATAACTGACAGTGGCCCGAAAGTGTCACCCTGGTTGCGTTGCGCAAGTGGTTGCTACGAGCTACGCAGCTTGCTCCAGCTGCCTCGGATCAGGATCTCCTGCTCACTCCTTCGTCCTTGGCACCGTCGATGCTACTACACTTGTAGCTGCTCACGGATCTACTCAGGTGGTTCGTCTGTCCTCTATTGACATGTCATCGCGGTCAAGACGGCGGCCACTGATCATGATCAGGGACGCTGCCCTCGCGATCGGTAAGATCGTGCGTAGTGATCATCTCACGGTTGGATCTGGGCGGGAGCATAGTGGGGTGCGTATATATAAATGAGCCCCTGTTGACACATCCGGGGGTCGACGTCTCAACTCATCGTTCCTGTACTACTCTTTAGACTGGCGAGCTGGCCCCGCCGCATTACTTATGACAATCCTTGGGGATGTCGGCGAAGGAATATTAAACAAAGAACTTAGCTTCCTTGTGTCTCGGGCCGATCGGGAGGATGACGGTTCTTGGTACTACTCAAATTCAGTTGTGTTACTTACCGGGTGAGTTGAAAGTTCGCACTTAAATTTGTCGACGGCTGCTTGAAAGTTGATGCGTGCATACACGCGCCCGGGCCGACCGTTGGACTCCGAGTCGAACGATCGTCAGAACCAAGTCAGAACGACTCCTTGTCGACAGTACCAAGTCTACAGCGCAATGCAAGGCTTCGTAACCCACAATGAACAGATCTCCTGAATATCATGGTAAGGACGAATGCTATGAGCCCAAGAAGCCGCATGCACGGACTCGCTTTATCCAGGAACGGGGCAGGTCGGCATGTAGACAGTAGACGTCGGCAATCCAAATGGGGCAGGTTTGATATGTTTCACTCTTGCCGCCGTTGTCAGAAATTCTGGGTGGCCTGAAATTCGAGCGTAGAAGTCTCACATGTAGGCTGGTCGATGTGGACAAGATAGCGAACCGCAGGGGTTCCGAACTGTCTATTGGAGGAGGACACAATCTGTGGAGAATCTCAGCCATATGCGGCCGGGCGGCAAACATGCTGCGGGCCTACAGCAGAGTTCCGACATTTCAAAGTCGCGGGTAACCAGGGGAGAACAGTCAAATTTGTGCGATTCTCCTCCCGCTGAGGATCTCCACCAGGCGAACCGAGTTCAGCTTCTCCCGATCCTAGAACCTACCCTGCGCTGTTCGATGGCTCTTTAAGAGACCACGTCCCAATCGGAACGTGAACATTGAAGGCCTCCATGTCGGACTGCGACGTACCTGCAAATGTCGTGAAGATGTGAGTGTTTGTGATCCCTCCATGCTATACTTCGCTGACCCAACGCTCAAAGTGCAGGGCCGATTGTGAGTGTATCCAGTGCTCTGCTTTATCATGGACATTCAACACGAGCCGTCGTGATGCATGGATTGTAGCTACTGGGCTCTCAGTTGAACTGGGGCCTGTTCGGCGTCCTTACTGTCCAAATGTGTAAGTCGATCGCTCGGTTCTGCCAGTGCGGTTCTGTGGGGCTCATGGGCCTCGATCGGAAGACCTCTACACGGAGGCGGGTTACAAGGATCACATCTTCGTGAAGTACATCGTGTACTGGATGTTCCTCTTCGAGGCCGTTCAAACCATCCTTTTGACCCACGACACGTTCCACCAACTGGCCTACAGCTTCGGCGACTTCAAGGGTTTGACCGCTTCGTACCTGATCGGATTCGAACTGGTCATTCAGTCTGCTCTCAGTACGTCCCAGTCTATGGTCATTCATCACGTACTGGACTACTAATGGCTACGGTGCAGTCGCTAGCGTGACTCAATGTTTCTACGCATGGCGTATATACATCCTCAGTAACTCCAAGATCCTTACGGGGCTCATCGTCTGTGTAAGTCGGACTTGTCACACGCTAGGTTCTGATCTTGTTCTTACGCAAGTTCGTAGGTTTCGTTGTTACAATGCGCTGGAGGTATCTCGGAGGGAATTGCGTGCTTCGTCTATGATAGTACGTCATCTACGATCCCTATTGAAGCGACATCCGTTGCGGTGAGTGAGATATCGTTGATATGCATCCATGGTCTAACCCCTGTGTAGATTTGGATTGGAGGTAGCGCGGCGTGTGATATCATCATCACCATCTCCATGGTATACTTCGTGAGTGAAGTCCAGCTGCATTGTCTCCGTCAGGCAATTCATTCAACGATGTGTGTTACCCAGCTATGGACAAAGCGTAGCGGTATTCAGAAGACGGACAGCATGGTCAACAAGCTGATCCAGCTTGTTGTCGAAACCGGCCTCTTGACAGGTGAGTTCGCAATCCACGCCCGTCCGCAGTAGAACACGCACAGAAGCTGACACTCCCTCGCGTGTAGCTACCATGGCGATCGTCCAAGTGTCTCTGTACAACATATTCAAGGACACCGAGTACTTCATGACGCCCGCCGGCACCCTCTCCAAGGCATACAGCAACTCCCTGCTCGTGCTCCTCAACAACCGCAACCAGATGCGGCAGACGCGGGACATGACCGTCGGCGCTACCAGCTTGGCCCTGCCGCAGCTGCAGACGGGGCGCGCGATCCAGATCAATGTCAACCAGGAGACGTTCGCCGATGGGAACAACGTGATGGCCGACATGGCCTCAGACAAAGTGCGCTCGACCCCTAAAGCGCTGCTGTCCACTCATCCATCTCGCGCGCAGAGTCAGTACGTGGAGTATCCCAAGATCTCGGAGCCCACCTAGGTCGGTCTTGATGGAGACCTGTCAAGCGACCTCCCTCATGTGCAGGCTGAGGGTAGCCGTCGTGTCGAGGTTTGGTGGAGATATGTTTGTGCTATAGACAAGGTTGCTGCGGTGTCATGGTTGTGCATCGCGTAGCCCAGGCATGTCAGACTACTACCTCACGTTGTTGTCGCTCGTTTGCTGGTACAGTCATTGTCTAGAGATTCACCTGGCTTGATAAGTACGACATGGGACACATCGACTGACGTGCAGTAGCCCTGCTCATCGGCCCTCGTCGACGAAGCTTGCCGGCTTATATGTATGGCACTTCAACCACAATGAAGGTTCAATTCGTCAGGTAATGTACACGGATTGGATTGTATGCGATAAGCGAGAGAGCAGATGAGCGCGTCGGATAGCATGCAAAGTCAGAGCGATGAGAAAGCGGATTCGACGTGACATGTTTCGTGAAGGAGCGTGACGGGCGAGGCTCTAGAAAACACAACGCCTATGAGTCGTAATGTTATGCACAAGCGAGAATAGAAATAATGATAGCGATCAAACGCCAAAACCAAAGCAATCGGACGAAGAACGAAGATAGCCATGTGTTCAACAGCGTAATGCGAGTCTCGGGAAGGGGGACTGGGCCCTGTTCATGAAGTCCCTGAGGGGCGGCGGATGGTGTTTCGTAGGCTGGCGATGCTTCGTTTTGCGCGGCGGCCAAACCTGGACAAAGGATTCTTCTTCTGCGATCCGTAGACGTACTTCGTGATGCTGTACATGCGGTCGCGGAGACTGCTCAGGAGCAGGTAGCACACTGATATATGCTCATGTCAAAACATGCCAACGGCGACGACCAAGGCCAGCTTACCTAGCATCTCCAACATTTCATCCTCGGGAAGATTTCCCAAGTCTAGGTAGTCTCCGCCCACGCGAGAGGAGGTGGCGGGCGCCAACTTTTTCTCCTCTGGCAGGTATACGTGATTTTGATACAGTCCGCCAATGACTTCGTCGTCGTCGTCGAGAAGCTGTCACAGCTTAAGCTTTGATTGTGAATGTGCTGAACAGATCGACGTACCGAAAGACTGTCTGGTGTCATGCGCCATGTGTACTCATAACGAGTCGGCAGCAAGGTTTCGTCGGGACTGTCATATCGGCGGTTGTGTCAGAGAGTGACACGACGGAAAGGACCCTCAGGGTGAAGACGCGCGGCGTTGGACACTCACAGTATCTTCACGAACGCAGAGTCAAACAGCTCAATCGTCCCATTGATCTCATTGTCCCCTATGCGAATATGGGAGGCAGTCGTCCCCTTCCAAGTAATCTCCGCTACGATGCGCCCCTCGCCGTCCTCGATGAAAGTCATGTGCTGATCGTTGGCGACATCGACGCGTGAACTGCTCGAGCTGGCCGTGCTCGTGCTGGACCATGTCCCCGATCGTTGGCGCTGAGGGCGGCAGGTGAGGGTCCGAAAGGCGACTGCGCCGGTGACCGCGTCGGTGATCGTGGTCTCGTACACGTCCGAAGACGCGAAGTGGAACAGCATGTCGACGTCAATCACAAGGCACAGGGTGGAGGTTGGGTGATGGAGGGCAGGGGTCGTGCAAGATATAGCGAACAGCGGCGTACGGGTTCGCTCGGTGGCATGTAACGTGCCTGTCTGGCCCTATATACTGCAGATAATGAAGAGGACCCATGCGAACGGGCGAGCATCCCCGGGACCTTCCTATGGAACGGTAAGCGAGGTCGATCATAAGGAGTTGCCTTATTGAAGCACAAACACTGTGCTCACAATGGATAAAGTGGCAAGTCCGATGACTAATCAGTTCCATAAGACGTTCCTTTGCCCCAGATAATCATTCAGAAAATACGACATTTTTGCACCCTCCTTCTGGATCGATGCGTATGGGACAAGTCTCTGGGGTTGGCATCGAGGACAATGGGCACAGTCGCGTGTGGAGGAGCCCGAAATGACGAACTATAGGCAGGTATATATGTTGTCGAGCGAAACAATAAGCATCGGGAGCGTGGGTAATCGACAGCTGTCAGGGCGCCTACGAGCATCTTCGCACCTGCCATTTGTGGTCTCTCCTTTGTTCACGCTTTCGTCGACGGTGCCTCGTGACGGGTACTGTCCGGGCCTCAGTCCAGCTCGCAGGTGTTACACTGACGGTCTAGGCGGATGCTCGGATATCGAGGACCGACTCGAAGGCTTCAAACCCGTGAAGGGAAGCAGCGATACTGAACTCCCGGGCCATCCACCCATAGCCGGACAGCCGCCCGTCAGAACGCCGGGGCGTTAGCGCATTTTGGATTCCTATTCGCCTATAAGTGCAGGCCTGTGATGAAACGAAGCCATTCCAGGTGGGCTGCGGGGGAAGCAGACGTCGGAGGTGTATGCCGGCTCGACAGGTCACCGGTGCACCAAGCACGACTGTAAGGTCATCTCAGCTCGCTGTCCTGAAATGGTCAAGTTCCGGCACCCTATAATGAGTCGGATGATGACCCCACTCTAAGTGCGGGGCCCCGCACTGTGAAGCGCTCGACCTCGAATCATCGACCTCATCCCGACGAACTGCTCAAAGGACGAAGACTGTCGTGATGGTGCTCAGAGGTGCGATAGGCCATTTGTGCCGGACTACCTCTAAGAGCTAATATTGTACAGAGGTTATGAGGTCTTTCCGTCCCACGCCGGAAAGCCTTCCGCCACCAGAGGTCCTCTACAGACCCCGACTTCCCTTAGGTGTCCGTGTGTACAGACAGCCATTGGTATGTGGGTTCTCGTGTTCTATACAGCAAGATCTCATGAATGGACACCGGCAGAATCCATTGATATTTCTGCTGAAAGCTGCACAATTATATCCGCAAAAACTTGCCATAGCGCACCCGGACGTCCCACACCCTGTGTTCTATTCATATGAAGTCTGGTCAGTCCCACCGAATGAACCAATGTTAGCCAGATCTGACTTCCTGAGGCCGTTACACAGGGCTCAGCGCACACAGAATTTAGCATATGCTCTGATACGTGCTGGGGTACAACCGGGCGACCGTGTCGCGGTCATTGCCCCAAACTCGTGAGTCCACGGTCATATTTCACAAAATCACAGAGCCTTGACATACTTTCAGACCACTCATAGCCGGTGCGTGATCGTGTACCAACACCAGCGTCGTTACTTACCCCTGAGCCCCCCGGGCACACATACCTGCAGATGCATACCAGGGCGTCCTCGCCGCCAGAGCTGTCATATGCCCAATCAACACGCGTTTGACACAACAAGAAGTCGCTTACATCCTCGATCACAGTGGTGCCAAGATAATCCTCGTAGATCATGAATATGCCCACGTTGTCCAGGGCGCGCAAGCGCAAGTCATTGTAGCGAATGATACGGGGAAGCCTGGGGATCCATACGAGGACTTCTTGAGTGCTGGGAGGAAGTTCAGCAGAGAGAGGGGATGGCCTGGTTTGGAGTGGGAAGCGGACGAGGAAGCACCGGCTGCCTTGTGCTATACGTGAGTATGCACCGTGTAGCGAATGGTACAGCACTCATGCATTTGTACAGATCTGGAACCACGGGTCGAGTGAGTGCATGTCCAGGGAACAACTATACATTCCACAACTAACGGGTGAACAAATCAAGCCAAAAGGCGTCGTCACGACACTGCGAGGTAAATGCTACTCCAACGATCAGTGCGCAGCGGTCAAATTGACGTTCGCAGGTTCGTACCTCGCGGCCGTCGCAAACGCCTATGAAACAAGGTGAGTGCGCCAATTGACCGCATGGCCTGCTCACAGTATGTTGAAGGATGGACCGTGACTCCACGTATCTCTGGTAGTTGCACATATCGGCTTCTTCGTATAGCCGCAGCTGACGTGCTGTTGCGTAGGATTCTCCCTATGTTCCATGCGTCCGGCTGGACGTATCCCTGGGCAGTAACGCTTGCTTCCGCATTGCAGGTGTGTCCTATGCAAGGAGGTCCAATCAATATCTCACCAATGACTGAAATCAATCAAACCCAGATCACGGCACGAACAGTGTCATATCCCCTCATCTGGAAGCATTTGCTGCACTCCGGTGTCACCCACTATTGCGGAGCTCCCACCGTACAGGTAGATTATGTACACGAAGTCCGACATAATTTGCTCACCCGCGTCGTAAATGTCATAGATTGGACTGGTGAATGCACCGCAAGCGAGGGCACTCGACAAACCCGTGGTGGCTATCATCGCAGGCTCAGCGCCGACCGCGCACTTGCTCGGCGAACTAGAGAAGAGAAACTTCCGCCCCGTACACGTCTACGGGTTGACGTGAGTCATCTTTCCCATGCTAGAGGCATGTTACTTACATGTTTGATGAACTGGACAGCGAGGTAAGGAGTCTTAGCGTACCTTACGCATTTTTTGATCTGACTCTCTCGGTGCGATTCGTTGGGCAGACGTATGGCCCCTTTACGCGCTGCTATGACCAGCCTGCGTGGGCCTCTCTTTCCCCCGACGACCGTGCGAGATCCATGGCGCGACAAGGACTCGCGTTTGCCACATCGGACGATGCCCGCGTCGTCTATCCACTGAAGGAAGGCGAAGATCCATATGCGGACACGGAGCTCGTGGACGTGCCCAAAGATGGGAAGACTGTAGGGGAAGTTGTCGTGCGCGGTAACATCGTCATGAAAGAGGTAAGTGGGGCCTTGCGTGTGATTGTGAGGTTAGAGCAGTGATCTGGTGTGCCGTAGTATTTCAGGGACTCCGAGGCGACAAGAAAGGCGTTTCGGGGCGGACACTTCGGCACGGGCGACTTGGCAGTATGGTATCCTGACGGTTACGTCTCCGTCCAAGACAGGAGCAAGGACATCATCATATCAGGTGGCGAGGTGAGTCTAAATAGCGCTAACAGGATTGGCCCTCACAAGGGAACATGGCACCTGTGCAGAATGCGTCAAGCCTCGCAATAGAGCAAGGCCAGTTGAACAGTCGAACACAGATCCTCGGGACCGACGCTGATGTCATCGCGCGTACAGAGCTTGCCAGCCATCCGGACGCCTTGGAGGTCGCAGTTGTAGCTCGGCCGCATCCTCGATGGGGCGAACGCGCCATGGCATTCGTGATTCTACACCCTCAACGCGCATCAAAGTGGATAGGGCGACACGCCGATTTCGAAGAGGACTTGAAGAAGCACGCACGCACTCGTTTGCCAGGCTTTGCGTGTCCGGAATGGGTCGCAGTCGTCGATGATCTTCCCGTGAGTTACTTTCGGATTCGTCTTGCAGAAAGTAGTCGGTGTTGATCAATGTTGACTGTCCAGAAAACGTCGACCGGGAAGATTCAGAAAGTAGTCCTGCGTAAGACGGTGGCGAAGCTTTGAATTTGGCAATTTACGGACAAACCATGCGTTCCAATGATCATAATAGCCATTCGTAAAAATGAGAGAGGTGGTGGCGACCGTTTCGCGCCGAGTAACGCGCACGTGTTTTAAGTGTGACTGGGAGCGCGCGTGACCAGAAGCGCCGGTAGGTGGCGCCCTGTTTATACGTCTTTGGACGCTGTTTCTTGTTCCAAACCATCCCGGCGTCAGCGACGACGACGACGACATCCGACACGACGACGAATTCTTGCTCTTTCCTCCCCGTCGCCGCGCGTGGCTCTCTCGTGGTGCTTCAGCGGCTCTCAACGTGGCTTGCAAACACCCCTAGTCGAAATCAAGTCGAACTTGTCGTAATCCGCGGGTATGGCCCAACGGCAGCGCGTACATTCTAGAGTTACTTCCGTACCAGACGCCGCCCACCTCCTCCGCAAGAACCTCAAAACGCGACGCGCTATCGGCTCGCGTAGACGCGTCACTTACGCCAACCCTTATATCTCCCCCAGTTCCAGCTCTCACGGCCGTGGCCCGTCCAGCTCCCCTCCCCAATCTCCACGCCAGGTGTTGGTCCCAGTACAGTTCAATCTGCGCAGGCTGCCTTCGCGCTCGTTTGGCGAGAAGGATAGGATGCGCCATGAGGTGGAGACTTACCACCGTAGCCTTACTGGCACGAAGCGGAAACGCATCGTGAGCGGTGCAGAGAACACAGCCAGTGTACGCGGTTCGCGCGGAAGTAGGGTTAAACGGCGCAAGGCTACGCACAACTCAAGTGACGATGAGATCACCAGCGGTATGGACGTAGACGATCAGTCTCGTTGGGAAGCTTCGGACAATTCCGAAGACGAACAGGACCTGGATTCATGTGAGGAAACGTGTTTATCGTGCATTGTCACCTCCTAACCCCTTTTCAGCCGATAATTTCCTTATCGACGACGCCCACCCCAGGCAACTCTTGCGTCTGCGCAAGGACGAGCTTGTTCGTCTTTACGTCGCCGCCGGGCTCTCCGAAGACGCGGAACTTCTGACGAAGCCCGAAATTGTCGACTGCATCGTTGCCGCCCGTGATGACGTTGCGGAGCTACCTCCTTCGTCTCCCCCGACAGCCATCGACAGTGGCTCCAGTGATTATTCTTCCGATGGTGGGAGCGTTGCCGGAGGGGAGGAAACGGACTTCACAGGTCGGGCACGAAACGGATTGAGGAGGCGAGCGACTATGGCGGACCTGAGCCATGGCTCGCGCCCACGTCCCTCAGATAGATGCCTATCACTAGGCCAAATTGATCCTGATGCCTATGCTGCGAAGCGTGCCAAATATAACGGCATCGTTGGAACCGTACGCGCTGGAGGGCCTTCGACACGGCGGTAAGCACTATCGCCGTTCTTCGTGAGGCATCACCTGAGGTCTTCATTTACAGGCGAGGAATGAGCAATGCGAGCTCCCTTCGGTCTTCTCCCACTTCGTCAGCTGCTGCGTCTCTTCCATCACCTCCTGCTACACGACTGCGATCCCGCAAGTCGTCCCACGAGGAGAAGTCGTCTACGCCTTCATCAAGCCATAGCAAGGGCCGCGGCAAAGGCAAGCAAGTCGAATTTAGCGAGAGTGTCCAAATCAGCGAGGCGAAAGACCCTCAACCCTTTGATGATGAAAGTGATTTGACCGACTTGACGGAAATTGAGGAGTCAATCGCTGCTACGTCACCCAGTCCACGGCGCTTACGGAGCAAGGGCGAGAAGCCACGAGTGGTGAGCCGCAAGGGCAAGGAGAAGGCGCATGATGGTGCCCTCGACTCAGGTAAACGGGTCACGCCTATGCGGAAGGCGAAGAAAAACGTTGGTTCCTTGGCCGAGGAAGATGATGACGAGGCAGAGGACGATGAAGACCAGCTAGAGAGCGATGCAGAGCAGGAGGAAGAGGAAGACCAACTAGCGTCGCCGTCACCACTGCGAACTCCTGTCAAACGACGCCTACGCCCACGACGGATTCAGACGCATACGCCGCCTAGTGATGGCGATGATGAGCAAAGTGCGGATGAGGACGTAGAGGAGAGCATTGATGGTGAGGAGTCGAGTGAGGACGACGATGCCACCATCGCCGGGGATGAGTCGGTGGAGGAGGAGCCCATTGTCGAGCCACGGGTACTGAGGAGCGGCAAGGTGGTTGCCGAGGAAGACGAGGAGTCTCTCGGTGATGAGGATGAGGACGACGAGGATGATGAAGAAGACGACGATTACCGTGACTCCGCTGCTGAGGAGGTCGTCATCGACGCTGATGGTGAGGCTGAGGGAGGCGAGGAGATCGAGGAGTCGATGGATGACGATAGTGAGTTTCCTTCCTGCGCGTGGTGGCGCGTTCATATTGATTCATGTTGTCCCAGTCGATCTCACTATTGCAACGACAAAGACACTCGTTCGTCTTCGCCGAGGTGACCTCGTGCGGTTATGCGAGACTCGCGACATCGAAGCGTCTGGCACCAAGCCACAGCTCGCTGAGGCGCTTCTACAATGGCGGGACAAGCACTGTAGCTCGCCATCATCGACGGGTACCGTAAGACCTCCCTCCACCATGAAACCTCGCGTGAATGGCAAGCGGAAAAGCGGAAGCAAGAGCAATAGCCCGCCTGTCCTTGACCGCTCAGATCGAGTCCACCTCGACGAGCCTCGGACGCCACCAGTGTCCGGGCGGACAAAGGCCACTGAGCCTGAGTTGGAGCTCGATCTAGAGAGCTTGGGGCTGGAGGACAGGGAGATTCCACCAGACAAGTTGACGAAGCTCGAGAAGATCGGTAGCGGCGGCTTCAAGGACGTCTTTATTGGTAAATTCAAGGGTCGCAAGGTCGCGATTGCTGAGTTCCGTGGCCAGCTAAGCGAGAGTGAGTGTCGGCTTCGTCTTAGTTGCGTCTCGCATTCTTATCGCTGCGAAGTGGACATTAAGGAGCTGAAGCTGCTGGGTGATTTCGACCACCCGAACATCGTCAAATTCGTACGTGGTCCCCCATCTGTCTCCTATACTCGCATCTAATACGTCGGACAGCTCGGTGTGAGCATTCCGGAGAATACGAAGGAGACTCCTGTCATGATAGTTAGCGAGCTTTGCTCTAACGGCGACCTATTCGACTACGTCCGCAACGTCAACCCTCCTTCATTGTATAGAGTGGTGAGTGTTCACCGGGTTGCCTATGTGCGCTGATGTGAACGCTCCTTTCAAGTTGTCCATCATGCTGGACATCGCTAGAGGACTAGAGTATCTTCACACACGGAAACCGTCGGTCATTCATAGAGACTGCAAATCGTCGAATATCCTTATCACCTCAAGGGGCGTCGCCAAGATCACAGACTTCGGGCTGGCTAAGGTCAAGCAATCCACTCGGTCTATGGTTCGCAGCTTGGTGGGGACGGTCAACTGGCAAGCCCCAGAGCTCTGGCACCCGCATCCGAAGTACAACCACAAGGTTGACGTCTTCTCATGCGCGATGGTCTTCTGGGAAATGCTCCAATGGCATGTACCGAACAAGAAATTCCCGTGGGAGGTAAGCCCGTATGGCCACGCATATCAGTGCTGCGATTGAACTGTTCGTGTAGGGTATGAACGAACATGCTATCTATGATATCGTAGGTCATAAGCGTCAAAGGTAACAGACTCCCCTTCGTGGCGTGGACGAGTGAGTGCTCACATCGTTTATTCGACAGGCCTTCCATTAGCGGGCTGCGAAAGCACTGGTGTCCCGAGATCGTTGATCTTATGGAGCGGATGTGGGCTCACGAGCCCAATGAGCGTCCGACGATGGCGGAAGTCGTTGAGGAGCTGGAAGATCTCGTTCGCAAGTATCGCTAGCGCCTCTGCATCTTGCTGCTATCATCTGTTGGACTGGGTCTCGGTGCGCCTTCATCTTATCCCATCTCTCCATGGACTGTTGGATCCAGCTGTGGTGCTACACGTATGTATTGGTTGTGACCAGCTACGATTTCGCGCGTATTTGGCGGAAGTCACCCCGCATTGTACAAAACTTATGCTCACACTACTCATACGTTATGTCGCACTATACGCATTGCTTTGTCATGCATCATTGCCTCCATTGTCATCATCATCATCATCATCATTGTACCGTAGCATACATATTTCTTCATTGCAATCAAAGACTTGTACATTGTAAGGATCTTGCGAGGTTCTCGGTTGTCGGCGACCATATCGGTCGAAACTACACTGAGAGAGCGACATTGCTGTAGAGGACCGTGAACAGATCAGCAGGGAGTGCTGCTTGTCGTAGGCAATCAAACAAACTGACTCGCAAGTTGTCTGGTAGCTCGCCAGCCGCGCGTGCATCGTCTGCAAGGAAGGAGAATATAGCGGAGAAAGTGTGGAGAAGCTTTTGATCTAGCGTAGATACAGCCTGTAACAAGAAAGCGATGCGATCCGCAAGGGCCTGGGATGTCAAGTCGTCTGCGTCGAAGGCGAAGTCGGCTTGCACGAAGCCGGATGTATGCCCTTCCTCACGGTGAAGCGAGGCGAAATGACATGCAGTAACGCAAGCAATGCGACACATATCATCAAGTTCGTAACTCGTTCTCTTGTCCCGACGCATGTGTTCCCAGACACATACTACGATCCCCAGCGTGGTGTGGACGACGTGCTTGCGGTTGGTGTCGCGACGATACGTGCTGAGGTATGCCGATATCCGTACCAATACTTGAAGAATACGGACTGGCCACGCGGACGCGTCTGGCTTGAGCGCGAAATCGGCGGGAAACTGTTCAGAGGGTACAGGCAATTCATCGAGGAAACCCTGCAGGAAGGATGGATACTTCTCTACGAATGCCCTGGTCAACGGTTGGATACCATCCCCTTGGGAGGGTGCGTGCCACTCCGGCTGTCCGTGCGCAAGCAACGTCTCCATCAAGACGAGGGTAGCATAAAGGGAAGCACAGTAGCCAGAACGCGTCGTGAGTAGCTCTGGAAGTGCCTTTGCGAAGGCCGTCTTTGTCTTCCATGCGTGAACCCGGGGAATGAGGGCATCGCGAGGAACGAAAGAAAGTAGGACAGGCTTCGACATCAACCATATCCCCCAGCAAAATTGCCATAGTGCAGAGGAGTCGAGGCGGGGACCCGCGAGGATAATCTCCGCCAGCAACTCCAGCGTGTGCGAGGCATGGAGCCGTGTCTCGGCCGCTTGCCCGCCGTCCGGTCTCCGTAACTCCAGCGTGCCGAGAGCTATGCGTCGTTTTATGCCAAGGCATATCACTGTGTTGACGAGGAATCCGAGGTGTTCAATACGGACGCGGGCCAATTCTTCTTTGTCTAATAGGCAGCGCATGAAGAGACGCACACGCGCCTCCGGGTTGCCCGCGCCGGCCCATGTCAAGTAGTCTTTATAGAGCCTTAGCCTCAAGATGCACGCAACGAGAACTGTATCTTCGTCTCCGATGAGCGACAGGTCGGCGATGCGTTTGAAAACCATGGAAGGAAGTGACCACGTGTCGACCGAGACCCGACTGGGATATTCTCGATATGAGCGAATGAACGCATATCGTTCTCGTCAGCCTCGGTCAGCAGCTGGGTGAGCATGATCGACTGTTCCAGCATCCTCGCCTTGTCCGCAGGATATAGACGAGGGGATCGATCCTTGTAGGCAACTCGCATGTGGCTGAGCGGTCGAGATAGGAGTAGGGCGCCAGTATCCATGAATAGGTGTCTGTGTTGGAGGAGGGGAGGGAAGCGGCAGAGTTCTCCGGCAAGCAGTTGAGAGTCGTCCTCTTGATAGGACATCAACAGGCCAGCAAGGACTTGGGCATCTATCTGGTCGCAGTTGCGATATAAATATTGTCTCCCAGAGACGCGGAGCCGTAAAACGGCCCAACAGCTGTGTGAATGCTGCCTTCATCTCCCCACGGATGTCGGAGTAGTTGCGTTCGGGTTGCAATGGTGAATTGTCAGACACCAGCCGTATATACCGAGATGTATCCGGGTCGACGCCTGCCATCTCTCGCTGCGAAACTTCGGAATCGTCCTGATCGCCACTGCGCTGCCGCCTGCAACACCCGTCAAACAGGCCTATACCGCCTGCGAGCTTGAAGCGAAACGTGTAGAGCACAGCGAGGATTTCCACCAAGGGCGAGACGACGGCCTTCGTCATTGCCGCTGTCACGGATGTCTTGTAGGGACTACGAAAGTCGATGACCGATATGGCGTGTGTAGCGACGTAGATGATACAGTGACGGCCATGAGGCTCCCCGCCAGAATCGCGACAGTGGTATTGATGGACTGCAGGAACACGGCCAGCCTGCGAAAACACAGCAGCGAGACGTGGAGCAAGGCTGGCAGCCACGAAAGCACGGAGGAGAGCTTCCACCTCTGGCGAATCTCGCGGCGGAAGTGGCGCTGGCGCCCCTTCATCTCGAGCGTCGGCTCCCAATCCTCGCTGAGATTGAAGAGCCATTGTTTGGCCAAGATGGCGAGGAATGCTGTCGATATGCTGATTACCAAGCTTGCGAACCAGAGGGCGTTAATGCATACGTCGGAATGGCTGGGCTGGAAGTTCGCGGGGCGCTAGAAGGGGGTGTCTGATGCGAAGAGCTATCGTTGGACTGTAGGGTCGCAAGTATTCGTTGTAGGAGATCAACGGAAGCAGCATTTGGGTCGGCCTGCAAGTTCTGGTACGACTCGACCACGAAGGCAGCGAGCACAGCTGAGAATAGGGCCGCCTGTACACGTCGACACATGCGCGTAAGTATCAGAGCTCGGGACCATTCCCAGGATCAGCTCACGAAGAGTATGAGGTTGTCCATCTGCAGGTTCCAGGCCTTGAAGAAATGGTCGTCCGCCTGAGACGCTTGATCCACGTACAGTCTCCATACTTCCTTGCTTAATCCAGACTTACGACTGGTCAGCGTACTGATGCAAGAGGGGGGAGAGTTCTCTCACCGAAGCGGGCTCGACGCCAGGATCGGGTATCTAGATAATATATGCGCCCTCAGTATAGGCGACAACGTTCAGACGCAGCCCAAGCTTCTCACCTGTCCTAGACGACTCATATTCGGTGCCTGCTCAACGTCCGATAGCTCCTCGCGCGACTGCCACAGCTCATAGTAAGGTTCTAGCAGCGTCCACAGACTAAATCCTGGCTCAATACTCACCTCGCTCTCTGAGTGTGCATAGCTTCGGCTCAGCGGTAGCGGGTACCTGAGGGCTTCTGGACGTGTTGACAAGTAGGAAACCGCGCATACAGTCATCGGAGGTTTTACAGCTTGAATCTCGGATCCCACCGGTCCTATGGCGTTGCGTGCGCCCAAGCACTACCACAGTGTCAGTCGATGTCAAGAGTGTCACATACACAGATGCTCACGCACCGCCACCCTTGGTCAGCTGTACACGACAGCTCATGCGTTGCACTTTTTCTATACTTGTTCGACGCGCATAAAGCATCGCACAGTTGTCACTAGAAGACGGTAGGTATGTAGTAGAAGCAGCTCAAGTCAGAGGACCTTGCGATTCAATAGTTCGGCGCTTGTTTGCCTTTTGTTATCAACAGTCGAAGCTAACTGGACTGCCTCGGCACAACCCCCAACACAGGCGACCGTTCTTCGATTAAGACGAATGAGTTGATACAATTGCTATGCGAACATGTTCAAATAATGATACACTAGGCAGTGACGACCAGGCGACGACGACGACGGAAAGTCGTCCGAAGGATCATATGCTTCTACCAGTAGCTCAACAGGCTCAACACCCACCGCGGTACATACCCGGACCATCACAGGCACCAGCACCGCATCTACTTCGCGCCATACGCCTTGCTGAAGATCTTGCCGTCCTTGACGATCGTGTCCTCCGGCCTCTGCGCCTTGCTCTTGAAGTAGTTCTCCAAGATTGCTTCGTGCCCGCGGCGTAGCGCGCCTGCGCGTCGAGCGTCGTGCCCGAGTAGTGCGGCGTCATGCCGTTGCCGCCCCCGAGCGGGTTCTTCATCTGCCGCCACGGGTGGTCCTTCGGCGCCGGCTGCACGTTCCACACGTCGCCCGCGTACCCGGCGAGCTGCCCGCTCTTGAGCGCGGCCGCCACCGCGTCGGCGTCGCAGATCGCGCCACGCGCGGTGTTGACGAGGTATGCGCCCTACGGAGGGATGGGTCAGAAAAACTCGAATGTATGCGTGTCACTTGTAACCGCACCTTTTTGAAGTGCTTGAGCAGGTCAGCGTTCACCAGGCCACGCGTGCCCTCGTGGAGGGGGGCGTTGACGGTGACGACGTCACACTGCGAGACCATGTCCTTGAGGTCCGCGACCCGGCGCGCGCGCACCTTCTTCTCCGCCTCCGCCGGGAGACTCGCGAAGTCGTAGTACAGGTGCTCCTTGGTGTCGAACGGCACGAGACGCTCGAGTACGCGGTAGCCAATGCGGCCTGCGCCGATCGTGCCGACGACCTTGCCCTCGAGGTCGAACGCGGCGCGCGCGATGTCGGACACCTGCCAGTCGCCGCGCTCGATCATCTCGTGCGCGGGCACGAAGTTGCGCACGAGGAGCAGGATGTCCATGACGACGTGCTCCGCGACCGAAGTCACGTTGGAACCCGTCACCTCGAGAACGTCGATGTTCTTCTCGGAGGCGGCGATGAGGTCGACATGGTCGGAACCGACGCCGGCGGTTACACATAGTTTGAGGTTCTTCGCCTAAAAAGGTATGGATACCGTGTCAGCGTAGGTTCACGACATGAGAGGTAGGATGAGTTCTCAAAGAGAACGTCGTTGATACGAGGAGCGCAGATCCTGCCCGAATGGGTAACTCAGGATTGCGAACGCCCCAGCATTGCGGGGAGCCGCCGGGGCATCGCGCGCAAACGCCGCATCGCTATCTTAACGATCTGCCGGAGGCGGGGCGCCCGCAGCAACGATGAACTCGACAGAAGGGGACGAAGTAAACGCGGCATAATGTCGGCAGAAGCAGTACTGACCGTGTTCAGGAGGTCACGGGTAAGGTATCCGGGATGGAAGGGGTGGTGATCACGACTTCAGCCTGTAGACAGACTGCAGATCAGCGAGTCGGATCAGGCAGGGTGATGTGGGGTATACTCGCATCGACGATGTGCTTAGCGAGGTCGCTGTTGGGGCCCTCTTTGCTGTCGGAAACCTACGGAGAGTCGAACTGAGGAAGGCGAGTATCCACGGGTACCAAGAGAAACGCACAACGTATTCGTGACCCTGCGACTCGAGCCACTCACGGATACCGAGCTGGTTCTCGACGGTACCAAGGAGGCGAGGTTCCTGCTTAGCAGCGTCGCCGCCGCGGTAGAAGATGGCGACAATCTTGAGAGCGCGTCAGCTGCGTAGACGCGCAATCAGGACACGGCACATCTCACCTTCATGCCCCGACTCCATGGCTGTTGCGGCGTCGCGAAAGAGCGGGCCAAAGGGCGGGAGGACGCGAGGGAGCGGGTGGCGAGTCTGCTGAACATGGTGAGGACGAGATGCTAAGTGCTTGGATGGAGAGAAGGATGCGGAGGTGGGAGGGTGTTGGGATAGAGACGCTCCACGGCGCGGCGCATTTTATACGGAGAGGCATTCGGAAGGCTTTCTGGAGTGCCAGGATTAGGACGGGCAGCATCGAGGCTGGACGACATGACCTCACGCGCCATCCCCGGCTTCTTCCTGCCGTCCTCCATTGCATCACGCCTGACGCGGTCTCGTGACGGCGCCCCCAGCGTCTCCTTCCCTTTCCTGGCCACCCGGTTCGACGCGAGACACCCCCACGGCCCGCAGACGCCCACCCTCGGGCGGAAACGTGCGGCGGGCGAGCCAACTGCGAGCCTCCCACCGCCCTGGAGCAACACTCTGCCCGAATCTAACCACATCGGTGAGGACCGTGTCGCCTGCGCGTCGGGAACAGTTCCAGAGGACGAATTCATGCGACATCGGCGCATGCAGACGGGCATGCCAGGGCTACATGTATCGCAGATGCGCGGTAATGCCCGGACAGAACGCGAAATACTTGACGGAGACAGTTTGTGTGAGAGTAGGAGAACCCTCGGGTGGACGATGTGGTGCCCTGCAGGCACTGCAAAGGAAGCCGGCCAATCTGGAGTTGGGGCCAACATTGTCCTGGATTTCCGTTCGAGGCCGATGTCGCCAGTAGCTGGCATCATCGCAGATCTAGAGCCGGATACATGTGACATCAAGTCGACATACAATGGTTCCCCGGACAGATGCGGCTAAGTTGCGAGCATTGACCTAGCATGCGCATTCGTACGTATTATGTTGACTTCTGCCTGAGACAACGTGTACACAAACGAACTGTGCCGAGCGGGAACACCTACCACGCTCAGAATTCGATTGCATCCACCGTTGACTTCTGTGAAGTAGTCTCAGAGTCGCGAAATCCGCTCGACCATATTTCCACAACAAGACGTCGAACGGAGGGGCGTTCAAACGCCCAGTACGTGTTGTCGGGGGTGCTTAATACTAAAGACCGTGTTGGTAGGCAGTACGATGCAGATGATTTGATAGTTGTATGGCAGTCGTGCCAGCAGCGCTCAAACCGGGCTCCGAGCTCACTAGAGTTTCGGTGAAGCATCGACACTAAGTAAGTTAAGCAGACTCGCGGACGACGAGCAACGCACCTCCCATGGTTGCTCAATCAGTTCGAGTAATGCAGGATTGTGACCATTGCACGGCATTGCGGGCGACATGCACAGCGTCGTTTGTGGAAGCGTCCAAGAAACGGCAAGGAAATGCAAGAAGGGTCTGAGCAGAGCTCGCGAGGGCACGCAGTACTGAGACGGACATCGTATCAGTAGTGGTGCCGCATGGGCCGAGTCATTGGCAGTATGCTGGGATAAGTCCTAGAGTCGTGCACTTGCACGCCCTTTTGAACATCAGTAAACATATTGAATTGTACTGCGGGTTCCCGATCGTCGTCACAGCCGCCGATACGAGCCTACGGTAGAATCAGCCTCAGCCTGAGCCACCGGTGCTTAGACGCCGACTGCACGGGCCAGGCGCCTATTCTTGCCTTTGTCTCTCCGTCGTCTCTTCCATCCGCCACTCACTCTTTCACTCACCACCAGTCGACACCGACTGGACACGACAACGTCAGAGCAACGCACAGCCGATCGATATCATCACTACTCTTGTCCGATCGCACGATGTTCTCGATGCGACTCTTCCAGCCGACCATCCCAACGGCACGTCGATGGTAGACGTAATCAGAGAAATGTCGAGGAAACCCAAGCCTCGCTATCTCGAATGCATACCAGCTACCTTCGCGCAGCCGACGCCTTGCCATACTCAACTCGAGGAGCGGGCAAATTCGCGGCGATCCTTGATGGTGAATGGGACGCGTACGACGGTGGCGTGCGGGCTGCAAACACAAAATAAAGCGGTCAACCAAGGCCATGCGGTAAGAGGACATTAGCAAACTGCTTTATGATCTGTGCTTACCTGATGATTGTATGCGAAGGAGGTGTCTACACGACATGGCCTCCAGTTTTATCGATCCAAGATGTTCAACGTTCGGCGGAGCCACTGAACTCGCAGTACTGGTCCACTGTGTCGGTAGGTACCATGGCTATGCTGGTTGCTGCACGTTGGTGACTTTGAGTGCATAGGCATATGACAATGTGGAGACAGCACGTACGATGGGACTGGCAAATGCCCAGACAACTACCGCACAAGGTGGCGGGGTCGCTCAGCTGGGGCAGTGGCACTCGAACCAGCGCAAGCGCGCCTTCCATGCGTTTGAAAAACTCGCAACAGCGCGTCTATTGGCGCAGGAGACGGAGAAGGGGATCTACTCCTTCGGGACATCATGGATTCACACTCGCCGCTGCAGCTCAAGATGCCGAGAAGAGTCTGCAAAGTCGGATGCCAGGCCCAAGGCGGCATAAACATCGCACCACCTGTGCAGATGCCTGCATCGATCGTGCCACAACGCCCTGGGAGGAATGGGCACCACAGGCGACCTCCACCCCGCGTCTGAGCCCAGCATCCTCGGGAACATTGCTCAGCCCTGAGGAAGACTGGGTGCCGCTATCAACATTGACACCTCGTCCAAGCTGTTCATACGGCCAGCAGAAAGGGGGAGTGATGGAGTAGGAGGTACGCCGTTGTGATGTCAATTTGTAGAAGTGAAATGCTGACGACTCGTGGGCAGTTGACCGCAGATGTGGAATTCGCGGAGGAAAGTGGACGTGTGATGGAGCACGTTGTTGACGGTGGTAACGTCGCTGTTGTATGTGTATACGTGCGTGCGATCGGTTGTATTTGATAAGGCATTGTGTAGGGGCGAACTTGGACCTGTACGTGCAGAGAATGGATGTCGGAAGTAGGGAAACGCTGTAAAGAATCGGACCGTCGTCTTGTACTGTTTATGGAAAGCCCTTGGACCTGTCCTGCATCGTTTGGGCTGGACGTATGGCACAGAATGTCATTTGCACTGGTCGTCCACCTTGGCATGGCGTAGCGCAGCTCTCGTCACTGACATGTAGACGCTGGCCACATAAAGGCGCCCGACCTGAGCGCGTACTTGTCTCTTGCCTTTCATCTTGAACCGCTCATCGTCCAACATTTTCCCCGACTAAAGGAGTACAGCAGCACCTATCACCTCGGATTCGATAAATACACGTGTAAGTTCTCGTGGATCACATACCTGTGCGCTCGACACGAGACTGAAGTCGCTGTTCCAGTCTTTGCGATGTTTTCGTTTCGACTCTTCCTCGCAGACACCCCCTACGCGTCTGCAGCCGACATAGTCAGAGAGATGACAAGAAAGCCGAAGCGTTACTTGGAGTGTAGACCGTTGGTCTTCGCGCAGCCGACACCCGAGTACACGGAAGGAAAGAAATTTGCGGCAATCCTGGACAATGACTGGGAGCCGCACGAGGGTCGGGTCCAGCCTGCGAATACAAACACACTAACGGTCAGCGGAGGCCATCAGGTGAGTGAAGGGCAACGGTGGACCGTTAGTGGGCTTGTGCTCACCTGCGATGCGAAGGCGTGTGGCGTTGTCTACACGACATGGCCGCCGATGCTATCGGCGCAAGAAGGGCAGACGTCGCATGATCTAGCCCAACAGGCATACCAGACTGCAGCGGGCGTATGTTATTATCGGTGACTGTTGCCTACTGCGTCGAACTGATCTTCTGATCTTGCACAGATCGCGGGTACTTGCAGCGGGGAAAATCTTGGATACAGCCATCCGCTGTACGGACAAGCACATGGCGCCTCCTATGGAACGCAACAAGTCCACCCGAACGTACATCGCGACGAAGAAAGGCAATACGCATTCAACCGAGTGCGCCACCTGGTCGCCGCGCGCGTACGCGCAAATGAAGTCGAGGACCGTTTCCTCAGGGAGACGATGAATGTTGTTCTGGCGGCCGCAGAGCTAGACGCCTCCGCGGAGAGGGCCCTTGACGCGGGCAGCATCCCCATCCAACCAGAGAAAGCAGCCCTACGCGCGCATATAGACCGACCCGCCCCAGTCTTGAGTTCGGTCGACAGCTCGACGTCACGCGCGACGTCCAATTCGCACCCGAGCCCCGCGTCACCGTCGACGCTCAGTCCAATGTCAGAATGGGAGCCGTTGGCTACGTCGACCCCGCGTCCTGAACACCTTTGTGGCAGCGACAGGGCTGGATATCAGGCGACGAAAGCTCAAGTGAGATTGCGTATTTTGTGTGTATGGTCGGAAGCTGACGACTGCGTCCCGGCAAGTCCAACTATTGATGGACAGGCCTACCGAGCTTGGGATACAGCAGCGGAGCTGCTCCGAATTGAAGGATGGGGATTGCCGAGGGGAGAGGCGCATGGACGTTCAAAACAGGTTGGCCACGAATAATGCAGGTCGAAAGTGTACACGTAGATAGGGGTTCCGCGTTTTTAGGAAATGGTCCAGGCACCAAGCTTGAATCTACGTTTCTTCGAGCGTCTTCAGGCCAGGCGCAGTAGGTAAGCATCAACGCAGATGCTTTGCGCCTTGCCACTAGGGCATCCAAATCTATTGCCACGGATTGAAGCCATCGCGGACGAGCGAACCCCATAACTGTCGTTCGCCGTCCACCTATCCTCCTGGTGGCGCCCAACACCAGCAGACCGCCCCTACGTGCATCCAGCACTAAAGGGTCCGGGGGTGGTATGCCGGCATCACGCGCCGCCACAAAGATAAGTTATGCAGCTAAGCCACAACCGCGTAAGCGCCATTTCAACAAAGGCGGCGCTCGTCCGTGGCCTCGTTCTTGTAGTCGTCTTCCCACTTCCTCGCTCCCGCTGCCTATTCGCTCATACCTATCAAGGCACCACATACGCGTCAACAGACCTAGAGAACGCAGATCAACAACATGCAAGACTATAGACCGAGCGTGAGTGTCTAATTGGTCGACTTACCCTGCGACGCGATCGTTCAATTGCGATCGTCTAGCACACGACAGCCCTGACGTACGGCAAGATACACATGCCTCCTCGAGGCTTGAAGCCTAGTCGAGGGACTCTTCGCATTGAACAAGGAGGATTCCGTCCTCGATATCCTCAACGGCCACAAGACGGACCAAATACGGGGTAAATTCGTCTTGCACGAGCACCTGGTTCCCGCAATCATTTGACAGCTCGCCTTACAGGATGTCATCTATAAACACAAGTAAATTCACGGGCGGCGAAGGCCATTTAGTAAGCCAGAGCACTGCATCGTTCGTGAATGGACTCGTGCTTACCTGTGGTGTGGCGTAGGCTCAGGACGGCTTCGCATCGCGCTTACATCGATGGAGAGGCAATTTGGCACCGCGGCCTGCTTCATGGGACAGAACCGGCTTGCAGATGGGTGCAAATGTCGGATACTCGGGCGACTGTCAGATGGTGAGTCGCTTCACCCCGACGAGTCCTCCAATCGTCTGAATACCATGAAACAGGCTGTCACTGGCGGTGTGCCCGTGAATCCGAAGTCCGAGGCCGGGCTTGAACATGTCTCGATAGCCAGATCTAGCTCATCCCACGTCCACCATCCAGCACGATGTCACACTAGACGAAGAGTTTCTACGCGTTGCGATGGACCAAGCATTGGGCGGCATAGCACGGGCGGCGCTCGTCGAAGAGGTTGCAGCGAGCTCCAAGGCGTCCTCAGGCCCGACGTCACCATCCAATGACGATGAGGTCTGCGGGCTCAAGGCGCGTCTCTGAGTTTTCTCCGCGAGTACTTCGTCGCCAAACCGCGTGGGGCGGATCCGGTGGGACGGCTTGAGGCTGGCTGCGGTCACGGAGACGTAGACGGAGAGGTGCACACAACGATAGGAGAGGATAGTCCTGGAGCCAGAGTAGCCATGGAGGGACCAGCATCGCGGCGACGGACGAGCCAATGCTACAGGGCTCTGCGCGCGTGGGAGCTTGCTCTTTTATTGGTGCACGAACGGGTCGATCGGCATGGCCCTTGGGGAGACACCATTGTCTGTTGAACTGTCTACATTGTCATTTCACCGCTTTTCACATTGCATAGATCATCTGCATACCATGACTCCGAACTGCGCTCGAACATTTCCCCAAGAGTCCCGATGGCGCATGGTTAGTGGATGGTCCATGGTTCGTGGATGGTCCCCGGGGGCAAGTGATTCGGTGGCCAGGCTTGACGAGCGTTAGTCAGCGTCGCAAGGGCAGCGAGAGCGGTGTTCACCAACATTCCGGGCGACGAAGTAAGAACACCGGGGCCTGAGCGGGGCTCGCGAAGGTACGCAGCGTCGAGATGGGCATCGTACAGGACAGGCCGCTGAGGTCGCCTGTGCCACCGGTGTGCCACTCCGAGCCGGGCCACACCCGACTGTTATGATCCAGGCTGATCCAGCGGCTCAGTGGCTGAGCCGGACCGTGTCGCCACCGATGCGACGCGTCACGACTGTACAGCACCTGGGCCGCGTGTCTACCAACCATCATGCACATATTGGCGGCCGACACGCATCTATGTATGCTTGATTTATGTGCTGGTGCAGCACCACCGTCGCCCACCCGACAGATATCCGTCCTATGTTCTGATCCGGATGCTACAGCTGGATGCGCTCGTTATCGAGGAACTCACACACTGCATCTCGAAATCCAGAGCACAGACATGACTTTGCCTCGAAGGCCTGAAATTAGCGACCTCGAATTAACGATACGTAGGTGCGCTGCATAGTATGGCAAGTGTCGGGGGCCAGCGTATAGCAGCTGGCGTGGACGACATCGCGCACTGCGGGCGCAGAACCAAATCACGCAAGTATAACCGGTCGCGGTACTCGTCGTATGCAGCATCCCCAGTGGGAGGAATGCGGAATGATAAGCCTGCATTAATGCGGTGGGGACCTGGGCCTGGTGTGCTCATAAATTGCCCCCAATTTGCGTCGGACGGCGAGGGACTTAAACCGTCTACGCAGTTTGGAATATCGCAGTACTTGCTGCGACAGTTCATTGTCCATGTTCACTTCTACATAAGATCATTTTCTACACCAGCCAGTTCCTACGTACAGGATGTATGAAGCTGCGTTGAGCAATCCGACTACAGCGTCCACTGTGTACGTCCCGTCGGGGATCACTCTGCTCGTCAGGACTACGATGTCTCCCAGTGAGCGGAATTGCATCCCGGGCGTAAACTTCGTTCCTTGTGGCTGATGGATAACGGATGCCCAGCCAGCACTCGCTCTGAATCTGAGGGCTAAGCACTGGTGATTGTACTTCCACATGTCGCTCCAGCAACTTGAAGGCGCATCTCGCCATGACTTCATACCGTATCGCAGCACAACTCACCTTTGGCTACAAGGGCCGCGTAAGAACAAATATGATGTTCGTCGATGAGTATAAACGAGTTCAGTGTGAGATGTGTGCGTTTGGGGAACCCCAGAATGCTCCGACAAAGAAAGGGCATTGAAAGCGCAAGCCTAGGACTCGAGTCAAACGCAACAGGGAACATACGTATCGCGTTCATGATCGTTGACGGCGTTGAAACGTGGCGAGTGTCCCCGCCCGCGTGCATCGCGTGCATGAGCTATCGACAGCGCCGTAAGTTGCTGAACAGCCTGCACTACTCACGACTTGGGGCCACGTCCGAGTCGTAGTAGCATCATCGATAGCGATACTCGGGTTATCACCGAGTCCACTTGTGTGACAGTGTACCAGGCCGGGGTGACGTCCTCGAGGAAAGATACTGCAGGGGGACAACTTGCACATCTATCGGCGTTGAGACAGTATCACATTTGTGCGCTGTCAGTCAAGCCTCAACAAGAGAATGAAGAGCGCTTACATACTGGGTTTCTTTTGTTCGGTTTCGCACCGCACTGAATAACGGAATAAGCTCAATGCATAATGCACAGTTGCCACTCGAGGCGCGTGGCTTGAGCGCTTGACCTGCCACCAGACGCTCAAGCGTGCAGCGTCGCGTCGCAGTCCATCGAAGTTGATCTTGCCACTCACCGAAGTTCGTCGCGTTCACTCCCCACATACCACCACTTTAAATTCTGGTCCGACATCCGGACACGAGTGTCAACCGATGAACGTCTTCAACCAGAGCTCGATTCAAGTTCCCACCGTTAACGACCTGGGTCTCGTAATGGACGTCGGGTCGAATGCCGCTGCAACGGGTCCACTTGCCAAGACAGACGATCCACTACCACCGTGTATCGCTGTCTCGCCATCACTGTATGCTGCCGACGATGAGTCTCTGGAGCAGGAGGCCAGGGACAACTCGGCCACTCGCCTGAGAGCACATTCGAATATGGAAGAAGATCACTTTGTAAGTCAACCTATCTCTGGGTCCATAGTCAAACGTGCACTCACTAAAAACACCGCTGAAGGGAGGTGATCGGGCCGACCACACGGACTGTGTTACACCACATATCTACTCAACAAAGCCACTCTCACCTACGGGAGACTGCGAGGCGATCGTGGAGGGGTCTTGGGACGTAATGACCAAGGACACTTCTGGCGCTACAGCATGGAAGGTAAGCAAATGAGCCTATGCAATAACAACGTGCAACACTCAACATGCTTGTCAGATGAGAACAACGACGAGGAACTTCCCTCTCGGCGGCATCTTAAACTCCCACTTGCTGGCAAGCCCACACTTTGAGAGACCCCACGCGTCGATAACGGGTGCATTCAGCATCGAGCCATTCAGGCCCGAGCTGACACGAACAGTAGGCAGGCCATCGAAGGCTTATATCAACCTGATGGACGTCGGCAACTACGAGGATATGCCGACTGAACCTCCTCCGTCCACGGTCATGCAGCAACAAGCGGCAACTGTACGCACCGAGATCAGTTCGGACTGCACAAGCGAACACAACAGCTCACCCGTCGACTCGAAGGGATCCGGAGGACGGATCGAGTCCATACCGAGAGAGCTACGACGCATCGAGTTGTCAAGGGGTTGGTCGGGACAAGGCGGCATAGCGAAGTCAAAGGCAGATAACGACTCTGGGTATCGCACTCGGTCTGCCATAGTTGACTGGCTGCGGTTGGTCAACGAGGGGAAGAGAGAATGGTCTACCGGCAGTCCGTCTATCAGCGCGAGCTCGTCCGAAGGATCCTCGAGCGATTGGACGCGAAAGCGAAAGAAGTCGGCGACACGCAGCCCGCTAGCATCAAAAGCAAGCCAATGCAGGCCTGGAGTGATTCTGGGAGGCTAGGGAGTAGGCAGTCATCAGACTGACGATCAGAAGCGAGGGTGGGACGTTAGATGCCTTGGGGGGTATCTAGGTTGGTCAGATCGGGTGCATAGCTAGAGCTCTTGAATCTTCCATTGACTTATTCCTCGGACTGTCAGTTACCTTGCCTTGTAGCAGATATATTGGCCGTTTGCGAACAGCGATAATCCTTGAATGTTCCACAGGGGCCTGGGCGACCCGCAGTGACACTGACCCGAACTGGTGTTATATTTGCACTTCGTTCAGCAAAAGTACGCCGTACGCGCTCGCTCAACAACGCATCGAAGCGTAGCGACTTGAGCCGGCGCTCACCGACGCGTCGAGCTTCAGCCACTAGCGCGTAAGCGCCTGCCACACAAAGGAAGCGCAAGGCTCACCTCGAACTCTCTTGTTCACGTCCCACGACAGTGCCCCGCCCTCATACGACCCTATATCTGGAAAGCACAAATTATCAAGCATAAAACACATCGCTTGCGGACAAACGTACGTGTATCGATCCTGGCCTCCTCCCTTTGCGCGAGGCGGCTGTTTGACTTGTGGCCACAGCGATATAATGATGGTGAAACTTCCCGACACGCGTTCGCACTCGCATGGCTGCCGAGGTACCACAGCAGAGGACCTGCTCAACGAGATTAGGCAGAGACATCGTGGCCCAAAACGCCGCCAGCCGCTGTTCTTTGCCGAGCCACTGCCATCCAAGGGCCGCGAAAGCTTTGCTAACATACTCGACAATGAGTGGGAGCTGCGGCGAGGTGCGGTGTGCCTTGTAAACACGAGACAAAAGACGGTCGCAATGCATCACTCAGTGAGTCAACTAACAGGGAACCGTCATTTGTTTCATGCTCACCTATGGCGTCGCCATGACCAGGACGAGAGATGCCACTGGGTGACAGGCTCACCCCTCTATACAGTCCCCAGACAGCCAAAGCAATCAACATCCATAGCGAGCAGCCAACGGATAGATGGTTGCCGAAGAGAACAGGTGCATCAGAACTTGAAAGCCCAAAGTAACAGCCAGGGGTCCTTGCAGCATCTTACGGACGAGTATCTGTATCGCGAGGTCAGCCTCTAGCAGATATTCTACATATTGTTACTCACATCATCTCGTAGCACTTACCCTTTGAGACGACGGCACTACTTCAGGTCGACCTCGGCGATGCTGAGGTCAGCTCCAGTCAGTCCGTGGCTGTCCGCCGCGAGGCACATACGATGTATGAATGCTACCCGACAACCTCATTGCCTTCGCAGTATTGGCCATTCACTATCATGGTATGTCTCCTTCGGTCAATGAAGCCACAGGCGAGAGCACTCATGCGTACCATGACTGCGTTTAGGCTGCGACGGCACCTTCGGAAATTCATGCTCACGTTCGTCCCGACGAGGCGTACTCGCCAACCCATTCATCTACACGTGCAACCTCCTTACCATCATCTGACGGCTCCGAACCCGATACAGGCCCGCAAAAGCCGACACCGGCAAACCTGCACCAGGTGCATGGATTCGAAGAATGCATGGTCATCGCCACCGAGACGGCCTCGTCGACTGGGGAGGAGGGGGAGAAGAGCTTCAGCGAGCGAAACTGGGCGGCGACAGACTTGTTGAACGTACCCCTATGCTCTCATCCGTGTGATGACGGACCTCCGCCATCACTGTTTCCACCGGAGAGCGTGGACGCAGTGCTCTCAGTCTTCCATTCTTCATCGCTGGACTCGAATGCCGGGAGGAAGACCAACGCCGGGAAGAAAGGGAGGAGACGCGAAAGAAAGCCATGGTCGCGTCGATCCAACATGACGGAGACAAATTGCGCACAATGGAAGCCAAACGGCGTCCCGGTCATTTTGCAGCGATCTATTCGTTTGGAGGACGGGGGCAATTGATCATGAGTTGGACAATGGTAACATGCTGATGCGGCGAAAACGCACCGGGTTCGATCGGACCCTGTGTTGTAGCGTACTGGGTGTTGGTTTTACTCTGACGTATACTCGTTCTTTAGTTGCCCTGGCTCTGAATCATACATAGACCGTGACAGACTATTGAGCTGTGCATGCCAGTGGTATTGCTTATCTGTCCATGCTGCTGAAATCAGTCAAGGTGTTGTGGCTTGCTTTCGCTGTGTAGACGCCGACTGCCCAGGGCGTCTATCCTGTCTCTGTCGTCGCTCGCGGTCATTTCTCTTTCATCTGCCACTCCCGCACATCGCAGCGATCTGCGTCCGCTGTCGTCAACAACGTCAAAGTCACCACCTATCCAATCGCTAGCATCGCGTACCTCATTAACATCCATGTTTTCTCTTCGTCCACTTCTCGCCGTCAATCTCAGTGACACATCGACGGTGGACGTCGTCAGAGAATTCTCGAAGGAGCCAAAGCCACGATACCTGGAGTGTAAACCGGCTACATTTGCGCAACCGACCCCGCGGCGTCCTCATCTCGACGGGAGAGCTGGGTTTGCGGCAATCCTGGATGGGGATTGGGAGGTATACCAGGAGGACATAATGTCTACAAACACAACACAGACAGCAATCAGTCAGGAGCATCCGGTGAGAGGACCATGACAAACAGCTGATTGTGTTGTGCTCACCTCGCTTGTTCAAAAGACGGAATCAATCTACACAATGCGCCCGAACTCACTGGCACAGAGCACGGAGTATGAGGAGTATGAGAAAGAAAATGAGGGTAACTTGTCTTCGGTGCCGGTAAGTGTCGCTGAACCATTATGTGCCATGGAGACACAACTGATGTCTGAACAGGCTCTCGATGATGACGAAGTATATACGGTCGGCGCACTAGATGGCAGTGAGTCCGTCGTGCAAGGCCACGGGATTCCCCAGTTGGTTCAGCAAATATATGGACACAACATCTGGGGGCTTGAGCCTCACCACTCCGAGGAACGCACTATCGCAGAAGACCTTGCAGCTGAGACTGTGCACCTGATGGACATTGTGCGCATTGTGGCGGCCCGTCGCTGATATACTGCCGGCTTGCTGATAGGGTCGCTGACGAAGACAACGGTCTGTACAGCGACCACATAGGGGTGATGGCATGGGCTTCTCTGGCGTTGAGCACTGGGAGCAATCGTCGTTTGAATGTATCGGGTGGGAAACCGTCCTGTAATAGTGATCAGTTGGAAAAATGTCCCTTGCAGTATACCATGCCGTACATAAGTTTCGCTTCACTGGAATACTCGATGTATGAGCTATATACCTTGATCGCATCGTAGTGCAGCTCGGTCTGTGTAGACACTCCAGCGTAAACGCTCATGGCATGAGGACGCCTAATCGGTGCTCGCTCTTTGTCTTTCCCTCCATCGTCCGCCTCTCGTCGTCGGAGATCTTGCGCAACTAAACGCACGAAGAGTGTCATTATGAGTAGAAGTCAATGTAAGCATGCGTCACGCACCGATGCCCGCGATGCGAAACCTTCAACTTGCTTTTCTAGACGTTGTGATGTTCAAGTTCTCGTTCGAACTCTTCCTCGCGGACAACCGCTATGCCACCGCGGAAGACATAGTACGCGAACTGTCGAGGAACCCCAGGCCGCGTCATCCGGAGTGTAGGCCGCTCGTCTTTGCACATCCGACGCCTGAGCGTGAGGGGAGGGCGACCTTCGCGGCAATCCTGGACAATGAATGGGAAGCTCACCGAGGTGGCGTCCGCCTTGCAACATCAACCACACAGCGGTCGATCAAGGCCATCAGGTCAGAGGGCAACGTCAGGGTGCTGAATGATTCATGCTCACCTGAAACGCAGGTGGACACAGGGCAATATACATCGTGGCTACCGAATCTATCGACGCAGGCGACCCTGGCATCTGACCAACCGCCTGAGTTGCAGGATCAGTCCCCGCCTGTGAGTGTTTGCCGTGACACGATATCAGACATTGATTCTACTTGAATGAGAAGACATCCACCATAGACAATTGCGATAATCCGACGGGGGCGCGGATCGATGCAGAGTTTGCGTGCCAAACCTACCAAGCCTCCGAACTAGTACAGACGAACAACCAGGTGTCGAACGGTCTGACAAACAGGAAGTACTGGTTCCGCCGTTTCGAGAGATAAGCCATCGCACGCTATATCGCGAGCGAGACCAAGGACGACGAGATGTTCTTGCGCGACCTGCAGGATCAAGTGCTAGCTGCCGCAGCTCAAGATGCGCAGATGGAGACGTTGTTGACCTCTGATGCCGCTCCGATGGCACCGCATACGTTCGTACCGCCTTCGCCGGGACTCCCGGAAGACCATACAACGAGGACGGCCATGAGGGGATCGGCCCAGGAAACGTCTCCTCCACGCCCCAGTCCGGCCTCGTCAACGTCGCTGCTGAGCCCCCCGCAATCCTGGCAGCCGTCAGCGGCATCAACTCGCATGTCTGGAAGGTCTGGCGAACACATAACTGAGACGACCAAAGTCGAGGTATGCCGACATGCCTGAATCATAGGTGACTCGCAACTCCAGACTTGCTGATCGCTCCTTCGCAGCATCCTGGTCTGGGGTCCACCTGTCGTCCGGCCGCGCAGACGTCCGACATTGCTCTCGGCATCGATTGCAAGCCCGTCCGAGAATAAGCCCGTCCGAGAATATTGATATCGTAAAGACAAGGTCTTCGAGGGACGCAAAGCCAGAGGTCGAGCGCGTCCGAATTGTATACCGGTTCGAGATTATGGGAGCAGGCGACTCTGGTGATTGACCGCAGTTGACGGTGGACAATGCAGGTCGAATGAGGATGTTGAATGTACGCATAGAGGGCACACATCTTATAGCAATTGGAACGAACTTTTCGCTCGAATACCCGGCCCTCGTCGAGGGGGTCCCATGCATCCGCGAGTTGCATAGTGGAAATTCTTGCCCCTTGGACCTGCACTTCGACGCGGAGTGGCAGTGCAGCCCCCCGCGAGTATGTTCCTTCCCATCCTGTCACAGCTGCGACCCGCCAACCCGGATCGTATCCAGCACTAAAAGGTCCGGGGGTGGTATGCCGGCATCGCGCGCCGCCACTCCGCGACATCCAGCAGCTATACAGCCACAGGCGCGTAGGCGCCGGTTGAACAAACGAAGTGCCCCGTCCTCGTACCCGTCTTTCGACTTTCTTGTACTCATCGCCCGTCCACGCGCTCCATCCAGAGTCCAATTCACGCGCGAACAGTTCTAGAGCACTTCGATCAACAATCCGAAAGCTTGTGTGAAGCTTAGAAGCCTTGACGTTGGACTTACTCGGAGGTACAATCGTTCAATTCCAACCGTCGTACGCGTAGGTTAAACCATAGGATCCCGCGTCGAGGGCGCTCAAGGACTGTGACCGGCAGATCTTTTGGAAGGAAGACCGGATCCCGACATTTGTAGGGACGACAAGAGATCGTCGCGGTGAGGTAAGTATATCACATATTGTAAGACATAGCGCAGCGAGCACTCATGATGATTCGGAACGCAGGTCCGGGCTATAACATGCCAGTCAACGCACATCACAGGCTGCTTCGTAAGCCAATGAACAGCAGCACATTGAGTAAATCTGCGCTTACCTAGGATATGGCGCAGGTTGGCAGTGTTTTCGACCAAATGGGCTCATCTGAGGGGAAGGTCTACGCCCTCTTTGATGGGCTACACGCCATACTGGTCGTGTGCATGTCATGGGAAAACATGCAGTACAGGTATCTGAGCCAAGATGTGAGTCGATCAGTTACGGCTTGCACGTCTACACCCACATGATCGAGCACAGCAGTGCGTCACCTAACGCGCAGTCTGGGTGAAGAAACCTTCCTGCGACGGACCAGGTGTCGAAACGGGTTGCATACAAGCCATGGAGGGAAGGTCGCGGTGCGTGGCGATACGTCCTTGGGTCCGACCTCCAGCTGCTCCGAGACATGACTACTCGCGTGCAGTGCATAGACCACCGCATGCCTGGGCGAATGACTGAGTCAGGCATGAAGCGTTCCGCACTGTGGTAGGCTTCTATGTCGGCAGTGATATCGAGTTCGACCATCATCGCCGGTCCTAGTATGACGAGGAGGTCCTTACTACCCTCTTAGAGACATCAGTCTCGCGATGCCTCGGACAGTTGCGGGCGAGCTGGTAGATACGGCGATCAGACGACCGTCGTAGGATTCGAGCGGTGGCGGTGAAGACGAGATGGCTTGCAAGCCAGAGAGATGGAAATTGAGTCCTATGGCCAGATACTTCGGCCCTCAGGAAGGCGTGCGTTTGAGTGGGCTTGGGGAACGACAGGAACCATGAAACACTCTGTATGCCAGGTGCGCGATTCGATAGGTGGTGGCTTTATGACGCCGGGTGTTATCATCTACCTTTGAAATCGGTCTGGTGGAACCTATCAATTTTATGACTGTCAGTCCATGCCTGTACGCTGCCAAGGAGCCCAAAGCATACGGACCTCCTGAGGCTCGGCCCTTCGAGGAGGCATACATCGTTTCGCCTGGTATGGTCTTCGCAACGTGGATAACGACACTGTGGAGAATCCACCTAGACAACGAAACAAGAATATGGGTAGAAGCTCAGAATAGGCCGCAGAATCGAGATGGTGGTCGTTTGAGACGGTGAACATACTGATCGCGTTGATAGGTGGCTGAAGCGGCAAGTGGGACGCGCGTCACGACTGTACAGCACCCCAATTTCTACCAACCATCTTCGTCCCAATCGACCTCGCTCAAATGTCTCGATTCACAATATGGACGCGAGAGAATGTTTCATACGGTGCCTTCGGCGGCCATTGCATACAAAGAATAATTGTCATGCGAAAATACACTGCCGATTTTTGAGGTAATGCTACAAGTTCTACACTACACTACATACACAACTGCACTTCACCTGCTTACTTCTTCTGCGTCAGTTCCCTGTGCATGTGGTCCACCCTGCTCGACGCGTTCAACAGAGCCTTCAGACTCGACGCGGTGATATCCGTATCTTTCGCGATCCCCCACGCGTTCAGTCTGACCGCGCTGCCATCTGCCTCGTACGCAAGCTCGACATACGACGCAGCCTTCACGTCCGAGCCCTCGCCAATCGAGTGTTCCGCGTACTCGCGGATCGACATCTGTCCGTCGATATGCTCGTTCAGCGCAGCGATGGCCGCCGTTAACAGACCGTTGCCCTGTCCCGCGACCTTCGTCAGCCTCCCGTTGACGATGAACTCGCCCGTGAGCTCCTTGCGGCCGCTCTCGCCCAAGTTCTCCATCTTGAAACTCTGCATCGCGAACCGGCCGTCCTTGTCGGGAATATCGTATACATACGTCTCCTTGAATAGCTGGATGAGCTTTGAGTAAGACATCTGTCCACCCGTCTCGCGCGCGGCTCGCTGCACGACCTCGAAGAAGGATGCCTGCAAGCGACGGGGGAGCTCCAAAGACAGTTCGATCAGGATGACGGACGCGATGTCTGCCTGGTTGGTCTTCGCGCTGTAGCCCACGCTCAATTGGAGTTCGGGCAGTGGTCGGTCGCCGATTGCGCTGTTCACCGCGCTGAGCACCGCGCGTAAGCCGGACCCTGCGATATCCGAGTCGGCACCGACACCCCACCACGATTCGGTCGACTTGCGAATCTCCTTCACGTCACGGCGAGGGGAACAAGTTCGACGTAGGACGCTGCCTTGGTGTCCTGACCTTGCCCAATAGCATGCTCGGAGTATTCACGCAGGGAGAGGTCGATTTCCAAGTGTGTGCGGAGGGCATCCAACAGAGCTGATAGCGGTCCGTTACCATCTCCACGGATGACTCGCAGGACACCATCCACGGAAACAGTGCCGTCGAACTGGCGCCGCTCGTCTGCTGCTTCGTCGCCGCTCGGGAGGTCCGGCGACGACTCGGCCGAGATCCTGAATGACTTGAGCACCAGCCTGCCCTCGTACGTCGACCCACCGTAGTGGTACGTCTTCCTGAACGCTGTCGTGATGTCCTCCACCGTCATCTCCCGCGCCTCACGATCTGCAATCTCCTGGACGATGCTGTAGAACGAGATCTGCATCTTGCGCGGCATGTCGAGGCCGAGGTGCTGCTGCACGAGGTACGCGATGCCGCCCTTGCCGCTCTGCGCGTTGACCCGGATGACCGCCTCGTAGTTGCAGCCGATGTCTGCGGGGTCGATGGGAGGTAGGGCAAATTCCAGTGCTGCGGTCGCCCTTACGCTCCGCCTCGATCCACCGCGCCTTCTGATGCTCGAAGCCCTTCTTGATCGCGTCCTGATGCGAGCCAGAGAAGGCGGTGAAAACGAGCTCGCCCGCATAGGGATGCGAGGGTGCACTGGCAGGTCATTACACTGCGTAACGACGTCGATGACGGTCTGGATGTCGCTGAAATCGAGGCCTGGGTTGATCCCTTGCGTGTACTGGTTCAAGGCAAGGTTCACGAGGTCGACGTTGCCGGTGCGCTCGCCATTGCCAAGAGACAACCCTCCACACGATCCGCGCCGGCGAGCATGGCAAGCTCTGCTGCCGCGATGCCCTGGCCTGCGTGCAACATCTCAGTCGGCTAGACTGACAGAAAGAACAGGCATACCTCGGTCATTGTGGGGGTGCAGACTGACATAGATCTTGTCCCGCTCAGAAATGTGTCGGCAGAAGTACTCCACCTGATCGGCGTAGTGGTTCGGAGGCCCGATCTCAACCGTAGCAGGGAGGTTAAGATAATTCTGTCCTCGAACGCAGAGCCTGCCCTGCCCCACGCCTTCTTCACCGCCTCACACACCTCCACCGCGAACTCCGGCTCCGTTTGTGAGAACGTCTCCGGGCTGTATTCGTACCTAAATATAGTCCGTGCTTTTGCGTGCACTCATCCGTGAGCTTCCGGATGATCTCGGTGTGCTTCACGGCCAGGGCGAGGGTTTCCTCCTTGGAGTTCCGGAAACGACCTCTCGGAAGAGACATGAGGTCGCGTTGTACATTGGATGATCGCACGCTTCGCCCCAGCGACAGAGTCGATTGTTCGGCGGATGAGATCTTCACGCGCAGGTGTTAGGACCTAGCAGCTCGAGCTCAGCTCCCCTTCGCTCGCGCCCACCGGTGCACATGCCGACTCACCTGAACCCACACATCGTCCGGCACCTCCCCGCCTTCAATCAATCCCCTCACAAAGTTGAAATCAGTGTCGCTGGCAGCGGGTACGCGATCTCGATCTCCTTGAAGCCGCACTTAAGCAGGGTCTGGAAGAAGAGCGTCTTCTGCGGGATAGTCATCGGATTTGCGAGGGCCTGGTTGCCGTCGCGCAGGTCGGTCGACAGCCAGATGGGCGGCTTCGTCGCGACTTTTGAGGGCCATTGACGGTCCGGGAGGTTGAGCGGGGTGTACGGCTTGTACTTTTGGGACGGATCGGCCCTGAGGGGGTCAGTCTGGGATAGTTGGCAAACATCGCTGCAGATCACTCACAGCATAGGCATGGTGAATTGTCAGAAGGGTATTACCAGAAGAGATACGTATAGCTAAGACGGATGCAGCCGTCCATATAACAGCAGCAGCAGCAGGCAAACACGAGTCATCGCGAAGTTGAGAACATAAGAACGGCCATTGACTCCGAGGCGCCCAAAATTGAGGCCAGATCTGAGATGCTTGTTGCGACAGGTGGTCGGACCTGGATCGGACCCGGACATCGCTCGCTCTCTTCCAAACTCCATTTGTAAGTTAGCTGCATTGCACTGATCCTACTACAGTAGGTACAAGAGAGGGTGCACAAGGCCTAACGGATGCAGAGTCCGGACTAGTTCTTTAGGTCAACGATAACCCCCTGACCGCCGTACGCAAGCGCAGCATTTACGCTGACCCGCCCGCATGGCAGTTCAGCACTCTCCTCGTGAAGAACAGCGCCATGCGACTCGTGTATATGGCCAAAGACATGCAGCCGGCACGGCCGTAGATCATCACTTGCTAACCGCCTAGCAAGGTCCTTGCAGCCAGCCGCAGTGCCTTTCCTGGTCTGGTTGAGGATGCCATACGGAGGGGTGTGCGTCAGCAAGATTTCCGTCTCCTCCGGTATCCGGGAGTAGATCTCCCCGCTTGCATTGTAGTCGTACTGAAACGCACCCCAGGAGTAACGGGGCGCAGCCTGTAGTGAATGTAGCACCATACGGCATACAGAGGTGGATTGAACTCACCGGTGACCCATACACTTTCCGAGTTCGACCTACCGGTGTTGTTATTTCTGTTGACTCGTATTCCAAGTAGTGCATTCCTGCATTACGCAATGCTTCGCTGCGTACTAGTCGTCGAGCAGCAATTGCGTCCTGTGTGTGCAGTCAACATTAGGAATCATGAGCCTGGTGCTTCACACACCTTTGTCCTGATAGCCCCTCCCGCTCTATTCGCCCAATACCCTCCTTCTTGCCAGTCCTCGTCTAGACACAGCTGAGCTAATGATCAACCTCAGAGCAGCAGGCACCACAGACATCACTCACGTCATGGTTTCCTGCAATCAGACTTCCCTGCGTCACATTAGAGCACGCTAACCAAATAACAGAACCGCCCTTACACCTTCACAGGATGCGGGAGGGTCTTCAGCCAGTCCAAGGTGACCTTGAGTCGCTTGAACGCTCCGCCGGCGCTCAGGTCACCCGCGTGTAGGAGCACATCGCCAGGTGGTACCTTATAGACATGGGAGTGGGTATCGGAGATGCATACAAAGCGTGTCCACGATGGTCCGGGATGAGGAGGCGGATCTTCGGAGTTGTACTTCACGTAGACGGTCGCTGACGATGAGGACATCGTCTGCTGTGTCATTGTAGGCCTGCTCCCGTTTCCGCACGAGCAAGTGTATGCGCTTTCAACCAGAGCCGCGGGAGAAAAGGTGTAACGCGTGTCTCTTGAAAGCAGAAGCCGTAGTGCGTAGCAGCAATGCAAGCTACAGTGATATGACAGCAAGAGGTCGTAGTACCAGACAGACTGATGGGCGCCTATTATTCGTGACGCCATAGCGTACTGTACTGGGCGCCTCTGGGTCCCGGGCCGTTCGGATCCGGACTGAGTACTGTCAGTGTCACGGTCATGCATTCTATGCATGCTTACACTGTATTTTTGACTGAGTTGAGTCGATTGCAATGAGCAGAGACGACTCTGTGCATCTACCGTGAAACCGATGCATATATGTGATGAGTTATCCACTACAGGTACCACAACCCCGCTAATGAACATGCTAGTCCTTCTTTCTGAACTCCAGGTATGACCAGAACGACGCATTATCCTTGGGACTCATCACGCCGATAATAGATAGAACGCGGTCCACCGCTTCTTCCGGAGTAAAAATTCTATGGTTCGTGAAAGTCTCCTCGAAGCGAACGAGTTGTCCCTCCACCTCCGCAAGGCGGCATCATCGCTAGTACGAACAGCCATGTCAGTGTAATTCATATGCCGTGTCGCTAGCTCACGCAAAACTCACGTTTCTCCGGGGTCGTCTTCGAGACATCGACAAGCCCGGGGTCAATGGCTACGACCGTGAATCCTTCTGGCTCGAGCAGCGCCGCATATTTGGTCATGACCAACTGCTCGGCACTCTTCGTGGCTCCGTACGCAGCCATGCTGTGGAGACGCAGCTTCCAGACAAACTCAGGTGTGCCGCCCTCGCTACCGATGATGGCGATCTTCTTTGTGGAGCCTTTCCGGAGGAGAGGAAGAAACGCATTAACGGCATGGATCGCACCCCGTACGTTGACTTTGAACTATGGCAGCGTTGATGTGAGCAGAGGGTTTGCGGAAAAGATAACGAGGGTCGAATGAGTGGTATAACTCATTGATTCTATGAACTCTGCGTCAAGCTTATCGTCGTCTTCGCTGCGTTGGATATCAGCGCTGACGCCCAGATGACAGAGGTGCAACCTACTAATTGGTGAGACCGCGGAAAATGTTTTCGCGCTCCGTTCGGGCAGCGTTGTGGATGAGGACGTCCAGCGAGCCGCCAGTCGTTTCCGCAGCATCCGCCGCAATAGCCTGAGCAGAATGAACACCCACTTAGTCGGTCTACAGAAGGAGGTCATTTGCGTGCTACCTTCATGGAGCTATGCTCGACGACGTCTGCCTCCAGGACATGGATGTTACCCGTTGTCAAACTTGCCACTAGCTCGTTAAGATAGGTCAAACCCGTTTTGTTTCGTACCGTCGCAAACACAATATTGTCTGCATTTGCGGCCTGAAGAGTTGCCGTAGTACTAGTCAGTACGGACCAAAACCCCTGTTGACTAGGCTAGGACCGACGCACCAGTTGCCGTACGAGCTCAAGCCCGATGTCTCGAGAGCCACCGATCACAACGTAAGAAGGCATCGCGGGACTTGTGGATGGCAGATCTTCCAGTTGCTTTGCGCAATGCAAGGTCTACGACTAGAGGAATCGTCTCTATTTAACAGAGGAATCCGGCTCTGGCAGACGCCGTATTCTCACGTCCTACTTGTCTGCCGACGCTACGCGCATACTTCGGTGGGACATGTGGGTTGGTGGTAGTAGCGCCTTCGTCGCGGCATGTAAGATTTGTACTGGAGCGGTAGAACCCCGCCCGAGGAATGTCAACTCACTCAAGTACTTGGTCAAGGGACTCGAAACGCGACGCACCAAGTGACAGCATCAAGGAGATGGTTGCAAATTAACCCAGAGGTGTCATTAACACAGTGCCAATTGAACTTCATGGGCAACTGGTCCGTATGTGAACTGATGAGGACCGAGTACTGCCGGCCATGCCGTTACTTTAGTCATCGCAAGTTGTTAGCTCCATTCCTGACACAAGTCTCGGTACGAGCAGGAATGACCACCCAGCGCTGCCAGTGACAGCCTAGCGCTCTGCGCCAATTCGAAGCATCATCTAAGTCGGAAAGTGACAAGTCCGAACGTCTCCAGGCCCCGGACGTACGGATATACGCACCCTGAGCCAGCCTGTTAGACGCGGGATGGCGCGTTACGGTGAACGGCTCGGTAGTAGTCTCCCCTGTGGCTTTCATACGACGAAGATAGATGTCGGAATCCTGTGGGGACCACCGCGATAGCATTGGTTTCAGTGCATCTGTTCCGGAGATGCGATGGACAGTATTGGCTCACAAGGTGCGAAGGTAAACGGTGCCGTGTCTCCGAAGTAGTGAAACATCAAGAATGTCGCGCTGCGTCACGTTAGGTCAGCTATACTCACGAGATATACAGTACTATCTGTACTCACACTGTGGCGGCCGTATACTTGGCAGGGGTGAGCGTACCGCGAGGCTAGCAAGAGCTTTCGGTGAGCAGTCGGGCAGACGAGCTTAGATACCATCACCAAGGAGTGTGTCAAGCGTTGGTGGTATATTAGAGGCTGACACCACTCACCAGTGCCATGCGGCAGCGTTATGAGACTATAAGCAGGATCATGGACGCCGCATGAGAGTCTGCACGCGATGAAGCCGTGGCATTACTTGACGATAACTGCTAGACCGAACAACAAGCGTATATCTCTGTGGAGGTACCCTCTCGAGCTTGAATTCGTACCGTTCTCTTCGTCCCGCTTGCATGGAGATCGGGCATGCCGCCGTTGAAAGGGAACCTAATGAATAAGATTGATGTACGCACTCGATACGTCTGATTCGGGAGTATACACCACTCGTGTGAGACTGTCCATAGATGGAAGCGGATACAAACCTATTAAGTTGCACGGCGCACATGTCGTCGCTGCACGACGTAGAATCCATCTGTGGTGAACTAGCGAGACGACCGACAGCTCGATGACTTGAGTGCGTCCTCAAGTGTGCAAGTACTGTTCGAGAAGTTTCATCAGCAGCAGACATATGGGGTCGCCTTGACTTGAAGTCGGGGCTGCAATAGTCCTCGGTGGTGTACGAGATCAGTTATGCAGTAGCCCATGTACATTCCGTCAGCCACTGAGCTATAGATGGTTGGTAGACACGCGGTGCCAGCATCGAGGGTGCTGTACAGTCGTGACTTGATTGTGACACGTCGCGTCGCGTCGGTGACCGGGATGGTCCGGCTCAGCCACTCCGTCGGGTGTGGCCCTTTTGTGGCCCCCTTGGAATGGCAACTTCAGTGGCCTGTCCCGGTCCCAGCGCATGATGCCCGTCTGGATGTTGCGTACCCTGGCGAGCCCTGCCCTGGCTTTGGATTCGTGTCTTGGTTGCCTCGCCTCACATAGAACACCGCCCCGCAGCGCTGATCAGTACCCGTATTGTGTCACTCGCGCTTGGGCTGATTGACCATCCACGAACCATATGCAGTCGGGATGCTTGGACAACACTCGAACGCGGCTGGGAGTTAAGGTATGCAGATATCTGTACAATGTCAAAATCGTGAAATAACCAGGCAGACATCAAAAAGGACACCGATGACTTTCCAGGAGCCATGGCGATCTACCCGCTCGCACATCATGGAACGAGGAATCCACCAGCACAGAAGTAGCGTTGATTCGTTGGTCACCGGGATGCTGGATCCCCATAGCCGCCCTGGCGAGTCCATGGTCCGGTTTTCCTTCCATTGTGCACACCTACTCCTCCACGGACATTGCATCGACCCTTGTGCCGTCCCGGACCGTTCGTTCACTGAAGCCTGTCGATCGTGGACTTGCAACGCTCATGGTGGTTGATCAGAGACGCCGCTTGGGCTCGTAGCCGCATCGTCATCGGATGGCGACGCTGGGCCCGAGGACTCGTCGGAGCTCGCTACGACCTCTTCGACGAACGCTGCCCATGCTACGCCCTTCAGCGCCTCGTCTACCGAGTCGCGTAGGAATTCGTCGTCCAGTTCAATATCGTGCTGGGTCGCGAACCACGGATGAGCTGGGATCTGGATATCGAACCAAATTGCATTGCACTCGCCTTTTCAGCTTCAAGCACGGCATCGCACTTGCGATTCGTCGACTCGGTGCCATTGTTCCAAATGGCAGCCTGTTTCATCGTATGTATGTGAGCATCATTCATCGAGTCGAAAAGGACTCACAATTTGGCGCAGGGTCATACGTCTATCATTTGCAGCCCTGTTCGGGCGCTTTCGTCCCATGAAGCAGGCCGTGGGGATAAGCAACCTCCCCATCGATGTGGACGCGACGTGAAACCATCCTGAGCCTAGTACGCCACACCGCAGGTAAGCACAAGTCAATTTACGAACGACGTTGTGCTTTGGCTTACTCTGTGGCCTTCGCCGGCCGTCAACTGACTTGTTCTTGTAGCTCGCGCCTGAATCGCGAGCTGTCACGATGATGCTGTGCCATGCGCTCGCGCAAATCGAGCGTACCTCGTATTTATTTTGCCCTGCGGCCACGGAGGATACCGAGATTGCGGTCCTCCTCGTTCCATGCCTAGGGTCCCTCGATCAGGCCTCGATCCTCGAGGCATGCGTGTCTTGCCATACTTCAGGACCGTCGCGTACTAGACGATCGCAGTGAACGATCGTTCTCCAGGTAAGTCGACTAATCGGACACTACGCTCGTTTGTAGTCTTGCATGTCGCTCATTATTGCTATCTAGGTCTGTTGACACTATATGGTGCCTTGATAGAATGGGCGAACAGGCAGCGAGGGTGAGGAAGTAGGAAGACGACTAACAAGAGCAGGCCACGGACGAGCGCTCCTTTGTTGAACTGGCGCTTACGCGGTTGTGGCTTAGCTGCTGCATAACTTATCTGTGTGGCGGCGCGTGATGCCGGCATACCACCCCGGACCTTTTAGTGCTGGATCCAAGTCGGGGTCGGTGGGTCGTGGATGTGACAAAGGACGGGGTGGAAAATGATGCTACTCGCAGGGAATTGCACCCCACTGCATGTCGAAGTGCAGGTCCAAGCGGCAAGAGTCTCGACTATGCAACTCGCGCGATGCGGATGCGTGGAATACTTCAAAGAGAGCGGCCAACTCGAGCGAAATCCTCGTTTCAATCACTATAAGACGTGTGCTCTATGCGTACATTCAACATCCTTATTCAACCTGCATTGTCCATTGTCAATCACCGTCAATCCCGGAGTCGCTTGCCCCCATAATCTCGGACCGGTATACGACTCGGACGCGCTCGGCCCTGGCTTTGCGTCCCTGGAAGATTGCGTTTACGGTATCCATACACTCGGGCTCGCAATTGATGCTGAGAGCGTTGTCGAACGTCTACGCGGCCAGACGCGATGTCCCCAGACCAGGATGCTGCGAAAGAACGATTAGCAAATCTAGTCATCCACGATCCGGGCATGTCGACATACCTCGGCTTTGGTCATCTCAGCCACGTAGTCTCCGCGCGGGAGTCCAGACATCGGAGTCAATGTCGCCGGCGACTGCCAGGATTGCGGGGAACTGAGCAGCGACGTTGACGAGGCCGGACTCGGGTTTGGAGTAGACGTCGCCTGGGTCGACCGACTCATGGCCAGACTAGGTACACGGTCCGCCGGATGTTTTGCGAAGGCGGTACGAACAACTGCGGTCCCTTGGGAGTCGCATTGGTCAACAAGGCTCCATCTGCGCATCTTCAGCTGCGGCAGCTAGTACGCGATCCTGCGCGTCGCGCAGGAATACCACGTCGTCCGTCGCCTCGCTCGCGATGTAGCGCGCGATAGCTAGTCTCTCGAACCGTCTGAACAGGTCCCTCCTATTCTTGGGATCGCTTGGCTGTCGGAAGCTGCGTAGTTTCGCCATGCAGATTCTGCGTCGATCGCTGCTTCCGTCGGCTCTACCATCGATACTGCCCAACGTCTTCTACGGCCGGTCAGATTGCAGTTCAATGATTTTCAACAGCAAAGACATACGGGTATGGGCCTTCGATGCGTCGGCTGAGGTGGTAACTAGATGCCAGGGCAACCTGCGTCGATAGATTCGGTGGCCACGTCGTGTACTGCACCGTGTCCTCTGTCTGCATCCAAGGTGAGCACAAATCATTGAGCAGTCATTATCGTTCTCTAACCTGATGGCCTTGATCGACTGCTCTTTGTTTATGTTTGCAAGGCGGACGCCACTTGGTGCACTTCCCACTCATTGTCCAGGATTGCCGCAAAGGTCGCCCTCCCCTCACGCTCAGGCGTCGGATGTGCGAAGACGAGCGGCCTGCACTCCAGGTAACGCGGCTTAGGCTTCCTCGACAGTTCGCGTACTATGTCTTCCGCGGTGGCATAGCGGTTGTCCGCGAGGAAGAGATCAAACGAGAACTTGAACATAACAACGTCTAGAATGCAAGTTCAAGGTCTCGCATCGCGAGTGTCGGTGCGTGACGCATGCTTACATTGACTTTGACCGATAATGACACCTTTCGTGTGTTAAGATCTCCAACGATAAAGGCAGGCGATGGAGGACAAGACAAAGAGTGAGCGGTGATTATTAGGCGCCGTGTCATGCCATGGGCGTCTATGCCGGAGTGGCTGCACTTTGCGACGGGTTCAAGGGAGACAATCCATACATCAAATGCTCTGTGTTCTGAAGTGAAATTTTGTACAGCAGGATACACTGCGAGGGGAGATTTTCTAATTGATCACTATCACAAGACGGCCTCCCACTTCGATACGCTCAAACGATGATCGCTCCCGGTACTCAACGCCAGAGAAGCCCGGATGCTCGCCCCATCACCCCTATGTGGTCGCTACAAAGACCATTTTTCGTCGTCAGCGACCCCTATCAGCAAGCTGGCAGTATATCAGCGCACCTGTCTCGCTTCCGACATGTCTTCCTGGGTATCTCACTGGCACTGTGGACGCGGGGTCGACGTCGCCAGTGGTGTCCACTCCTCCTCAGGAGTCAGCAACGTTGAACAGGACCCCGGGCTTGGGAGCGGCGTCGAAATCGCCTGGGGTACCCAATCCTCCAACGGAGTTTGAGTGCGCTGTGGCACGTATGCCCCAGCGACAATCGCACTTCCAACATCCGCACCTCGGGCACCGCCAGCGTCGTCAGCGTTGACCAGTTGTGCATGGCTGGTCGTCACCCTGCGGAAGATGTCCATCATGTCTACAGTCGCGGCTGCAAGTTCCTCTGCGACGGTGAGTTCTTCGGAGTGGCTAGGCGACAGTCCCTTGAGCCCCCAAATGTTGCGTCCGTATATCTGCTGAACGAGCTGGGGAACCCCGTGCCCTTGCACGACAGACTGGCTGCCATATGGTGCGTCGTCGTTTCTCATAATACCGAGGTCTGTGCAGACATCAGTGCCTCCGTGACATATAAGGGTCCAGAAGCTTACCGATGGCGAGGCAAGTCGTCCTCCGTTCCTCATGTCCGTGCTCTGCGCTGGCAAAACTGGGGCGTCGTGGAGATTGTTCCACCTATTGAACAAGTAAGGTGAGCACAACACATCAGCTGTTTGTCGAGTCCTCTTACCGGATGCCCACGACTGGCTGCTGTCTGTTTTGCTCGCAGGCATTACGTCCTCCTGCTGTATGTCCCAATCCCCATCCAGGATTGCCGCAACCCTTCTCTCCCGTCGACGTGAGGACGCCACGGCTTCGGTTGCGCAATGTAGCCGGCCTGCACTCCAGGTATCGTGGCTTTGGCTTCCGCGAGAGTTCTCTGACGACGTCTACCATGATGTACCGTTGGGATGATCTGCGAGGAATAGACGAAGAGAGAACATGTCTGCTGATGAGGTATGCGATGCTGGCGATCGAATGTATGGTGGCTTCGACGTTGCTGACGACGGCAGACTAGATGGCTGGATGATTTGCGATGTGCGCGAGTGGCAGACGAAGAGAAATACCGTAGCGACGGTAGAGACAAAGGCAGGATAAGCGCCCTGTTCGTGCAAACGGCGTCTATATATGCGGCGACGGCAGACTGACTGGAATCAGCAGCGGGCCCTACAGATGGACAGATAAGTAATATCATTGGCACGGACAGCTCGATACTCTAAGTCTGTGTATATTTTACAGTCCAGGCAATACACGATTTTATGCAATTATCAATGGTACCAACCATGACGAGAAAGTGCATCTATCGGTCACAAAATCAAGTGTGGTGACCGTCAAAAGGGCGTAAACCAACAGGTGCTGAGAGTGCGCATAATCTCGTCCCCTTTTTGAGCACCCAAGAACTTACATATACTGTATTAGACGGCATCCGTCATACGATTCGTGTATGACAAGGACGAGGCGAAGTTGAAGTGTCCATTGTCCGCCCAATGCTCCTCTCTTGCGACGTATGAAAGCTTGACAATTCTCTATTTCTCACAAGCCCGATGAACACACTTCCCCTTGCCACTTGCCCGTCATGAGGTTGCCGCGGTCGCCGATCCAGTCCTCGGATTTGCGATGCAACGCGACGTCGCCATTCAGTAACTAGAGAACGAGTATACATCAAGTAATCCAGCACCCAGTACACTGCAACACAGGGTCCAATCGAACCCGGTGCGTTCTCGCCGCATCGCATGTTACCATTGTCCCACTAACGATCAGTTGCACCGCCCTCCAAACAGGCAGATCGCTGCAGAATGACTGGGACGCCGTTTGGCTTCCATTGTGCGCAACTGTCTCCGTCATGTTGATCGACGCGCCATTGCTTTCTGTGGTACTTCTCCCTCTCCTTCCGACTTGGGTCTTCTCTCGGCCTTCGACCCGGCGATGTAGAATGGAGAACCGAGAGCACGGCGTCCAGGCTCTCCGGTGGAAACAATAGTGGCGGTGTCCATCTTGGCAGGGACGGGAGCACAGGGTACGTTAGCAAGTCTTTCGGTGCGCATGTCGCCCTCCGAAGCGCTTGTGGTTATCTGGTTCGTCGACGGACGTGTCGCTCACGAACTACGCGTCTTCACGTCCGTGCAATCCGTGCAAGTTACCTGTGTCAGCTCTTGCGGGTTGTCGGGCTCGGAGCCATCGATGTGGTCGGAGGTTGCGTACGTAGATGGGCTGGCTGGCGAGCATGGCCGCCGGGACGGACGTGAGGTGGCTCTCGAAGTGCCGGTGCAGCCTACATACGTTGCATGGATATTCTCGACTGTGTTTCATTACCTAAGGAGACATACCATATAGTGATGACCAATTGCGCAGCAATGAGCCCTTCGGGTGGTTCCACGCATCGACTGGCGTCTCGGAAGCCATGATTGACTATGGCCGGCCTCAGCATCGCTGAGGTATATTTGCCGTTGCGCCGTATATTCGATGGGTGGGTGCTACGGGATGATGTGAGTGAATATATAGCAGAACATCACGCAGAGGCTGACCCTGTGATACAGATACTGCAAATTGCTTCGAGCATCCAAGTATCTATGCACCTGTCCTCGGCCGCCATCTACCCCTTGGCCGGTCGCCCAGAATATTGACTGATTTGGTTGTGTGGGAACCGTACAGAGGAGTGGGCCTTTCGCCCAGCGACTGTCGTCGTCCTGGTTGTGGCAACGCCACCAGAACTAGGTAAGCACGAAACAAGTGACGGGTTCGTATCAGTTGACTTACAAGATAATCGATTGTTACCGTCTCTTGTTTTGTGTTTGCAAGACGTACCCCACCTCGCCACAGCTCCCACTCATAGTCGAGTATGGTGGCGAAGCTCTCGCGGCCCTTGGATGGTACTGGCTCGGCAAATAACAGCGGCTGGCAGCGTTTTGGGCCGCGGCATGCCTGCCTAATCTCGTTGAGCAGGTCCTCCGCGGTGGTACCTCGGCACTCTTGCGAGTACCGACGTGTTTCGGGCAGTTTCAACATCATTGCATCGCTGTGGCACAAGTCAACTGGCCGGCTCACGTGAATGGAGGGCAGGATCGATTCACGTACGTTTGTCTGACCAGTGATATGTGATCCATGCTTGACAATTTTCACCTCTCCAGTACAGGGTTGTACGATGACGGGGCTATATCGTGGGATGTGAACAAGAGAGTGAGCTCAAGGCCTCGTGTTTCCTTTGTGGCAGGCGCTTACGCGCTAGTGGCTGAAGCTCGACGCGTCGGCGAACGCCGGTCCGAGTCGACTCGTTCGCATACGCCTCGATGCGTTCTCGAGCGAGCGCGCACGGCTGTACTTGTGCTGAATGAAGTGCAGATATGGCCTTACTTCGAGCCAGTGTCAATGCGGCGCTCAAGCCCTGTGAAGCGTGCTAGGATTATCGCTCTTCGCAAGCGGCTAAGGTAACTGACAGTCCGAGGAATAAGTCAAATAGAAGATACAAGAGCTCTAGTTGTGCGCCCAAATTGGCCGACCTCAATAACGTCCCCGGGGCACGCTACGTCCCACCCTGTCTTTTATCGTCAGTCAGATGACGGCCCGCTCCCTAGCCTCCCAAAACCACTCCAGGCTTGCATTGTCTCGCTTTCGATGCAAGTGGGCTGCGCGTCACCGAATTCCTTCGCTTTCGTCCGATCGCCCGAAGATCCTTTGGACGAGCTCACGCTGATAGCGGGACTGTCGGTAGCCTATTCTCTCTTCCCTTCGTTGACCAACCGCAGCCAATCAACTATGACAGACTGACTGCGATACCCGAGGTCATTGTCTGCCTTTAATCCCGCTATGTCGCCTTGTCCCAACCAACCCTTGACGTTTCCTCGATCTGTCTGCTCCGGATCGCCTCGAGTTGGCAGGTGAGCTCGGCGTCGTTGCTATGATGCATCGTCGACTCGGAAGAGGCGACTTCACTGTCTGATGCGACAGGAGACTGGTCGCTTGTGACGGTTGGTACTCTGCAGCGTGAAGCACCTGGTGAATCCTTCGCCACAGAGATGTTGCTCTCATCCGTTAAGTACCAGCTATCGAGCTTGTTGATGGTGTCCTGCAGAGATTCGTGGGTACTCCAAGCACTTCCGTGACCACTAGTGCATTCCCAAGATCCCTCGGTGTGTGTCGTTTCTGGTCCTTGTAGCGTGGTATAATTGACGATCGCAGATAAAGGCTCAGTCGACATGACCTCCACCACTTCGTTGTATGTGGTTGATGGCCCGCCTATCGTGCGTGGCAACTCTCGCCTGAATGGCTCGATGCTGAAGGCGCCTGTTATAGACGCATAGGGTCTCTTGTAAGTGAGACCAATGTGTGGGCTTGCCAACCAGTAGGAGCTCAAGGAAACACCGAGAGGGTAGTTCCTTGTCGCTGTTTCCATCTGACGAGTATGCTGAGCACTATTTATCGTCAATGTCAAGTCCCATACGCTCACTATTGCTGTAGCCTCGGCAGCGTCCTTGGGTACTACATCCCAGGATCCCCTCAGGATCGCGTTGCAGCCTCCCAGAGCTGGGAGTGGCTGTGGCGAGTAGACACATGGCGTGAGGTACTCTGTGTTGTCGAGCTTCCCAGCCTCCTTCAGCAGTGACCGCGGTGAGCACACACTTGATTATGGACCCAAAGATGAGTTGACTTACAAGGTGGCCGTCTTCTTCTATATTCATTTGTGTTCTCAGGCGAGTGGCCAAGTTTTCCCTGGCTTCCTGCTCCATAGCCTCGGCGGTGGCGACATACGGTGGTGGCGAGGCTGCGCTTGGCAGGGGTGGGTGATTGGCAAGTGGACCCATTGCAGTGACATTCAACGTGACGTTCATTACGAGACCGAACCTGTCGACGGTAAGAACTTGAATCGAGCTCTGGTTGAAGACGTTCACTCGGTTGACACTCGCGTTTGGATGTCGGACCAGAATGTAGGGTGGTGGTATGTGGGGAGCGGACACGACGAACTTCGGTGAGTGGCAAGATCAACGTCTGGTGGCAGGTTAAGCGCTCAAAGCCACGCGCCTCGAGTGGCAACTATGCATTGTGCATTGAGCTCTTTCCGTTATTCCTGTCAGTGCGGTGCGAAGACCGAACAAAAGAAACCCAGTATGGAAGCACCTTTCACTGTCTTGTTGAGGCTTGACTGACAGCACGCAAATGAGGTACTGTCTAAACGCCGTCAGATGGTCCCTCAGCACGTCCGAGTCCAAGTCGTAGTGGTATCATCAATGGCGATACTCGGGCATCACTGAATCCATTCGGGCGACTTGTGTACCAGGGCGGGACATCCTGGAGGAAAGATACAAGTGCGATTATATACTGTTCTGGGCTCTTCAGGTCGTTCAGCGACTCACAGTGCTGTCAATAGCTCATGCACGCGATGCACGCGGGCGGGGAAACTCGCAATGTTTCAATGCAGTGAATGATCATGAATGCGCGGGAACCCGATGTGTATGTTCCACGCTGCGATTGACTTGAATTCTAAGTTTGTACTTTCAATGCCCTTGTCGGAACGTTCAGCAGTCCTGAAATTGCACCCATCTCACACCAATCGGATTACTTCTTACGCGACCTTTGTAGGCCGGGGCGAGTCTTTCTGCGACACGGCATGAAATCATGGCACGATGCACCTTGCCGCAGCGACATGCAGACGTACAATCACACAGGCTTAGTTCTCAGTTTCAGAGTGAGTGCTGACTAGGCGTGCATCATCCATCAACCACCCAAGGATTGACGAAGTGCGCGCCCGGGATGCAATTCTGCTTACTGGGGAGACACAAGAGCCCTGGCGAGCAGAGTGATTCCCAACGGGACGCACGCAGTGTACATCGTAGTCGAATCGCTCAACGCAGCTTCATATATCCTGTACGTAGGAACTGGCTAGTAATAGAAAACTCGGATCATAGGAATGGACATGGACAATGAGCCGTCGTAGCAAGCACTGCGAGGTCTCAAAAGGCTTTCGTTGTCGGAAATGGAGCAGACGGTTGAAATCCCTTGTCGCCTGACGTACCGGGCAACTCATGAGCATACCCGGTCCAGGCTCCCACCCCATTAATGCAGAATTCTGCTTTCCTCCCACAAGGGATGCTGCATACGACGAGTATCGCGACCTATTATACTTGCGTGATTTGGTTCTGCGCGCGCAGTGCGCGACGTCGTCCACGCGAGCTACCATACGCTGGCTTCCGACAATTGATTTGCTACGCAGCGCACCTACGTATACGTATCGTGAATTCGAGGTCGCTGATTTCAGGCCTTCGAGGCGAAGTCACGTCTGTGCTCTGGATCTCGAGACGCAGTGTGTGAGTTTCTCGATAGCGAGCGCGGCATTCTGTGGCATCGGATCACAGCATAGGATGATTAATATTCGTCGAGTCGACGACAGTGATGCTGCACCAGCGCATAAATCAAGCATAGATGCGTGTCGGCCACCAATATGTGCATGATGTTTGGTAGACATGCGGCCCAGGTGCTGTACAGTCGTGACGCATCGCATCGGTGGCGGGACGGTCCGGCTCAGCCACTGAGCCGCTGGATCAACCTGGATCAACAGTCGGGTGTGGCCCGACTCGGAGTGGCACAGGCGACCTCAGTGGCCTGTCCCAAGGCCTGTCCTGTACGATGCCCATCTCCACGCTGCGTTCCTTCGCGAGCCCCGCTCAAGCCCTGGTGTTGGTACTTCATCGCCCTGAATGTTATTGAACACCGCTCTCGCTGCCCTTGCGACGCTGACCAACGCTCGTCACGCCCGGCCACCGAATCACTCACCCCCGGGGACTGATTTACCATCCACGAACGATGCGCGATTGGGACTCTTGGATAACATTCGAGCGCAGTTCGGAGTCATGGTATGCAGATGATCTATGCAGTGTGAAAAGCGGTGAAATAACAATGTAGACGGTTCAACAGACAATTGTCTCCCCAAGGGCCATGTCGATCGACCCGTTCGCGCACCATGAAACGAGCAAGCTCCCACCCGCCCAGAGCCCTGTAGCATTGGGTCGTTTGTCGCCGCGATGCTGGTCCCTCCATAGCTACTCCGGATCCAGGACCATTCTCTCCCATCGTTGTGTACACCTCTCCCTCTCCGTCGCCGTGACCGCAGCCAGCCTCGAGCCGTCCCACCGGATCCGCCCCACGCGGCCTGGCGACGCAGTACTCGAGGAGAAAACTCAGAGACGCGCCTTAAGCCCACAGGCCGCATTGCCATCGGATGGCGACGCCGGGCCCGAGGACGCCTTGGAGCTCGATGCGACCTCTTCAGCGAGCGCCGCCCATGCTATACCGCCCAATGTTTGGTCCATAGCAACGCGTAGGAGCTCCTCGTCCAACGGGACGTCGTGCTGGATGGTGATGCGAGATGGGCTAAGATCTGGCTTTCGGGAGATGGCGCACTCGCCTCTTCAACTTCAAGCACGGCCTCGGATTTTGGATTCACCGGCTCGAAGCTGGCGGCAGCCTGTTTCATGGTATGTAGACGACTGATGGACTCGTCGGGGTAGAGGGACTCACCATTTGACAGTCGCCCGATAATCCGACATTCGCACCCATCTGCAAACCGCTTCTGTCCCATGAAGCAGGCGGCGGTGCCAAATAACCTCTCCATCGATGTAGGCGCGATGCGAAGCCGTCCTGAGCCTACGCCACATTACAGGTAAGCACAAGTTGATTTACGAACGATGCGGTGCTCTGACTTACCAAATGCCCATCGCCGCCCGTAAATGCATTTGTGCTTATAGCTGACATCCTGTATGGCGAGCTGTCAAATGAATGCCGGACCTGATACTCATACAAGATGAACCCACCTCATATTCAGTCCGTCCTGTGGCGATTGAGGATATTGAGGATGCAATCCTCCTCGTTCGATGCGAAGAGTCCCTCGACCAGGCTTCAAGCCTTGAGGAGGTACGCGTATCTTGCCGTACGTCGGGCCTGTCGCGTACTAGACAATCGCAATTGAACGATCGCGTCGTCGGGTAAGTCGACTAATCAGACACTCACGGTCTGTCTATAGTCTTGCATGTTATTGATCTATGTTCTCTAGGTCTGTTGACGCGTATGTGATGCCTTGATAGGTATGAGCGAACAGGCAGCAGGAGCGAGGAAGTGGGAAGACGACTACAAGAACGAGGCCACGGGCGAGTGCCGCCTTTGTTGAACTGGCGCTTACGCGGTTGTGGCTTAGCTGCTGCATAACTTATCTGTGTGGCGGCGCGTGATGCCGGCATACCGCCTCGGACCCTATAGTGTTAGGGGCAGCCCGCTCCTATTGGGTTCGGCGAGGAGGATAGGTGAATGACGAATGCCAGGGGCGGGGGATTGCTCGTGCACGATGACTGCAAGTCAGAGTATACAAGAGAAAGCTATGGGACAATTCGCCGTGTGCGGAGGGACACGCTCGTTGCGAGGAGAAACACTCATCCGTTCGTGTGCATACGTCCTGCCTTGAAGTCTTTGAGGAGACGGGGCTTCAAAGACCGATGCTGCGCCACGACTATTGTGTCAAGATACTGGGGAACCAATCTACGTATACAATGGGACCACATCCGGCTTGCTTTATGAACAGCCCGCTCTAAACCACCATTCGGTCCCCTCCTCCGCTCTCCCCTTGATGCGGAAGCGACGTATCCCCTGCGCAAAAGGATGGTGCCGCTCCCTGGTCTCGAGCTTCTCCCCGTCGCCTTCAAAAATCGCCACTGCCTGCAGACGTGAGCCGACAAGGAAGACGAGAGTGCAACATAGAACACGGACTTCACGCTCTCACACCCGCGTATGTTTGCGATTCAACGGCGAGCTGCGGTCGGTATGGTTGTCAGCCTGTTAACAACGCAAGTCAAGCGCACAGCCTTACCTGGACCCCCGTCTTCTCGTAACCAACTCTACCGCTCCCTCGAAGAGTCAACGGCGACCTGTCCAATGCGGGACTGAGGAGCGTCGACGACGACGTAGGACTCGGGCGGGGAGTGGATGTCGCTTGTGGCATCCAGTCGTCGATCGGACTGGACGGCCGGTTGGACAGGCCTGTACCCTCCAGTTCTTTAGGGGCACTGTTTGCATTCGAAGACCTTTCTGTGCACGCATCCTGCTCTGCGGCGGCCAAGACGATGTTCATCATCTCTCGCAAGAAATGGCCTTCGACTTCGTGTGCACGCACGCGGGCGACGACAAGATCCCGTACTGGACCGAATGCCCGTGCCCTCTCCTCGCAATGATTTGCGCCCGGGTGGACTTGTTCCTTCCGGTCGGGAGCCCTGTGGGTCTGTCCGGAAGCTATGTAGCCGTGGCCTGGGTATACCTCGTTACAGATACCCCCCAACTATGCAAACCGAGTAGTTCAGAACAAGACTACATCCAGTACTTAGCATGACATACGCGATCGGCGGGCCCATACTCATTGCGCGGTGCGTTTTGCGACGACTGCCCGTGTGGCGTCGGCAGCACTGGCGGCCACGTAGTGTAGACCACGCCACTCTCCTTGGTCTCAGGTGAGCACAAATCCATCAACGGTTCACCGTCGCCCTTCACTCACCGGATGGCCCTCGACAACCGTTTTTGCTTTTGTGCTTGCAGGTATGACCCGACCCTCGTGTAGATCCCAGTCGTTTTCCAGGATCGTCGCAAATCTCGTTCCTTCCGGGTACTCGGGCGTTGGCTGTGCGAAGATCAACGGTCTACATTCCAAGTAACGCTTCGGCTTCCTTGTCATCTCTCTGACTATGTCAGCTGCGGAGGCGTAGGGGGTGTCTGCGAGGAATAGTCGAAACGAGAACATCGTCAAGACTGGAACAGCGACTTCAATCTCGTGTCGAGCGCGCAGGTATGTGTTCTGCGAGAGCTTACGCGTGTAGCTGTTGAAATCGAGGTGATAGGTGCTGCTGAAGTCCTCAAGTCGGGGAGGATCTTCGACGATGAGCGATTGAAGATGAAAGGCGAGACGCAAGTACGCGCCCAGGTCGGGCGCCTTTATGCGACCAGCGTCTATGCCAAGGCTCTGCGTGTACCGGTCGAGCCGCACTGTATGATGCTGGCGCGGACGACTAATGCGATTGACCTCTGCGCTATACGGACACCACGAACGATGCCATACAATCACCATTATTGACACAGGACGACGATTCAATCTGATACAGAACTCGACTACTTTCAACTTCCATATCCTACGCGTGCAGGCCCCCTAACCCGAAGTCTTGCCTCATACCACCAGTTCCACGTTTTCAAATTGAGAAGCGATTTTCCGCACTCAACATCCCACGCGCGGACTCCCGCGGCCAACTGCACACAACATCCTCGGTCACCATGCATAATGGAAAGTTGACAGCACATCGACGTACCTCCTACTCCATTAGATCTCCCTTTCACTCTTTTCGGTCAATGCTACTAGCGGCATCAAGTTATCCGCGGGACTGAGCAATGTCGCCGAGGACCCTGGGCTCAGACGCGGAGTGGAGGTCGCCTGGGGCGCCCATTCCTCCCAAGGCGTCGAGGCCCGGTCTGCATCTGCCTGCACAGGCGGTGCGATGGGCGCGCTCTCTCTGGGACCGCCAATCGACGCTGCAACCCTCTCCAGCTCGGTATCCTGAGCGGCGGCGGCGAGAGTAAGATTCGTGATCTCCCGAAGGAGTAACTCCCCATCTCCCTCCTCCTGCGCCAGCATACGTGCTGTGACAAGTTTGTCAACCACACGGAAAGCCTGCTTCCGCTGGCTGGATTGCTGTTTCCCCGGCTGAGCTGCCCCCACATCTCGTGTGGTAGCTGGCTGGTCATTTTGCAGCGTAGGGTCCACATGGCTGAATGTCTGCAAAGGGGACTCAGTCACCCAGCTCGCAGCGTCTGGCGACAATCACGGAGTACGTACCGGTACATTGGGTAGGTATTGTGACACCGACATCTTCCCCGAGTGTTCGTCGGTCTGGGTCAACATCGGAGGCCATGTCGTGTAGACTATCTCCTTTATGTGCACATCTCAGGTGAGCACAGACTACATAGCAGCTCATTGAAGTCCTCTTACCGGATGGTCTTGGTTGACCGCTCTGTATTCTGTGTTTGCAGCCCGCACGCCACTGTTGTACGCGTCCCATTCACCATCAAGGATCGCCGCGAACTTTGCCCGCTCCTCGAGTTGAGTATGGCAAGGCGTCGGCTGCGCGAAGGTAGCTGGTATGCATTTGAGATAGCGAGGCTTGGGTTTCCTCGACATTTCTCTGATTACGTCTACCATCGACGTGCCGTTGGGATGGTCGGCCTGGAAGAGTCGCATCGAGAACATCGTTGCGATCGGAGCAAGAGGTACGTGATGACTTCGATCGGATGTGCGTTGCCTCTAACGTTGTCGTATCCAGTCGGTGTCGACTGGTGATGAGTGACAAGAGTAAGTAGCAGATGGGAGAGACGACGGAGAGACAAAGGCAAGAATAGGCGCCTGGTTTGTGCAGTCGGCGTCTAAGTTTCAGTGGCGAAAACTGACTTTACCACACAGGTTGATGTTGGCGGGCTGTCCCATTGACCGAGAATACATGATTCAATCGGAGTCGCTAAGCTGATAAATCACCAATCTTGAGGAAGGATATATGTGAAAGCACTTTCCACCACATTGACGCTGCAATAATCATGGAAAATCAGGTACATGCGAGCCGTCCAGGAGTGCACAATCCGAACACTTCTGATCTCCGTTCTCTATGTGTATATATACAGGTTCGCCACGTATGCCAACTTCTCGCCTCTGACATCCAACACATACAGATACGCAGACCTGCCCGATGCCCCGACAAAGGAGTGTATACCACCGAGTGCACATCTGCCTCCGCGGCGTGCATGTCCACAGTCAAACTACTCAAGGGACCGTCGTCAGCACGATGTGTCTGGGGGTAGGCGGTGGATCAACGCACCTATTCCACCCCATCCGTTTTCCACGGGTTGAATTGGTAGTCGGGTCGAGGCGTCGATGTCGCCAGTGGTTCCCATACCTGCACCGGACTCAGCAGCGTCGTCGAGGATGCAGGGCTCAACTGCGGGGCAGACGACGCCTGCACCCGTCCCTCCCGCGATGGCTGGTGTCGCTCCGGTGCGACTGCCTTCGTTTGCGCAGCGGGTGCGTGCGCCTGGTATTTAGCAGTCAACTTGTCGCGCCGTTCTTCAATAACGTCCTGCGCGGCGCTAGCGAGGGTGAGATCCGTGATCTCTCGAAGGATTAAGTCACCTTCGCCTGCCTCTTGCGCAAGCAGCCGTCGAGTCAGAAGTCTTTCGAATCTGTGGAAGGCATGTTTCCGTTGATCATCTTGCTGCCGCGCCAGCTGAGTAGCCTCATTGTTCTCCCCAATAGCTGGTTGGGCTTTCACCGACCCTGTCGTGAACGTTGGGTCCAAACAGCCCGCAATCTGTGACCACATGCAGTTAGCAACCTTTTGGTGAAGAACATGGAGCACATACGGGTGCGTTGGCCAAGCTCTGTGACTCCGTAAACTCTCCCGAATGATTGTTAATCTGGGACGAGAGCTTAGGTGGCCAAGTGGTGTAGACAACGTCCTTTATGGGCATGCCACAGGTGAGCACAGATCACGTAGCATTTTATGATCGTCTTCTTACGGGATGCCCTTTGTTGACTGCTACGTTATATGTGTTTGCAGCGACGGTTTCCTCGCTACACGCTGCCCATTCACCATCAAGGATCGCTGCGAACTTTGCCCGCCCCTCCAGACGAGGGTTGCGTGGTGTTGGCTGAGCGAACGTGGCCGGTCTGCACTCTAGATAACGAGGCTTAGGCTTCCTCGCTAATTCTCTGACCATGTCGACCATCGATGTCCCGTTGGGATGGTCGGCCTGGAAAAGTCGAATTGAGAACATCGGTATGACTAGAGCAAGAGGTATGTGATGGTAGTGATCGGGTGTGTGTTGCCTTTGATGTGGTTCTGTGCAGTCGATGTCGACTGCTGGAGATCAGCGATGAGTGCGTGTGGCGGATGGATGGAAAGTGGACACGACAGGCGAAGAACAAAGGCAATGATAAGCGCCCGTTCTGTGCAGTTGGCGTCTAAGTAACTTACCAGTGGCGAAGGCTGAATTTACCTCACAGATTTCCACTTATCAGTTGCCTGTGACAACGAACGGTACAATGCAACTGGTTTCGACTTGACGAACCACCGAGAGGTACGGAGGGTTGGCTCAATTGCATGATTGGAGGTTATGTTACTGACCGTGACTCCAGTCACCAGCAACAAACAAGTATGCATGCTCTATGCAGGGTGAAGTCGGAGGTTTATCGCTCAATATCCTTGCTCTCATTTGAATGGACTCAGTTCGAGAGCGATACCGCTCGACGGTCGGCTTTGAGCAACCCTGACAGGAGACGCCGCACTCATGTTACGACTGCATCTCCTCCCGTCAGGGCTTCTCTCAGGTTGTACAGAGCACTGGTAGGTATTTTACCATCCAGACTTCTACCACAATGTCCTTCCGCGTCAAGAAGCGGAAAAATGGTATGCCCATAATACATGTCTCGTAGATTCTACAGTGCAGCCGATACTTTCCTACCAAGATGACTTGCAAAGCTCTCGAACAACCCTCTGTCACGGCCCTTCGCCCAGTGACACTGTAGTATTGCGCCAACTGTCGCGTCCTTTCCCCCATTCTCCCCGAGGCTGACTTGCTCGGGAGTGACGCCAGAGACGCGACACACGAGGGCATTACTGGGTTCATCGTCCACTTGCATACTTGTCTCGCGCATCTTGCGTCTTCTCGCCGTTCTGGACCACGTATCGCGTGCTGCCGTCACCAACGTGTCCGCGCCCGGAAACGTATGTTCAGCACCGTCGTCACGCGGCAGTGGCTGTACTGAGACGCCTTCGATGGAAGCTAGCGTCGACGTGACGGCGGATGAGAGGCGATCGAGTGAGGTCGATTGGGGGTACGTTTGCTGAACGGTGTTATGTGGGGGCATGAGCGAGTGGACTGACGGGTTGGGTATCCGCGCTATCGACTGTAGGAAATGATCGAATGTTATGAGGAACCGCACGCGAAGCAGGAGACATGCGCACGTCTGGGAGGTGTACATCGCCAAAGGACCACGCGATCGCCCATCGCCGGGTCTGCCCCTGTACAAACTCAGTTATGGCGTAGTTGTCAATCTGGACGAATCATCTATCAGCTGCTCGCTTGCTAGCGACAAATTCCGCCTACCTGGTGTTTGCGCAGCAGAGCAACGACTTCTGTGAGAGAGGACAGCTTGCCCAGCATGGAAGTGTACCAGCTGGTCAGGGCCAGTCAACGATTGGCACTTGCGAGAACATATTAAGACTGTAGACGTACCGACATCGAGAACGGAGCTCTAGGCTTTCCGAGACCATCTTGCAGACGAATGCCCCTTCTCCACCCGGGGTAATCATCTCTACATCCGCACCGGTACAAACCTACGTTACAGGGACGCCAATCAGGTCAAGAACTCAACCTTGAAGTCATATGGGATACGTACCGCGTTGGGCTGGTATTCCTTGGCTTCGGCGGATCGTTTGACGTCTTCCTTGCTGCCGTAGAACGGGGGATTACACATAGTAAAGTCGAAGACTGTCCTGTAGCCACCATAAGCGACGTCGATCGCTAGGTTCGTTTCGCGTCCACTTACACCGATGTTGACGGGCCGGGCTGAGTAGCGCTAGCACCCAGGACATGTTGGAGGACAGGTCCGTTTGGATCCGATTGCACAAGGCTGACGCGATCCTGGAGGTTGTTGTTCTGTATATTAAGCCGAGCGTACTGGAGCGACTTTTCATCGACGTCTGCAGAACTGTCAGAAACAAGAATCCGCTCAGCCAACTGCGTGACAAACCTGTAGCAACAAAACTCCACTGAGCATCCACACGACATCCCAGGAGAGGATAGATTGCCGACGCTCCTGTTCCACTGCCCACACGAGTCAAATGAGACCACTACTAAAGGTGGGGATCACACACATGTCGACTCCTGTGACTCTTCTGTGATGAATTGGGGGTTCGGTGAGATACGTCGCGTTGACTACGTCTTGAAGCCACAAAATATAATTCAGCCTATGCTGCAATCTTCAGCCGGCGCAGGAGTCACACATGTTGGTTACAAACCTATTCGGCACCTATCTTAGACAGTCAGTTGGGTACCTCGTTAGATATACCGAAATAACGCACAGGGGGGCATAGTCGAACTTCCGGAACGTCAATCATCAGGCTGAAGTCTCGATGAAGTAAGGCTTCTGTGAGTCGTCTGTCCTGTGCAAACACGTCAGAACAGAATCAAACAGAGATTCAGGCAGACCTTTGTGAAGTCTCGTCCCGGAAGTCGATTGACACCCCACTAGCCGTGGCGATGAGACTTGGAGCACACATAACTTTAGTTCTCTCCGAAAGTAAGATAATGAGGTACTCACTGAGGTTTTAACGCAGGATAGGCATCTGCGAGAGACACGAAGTCGGGCGCCGTCCCATACGGATTGCGAGGATGCATCTAAGCTCAAGTTCCCGGGCGCCGCAAGATGCAAGACTCGCAAAGTAGTATTGTACGATCTCTGCAAGTACAATTCAAGATTTGGATGGAATCTGCTTGCGCAGCCTGATTATTCTTGCACCCACCAAGTCGACCGAGCGCGTCCAACTAAACGTCGGAGCGCCACAGTTTGACCGGACCGTCTCGATCAGATCTCGAGTCGATCGAGGCGCGTTTGTGGCGAGTCAGTCTGTGAGCCCGATTTCTCCTGCATCCTCTCATCCCACTCATCTGCCACATACATCCTCGCCGCGATGGCTGATGTACTCAAGTTTTCAGCGACTCTGTCCCCTTTCCCTTACGCAGCGGCAGCGATCGCGACCTACACCGGCAAGGCCGAACTAACTTTCGAGGAAGGTGCAAGCCTTTCGCTCGACCTCAACGGGTCTACGATCTCTGCAGAGGACGAGATCGTGCAGGCCTTGGCCAAGGAGGGAGGGTTGTCTGATGACAGTGCAAAGGTATGATCCTCGAGATCTTTCGCTCTCCTGCACACCTACCGTTGAAACCTGAGTAGACGCAAGCATACTTCGCTCTGGCGAAGTCCTTGCCCACCGTGACTGCATTCCCCGCAATCGTCGCGGCACTCGACTCTCTTGACGACCACCTTGCTTTCCGTACCTTCTTGGTCGGACATGATGTCTCCGCGGCAGACTGGATCGTATGGGGTGCCTTGAAAGGTAAGTTCTTGCCGCTCTATACACCACGTATACTCATCAGACACCGCTAGGGAGTGTGAAGATCGTTGGTCTCCTCAAAAACAACAAGCATGTCCACCTCCTTCGATGGTACACTCAACTCGAGTCCCTCGAATCCACTCAGCTCGTCATCGCCAGCCTCGCCGAAGCGAAGTCGAGCAAGGCGCGCTCCAACAAGACCGCTGCTTCCTTCGCGCTCGGCCTCGAGGGTGCGGAGATGGGCCAAGTCGTCACACGTTTCCCGCCCGAGCCGAGTGGCTACCTACACATTGGGCACGCGAAGGCGGCAATGCTCAACCAGTATTTCGCACAGATGTACAAGGGGAAGTTGCTCATCCGGTTTGATGACACGAACCCGACCAAAGAGCGCACGGAATTTGAGGAGACTATCCTGGAGGATCTTGCGCTGTTGGATGTCAAGGCAGATGCGGTCTCGCACACGTCTGACTACTTCGACCAGCTGTATGAGCTTGCGATCAAAATCATCAAGGAGGGCAAGGCATATGCAGACGACACCGAGCAAGCGGAGGTAGGGTTCTCTTGTACCTTCCCCAATATACGGCGCTCACCGTAATGAAAATAGATGCGCCAGCAGCGCTTCGACGGCATCGCGTCTAGGCATCGCGAAGACAGTGTTGAGGACAACCTCGCACACTTTGCCGAGATGAAGACAGGCTCTGCGGAGGGCGTACGGTGGTGTATCCGCGCGAAGATGAGCGTCGACAACCCAAACAAGGCGCTCCGCGACCCTGTCATCTACCGTTGCAATCTCCTTCCGCACCACCGCACAGGGTACGCTGCTAGCATGCGACTTAGGACGTTTCGCTTACCATGAGTGCGCCTTTTAAAGCGATAAGTGGAAGATCTACCCGACATACGATTTCGCATGCCCGATCGTGGACTCGCTTGAGGGCGTCACGCACGCGCTCCGTACGAACGAGTACCGCGATCGGAATCCCCAATACTTTTGGATGATTGAGGCGCTCGGCTTGCGTTCGGTGCACATCTGGGACTTCAGGTGAACAAGCCTTGTTTGTAGCGATGCCGTGCACAAGTGACTTATGACTGCACCTCCGTAGTCGCCTCAACTTCATTTACACCCTCCTCTCCAAGCGCAAGCTCCACTGGTTCGTCGACCAGGGCATTGTTCACGGGTGGGACGACCCGCGGTTCCCGACCGTCCGGGGTGCGTCTACCGGATGATCCTCTACCACGCATCTGCTCACTTCCATTCTGTAGGTATCCGCCGACGCGGCATGACCGTGGACGCTCTCCGGCAGTTCATGCTTGCCCAGGGTCCCTCACAAGCGATCGTCTCGCTCGAGTGGGACTCGCTCTGGACGCTGAACAAAAAGGTCATCGACCCCATTGCACCGCGCTTCTGGGCGATTGGCAAGAACGGCACGTACGTGTGTGCCATCCTTGTGCAGGGAGAAAAGGCTGAGTTGGGTATCTTGCTGCAGGGTGAAGGTCACGATCAACGGCGGGCCGTCCGAGCCTGAGGTGAAGACGCTGCCCAAGCACAAGAAGAACCCGGAGGTAGGCGAGAAGAAGACAGTGTTCTCGAGTCATATCCTCGTTGAGCAGGAGGATGCGCTGTCGTTCGATGATAATGAGGAGGTCCGTTCCTGCTTATCTGTCTCATCACGCATAAGCTCAACCGGTTATAGATCACTCTCATGGACTGGGGCAACGCCATCGTCCGCTCCAAAACAACCGATGCCAATGGGGTGATCACCGCGCTCACCATGGACCTCCACCTCTCCGGCGACTTCCGCAAGACCAAAAAGAAAATCACCTGGCTCCCGGACCCCTCAGCGCACCCCGCTTACGCACTCGTCGACGCGACGCTGCTCGACTACGACTACCTGATCACGAAGAAGAAGCTCGAGGACGAGGACGACGTCAAGGACTTCGTCACGCCGCAGAGCGAGTTCCGCGAGGACGCGTGGGCGGACGCGAACGTCACTGACCTGCAGAAGGGGGATATCATCCAGTTCGAGCGGAAGGGGTACTATATTTACGACGGTGTGTCGGGGGAGACAGGTCTGAGAGAGTTCATATGTATCCCGGACGGCCGGGCGGCGAGCATTGCGAGCAAGGCGGCGCCAGTTGCGAATGCTCCCGGGAAGGCGGCGAAGGAGAAGGAGATTGCTGAAAAGGGCGGTCGGGGAGCGGGTTCTGAGCAGGCGTTCGAGATCCCAGTGGACACGAAGATGTACAAAGTCGATCCGATCTATGGGAAGGGTGACTTGGCGACACCGGCGGATACGAAGATGTACAAGGTGAAGAACGTATATGAGTCGTAGATGAATTGGCGGAGAGATAGAAGTGTCACAAGTAATGTACATTCACCACGCTTGCATGTCAATCGTACGAAATATAGGACGGCGAGCGAGCCTAAGTCCAATAAATCAGCCAGAACGGACCCCATCGCGGAATATGGTTTAGAAATTGAGCGATACATATCCCTTGGGGTTTTCCACTTCCACTCGGTCTGTGCCCTCCGCATCGCCTACCCACAACGTCTTGTGACTCGCTCTTTCCCCTTTTTTGACGGTTCCAGACAGCTTCCCGTTTGCGCGAAGCGACTGTGCAGTGACCTTCACCGACCCATCGAACGCCGTGCCCTTGTAGTCAATCTCCAGCTGTCCGCCGTGCTGCGCCCTATGTACGCTATCGATAGGCCTGTGTGCTGCCCGTGAGATGGACCGGTGGGTGATGTGCGAGCGGCCCGGCCCGCATTCCGTGCGGAGGACTGCGGGGACCGACGCGAGATCCGGCGAGTTGGAGGGCACGACGTCGACGAGCATCGCGGAGCGCCCGGACTGGAGGAGAGACATGTTCTGGGTGAGGAGGAGATTGCCCATGAGCCACCCGCCGCCCATGGCGAAGGTCATCGTATCAGCCTGGACGCCCATGTGGGAGAGGAGCATGTTGTCTGTGGCCGTGCTCTGTAGATCCAAGTCGAGGGAGGAGAGGGACAGGCTGCTCTGGCGGCCAAACAGGACGTGGGTCGTCCCCTCGGTCTTCACGGTGAGATGACGCACAGTGGGTGGGACACGGACGGTGATGTCAAAGCGCTGGCACGGATGGGATTCAGGAGCGGAAAGCCCGATCGTATGGAGGCTCATTGCATTGGGGCGCTCCTCGCGCTTGATGACATTGAAGGTACGCTCCTCATCGGCCATCACCTTCATCTCGTACTGGACCTGCGTAGCACTCTCGTCTGCTTGTGCGATGACGAGGGTCCCCACTATGGACCCAGTGACCTCGATGAGGTGAGCCCCCTCCGAGGAAACGGGGATCTCGAAGGTCGACTCGGAAGCATAAGAGGCGTTCAGACAGCCGAGAGATGTATTGTACTCTGGGATGGCCGTGGGACCATCCCATACAGGCTGGAGTGGAGCGAACGTGCATGTCAACGATACGTCCCGGTGCATTGAAAACTGTGCTGACCGATTTATCTCCCTTCAGGAGGAAGACACTGGCGGATACTAATGTGAGGAGGAAGAGGCAGATGACGCCACAGATGACCCATAGTCGCCTGCGGGCGAGTCTACACCAATGAGCAGGAATCAACTCCAAAATGTCGGCATAGTCACTTTGTATCCACTCACCGAAAAACAGACAGACAAGGACCTAAGATGATGTGGGTGCGGCTCCTGTCGGGGTCATGAGTGATTCCCAAATCTTCTGTCGATATACTTGGGCTATGCAATGCTATAGGCCCAATGTCGCCATCTTCAGCGATAAGAAGTCGCAGACCACCTGCATTGTATAACGTGTATCCGATGAGCAGCGATTGTGATTCAGACACTTTCACCAAGTACCTTCATCCAAACTGTCCTTTCTCTGAAAAGTTGCCAGTGCTTTCGTGCGTGTGACCAGTCCACGTATTCTAGAAGCGAAGCCGTCCGGGGCTTGGTCATCCGACATGAGTACACAGTCAAGAAACGATGCTGCGAAGTACGCGACGCAACCAGTGGAACAGTGAAAGTAGACCCCGATGGCTCAGCACTCAGTAGAGTCAGTCGCGGCGGGACCATGCGTATATATCATCAATACTGACTGTGCCCGATCAGCGCTTTGGGCCCGAGCTCGACAATGGCTGTGTTGAACTGTCAAGTCAAGTCATGCGATTGTTGCGAACGCAAAGATATACACAGTACGTCGGGGAGATGTGTCTATGCAGAGACCGTGACGCTGAAGCCAGTAAGACTGGCGCCAGTGACGCTGGCTGCTCTGAGTCACAAGTCCGTACGTTCCGTGCTGGCAATTGATCGATCCAAGTAGGTAGTAAACGGTAGTACATACCGCGTCCTGGCAGCGCCCGTGTGTGTAGTTCCATATGGCCTTATACATGTCGACGTATGATCAACAAAAGTTGACCTATTGTTGGCGAGGCGCACGGCGACAACGTTCTGGACAACACGCCTCGAGTGCGTTACCTATGTCCGTAGAGTTGCTGCTCGCAACTCAGAGCGCACTTGATTGACGACAGGCTGTCCACAGCTGAACCGCTGCCAGCGCTCGTACGATTCAGGCTGTGGTTTTCATCGAGGCAGTCAACCTCCCCGAAGCTGTGAACCATATACAACACGCATGCTTGTGTCGTGAGCAATGTGGCGGGCGCCGCACAACGGCAGGTGGGTGAATGGTATACGCAAGGCATTATGCATCCTGAACACCCCTCAGAAGTGTGTCCAACTGTGCAAACGTTCAGGTATATATATGCAGCCGCTTGAAACTTGAAGACTTTACACTCACCTTATCCAATGTGGTTACAATACCTCTACAACAGGTTTTGGAGCATGCAGACACCGATAAATCCTCAGGATCAGCCCGCTGGAACGAAAACAGTGGAGAGGCTCGTAACAACGGCCGCAGAAATCACGACGAGCTGCAAAAAAGTAAGCACGATCTATGTCGCACTTGGCTACTCAGCTGACTCGCGACAAAACACAAGCACATACGGACCACCGACGACCACGCACGCGCGTTGTGCGTTGTGCAGCATCCTTGCCACTGCAACGACGAAGACGAATATGACCCTCTGCGTGACCACTACCGCCAGGACGATGTAGTGGTCGAAATAGCCGCCGATCTCGGATTTGGCTTTGGCTTTGGTCATATGTGTAGCGTGGAGGAAGGGATGGTCATGATGCCGCGACGCTGGGAATCATGCGCGGAGCACGAGCCGAATCAGCATTGACACGAAGTTGCACGCGTTGTCTGGCGTGCCTCGGTTTGCACTGGTTATCGAGACGGATCCAGCACTCCGTTATCCTCTCCGGGTAGATTGGCATGTCTCCATCCTAGTCCAGTGTAGATGATCAGCAGCGACACTCAGCATGGCCCTTCCACGAGAAGCATCCATGAGGAACGAGGCACCACAGCCGTACACCTCATGGTAGAACAAACTCACACACAGTCATCCAGCCCTGCTAAGCTGGGACTCGAAAAGCCACATTGCAACCACGCACCTGTCATATAGCGATATGAATGAAAAACACGAAGCCGAAGTACATCGAGATTCCGCCCAGATATGACTCACAAGGTAGAAAGACAGCATGCCAATGCAATCGATATACAGCGTGCAACCCCGAACCACTCCCACAGAGCCAGATTAGGCTCAAGCGATAGGAAACTAGAACTTGAACTCCTTCTCCCGTCTTCTCTCCCTGTCGTTGTCCGACTTATGTTTCCGCTTCGCCATCTCCTTGCCAATCATGTCCGAGAAGTCTTCACGACCATGCGCCCCCGGCACACCTGCAGATCCGCGCGCATGCTGCTCGTACTTCCGGCGTAGCTCCTCCTCAGACATTCCTTCCAGCTCCGCTGCATCAATGGAAACATCCACGCCATTGCGTCGCTGCATCGCACAAGGTGAGTCAGTATAGTACAACAGGGCGCGAAAGATATAGGTGACTCACCTTCGAGCCTCGTTCGTCTCCGAGAACGGGGATAGCGCCACCCCCTGTAACGGCAGTGACATCGTACCCACGCTCGCTGCCCATGAGGCCACGCACGGAAGTCTGCTTCTCGGGCACGACCTGGTAGAGCGACCGCGGGCCAGTATCTGCGGCCTCTGAAGGTGCGCGGCCTGCATTCTTCCGGAGCTCGAGGAAGTCTGGTGTCTCCAGCCCGCCTGCCACTGTCGACACGACGCTCGTCATGCCGGATGGTGTCTCCAGACCGGATGGCGTCTGCATGCCATCCTGCGGCAATGGCTCAGCCTGCTCCTCTTCCTCGCTTTCTTCCTCGCTTTCTTCGTCCTCTTCCTCTGCATGCGAAGTCAGCATGCGAACAGACACCGAGACACAGTACAAGTCACAAACCTTCTTCGGGTTCAAGTTCACCCCACATGTTGCGATCGACTGGTTCACCCATCTAGCGGAAACCTCGTTCAGTCACATGAATGCAAGCGGAGGCCGATGACTTACGTCTGCGTCGGTATTCTTCGGCATGACACCGAAGACGTCACCATAGAGTGGACGATTGTACTCGTCAAGCGGCGGTTTACCCCAACCACCTGGATGGAAGCCCCACTGCGCACTGAACGGGAGCTCTATGAGACGAAACCTTTCAGACGTGCCAGACTACTCACCCTTCAGGAATTGGAGCGTTCAGACCAGGGGTCCGTAAGGTCGGATAACTAGGAGGTGGCCCAAACCGCTGCATGCTGATCAGCCATGGCGGAGGTGCAAGTGGCGGTATTGAAAGCGCTTCGACTAGCTCGGGGGATAGGTCACCCGGCCTCTTGTGCTTGAGCTGCGTCTCGAACTCTTTGCCTTCATAGTACCTGAGTACATCAGAGACTGTCAGCTGCACATAAACCAGAACCAACCTGACTGCTCACATCTCACCAAAGCCTGTCACGTTTGGCTTCGTCATGAATTTGAAGAACGCGTCGTGCAGCTTTTGATAGTCAATGTCGACCTTGCCCATTTTCGGCTGAACGCGTTCGCGCGTCTTCGCCTTGAGCGACATGTTTGCCTCTTTCTCCTTGACGGCATCACGCATAGTGGCAATACCAGTGTCGGCGATGTATGACGGCAGCTGGAATGGTGGCTTCTCGATACCACGCTTTCCCTGGAGGTAATCGCGCTTCGCGCTCCAGTGACTTGGGATAGGTACAGTATTGCGGTAGCTCTTCAGGTGGAGGAGGAGACGGGGGTCAGCGGCGGTGACGTCTGTCCACTCAACGACTTCAGGTTTCTTGACGAGCTGCTTGAGTTCTGCAACCGTCAACCGGTTCATTTTGCGAGCCTTCTTCTTAGACAGAGGCTTCTTCTCTTCCGCCTCGGAGTCGCCCTCAGAGGCCATGTCGTCGTCCGAGTAGATGATCTCGCCCTTCGAGGGCTCTTGGTCGCGATCCTGCTGTGGACGCATGCGCATTAATACGCCATCCGAAAGGTTAGAATGCGTTACGCACTGATGAGGCCTCAGCAGGCAGCTGGAAGCGAGCAAATACGTCGGAGAATTCTTCGAGTGCAGGGCCTTTGACATCCAACTGCTCAGGTACGTACTCGACATCCATGGGTACACCCGCATCCTCCATCTTCACGTCCGCGTCCGACTCGTCATTGCCATTAGTCTACGCAACCGCGGTACACCTCAGTAACTCATTGCGTGTGCATGTCACACAAGAACGCACCGGCTTCTCCGCTTTCTTCTGCTTCGCCTTCAGCCTCCTCAACTGGTTCTTTGACTTGATTTTGCCATTGGCCTTGACGCCATTGGTGGCCGCAATCGCTGTTTCTACTTGTGTGGCCATCTTCGTGGTTATCCAGCTGACTATCGACCGGCTGAAGACTGGTGCGCAGGAATACAGACGGCACGAGCGGACGGAGAACGGACAGGATCGAGGTCGGCACGGACGACTGGGAGCGTCGAGGTTCGCTGACGTAAGCCACAACATTCCGGAACAGGGCAGCGGAGGATGAATCATCCGGCAGGCTCCGATTCGCTGACTGACATCGCAGACCGATAGAAATTTGCTTTCGACGAAGTCCTTTACGGCACGCTCAAGACGAGACCAGCTCTCCTTACCAGCTACCACCACCACCCCGCGCATTTCGACCGACTGTAGTCGATCCAAAATCGGAGCAGAAAACAAGAAGCAGTCATGGCGTCGTATGTTCGCTCTGGTGTACCTCGGGCTTGCAGAAGCTGATCAGAGGGCTGTACAGCAATGAACAACTTCAGGATATCCAGGAGGGCGAGATTGAGTCCAACTGGGATCAGGTCGTCGACAAGTGAGTGAGCGCACCACAAAGTCTCGAGCAAGCCTCTGATCGCGCGGCTGTGCAGCTTCGACAACATGGAATTGAAGGCCGAACTTCTCCGTGGTATCTACGCCTATGGGTAAGTCTCCTCGGACACGCATATACTCTCCTTCTGAGGCAGTGCAGTTTCGAGCGTCCCTCGGCCATCCAGCAGCGCGCCATTGTCCCTGTCATCAAGGGCCACGATGTTATTGCCCAAGCCCAGTCCGGCACTGGCAAGACCGCCACCTTCTCCATCTCCATCCTCCAAAAGATCGATCCCGAAATCAAGGGCACCCAGGCGCTCATTCTCGCGCCGACGCGTGAGCTGGCGCAGCAGATTCAAAAGGTCGTGGTCGCCCTCGGCGACTACATGAACGTCGAGTGCCACGCTTGTGTCGGCGGTACCAACGTCCGTGAGGATATGGCCAAGCTCCAGGAAGGCGCCCAGGTCGTCGTCGGCACTCCCGGCCGTGTCTTTGACATGATCAACCGTCGTGCGTTGAGGACCGACAACATGAAGATGTTCTGTCTGGATGAGGCCGACGAGATGTTGTCCCGTGGGTTCAAGGACCAGATCTACGAGGTCTTCCAGCTCCTGCCGCAGGACACCCAGGTCGTCTTGCTCTCCGCTACCATGCCCGCCGATGTGCTGGAGGTCACGAAGAAATTCATGCGCGACCCCGTCCGTATCCTCGTCAAGCGTGACGAGCTTACGCTCGAAGGTATCAAGCAGTTCTACATTGCCGTGGAGAAGGAAGAGTGGAAGCTGGACACGTTGTGCGACTTGTACGAGACGGTCACGATCACGCAGGCCGTCATCTTCTGCAACACGAGGCGGAAGGTCGACTGGTTGACGGAGAAGATGCATGGACGGGAGTTCACCGTTTCGGCGATGGTGAGCGCTTGTGGCGATCAATGGAGTACATGAAGTGAGATATTAACGCGACGACTTTGACAGCACGGTGACATGGAGCAGAAGCAGCGCGAGGTGCTGATGAAGGAGTTCCGGTCGGGTTCTTCCCGCGTGTTGATCACGACCGATCTACTTGCTCGCGGTATTGACGTGCAGCAGGTGTCGCTCGTCATCAACTATGATCTCCCCACCAACCGGGAGAACTACATTCATCGCATTGGCCGTGGTGGTCGCTTCGGGCGGAAGGGTGTCGCGATCAACTTTGTGACGACGGAGGACGTGCGGATGCTGAGAGACATTGAACGTGAGTGTCCGACGTCAGGCTCGGCGTTGTGGGCGCCACTAATGTTGCTCCGCAGAGTTCTACAACACTCAAATTGACGAAATGCCGTTGAACGTCGCGTGAGTATTTGATTGTTGAGATCGTCGTCGTGACGGCGTGCTAATGTTTCATGTCTAGCGACCTCATCTAGATGTACTCTCTACGTCACGCTCTATTTCAATCCAACGGTCATCAACAGGAACAGACGTCGGCTGATCCTGAATATCAGAGTATTTTCTCGTATTGTCTCGCCTAGTCCCGCCACACCCGCTGCATTCGTACATACCACCGCCCTACCGCACGAAGAACCGCGAACGAGTCCACGCGCTGTCTGCTGACTGTACTGTATAAGCTGGGTCTTGCGTCTTCGTAGTCTACGTCTGAAGCCATGTATTTCTCGAGCGGTTGTCGCCATATATATTGCTGTTTTCGCCGCGAGTGGCCGTGTGAGGGCTGATGCGCACGCGTCGGCAGCGTCGGGCGACCGCAGGCATTTGATGCGGGGGGCGGTGCACTGAGGCCCTGGCTGTCGGCGGCGTGCACGCCAGAGCCGGGCAGCGATTGGCTGGCGGGGTGCGGGGCGGTCCGCGCAGAGACGCCTGCCGTCGCAGCCCTGTCGAGGACGGCGGACGGACGATCAAGAAGGCACAAACCAGCCCTCGCGTCGGCTCCAGACTGGCCATGCAGCCCACCGCCTCCTGTCATTGCGATCCGTATATGACCCCTGCAGCGGACCATGGCCCCCATACCCCTCTCCTCGACATTCAAAAGGGCCCACGCTGTTGCGCTAGCTCAGCGGCTTCCCGTCTCGCCCACGTCCCTCCGCCACCATCGATTTCTTTACTTGGGCATCAGTCCGGGGCGCCATTTAAGTCCAGTTGATCTAAGTTATCATATATGGTCCGTCTCTTTCATCCTGCCTTCATGCCCACCGACGTCCCTCTGATCCTCGCCCGCCATGGCTCCGAAACAAAAGATTTCTCTTTCCATGCCGCCGTCCTTCAACACCGCCGCCGCGCCGACCCCGGCGTCCCCGTCCTGGCGCGGGCCACATACAGGCGTCCCTTTGTCCGTCGCGTCCGCCGCACCACCCCCCACCGAAATAGTGCCCAATGTCTTCATAGCGGACCTTGGCGCAGCCGAGAACCCAAAGGTGCTCGTCCAGCTGGGCATCACACACGTCCTCAGCGCGATGTGCGGGCGCGTCCTGCTCCCCGCGAACATGCCCCTCGCGCGGCTCCAGCTCCCCCTCCAGATAGCCCCTTCGCGGAGCTCGCAGAGTACCTCCCCGCGTCGACCCACTTCCTCTCGGACGCACTCCGCGACCCGAAGGCGCGTGTCCTCGTGCACTGTGCCCAGGGCATCAGCCGCAGCTCGAGCGTCGTGTGCGCGTACCTGATAGCCAAATACGGCTGGTCACCAGAACGGGCAGTGCGCTTCGTAAAATCCAAGTACGCCCTCGCGGACCCCAACCCTGGCTTTGTCATGCAGCTGGGCGAATACGCTCGCTCGTTGGAAAGGCCCCGGTAGCAAGACTGTTATTTCACTTCGGGCTTAGGGACGGTGCGTACATAGTGGCGGAGAACAGTCTTTACATTATTACTTCCTGTTACATTACTGTACCACGTGCATTCGTAGGCTGATACCAGGTCCTGTCTGATATCAGATGCAACTTGTGGAATACCAGCGAAATACACATTAAACATACATAGTGATACATCCACAATATCCCTGATACACGAGAAATGTCCAGAGCAGGATCAGGGGTATTCTTATGTACAGCAATGGCCACCTGCTTGACTCGCATCCAATGCAACCTCCGAGGTTGAGGGTTTGGACAGCTTGACACCAGGAGACTGTTACGAAGATTGAGGCTGAGTGAGACTGGTCCATGCTCACCGTCGCCACTCACTCACCCTGTCATCGTCGAAAACGCCCCTGCGGATCTTGTCCAGAATATCTCTCGTGGCCTGCTCGAATGCGGCGTCCACGTTCTCCCCGCTCCTCGCACTCGCCTCCACGAATAGCATTCCCTCCTCCTTCGCCCATATTTCCGCCTCCTCCATGCTCACCTCGCGCGTCCTCCTGCCCTGCCCGTGCGCGTCCTCAGAGCACAAATCGATTTTGTTCCCGACGAGGATGCAGGTGAGGTGCGGGTCGGCGTGTTCTCGGACATCTGCCAGCCAGGAGCGCGCGTTCACGAACGCTGGGAAGGAGAAGCGGTCAGCGGGGCGTGGGCTGGGCCGCGGAACACAGCCGGACGGTAGACGCGAGGGCACGGAGGCGTAAGGCAAGGGGAGTGCTCACTCTGTCGTTGCGTCACGTCGTACACGAGCAGACAGCCTGCCGCGCCGCGGTAATACGACCGCGTGATGGACCTGAACGACTCCGTCCCTGCTGTGTCCCAACCTGTGTGTTGCTCTATCAGCAATCGATGCAATCACGCGCGAGCAGTGGGGGTTGCGCGGAGGACGCGGCGCGGAACCGGGACGTACATTGGAGCTTCACGACCTTGTTCTCCTCCGGGATGGTGATCAGCTTCGAGCCAAACTCGACTCCTAACTGGCAAGCAGCATGATCCGCGCACACCGCACGCACAGAGGGACAGGACAGGGCGGTGGTCGGATTCCCGTAAGTGCCAAGGTCCGGTCAGATTCATTGGTGAGAGGACGCACTGTCGGATCCGGATTGGCGAGGAAGCGTTGGTCCGTGAGACGCACTAGCAGGGAGGATTTACCGACGGCAGAGTCGCCTGGACGGGGAATAGAGAGTTAGGATTGTGGGACCCTGAGCGGGCGCACATATAGGGTCCGGACCTGTGATGATGAACTTGAGGACATAATGCCATGCTACTCCGGCCATGTTCTAGCCGAATGCGGTACCTCCGAGTAAAAATACGAGATGTAGCAGTGAGTACAGAAATCTACAGTGTCGCACGCCGGCGAAGTGAGTACAGGCTGGGGTCGTAGGAGAGAGAAGCTGAGTGTCGGTGCCGTGAGTGAGCGTTGCGCCCCGCAGCGACGGCGACGCGGTGGCGCGGTTACACGTCCCACGTGATGCGCCGGAGCTCGCCGGGCACTCGTCCCTCGCCGACAACTCAACGTTGCCAGAAGTTCTCCAGTCCACCGACCGACCACCACCATGAGCAGCGCTACCTGGCGTAACGTCTTCACGTACGTCTTTTGTCCCCTGACTAGCCTATAGCGTGGCATGCTCGAACTTCGGCTGACTTTCGTCTTTTGCGATGACTAGGTACAACAAGTACACGCAGATTGCGGCCCGCGCCGTGAGGCAGTCGCTCAAGGAGAGCGAGCGTGTCCAGGCAGAGAAGCGCGGCCTCACCGCCCTGAAGTACCAACATTGGGAGAATGGCGTCGGTGGTCAGCAGGTGCGTCGCCGTGCATTGTGTACCCTTGATTCGGCGACTCATGTTTTCTTACTTCTCATCTAGACGTCCCTCTTCAAGCCCGTGGAGAAGGAGATAAAGCAGGGTGTGGTATAATGATGGGAGCCGCTCCCGAAAGAGCACCGTGTCGGCAGTCTTTGCCCGAAAACAATAGCATTGGTTCGCTACCCTGATTGAATCGCATTCATTTGCCACCGCATGCCTGTCCGTCGACTTCCCCTTCGTGTGGTGAAGCAGTTACTCGTCGTTGTGACTTTTCACCATACGTGGTTATCGCCGCCTCTTCCACCGCTCTACGGAATGTGCGACAGGATCTCGACGCCTGCTGCACCCTTGTGCGGCAGCGTATACGATCATCCCGACACTAGCCTGAATCGAATCATTAAACCGGACATACCAGAGGGAATGCCTCCCGAATAGGAGACGGATTCTACAATGTCGCGGCGGTGACTATGTAATTGACGTACGAGCTTGTTTTACGCGTGTTGATCGCGATCTCAGAGGATCTTACGAGGTGCCTTGAGGCGTTAATTCTAGGGAGTTCCGGGCTTCTCCTGTGGCCATGGACACCGATTTCGTCGGTGTTGACTCGACGAGGGAACGGGACCGACAATGCGGCCAGCGCGTACACTCCCGCGCGTCCCAGAATGGTCTGGGATTGCCTGCGGGAAGTGCTCGGCTGGCGTCAGCTGCCCCGCGAGAAGCCCGCGGGCCTCTTGAACCCTTTGAGGTCGGGTCTCTGAGGCCCCTCACTGGCCGACGGCGTACGGCACTGCCCCTCGTTGCCGCTGCGCACTCACCGCGCGGCGCATCGGGCGAGGCGCCCGGGCGCGGATTCCCACGCGCGTCTGGCGGCGTCGCCGACAGATCGCTTACATACGCATTCTTCTTTTCTCCTCACTCTCGATCAAAAACCCTCCGCGCAGGCCTCCTCGCCACTCCGCTCTCCCCGCTCCCCAGTCCCTCTCTTCTCACCCAAAAACTTGTAACTGCCATGGCCGGTGCGCGGGGTTGCTTTAACTGCGGAGGATGTAAGTGAATCTTGCGCGCGACTCTTGGAACACTCAACAAACACTTCGCCCTCAGTTGGCCACCAGGCCGCGAGCTGCCCAAAGGCGGGCACGCCGACTTGGTACGTATCAGACCAATTCTACAATGCCATTGTCACTGACGGCGCTGATTGTAGCTATAACTGTATGTCCGATCTTGCGCGGGCAATCCTCTCTTGACAGCCTGTTTAGGCGGCGGCGAGGGCCATGTCTCCCGCGACTGCACGGGTGAGGCAAAACCAAAGGCTTGCTACAAGTGCGGCAAGGAAGGGCACCTGGTGAGTGCGCCGCAACATTTGCCTTTCTTTTACTCATCCGAGCCTCCAGTCGCGGGACTGCCCCGAGACGGTGGCCGCTCCGGCCGGCGCTGGTTACGGTGGTAGCCAGGAATGCTACCGCTGCGGTCAGGTCGGCCACATCGCGCGTGCGTGTCCCCAGGCGGGCACCACTGCCGGGGGAAGCTCTGGTGCATTCTCCGGTGGTGGAGCGAACAAAACCTGGTCAGTGGTGCAGTACTGTGACCGCGACTCTAAACTTATTTTGACTCTAGCTACACTTGTGGAGGAGTTGGCCATCTGTCGCGGGATTGCGTGCAAGGCAGTCGGTGCTACAACTGCTCCGGCATCGTAAGTCGCTCATTGGCGCGAAAAGCACTCGTTCTCAATTTCTTTTAGGGGCACATGTCGAAAGATTGCCCGCAACCCCAGCGGCGCGCGTGTTACACTTGCGGCTCGGAGGGGTGAGTCTATCTATCTGTGCCGCGCACTGTATGTCCTGACAGAACTTTGCAGCCATATTTCGCGCGACTGCCCGACGACCGCGTCGGCGGCTGTAGAGGATGCTGCTTAGTTTTCGTCTATGATACTGTAATATTGCGCTCGATCGATCCGCCCCTAGTGTCAATGTCCTCGCATATCTTGTTGTCTGTCTACTGAATGATGATATGACGGCCGCGCCCCGATCTCGACTCGAGTCTGGTGTGATGGCATTGTCGGCGTCGGCGCCCCCGACGCTGTGCTAAGAAAGGCTCGAGCGGACTGGAGTACATCGGGGGTGACCTGGGCGGAAAATAGGCCTGATGTGAGTGGTACGGCCAATCCCGTGCCGCTCCGCCCCGGCGTTATGCGGGCGGTAACGTCGCTCAACTGCCTGCTCCGTTTTCGCGTTGTCGCCTGTGCGCATCCCTCCCTCATCCCCTTCGCTCTCTCCGTCCTGTCTACCTCGTCCTCGTAATGCAAGCACTGCGCCTGGCGCGTCCCCGAGCGTCTCTCCGCCCGTACGCCCGCTCAATCACGGCGACGGCCAGCGGGCACGCGTCTGCGACCTCGCCCGCGTCGTCCTCGTCACCAGCTGCCATTCCGCTTTCCAACGTGGAGGCCCAGTGGGAGCAGCTCTCCACCGACGAGCAGCTCACGGTCCACCAGCAGCTCGAGGAGATCCAGAAGAAGGACTGGAAGTCCCTCTCGCTCGACGAGAAGAAGGCGGGTACGTTGAGCCATGTCCGCGGCGCTATCTGCCCGCCCGACGCCGCTGCAACTCTGCGCCCTGGTCATGGCTGACGTCCGCCCTTCGTGTGATCCACTAGCTTACTACGTTGCGTTCGGCCCTCACGGCCCTCGTCGTCCGGACAACCCCCCGGTACCGGTCTGAAGGTCACCCTCGGCACGGTAGCTGGTATTGCCGCTGCTGGCGTCGTCTTCGCAGCCGTTAGGTCCCAGGGTATGCCCTCCTTCCGCTAGATATTCCTCGGTGCTGTGTACTCACAGTGTCCTTAGCTCCACCTCCACCGAAGTCGATCAGCAAGGAGTGGGAGGAGGCTTCAAACGAGCGTGCGCTGGAACAGAAAATGAATCCCATCACTGGTTCGTCGCTGTCTCTCGCAGACTCTATGTGCCCCTGACGCTGACTCTGCGCCTATGTATAGGTATCTCTTCCGAGGGGTACAGCGGCAAGGGTTTCGTCACGCACAAGTAACCACACCTCTTGCTGCAGTCGCCGGGCGTGGGCGTCACGCACCACTGAGCCGTCCCAGTGCCAGTGCTTTCATTCGGGACAATATGTTGGCAACGGCGTCGAATAGAGTATCTGCATTACCGAACCTCTCAGCCAACAATAATCACAGTTTCTATCGCTGCCTCAACGGCTTCGAGCGCGCGCCTCATTGTACCGGCCCTCCCCGTCCGTCGCGTCAAATGAAAAGTGCTCTCTCCGAGCCCAACTGTCAACAATGACCCTGGCTTGAATGTGCAACGCGAATTTTTCGTATCTTGCGATATCGAGAGGGATGGTCGTCGTGCGTGCGACGTCATCATGCATGACACCGTCTCAGGGACAGTTGAGCCACCTCAAGTAGACACGGCGATGCGCAAGCACTCCAGGCGGGCATATAGCTATTAGCGAATGTGAGGCGTGTACAAGCGCAGACTGCAGGCAACTACAGGCCCTTGTCGCCGGAGTTCGTTTTACTTGAATCCGTCGCAGACCCCTTCCCTGCTGCATCCTTCTCGTCCACCTTCTTATCCTCGCCCTTGGTCTCCTCGAACTCCACCCGACCAATGGTCGCCTTGTTGTCCACGAGCGCGTGGAGAGCGATGACGGCCCGGAGCAGACTGCTCAGGTATACGACGAGCAGCTGGTCGTTCGTACTTGTAGCAAAGCTCTGCGTCGACTCGGGGTCGTTGAGATGCGGGAGGAGGTTCAGCGCGTCCTGTATGTGGTAGACGATCTGGTGGTTCACGGGCATCTTCCCCGCCGCGACGTCCGTAAGGTAATTCCGGATGTCGTCTATGCGGGATTGGAGGCCGCGCAGAGAGCTGAGCTGCTCGGAGACACGGGTCGCGAGGGTGGTTGTGGTCGAGTCTTTGATGTCCCGGAGCAGGTGCTCGACACCGATCTCCTCTGCTTCTTCCGCTTCAATTGCTGACGGCACGTGGAGGAACGTCTTCCGGGTTTCTGTACCGTCCTGGAATGAGGTTAGGTGCACGGACATTACTTGCGTATGGGAGGAGACGTACGTCTTTGATTTCCTCCACTGCGAAGTATGCGTCCGTCGGGATGCCCACCGTGTTTGGTCGTACGTCCACGATCACCATGACTGGTCGTGCAATGTATCTCTTCAATAGGTCGTTGATCTCCTGGTCCGAAGCCCGAAGCTTGGGGCCAGTGTGGTACCACCCGATCATCCGCTCTCGTGCTACACTTTAGTTAGCAGCGGAACGGGATGTGAGAACGGAGCGGACGAACCGTTGACCTTCTTGAACATCTCCCACATGCCCTCAATATAGTTATGGTCCAAGAACCATGTCTTGCTGTCCTTCTCGTCCTCCTCGAAGGGAATGCCGAAGGAGTTCGCGACGTTGACGGTCTTGCCGTTGTCCTGCCCTAGGAGGATGCCAATGACGCGCTTGCTAGAGCTGCGTTGGACAGTACGTGCATGGTGATCTGTGACGGAAAGGAGGACGAGGGGATGTACAACTGTTGCTGTTCATTAGTGTCGCGTCTGGACGCTAGGTCGGTAGTACACACCGACAGTGGTTCCAGACAAGGCTGCTAGCTTAACGAAAAACATCGTCAGTTTTACATCCACACGCAACATAGACGTATAGCGAACCTGCTCTGATGTTGTTGCGACCATAGTGGCGGACGGAGGATGCGTGCAAAAGGTAAAGTCTGCTGTGGCTTCTGCAAGCACGGTAGGACGCGTACGCGTCCAGATCTCGTGGTGTCTATTTGTCCTTGTTGCCCAACGGCCTCTACGAGACTTCCATTTTTGGGCAAGAACGCCTGCGAGCTATGAACTCGAAGCATGCGCTTTCACCGTTTTGTGATATACATTGCAGTTTTTGGCTTAGGTCATCGGCTTGACGGGATGTCAAACATAGATAGTCCTACCCATAGGACCCCCTGGGTCGACAGCGCCTTGGCTTCACAATCTACGGAGGTTGTCGATGTCTTAAACTAAATCTGGATATGTGAGTTGAAAGCGGCTGCGAGTTTGGTTCGTGGATTGAGATAGAACGGTACTCCGTTATAATCCTCCAACTCACATAGAGCCGAGGCTTGGTGGCATATACAGTACGCAGTTGGACGGGCACGGTATATGGGGCGCTTATTTGCGACTATTTACCCGGGCGCTATATTACCGCAAAGGGTAGCTGACCGATCGCGCAAACTTCGTCTCGACTTTTTCCGCGTTCACTGTCGGCGACCAACCAGGCCTCACCACTTCTAGCATCTCAGCATAATGGCATTCGGTGTGTTCCTGACGTTACACATAGCGCAACGTGCCGGGTCACTCAATTGGTGTCTGTTGCAGGTGCTCCCGGCGGTCGCGGCGGTTTCGGTGGTGGTTTCGGCAGCAGAGGCGGAGGAGGAGGACGAGGGGCTCCTCGTGGGGGTGGTGCAAGAGGCGGTAGAGGCGGAGGGCGAGGTCTGTTTCCACAATCTTTGCTATCGTCCTGGTATTCACGTCCGAGTCTTCTCTGCACTGGCAGGCGGCGGACGGGGTGGCATTATGAAGCGCGGAGGTCCTCCCGGACGTGGTGGTGGTGGACGAGGCGCACCTCGCGGCCGTGGCGGCAGGGGTGGTGCGCGAGGCGGCGCAATGTCATCTTGGAGCCCCACAGACATCCAGGTGTCTTCATCGCCAAGGGCAAGGATCAAATGCTCGTCACGAAGAACCTCGTGCCAGGCGAGGCAGTCTATGGCGAGAAGCGAATATCGATTGACGGAGGCGTTGATGGGACGAAGGTGGAATATCGTGTATGGAACCCGTTCCGTAGCAAGCTCGCGGCAGGCGTGCTGAACGGCTTGGACGACATCTACATCGCACCTGGAAAGAAGGTGCTCTACCTCGGTGCTGCGAGCGGCACAAGTGTCAGTCACGTAGCGGATATTGTTGGACCTGTAAGTTTGAGTCTCTAATGTAAAGAGTAAGTTCGCTGATGTTTCATACAGGAGGGCACGGTGTACGCCGTCGAGTTCTCGCTGCGTTCCGGGCGTGATCTCATCAACATGGCAAAAAAAGGACAAATGTCACCGTCAGTCCACTTGTCAAAATGTGTTATAATTCAATGGCACTTACATATCAATAGCAATTGTCGAGGATGCTCGGCTACCCAGAAGTATCGCATTCTTGTGGACATGGTCGATGTGATCTTCGCGGATGTCGCACAGCCTGACCAGGCTCGAATCGTCGCTCTCAACGCAGACATTTCCTCAAAAACGGCGGCCACATAGTGATCTCCATCAAGGCAGTTGTATCGACTCGACCATTCCTGCGGAGAAGGTGTTCGCTTCGGAGGTTCAGAACCTCAAGGAGAGCAAACTCAAGCCCCTTGAGCAGGTCACATTGGAGCCATATGAACGTGACCATGCAATGGTGACTGGTGAGTGCACAGTTTACTTCGCGTGTTGTGAGTCTGCTCACTTGGTATATATAGCTGTGTACCAACGCTTCAAGTAGTGCTTGGCGGTTCACTCTATTTACGTCCTTCTCTACCTTCTGCCGATCGTGCGTGTAGCCTGTATTCTCTGTACTTACACCAAAAGTATCTCGCTCGCATTTTGCTCTCTGCTGTATGGATTCAGTTGCATCACTTATGGTATCTGCTTGAGTGTATGAGCAGCGAGCTGATGTGGCGGTGGAGTGATCGTGATCTGAGGACGTGTCACTGCGCAAAGCGCGCGGGACGAATTAGCTCATGCGCGCAGCATCCGCGTCCTGCAGACCGACCTGACCGCGGATATCCGACTTTGTGCTCTTTGTTTGACTCCTCGACACCGAACGCCGCAGACGGGCCCTGTTGAACTCGCCGTCAATTTCGCTTAGCTTCCCCCCAGGCTCTTCAGCCACAATTGGTATAGCGCATGAGGCCATCGCAGATTGTCATTCACGTCGGTACACCACCCGAACACTCGCCACGCTCTTCATCCGACTTCGAGGAGATACAATACCCCGTCAATCAGTCTCCTAGCTGGTCCACTCGTTCCGCTCGCGAGGAGGAACTGCCGCTGCACTACATGAGCGAGGAGACGGCCCGCCGCAGGGTGCTTCGCGGCCCCAGCGGGAACGGGACCCACCAGGAGCCTAGCCATGCCCCGGAAAAGGAGTACGAGATATACGATGACGAGGGGAAGGATGTCTACGCAAAAATGAAGGACATGCGAAGTCCTCTGGGCAGCGGACGGCTACGACGCCCACCACCGCCTCCTCCGACTACAGTGGTGCGTGTCCCGCCGTTCTCAATGCCTCCCTCTTCCTTGACGAGTTTTATAGAGCGAGTTCTTCCAACAAAACCTAGAGCACATCCCCCCAATTGCGTATACCCTGTTGTCATGCTGGACACGCTTCCACAGAATAGGCCATTCACCACTCGTCATCTGGGACGAGGCCCACTTCGGCAAGTTTGGCTCATTCTACCTGAAGCGCCAGTTCTACTTCGACGTACATCCTCCGCTGGGGAAGATGCTCGTGCGCTGGCAGGCCTGTTGTCTGGCTATGACGGGCACTTCGACTTCACCAGCGGGGCGTCGTACTCGGACAACGTTCCGTACGTGGCTATGCGGGTCATGCTGGCGACTTTCGGCGTTGCGTTAGTACCACTGGCATGGTACACGGCGGTGGAGCTTGGGATGAGCTGGAGAGCATGTCATTTGGCGGCGATCATGGTTCTGCTCGGTGCGTTTGGAATTCGTTCCGCTTGCATACATGCTAACTCCGTAGCCAGACGTCGGCTGGCTCTGTATTTCGCGGTTTATTCTACTGGACTCTATGCTTCTCTTCTTCACGTTCTCTACGGTTTTCTGTCTGGCGAAGTTCCATAACCAACAATATCAGCGAGTCCTCTTTGCTCCGCTGCCATTGGACATATCTGACTGACTGTGACAGATCATTCTCATTCGACTGGTGGTTATGGCTCGCAATGACAGGTGCATCAATAGGCTGTGTAACAAGGTAGATTACGTTCACTCTTCTCATTCGCGAAAGTTGACGATTACGCAGTGTCAAATGGGTCGGCATGTTTGTAACAGCACTAGTCGGTCTCTATACCATTGAAGACCTCTGGGAGAAGTTTGGTGATCTCCGGATGACCACGGTGCGTACGAATCTCGCATGCGCCAAACTATGACTGAGAGCATATATACACAGCGCGAACAAATGAGACATTGGGGAGCTCGTATCACATGCCTTATCACCCTGCCGCTCGTTCTCTACATGGCTTTCTTCAAAATCCACTTTATGATCTTGAATCATTCCGGACCAGACGACGCAAAAATGAGCTCGCTGTTCCAGGCGAATCTTATAGGCAACACATTCTCCCAGAATCCCTTGGTAGGTCTTTGCAAAGGTCACTCGTGATTACATGCTAATGGCGACGTAGAAATCGCTATTGGGTCAAAATCACTCTGAAGAACATGGGATGGGCCGGTGGCCTACTTCACTCCCACGTTCAGACCTACCCAGTGGCTCGTCACAGCAACAAGTAACGTGCTACCACTACAAGGACGAAAACAACGACTGGATGCTCCTCCCGAAGTGGGACGAGGCGGTTACAACCCCGAGGGTCCCATCCGATTCCTCGCTGACGGCGACGTTATTCGGTTCCAGCACGTTGCGACCAAACGCAATTTGCATTCGCATCCGATCCCCGCCCCCGTCTCGAAGTTGAACAACGAGGTGGCTGGTTATGGAGACGACAAAATCGGAGACTTCCAGGACTATTGGGTCGTCGAAGTCGTGGATGACCTCCGCCGTGGCAGCAAGGCCCATGTGGACAAATACACTCGTTGACCACTCGCCTGCGGCTTCGTCATCAGGCATTGGGATGTTACCTTCGTGCTGGCAACGAAATACTGCCTCAGTGGGGTTTCAAGCAGATCGAGGTCAGCTGCGACAAGGAGAACAACCCCAGTGACATCTACACCTACTGGAATGTGGAGACCCACATCAACGAACGACGTGAGTATCTCCTCGGATCCGCTAGACTGGTACTAAATCTAGTCAATCAGTCCCACCTGGTAATGCCCAGTTCTACAAGACGTCGTTCATGCGCGACTTCTGGCACCTCAACGTTGCGATGATGACGACAAACAATGCGTTGATCCCAGACCCGGACAAGGAGGATATCCTTGCCTCCAAGCCACTTGACTGGCCATTCTTGCGCTTGGGCCTGCGTATGTGCGGCTGGGGTGCGAACCAGTCGAAGTACTATTTGCTTGGGACGCCGGTGATATGGTGGGGGAGCACATTAAGTCTATTTGTTGCGGTCGCGGCCTTGGGTATCTACATGATTCGCAAGCAGCGCAAGTACGTGGACATGGAGCCCAGTAAGTGTTTTGCTTCCATGCAGCGCTCTGGTCGTTGATACAACCCCCCTTCTGCAGGAGAATGGGACCACATGGTCTACGTCGGGAAGGTAGCCGTCGTAGGATGGGCGTTGCACTTTGGTATGTTGTCTGGTCCGTGTCTCGACAACACCTATTGACCGAACTCCAGTGCCGTTCCTCATCATGGGCCGTGTAACCTACCTCCACCACTATGTGAGTTCGAGTGTGATCACGCTTCGCGCGAACTACTGACAAAGTTCACCTCAATTAGCTGCCTACGCTCTACTTTGCGGTCCTCACTTCTGCTCATGTGCTCGACCACTTTGTGTTCACCACCCGGCGCCTATCGGAGCGAACGAAGTGGATCGTGTTCGCTGTAATCGTCACGGCAATCGTCGGCACTTTCTGGTGGTTCCGAGGGGTTGCGTTTGGTATTGACGACGCCATCAACGACCACTGGGGACTCAAGTGGCGCTCGGTACGTTCACTAACTGTGCAAGACAATTCATGCGCTGACGCCTTCGTTAGACCTGGAACATGTACGAAGAATGAGACGGAGACGGACTCACCCTCACTTCCCTTGTTACTACTATCGTATCATAACTTAAGGCTAGTAAGGGTTCGCAGTAATATATTCTGTTCAACTACACAGCATCGAGTAGGCGTGCAACACCACTTTCAAGAGCAACGAAAACCAGACGATGTATTCCACTACAATAGCATGAGTTACAGATGCAAGAATTATGTCCGTGAGGGGCCCCAAGCACCCAACCTCCTATAGAACAACAGATATGCGCAACGCTCGTTTTGCTCCAGCCCACCGAAGACATCGTCAGGCCGGATGTCGGATACCAGCTCGTCATCGATGCGGATCCACGCCGCACGCGGACGGTCGGTGAGGTCCCGGTTAGGATGGAGGACGTCCAGGGTATAGTGACCTCCAGACGCGGATTGACCATGGTGATACAACACTGCAATGGGCATTAACGACCATTATTATTGGATGAAAACTGTCAGCTTACCTCCGAAGAGCTGATACTTGACCGGCTGGGCTGTTCGTTTGGTCGGTGCAATCAGATCTGTAACGAGTTAAGACAGTGCCACAGCCATTCGCCGGACAATCATACCTGGATTGATATCCAACTCGGGTCCGTAGGAGACCTGCTTGCTAATTTTGACCACATCCCCCACATTCGTGTCGTAGTGGAACCGCTTCAGGTGCAGCACCAAAACGGGGGGGAACACCTCAATCAGAGCCTGCTGGGTAGCCTCAACAACCACCCCCGGCCGGGTAGGCTGGCTGATCTGGACAGGCTGGGGTTGCGAGATGGACTGCAGCGCATCTTTGATGGTGTGCACGGTGTCGCGCTGTAGTCACGAATTCAACAGGGCAACTGACAGTGTCATCTGCCAAACGAACCTGGATGTCAAGTCTCAGCGAGCGCCAGTCCTCGACGGTGACGGAGTCTTTTTGGTGAGGCGCGCGCAGTATTGAGCGGAACTTGCCTCCGAAGATGCGGGTGATCGGCGAGTCCGTCGACTTAACCTAGGTTGCGAATGATCTTCAGCAGATGCTAATCGCACAACGGTGGTACTTACCGTTCGAGTGACCATGGCTCGGTTCTTTTTACCTACTTCATACCACCCGTCGTCATGAGCTGCCCCGTCGACTTCTTCAATTGGCTTCGGTGCATTCGGTGACAGCGACGAAGAGAGTGCGAGCACCTCTTCCTCGAGCGTATCAAGGAAGAAGCCCAAGAACTCTTCAGCATCTTCTTGGTGTCCGCCCTAAGTCCGCGTTGTTAGCTCAGCCAACAAACCACCCAAGCGAATGGAAAACACACAATCATGCTAGCAAACCGCTTTTTCTCCTTCATCGCGTCGTACACATACGACGGTATGAACGCCTCCGGCTCATAAAACTCGTCGCGCTCCTTTCCCTTCGCCTTCACGTCCACGGGCGATTCCGGTACGAACTCCCGCACGAACTTGATGATCGCGTCTACGAGCGGCGTTGCCTTCGAGCCCTCCTTCTGCGAGCCGACCACGGGGCCCGCGAGGTACTTGCTGAGCTCGCTGAACAGGCGGTTGAACGGCTGGCAGTAGACGAGGATCTGGAGGACCGCATTAGCGAAGCACATGTTACCCGTGTTGATCAACCCGCGCGGCTGGATCTTGGGCGGAATGTTCGACGGCGGGGGACCGTTGTAGATGAGCTTGAGGAGCTCGTTGCGATGTGCAACGGCTGCGAACCCGCTGGAGACGGCGCTGGGTCCTGCAGACGCGCCGCCCACGGAGGTGGCGGGGATCGAGAATCCGACGACCGACGACGTTGGGAGGCGCGACTTGGACGAGGAAGCGGCGGCGTCGCCAGACTGCAAGAGAGATGCCCATGACTTCTTCATGGCGGGCTTCGCAGGTGCTGGAGCTGGGGCGGGTGCCTGCTGTGCTTCTGTGGGTTGAGCTGGAGGCACAGGAGCCGTCACTCCCGACGCCGGCGGCGGATCTTCGCTAAATGGAGGCACAGGAGCAGCTACATCGACGTTCGACGCGTCGGTGGAGTCTGGGACATCAATGAGCTTGCCAGACGAAGGAGACGTGACAGGAAGAGAAACAGAAGTGCGAGAAGTCGCTGGCGAACCGGGTACAGGTGTCTCGCCAGGGGTCGAAGAAGCCGGTGTCGACTCGGTGACCGAAGAAGAGGGCACCTCCAGTTCGTCGGGCGAGGCGTTAGCGAGTTCTTCAACAGGTTGAACTTCATGCACAGAAGGTTCAACGGCAAGCTTAACAGACGGAACCTTAGGCGACGGCGGAGGGGTGGGCAGCTCGAGCGCTTGATGGACAACATCGTCTGGCGGGAACGCTTTCGTCGCTATTATGACACCAGGAGCATGCAAGGGATCCTCCGGCCGACGCGACCAGATGACCCAGCCAGAGGGCTCACTCGACGATGTACTCGTCTCGTTAGCAGGTCCGGATGATGCGGGCTGCGCGACCTCAGAGTCATCGTCTTCGAGGTCCTGTTCGGACAAAAATTCAATTTTAGGTGTTCGCGGGACCGGTTCAGAGGCAACCGTCGGTTCCGGAGCAGGATCAGAAGAGGTCGGAGCTGTGGGTTCAGCAGGTTCCTCGGGCTGTGGCAATTGAACAGGAGGCTGTTCAGGAACATGTTGCAGAGGAGCAGGTGTAGGTTGCTGAAAAGCAGTTGGCTGCTCAGGAGAAAGGTGCTGAGGTGCTGCAAGAGGTTCTGCAAGAGGTTGCTGCGGTGCCGCCATCTGCACAGGTAAGAGTTCCTGCTGGAGTGATTGAGCAGGAACGGGAACCGGTGATCGCGCCGCGGGTGATAGCATCGAGAGCTGTTTTGGTACAGGAGGCGGCTGTGCCCACCCAGGATGGTAGCCTCCGTTTGGCTGAGGATGATAGGTAGGGGAGTAGGGAACGTGAGTAACGTGCGGCGAGAACTTAGGAGCGTGAGGGTGGGTGTACGGGTTGACTGGAGAAATGGGTGGTGACTGCATGTTCGCGCCAGGGTGCAAATTATGAGGCGGCGGCATGGGCGGATAGTGCTGGTAACCGGGCATACCACCCCTCTGCGAATGTGCAGGATACCGTCCTCGGTTGGGCGAGTTGATTCGAGGCGACGCGGGTTGGTGCATCTGCGGGTGCCCATTCATGGGAGGCATGTACGGGTTGTAGTAGGGTGCCGGGCCAGGTCCATTGCCGTAAAACTGAGGAGGCGGAGGCGGATTGTGATAGTACGACGGTCCGGACTGGGATATGAAGGATGTGGGCTGGCCATTGCTGTGTGCAGAATGCATGTAAGACTACGAAAGCTTGGGACACGCGTAATCGCTTGCAACGATAGTCATAAGTGCACTTACAGTCGTGAGGTTATGTGGTTTGTCCAGATGGCAAACCTAATCGACGCCAGTGCATATGCCAAGTCCCGAAGGCTGGTAAAAGAGGTGCGGGGTGCCGGGAGACGACGTGTACGTGCTTGACAGACGGTGGGTCGTTCGACCTGAGAAGGCGATGTTCCGCTGAGTCATGGAAACACATTAGCACTGCAAGACTGCCTGTAAGTATGTCTGCACACTCTAACCTGTTTTCCTGTCAGTTCCTGAAGGTGCAGTTGCAGGCAGGGTCGCAGGGCAGCGCGATGTGGACGCAGGTGGACGCGGACGACGAGACTGCTGAGCGACTTGAGGCGCCCGCACGGCAAGCGACTTTTGCAGCCTCCGTCCCAGTCGCCACGTCCCTTTAAGCGCCTTCCAAGTCTGGGACACTTCCATTTGCGACAGCTACTCTCTTCTCCTGCTCGTCCTGCTCAGAGCCTGGTTGCGCGTGTTCCCCTGTGGAGGGAGACGCGCTCGCATCCCAGGCCTCCGTTCGCGTCAAGCACAGGTGCATGGACCGCTCGCGCAGCCATGTCCACCGCCGTCGAGCTCTCCATCAATGATGACCACCCTCTTGCGCTGGAGCTCACGAGCCTCCGCTCTGCAGTAGACCGCTATCAGGTGAAGCTCGGAAGCCTCGGTGGTGATGTTACCTTCACCAGCATGCCGAAGCGCCCGTTCACTGACCTGCAGGCTTCCTTGCCAGCACGAGGCCCACGCTGCATCCGTCAAGCTCCAGAGACACTCGCTTGATACCACCCATGCTATTGAACGCGCGTATGCGCTCGAGGGCGAAAATGTAAAGCTCAGGGAGGAGCTCGCCACTCTCAAGGCACATCCGGATACCACACCCCATCCGGCGTCCCTCCAGGTGCAGGAGCTCACCATAGCTCACCGACGGCTCTCGGACAAGCTCACAGATACGGAGGAGGCCCTCCTGGCTCGCACCACTGAGCTTGTGAACGCTCAGAGCGACTTCGCTAGGATACAGAATTCTGTTGACGCCGCGCATGAACTAGCAGCTCAGAGACAAGGTCAAGTGCAGGTGGCTCAGGCGAAGCAAAGGGAGTTGGAACGGAAGCTACGATCCGCCGAGGAGGAGCGCAAACTCTCGGATCTGGTCGTCCAGGAGTATGCGGACCTCGTCCGGACGCTCGAAGGCAGGCCTAAAACGCAGGCTGCTTCAGCCTCAACTACGTCGTTCCCCTTGGGTAATGCAGGTAACAACTCCAGCACAACACTGGTAGACAGCCTATCAGAAGGAAAGTCCGGTCTGCAAAAGCTGCTAGGCGAGCTCAACGGCGAGCACGAGCAACTTAGCGCGGAAATCAGTCGCCTTCAGGGGGAACTTGGCAGTCTGGCGAGCGAACTGGATGTCGAACGGAACCACGGGCTGGACGATCGTGCGCAGCTTGCTCAATCCCTCGTCGATATGGAACGCTACAGAATTGACGACAACACGGCTGCGAAGATGGTTTCTCGTTACATGTACGTTGCAAATAACCTCGGGTTCTACCATGTTTGCTTACCCTGGTCTCCGCAGGAAGTTCTCTCAGTCCGCGACCGATTCCCTCCAGAAAGCCATGGAAGGCATGAAAGCCCGGTATACCGCCAGCGCCGCCACGCTCGGTGCCCAAATCAACTACCTACAGAAGGCCCTCGAGACCGAACGCCGACAGTCCGAGAAGCTGCGCCAAGTCCTGGATGATCTCACCGAGGATATCTCGCGCGAAGCGTACGGGCGGCGACGAGAGATCTCACTGCGCCTCGCGTTCCTCGGACGCGAAGAGAGCCTCGCGGAGAGCTTGCGGAGATGGATCAGGCGCTCGAGGGAGTCCTTCGATCGGTTGAAGGCTGCACAGGGGGATCTCCCTTCAGGAGTGCAATCCGTATTCGATGGGAGCGTCCGCGATGCTGAGGCACTCCTCGAGACCCTAAATGGACAGCCTTCGGTGGAACCTGGTTCGACGGGTTCCATAGCTCGTGTGGTCGCCGCACAAAATATTGCCGCAATTCTAGCTCGCGAGCTACAGATGGAGACGGACAGGCGGATGCAGGTGGAAAGGCGGCTGGCGCAGCGACGCGTCTCGCGATCCCCGACGCCTGCGGGGGTATCAGAGGGGTCGGCGGCGAATGGCGATGCGGATGCTGGGCTGGCGAGGCCCCTGCCCGTTCGAAGTACGTCGCTTCGGGCCTCCGTAACTATCGCCCCCAAAGATGCTGTACGTGAGTCGCCGCTGCCGGAGCCCGTCAAAGAGACCCAGTCGGTGGCGCCTGCTCCGGCACCACAAATTGTCGTCTCAGAGGAAAGGGCAGCATCCACACCGGTCGCAGATGTACGCGCAGCACCCGTCGAGCTCCCAGCAGAATCTGCTCCCGAAGCAGATACGCCATCTGTTTCTGCTGACAGCACTCCTTCTCCCGTTGTGATAGACACTCCCTGTTCAGAACCTCCTCCGGCTCCTGCAGCACTCAACTTCGCCGTTGTACCGATTAACGATGCGGCTACAGAGAGTGGGCCCGTCACTGCACCCGTTGTGGATGCACGAGTAGAGACGGACCCCGCTACAGACATCCTGTTCCAACCGCTCTCTGCTCCCCCAATCCTAGTCACTTTGACAACGAATGTCGAGGACGGACTGAAGGTGCCGAAATCAGCGCCTCCACCAATACCCCTCTCGGCAACCGTCGCATTCCCGTCAGTGGGCGAGGGTGAGCAGTCGCCGCCTGTGGTAGACATGGTCTCGCTCCCTGCTTCCATACTGGAGCAATCCACAGGACCTCAAGCCTCTCTCTTATCCGAACTGAGGCAAGCGAAGGACCGATACGACGTTTTGCAACGCGGCTTCCGTGACTGCCACCTCGCACTGAGAGACTTGAAGAGGGACCTCTCGTCTCTCGGCACCACCTCGGAACTTGCGATCATCCTGCAGAAAGCCGTTGAGCGATTGGACGACTTCAATGAAGATGCGCGAGTGGAGTTGGAGATCCGGATATCGGACGAGGCAAGGATCTCATCTGGCTATGAGGCGCTGTTGACAATCCCGGGGGCGATGTCGGACGAAGTGGACGAGGTAGCGATGGAGGCAGAGATGCGGGCGTTCGTGGACGGTACGGACAAGGCGGTCAAGAGAGCGACGGACGGGTTCAGCCGCAAGCTCGATGACCTCCAACACGACATTGCGTCTGTGAAACGTGCGCTGCACGATTTGACTGCTGCTTCTGTCGACTCTCCTGTGGCATCTTCACCGCCCACCACGTCGCCCTCATGGACCTCTTGGACGACGAACCTTCTGAGCCCCTCCCACTCTGCCAGTCCGGGCCCTGCGCCTACCTTCGGGTCGGTTATGACCTCGCCACGTCTCCGGCAGTCGTCCTTCTCGTCTCATCCAGGAAGGCTCCGATGACTCTCCCAGTCCCAGTAACGATCCATTCGCAAGCCTAGATTTGCGGATAGCCATGCCAGCCCACGTCGTGCCTGCGCTGCCGTCGACCCTCCGCGACCCGCATCAAGGCCCCGCGTCTCGTCGACTACGTACATGCTCGGGCTGGGAGCGCGGAGCGCCTTCGGTTTGAACGCTATGTCTGGGGCGAAGTCCTCGCCCAGTCGGTTAGCTGAGAAGAAGGAAGAGAGCGCTGTCTCCGATGAGGACGGTGGATCGGACGTCGAATGAAGGAAGTGTATATGCTGCTGTGCCTAGTTGTACCTACGTAGTTTATCAAACACTCCGAGAGCAATTGTTCCGAAGGGACGCGGCTTTCTGATCTCGGAGAGCGTTCGTACATGACCTTCGGTGACTTGCCAGAATTAGTAACCGAGGAGTCTGCGGTCCCGGTTCCGCGCTTGTGGTGAGCGATGTCAGTCGGACTGCTTCAGGGTCGACTTTCCCAGCGTTTTACTGTTTGAGAAACTTCGCTTCCGTCCACCACCTTGTTGAGAATGTCTTCTGGTACTATGACCCAAACCCACACTGCACCCCGCGGAGGACGCAAAGGAAGAGGCCGCGGCGGCCGAGGAGGCTCACAAGGACAGAACGGGAAGAGTGCAGGACCGAGAGTCGTAGAGAAGGCTGGCCAGGTTGAGATCAAGGCTTCAGAGTCTACGAAGACAGTGCTGAGCAGCACGGATGCTGCTCCCGCGCAGGAGGCCGACGACGGAACGTTATGTTGGATTTGCGCCGAGCCCGTCAAGTATTGGTCCTTGTCGGAGTGCAACCATCGCACTTGTCACGTCTGCGCACTGCGGCTGAGGGCACTCTACAAGAAACACGAATGCACATTCTGCAAGGCATGTGTTGTCGGAGAACGGATCTGAAGTGTGTAAGGACTAACTTGCGTCTCCTTCCAGGAACCCCAGCCATACGTTATCTTTACGACTTCTTCGGATGCGCTATGGCCCTCGTACACGCCAGATCAGGTCCCGTACAAGGATCCCAAGTTGTCTATCTCGTTTGAGACACAGGAGATGATGGAGGACACTCTGATCCTCCTCCGGTTCAACTGCCCCGACAAGGACTGCGACTACGTTGGCAATGGCTGGAGCGACCTGAAACTACACACCCGAGCAGCGCACAGCAAGCTCATGTGGTAAGCTTTCGTGTGTTCGCATCCTCCATGTTTGCCCACTTATCCGCTGGCGTTGATGCAGCGATGTCTGCATACGATACAAGAAGATATTCGCGCATGAGCATGCATTGTATCCTCCAGACCAGCTTCCCCTTCATCTTCCGTCTATGCAGCGCGGCAGGCATCACGCAGTACCGCACCATCAGATAGAAGGCGGGGTTCATCCTCTTTGCGAGTTCTGCCACGAGTGCTTCTTTGGCGACGACGAGCTCTATGCGCACATGAGAGAGAAGCACGAGGAATGCTTCATCTGCAAGCGCAACGAAGTCAAAGATCAATAGTACGCAATTCTAACATAAGACTTGAACATCCTCTTATCTACGATCCTGCAGTTTCCGGAACTATGACGCCCTGGTGAGCTTGCTCTAACATCTATCATCGAAGTTTGCTTGACTCGCGGCGATACTACAGGAGCAACACTTCACGCATGCACATTACCCATGCAACCGTTCCGAGTGCCTACAACGCAAATTCGTCGTGTTCGGCTCGCTCCTAGACCTCAAAGCACACATGGTAGAAGAACACGGCGCAGACATGTCCACGCGAGACAAGAAGGCCGCTAGTCGTATCCAAGCTGAGTTCGAGTTCGAGGAGGTCGGCGGCAGACGAGGGCGAGGTAGACGAGACCGCGAGCGCGATTGGGACCCACCGCCTGCACCGGCCCCTCCTGGCCCGTCGCGTCCCGCGGGCGCCGGCGGGCGCAGGAGGGAGGCCTTTGGCGGTAATTTGACCACTCAAGACATTAATGCGAACGTGACGCCCAACGGACAAACACCAAACCGCAGTCGACAGCAAAGTAGACGTCCATCGCCCTCTCCGGGCGACGCGGAAGAAGCTGGAACATCCGAGTATGTTGACGACCGCACTAAAATTCTGCTCTGACTCTTGTTGATTTCGCGTATACAGGCGGGCCGCTGTTCTAGTGGCACGTATCAGCTCCCTCGCACCCAACCCAACCGCCGCTGTGCCCGCAATTCAGGCCGCCATGCGTTCCTATCGTGTTTCCGAGTCGGGTGCTCGTGACTTGATCTCGACTGTGTGGAACATCCTCGACCGAAACCTGGACGGCACAGCGAGCGTCGTCAACTTGCTCGTCGATGCGTTAGACGAAGAGGACAAGAAACGGGAACTACTCACAGCATGGAACGGCTTCAAGATAGAGGTAAGAATGCTCCACTTTTCTTGGTTCATAGACTTACTTTTTTTGATTCAGCAACGTGGACAGTTCCCCCAACTCGTACCGACGTCTATTGGCACTGAATGGGCCGGTGTAACAAGCGGGCGAGTCCTCAACGCCAAAAATTCGACGTCTACGCGAGCGTCCGCACAGTCATCAAGACAAGTCTGGGACCGCGTAGCGCAAGCAGCTGCATCATCCTCTGCTTCACCATCACCCACGCCTCAGAGATCGCAGGAGCGGTTTCCTACCTTGCCCACCCCTGGGCCGTCGACGAGCACGACGTCGTTCCGTCAACCACAGCGGATCACGCCTTGGGCATCAGCCTCGTCCGCGAAGCCTGTTGCCCGCGTTCCGACGTCCGTACCTGGACCGGGCGCAAGTATAAGTCGACCAGCGTCGTCGTTGTCAAAGTCCGCATTCCCTGAATTGCCGTCGGCATCGAAGGCACAAGTCCCCAGAGCCGCTATAGGCGGAAACAAGTCCCTGCGAAACATCATAGGAGATGTCGCCCCCTCCGTGCCTGCGTGGACCAATGGTGGCAGCAGCTCAAACGGTGCAAACGGCTCGAATGACCCTACACCGGCAGAGGCGAACTCCGTGCAAGCAGAGCAGACATCAGGCAAGGGAAAGAAAGGCAAAGGGAAGCAAAAGCAGACGCTGTTCACTCTGGGTACCTTCCCGACTTGAGTGGAGAGATCATCCGTAATTTGATGTAGCCATAGTTCCTTCACGATGTAACTTAGCTACATAGGTGGCACTGATACGTAGCCTTTTGCATGGTAGAGCGGGGTGTCGTCTACCCGAGGATCACGTATCGAGCGATACCTGGTCTGGAACTAAGACCTCGCGGAACGCCACCTCAGAAGTCGAACGCAAGTGTCGATGCCGAGATGGACATAATAACTGAACAACTACTGCTGCTATACTTGAGCGGATGACTTGAATCAGAAGACGGCTCACCGAAGGCATGACACTGTACTCACCTCTGTATGACACCCATAACCCACCTAGTTCTCCGCCAGCAGATCCCGGACCGCGAGCCCAGAGACTATTGTGTCTTCAGGAAGTTCTGCTCACGTATCCGCTGTCGGTTTTCCTTCCTCAGCGCAACCTTCTCCGTCTTCCCGCCTGGACCATCGTTCGGCAGCTGCCTCGGCCCAGTAAGCTTCCACAACCAGTCGGGATACGCGTCATCCGCTTGCGCGACCACCTCCTCTTGACCCTTCAAAAAGTTCAGGCCCGTCAAGACAGTGCCCTCCGGACATGACGATTTCACTGTAACGACCCATGACAGTTAACGGAGGGAACTAAGCAAGGGCGGCAGACCTACAGAGTACAACCTCTGACTTCTCTGCTGGAGTTGCAGCCTTGCTTGAGGATGCCTGCGCAGGATTGCTTGCGCTAGCGTAGCATCTTCGAGCAGGAATCCAGGCATGGAGGGCTAGTGGCCGGCGTAGTGGACGGAGGAAGGACATGGCGTGACGTGACTCTTCGTCACCAGGTAACTTAAGACAATACGGTGGTTGCATAAGCGCCCATTCCCTAGCTCCAGTACTTACTCAGTCCAGCACCCAACGTTCTCAAGATCTGACTAAATCTGACTCCTTTGAGACCTGTCAGTGTGTTGGACCCAGCGACTCTGAGTCGGAATACGCTCACGTTCACTCGCGATCGTGATCGTACGTGGCATCAGAAAGGTGAATCTACACAACGACGCGTCATAAAACTTTCTGACGAGTAGTATGTTCAAAGGATACCAGTGATCGCACAGAGGGTAGCGAGACACTGTTGCTTCGCCTCCATCGCTGCCCATTGACAGCTCTCGGCGGAACTACCGCCCGCGGCCCCATGCATCGCTGCTTCCAGACTCCAGATATTGTACGCTTAATAGTGAACAGCCTATGGGGTGCAAACGAGCGCAGGATCGACAACCCAGCTGACCCGGTATCCCTGCGAGTAACATATAGATCACTCGCATGTCTTGCACGGACGTGCAAGACACTCCAGCCCCACGCACTCGATGCTCTATGGAGTCTCCAGTGGGGTATTGAGAACCTGCTTCGGTGCATGCACCCACGTCTGTTGGTTACAAAGAAAGTCTCCCTGGGTCCCGCTAAAGGAAAGATTTTCATGCTAGTAAGTTCCGCTTTAACTATGCATTGCCTCCGTACTCAATATGTGAAAGTGCCTCACCAAAACCAAGCTCGATCCTACCGACTGGGGTAATTTCGATTCTTACGCACATCGAATCAAGAGATTGAAGATCTCTTGGCCGGGACATCTCACCCTGACTCCCGCGGAACCGTGCGTCTACCGTGCCTTGGCCATTTGTGACCACCACCGACGGCCATACCTCCCAAACCTCACCCACCTCACATACGATATGTCCGAGTTATCGCCAGACATACTCAGCTTCTGTGTCACCCTTCTGGGGCCGTCGACTCGCTCGCTACATGTACACGGAGGCCAGGGAGACTTGATCACCATGCCTTTTCTGTTGTCATCTTCCTTGCGCCTCTCTCCATCAATACGAGAGCTAGCGCTTACGCTTGGTTCATCTCCAGATGGTTTCTCATCGTTCACCAATGCATTAAAGCTGCTCGACAGGGTGCACACTCTGTCGCTTACGCTACATGCGCCGCCTCCGGTCGAGCTATGGAATGCGCTCGCAGCAGCGCCGCCTCTCATTCGCTTGACGCTTGGCCTTCCTAGAGGCTCGTTGTGGAACTCCGCAATCACTTCTAACTTGGATTCGGGAACCGTGCTCAACCTCAGCCGAATCACCCATCTCACTTTGCGCGACGTCAATGCTGCCGACTGCGTGCGAATATTTGGATCCTGCTCATTCGCGAGCCTCGTGGGCGTATACATCACTTTCCCCTTCAGGGGACCAGCCAATGGTCTTGAGCTCGCTGAGGCTCTGGCCGCGTCATGCCCCCCTACTCTGCGTGAATTATCGCTTCACTCCTCAGTGAAGCCCTTCTTGGGCATCCCTGCCGATCGACTCCTCCTCTTCTGCGGTTGCCGAGAAGTTGAACGTGTCGATCTGTCGGTCGTCTCCGACCTCGATGATGCGACTTTAGAGGGCATTGCACGTATGTGGCCGAACCTGCGCAAACTAGATTTGATGTCCCACAGGGGCCAACAACCGAGAGAACAGCCTGAGGGCAATGGCACTACCCCGGAAGGCTTGGCGAACCTCGTCAGCGCGTGCCCCCATTTGCGCGAGTTGTCACTCCAGACGGACTTTCGCTGTGTAGATATATCGAAGGATCGGCCATGGTCCGGCTCTACCAGCGAGCATATCAGAGCCGTCGACGTCGGTTCTTCCCTAATCGCGGACGCGGCCCTCACTGCTGCATTCCTGTCTGACTTATTCCCCAACCTTGTCGCAATATCTCAGCACGGTGGTACTCCGGACCCTGCCGGACGATGGGCAGAAGTAGTTCGGCTATTGAGTATTTTCACGACAGTACGCGCCCAAGAGAGGCGGAGACACACCCAGTCAGCCCAAAGGACTGCAGAATTTGAAGGTAGACGGCCGCAAGGGAGCACAGTGATGACTACTGCACCAACGACTCGTATTACTGTGCTGGAGCCTGTTGCAGGCATAGATTGAGTTGCGTGTTGTCACTGCTAGCCACGTAGCCTCGCACTTTCATTCGAAATTTACAACTCGGGTTTCCTTCTATCTTGTGGTTCAGTAGCAGATCTACAGTGTATGAACGCGTCGGGCCGAGCTAGGGGTTTTGGGTGTTCTCTTTGTTCGCGACTCTATGACTATCTATTGCCGTTTGTCGAATTAGTTAGCTTCTTGGAAGGAAACGGAGACTCGGAGTCCATACATAAGTCTGATGAAGTATGTCTGGGACCAGGTACGATGGACCGCAGGGGTAATGTGTATTTTGGTAGAGAAGGCAATACAGACGAGATTTCGATCTCTATCTCGTCGTCTTCCAAGATGTCGGAGTGCTGAGGGCGAGGGGTGCTTAGGTGTACGTCCTGTTACTCAACCTGAAGTCATGAATAAGCAGACGTACCAGAACGAAGCTTGACCGGAACTCATCCGACTCCTCGTCTTTGCTGTGGCACTTCGACGACGATCGCTTGAGAGTACTCACCGTTAGCTGATATAACAAGCTCGAGCAAGAAGAGCGTACCATTCCATTACGCAGCAGTGCGAGCCATCGACGTCTCTGACGTCGGCTATTTTCGTCGAAATGAGAATTTGTAGTCGATCCACTCCGACGGTAAGATAATACCTCCAGGTGTTCTCAAAGACGAGCTTTGAGTAGCTTGGTTGGTCCTTGCGGAATAATGAGCGCATTATTTCTTTGTGTCGACAAAACGAGTGAGATGGAAGGGGCCGATGACAGTGAGCGCGACAAGCCTGAGGTCAATACCTGCGCAAGGACTATATATACCGCGATCGGCGGCACTCCAAGGATGTCGCATGGCCACCATGAGGCGTCCAGACAAGTGATGAAGGCGATGGCGAGTCCCAGGCATGCTGAAAGTGGCAATACCGAAATGACTCCTCGGCATGTATCTGAAACAGATACAATGTGGCAGGAAAGACATATGCCATAGGGGATCTACGGTTGATGTTAAGATTAAAACCACGCCGATGTAGCAAGCTCTACCTACGTTTCGTAAACTTGAATCATGTATACAGACTGCTGAGCGCGAACAGAGGAACAAAACAGGTTTCGAACGACTCAAAAATAGAATGCAGCAGGTCTTGCTACGCGCCTCGGATATATGAGAGGATTAGACCACTTCGTTCGAGTATTCAGCGAAGCAGATAGCTCCTCGACCAAGGTTCATTACCGTGCATTTGGCGCCACTGGCAGTGCTTCATTATAGCATCGACATAGCATCGTCGATGATTCTGATGTCTTTTAAACGGTGTCAAAGAATGTACGTGCTTGCAAGGATTGAGATTACCCTGGTAACACGTTTTTCAGAATTTGTATGCGACCGTCATTTCGCAATCCGTGGAATCGACACGAGGCGCTGCGGAATCTGTGCACACTATGCTCAGCAACTGAAGTCAAGAGACATTTCAATGAGACAGCCACCCTTGACGGGACGTAGCTTGTGTAACCGAGTAATCGACCAGGGCTTTGCCGCAGGCTCCGAGTCCGAGTCCTATTTGCTGGCTGAAGACCCCGTCTGCCAGTGGCAGGCGCTAGTGTTAGCGGCCTAACTGCGAGGAGACAAGAGCTGCTTTCAACACCACCGGTTGAAGCCGTGCGAGCATCGAGTACAAGAGATAAATAAAGCACCCGACCATATATACCATTGAGATGCTGTTGAGATGCAATGGCCAGGGGCCCTGGCACCATGAACAAGTTCAGATTTACTCCGGTGGCTCCGTGGAGTCTCCGCGGCTGAGATCAAACAGATCTGAGATTGGTCTTCCGTAAAAGGCAAACCTCTTGGGGCACTAGAGGTTCCCACCAAACAAAACAGAGACGCGCGGTGAACAATGCATCCTGTTCAACCTTACACTGCTCCTTCTTCTCGCACACATAGTGGCTCAATACGCCGTTTGGATGGCGACGCAGACTTGGTACTATCAGGTCGGAGGATTCCAAGGTCACCTCAGGTAAGGCGGTCCCTGAGCTGCATGGTGGATCACCCTTCTCAGAGTGCGAGTGGCAGGGAGATCCCCGACGAACGGCTACTGCAATGTCCTGACGGCGAAGGCCTTAGTCTCGTGCTAGGTATGACTGCAGAATGTCTTTTGCGATACAAGATCGTAACGCATCCCGCGCGCTGACCCTGGGACTCGCTAGGTATCCGACCGAATGGCGCATCCTATCTGTTGCTCCCCGAGTCGCGTTTCCGCGCTTTGCGCTGGAGACTACCAAACTCGCAATATGATCTCGCGGAAAAGTTTCTATCGTTCTCTCCCATTCATTTTGCCTATCGTGCGGAGCTCGAGAAGAAACTGAAGTCTTACGCATCGACCAAGTCCAACAAGGGGATTCCAAGGGATAAGATCAGAGACCGGTCGAAGGCGAACACATCGTTTACTGTCGCCGGAAGTGGTCTTTCCGAAGCAGGGAGAATTCGCAGCTCCTTTGAGATGCAGAGGTAGGTTATCATCGTTACCGCCTATTGCCTGCTGCTAATGAAGAGCAGGGTTCTCGTGCTATCTCGCCCGATGCTGAGAGAGCTAGATCGTACTCAGGCTGTCGAGCTCTCTCTGCACAACGTTCCAGAACAATTAACCATTGTGTCTCTGTGCTACAATACATGGAAGGCCGACACTCGCACGATGCGCGAGAGGGAGACGGACCCCAAAGTCTTGGACATTGGATGGACGACATGGTCTAAACCAGCGCAATGGAATGGGTCTCAGATCACGCCGTCAGAGACCACGCATGTGGTAGTGGAGGAGGAAAGATACTTGGGCAATCCTGGCCTTAAGCGCATTGTACGTCGTAACCAAAAATGGGTCAATGACCAACGACACTAAACATCTGTGGTGACGTAGGAATGCGAGTATGCGACCACGACATACAAGAAACGAGGCGAAATTGCCTGGAATTTGTCAGTGGCACTGAGTGGAAGATACCCCATCGTACTTCTGGTTCACGATGAAGCGCGAACTTTGACGACACTCCGCGCACTCGGCATAGACACCTCAGAATGGGTCTCAGGCATTGCAAGCCTTCTATACGAGAACGCGCGCGAACCTGTGCAGACTATGCACAGGTCGTCGCGTTCTCGCTCTCCTGGGCGGCGAAGCGAGCTAGCCGACCGGGTCGAACGCGACCGCCGTCCCGCCGGTGCTACTGTGTACGTCGTCGACGTGCGCAGTTTGTACCTGGCCCTGAGGCAGATAGCGCCAGCTACAGACAATGTCCCCACCAATTCTCGGGGACTGGGTGTGCACTTGGATCCGCCCAAGGATAAGCCTGGCGCAGTGACGCCTAAAGTCATCGCCGAGTCGGATAGATGGTGGTGTGCGGGGACCGAGAGCTTGTACGTAGTCTGTGCTTTCATTTTTGCACAACGCCTCATTGATCTCAATATGGTCATGCAACAAGGTTGCTGGGCAAGATGTGGTACTCTATGGCGCGCGGGCCCAACATCGACGATCAACGGGCGTTGAGGTCGTCCACCGCCCTGATCATCGATGCGGCGGAAAGGTCAGTCGCTTCCGTAGGCATAGAGCCCGCGGCAGTGGGCTCGACTGCTGAGGATTCGGACGACGAGTTCGATCCAAACGATATTCTTCCACAGGCCGGGACTGCGCCCGCGCCTTCCACTTCGACTTCACAGTCAAGTGGTGTGAAGACTAACATCAGCTTGATGGATCCCGACGGCTGGGATGATGCCTCCGATGACGACTGGTGAAATCTATTTGTGACAGTTTCTTCAAAATCTGCTTTATGTGTATCTCTCCCTCGTATCCCTCTCAATGCTGTCGTTGTCGATATCGATGTTCACCCGTATCTCCCTGTTGACATACCCTGTACTATGCTTGCACGCCGGAACTCACTTATATCATGATACACTGCTTGGTAGATCGTCCTGACATTCACAATGACGCACGTACCACCCCAACATCCCCATGCCTAATCCGTATCACGACCTTGCCAAACTGTTGCCCCTTGCTGATCAGCTCGAAGCCCTGTTCGGCGTTTTCCAGGCCATCAATGACATGTGAAACGATGGGCACGAAGCGGTGTTCAGCCATGAACTTCGTCGCGTCGATCAAATCCTTGTGCGAGCCCATGGTCGACCCGATGACTTGCTGATTCTTGAGCACCTCTCGCATGGTGAAAGTCACCATGGGCGCAGCAGTCCTGAGCTTCCTCCAGTCAGAGTTGTGGAGCGAGTCGTTGTTTCACATAGACGCACATTCCGTAGATGACCAGTCGGCCACCAGGCTTCAGGATCCTGCTGACATTGGACATGATGTCACCTCCGCCGGAGTCGATAACAGCGCTCAGGAAGGGCGTTCGCGGACTGTTTTCTTTGAGCAGTTTCTCGAGCTGCGCAGGCCACTCGTCTGTGCACAGACATGTCGAACGTCAGCAATCTTGTCAGTTTCCGTCTAGTACGAGATAATTGAGTACCTGCTTTGTAATTGACACCAGCCTTCGCACCAAGGGAAACGGCCTGGCGAATCTTGTCTTCGGAGCTGCTTGACACGTACACGTTCGCACCGTGGGCGAGACAAATCTGCATAGCAAGCAGAGCAACTCCGCCCCCTATGCCAGTGATGAGGACGTTGTCACCCTTGTCCACACGTGCATTGACTACTGAGGCCCTTCGTGCGTACCGCGAGTCAAGTTTGCCCTCATGGACCGATAATGTACGAGGCCTACCTCCATGCTGTTAAGCCGCCAAGAGGCCATGCAGCGGCATGCTCATCATCCAGATGGTCAGGCGTAAGGATGACCTGATCGCGTTCGACCGCAACGTATTCAGCGAAGGTGCCCAGAGGAACAATCTTCCCGCCCCCCAGAATCGTAAATTTGCTGTTCGTGGCACATTCGGTCTCAGCGTCGCCTGGACGTCTGACAGCGAACACTCACGGCGACTCGGGCGCGTCTGGGTGACTTTCCCAACCGCGCATAGGGACTAGGAAGACTCGCTTGTTCAAGAGCGCGTCGTTCGCGTCCGCCGCGGCAACGACGGTTCCTAGCACCCCTTGAGGCTCAGGCGATGAACGAGTCAGTCATAAGCGCACCTGCACCGTCTGAGCCAAACGCGGCTCCAAAAGCAATCCCAGGATACAGGCCCTTGCGTATCCAGACCTAGCAATCATGGCTCACGTTCAACGAGCTACGATCCATCGCAAATTCTGGACCAACATCTCGGTGGTTGAAGCCCGCTGCACCGAGCTTCACGAGGACTTCACCCTTCTGCAGGGGTGGGATCGCCCTTTGCTCGAGAGCGGCATCGTGGTAACGAGGCTCGCGGCCCGCGGGCGACTTGCGCACGGTGATCACCTTGGTGGAAGTGGGGGGCTGCGACATGGTTGCGAACTCGCGTACAGATGACAAGGGTAATATATGTGCGATATGGGTCACTCGAGCAGACCTTGGGGCGCGCAGCATACACTGTTGGGGCTAGCTTGACCTGGCGACTGAATGTGGGACTCCTCCCTCCGGATGAGCGCGTAGAGTGGGATTAGCGGACGCAATCACGGGCTTACTAACGACACACTTGTCATATAAGGCAGGCGACCTTCCTTCTAGGGTCATGGGTTCCCGCGCAATTCGGAGCGCCCTTTGCGCGATCTCGCCTTCGCTTGCCCCAAACGCATTCTGCAAATGGCCAGACAACTGCGCTCTCGAGCCTCTCGCCCGAACTATGCCGCCTTGTTCCAGTATGACGAAGATGAAGACGATGGCGCGGGACCGTCGAGTCAACCTGTGCTCGAAGATGAGGGCGACAGCGGCAGCGACTTCGCGCCAGGCGAAGTCCCCGACCAAGCCGCCGAGGAAGACGATGACATGGTAGACGAAGATGCAGAGGCGGAAGAAGATGTACCAGAGGAGGAAGGCTCACGAGAACCCTCCATAGGCCTTGCCTCCGACGTAGGCGAACCATTCACCGCGGCTAGCACCCGAAAGCCCAAAGCCAAAGCCATGCCCGGATTGTCGTCAAAACCCAGAAAATACGCCCTGCCTAGTGTCCACCACCGACACCGAGCTTTGCCTTTGTTTGACAGGTCTGGACCCGTTGAAAAACTGGTACATTGCCCTGCGCCGTTTGGCTCGCCTCGAATATCGCCTACCAACAGCTGGTCTGTCAACCCAACCATTCTTGAGCGCATAAGCAAGGCTTGGGGATCCAATGTAGGCCCGGGTCCGCTGTGGGACTTGCTTGAAGACCGGGCATGGTTCAAAGAGTCTGTGGCTAGTGGGGGTGAGAAGACGGCTGATGAGAGGTATCGGAGGCCGCGGGTTCATGAAGGTGTCAGGGCACAAGGACTTGAGATTCTCGACACGCAGTACGTTTGCTTTATGCTCTCCTGTACTTCATTCAATGTCAATTTATGTGAGCAAAGACAAGCTTCTCCGTACCTTCCAATGGACGTGACGGCTACGGAGAAAGGAGTACCCAAGCTTCCGCCGCCCGTCCCGTGTTCCTTCGGTCCATATGGCAGACAGACGCGTATCGAAATGAGTATGTTCGAAACGCGTAAAATCGGTATGGATATGTCAATTTGTGAGACACCATCGCGCGAGCATACATATCCGAGCCTCCAGCGGACTTCATACAGGGAAGCAAGGCCCATGTGTTCAACCCTGGTGCACCCGTGTGGGCTCTGGACTGGTGCCCAATACACCCAGATGATCGAGGTCGTGAGTACTCCGTAAACCATCTGCAGCCCACTTAGTCAACGGGTTGTAGGCCTTCGGTACAAACAATACCTCGCCGTCGCGCCCTTTCCGTCAAGCACGCACTCGCCCACCATCGGCGTTCGTGCACAACGACCCATGCATGCATGTATCCAGATATGGTCGCTGAGCCGATCTTCTGACGCCATGGACGTCGACGAGAGCACTGACGTGGATAACGGCGACGACCCAGGGGAGATGCGATGCGAGATGGTGATATGCATCGAGAGCGGACCTGCGTTTGAGCTCAAATGGTGTCCATTACCGGCTAATGACGCCGTCGATGTGAGTATATGCGTCCTACGTGTTTCGTCTGTCTTACTGTCACCGCACCAGCAGGAGGCCAATCCCACACAACCGAGGAAGCTCGGCGTTATAGCTGGCACCTTCGAGGATGGCTCCTTGTCGCTATACACCATCCCGGATCCTGCCAGTCTGCACACTGACGGGAGTCAGCCATCACAACCAATATACGGTGTGCTATCGACCGTAATGAGTTGCGCGTTCGCCGCTGAGCCAACATAGTCAGGTTTGCGGAACCCTTGCTGAGATTTGAACTCGAGGAGACGATGTGTTGGGGGATGGATTGGGCTAATAGCGAAGTGATCGCTGTCGGCTGCACAAACGGTACGCATACATCGACTCTCGTGATCCCTGCCGCTGACTTTGTCCAAAAGGATCAATCGCCGTATTCAACATTGCTGATGCTCTCAAGCGGCCCGAAGAGAGAACACCCACACACTACTTTGTCGTACACCAATCCGCCATACGCACGCTCGCCTGGGTGCGCGCGCCGGTTGTGTCTGCGTCCGGCGAGCGGAGTGCAGACCACCCCACGGTGATCACCAGCGGAGGATACGACGGACTTGAGTGCGTCACCGACATCCGTGACCTTGTGGGGAACGCCATCAACCGGACAAGAGGTGAGGTGCATTTTTTCCTGGACACGCGAGCTAACGGTATGCAGATGTGGTCAATTCGATGGCGTATTCGACTTGGTGCGGCGGACCTGTCACCTCTGACAATGAGAATACCATCAAAGCGTACTCGCTTTCGCCGAGTATGCTTGGGAGAGGTCAAGCTCTCCTCGAACCCGATGGACCTGTTTGGGTAAGCATGGCTTGTGTTTCAAGATGCGTGGGGGATGCGCTGAACCTGTCGCAGAGCTTGGCGGTGTCGGACTACCATCCTCAGCTAGCTGTTGGTGTGACGGATGGCAGCCTGCTAACAACGAATACAGTGCGGGCGACGCGACGCGGTGGCGCTAATGTACGTGAACCTGACATGTGCTTTTGTACCATAAAGCAAACGGGACGCTCCTAGCCATTCCTCATACACAGGATCTACCAACTAGACTACAGTCGGAAAGATCATGAATGGCGCATGCTGGAGAAGTTTCTGCCCAAGGTGCGTTGGTTGTATCGCCCGTTTGTTTGTGAAGGTCTGATTGTCTTCCTTAGGAAGTGATCATTCGTTCTACCAAGGCCGCCGCTCGCGCGAAACAGGATTTGCCCATTGTAACTGGAGCGTGGCCTGCGCAGGTTGGCGTGCAGCGTGCGGTGTGGAACTCGGGGAACGGCCTTCGCGCGGCACCGTACCTCGCCTCGTCGACCGGCTCGGGGCTCTGCCGTGTCGACTGGCTGCTCGGTCGCTGGAACAGAGACAGGATACCGTACAATGGCGTGGATCGCATCCGGGGCGAGGTAGCGGTGGACGGAAAAGAGGAGGACTCGGACTCAGACGGCTGAAATGAGAGCAGCGAACAAACCCAGAGAGTATTACACTATCAAGGTACTGTACTTTATGCATGCCATACAATTGAACACATGCTACAAGCTTGCGGGTTGCCATTGAACCACAGTGATGTCGTTCCAGACCTGCGTCGTCTAGTGGGCATATCGACTTGCGGCCGACTGCAAACCTGCCATACATGTGCTGAGCCTGCTCCACATTTGGCGGCGTGGTTCCCTGCTCGAGTTCTTGACAGTTCCTGACCTGACAATCTCAGTAATTTTATGGCATATGTTTAATAAGAATACCCAAAGAATGGGGCGCATGGTGTAGTTGGTTATCACATCCGCTTAGCATATTAATCTGCATTTGCGGGGGGTGCTGGGTTCAATTCCCAGTGCGTCCAAATCTTTTTTGGTAGTCTTTGGACGAGAAATAGACTAGATAAAGCATCGAGGGAAGAAAAAGAGAAATCACCTGAAGCCCGTGGCGATGTCGGTCGGTATGTCACGTATCTCCCCGGCGGCACCAAGTCAGAGGACTACTATATCGGGTCACGATCTCGGACAGCCTAGGTAGTCGGTCACTCGAGCCTCATTCAACAACCACCCCTTCTATAGCTATGAAATAAATTGTAGCATGTCTCAATGCATCCTTGTAATGCCTGTACAAAATTTGAAGCCAATACACTGAGATCTGTGTGCAGGAAAAATCACCCTTTGCGATGATACCTATTTCTGGTAAGCAGTGTGGCTCACCCTACTCTCGACCAGAATTTTAGCTACTGAGCTCGACTCAATGATTGTATATTTTTTCTCATATTTTTCTCATATTCCTGAGGTCTTTTAACATACCTCCGTAGAATAATTCAGGTCATTATGGCCCATACAGAGTGAGGAGGGCTTGTCGAATGCTAAGGTGGCCGAGATCGTAACCCGATATAGTAGTGGAGCCTACTCGGTCACGTAAGTTATATCATCTGCCTCTGCCGGGAATTTGAACTTGAATTCTGCGGTTCAATTCGATCGCTAGCAACATATGAAGAGAAATAACTACGGTACAAGTACAACACTAGGCAATCTGGGTGACAGTCATCCTAGACTTGACATTTGCTCGTGGAAGTACTTTAGCGGTATAAGACTGTTCAGAGTGAACTTCCCGTCCGCTATGTCCTGCCTCATCTTCCGTTCTAACTGCAAGTCCTTCTCTATCAGTTGACGCATGACTTTTCCATGCCCCGCCTCCCTAGTATCAATCGGGTATTCCCAGATCTTCTTCGCGTCAGGTAAATCAAGTCGGAGCTGCTCCATGATGCGGAGGGCAACCCTGAATCGGACTACTACACACATTTCCAGTGAGTGTAGCGCAAGATGTAGATACCCTTGGGCAGAACCATCTGGGTTCAGACAGCAGAACACATATGGACAGTATTGATAGAGACATACAGATGTGCTGTTCATCATCCCGAGGGAATAGCATGGCCGCTTGATTAAAAGCCCCCTGCGACTCGGAGTAATGATTGAGCGCTGCCGCGGCATTGTTCTCCATCGTTCGATATGCCATGACTTCGTGGTAGAACCCGACAGTGCTAGAACATATGGAGAGTGTGAAGATGAGGTGCTAAAGAAATGGAGTGGCCAGCCTACTTACGCCAATGCGTAAGCCTTAGGATAGACGCCGAACGCCGATACAAACCCACGAACATCTCCGTAGTCCTGGTGCCCTCCTGGAAATGCCGCTTGTCCGATCTCTGGCATCTCGCGAATGATGCTTTGGGCCTCTTCATACACGACTTGCAGCAAAGGGGCTAGTGGTTCCTGCGTGGGATCCACTCCGAGTCGGCATGCCTGGGTGACTTATGTATCAGCCTCAGTTGACTGGGGTACTTGAAGTACGGTGGTGAATGCAATGCACGCACATCCCTCATTGCTGCTAGCCTCAGCTTACGAAGGCCCCTCACCCAATGTATCTCGAAGATCTCGCCTTTGTCTTCGCGAGGGACATCTTTCCATGGGCCCGTCCGTCCCCATTCAAGTAATTCCAGTGCCGCGTTATAGTGAGTGAGGGCCTCTTGTGGGCCTTTCTGGGTGCGCGTAGCGAGATACCCTCGCATGATCCTAATGCTAAAACAAAAAGGGTATATAAGCCGCCAGCAGTTACCGGCAGCCGCACGGCATACTTACCGGATAGTGGTATCAATCGAACGGCGAACTGAATCCCAGCCTCCCTGTTGTTGACGTATCAATGCTTCTCTTTTGACTTCGTGCGCCGGGACGTCGTCATTCCATGCGCCAGTGGCCTCCTCCTCCATTGCCACTGTTTTGACACTCGCCTTTAGGTTACGCTGATCGCGACTCTTCGAATATCATACCTTGCAGAGGCCACTTGTCTATCACTGGCATTTGTGGCGTGCGCACGTCGAAAACACGATCATCGATGAGTATGGCGTTCGTGAGACAGGCCACGACCTACAGCGCATCACTATAAACACTGAGAAAGGACACTATGACACCCACGTCGTTACAGATCAACATTTCTATTCCGCGGATCGTTGGCCGCTTCCTGAATTGCGCTAGAGAAAAAATGCCCCTGTCCCAGAACTGGCGAAGTAGTCCGCAAATATGAAGTAACTTGCGTGATGGTCAACATGGCACACACGTACCTCGGAAGCTCGCAACAGAACCCAGGCCTTTGCAACGAAGTTGGTTCGACATGTATGAAACATATTTTTGATCACTCACGCTGCTGCTTGCACTCTCAGGCAAACGAGCCTGAAGCTCTTGTTTCATCGCTTTCGCACGATCCGCAGGCCACCTGCCTCCCATCTCCCTGATCTCCGCAGAGAGTTTCGCTGCATGGTCCTGCGCGGTCTTCATTTCAACCTCCCACTGCTCCTTCTGCTTCAAGATCGCGGCAGTGAGATCTTCCTTCCGAGTCGGCATGGAAGCTATTGCTTTCTTAAAATATCCGGCACTCTTCTCATATTCTCGCAGACCCTGCCAGTGTCCACGGATGGGGACATGATGAGTGGAGAAAGAGCAAAAAAGCGGAAGCGCACTTTGCATGCCGCAGCGAGACGACCCCAACCCTTCGCATACGTCGGATCTAACTCCGTAGCCTACATTCAGAGTCACGATGACCCGAGTCAGTGCGCTCCGTTTGGTGGCATCGGCAGACATAGAGCAGAGTTGAACCTTCTGCGCATCAGATTTTGCCTCCGGGAACCTGTACAGACATTATTCGAGCGCGCATACAGCATATACACGGCAACTGACATGCCCAAGTGGATCAAGGCCGCTGCGCGATTGGCATATAGGATCGCGTTCTGATCATCGTGCGAGATGGCTTGCCCGTACTTGAGCCACGCAGAGTAGTGATCGCCACTTGCGAACAGTGAATTGCCTTCAGCTTTCAGCTGAAGTGCAGGCGCAGAATCAGCCATGGTAATGTGCAGTACAGGCGGCCGCGGTAGAGCAGATGGCTGTATGCAGCTACTCAGGCTAGTGCCTGCGAGCTTGAGGCTATCAAGACCGATATCATCAGTTCGGTCAGTGATACTGAAGCAAATAAATGCAAATACAGTATAAGCTTCTCCTTTGCTCCCAGGGATGAGCGGAATCACGCTATCTTGGGGCGATTTGGGCCTGGTCAAGAAGTTCTTCAGCAAGTTAAGCAGCCTGAGTGACGCATGTGACGATCCCATCGCGACAGTCGTCCATTTGTATCTGCCGCATCTGTGAGTACGTACATGTTATAGAGAGCAGAGCGAAGGTTCATGCATAGGGGCATGCCCTTGCAGTACGAAGCAATAGTTTGCATTGAAACAGCGGGACCGTGCCACTTACACAGTTGCCCGATTGGTCTGTGCGCGCCACAGAGGCGCCTACATTGCTTCCATCCTCGCTCAAGCGCTCAAGCTTAACGTCGACTCAACTTCAAGCTGTTCGCGCTGCAGAGTCCTGTCTCCGCCGTGCCTCCCTTCGTCCACCTCGGCGCCCAGCGCTCAACGTCATAATTATTGGAAGACAGAAGCCAGCCATGGCACAAGCTTGTGTGGCTCCCGCCGGGTTCCGGGCCCTACCTTTGCCTCTCGCACAACTCTCACTTGCGGCGGTCTTGCAATGTGGACAGTCCTTTCGCTGGAGTGTCTTCCCTCTTGCCTTGAATGCTACCACCAGCGAATTCACGCTGCCGAATCATGAGTACCGTCTCTGCCTCCGTGACCGCGTGGTCTGTCTCCGCCAATCCACCGACACCCTGTTCTACCGCTCGGTCTTCCCTGAAACTCCTCCGCCTACGAAAGCGCTTGATCAGAGGGAGGAGGAGACGCTAGCATGGATCCGAGACTACTTTCAGCTTGACGTGGACCTCGTGGACCTCTACGACCAGTGGGCGAAGCGCGACCCTGTCTTTGAACGCCATTGCAGCCAGCGGTTCAGTGGCATTAGGATGCTGAGACAGGACCCTTTCGAGAACCTCATCTCGTATGTGGCCTGATAACGCTCGCGCGCACTGATTGGAACAGGCCGTTAGGTTCATATGCTCGTCGAATAACAACATCGCTCGAATAACGAAGATGGTCAAAGCCCTCTGTCAGCACTACTCACCACCATTGGCAACACTGCCAGGTCCCGTATCCCCGGAATCATCAGAAACCGAGACGTACCATTCATTTCCTCCGCCCTCTGTTCTGGCTGCACCGGGAGTATCTGCAACGCTGCGAACGTTGGGCTTTGGATACCGCGCCGAGTTCATCCAGAAGACAGCGAAGATGTTGGTCGAGGCACACGGTACAGGAAGCGCAGGCGAGGGTGGACTTGAGCCTGCCGAGAAATGGCTACATACACTAAGGACTACATGCACGACGGAGGCGCGCGAAGAGCTGCTAAAGCTGATGGGCGTTGGCCGGAAAGTCGCTGACTGTATTCTCCTCATGAGTCTGGATAAGGTGCGTTCCAGTCGTATGCCCGGTTTGCACAGCGCTGACTCAGTCGCAGAGAGAAGTTATACCCGTAGATACCCACGTCCACCAGATCGCCATGAAGCATTACGGTGTGAGCGGCACGTCGAAGGGAAAGGCGGCGATGAATCCGAAATTGTACGATGCGGTGAGCAGTAAGCTTACCGCTGTTTGGGGTGATTGTGCGGGTTGGGCACACTCGGTTGGTCTTTCCCGCTTCGTAGAGGATGGGAACAGTATCGCTGACTTCTGACTGCTCACAGGTCCTGTTCACCTCTGACCTCAAGTCCTTCGCCTCCTACGGGCTTCCCAGCCCGTCCCCATCACCTTCAGTTCAGGGCCAGAAACCACGACGAGGTAGAACGGCAGCAGGGCTCGCCACTCCACCGGATACTCCTACACCGTCTGCGAGTCCGCGGAAGCGCAAAATAGTCGTGGTTGAGCAGTCGGAGGAGACGGAGATTGACGAGGTTGCATCGACGCTGCCTGTAGTTGACAGTCATCTGAGCATGGCTGACCGGGTGAAGAGGCGGCGGCGTGTGGGGACGAGTGGTGTGTCTGTAGGCAGTGCTCGCTAGCAATCAATCGTTGTACTGTGTATCTCGCATCCGATCTGCCGGATTCTGGCAAATCGCGGTGTAGACAATCTGCCGCCAAGTACTGCGTCATGCACCGTGAGGCGCTCCTCGGACTGGTACACGCGCTACACGCGTCTCTCCTCCGTACTACTACCACCAGCCGCCCCGTATACCCATGGCCCCGTCCCAGAAAGCGAAGGAGAAGCAGGTCGCTGATTCCGAGGAGGAGCGCCCTGAGGCCGACGACGGCGAGGAGACTGGCTCCGAGGGCTCTGAGGACGAGCCCGAGCCTGCCGGGTCCAGTCTGCCCGAGTCGAGCACACCGTCCACGTCGAGCAAGAAGAAAAAGAAGAAGCGGTCCAAGGCGTTGAAGGCTCTGAATGCGCTCCGCCCCGGGAACAAGGACGGCATCCCGGACGCGCTCGTGAGCACTGTGCTGGAGAAGGTGCGCCAGGAGGGCGGCGAGGAGGGCGGGCAGGCGGATGCTGCGACTGTGCGCGCCGCGCTGGAACAAATGAAAATCAAGGATGTTATCCAAGGCAAGGCGGGGATCGGAGGGAAGAACCAGAAGGATATGGGCGGACACAAGGTGTGTTTGCAACGTCGACATGGGATCGGCAGGACCGCTCACGACTCGCGTGGTAGTTCTGGGCTACGCAGCCGGTCCCTCAGCTTGGTGAGCGCGGACGTGCCTATGCGATTGGTCTTTCTGACGGGATATGCAGGAGAGGAGGTTCCAACTGCTGATGGATACATCGAGCCGTCTAAGCCACCAGAGGAAGTGCGCCAGGAACCGTACCCTCTTCCGAAGGACTTTGAGTGGACGACAGTTGATGTCAACGATCCCGTACAAGTAAGCCCTGCGTTAACGCTCTCTCGTGTGCCCCTGTCTAAATCCCCGGACAGCTACGGGAAGTGTACGAATTGCTCTCCGGCCACTACGTCGAGGACGACGTCGCGTCGTTCCGCTTCCAGTATTCTGCGCACTTCCTGCACTGGGCTCTCCAGCCGCCAGGGTACCACAAGGAATGGCACATCGGCGTGCGTGTTGCATCTAACAAGAAACTCGTCGCATTCATCTCCGGTGTGCCCATGACCATTCGGGTTCGAGATAAGTGAGTCTCCTCTCGTGCGTTGCGTTTGACGTTCAGTTTCCTGATGGCATGTAGCACCTTCCAGGCGAGCGAGGTCAACTTCCTCTGCGTACACAAGAAACTCCGTTCCAAGCGCCTTGCACCAGTACTGATCAAGGAGGTCACCCGACAATGTCACTTGAAGGGCATCTTCCAAGCCCTATACACGGCGGGCCTCCTCCTTCCCACCCCAATCTCGACATGCCGGTAAGCACGCGCCGGCAAAGCAGCCCCCTCATCCGCTCACGAACACGCCCCAGGTACTACCACCGCATGCTCAACGTCAAGAAGCTCGTCGAGGTCAACTTCACCTCCGTGCCCTCCAACATGACGCTGGCGCGCCTCATCCGGCTCAACAAGCTCCCCGAGACGCCCAAGTTGCTCGCGCACGGGCTCCGCGAGATGGAGGACCGCGACGTGCCGCAGGTGACGGCGCTGTACGGGAGGTACATGGACCGCTTCGGGATGGCGCACATCATGAACGAGGACGAGATCCGCCATGTGCTTCTCAGTGGGCGCGGCGTGGGCCCTACCACGCCCGACAGCTGGAAGACTCCCCGGGAGGAGCAGGTCGTGTGGTCGTATGTCGTCGAGGTGCGTGCGGGTTCACCGATGTTCGCGTGGGCGTTGACACTGAGGGTGCGCCCGTGCAGAACCCGGAGACGCACAAGATTACGGACTACTTCTCGTTCTCGTTGCTGCCCTCAACGGTGATGACGACGGACAAGCACAACCTCCTCAAAGCTGCATACGTCTTCTACTACGGCACGGACGTCGCGTTCCTCGACGGTGCCGAGGAAGACGGGAGGCTCAAGAAGCGCCTCGAGGAGATCATCGGGGACTGCCTCGTCATTGCGAGCCGTTGCGAATTTGACGTCCTGAACGCGCTGACCCTCATGGACAACGTTCAGTTTTTGTCAGATCTCCGGGTGAGCAGTATCCCGCTGGATTCCTTGCTACAGGGGTACTGACCTAGGCTACGACAGTTCCACACGGGCGACGGCATGTTAAACTACTACCTGTACAACTGGCGGACCGCTCCTCTGGCAGGAGTGACCACCGTTGGCGGCGTTCCGGCTGGGAAGGGCATTGGCGTTGTCATGCTTTGAGTGCCCTCTTAATGTAGCGAATCGGTACGAGACAACCACTCTTTACACAGTGATCTATATTGCTGTAGCGTGACATATGGACAATGTACAATGATATACAAACTACTCGACCGCTCGACTGCAGACGTCGCTGACAAGAACCATGCAACACACCATCTCTCTTCCATACTCATGCTCATCTACTAATCGTCATCATCACTGATGTAGATCACGCTCTCGTCATCCGACTCCATCTCGTCCGAGTCGTATGCCCGTTCAGGAGTAGGCGACCGCCCTTTCTGCACCGGAGCTCTACTCGGCGGAGCACGCCCCTGGCTGTTCACATCGGGCATGGGTACAGGAGCGGTGCGTGCGCCCAGTGTTTGTCCGCCCGAGCCCCAACTTGTACTTGAGCTGGACTCTTCTTTGGCCTTGCCTTTAGACGACGTCGATCCGGAGAGGGTCTGTCCTGTGGCCCGCCCATTGAGAGAATTACCGGAACCGGTGAATGTTTGCGACTGGGTAAAACATTAGTACAAACGGCCGATGATGGTGGCCAACATTATGGATATACCTGCTGCGCCTCCGGTTGGCATCGGGGGGTTGGTAGGGTGCGATCCTGTAGCCAAAAACAGCTTGCCGAAGGGTAGGTTCAACGGGGCAGGGGCAGATGCTTCAGTTTCCAGTATTTCATTGGTCACTATCCGGGGCTGGCTAACGGACAGTGTTAACGAAAGACCATGATATCGGATGAAGACCGCCACTCACTCCGTACGGATAATCTTGCTTCTATCACAGTGTCCTCGATAGGCCGCGCGCCGATGCCCTTGCCCTTCGTTTTCCGTCCACCTAGAGTCTCCCCCTTGCCTTTGAAGCTCTCCCACTGATCACCGCCTTTGCTGACCGCGACACTGCGAGAGCCCGAGGGTCCCAAGTGCCGCCTAGTGACGAAGATGGGCGCGAGGAACCAGGCGTCTGAGAGTTCACGTCAATGTTGAGCTTGGACGCCATGGTCGACGGTGGCGGGGGCTTCGGACGCTCGGGCTCAACGTAGCCAACGGGAGCTGCAAAGTCGACTTCAAGATCGGTGTTTAGTACGCTGATGCCCTCCCCGCCTGGCATTGTTTCCATCACGAGGAGACCGAACACGATGGAGTTATACGAAATGTCGATGATGTCGCCCTGTGTCAAAGCGGAGAAGTTGCGCAGTGCTTGTTCAGACTGCGCCAGCCTGTCCGTGAGCGATAATGCAATTCGTCCAGAGTAATCTGACTTACACTGCTTTGGGATCCGAGATCTCGAGGAACATGGTGCTCTGCGCCTGTAGCTTGACGAATTGTCCCTTGGGTAGTTCTGCTCCGGTCACGCGGATCGCATCGCCCTCATTCAATCTCAAGGTCTTCATCATCCACTGTGGAAGGTGCACACAACCCTCTTCCGCGATGAACTCCAATACACCGGCATGCGTAGAGGCAGCTGGGTTCTCTGGGTTACGCAGCTTAAACATCCAAGGGGGCTCCAGTCCATTTGAGTGATGCTCGCGAGTGCCGATTGAGGCATAATTACTGATGATATGTCAGGCATTGTGGTGAAGGATGATAGCAGCATGAGAACACGCACTCTTGCCACCATAGCTGAGGTTCTCTCGCTCACGGCCCGGAAGCATGGCAACGCTGTATGCTCTGAAGTATTCATCATAAGCACGCGCCGGAGGACGCCCCAGTCCATGCCCAAGAGGTCCAAGGCCTCTGCGCAAGATCGCCGTGTCAGCCCATGCAATCTAAAGCGGCAGATGAATGCAAGCCACAAACCCCGCGAGTTGGGCGAATAGGCCAGCCGGCCCTGTACCAAACGGATTCTAGGAGGAAACGTGAGCGAGACTGCTCGGCCATGTAGGTAAGTTATCCTCGCACCATGTCCATGTGTTGTGGGGAGCAGGTAGTGGACGAGAGTGAAGGAGCCGTTACGCGGCCAGGACGCGGTCGAGCATGTCCCAATGAGCGACGTAATACTCGAGTCACGTGCATCTGCTAGGATCGCGATTCGCGTGTCGCGCTCATTTATTCAAGCCAGGTCCTCCTCTCCTCCTACATCCTCGCCATGGCCTCCGCAACAGCACCAGTACCTCAAGCAACGCGCTTGAACTCGAACACGGCCTTCAATGACAAGGTGAGTACGTTGTGCGGGGTGTCTGCCCGGCAGTTAAGTTGTATCTTCGTCAAGGGCAAACCCATGGAAGTGCGTTTGTCGAATATGGTCGCAGCAAAAGGTACGCCATTACGCGTTCTCGAGACTCCGAATGTTGGCCTCATCATGCGCAATAGCTATCAGCGATGCGGTCAGAACATCGCTGGGCCCGAGGGGTATGGACAAGATGGTGCGCACGGGTGAACATCGCTTATTTGGCGACACACTGAAGCCGTATGCAGATCCAAACGCCGAAGGGAGAGCTCATCATCACCAACGACGGCGCCACCATTCTGAAAAGTATCCAGGCTTTGCATCCCGCGGCAAAGATGGTAATATACCCTAACGCTTGACCACGAAACCGCGTCTGACCATGTATATAGCTCGTCGACCTCTCGGCAGCACAGGATGTCGAGGCGGGAGACGGTACAACATCTGTTGTGGTCCTTGCAGGAAGCTTTCTCGGCGCTGCGGAGAAGATGCTGCAAAAGGGCATGCATCCGACGATCATTGCCGAGTCTTTTCTGAAAGCCTCTGCGAAGGCTGTGGAATATTTGACAGAAATATCAATGCCCATCGACCTCTCTGACAAATCGTCACTCCTTCGCGCGGCAACCACCTCCTTGAATTCCAAGGCGAGTCTTTCTGGCTTGCAGCTCGCCCAGTATACTCAGGGTCGTGTTAGATGTGTCTCAATACTCTTCCACTCTCGCGCCCATCGCTGTGCAAGCAGTGACGCGTCTGGTGACTCCGACATCGTCCAATGTTGACCTGAGAGATATCCGCGTTGTCAAGAAGGTTGGTGGCACGATCGAAGATACGGAGTTGGTCGATGGTGTCGTATTGAACCAAAACGTGGTCGTCGCCGCCGGAGGCCCAACACGCATAGAGAAGGCGAAGATTGGTATAATCCAATTCCAGCTCAGCGCACCAAAACCAGATGTAAGTCCACAAGCTTGTTATGCAACTGGCTTCTGAATAAACATGCTGCTAGATGGACAACACCGTCGTCATCAACGACTATCGGCAAATGGACAAAGTGATCAAGGAGGGCAGACAATACCTGCTCAATATTTGCAAGAAGATCAAGAAGGCCAACTGCAACGTTCTCCTCATCCAGAAGTCCATCTCCGCGACGCCGTCGATGATACCTCGCTCACCTTCCTCAAGCGCCTCAACATCCTGTCGTGAAAGACGTCGAGCGGACGAGATGAGTTCCTCTCCAAGAGCATCGGGTGCAAGCCCGTGTCGGACATGAGGCGTTCACGGAGGAAAGCTCGGATAGCGACCTCGTCGAGGAGAAGCACCATGCCGGCGCGAAGGTCGTGCGCATCACAGGCGTCAAGAACCGTGGGCGCACGGTCAGCGTGCTCGCGATGGGCAGCAACAACCTCGTCCTGGAGGAGTGCGAGCGCAGTCTCCACGACGCGCTCTGCGTCGTCCGGTGCCTCGTCAAGAAGCGTGCGCTCATTGCAGGTGGTGGCGCACCGGAGATCACGTCTCCGACTGCTCTCGCAGTACGCCAGTCCCTGAAGGGCATGGAGGCGTACTGCTTCCAGGCGTATGCGGACGCGCTCGAGGTCATCCCCACGACGTTGGCCGAGAATGCTGGTCTCAACCCCATCGCCATTGTCACGGAGCTCCGGAACAGGCACGCCATGGGCGAGCGCAACGCAGGCATCAACGTCCGCAAAGTAATGTGTGCACCTTGGCTGCGTCCTCCAGCTTACTGACTGTCAATGTAGGGCCTCATCTCTAACATTCTGGAGGAGGACGTCGTTCAGCCTCTGCTTGTCTCGACCAGTGCAGTGGAGCTCGCGACCGAAACCGTGTGCCTCTTGCTCAAGATAGACGACTACGTCCAGTCCCGATGATCCGAAGTGTAGTAGGAAGTGTAATGCACATCTCATTGTAATACAGCAGTGTAATCAAACATCTCGATAGTAACCATTCGAGGAACATTGCATCTCTGGCTCGGACAAGAGGTATTTGATTCCAATGCGTAGCGGTACATCCTGACCACGCATATGCCGGAGAGATGTTTTGTTTTCGTTCGCTGCGAGGCGGAAGACGGCACGGCTTGCCTGGCCTGCTTGGACCACTATCTTTCTGTGGTACCTGCGTTTACGTCGGGCAGTTAACAGGTGTCATTGCAGGCACCCCTACAGCTGACACACCAGGGAAATGTTCTTGCTCACGGTGCAAACATCAAGCACCATCACCCCATTTCCTAGGGCAGCTCCGATTGGACGATGTCATCAATTTCCCAGTGGCTTGTGCCCAACCAGTCTGTCTGGGCCTGCCGCTGTTTCATTCTGTTTAGAGAACGCAACCCCACACATGCACAGGTACACGAGCACCGGCAGGACCAAGCGTGAGGCCATCCAACTTCTCTGAAAATCGCTCCACGTATGTATCTGCCACTGTCCGGCGGTCTGCGACAAGGACGAAGTGCCAAGTACGGCTCGTTCGAACGGCGACTTTGAGGCGCCTCCAGACCTCTTGAAGTCCTTCGACGGGGGTGGGGTGCTCCTCTGCAATTGTCGCCTGCACGGTGTAAATGTTGCCGTCGGTATCCCCGAGGACACCGTCGATTCCCGGGAAGTTGCTCACACACGGGAACCAATAAAAGGAGTCGCGCACACCTATGGTCTTGATTCCGGCCGCCGTACCGGGGAGGAGATGACTCGATGGTAGCATCTCCTTCTCGTCTTGGTCTCGAAAGATGCGGAGAGCTGGCGCACCTCTACTCAGGCGAGCATGCATATTGGTTTCGTGGACCCAGCCGCCGGGTGCCCTCGTGTAGGAGTGCGGACTGAAGGCACGGAAGAGCTGGAGGGATCTGTCATTCGACAATCTGCTGCGATACTCTTCGAAGATGTCGCTGAGGTACTTCGTCGGGATGAAAGGGACGCTTTGCCAGAGGTCGCCGGCCTCACGGTGAGGACGAAGGAAGACGAGGTTGGAGCCTTCGCTATCTGCCTTCCGCCCCTTTCCCGACATCGCGTTGACAGACAACGGATCCGCGCATATATGCACTGCTGAAGCTCGCGCTAATACTTCGAGGGCCTTTCTCATACATACAATCCTCCGTGATGCAGATGATGTTCCGGATCGATGGCCCCCACTTGCGCACGAGGCAAAGAGTAGAAGACGGGTCGAACTGGAGCTCTTTCCTGTGGGAAGGGGTTTTGTGAGTAGAGATCCGGCGCAGGAGTACTGAGTCGGCCTACAAGATTGCTCCTATCTCCAGTACCTTGGGCAGAGCAGAGATGACGAGACGGCCCATCTTTTGCTTTAGCCATTCCTTCCACCTCTCGGGTCTGGGCGATGTCGCCTGGATGACAAACTTTGCGCGGTTTCGAAAGGGCGCGCACGGCATGACTATGTCGGTGTTGCTGTCACTCAGGGCCCAACACTTCTGAGTCGGTTGTCATAGACATTGATGGCACGAGCCGTGGCGCCTTCCTCGTCGAAGATGTTGTAGAAGTGGGGACTAAGTTGGACTGCCGTTGGAAGTCTGCGCTCGAGACGATGCAAGAGAAGGTATAAGAGGAAGGTGGTCTTTCCTGCGAGGTTTCAAGCAGGAATCAGCATTCGACTGGATACAAAAATGACTGCTTAACGAACCGATCCCTGGCTGGCCTACCACCACGATAGCGCGTTTGTCCCGTAGATTGCCCTCCTCCATCATCTTGCGGAGCTGGACATACTCATCGCGGATGATGAGGACATCCTGGATGGCCGTGGTCGAGCCGAGAGCTTGCGCAACCTCCGTCATTTGTTCTAGACAGACGTACCTGAGTTCCTCAGGTATGGCGAGGTCGGCGCCGTCGCCGTAGACATAATCCGCATCTTTGTCGACTGAGCCAGACTCGTCGTTCTCATTGAGAGCGGCGCCCCCATTGATGGGTAGGGTGTGTCCGGTGGTTACAACATCGGTCTTGACGATCTTGTTTGAGTGCTGTGGCCACTGTCGGCCCCAAGTTTTGTCATAAAGATCTGATGCCTCACTCTGAAAAATTGAGTCGACGCATTGAGTGGAAGTCATTGCGAGAGCGTTTGTACCTGCCGACTCGGTTGGAGCGGATGAGTGAGCCTGTGATCGAATGAATCAACGCAGTAGAGAACGACGACGACAAACGTCGGGGGACTCAGAGAGCTGCGCATGCACTGGCAGGGACAGCTGAGAGCGTTTGGAGGGCTCTTAACAGCAGAGACACGCACTCCCTGCCGTTTCACTTGCACTCACCCAGAACCCGACTGCCATTGTACTAGGGCACTTATTAGAGGAGGAAGATGTCGTTCAGCCTTTGCTGGTCTCTACGAGCGTAGTGGTCTTGCTTAAGATAGATGACTACGTCCAGTCTCGATGATACGAAGGGTAGTACTAAAAAGTGTGCACATTCCATTGCTTTCAAGGACAGCAGTACAATCAAACGTCTCGATAGCATACACAACAGCATATTCAGCATATTCGGAAGCATTACATCTCCGACTCGGACAATATACCTTTGATTCCGGTGCGTAGCTGCGCATCTTGACAACGCATATGCCAGAGGGAGGTGTTGTCTTCGCTCGCTTTAATGCGGAGGAGCGCGCGGCTGGCCTGGCCTGCTTGGACCAGCACTTTCGTATCGCCTGGATGACGTCGGGTGATGAACAGGTGTCACCCCAGGCATCCCTACAGTCGACGTACCAGGGAAAGGTTCCTGCTCAGCAGGCATAAACCTCACATTCCAATGCCCGCTTGCATTCTGTAGCCGTTCGACCACCGTCTCCGGGGATGCTTCGCACCAGCCTCTTGCATTCGAGTCCGACATGCCGTCCCACTCCTGCCGAAAGTCATCTTCCGAAACAACATTGAGATCACGCATATGGCCCAGTACGTCCGAGATCGAAGCAACCGGTTCTGACATAAACGGCGAGTCGAGAGCAATGAGGTCCGCTCTCGTCGTCTACTTCAAAGTTCAGGACAACGCATCGGCGTGCAGCAAGGAAACCACGCACCAAATTATCTTCATCCATGACATTGACGACCGGTAATGAGGGAGTCTGCCTCGGCGACGCCTAGACACAACATTAGTATCATCACACAGCATCTACTAACAGAACGTACCACCGACAGCGTCTCCAGCTCATCCCCCGCAGCGAGCGCCAAGTCGCCTGGACTCATCGTTCTTGCCAAGGGGTCTTGCCCCTCCACCGCGCGTCCCCGCTGGCCGACGAACCGCGAGCTCGCATCTGATCCGGCACTTAGCCTACGCACGAAATGGCGCTGCACAGGCCTCGGCGGGTCGTACGCGTCATAACGGAGCTTGGCGCCCTGGGATGAAGCGCGGGAGGATGGGCGATCGGGTGAGTGAGGGACGGGGCGCAGGGGCGGGGAACGGGGTGAGTATGACGGCGAGGAGGGAGCTTGTGCAGGTTTGTATGTTTCAAGGGCGGCGGCGAAGTCGGGGAGCTGTGACAGATGAGCATGTCTGCGCATACATTGGGGAAGGCGTACGCACCGATGGCGACCTCGCGTCCGCAAGGACCTCCTTCAGCGTACCTGGCCGAGACGACAGGTCGAGGAATTGATCACATCGCTACCAAGTGTCTATCAGTATCATGGAATGGAAGGGAACCACAGACGATTACGCACCCTCCGGATATACGCCCTACTCGTCTCCTTCAGCCTTCCCACCGCGTCCGCAATTTCAGACGGAACCTTCTCGCATTCCGCTGCCAGCCGGATCATACACAGCAGACAAGCGTCTTGGATAGAAACTGTCCATGCCAAATGTTGAGATGCCAAATCATCAGTCTACATGGTGCGTTCTTCGAGACATGACGACAGAGCACGCACCATTATATGATCCGGCTCGACCTCCCAGTCCGCGCAGGAGCGCGGTGGGCGAGAGAGGTGAGAGAGGAAGGTATTCCACAATCAGCGCAGTGAGAATGACCATCAGCGTTGGTCCGACCTCCGCCTCCACCTCCGGTACCCGCGCAAAGAGCGCGCCGACGCACCCGCTCTTGAACTCGGCGTTTGCTATACTCATACACAAATTAACCTCCGCTATCTCAAAGCTAGGTAACACTGAAGTTCACCATCTCGCATCTTAACCAGAGCGCCTTCCACTACCCCTTGTACGACAGGCCTCTTCTCGAGCGGCGCGGGCATCCCCGCCTCGCCTTCGGATGCCTCGCAGATGCGTATTACGTGTCCCGCGTACGCCTCCCCATCCACGCCCGACAGGACGTCCGCGAGTTCGAGCAGCCTGCGGACCGTCTCGGAAGTGTCCGCAGACGACGGGGAGACAGCCGAAGACAGAAGACGCGTGCAATAAGCCTCGAGGATGGCGGCATCCACGCGGTGAAGGACACGCATAGTCTGTGATGTGCGGAGAATCAGTGCCCGCACGTACGAGACACAGTAAGAAGCCGACTGACCTTCAGCCGGATAGTGTGGTCCTCCGCCTCGAGGAGTGCTACGACGCGTTCGACCTCCCATCCCTCCAATACCGCCGGCACGTCCGCGCGTGTGCCCGCCCAGAGTACAGGGTCGAGCGCGCCGAGGCACGACACGAATACATACACTTCATTCGGCGCCGGCGCCGGCGAGGCTATGAGCGGGCGGAGCGCGTCGATGAGCGTGGTCCGCGCGGGGAGGAGCACGGCGGTGGATGCGTGGGAGATGGTGAGGTAGCTTGCATGGAGGGCCGCTAGGCGCGGTGGCGTGAGCGGGAGCTACGTCTATGTGAAACAGTTGGTGGGGCTTACCTCTTGCGGAGGGACCGTAGGCAACGCAAGATTTGATGACCTTGAGGATCGTGCGGACGTCATCTGCGGCTGGACTGGACCGCAGGATGACTATGTAGACATGGCATGATGAGGCGGAATGACGTACGCGACCAATTGGAGGCATCCTAGGATCTTGGGTAGTAGCACATTCTTCGTCGGCTCCGAACGTGCACGCCATGCGGATGTGAGCAGTGCGGACAACGCCTGATGATACCTGTCTGAAGACAGCTGGCCCGCCTATATGCGGAATCAATATTGGGAGGGCACCAATTCGTGGGCTGCGCACTCACTTTGAATAAATCAACCCAAACGTTGAGCGCAGCGCTCCCTACCACCCAATCCGCATCCGTCATCCGTTTCTCGACCTTCTCGATAACATCACTCAAGATGCCCGTATCGTGCTTCGAGAGCTTATGAAACGCGAGCAGCGCGCGCCGGCGTACGTGCGGTCTGCGCGCAAATGATACGTACGCATCGTGTGAGTCGCGTCAGGGTGTTGCGGTAAGCTGATGAGGCGCGGACTCAGGTAGAGACTACCTACTGACGAGGTGAACGAGAGAAGGTCCGCGAGGCGTGTATGGATGGCGGGAATCACGTCAGCCGTAGAGAACTGGATGAGCGTATCTAACGCCAGGCAGATACGGGGGAGCTCGGGGCTCTCGAGATCCTGTGGCAAATCAGCCCGGCGCCCCATATGTGGGTGACTGGGCGTGCAAGGTACGAACCTTCCGCAGAGTATTGACGAGCATGAGCTGGAGCTCATGGTCGGACGGCATAGCTTCCGCGCAGAATAAGTAGCCTACAGGAGTTGCAGTCTTGAACCTCCATTCAGTACGAGACGAGGCTCACCTATTCGCTTGTCCTGCACAGTGGGACCTGACTCTGCGAGATTGACCGCATGGTAGAGTGCAAATTCTAGGTCAACCACTCCCTCCGTAGCCACATTCATGGCGCAGTAGAGCAATATGATCAAACATTCCCTGCATTGCTTCTGTTCGCTTCATGAGCACAGTACCGCGACGACGTGAGAACTGGGACGCACTAGGGTAAGGGTGGAGCGCGAGAGCTGAGAGTGTATCAAGTCGACTTCCGCGAAGATGTATTGGTCCGCGAGTTGGGAAGTCTGTGCAGTCTCGATCTTTCTGACGAGGGCATAGTGGGATCTACTGATAGCTCCAGAGGATACGAATGGCACGTCCATGACCGCACTTGAAGGGACCGAGCGTGATGGAGTTGTGTGTGGAAGGGCGGGCCAGACTGCCTGTCAAAACACAGCGGGTGGTGATGGTACTATCAGGTTCTCAATATGCGGGGAGACGATGGCGGGCGCGGAAGTGCGTTGACTGTGAAGGACGCGTTCAAGTTACGCGCGCCTCTTCGACGCGACGCGACGTGGTAAGTGCCGCGCCAGTACCGCGTCGCAGCAGAGCTGTTATGTATCACTCCGCGATTGGTACAGCTACTGTCAAATATGCTGACTATTCTTCCCGTGTATCGAATCTTCACCGTGAAATGAGCTGAAATGAGGCTGCCGATTGCAACTAGTACTTTTGCTGGACGTCTACTAAATTATACTGAACTCCAATATCCGGTGGTACATGCACCGTCTGAGACTGAGTCCGCTCTTTCTCATTATCGTGCCATCGGCTGCGCACAGCTCGCGTCTCATCCGACTCCGCACTGGTAGAGATTCCGGATACAAACTACTGTAAAAGAGAGTGCTAATTGAACATGCTTTGGACCCGACCGTACAACCAATATATGTATCGTCCCTACAAAAACCCTTCCAACATCGAACACAAAATTTAGCTCTTCTCAAACGACGGCGTCATCTCGATGTCTTCAACCTGCGCCTTGGGGACCAAGTGACCAGTTGGCAGCATGTTAAGCTCGTCCTCCTGCTTGTCGAGCTTGCGATAGGAGAGCCAGAACAGGGAGCCGCCGACGAAGGAGATGACGGCCATGGAGCCGTAGTTCCATACGAGGAGCGGGTCGGCCGACAGCGGGTTGAACGCCTCGCCGAGGGCTGCAGAAATGGCGGACATGAAGAGCGCGAACGCGGCGACCAGCGACCGCATGTTCTTCGGCGCCTTCGAGAACCCGTACTCGAGCGACGTGATGGACGCGAAGATCTCCGAGATGGCGATGAGCACGTACGCCCCCGTCTGCGCCCACACGTTGATGTCGACGTTGGGGCAGTCCGACGCGTGGTTGCCGCACGCGCTCTTCTTGTAGATGTACGCTTGGACCACGCACGCCCAGACCATGGCCGCGCTACCCATGAAGAAGCCAGCAGCGATCTTCTTGACGGGCGTGAAGTGGATCCCGGCCCTGCGGAGAGCGGGGTAGATGAAGAGGTCGCAAATGGGGATACAGATGATGAGCGCGAAGGGATCCAGGTTAGAGAGGACATCATTGGGGATGCCGTGCAGGGCCATGGTCGAGGCCTGGGACGTCAGGTTGCCGTTGAGCTGGTTATACGTAAGCCAGTACAGGGGGAGCCAGAGGAAGACGCTGCACGCCTTCCAGCCGCGGCTGACCTCGTCGACCCATGCGTCGTCAAAGGTCACCCATGCAGGCCGGGTGGCTGGGTTCATCTTGGAGGGCTTGAGGTCGTCCCAGAAAGTGCCGTCATGGAGGTGCTTGTACCAGGTGACCGGGTTGAGATGGAACCTCTTCACCGTGCCCAGCAACAGGAGCTTGACGGCGGGAGCGAGTACGCTGCCCTCGGGCTTGGTATGTTTATACCAATCACGGCAGACGTACAGAATGGGTAGGGTGGCGCAGAAAAGGACGGTGGGCAGCAGGAAGGACAGGTAGAACCCAACGTAGCGCTCGGCGTAGGCCATGCTGAGCTGGCCGACGAGAGCGCCTACGTTGATGAAGAGGTAGAACCAGTTGTACACCCTCGCCGTGGTGACGGCTGGGTCGACGATGACGCGCTCGCCCTTTTTCGTGGTGCGCACGTACATCCTGCCGGGGATCTGCTCAGCGACCAGCGGAGAGATGTTGGGCTTGAAACCACCGGTCCCAATACCCATGATGATGAGCCCGATAACGAAGGCAGCGAGGGCGTGGTGCGGGGCGGCAATGACGGAGGGGGCGGCCGAGGAGGTCAGGATAACGTGTCCGACGATGGCTGTGAGGACGGATATCCAGATGGTCTTGAAGCGGCCCCAGTACGTGTCGGCGACGTATGCGCCGAACAGAGGAATGACGTAGACCCAAAACTGGTTGAAGGTGGTCAGGCCAGTAGAGGCCTGCTGGCCCATACCGAGCGCACCGGGCTGGGCATCGTCGGCGCTAGGATCCAGGGCACGACCGGTGGAAGTGCCCGGGTTCGGCTGCTGGATGAAATTGACGAAGACCTGAAGGTGGATAGCTCGTCAGGTGCTGGACGGTGGCTTTGAGGCAACCGAGGCATACCTGAGTCGTGCCGTAGTACGAGAGACGCTCGACAAGCTCGACGAAGGCAATGGTATACGCCTTGAAGGGGATCTTCTCGCTTACGCGGCGAAGAGTCGCGAGGTCCTCCTCGGTGGGAATAGGGAGGTCGTGGTCGAAGTACTCGTTCCGGGCGGTGGGCTCGCCGTTGTACAACGGCGGCAGCTCGGTCTCGTGAGCATGCACCGAGAGCGAGCGCTTGGGATCACCGCTGCCGTCGACCAAGGCAGGGCCGCGCTTGTCGTCCGCGTAGGCGTCGGTAGCATCGCCAGACATGGTGAAGGCTAAGGCTTCGAGGTGAGACTTGAGTGCTGAGGGAAACCTCGCCTGAGGGCGTCGATATAAGATGCACGTCCCGCGATGCGGATCTGGGCATCAGAGGGCCCTTATCAGCAGCCGCGTTGGTTAGAAGGACTTGGCTTGCTGGGCACAGAGCCACTGACGAGCTGATGTCGAGCCACCGGAGGCAAGGCACAGTAAATTCACTCCGCATGGAACGTGAAGGTTGGTCCCAGCGGTGCCTAAATTTTTCCTGGGGTTTCATTTAACATGCAGAGGTTCCACCGAAAGGAGAGGGCGGGTATTACCCTAAATGGCAAACTTTTTTCGATGGCGTTTGGGATGGCGCAACGGTGCAATTCTGACCGCTCTGGATGAGGCGGGCAGACTGTTGATCCTCATGCCTGCCCCATGCGCTCGATGGAGACCGCGCGGCTTCGATCAAGCTTCCGGCGATCGAGATCTTCGATGAGGCACCGCACGCCCGCAATTTTGGAAGACCGGACCACGCGGCGAGCGCTGCACAAGCACCACCTTCACATTTGGTCGGAGAGACGCGTGAAACCGACCTCAAGAGACACTTCGCGACGATAAGTCGCGTCGTGGCGAGGTTTGGCGGGAGCCAAGCGAACCCTTCCTTGTGACCGCGGACCTGTTCGAAACCTCGGTCAACCCGGACTCGCACTCGCTGAGAGCTGTCTGGCACCGAGCTCCGCCCGGTCTCCGCGCGTGCTGTGCGCAAATGCCCATCGAAATGACGAGTGCTGTCGAGGGGGCCCTCGTCTCCATAGTCCATGCGAGCCATGGAGGCGCGAGCAGAAGGTGTGTACCACGATGGGCGCGGCGTGCCTGACAATCTCAACGTGAGCATTGGCCGACCTCTACCTCCGTCCATGTGCATGAGGATGCGCACTCCGCTGCTCACCGTGCTATCCGCCGAACGGTCACCCGGTGGTGTACACCCGAACGTTACAGACGTGCATCACGTGTATGCGTATGCTTCCCTGCCCAGACTCTGCACCCGCGAGGACATCCGGATTCCGCGAGCTAGCGCTAGACGGTAGACTCTCGAGATAGCCTACGGGCTTCCTAATAGTAGGCGTCCGGGGAGGCGACGGACGACAAGAGCAGGGTGCAGTAAACCTCGAAGATGGCATTCGGGGACGTGCAGCATCGTCTATGTTGCTCACGTCCCCTCGCCGCATGAAGGGCACAGTGTAGGTTCGACACAAACCCCGCACGTGAACTGGAGGGCCATGAATCGGGACTAGAACACAATGGTCAGTGGTCCCCTGTCTCAAGGTACATAACGATGTGCTCGGGTGGTCGACCTCGGCGCCAAGACGTCTGCGTATGCCCGCCCTGAGTGAAGCATTCGGTCGGTGTGGATACATATGAACGCGGAGTGCCTGACAGGAACTGTCGCAATATCTGAGCACATATGTGCATGATCGGCCTGTGCACGACGTCAACGATGAGCACAGCGTTCCTAGTCGATTGACAGCGTACTCACCACGACTCATTGATGCAGCGCGCGAAGCCTATGGAACGCCCGAGCAGCGCGCCACCGCCTGCGGTCTTGCCACATACAGAGACACCCAAGCGCACACATCGCATCGTGGTCAGGATGCTGTGGTAAGCGCTGCGCGAGCTCTGATAAGAATTGCCTGCAGGTCCGCCAGGAGCGGATGGGCGACGTCAGTGGCAGATAACTTGATATGAAGAGCTCGGAGCTCCAACAGAGTGCGCAGTGTGCTAGTCAGCGTGTCTTGTAAGCGGGATTCGCCGCTCGACGCAGAGTGCCCGGGAGCATGGCCTGAGGTCCGTGAATAAGGCTACGTCGAGCAGGGAGATAGCCAGAGCTACGGTCGGTCCGAGTGACGAAGACCAAAGTGACTGGATCGCGTCGAGCGAGAAAGATGGTGTTTCCAAAGTCGAGCAAGACCCCTTCTATTGGAATGAGTACACATCCGCCCTGTGGGCGAGCATGCAAGTTCGTGTGACCATGTTGCGAAGAGGCAGGACGTCGAAAACAGTGTGTGTCATGGATACGCTCACTGTAGCAGTACGGTGAAAGATCGCCCGCATTGCCACTGAGGGTGTGAGAGTGAGAACGGGGAGTGGACGAAAGTAAGCGTGCCAGTGACTTCTGCGACGATGTATTGATCGGCGAGTTGAGGATATGGTGCGGTCTCGAACATGCTGACGAGGGGACAATGGGATCTATTGACGGCTGCAGAAGACCGGGTACCGTACTCGAGTCCCTGATCGGGTCGCGAGAATTCCAAAGCGTGCTCTACTGGAAAGAGCAAGCGGGTAGTTTCAGGGTGAGCGGCGAAGCAAGAGAAGACTGCGCGAGAGAAGATGAGTCCAAAGACAGTCGTCGCGTGAAGTCGCGAGGTCGAAAGAGGGACCAAAGGCTGCGCAGACCAAAGCGCGTCGGACGTGACGGGAGCGTGAAGGGATCTGAGATAGACGCTTTAGCGCAGAGATGGCGATCGGAGGCGTGTGGCTGGGAGGGCGGTGATTGGCTCGGCAGAAGTCGCGTCGGGCGCGGGGCCGTCGGGCTCGGTGAGCAGCGGGGAGAGCGGGTCGGCGGTGCGGCGAGCCGGAGGCCGCGGGGGATCACGGGGGCGAGTGGCGGCGGGGAGGAGAGTGGCCAGCGGCAGGGGGCGCATACGGGACGCCGGGACGAACGAAGGGCGTCGATCCAGACAAGACGCCCAGTGAAAAACGCATCTGCTGGGAGATGCTCTGAGATGCTCTGAGCTGCTCGGTGGGGCCGCTGTCAAAAGAACATCTGCGAGCAGCTCCGAGCAGCCTGGAGCATGAAATCCGGACTTTTTGCATTTTTCTAGATGCTCGGAGCTGCGCTGAGCGTGAAAATTACGCGTATGCAGCTGGGAGCAGATCCGGGCATATTGCTGGATGCTCCTGTATTGCACTAGCTGCCATAAAAATAATACATTTATCGTGCATACGTTGCCCGCATCCTGCGCTGCCCGCGCCCTGCATACCGCGCCCGCCGCACCCTGCGTACTGCCCGCATACCGCACCCGCCGCCTGCATACCGCGCCCGCTGCCTGCATACCGCGCCCACGCGCTCCCGCCCAACCACCCCGCACACCACCTGCATACTACGCCCACCCGCTTCCTATGTACTGCGCCCGCCCGCACCCTGCATACCGCACTTGCGCCCGTTTCACGCCTTCGTCTCACTCGCACGCACCCGCCGCTCTCCGACACTTCCGAGTCTTGGCCATTGCACTTGACTTCTTCGCCTTCGATTTTCTTGCCTTGAACCGCAGACTTGACGACTTCTGTAGGCATCAACAAAATGTAAGGGTCACGAGCACTGCAGAGTCCTCCATATGCAAATGGCACGCACGAATAATTGCCTTGAAGTCGGGAACATAATGGGCCTTCTTTCCTGCCGCTCGCTGGTGTCATCGGACAAGTATTAGTCTTGCTATCTGCGAATCACAATGTACACTCCGAGACGTACCAAACCATGAGCTTCCTGCTCATACCGCTATTGTGACATTGAGCAGCCTGAGGAGGGCGAGGTTTGCGGGAGGCGAGCGAAGGTGTGTACATCCGTCCACTAGGAGAGTCGGCAGCGCTGATGAGCGTGGGATCCCAGTGGAATAGAACACAAACAGGCCGGGCGCTGTCCCCGGCAGAAGCTTAGTACGCGATCTCTTGCGCCGCACAGCAGAGTGAGTTGTATTCCATCTCATGCGGGTGCATCACTGACCCGCGACGAAGGGCCGGGCCGCCGCAGGAGGATGGAGGTGGGCATATGCTCGGCGAGTCGGAAGCGACGAGGTCGACAGCACGTTCATCCCCGACCCCAGCTCTTCCATACGTACGTACACCCCGTATGTCTTCCTCTTTGCAGGTCACCGTCTGCTCATGCTCCTGTGCAGCTCCCGAAGAAGAGACCGTGATACGGCATCTCACCTTCTGGCGCGACGGCTTCAGTGTCAAGGACGGGGACTTCATGCGCTACGACGACCCCAAATCCTCAACGAGATCGACTCTGGGTGCGTATACTCGACATCCACCCGGAACCGTATCGTATGACACTGACTCGTGTTCACGCAGCCGCGCGCCGCCGCACATCCTCAACGTCTCCCCCGGACAGCCGGTCGAGCTCCGCATCGTGAAGCAGCTCAGCGACGAGTTCGTGGCGCCGCCCAAGGCGCGCAACGTGTTCTCCGGCGAAGGACACCGCCTCGGCTCGCCCGTCCCGTGCATCGCGGGCCTCGGCGCGGCCGCGTCTGTCGACATGTTGGGGAGCTTCCCCGTGACCGCAACTGGGAGTGTAGGACTCCCAAGAGAGCCGAGCGCACGCCGGGCGAGTGTGCGGTCGGCGGAGAGCATCAACACGCGCTTCGAGGTCAACCAGAGCCTGCCGACGACGAGCGTGCAGGTGCGCCTCGCGGACGGGACGAGGATGGTGTGCCGGATGAACCTGACGCACACCGTGGGCGACATCCGCAACTTAATCAACGCGTGGGTGGCTCCGTCTGCCCGGGGATGTGGGCACCGTCTGATCGATGTGTGTGTAGGTTGCGCCCGGATGGTCCCGCTGGCACTTGCCGCCCGCCTTGGACGGTAGCCTCAAGGCTACCGTGTGTGACGTGCGCTGTCCAATGCCATCGTATCAGATCAGTATCTACACATGTATAAGTAGACAGGTAAATCAATACGAACCTTAAAAGCGATCCTTACAGCGATGTGCATGGGTCCCGCCGCACGAATCATGCGGACGGGTCAATGAGCAGGCACTGAATGAGTGGGCCAGCTAGGGAATGAACGGGCGAGTGGGCGATCAGCTGAAGTGTGAGCGAGACGTGCGAGCAGGGCAAACAAGGAGGCGGGCGGGCGAGCAAGGTGTGCGCGCAGGCAAAAGGGCACGTGGCAAGTGAGAAAGATGCATGGACGAGCGAAGAGACACGTAAGCAGATGAGACGGGCATACAGCAGGGCGGGCGAGCGGGCAGTAGACAAGCAGCGGGTGATTGCACACTAGGTGATGGTGGTGGTAGCAGCATGAGAGAGGGGAGCAGGAAGACGACGACGACCGCCATCGCTGCAAAAAGATTACGTCATATCAGAGCGGGCGGGAGCGTTAGTGTTATAATGCGCACCGCGCAGTACTTGGTATCGTAAGTGCATAACGCATGCGCAAGGGGGCGGAATTGACAGCGATATCGGAAGGCTACAGCCCCAACGTTCTAACTCAGAGGCAAAAGACACTAAGCTCTAACGACGATGAGTTAATTCATTGACAAGCTGTCATTTGGTGATTTCGCTGTAAGCCGTCAGCAGCTCCGAGCAGATTTGGGCACATTTCAACGACGCGCGCAGCTCCCAGCAGCTTGGAGCATCTCCCAGCAGATGTGTTTTTCATTGGGCAAGACGTGCGGCTGCTCGCGCGATTACGCAACGTCCGACTCTCTCATGTCCGATGTTTATTCTTGCTTTGTGCTCCCTCGCCCTCCCTCACCCTGCCCCCGCCCCATCGATCGATCGCTGTGCCACTCCCGCCACACTTCTCTCTCTCGCCGCCACCGCTTTGGCAGCTTTGTTGTCCGCCGAGTGGCCACTCCCCGTCCGCGTGACATATAAACAATCTGCAGGGCCACCTTCCACGATGTCCGAGCCGCCTCCCTCTGTCCCCGCATCCTCCTCCTCCTCCCCCTCCCCGCCGCCCTCCCCCGGCAACCATCACCACCATCGCGCGCATCCGCCTCTCCAACACATCGCGACCCTCCTCCCGCACCCGCCACATCCACACCTCCCGCACCATCACCTCCACCACTCGATGTACTCCCCGAGTTCGCGCGCCGCGGACATCTCGCGCCTCCTGGATCCCGCCTACGCGAGCGGGTCCTCGTCCTCCGACTCCTCCACGCGAACCCGCGTCTCCGGCTGGACGAGCCCCGCGTATCGCGCCACGCTCCCCCTCGACGTGAAACACACCCAGACGCGCGCGTACGTCGACCACCAAGGCGACCTCCACGACCCCGACTATCGCGACTTCCCCGTCCTCACTCCCACACGCCGCACGCGCTCCCACAACACGCGCCACCCCAGCGGCGGCGGCGTCACGGCGCGTCGCTCACGCAGCGCGAGCCGGCCACGTTACTCGCCCTCGTACGCGCTCCCGCGCCCGGAGTGGGAACGCGATTGGACAGCGGAACTTGACGATGACACAGATGAGGAGGAGGTCGAGGAGACGGACGCCGAGTCGCAGAGCCACTATTCGCCCTTCGCGAGCGCGTCGCGCGCGTCCCCTCGGCGCGCTGTTACAATCCACACTACCCAGCCTTACCGTGACACCGCATACGCGACGCCCTACTCGGATTACTACGCGGACCCACAACCCCTCCCATTCGCAACATCGCCGTCAGGCTCTCGCGAGTCCCCGATCACTGAGTCGCCCCTGGAAGACTCGCCGTTTGATGAAGATGAGTTCGACGCGTCGGAAGAGCGCAAGGGCAAGAGTAATGGACATGGCTCTGTCCTGCGAAAGAGACGCGCGACCGACTCGAAGGAAGACGTTGTCACCGAGGACATGGACGTCAGCGCGGACGCTGCAGCCGATGCTGATATAGGGGAGGAGAGGCCACTACGCAAGACGCGATTCACCTTTGCGGGTGAGCAGGGAGACGACGTGTATGTCTGCCGCCTCCGACTCATTCCTCTAACTCCGCATGTTAACTTTGTGCCCTTGTCTAGACCAACCTGTTCAGCCAGCCTGCGGCAACAATGGGCAGCGGTGTCGCTGCGCATACGTTTCGGGCTCTTCCACGCCCGGCGGCGACTTAGCTTCCGGAGCAGGCGATACTCTACCTCGGACGCGTCGTGAGTTATGCCACCGCCCTCGTCGTCGGCTTTCCGGATGCCGTCCCCTCCGTGCCACTCCTGCGCACATGCCCGACCGTCTACCGAACCCCGCCATCCGGATCTTAGTGTTTGGCACAAGGTCATAGACGGCCCGCTATCCACAGTCCCTCCCAGTCACCCCTGGCACCATATGCATGTCTCATCGACCCGGTCTTCTCCTGTCCTGTTCTGTCGGCCTCAACTATCCACCCCGCTTTGCGCCTCGGTCATCTCGCCTTCAATTGTATCATCAGCCTCTTCTCATCGATCTCCCACTCGCATGCGCCGTCCTTCTCATCATCATCGCGCTGCATTCAAGTTGACTCTCCCATCGGACGCGCTCTCAACATACAGTCCACCCATATCGGACATATCTCGGCGATCCCCTCTCAACGCAAGGCGCCTTCAAGTCTCAAGCTCAAGTTCCATGTACAGTATCTCGCCCATCGTCTATCATCTATCCACAGTCACGGCTCGCGACGCCGCCCGAGGATCCCCGTCCGGGGCGAACACCCGGCGGGGGACTCGGACGGCACCCGCCACGTTTACGAGCATGGGGATGTAGAGCTTTCCAATGGACCGTCCGTGCAAGTGTTATCGTCATACATGACTCAACGAACCCTCTCGACACGTCCGACGCCTGCATCGCACCGCACGCTTTCATGTTCTTATCCCCTTTCCCCCTCCCCTTTCTGATTGTCCACCGTCACACACGACTTTACGTTCGCGGTTATCGTCGAACCCCCGTTATATTGCTGCACGCTTTGGATTAAACGCTTCGCGCTTTGCTGACGCATCGCTCTGTATCGCTTTCACGGATAGACGCAGTGTGTCGTACTGGCTCCGGACCGTACGCTTTCGATGTCTTCCGCATTCTGTATCACATTATTTGTCGAATAACGCACGTTTGTTCTGCCATGTTCGTGCTCAAGTTCATGCTCTGGCTGTCCCCGTTTTGTACGACTGTCCCCCGCTCGTCGTCGATCTCGCCGCCGCTACCCCGGTCGCCACTTGACGCCCGCTCTTCTAAGACATCGCGCTCTCTTCGTTTGCTCGGCGATCGGCGGAACGGCCTCTACTGGAGGTCAGTCAGAGCAGGAAGCCGCAGAAAGGCCGGGCTTCTCCACTGAACGGCAAGGCTCCGGACTCGTTCTTGAAGTAGGTGCAATGGGCAGAGTGTGGTTCTGTGACGTAGCGGGAATCCGAGTCTGTTCATTATCTGATGATGACGAGGGCGGGGTTGACGAGTGGACGTTCGAGGTCAGGCCCTCGGCCGTGCTGTTTGGGCTGGGTGAGCCATACGGGTTTGTGGCTCGGAAGTACAACGCGAGCATAAGGCGAAGGAGTGAACTGGTGACAAATTGGTTCCTCTGTATGGCTGGGCAGTGCCCAAATGCGTTGATGTGAGCTCGAGTGCCTCAGAGCTCCGATTTGGGGTTCTCAGAAGCGTGAGCAGTCACCAGAGCGATCATGGGGGTTTGGTAGGGGCCCGGAACATACAACTAGGACGATCCTCGATGCCATGTTTTCACAGGACCATTCAAAACGTATTGAACGTGAGCGCAGATCCATACGATCTTTGGGAGAGCGAAGGTGTACCGGCCAAGCGACTTGCCAGTGAGCCAAGGCGCGCGAGTTCGCGAGAAGTTCGCGATCTATCTCAAGATCGGCGGGATAGAAATATTGATGCGCCCCATCTCCCGATCCGGCCACACTTCCGGGCGTCTACGCGTCACTCCGGCTTCCTTTCCGCCACCAACAGGCATGGCGCCCTCATCCACAGCATCATCCTCCTCCTCAGGCTCGTCCGCGGCGAACTCCGCCGCGCACTCCTTCAACAAAATTCTGAACCAGTTCAAGCTGTCGACGAAGGTCCGGACACCGCAGGACGTCGAGGACTCGGTGCGGAAACTCCGGAGGCTGATCTTGGTGGACGGGATCCCGTCGGCGGTGGTGCGTCGCGTGTTTTGCGGCTCAAATGTGTGTGAGACTATCTGGATGCTGACAGGGTGCTCGTGCGCGTAGGACCCCACAATCAGACCGCGGATATGGAAGATACTGCTGCATGTGCGGGACGTGTCGGCGGAGGAGTTCCTGGACTACGTCGCGCGAGGGCCGTGCGAGGTGCGCGAGAAAATCAGGAACGACACGTTTAGGTGCGTGTGTGGAGTGCTGCAGAGTGGCCTTTCGCTCATATTTGGCTTGTGCGGCTCACAGAACCCTGGCTACAGACCGAGGGTTCAAGGAACGCGTGCGAGAGGATATGCTGGTGAGGCTACTGGACGCGTTCGTATGGCGCAATCACGGTGGGTCTTCCTGCGCAATGGCTCTGATGCACGACTGAGGCATGACGAACGTGCAGACCGACAAGAGACGCAACAACTTGGGTTCACATACGTCCAGGGCATGAACGTCCTCGCCGCACCCTTCCTCTACACCATGCCCTCCGAACTTGAAGCCTTCTTCTGCTTCGCTAAATTCATCGAAGAGAGCTGTCCATTATATGTCCAGCCCACACTGGAGGGCGTACATCGAGGTCTGAAGGTAGGCTTTTCGTTTCGGTGGTACGACCTCCTTTGTCTAATGCACGTACACAGCTACTGGACAGGTGTCTCAAAATCGTCGACCCTGATCTCTTTGCCCACCTTCGGTCGAAAAATCTCTCGGCAGAAATATATGCCTTCCCATGTGTGTGCTTCCCTCCTCCAGGATACCCTGATGCTAAATCCCTGGAACAGCCGTGCTCACATTGTGCGCATGCACGCCGCCACTTGACCAAGTCCTGCTACTATGGGACTTCCTACTCGCATTTGGCGTGCACCTCAACGTCCTCTGTGTGATCGCTCAGCTCCTGCTTATGCGCGAAGAGGTCATGGCATCGTCTAGGTACGTTTTATATCCTGTCCGCTGACATCTGTGCTCGTGCTGACGTTTGGCAAAGCCCCATGCGCCTTCTGCGCACCTTCCCCCCGCTCGAAGCCCTCCCCGTTATCGGGATCGCCGTCACGCTTGTACGCGACCTCCCCACAGACTTGTACGACGAACTGGTGCGGCATCCGTATGCGGTTGAGTCATAGCCGGGGGGATGTCAGGGCGAACTTTCTATTTGTTGGTCTGCTCTCGCTGTTGTGCTCTGTATTGATTTGGTCGGTTTGTTGTATGTATCGCTTGTACCATCATACCTCAATGTCACGGGCCCTCGGACATTCTCTCCGCACGTCGCCGCCTGGTGTTTATGAAGCTGGGCATCAATCCCCCTTACAGGTCTTTGTGGTAGGGTAAGATATACTGACATTCGGATGGATTGTCGCGCACTATACTATATCGGGTCACGATCTCGGACAGCCTAGGTAGTCGGTCACTCGAGCCTCATTCAACAACCACCCCTTCTATAGCTATGAAATAAATTGTAGCATGTCTCAATGCATCCTTGTAATGCCTGTACAAAATTTGAAGCCAATACACTGAGATCTGTGTGCAGGAAAAATCACCCTTTGCGATGATACCTATTTCTGGTAAGCAGTGTGGCTCACCCTACTCTCGACCAGAATTTTAGCTACTGAGCTCGACTCAATGATTGTATATTTTTTCTCATATTTTTCTCATATTCCTGAGGTCTTTTAACATACCTCCGTAGAATAATTCAGGTCATTATGGCCCATACAGAGTGAGGAGGGCTTGTCGAATGCTAAGGTGGCCGAGATCGTAACCCGATATAGTAATATATTAATATTGGTACGCATCACTATGCCGGGATAGCTCAGTTGGGAGAGCAGCAGACTGAAGTGCATGTCTTGCATGATCACGTGCCCGAGTCACGTGTTCTGAAGGTCCCGTGTTCAATCCACGGTCCTGGCAAACCTTTTCCTCGCTATTCCTTTTTCCTGCACACTTGCCGCACTCGGGATTTGCTCAGGATCACAACAACCGTATGTTATTACAGTGTTTTGCATAGTGGTTGCCATTTTCGTGCGCGACGCGTACGGGCGTCTCCTGGGCTTTCCACGCCACATGCGCCACGGCCTACACCGGCAGGACTACAGCAGCCTTGTCCGACGTGCTCGGGACACTGCATATTGAGCTGGATTCTCTCCATACTTCGTGCTGTGAGAGCAGACGGAGTGTCCTGAATACGAGGTCTTGAATGAGTCAAAATAGAGCATTGGGATCGCCTACACAGCTAACGGGACTGATCAGTCCCGGTGGCGCCTTGGGACCAAACAAGTTTGCGTCGCGCGCGCAAGTGACAACCACTATGTATGCAAGACACTGTACTTACTTCGCACGACATCATGACGGCCTCAGCCCTCTCGTTGTAACGCACTTTTTGTAAGGTAGAGCAAAGGTAGATCGACCATAAATGTCACACTAGGGTCCGGACTTGTGTTCACATCCAAAGTAACCCAATGATTAACAAGATGTCACTAGCATACAATATCCATCATGCGGCCGAAGCATCAACGTTGAACGACTATACACGTAAGACGACCACCAACGGGTCTCCAGCTGGTCATTGCCGCCGTCTCAACTCCCGGGCAAGTCGCACAGTGAGCACGAACGCAACTATCGAAGCGACACCGCCCAGTCTATCACAGTGAAGTTAGCTACACCGTAGCGCCAAACAGAACGACGGGACACACCTGAATACGATCGCGTACGAATTTGGTGCAGCAGACGTGGAGAGACTCTCGCGCAGCTGGAGGCCCGCATCTTTCGCCAGTTCTCCTGGCGTCGCGGTGCTGTTGCCGGGGCTCGTCCCATCCGGGCTCTTTGGTATCGCGCCGTCGAATATCGCGAAGATGATTGAGGCGATACCCGTCATTACAAACTGCGGCATGACAATGAAGACATTGTGGATTCCCTGAGTAAAACATAGGTCATCAGCCGGTATTGTAACACGGAACAGGTGGTGGGGCACTTACGAGAATGATCCCCGCCTTGGCCGCCAATCCTCCGCCCTCCTTCCCACCGTCGCCCTCCCAATCAGGTTCCCCATCGCCGTGCACCTCCAGGTGGCTCATCCGCGCAGAGGCGTTCGACATGAACTCGCCTCTGCGCTCTTGTTGATGCCTGAGCGCCTCGCGCTCATGGTCCGACTCGTCCATCGACGCAGACGACCGGAACGAGCGCACTTCCGCCTCGAGGCCCTCGTCCTCGTCTCCAGGGTCGGCAACGAGGAACTGGCGCTCCTCGTCGGGCGATGCGGGGCGCGAGCGATGACGTGTGTCGGCGAGCATAATGGACGCGGTGTCGCGGTCGTCTGAGTCGTCTTCAGAAAGAATGGCTTCTGCGAGCTATGACACCGTTAGCTGTGGTGCGTACATGAGACAACGAGGACATGTACACACAAGCGAGAACGGTGCCCATTGTGTTATCGACCAAGAGAAGCCCGTGATTGTTGTGAAGAAGGTGGCTCCCCAAACCGTGGAGTAGAAGCTATAGCGTAGAGATTAGGGTGCACCGAAGAAGATTAGATTTAAAACACCCACAAGGTCGCAGCCATGCACACAGCGAAGACCATATGTGACACCGCCCAGAGCGTAGCCAGATGTATTTTGACCCGCTGGTACATCATCACCCAGCGAGTCGCGTGCCCATTGAGGTTCCTGTCCAGTGCTGCGCGACTCTTCGTCGCCTCGCTTACGAAGAATGGTAGGAGCAAGTTACATGCCAGACTGAGTATGGAGCTGTAGAACAGAGCACGCGAGCCGAGACGCGTCGCTTCTGCGTTGAGGTCCGGGTCGTCTTGTGGCGTGGACGAGTGGACATGTTTGTGCAGCTCGCCGATGAACTCTGTGGTGTAGAAGAGTATGGGAAACCAGCCTATCCATGCACTAAAAGAGAAGACTTGAGGTGGGTCAACGGGAGTCGAGGCGGAGGTAGTACCTACAAGAACTGGATGATGCACTAAGCCACGTAGTGAGCAGGAGTTTATTAACGCATATGTATGACATACGATCTGACGGATCACAGGAGGCAAATTGCGGACGTTATCCCAGATGTCCTTCAGCTCTTGGAGGAATCCCTTCCGTGCGCCCCTGAAGTGGCCAACGAGCTCAGACAGCGTTACGCGATTTATGTTGCACTCACGCACTTGGTGGCGATGACTACTCTCTCCTTGGTGCACAAGGCGGTGATGGTGTGCATGGCGATCAGCAAGAAGGACCCGAGGACTGCTAGCACCTCGAGCTCAGTGTTTCCGAGGAATGAAAATACGGTTGTTAGGTCGACGTTTCCTCTGGTAAGTAAACATTGTTCAATTGCAGTACATAAGACGTATTTAGATGGTACGAACATGAAGTAACCTGCGACGCTCCCTACGCCAAGCATGCGGGCTGCCCACGCGTTCGCGTCGGCCTGGTCTGACGAAGGTAATGTATCTACAATAAGGGCGCGGTCCACGGCCTGAACTGTCGCCACAACGTTAGACGTACTGCAACTCAACGCGATGAACTATAGTACCGACCTGCGTTTATTGAGAAGTCGATTGAGAAGAGGGCAAATATTGCCAAGCATATTGTCAAGACATTGTTCTGCAGGTCAAACCGGCACATTAGAACCGGCAAGCACGGGGAGTTAATGTTGCTACACACTGCCATAGACTCAGCTGTCGTGAATATGCTTGCGAACGGACGCGTAAACCCCAGAAGGAGCATTGCGACGACACAAATACAGGTCCCTGCAAACATGTACGGTCTCCGGCGTCCGAAACGCGACTTTGAGTTGTCAGCAAGGACACCTAGTTGTCACACTCTAGCAGATGAAGGTTATGCGAAGGAAGTGAGTATACCGATGAGGGGTTGTACGAGCAACCCCGAAATTGGACCGGCAAGGAACACGGTCGCAACGGCAGACTTGGAGAGACCAAGAGATAATAGATACGGTGTACCTTGTGCGTAGAGTCAGGAGGATCCGCACAAGCCGGGGAGGGCACAGGAGGCTCACCGTACGACATCTCTATGGACCAGAACACTTGTACGCCAAGCAACCCAATAGTCAGCGCAGGGAGCTGCAGCCATCTTGGTCCCAATACTTTCGCGACTCCAGCCAGCTGAGTGTTGCTACGCTCGCCACCTTCCTCAGCGAGAGGTATGGATACGAACCCAGTCATGGTCGCCCACTACCGTCCTTGGTGATAATCCTCACAGTTTACAGTGATCAGAGTAAGACTTCAAGCCAGAGAGATGCCTCCGCGTGCTCTGGCGCAGGAACTGAGGAGATGGATGTGAGGACAGTGCCGGTGGTTGAGCGAGCATACCGTGATGGCCGCGCGCAGCAGAATGACCGCGTCCGTCATGACACAGCAGTGTCAGGAGGGTCGCCGGTCGGCCCCTCCCGGGGCCTCCCCACTCATCTCGATCAACGGATCTGGGGACCCTGATCACTCCGGGGTTGGCGTCATATGCTTTCCTTGTGATTGGTCTGCTCGTCCTTATAAGTTATAGCCGGTGCCCCCCGCGTTCTCGTCCGTCCGTCCATCCCTTCCTGACTCCTGTGAGCTATGCTGCGTCTGCACAGGCAGCAGAGCGCCGCCTTGCGCGCTGTGCGTTCTATCCACTCCACGGCGCGCCGACGACGAGAGCTGTTCGATCCCAGCAATGTCGAGAGGGCCTCGGACGAAGTTGACGTCTGTATTGTTGGCGGTGGCCCCGCTGGGCTCAGTGCAGCCATTAGGTTGAAGCAGCTCGAGCAGGAGAAGGGCCGCGAGATCCGCGTGGTGGTGTTAGAGAAAGGTGGCGAAGTCGGTGAGTCTTCACAATGTGCATCGTACGTGCTAGAATTGCGAGACCCTGCTGCACTCTGGAACACTGGAAGAGTTTTTGAGGACTCAGCCGGTGATGGCCTCACTGGACGTGCGTCGCTGCACTCTCATTGTATACATGTCAATTCCTCCACCCTTTGGCACCCGCCAGGGTGGCTCCGTCGCACACTTTCCGGACTTGCGCCTTGCGGTAGCGCCTCGCCGTTAATCCAGTTCCTCTCAGACAACCACAAGCTCACACCGCGGCCCAGGCTCCCATGTGCTATCAGGTGCGGTAGTTGAGCCTCGCGCTCTGAACGAACTGCTCCCCGACTGGCAAAATCGCTCGGACCACCCCCTCACACAACCTACCACGCACACCTCCATGCGCTTCTTCACCAAGTCCTCCTCGTTCCGCATACCACAACCACCACAGATGAAGAAAATGGGCACCTACATCCTCTCGCTCTCACAGTTCACCGCGTGGCTGGGCTCCATCGCCGAGGAGCTCGGTGTAGAGGTCTACCCTGGTTTTGCCGGTGCAGGCCTTGTGTATGGGCCCGACGGGAAAAGCGTGCTCGGGGTGCGCACAAACGAGGTTGGCCTGGACCGCGAGGGTCGGATGAAGGATGCCTTTGAACCTGGCATGGAGTTCCGCGCCCGCGTCACTTTGCTTGCCGAGGGTGCACATGGCTCGCTCTCAAAGGAGGTCATCCGAAGGTTCCACTTGAGGGAGAACAGCGACCCGCAGACGTACGGCATGGGTGTGAAGGAGGTATGGCGTGTGGACCCAAGTAAGTACCGGCCGGGAGAGGTGGTGCATACGATGGGTTGGCCCATCGACTGGAAGACCTACGGCGGCGGATGGGTGTATCACATGGCGGATGGCCTCGTCAGCTTGGGTTTGGTGATTGGGCTGGACTATGCCAACCCATATCTCAGCCCATACAGAGAACTTCAGGTAACGGTGAATGTAGCTTTGTCGCGCGCGCATCTCATCTCAGGGGCACCTCCAGCGTATGAAACACCATCCATATTTCCGGGACCTGCTTTCGGGCGACTCAAGCCGAATAGCGTACGGCGGACGCACTCTGAACGAGGGTGGCCTGCAGTCCCTCCCGCAGCTGCACTTCCCCGGTGGCGCGCTCATTGGGTGTTCCGCCGGCATGGTCAACGTCGCCAAGATCAAAGGCACGCACAACGCCATGAAGAGCGGTATGCTCGCCGCTGAGACCGCCTACAACGCCTTGTCCGCGCAAGAAGAGGGCTCCTCGGTACCGGCAGACATGAGCGATTACGAGACGGCGTTCCGGAATAGCTGGGCGCACGCAGATCTGCACGAGGTGCGCAACGTACGGCCGTCGTTCAACACGCCGCTGGGCATGTGGGGCGGCATCGCGTACTCGGGCGTGGACACGCTGCTTCTGAAGGGACGCACGCCGTGGACGTTCCGGAATACGAAGAAGCTGAGCGACGCGGCGCACACGAAGAAGGCGAGCGAGTGCACGCCGATTGAGTACCCGCCGTTCGAGGCCCCGTTGAGCACGGACTTGCTGACAAGTCTTGCGCTGACGGGGACGAACCATGCGGAGGACCAGCCGGTTCACCTTCGGGTGCGGAAGTATGGCAAGGGTGTGGCTGACGCTGGGTTGGAAGCTCAGCCTGGAGCGGAGGAGGGACTGGCGACAGAGGAGTTCGAGGAGAGCAAGGCGGTAAGGAGGGAGCACGTGAAAGCGAACGTGGGCGAGTACGCCGGGCTGCTTGGACGAGCATGTCCAGCTCAAGTGTACGAGTATGTGGATGATGAGTCTGCCCAAAATGAAGACAGTGAGGGCTGGGGAGGAAAGAAGCTTGTGATCAACTCACAGGTAGTGTCCTTCAATAGTTTGGTTACGAGGTGCTGTTCTGACTAGATGTTCCTGTCCAGAACTGTATACACTGCAAACTCTGCGACATCAAAGTGCCGACTCAAGATATTACGTGGACAGTTCCAGAGGGCGGCGGAGGTCCCAAGTACAGTGCGTATCTCCCTGTACCCCTGTGTTCTAACTGGCCTGACCCGCTCCTGTCGCAGCTGTTACCTGATGCGATTGCATACATATCTACCGCATAGCGCGTCTGGGATCTCAGGTCACAATATCACACATCATTTTCATGCCACCTAGCCGCCTTTAACGGTACACACCTTGAATCTAACAGCGTATGATGATGGTCCTTAGCAACTGTGTCTGCTGGTGGGATCAAACTGCCCAGAACGTGGACCGCTCGCGATTCACTTCCATAGTTACGCGTGCGCCAGGCTTATGAACCACCAAACGCGTCGCTCCTCGGACGCGATTGACCTCAAGACTGCTCCTCCGTCAGCTCGAACTGCACCTCCGTCAGGCGCTCGAACATGTGTGCATCGTGCTCCTTGGCGATCAGCCCTCCCGGCTGCACATCAGCATGCCAGCCGTGGTCGCCTGTCATTGCAATGTCGTACGGGTACCGGGCCTCCTCAACACGCCCGCACCAGTCAAAGTCTATGAGCTGAACTTTCCCCTCCTTCGTGACCAAGATGTTCGGCTCGCGCAGGTCTCCGAACACGAAGCCCTTGTCGTGAAGAGTCTTGACGGCGTTGCGCAGTGACTCGGCAACGGAGGACAGGCGCACGGAATCACTGCCGCTGGCGACAAAGTCCATGACGACGACCCACATTCCTACGCTGTTAACCTTCTCGCAGTGGTGCAACTTCGGAGCGAACCCGCCTTCATGCGCAACCTTGTGCGCGTGCTTCCCATATGCTTCGGTGAATTTGACAACAACTCTGAAGGCGGCCTTGTCGGGGACGCGAGCGTCCGCGAGAAAGACTGCTTTAGAGCTGTACTGGGCAGCCAGGCGAGCCACATACTTCAGCTCCACTTGTTGTCCATTGAGATCGGTGTATGTACTGAAGCTCGGGCCTACGTAATGTGACGGTGTGCCGGAGGATGCCTTCGGTACGCCACTGAGCCGTGTATCTACGGGGTTGTTTGAGGATGTTCGGGGAGAAGTGCGCTGAGCACCAGATTTCAAGCGTGAGGAAGAAACCGACTTCATGGCTTGCAAACCACCGTAATAAGTCTTCAAGTCGGTGACGCAATGCTTGAGCGCACGGAAGAGCCGCGCAACAGAGAGTATGGTTTCGGACATTGAGGACGATTCGAGTGGCGACAGAGGAATGACAGACATGTAGTCCGTGAAGGGCTGCGAAATGAGCTGGTCTGCGAAGGCGGCCCCGCTCACGGCAATATATGGTCCGGCAATTGCAAGAAGGAGAGCAGGGCAACAGCAAATATTGCGGATGGGTTTGGCCTGTAAGTCTTACAGTCAACACATGATCATGAGCCCTCAGGGGGAGCACAAACCTCGGGGGATGTGTAGATGGCAACGTATGCACATTCAGCCTGTGCGCGTGGATCACAGCCACCGGTCCCAATCTCGTTCTTGACCTCAGTGATGGCAACGACGGGTCTAAAACCTTCGAATGACGTGTCCATACGTATCACGCCGTCCGGTTCGAGGCTACCAGAGGAATAGTTTAGCGAAGTACGATCGAGTATGCCAGTCCGACGGCGTTCGACAAGGCATCCGTTATGGCCCTCTGACGGGATGGCTCGTCCACATAGAGCTTAGATGATAGTTCGATGAATTCTCGAGCTGTTTCAACCTCCTTAGGAGTGTATATGTTGGAACCAATGGGTTGGGATATGGAATAAGCAAATCGAGCGAATGCCGGGCGGTAGATAATGATCGGAGGAGGCGCGAGGTGAAGAGGCCGATAGTTGTACACGGCATCTAGGTGGGTTGGGGTCTGTGTCTTCATGAGCTCACTAACAGTGGCCCCGCTCGAGGGAGAGCGCCGCTTTCTACCAGCTGCGGCGATGGCTTCTCGATCTGACGCACTGTCAAGAGGCGTGAACTCGCGCAAACCTTACACTCACCAGGGAGCCTAGCTGCGATTCCCTCCACCACCGAGGCAAGGGTTGCCTGCTGGTCGTCACCCAATGTCGGCACGGCTATGAGAGGCATAAGCCACGACGGTAGCGCGAGTGCCGCGTGAACGCACAAATGATGGACACCAGCTTGTCCTCCATGCCAGACAGCTTCATTCGGTCGGCGATCAACTTGGTCTTTTTCCTGATGACTTCATTGTTTACGGTCTGGGAGATTGTTGCATCACTGGCATCGGGAGAGTACAGTGGTGTCGAAACCTAGGAAATGTGAGTGCGCTTCGTAGGAGAAGAAGGCCCTACTCACCTGACGGATGGCTACCGCGGCAAATTCAAGTGCTGGATTGGACAGTTCGAATTCCACAGGCTTAGATTGGACGAGGTTTTCAAGAAGGTCTCGACGTCCGACACCGTTGCGGGCGAGCTCCCTTCGTGTTGATATACGACGTCGGTGACATACTTGTACGAGCCAGAAGCATTAGGGCCTCGTCCGGAATAACGAAGTAGAACTGGTATGTTGAAGGTCGCCATGGCGGCCACGGACGCTGAGGAGTGTGCGGACGCGGATATTCAAGTGGTGATCGCAGCCAAGTATATGAACCAGCAAACGCGTCGGTCCTCGCCGGCCCAGGCGGACGCGAACGTTCGGGGTACGCGACGCGTGATGATGCACGTGATGCGTGTCAGCGCCGCGAGTCTGTGTATGTCGGCCGGCCGCAGAAAGTGGTCACAGGCCAGTCTCTGCTCGCCGCTTTCACATCCTCCAAATCCCCGCCTACCCATAGGGCTCAGATCCTCACTGTCTGAGGTACCGTAGTCACCTATTCCCACAGCCCTACCTGCACCCAAAACGCTCGCTGTACGCCTGGACAAGCTTCGCTGTTGCCCACTATGTCCGCGCGGACTCTCGCAGCCCTAGCTCGCATTCCTGCACCCACGCATGCGATCTCCTCTTCTTCGAGGATTTGCGTACATCAGCAAGCTCGGTGTATGAGCAGGACATCTCGCTCGGAATCACTGTTCATGACTTCGCCGAGCAGATGGCACTCCGCCGGTCAGACACTCTCGTCGCTCAGCAGAAAGCGTGCGATGCATACGAGTGCAGGTTAGTGTCGATTCGTAGCATCATATTGATGTGTTCTCACTTTGAGACTCAAGTTGTACGGCACGGGCACCTCACACGTCCCGAGCCTGGCACAGGGTAAGTCGCCGCTATGGCGCTCCTTTCCAAATGCTTGACGCGCGAACAGGATTAAGCTACACTTCAAGGACTCGAAGGGGAACCTGATCAAGACTGTTGAAGCGAACGAGGGGGACGACATTCTGACATTGCGCATGAGCACGATATTGACCTCGAGGGTGAGCCTTCGTCTCTGTAAAGGTAGAGCTGATCTTGACAAATTCTGTTCACAGGTGCATGCGAGGGGTCGGTCGCATGCTCGACATGCCATGTCATTCTCTCACCGGAGCACTACGACCTTACTCCCGAGCCCGAGGTAACGCACACACCACCATCCGACCAGCTTCTTTAGCCTTACCTCTCCTTCACCTCAGGATGATGAAAACGACATGCTCGACATGGCATTCGGCTTGACCGACACCTCACGACTTGGGTGTCAGGTCCGACTGACTCGCGAGCTCGACGGGATAACCGCAACATTGCCCTCAGCCACCCGGAATATGTTCGTTGACGGTGCGTCTTACGGTGTCCGCTTCCTGACCGGCTGGGTAATCATCCTCCTGCGTGTATCCGTACAGGGAAGAAATCAGCGCATCATTAGCACTCCCACCTAAGGACAGGTCGGTTGGCCGGCATGTCCTAAAGCCTATTTCGTCTCTGGGCGGAGGGAGCTATGCGTGACGAGCAAGCCCTGGATTGCTATCCGCTTCTCTGCATGATGCATATTGCTATTGGGTTACTGCTGTTATGTTGCCGCTACACATATTACGACAGCAACGACATGTCGGTGTCGCAGGGGCCGTATATTTATCCATGCTGAACTCGATCAGCCTGCTCTAATGCGCCTTCGCCCTGTGTCCGTTGATCCTAGGTGAGTGTCTGTACCCCGCCAGTCATTCAATATTCAGCATTTGCTGCCCGCTTCCATTCGAGAGCTCACTGTTCAGGGTTACGCGCACCGTCCGGCTTCTATCACTGAGCCCACCCACGATCGAACGTCGACCGGTTGCCCGTAATTGACCCACTCACCACGTCTTGTGCAGTCCACCGTTCAGCCTGCCCCATCCCGCGAACTTGTCATGATAATCCCATTACGAGCGCTTCCCAGGCCTATCCCTCCAATTAATCGCGCTTCGTCACGAGTACGAGGCAAGTCGATCTCACAGCACCCCAGTCTCAGACGTTCCATAAGGTTGGCCTCATTCAGATCCATCCAACGGAAATGGCCGAGCGTTACAAAGTGTGACGAAATATGGCCATTAAGTGAAGAATTCATACTAGATCGTGTACTCGTACTGTACCATTCAAATGACAACGAACAAATCTTCAATCGAGGTCTCCGGACACGAACTCTTTCACGAAATCATCGCGCGCAGTGTTGTCTTAGTGTAGTGCAGTTTACACGACCGCAGAACATATCCGGCGAGTAGGCGCCCGCCGCATACCGAACACGGTTCCGTCCCTACGGTTGCACCATCACCTACGATGCCTAAACGGAAGCATGCCTGGCGATTCGCGAACCTCGGTATTCCGAGAAAGAAGTCTAAGAAGCAGGGTCAGTCAGAAAGTGGGCAAAACAAAGAGAATGTGAGTACCAAAGTTTTCGGAACCTCTTGCATGGCAATTGACCATTGCGACGAGTAGGCTATAGCTAGTGTCAAGGAGCACGTATCCTCTCAGCCGGTGCCGCAAACAGCGGGCCCTGTATTCTCTGGGTTACGATCCATCTGTCAACAATTCCATAACCGTCGCAGTCAGTCTCCTGAGCCAGCATCCGTATCAGAAGCGACCTCCGAGTCGGACACAGACTCACCTCCGAGCAAGGTTCCTCGAACCTCTCCAGAGTCCTCCGAAACACCCATGCATGACCCGACTTCATCATGCAATGCTGTCGATGACGCGAGCGATTCCGCGTCGGACTTGGATCCCGGTGTTCAGCTGTGGAAGGTGACCGCAGATCTCTTCTTCCCGCGCCCAGACAGCCACACACCGATCTCGCCACGCTCTCGCTGCGCTTCCGAGCCCGTCGATGGTCTGTCCGAGGGTTGTCCGGTGAGTAGGCTGTGTATGTGTGATCGTGATCAGAACCTGATCACTGCCGATGGGCCAGATATGCCACGCGCTCGCGCCGCTTCATGGATGCATATCACAAAGGCCTCAACGGCGCGCAAGCCGCATGGGCATCGAGGAAATACCATAGCCATCGTACCGTCCCCGACACGATCATGCAGGACCTCACTTCCGCTGCATCTGCAGGGTCTATTTAATCAATGAGTAATGGAATTCGGATATCATACATTGACTACACATAACTCTACTGTACTGCAGCACACCATAGTGAATGTTTTATGACGAAAGTGCCCGAGAGTCCAAAGCAACTCGGCGGTGAGTGTGCGCAGTGCATGATTGGCCCTTGCCGGCGCTACGAGTGTCACTGGATAAGTCCTCGGGGATAACGCCGAGTCACAGCGCGTCACGTTGGATGGATCTGAATGAGGCCAACCTTACTATTTTTCAGTCTCTCGATAAGCCGTCTCGAGAATCCTTGAACTCTGAGTCCGACAGGTACCAGCACTACCCTTGCACGGCCCTGGTCACTGGTGTTCACCCCGGCCGCATGTATGTGCCGGCTCCCTCCTGGCAGTGAAACAGCGCGTCTGAGTCTCCTTAGGGCGGTGCGATGCATCTCGTACCTTGCACAGCTCTCAACGTCCAGCGGACCACGGCCTGTGATGCCTCGCTTGCGTGCGTGCATCGGGTTATTATTTCGAGGGATGCTACGCGACTCTCGAGTACTCAAACGCATTGTAACGCAGGTTTTATTAGTCTACGTGGTATGGTATTTTCGTACGACATTCAGGGTCTACACCGCTACTCGTCAGGTCATGATACAACAGATCCGCAAAAGATACAATGTTCAGATATACTAGTATGTATGGGGTCCATGTCATGCAGTCGTCAGAGGCACCTTTCTAGCATTGACAACCGTGCGTGATTGTCAATGTCATGTCGACGCTTGCTCGCCGGTAGGCGCGTCCCGATTGCCGTTGTCATCGCGCTTGTCGCCGTCGCTTTGAGCATTCTCCCCTGCACCGTTGCCCGCCTCCTTAGCCTCCGTCGGCTCGACCTGATTACCCTTCTCCTGTGCATCGTCCTTCCCGCCCTTCCCCGTCTTCCGCCCCTCCTCAGCGACGTTGTGCGTGCTCCCCGACTTGCTGCTCGCCTTCGGCTTCTCAGCACCCTTCTTCTCACCCCCCTTCTTCTCATCCTGGCTCGAGTTCCCGGACGACAGGCGGTAGTACGACTCGCCCTGGGCGTCGTGCTCGTGCACGAACGTGAGCCGCTGCATCTCCGTGATGAAGTTCTCGAGCTTGACGTCCTTCCTGCTCCGGTTGCGCCGGCCGACGTTGTCCAGCCACCGCATCCTGCTCAGAAGGAAGTCTGACGCAGAAGATCAGCACGCGGGGTCGACGATCCGGAGGCAGGCACGTCACTTACAGAGTAAACCGACGACGACGGTGACGCCGAACGAGTATGCCCAGATCTTGACCACAGTGACGATGTCGATCCATCCCCCGTGCTCGCCCGGCCCCGAGATCCATCCAAACAGCGCAAAGATCGTGGCAAGAACGTCCACACCGAGGACCGCCCCCACCAGCTGCCACGAAGGCCAGACAAAAGGCCCCGAGTCCGGCCCTATCGCCATGCGGGTGATGAGGATGACCCACGATTCCGTGAGCGCGACTTCGAGGAACAGAATCTCTTGGACGCTGCCGAAGTTCTGGATGATGCCGCCGTCTCCGAGGAATAGCGTTCCGCGGATGATCCAGGTGCCGCCGGCGAGCAGCATGCCCATGAGGGTTGACATGATCCACACCTTCGGGAGCTGCCAATCGACGGGTTTGCGTTCGTGGGGGGCGTTGTCGTAAGCAATAGCGATGGTCGCGACGCTGAGAGTGGAACCGTCAGCGTACTGCGGAGTGACCAGACGAGAACGATGGAACATACTCTGCGAAGATGGCCAGGAAGACGATGAGGTCCACGCGGATAGTCTCGTTCAGAATGAGCATAGACAGACACTGTGACCAGGGTCAGACCGAGCGCATGCTGACAATAGCAAACAAACGCACCAAGTAGAGCTCGAGGTGGATACAAAGCGCGATACGGTAGACGATGTAAGCCTTCATCCTGTGGAAGATCTGGCGCGCGACCTTGATCGAAGTGATGATCGTGCTCAGACCCTCGTCAAGGAACACGACATCCGCCGCCGTCCGCGCCGCATCCGACGCGCCCTCCACAGCGATACCACAGTCCGCCTTCTTCAGCGAAGGCGCATCATCTGGTCAAATGATCAGCACAACGTTCACGCATCACCAGGGTACAACGGTACTCACTGACACCATCCCCCGTCATCGCCGTAAGGTGCCCGCGTTGCTGCAGCATCGACACCACCTGGTACTTATGCTCCGGGAACACCTCCGCGAAGCCATCCGCGGCCTCAATGAAGTCGCGCACCTCCGAGCCCGCCATCTGCCCGCCGATCAGCCGCGCCGAGTCGTACACGTTCGTGCCCAGCCCGAGCTGCTTGCACGTCTCGATCGCGATCGCGACCGCGTCGCCCGTGAGCATCTTGATGTGTATCCCGAGGTCGATCGCCTCGTGGATCGTCGCGGCCGTGTCCGCGCGCGGCGGGTCGAACATCGCGAGCATGCCCAGGAGCTGCCACGGCTGGCCCTCCTCCTTCACGGCCACGCCCAGGGAACGGAACCCCCTCTGCGCGAACTCCTGGCTCTTCGCGTGGTACGCCTGGATCGTGTCCGGGTCGAACTCGCTGAGGCGGAGGATCGCGTTCGGCGCGCCCTTCGCGCAGGTGTACCGCTTGCCGTCGCGCTCGACCTCCGCCGTGATCCGCTTCGAGACGGGGTCGAACGGCGTGAACTTGCTCGTCTTCCACCCGCCCCGGAGGATGTCCTGCGCGCCTGGGTAGTCCTTCAGCCCGACGACGGTCACCTTGTCGATCGGGTCGAGCGACTTGACGTTGTGCGAGGAGGCGAGCGCCGCGGCGGCCATGAACCAGTTCGGGTCGACGTTCGGCGCGATGTACGGCTCGTTGAGGGAGAGCTTGTTCGCGGTGAGCGTGCCGGTCTTGTCTGAGCAGAGCATGTCGACGCCTGCAAGAGACTCGATGGCCGTAAGCTTCTGCACGATGGCCTTCTGCTTTGCCAGGTACGCCGCGCCGACAGCCATCGTGGTAGTCGTCACGCACGGAAGACCGACGGGTACACCGATGATCTACGAGGCGCAACGTGAACAACGATCCTGGGACCATATATGCAATGACGACTCACGAAGAAGATCAGCGCATACACGAGCAAGTTGTTCTGCGCCGGCGTCGCAATGCCCAGGTGCCTGAAGAATCCTCCAATCCACACAATGAAGATAAACCCGATCACAATCACCAGCAGCGCATTCCCAATGCCGTCCAGCACAATCTGGAAGTGCCCGCGCTCGTTGCTGGACATGACGAGGTTCGCCGTGCGGCCGACAAAGCTCTGCTGCGCGTTACACGTAGCCACACCGTATGCCTTGCCGCGCTTCACGCCGCACGTGTAGTACGCGACGTCACCGAGGAACTTGTCGGACGCCAGTGACTCGCCGGTGATGGCAGACTGGTCGACGGAAAGCACGGAGGGGCCCTTGTCCCTGGAAGAGGACGACGAGGCAGAGGATGTGCTATTGGAGCGGCCGAGCTTCTCGGTGATCGCCTTGGACTTGGATCCGGACTTGTCGTTGTAGTCGGTGAGGATCTGGTGGGCGATTAGACGCGCAACGGCGGCGGGAGCGGTGTCACTCTTACCTTTGCGTCCGCAGGAATTGTTCTGCCTTCCTCCAACACAATCTGACATGGTCTATTAGCTTTTCTTGCGAGACAGGTCGGTGGAGTAACCAAGACTCACAATGTCACCCGGAACGATATCTCGAGCTTCGATTTCCTGTTCGCGTCCATCGCGTACGACCAGTGCCTTGAGCGCAATGCCAGCCTTGAGTTGGGCAACAATGTCACCGGCCTGTCTGTTCTCGGCGTTAGCAGGGACTGCTGTGATTACAGATTACAGTGACAAGACATACTTCTCCTGGTACCAACCCACTCCGGCGTTCAGGAACAAAATGCCGATCTGTCAAAAGCATGAGGACACTCACCAGTGACGTATAAAAATGGGAAGAGACGCACAATGACACCGAAATCAATCCAGTCCCGCAAGCCGGCGGAGAGGAGAACAGCGAGTTCCATGACGTACAAGATGGGCCCGCGGAAGTAGGAGATAAACTTGAGGAACTGGTTCTCGTCCTGGCTCTGCAGCTCGTTCCAGCCAAAGGTCTTTCTGCGCTTGTCGATCTCTGCGCCGGTAAGACCTTGCTGGGTGTCGGTTTGCAGCCAGTCTTGAGGGACCTTCTTCTCCTTCTGTTTGCCTGTGCGGACTTTCTTCCACGGCATGTACCAGAGCCGCTTCTCCTGGCCTTCTTCCTCCTCATCCTCGGCGTCCTCACCACGTTCGAGCTTTGCGGCTTCATCACTAGCGTAGCGTAATAGGATTTCGTACTCGTCGCCGTCGTCATATCCTGGAAGCAGGGAAGATGTGTCTAGCGGAACGATGGTAGACAAGCAGGTCTACGTACGGTGGTCGTCCTTCTCTGCAGGTCCACCGTTCGCAGTGCCATTGGACGAGTCCGGGGCAGACTCTTCGTCTTGGGGCTTGGCCTTCTTGCGGTGGGTGAGCATGTCGCGGCGTGCTTGGCGGGCTGCGAGTGGTCGGAAGTCACGCTGGGAGGAGCGGAGAGGAGGATTATATGTGTGACTGAGGCTGACCAGAGGCTGGCGCTGTGAGGTCAATCGACGGCAGGGGCGGCATGGAGTGAGAGGCCTCTGTGCGACTCTAGAGCCGCGCAGTAACCGTATTTCGAGAGCAGGAGCATCATCTGCGGCTGGCTGCACGCTCCACCAGCCAAAGTGTCATACGTACACCCTTGCGTCATCCCACTAGTACCAGCCGCCCATTTCTGTCCCCGCCGTCGCGAAAACACCTCATGATTTCCGCAGACTGTGAGAGGAGGACCGAAAGTGTGAGTGAGCTGTGTCGAACGCGGATACGGCACAGGTGAGACTCGCAGACATGTGTGGACGTCGAGGATAGCACTGGCAGAAGGGATTGCCGGCGCGATTTAGACTTTTGAGTCGATCTGGATCTGATGATCGAAGGCCTATGCACGTGCCCCCGACGTCACTATCCTACACGCGCCCTGCCACCTGCGCTGCGCATAGGAATACAGTACTTGGAGTATCAATGTTGCACCCACCTACGTATCCTACGTAGGTGGCGTAAGTACCCGCCTATACGCGCATGCCTTCTCACGCGGTCCGCGACCTGAGAACGCAGTAACGCACAGTACTCAGGCTGTCAATAGAACGGTTGAATCTGAGTTCATGTCGGTGGCGAAATAGAGTACTTGGCTAAGTACTTCTGTGTTACCGTGGAAGAGCATCTTGTCTTCGCCCTGGTATTTCAAGTGCACCTATCCCGGCGGCTTGCATATCGCGTCGGCCTTGTTCATAACGATAGCCACGGCTCTCTGGGCCAGTTGTTTGCAAATGGTTTGCTGTCCCGCCTTCAATGCCTGCTTGGCTCGTGACATGTTGTGGAACACACGCTCCTGACCCAATGAAGCGGTCTGTCCTTCTGGATCAGGTTTCAGTTATATCCTTTCCTTAGCCGCTTTTGTATGGCCCTACAATCGAGTCTTTGAGATATCAGGAGCGATAGGTACATTGCACTGCCCTTGCCATTGTAGTCAGTAACGAACTCTTTAGACATGATCCAACACTTACTTTTCACCGGCACCATGGAGCGGGTTGCGTACTAAGTTTGCTGCATGTATACAACTATGATGAGCGCGAAGAGACTCAAACTGAAGCATCGGAGCGCTGAAGAGGCTCGTCGCGGTCACGGGTCTCTCATCTGACCTGCCTGAGCCGGACCGGAACGCAGGACATGCATCCTCGTACACGGACCTCTCACGCTGCGTCGGGGCACTGAACGATCTACCTGGAGTTTGTCAACGCGTAGCGACTCACCGACACTACCTCTATAGAGCGGTCCTCTATGACCCAGCTATATGCAGAAAGGCCATGGATCGTCTCGGATTTTGCCTCTATCCGCATGCAAGGTCCTGCCAAAGGTCACTCGCCGACAAGTACTGCGCGTTCGATCACCCGACGTCAAGCCGCGCTACGGGCCGGCAGACATTAATGTCATGCACGTCCAGCTGGGCGAGCATAAATCGCACCCCTCGAGTGGCGCTCCCCGACACTCGACGGCCGCTCTCATCCAACCTAGGTTCCACGGACTGAAGACTAGCATCCAGGGATGCTTGCCTCAACGCTACCGTTCCTGCTGCTTGTCACGGTCGCATGTGCTCGTGGTATTTCGGCAAGCGCGTTCTACTGGCCCAACGTCAAGCACGTCTTCTCGTTTGGGGACTCGTACACGGATACCTACGCGCGGTTCGTAAATGGCACCTTGACCGCGAGCCATGATTTGAAGGTTGGTAGAGGGATCTTCACCCACCGCCCGAGCTGCTACTCAAGCGGCACCCCCCCAGTCTACTTCCGGCGGTAAGATGTGGATCGAGTGGTTGACGGACACGTACAACGTCAGCACGGTTGAGCTGTACAATTTCGCGTCCGTCCCCGTCCCTCTTCTCCCCTAGGCGCGTGTTCCCTGAGAGTCCCGGTGGGCGTAGATACGGCGGTGCAGTCACGGACGAGACGATCGTCGCGCAGAGCTCCTCGTCGACGCAGAGTTTCCGCGACCAGGTCAACAACTTCCTCGCCGGATACGCGAACAACAGCGCGGTTCCCTGGACGGCAGACGACTCGCTCTTCACAGTCTTCATCGGCATGCGATACTGTCTCCTTATCTTCAGGATCCAATTGACGAGCCTTGGCGGCGTCCTCTGTAGGAATCAACGACATCGGCAAGAGCTACTACTGGACCAACGAGACCCAGCATACCACGAACGCTCGTGTCCTGGCCTCCTACTTCGAGCGCCTGGCGCTCCTCCGCTCCGCCGGCGCGCGTAACTTCCTGCTCCTCCAAGTGGGCCTGCCTCCCTGCTTTACGCCGACTTCACTGACCACCACTGGGTCCCCGACGTCGGCCGTACACCGAACCTCCTGAACCAGTCCGCGCACACCGCGCCGGGCGAGCCGAACAACGGGACGCTGCAGTCGCTCGCCGCGCTCGACTACAACGCGCAGCTCGCACAGAACATCGAGGGCTTCACGCGGAACTCGAGCGCGCTCGGGGTGAGCGTGAACGTCGCGATACATCCGACCCATGCGTTGTTCGACTTTGCGCTGGACAATGCGGAGGTGCTGGGGTTCACGAACGTTGCGTGTGAGTTTAATTCGATTTGGTGTAGGGGCCGGGCTGAGGTGTATTCAACTTGTAGCTGGGTGGTGGACGGGCCTAGCGGACCAGGACCAGTACTCGGCTGCGACGTACTTCTGGTGGAACAAGTGGGTTTATCTCTGGGCGTGTGGGGCCGCGAATTGACTAGTTGTTATCCCTGCAGCTTTCACCCAACCTGGGGAGTTCATGAGTGAGTGCCTGATGTCCATCCGCGGTATGAGAACTTACGTCATCAATTGGACAGCGTACTGGCGCATAGCGTGTCGACGTTCTTGTCGAAACGGTCAGGGCTGTAGTAGACACATTAGGTTTGAAGACACAGTGTTTGATGAAATATTGCTTGCAAGGTGTTCTGGCGGACATGTTAGACTGCCATGAACGAAATTCCAACACAAAAGACTCACGACCGGCAACCATCATGAAAAACGCCAAGTGTACCATAATCATCATGAGCCCATCTACGAAATTGAGTTTTGTCTCGGATGGTCTGCTACTTTGTGTTTTGCACGCACGGCTGTCAGCCGTGCTACCTGACGTCTAGCTGTATGCGTCATGCCCACACGTCCGACCAACAACCGTCACCGTCCTCAAGTCTGTGAAAGGCGTTATCCATCGGCGAAACCCACAATTATCAGACACGCTCTATGTATTGTCATCCGGCGCATGCGGCAAGTTGTCAATGTACGACGCGGTAAGGTCGAATAAGGTCCACAGCAGTCCATGAGTCGTGATGCTCCTCAGCGCGCTCACCCCCAGCCCACGATACAGCCGCGCGAGGCCGAGCAATATTGGTTTTGATGCGTTTGGGTCGGGCCCTAGGCATTGCCTTGAAATTTCAGGTAGAAATATAGAGGAAAAAGGGCGCACCTCGTATGAGCCGATGCAGAGTTACCCACAAAGTTCGTCTCTGCTCCCCGGCCAAGGCGCGCTGCTGCACCTTAGTCTTCACACTGAAAACACGTCATGAGAAGAAGTACCAAGAGTCGGCAGCACAACTTACACGTCAAGAGGATAGATGAGAGCCCAAGAAGTGACTCCCGCTAGGGAACCACACATGAACGGTACCACCGACGGAGGGATAGGCATCCAGGACGGCGTTGGACCCTGTTCTCCCGACGCGAAACGGCCCATCAAATGGCGCATGCCGTCGTATTCGAAGAAGTATAGCCCGGTCCCCAGTGTGTCACGCACTGCCGCGCTTCGATGTAACCTCGCGCGTCCAAGGACGAATATATGGACCTACCGAAATGCAGTCGGAAGCCAAGATACAGTCCCCGCAGACCGTGCAGCTGGAATATGTCCCGGACGGCATCGAGTGTCCCGGGTGCTTTGACTATCCGTACGCCTTTGCTGGCCGCGATGGAGTACTCCAGTTGCCGGCGAACCTGGGGAGGTGGTGTTACATCCCTTCAACATGTTGTAACCGCGAAAGACCATACCTTGACGAGCTCAAAGGCTAAGCATGGTATATGCTACAATATGAGCGCAGGTATGACAGTACAGAGGGACTTGCTGCTTACGCGCACTCCCGAACGAGATAAGGGACCCGCTCAACGCGCCCCCAATACCTCCCGTGGACGCCACGCTCAACATCGTATTCTGCGCTAGCCAGTGGTGGTCGTGGAAGTACTCCTTCGTGCTCGTGTATATTGTGAAGCTCGCCGCACCTGCCAGCGCGCAGACTCAGTGAGCACCGATTACAGCACCTAACCAAGCCGACGACATCGAGATGGGGAGCGAAGAGAGACTCACGGACGAACGAGATTGTGATGAGTGGAATCCATAGCCCACGGTAGAATCCGATGACACCCTCGTCCCGGTACACCTGGAGCGCGAGCTTCGGCACCGTGATAGGTGTGCGGAGGGTCTGCAGGCGGGACTTGATCGAATCAAGCTATTCCGTTGCCAATTCGGAGGGCGCATGTACGTGAGTAGACCGACTTCCTTCGACCTGGATAGATTGACGCGCGAAACGGACTCACAGGGTAGCCCGCAAAGGTTGAGATGTAGCTGGCAGAAACGGCACAGACGACCGCCTTGTTTCGTCGGAGAGACTCATTGAGTGCAGCCGAGTCGAACAGGTACTCCGACGATCTGCAGCGAGGTCCGCGTATCAGCGAGTCAGAGGAGCAGACATGGTGCGGTGTAGCGCACGCCGCACCTTTTCTCACTCATAGGACGCAGTCACCGGGCCCAGATGAGTCCAGTTTCGTGCAGGAGCACGAGGCAGGGGTTGCTGTTCAGTCGCCTGGGATGCGGAGGCCGTTAGAGTGGGAGCGGGAGGCTGGAGATGATGCTCGGTGCTCGACGTCGCTGGGCGGCCGAAGGAGACATTGCAGAACAAGCGCTCATGCACCGGGCCATCGGGAACGCCCCGGTCCCTCCACGGTCCATCCCAACTCGCTGCCGACCGACCATCTTCTCTCGACCTATGCGGCTGCATACATGGGGTATTCTATGCGAGTCACCTCACCCCCGTACGCATCTCAGCATCGCTAGTATGGCTGTTCATGATTTCGATTCGCCTTTCACGTCAAGTCAACGTTGCGATGAAGGCGGCGCGGGCATATCACCACGCGATGCATTGACAGTAGCGTGATCAGCTGCGCGTATACCGCGTTCGCGAACACGCATCCCGTTGTCTTCGCCCCCTCATCACTTTCGGACCTGTTAAGGCCAGACTGTTAAGGTCAGAGCGAGATGTCCCTTTCGCATAGAGCAAGCTAACACAGGCTTTGATTATTTCAGACCATGACAAGATGAGAGCCTCAGGTCCCGCAGAGCTCAACGTAAGTCTAGGTTTATGGTGGGGAGGCAAGGCTGGGCGGCTTAGATGCAAGTATCCCAGACACAACCGCTCTACCCACCTCGCAAGGAAACGGGCGGTTCGGACAAGACAGCCGTCAATGAGGTACGTTTGAAGGCTCAAGACTGTTCAGGTTCCAACTGAGTGCGGCTTTCTAACTCTGTTAAGGCTGCACCAAAAGCGTCTCACGTGAAACCCTCACGCTCAGAAGTAAACGAGAAATTGTCGGCACCTGTAAGTCGTAGATCACATCCAGTGTGAACGGTTTCCTTAGCGAGACTGTCTAGTCTAGCCTCAGCGCGGATGCCTGGAAACTCTACGTGGGACAAGCGTCGAAGACCCATACCGACTTCGTAGCGGCATGGAGCATGCAAATGGATACTCTCCTTCTATTTGTGCGTATCCGCTTCTCAGACCCGTCTGTCAGTGGGAAGACTTAGCGTGGAATCGTCATATAGGCCGCCTATTCTCCGCGGTCGTGACTGCTCTTGTTGCCACAACATATCCACTACTGTCACCGGACACAGGGGCGCAGAGCGTGCAATTACTGCAGGCGATACTCGCTACTCTGCAAACAAACGACAGCAGCGAGAACATCGCATCAACGGCGCTACTCGATGAACCATTCACTCCGGAGCCCTACGCCGTACGCGTCAACGCCGTCTGGTTTGCCAGCTTAGTGGTCAGCGTGTCGGTCTCGTTCCTTTCCATCCTCGCCAAGCAGTGGCTATTCAATATGGGCGATTACCTGGACTCCTCTCCGGAAACCTGCGGTCGTCAACACCAGTATCGTTTGACAAAATGCAGACATGGAGATTGACCGCCATCCTCGCATCTCTCCCTGTCCTGCTCCACATAGCGCTGCTGCTCTTCTTTGCCGGGCTCGTTGACGCGCTATGGGCCGTAACAATACAGTCGGCGCAGTCGTATCGAGTCTGGTGGGCGTCACCGTGGTCGTCTATGTTGGCACGCACATGCTCTCCATCTTCTTCGTATCATGTCCGTACGAACGTCGGTGAGCACCGCCATCCTCAGCGGCGCGGATGCCCTCGCCAGGGAGTTCTTCTGTGACACATGTGCCGTCCTTTTTTACATCCTGGGGAATCTGCGACTAGCAGTCGAGCACATCCTCGGCTTGCGAAGGGCGGGCTTCAATGCAACAACCGCCGCATGGGTTCTACCAGAATACTAGATGTCTCAAAGCTGCGCAGCGAGATCAAGGCCGAATATGAGAGGTCCATAAGCGCCGACATCGGGCTGCGAGCAAGGGAGCGGATATACATCACGAAGCACGCCGAACTCATGGACGCTTCCGTATTGGCACGTATGGTGGAGTCTTTCCCTCGCACGGAGGAGAGCACGGAGCAGATTGTCCACGAGCTCGCTCATTCTCCCCTCCTAGTCAAGCACAGACAGCTGTTCGTCGATGCTGGCGTGATGCCTTTCGTCTGCCCGCTGCTTCAATCCATCTACAAGAGCCGTTCGCAGAACTTCCATCCGCCGCACAGACCGAAGCGTCGGACTTAGCGAGGATCTTGGCCCAACTTCTCACCGAAGCCGATGAAGACGACCGGGTTGTGGACCTATCCGATAAACGCATGCCTATATTTTTCAGGGGCTTTCTCGAGGACCAGTCAGACGAGGCGGAACAGTCTCTCATCAATTTGTCGCTCTGTACACCGGATGCCGCCCTCACAGACACCGATGACCTCGTCTTTTTCTCGCACATGCTCAGACTTCAACTCGCAGCCTCGTCCGAAAAATGGTACACCTGCGAGATCAACAAGTCTGTCCAGGAGTTCTATAGACGTGTCGCCGAATTCCGAGGAATGGCCCAGCACAGCGTCGAGGATCAGTTGTCGCTCGTGAACACAGTGATCTACACCGGCACCCGACCTGTCTTGCTGGCATCATCGGCTTCAAAAGGCGAGGTAGAGAAGGAGCGCAACGAGCATCGGATCAGGACACTCGACACGTTGTCTGCTCTCATGTCGAACAACCCAACAATGGAGTACGCCTTGCTTCGACAGATCTCTTGGGTTGTGTGGATGATATGCAACCCAAGGACTCGGAACGACGTCGTCCGCGACTTGCTTGTCCCACACGTGCGCGGAACGTCCAAGCTGGCGACGACTCTAGCACGCCACCTTACCCCGAATTACAACTCATACGCCTACCCCTACGCTGTGCTCACTCTGATAGAATGTCTTCTGCTCCTCGAAGCCCAGTCGGGCGAAGGAGAGCAACTCGACCGTCTGCACTTGTTGAAAACACTCGTCGCCAGGTACCCGCTCTTCTTGGAGGAATTCCGGGCAGTGCTTCGCTCAGCTCTCGAGAACATAGCAGAGCCTTCTTCACAGCTCATGCCATCGGATCTTCTCCGTCTCCTCGGTCGTGTAGTCAGATTGTCTTTGTGCCTGACCCACTTCAGTTGGGACGGGTTGGACATCCTCGACGTTGACCGTGAACGTGTCACGCAGCAGACCCTGGATATACTCCTACACGTCTGCGATCACAATCATAGGATCGAGTCGGATGCTTGGGAGGGCATCTACTCTTTGGCATACAGCGCGACGTCTCGGTTTGCGGTGTTGCAGATCGAGAAACGCTTGACAGGACCAGACCTCTCGCTCTACTCCGGCCCAGACGACCTCGAAATCGGCAACGCCTCACCAATGGACGTAGCGTTGACAATGTCATCCATACTAGAATCAGCCTCTAGAATACAGGATCCGCCGGACGCAGTGAAGTGCATTTTGTCCATGATTGCGCTCCCGGTAGGCCGACGCGCTGTCGACAGCGCGACTACATACCCCTTCGCAGTCTTCCGTCATTTGCATAGTCATGCTCCACAGGTGTTTGAGGTTCTGGATGTACTACAACGGACGAAGAACTGTCAGGCAGAGGCAGTCGAGGCAGCCGGTGCTCTGCAGCAGAACTTGTATACAGTTGTTTGATGTACATTTGTACTCCTCAGCAGGACCATGATGCTGCGCTGCAGTGGTCGATCCCTAGTTGGCCCCACGAACCATGGTGGACGGTGGTGAAGGGAATAAGGGGCAACGGACTGGCCGATTGGGCACACATATGTATGATGTCCGGCGAGACGTGTTCTCAGGCACCTGTGCTCTTGTGCTCGTGGCGTAAATTTTCGCACTAGAATCCTCCGACCCTCTTCTTGGCTGGTTTCTTCTTAGGCGGACCTGGTCTACCACCATGAGGGCCAGGGAGAACCTGTGTGCTCGCAAACGGTATCTGAGAGGAAGGTTGCGCATCCCAATCATCCGCTGGCTGACTGCCAACCTGCGCTACGCGCCGTTGATCGTTAGGCCGTGCGTCTTGTACCTGAGTAGCAGGGAAGAGCGCTCTCGCAGCGAACGTTTGACTGCTGGCGATTGCAGGTGGCGCCAGAGCCGACTTCTGTACCACGAGCGGCGGTCGCTGCGATTGCGTGGCTTGCTCCCTGTCCTGCGACGCCGGATGTGGTGGTGCGTTCCTAGCATAACGAGGGGCTGTGCTGCGGGGAGAAGACGGGTCATACGGGTCCTCGTAGCGATATGTGGAAGGATCGACGCCGATGTCCCATTCCTTGAGCAGCAGGCGACCCCCAAGTGGCGCCAGATGTTTGTTCACGGTTTCATCATTATTCGCATCCGTGGCATAGTGTTCGGCCGATTCTCTCTGCGCAGGGCGCAAGAAGCCAAATTGTACATCTGAAGGTTCCATCTCGCTGAGAGTCATAGCCTCCGTGGCACGCGACATCGTCTCCATCGCGGCATCGATGTCAAGCTCGTTCGGCTTTCGGAAGCGCGAAGGAGAGAAGATGTTGGAGGACAGATGGAGATCGAGTGCGAGCTGTTCGCGCGCTTCGGTTTCTCTGCGCAGAGACTCCGCTGGTCGACGACCGTCCGCAGCTAGATCGTAGCGAGAGAGCCTTTCAAGCGTCTGGGCGGGGTCCTCTTGGAAGTCGGAGACTTGTCGCTGGACGAATGGCGTGATATTGTGATGCCACGGTGCTCTTCTTGCAAGTTGACCGATAGGAATGCGCCCTTGCTTCAGCGCACGATAGCCACGCTTCGAGTTAAGGACACTCTCGGTAAAGAGGTCGTTCCTCGAAGAATTGGAAGGTTCGGGACCGCTGCGATATGCGATATCGAAGCTGTTTGTTGGTCGCGTCAAAGGGCTTTCTCATATTATGATCGTCTGAACCAAATGAACGCCACATACGTTGTGAGTGTATGCTCGATGGGCGCATCCACGTCCTGCCAGAACACCGGCATCCTCTCCAGCAGATCGTATACGGCGTCGCGACGAACCTTAGCCGCGGGAGGTTCCATGAACAATCCTAGAGAAGAGATCAAGCCCTGCGTTGAAACGATAATACGACAGCCGTACTTTGGTACGCTGGCTGAAGGTCCGCCTCACTGAAGGTCCGCGCACCCAGTGGTCCGACATCCAAACTAGCAGCCTTGACACGCTCTTCCAAATCCTCAATCGCCTCGGACCAGCTCCGTTGCGAAGGGACAGCCTCCAGAGGCTCTTGCGCATCATCGGACAGCTTGAGATGCATCATATGCACCGCTCCCAGTTCCGACAGCTGCAAGACACTCAATTCTCCAGGGGTAGTGCTGTGTGGATGTTGTAGGAAGACGTGCCCCAAGTTTCGGTCGTCCGGGACGCGCAAATTCGGTAGGCAGTACGCAGGTGAGGCCATCTGTATGGCGACTCCGGAGTATGACACATCATACACAGATACCAAACCGGTTCTTTGCGAAGTCAGAAATGTTACAGGTGCTGATATGATAGCATGAATTAAAGCAATAGCAAATTGGCGTAGCGAGGATCATACCTCTCCCTAGGACCTTAGTGTGACTTCGTAGAGTCCGATCGAAGTCCCGAAAGTGCTTGACGCCGAGAAGGGGCTTGTTTGGAGAGCGGATGTCAATCCAGAGAAGTTCGTCGGTCGTCGTGAGGCGGATCAAGCCGTCCTTCGCATGACTGTCGATGCTAGTGAGGAGCGTGCTAGACTGCTTGGACTGGTACAGATCTAGTGCGCTATTCTGCGCCTGCAGACGAATGAGAAGTGGCTAGGGATAATGATAAGCAAGGTTGCTCACTCTGAAGTCGACACAGAATGCACTGCGTTCGGACATGAGCAAGCAGCTATCCTCGCCATCCCAGGCTGCCACTTTCCAAGTAGATTGGTTGTCAGAGATACTGGCTTCGTCTACTGGACTATGTAGGAGCTGTCTATATAAAGTGAGCCCTTCACCAGTCCCTTCTGTCATGACGAGCTTCCAACTCACAGTGACTTCTCACCACCGGGTGCAGCGCACCTGTAGACAGCACCAGCTTCGTTGACGAAAACGGACAATGTGCGCTCAGTAGCTGGTAGGAACATGTCTACAATCGTGCGTTCGCCAACGTCAGAACGAGTGACAGTGACAAGCTCCGTCACTTCTATAGCCGACGACTGGGCATCCGTAGGGCGTACATCCAGTAGCGATGTTGAACCCATGGTCCTGACTCCAAGCAGCGTGGCTGTGTTATGTCAGAAGTACAGTTGAGAATGACTCCGTAAGGAACACTAACCGAGAACATGATCCTCATCCTCATTGGACTGTAGAACAGACGCTTTCAGCTGCTGAATCGGCGTCTGGAAGCTGCGTGTTGGGTTTGCGACTGCGTCAAGCTCGACGAACGCGTTGATGTTGAGACTACGTTTGCGTGAACACGTCAATGGTGATATGTCTGTGTCACAGGATCATCGGTCAATGTTGAACTGTCACCGGGGATGAAGGACTTGCTCAGGTCGAGATACGAGTCTCCCATTGGGAAGGCCAAACACGTAAGACTTCTGCCGGCTTTCCTGGCACAAGTAAAGGTTTCTAGCATACTCCCGACGTATGGACTGAATATTTGCAGGCCTTGGGCGACGCGTTCATCCGCTGTGATTTCATCCCGTACGAGCTCGGCCGACATCTCGAAGTCTGGGTAGTACGTGCGGAGAAATTGTACCTAGAGAAGATAAGTACTTCTATGTCATTACCGTACGCTATGACATACCCCTTGATCCGCGCGCTGCAACACAGACATGTCATGGCGAAACGGTCGCCGGAGCGTCTCAGGGAACACCTGCACCGGATTGTGCGATGGTACAACCTTGCGCTCTGGAATTAATCTGAGTCAAGCTATTGCATTTCGAGCTAGAAAGACTTACTCGGATTATCTTGGACTATGAACGACCACTCGAGTCGCTGCTGAGTTTTACGAAGTGTTGCCGCACTCAAGGACCCATGTTTGACCACAGGGTGCGTCCAATTGGGCAGGGGATTGCGCGACTTCCTTCCCTGGATATCCGAGGACGTCTGCACCGTGTCTCTGTCATCAGTTGGCCAGCGGTCCATTCCATTGGTGTCTCGGTCGTCGTGGACGAGAGCAAAAGAGTTGTGTCAAGTCGAATTTGAAGTCGCTCATCAAAAGGACGGAGGTGCCGCGGGAGGAGGGAACGGTGTCCGGAGTCCGTGACGCGCCTGCCCAATTTCTCGTAGCGCGCGACCGCGTCCGCTGCACTCATCCCGACTGGCAGCATGCACCGACTCTGGGCCCTCGCCCAGCGGCCCCGTCTCCCATGTAGAACACTGCACTCGACCACTGTTAAAAGCGCTGCTCCTGCGGCGGAGGCTAGCTCGTCGACGGCTGCGGCAAAGTGGACGCCGACGTCTGTGCGTACAGGTGTAATTGCTCGCAAACGAGGCATGCTGGTGATGTGGGATGACCATGGCGCTCGGTTCCCAGTGACGGTTCTCCAGGTCAGTGGTTATTGTTCTTGTACCCGAATATCTCCTTGAGATCCCTGAATTGTAGCTCGATAACTGCCAAGTCACGGCGAACGTCGAGACCGTCCGGAAAGACGACTCGGAGTACCATGCGGTCCAGGTTGCAGCGTCCGACAGGCGAGAAAAGACCACGACAAGGCAAATGCTCGGACACTTCAAAAATGCTGGCGTGCCTCCAAGTACATCGTGAAGGAGTTCCCAGTTACTCCAGATGCACACGTCCCCGTCGGTACGGTCACCCCCGTATGCCAGCATATGTCTGTAACTCAGTGTTTCTGCAGGGACAACTCTCTCAGCTATCCATTTTGTGCCTGGGCAGCTTGTCGATGTGGTTGCCAATTCGTACGTAGTCACGGCATGCGCTGAACATTCCGTCTAAGATTTGACGGCCTTCAGGATTGGCAAGGGTTTCCAGGGCACAATGAAGCGGTGGAACTTCAAGGGCTTCGGGCTAGTCATGGTGTGTCCGCCTCGCATCGTGCAGCAGGTGCCATCGGTGCCCACCAGGTATGTTTCAACATCTGTTCACGATGAGTCATCTTGACCATAGACTGTCTCCTAGGACCCGGCCGTGTTGGCCTGGCAAGAAGATGGCTGGCCATATGGGAAACAAGCGAAAGACCACTCAAACCTTGCCGTTGTACGCGTCGACAGCGAGCTGGACCTCATCTTCGTGCGCGGTTGTGTGCCGGGCGTCGACGATGCGCACGTCATGGTGCGAGACGCCAAGAAGAAGATGGTGCAGACAGCACAACATGAGTACGCGAAGGGGAACATGGAGAAGATCTTGCCAAGGGTATTGAGAGTCTGCCCTTCCCCGCAGGAACGAAGGAGTTGGCTGCGCAGCTTCCCCCGGTTATCGAAGCACCGACACTTCGTCGGAGTCCGTTTGTCCCTCAGTCATAGTCCTCACACTAGTCTTTCATAATATCATCTTCGGACCTTGCTGTACTTGTCGTTTCCCGTCGGGTCCTCGCGTCCAGTGGGCACCTTCCCAACAATGAAAGGCTCAGGTCGTTGGACTCAGGGCAGAATGATCCAGCTCACCTAAAAGGGCAGTCGTAGATCGTCATGCATATGCAGCACCTCCGCTCCGACGCGCCACCTCCCAACCTGCTGCTTGCCAGCCCTGGGGAGAACGAGCACAGTCTCTCCTGCCATGTCTGAAGACCGCTTGACTGTGCTCATTGCGTCGTACAACACCAACCTCCAAGCCGACCGTGGGCTTCCGCAAGACTTGGTGGACTGGCTTTCACCCACTCTCGATGCATCCGCGCTCCGCATCGAGGAGGTAGAGCATCCGAACCGTGCACCGGACATAGTTGCAGTCGGCTTCCAAGAACTGCTGCCTCTCCACTATGGATGTAAGTCATGAGTACGGCTGTTCTTGCTCAACCGTGTCTGACCGCCCCGGATCAGTTGCGGGACTGTCCAAGTCCGTCATCGAGAACAGAAACGCGCTCATCCTCTCCCAGATCGAGGCGCACGCCCCGAACAAAGAGAAGTACTCCCTCATCGCGAAGGTCGTCAACGTCGGCGTTGCGCTGCTCGTCTACGGCCGCGACGATGGGGTCGCGCGGCGCGTGTGCGACGTGCAGACGCAGTGGACGGGATGCGGACCCGCGTACTTGGGGAACAAGGGCGGCGTGGGCGTGCGGTTCCGCGTGGCGGGGAAGGATGGTGGTGTAGGCGAGGTATATACGTACGTTACCTATCTTATTCCTCGTGTACATACTGCCATGGTTTTGGAATGGGTCCAACAGGTTTGCGTGCGCGCATCTCACTGCGCATGGATACAACCTCCCGAAGCGCATACACGACTACCACTACATCGTTAGCACCCTCCTCTTCCCGCCACTGCCCTCGTCCGACTCTGAGGGACCTGCGACGATATATGACACCTCGCACCTATTCTTCTTCGGCGACCTCAATTTCCGCCTCGCCATCCCGCCGTCACATCCACTAGCCGTCTTGTCTCACGAAGAGCTCACGCGGAAACTGGTCACAGAAGCAGACCGGGAGGCCCTAAAGGACTGCGACGAGCTCCGGATCGAGCGCGACGAACGCGGTAGCTGTTTTGTCGGCCTCCGGGAGGGTGAGTTCTGGAAGTTCAAGTGCAGCTACAAGTACAAGCTCGGGGAGGTGAATACCTATGAGTACGTCCATGCGTCCATTCCACCAGCTGTAATCCACCCTGATATGGTACTCTACCTGCACAGCCGTAAGCGTGCACCAGCATGGACCGACAGGGTCATGTACACCTCCTACACCGACTCGCCCGACCGTCCACGAGAATCCACCATCCAGAACTTGCTGTACACGAGCATACCCTCCTATACCACTTCAGACCATGTACGCCCTTTTCCCATCCCCTTCCCAGCCGCGCTGACAACACCCTAGAAACCCATCGTGTCGCTCCTACTGCTACCTCCAGCCAGCTCCACATCAACAACCCGACCACCGACCCTCCGTCTGCCACCATCCTTCAATCCCAGCCCCGATCCCTACGCGACGCTCAAGCGATACACCGGACACGTCCTCGGACGCATCCTCGGCTACCTCTGGTGCCTCCTCACCCTCATCGGCGCAGGCTCGACCGTCCTCGGTGTCGGGAACTTCATCCTCGGCCTCAGCGCATGGGGCTGGTGGCGGACCAGAGGGCCTGTCCTGCCATAACCATACGTCTCAGAACTCATGTCACAGACGGACGGTTGTGGACCATGGGGCGCGACTTGGCGCGACTTGGGCGCGACGGGGGCTATATATGTCTATCTATTCACTGTATCACTCGACGATTCGTCGAACGTCGAGATGTTGTGCGGATCGTGTAACTGAAACGATGGTACATACAGTACGTTACAAGGCCTCTACTGGTAACACTAAATGCTATGGGTACAAGTACACGGGGAAGGCAGCGGCCAGGAAACTGATATCGACGCGCGCCAAGAAAGGAGAGGAGCCGGCAAGTATTCAGGCTTGGACAACGTCGGCGGGCTTCACATCCGCCTTAAAGTTGCGTCCCCTGCCCTCATCGTCCGCCTCCTCAATCACAATGAGAGGCGGCTGCGTATCCACAAGCGTGTCCTCACGCTCCAGATGGCCACGCTCGGGCACAGAGGTACCACCCGCACTAGCAGGCACCTCGACGTCCGCCGCGGCAGCCTTCGGCAAGCGGATGAACGCAAGCAAGATGAATGCCAGAGTGAGCGAGCCGATCGAGAGTGCAAAGACCGCCTGCGGGAAGGTCTTGACCGTATGCATGAACGTCACGCCATACAAAAACGGGCCAACAACCTGCGAGCTAAAAGGCCACACGCCCATCAGCCTCTCCCGGCTCCAAGACAGAACAAAATCGCGAAACCACGCACCATACGATCTGCACCACGCTCAGCGCGCCAAACAGCTTCCCGAGCTCCTTCCCCCCGTTCCTGATATACAGCGTCGTCGCGACGCTGCTCACCGACGGCCCGAACCCCGAACCGAGCGCACCAAACACGCTCCACGCCGTGAAGAGCACGCCAGTGTGCGCGAGCGCCATCAGTACGTGTGCGATGATCTCGAGCGCGATCGAGCACCGCGCGAGGTCGAGGTCGAATGTGGACGAGTGCGCATGGTGTCGCTTGGGCGCAGTGGCGTTGGTGCGGGCGGCGGAGGGGCGGATGGGTCGAGAGGCTCGGAGGGCTCGGTGGGGAGTTGGATGGGTGGAGTCTTGGGTTGGAATAATTTAATAATAACTGGGAGTGGTAGATAAGGTGAGCGAAGACCGGCGGTAGAACGATGCGGCACGTACTAGGTAAGAACACGGTGAGATGGAAGGCGCGTGCCGCGCCGACGATGCTGGTCCAATAGCCAACCTATCAGTAGCCAACCGTCAGCCACGTCTCGCAGCGGCAAACCCAAAAGGCAACCCACATTCTCGGAGTCCCAGCCGAACCTGAGCGACATGTACTGTATCTTGGGAGTGATGCCTCCCTGAAGACGCAACGTAAGACGAGGCATTCTCGATGGCGACTTCGAAAGTACGCACAATGAGCAGCAGCACAAACCCGTTTGCAAGCGCCAACAAGAACAAGCTCCAATCGCGCTTCGGCTTCTTCAACGGGTTCGTCTGCTTACCCTCCCCAACGGCACCGGGCAACAGTAGCGCCAACGGGGCCAAGAACCCAAACGCTTTCTGGAACCACGGCCTCTTCTTTGCTGCCGCGGCACCAGTCTCGTGGAGCCGGCGGGCCTGTTGAAGCTGGATGGGCGCGAGCGACTCGGGGACGACGAACCAGGTAGACAGCGCGAAGAGGATGTGCGCCACGGTCGCGACGTAGAAGACGATGAGGACGTTGTGTGTGCGGTTGATGAGGAGCGAGCCGAGGGTCGGCCCAATGGACATGCCCGTGAAGACGAGCCCAATGAGGAGGGAGAAAGAGCGGGCGCTGAGCGGCGGTGCGCGGGTCAGTGACATCGTCGTGCGTGGAGGTGAACATGAATACGTACCGCTCTGCGGGATCTACCGTGTCAGCGATGTATGCATGCACAGCGGCCATGACGGTAGCATAACCTACGCGACATTCTTAGTCACCGACGCTGCTGCGTGGGTAAGGTAGGTAGGCACTCACTACCCAAGCAGCCGTCGACGAAGGGGCCGAGGAGTAAGAACCACATCCCGCCAGGGAGGAGCCTGGAATACTTTGCCGTCGCGATGAAGGTCACGTCCGTGATGAGCATTCCGGCGACGGCGAAGCCCATGATCCTCATACGTCCATAGCGATCGGAGATCTGCAGAAGGGCAGTAACAGCGAAGCATCGATGCGTCTGTGTGAGGATCGCGCGCATATATGCTGCCTGCTCAACGCACCGAGCTCCAGAAGCCAGTGGTGAGACAGCCGAGGATGCCCATGGTAGTGAGCATCGTGAGCGAGAGCCGGGACACTGCTTGCTGCACGTCCGGGTCCGCCGCGCACAACTCGTATGGCCTGTCTAAGATCGCACAACACCCGCGTTAGCGGACGTGGGTGCTAGCTCCGACGACGGGCTGCTCACTGAATATGTTGACGGCGTTCCCGACCACCTCGAGGGTCTTGTTCGTATACTCCGGCTTGTACGCATCACACGCGAGCTCAGTGTAGATCTGGATACGCGGTGCCAGCGTCATAGCCATCGACATCGACGAGAACGGCACGGCGCAAATGAACCTATGTTGCCAGCATATGAGCGCGTCCTCTCTGGATGCAGACGAGGAGCACTGACCACCAAGGCGACGGACGCTTCCACCAGGGCAGGCTTTGCCTCCACTCATGGATGGCCGCCTCAAACGCGCCATCGTCGTCCTCGTCCTCGTCGCCTTCCGCCGGTTCCCCGCCCTCCGCGAGTAGCGTGTCCTCCGCAGCGTGGTGGTGGGGATGGACGAACTCTTGAAGCAGCTCCGCGGCCTCCTCGCCAATCTGGCCGTCCGGATTGATGAGGACAGCGGGGCCGGTGGGGAGATAGGGCACGGAGACGATGGAGGGGTTGCGCGAGGTGCGGGGGCGTGACACGGGGCGGCGGGAGTGCGAGCGTGACACGGCGCGCGAGGGCGGACTAGACAGGGCGTGGGGATCAGCCATAGTGAGCAGCTAGCGTGCCGGGGAATGCGTGCTTCTGGGTGGGAGAGGGGGTGAGGGGAGCGGGTGGGGGAACATGATATACTTATGAGGGGGACCGAGCGAGCGGGATATCGTCAGCCATGAGATAGGCTGGCCGCGCAGAGGCAGCGTGTGCCACCGAGCCATGATCCAAGCCGTCCGCGTCGAATCTCCTGCCGCCCCTCCTCCGCAGGCACCGTCCCTCGCCGGCTGCCCCTCTTCCCGCGCGGCCTCTCGTCGAATCAACCGTTGAATCGGGCTACCTCTCGCCGCCTCTCGCACACGGCTCATACGCTGCGCCCTCCAGCGGGCTCACGCGCGCTGGGAAGGGGCCGCGGACAACAGCGGCGCAGGCCATGGCAATGGCATGGCAGCAACGGAGCGATCCATCGAATTCGAAGCTACGCCCACGCCCCTTCCACGCCACATCCAGGCGTCTCGCCCTCCCAAATAACAGGAATACATGTTGAATATTCAAACAGTGTGCTCGCATCCAGTCGCATCCATATAAACCACTCGCCCGATTTCTCAAACTCGGAGTACAATACCACTTGGCATGTTGCAGGCACACCCACTTATGGTTGGGCAGCGACTGGCAGGGTTCCCCGCTAGGCGCAACACTCAGATAGCGAGATTGAGCTAGTCACTAACTTAGGCTGAAAGTCTCAGTGAAAGCTGCTGCCTGAGGCTGCAGGAGTAGCATTTCATTGCTCCCACATGACGTTCGAGGCTTGACGGTGCTGGAGTACTGACGGCGACGCAGCGGCATGGCATTGATAGGTGAACGAGAGACCCTGAGAGACGTCCGATAGTAGTTTCAATTGCATTGCATTTGCAGGTAACTTACAGAGTCAATTGGACTTGGTCTGAGAACAGTCAGCCTTAGCTACCGCTGCGATCGCGTCGTCAAAGCACCCTTAGGTCAGACGCGGACGGACATCACTCACCGAAAACGCTTTCCTGTGTCATGCTGCGTATGTGATCCTGCTAAGTACATAGGTTACTCGGGGCATCACGACGATGCCCATTGCCAGTAGGAGTACCACTGGAAACCGGCGTTCGACGGTCAATAGCCACGCCGCCGAGAATGCGTCGAAACATGTTACAATATCCTGACTTCTTCTCTTGATCAACGTACAACACTGCAAAGCTACTTACGACAGCCCGTTCATGCTCATCACCCATGGAGCAGCTTCGCGTCAATCGACTCCTGCGTGAGGCCTTCCGCGCCGTCGCGCACCTCAATCACCTTGCTCACATCAGCCTACACTCCGATGTAATACGCAATGAGTATCCGTGCACAGTTGACCAGTGGACGATACGCACCGTGTTCTGAAAGTCGATGAACCCGCTCGCGTGCAGCGTCAGCAAGCTCATCTCGCTCGATCTCGGCGCCCAGTTGATGAGCACGAGCGGGAACGACTTCCGGCCATCGTCGTGGTTGAGCTCGTGCGAGAGCAGGACGTATCGCGGCGCGTTCTCCGGGAGCTCTGCCGGCCCAATCGCACCGTCGTCAGTTTCGTGCCACGCGTGTCCGTACTCCATGATGGGGGCACCGGGCGAGAGAAAACGACGTGCCTTCTGCGAGGTCGTCGATGCTGATGTTGTCAAACTGCTCGACCTCCTCCATGATGAGCTTCTGCTTGTTGATCTTGACGATGAACGCTGCGCTGCCCGCGTTGCGTCGCGCGAAGCGGAACTTGCGCAGGGACGCCTTGAGCTCTTGCGGGATGTCGACGGTGTGGGACTGTCTCGACCCGTAAGACTCGTCTGTCAGCCACGGGTGAATGTGAGACTCGCCATGCTTGCTGGAGTGGGCGTGGTGGCTGGTGCGAGGGTCGCGTAGAGGACGAGGCACGGCAGCACTGCTCGATCGAAAGGGCAGGAGATCGGATCGGGATGCTCTATTGATCGAGATCCGCAGCGAGGAGGAGCGCTCGACGAATCAGGGCGCGAGGATGATGAGCACAGTCACCCGAGTCTTCGACGCTGTGCCAGTGCGCCTCTGCAAGGCTCCAAGCATATTGGTACTCCTGCGTATCGCAGAAACCTGCACTCTTCTATGCTACTCTGTTGCATCCATACAGCGTCTACGAACATCGTGAGCTGCGCTTGGCTGAAGGGGCCCTGATTACGCAGCCTACCGTGACACGCTCGAGCACGCTACCGCCTATCGCACTATCTGAGTCTCCCAGGCCGTCTACTCTACGTAGTACTACATACCTCATCCACGACCCACAACGTACGTCGAAGACTCTCGGCGTGATGTCGAAGTCAAGGGACTCATCAACCTACGCGCACGACGCACGCCTCCAACTGAGGAGTCGCTCGCGTGCGTCCCGCCGCGGCGTGTCGGCCGCTTCCCACCCGTTCCCGCCTGCGCCGGAGGTTGAGGCCGAGGTGCTCATCCATCCTGAGGACTCAGAAGCGATACTCCCCCATGGACATGATGCACAAGGGTCTTGCATTCAAGAGAGCGGCGAGGAGAGCGGAGAAGACTCGGACACGATCGGTGAGGCAGAGTCCGCGAAGGTCGAGCTGAAGCCGTGGTGGAGGATACCGTCCGCTTGGTGGTGAGTCCCTTCAGTACACCGCAGTTCTCCGTCTCTTCAACACGTCTTGCAGGATCCTGTTCGTCACCCCCATCCTCACCATCGCGCGCGCCTCGACCCAAGCCCCCCGCGTCGAGATCTACATCCAGCTCGCCTGCGATGCGTACAAGCCCGACACATCCGCCGGACGTTCTCTACCCACGATGCTGTCACTGGCGGGAGGCTCTGACAGGTGGAAGTTCTGCTCGTCCGACCCGGACGTGCAGGCTGCCGTCGCACAATTAGCGACTGCGATGAGCATCGCCATGGGTGTGCTCGGGTGTCTGACGACTGCTTGGTGGGGTTCCGTACGTCCACGCTGAATGTCTACTCCTTGCACCGCTGAAGCTACTGTGACTAGATGTCCGACCGCCGCGGCCGCACGCGGATCATCGCCATCGCCATGACCGGCCAGATGATCGACGCGCTCGGGATCCTCGTCGTCTGCACATTCTCGAAGTTCATCCCGGGCGGGTACTGGGCCCTCCTCGTCGCGCCGACCATAGCGGGCATGCTCGGCGGCGTCAACACTGTCGGCTCCACGCTGAACGCGTACATCGCGGACTGCACGGATCTCAGCACGAGGTGCGCATCCGAAATGGACCCAAGGGTATTAGCTAACGTGCGTGTGACAGGTCCCGCTACTTCTCCCTCGTCGTCGGTCTTGTGTTCGTTGGGTACAGCATCGGGCCTACCCTCGGGTCGCTCATCATCACCTGGACGGGGTCGACCCTCTCCGTCTTCTACTTCTCCACGTTCATACACACGCTGTACGTTCTCGCCGCGCTGTTCGTCATCCCAGAGTCACTGTCGGCGACGCAGATGGATGAGTTCCGCCGGGCGCACCACGAAGAGAATAAGAGGTTGAGAGAGAAGAGAGCTGAAGGAGGCGTTGGAGCGTGGGCCGGGAGCGCATTCGGGTTCTTGAGGCCGCTCGCCTTGTTGCTGCCTGTGACGCCGGTGGCCACGCCTGAAGGAAAAAAGCGGAGAAACTGGAGTCTCCTCTTGCTCGCGGCTGGGTATGGGAGTATGATTTCGCTCAAGGTCAGGCTTCCTGGATTGAGGTCTTTCCCGAACTCCTAAGCTGATATCCGTTGACTGCAGGGAGATATAACTTATGAGTATCAATATATGTCACTGACATTCGGTTGGACGTCGAAGCAGGTGCGAAATGCTCGGCCGTCGCCTATCGTAGAGGGTCTGACACGCCGTCCACATAGCTTGGCTACTACACCAGTGCCCTCGGGACCACACGCGCCATCTACCTCATGGCCCTGCTTCCATGTACGTCTCACACCTCCCGTACCCTCACTCTCCTAACACACCTGGCACAGTCATCATGGCGCTCCTCCAACGGCTCTCCTCCGGACGGCAACAACCCACCGCGACCATCGACCTCGCCGTCGCACGGGGCTCGCTCGTCGTCGAGGCCATCGCCTACGTCTTCATGGCGCTCGCGCCGACCGGCTACCTCTTCACCGTGTACGCCATCGTCAGCACGCTCGGCATCGGCTTCACGCCCGCGATCAACACCGTCGCGTCTGCGGTGTACTCGCAGCAGGGCGGGAAGGAGCTCGGGAAGCTGTTTGGCGCGCTGGGTGTCGTGCAGACTGTGTCGTGCGTGCTTGCCTTTGAGCAGTGCATCGTGCGGTGACTGACGAGGGCGGTTGATGGTAGTTCGCAGGTGTTGGGCCCGTTCATCTTTGGCGTGACGTACATGCGCACGGTCGCGACAGCGCCGAAGGCAATCTTCGTTGTGACGATCGCGGCGCTGGTCCTGTCGTTCATCACACTTGCGCCTATACGGCTGGAACATCATCCCCAGGACACCTCGGGCGGCGATGTGGAGGGTCAGATGTCGGAGGGCGAGCTTGTACGGGACGCGTCAGTTGATGAACGTGCACCGCTCATAGCACCGGAGGGGTCGGAACGTGGTAGAAAGACCGCGAAGACATCGTATACCCAGGCATGAGGGGTCCAAGTTTGTATTAGGGGGCATGCGTGGCTGCGATGTATGCTAGATCATTGTACGATTATATGGCATTGTAGTATCTCAACCTCACCCATATTCGAGCTTTCATGGACCAGGGTCGTAAGACAGACTGAATACCCTCAACGCGTGTAGCATCGCATTATCCCTGCCAATACCCAGCAGTTCCCGACGACATACATCAAGCTCCGGATCCACAGGCCAAAGAAGACGTTCTGCCCTAAGAACTCTAGCTTGTACGCCTCGCTCAACCACAACGCCTGTGTGCCTACCCACACTGCGACATACGCCAGCAACTGTCTGCGAGACATCCGCAGTCTCGGGATGAGCAGTGGTAGGAAGAGCATGTACCAGAGGAAGTACTACACATAGTCGATGGTCAGTTATCATCTAGACGACGGTTTCTGAGGGTGACGGACCTGGGAGGTGCAAACTTTGTTGAAGACGACAAAGACGACCGTCTGCACGAACCACGCGAATACAAGGTCATCGCCCCGCCTTCCAAATAGCAAGCCTGCTCCTAGGGAGAGCACCATCTGCGGGACGAAGCTGGTCAGGGGAGACCGCAGTAGTCGTATCCAGAGCGACATGTCGAGACGGTCGCCTGCCGTGGTGGATGAGGTATATGTGAGGTAAATGAGGTAAAAGTACGGCGAGAAGTTATGTCGGTGGTCCAGTCGGTGGAGGTGGTAGAGGTAGGACTCGTAGAGGAACGGATATCCCCAACTAGTATCAAACCATCGTTGAGCTACGCAATCACAGTAGACTCAGACCATGACTCACACGGCATACATCAACGTCCCAAGGCTTACGAACGTCGCCAGACTCAGCACAGTGAACTTCACGGTCCGCGTGTTGACCACTGTGCCAACCCAACTTCCTCCCCGCGCCTTCACGCCCGCATGTCCACCGATCACACCAAGACACGCAACGCCGTAGATGAACGGATAAATCTTCCAGTGTGTGCTTAGGCCAAGGAGCACTGCAGCGGCGTTCCATTTCCCCTTGAGTGCGCAGTATAGCGTGGAGAGCACAAAGAGCGAGAGTACGGACTCCGACGAACCGCGCGTGGAGATGGTAAAAACGAGGGGGTTGAGCAAGTGCGAGGCCACTAGCGCGGTTGCATAGCGCTCCGTGGTCCATCCGCCCTGGGTTTTCGCAGCGTCATCGTCCTTCCTTCCCGAGCCATCTTGCCGCTGACCAGTAGACCTGGATCCGGTCTTGGGGAGAACGACCAATGTCAACAGTTTGTACATTAGCACACCCCCGACGATGTCCGCTGCCGCAAACATATACTTTCCGAACGACGGATGGAGCCATTCGTTCGGGGTCAACAGTACAGCAAGGAGCGGGGTGTAACGATAGGTCGCGCGTGTATATGGACTGGACACCAGGACGTCAGACGAGTAAGGTCATGGCCCTTTCGAGCAAACTCACTCGCCGACCCGGAGCAGTGTTCCCAAGGGCCCTTGTGCATAGTTCGCCTCAGACGGGTTCAACAAGAAGCGTGCAGCGTCACTGAAGACGCGATAGTCGACGTCGGTGTACTTGACAACAGAATGTGCGTCGTGCCATTCGCTATACAGAATAAGGACGACTCGCAGGATGGTTGATATAGCAAGTAAACGGTTGAATGAGGGTACTAGTCGCGCAAGAGATCGCTGCTCCATCCTCAGCGCATGGTCGTGGTACGATCGAAGACGCGTCCTGGGTTCGCGGAACGCGTCGACCGCGTCATGCACGTGCTTCAAGATCGGACACGTATATATGGCCATCGCCATGCACTCTCCGAACTGCACTGCAATAATTTGACATTGGCGTCGAAGAGACTGTAAGGTCCCACGCCGGATTCGCTGAAACGACACTGTTCTAGGAAATGGTCCGAGGTTCAAGAAGCAAACCGATAACATACAGCGAAGTAGCGACAATGGACTAATATGCAGGAAGAAGACCAAGGATCACGGACACGGACACCTTCAGAGCACGCGGAAGCACTTGCCGGTGAGGGCTCTCAGATCTGACAAAACGTGTGAGGCTAAGCAAGGCAAATACGGGAAATGACACATACGTATTGCGAGAGCCATCGGAAACCCTCCCCGTACCCCTGCCTTTGCACGACTGAGCACATGAATATCTCGATAGGGCGGATATCGTTGAGAGGGACCTTGCCCTGCGCGGAGGATGTAAGAACACTATGCGTCAAGTTGTATCTGCACGACATACCTTGCCGGTGGTCTGGTAGAGACCCAAGTGATGCCTCAGCTCCTCTTCACTCACAGCGCCAGGCGCGTCGATCTTGTTACCAAGAATGAGGAAAGGAACCTTGGATAGCTCCTCAATGGAGAGCAGGGCGTCGAGCTCGGCCTTCGACTCCGCGAACCGCTCGAAGTCAGCACTGTCAACGAGGAAGATAATGCCGTCGACCTCGGGGAAGTAGTCACGCCAGAGCCGACGAGCTGAGTGGCTGTCAGTGATGACCCTGAGACAGTTGAAACCTCAACGCACCTTGCTGGTGACCACCCAAGTCATACGTCGTGAACTTCACGTTGCCAATAGCAAGCTCCTCGGATGCTAGGTGCCGCTCAGCGGGCGCGTGCGGAGGAGCTGAAGCATAGCCACTCACTGGGGTGCAGCGTAGGCTGCAGGGTTGCAAGCCGGTCGTTCTTCAGCATGTGAAGTAGAGTCTGAAGAAGGATGCGTCAGCAAAACAGACACTCCTTCACATAAAGGATGGCCGCACTGTCTTCCCGGCGTTGTCGAGACCAAGAAAGAGGATTTTTGCATTCTTGTGCAGCAGACCTATGCAAATGTTAGCTATGGGTCCGTGGCAGAGGTCGCCATCCAAACACACCGAGCTGCGCGAGAACATCCCAGAACCAGTTGATGATGAACATAGTGTCAAGAGAGTCGTTGGAGAGCACGGTGTTGCAGCCGGCTTCGTACCATGCAGTGACGTGTTGTCACCATCACACTGTGACACGTAGCGCTGACGTCACGCTCGATGGTTCAGACAGGTCGCGCCTCGACAGCGCTGTTGGAGTCTCGACGAGTTCTCTGAATACTGTACACGTCCTTTCGAGGAACCTCAACTTTCCCAAGGCAGAATGACTGGCGGATGTTACGAGGGAATCTCATTGTATTGTCATGTTGGACAGAACATACTACAATACACGACGAAGACGGAACATGTAGGGAAGTTCTGACACTCAACAACACCACCAAGGCTCACGAAGAGCAGGTGAGAGAGCTCTTAAGCCGCCCAGGGTGCATCAGTCTCTGCAAGCCGAATCGCCGTATCCTACGTGGTAGCAAACTGAGAGGATAGGCACTGTCTAAGAGGTTGCATGCAGGGCCGCGTCGTCCGTCGTGCAAATTTATACGCTGCCTTCTGTTTGGCCATGTTTGGCAGGTATGACGCCGTGCGCGTGAACGGCCAAGTCCTGAAAGTTGCGAGGTTCTCTGAAAAGCTAGTCTCCGTTGCAGACCATAAAAGCCGACAAGCTAGAGGAAAGCCGGACTCGCACACACTAAGTAACTATAGTAGTACTACAATTCTTCAACCCATTGTACAAGAGGTGCAAGGCCATCCACATCGCCTGATTTCTCGTCCAACGCATGCTTCGTTGTCGACACATTGACGGAGGTACCTGCGAATGATATCTCGCCTCCCTCCCATGCGTCGAACCTGAACTCGCCGGATCCACCACACTCTAGTCCACCCATCTCAGATTCTGTGTCTTCTGCACCCAAGCCTTCTATACCGACGCCGCCAGCTTGTGACGCGCGTCTCTTCTCGAGCTCGCGCTCGAGTATTGAGCGCACGCGGTTGATAGCGAGTTGTGCTGGAGTTGCTTGCGCTGTTGCCTTCAGTAGGTCGGCTTTATGCGCAACGATGACTAGGGCCGGAGTAGGCCGCGATGGAGGAAGAGAGGTGATAGCGTGCAAGACCTGGTGCAGATGCCTGCCGGAAGCACCATGTGAGTGCGTGTGCTCGGTATGATTCAAAAATCAACGTACTCAGCAACTACTGCCCCATTCCTGGAAATTGTGCTTGTATCCACAACAAAGGCAATACCCTGGGCGTCCGCCATGTACTCGTGGAATTGGTCGCGGATGCGCGGGTGCCCAGGGACATCGACTACTCGAAGAGACTTCTCTTGCACTGGCATAATGGAGACGTTGGGTTGCATGGACGTATGCGACGATAACGGCTGTTTGTATACGAGCTGGGACAGCGCATGTAAGACGATGTGGTGCGGATAATGAGTCGAGACATACTGAGGAGAAGATGGCTGTCTTGCCTGCATCGGACGGACCAACAAGCAGTAGTGCATCGCCTTTTGACGTAGATTTTCTACGTGACACGAATGCAACGACTGAGGAGGCATGAGCATGCTTCTCTTAACTCAAAGAACAAACTGCGATGCGTACCAGCTAACAGCACCACAGCAACAGCTAATGATGAAAGTACGAGGGCTTGAGGCGTAAAGAGTGATGCAGGGTAGAGAACCTCTGGTTCAGGAGCATTGCCGTTGTCTTGAGCAGGATCCATGTCGAGTCGTAATCTCGTGCAATTTTGGTCTTCGGACGCGTCACAATCCGGTGGCTTCAAGGTGGCTTCGCCGGGGAGAGGTTGTTTGCACGTGTTAGGATCGGACGCCTTTGGACAACAGATCAAAACAGTCTTCAGATCCCGATCGCACGCCGCACGTGGACGACGCACGAAATTCTTGTATCCGTTCAGCCACCGCTGCACAAGTGCGCGGGTAGCATCCCTACTGCACACTCAGTATACGCCTGTCGCGTTCTATCAACCTTTCCATCACTCAAGACAATAATGGCGGTGGTCGCGACCGAGGCAGGACCCAGCAGTCCGCCTCCTCGCAAGCGCGCTCGCGTCGATCATGAAGGGCCCCAAAAGACCTCTCAGCCTCGTCTCTTCGCACCTTTCCGCGCCCTCGGGTTAATCACAAATGATGTGCCATTTGTTATGCAAACTCGTTCTCATAAAGGGGCGACAGATGGTCCGAGGATACATCTGGTAACTTGTCTAGGGAAGTCATGGGCTATGTGGGAGGGAGGGAAGATGGGGCTTCTATTCGTCGGTGAGTGCTAGTTTGCTTTTTTGACGATTGTCTTAATTCGCGCTGCCATCATGTGCACCAGGTCCGGACGCGCCTCAGCGAATATCATGTCTCGCCATGGATGGTAACGATGTGTGGGCTGCGAGTGGGCCCTATTTGATTAAATACCTTCGTGGAAATGAAGTGCGTTCCATATGCACATCGTGTTGTAACTCAGTCTGACGCCCACGAAGGTTAGCAGGTTGACCAACCCGCTCGAGACGAACGTCGCATCCATACTTGTGCTAGGCTCTCAGCTCCTTGCCCTCACCGAAGATGGTACCCGGATGCTCGTATGGGACACTGGTAGCGGAGGTGTGTCTTTTGAGACTCGTCATAATGCACGCCGTGAACCGTTGCCTGCAGAGCTACAGGCAAATATACAGTTCGATTCTGACTTCACGGCTACCACCATGCTACATCCCTCGACCTACCTTCACAAGATACTTGTCGGAAGCAGTCAAGGCAGCATGCAGCTATGGAACATCAAAACTCAGTAGGGCTTGCAATATAATGGCAGAGTCCAGCGTCTGATGGTACCCGCAGAACCAAAATCCACACTTTTTCCCTCTCATCTCTCACCACCAAGTCGTCAAAACAGGCCAACCAGCCTCCAGTTGCTATCACTGCGCTCGTTCAATCCCCCGCAATCGACGTTGTTGGGATAGGTTTTTCATCTGGGGAGATATCTGTCTACGATATACGGGCTGATGAACGGCTCATGAAGATGGCTATGCAGGACGGCACCATACGGTCGCTTTCGTTCCGTAGCGGTAGGTCAATCCTTCAGCGTGTTTTGAAGACATGCTCATGTGCCCCTGTAGACGGACAGCCCGTCCTGGCATCAGCGTCTACTAACGGACACGTCGCATTGTGGGATCTCAACTCTGGGGGACAGCTACTGCATCTTATGCGCGGAGCCCATGACGGTGCAGTCAGTGCCGTAGAGTGGGTTCCTGGTCAACCTCTTCTTATCAGTTCTGGCGATGACAACAGCGTGAAGGTTCGTCTTGCGTACACCATAAGTGGTCCTATTGCTGAGATCGTCTTGTCCGCCTCCAGCAATGGTTCTTCGAGTCACCAACAGCACCACCACGTCTGCTGAAGTTCCGTTCTGGTCATCATGCCCCTCCTCACCTCATTCGATACTACGGCGATGATGGGAAGCAACTACTGACAGCATCCACGGATCGAAGTCTGAGATGTACCAGTGTCGTCCGAGACTCGAGGAGCTTTGAGCTGAGCCAAGGTGTGTCTTGTTCCCACCCTTGCCGATCATCACGTCCAATTCTCTCTTAGGCTCTCTTGCGAAGAAAGCTACGAGCCTCTCAATACCTCTGACGTCGCTGAAGTTCCCGCCCGTTATCGCCCTGGCCTACTCGACGACAAGAACAAAAGACTGGGATGGCGTTCTGTCTGCGCACGCGGACGAGACGTTTGCGCGAACATGGTCCATGAAAGACAAGAAGCTCGGAAAGCACGTTTTCGGGTTCGGTGACGGAGGCAAGAAGGGCGCTCCTGTTGGCGCCGTCACGGTAAGCTTTGCCTACTGAACGTGCCTCGTGTACTCATGACTTTTCCTATACAGGCGGTATGCGTGTCTGTGTGCGGCAACTTCGGGGTCACGGCCTCGTCGACGGGGGCTGTTCACATGTACAACATGCAATCGGGCATTCTGCGCAAGACGTTCAGCGTCGGAGCGTGCCCACCCGAGGCGGCGAGCAGACTTCGACCATCCTCGACAACCACGTCGAAGAAGAAATCACACGAGCGGTGCATAACTGGTCTGGCCGTCGATGCGGTGAACTCAATGGTGATTGCTAGCACCCTAGATGGGACTGTGAACGTGAGTCACATGGTATCATGACACTCTTGTCTTGCTCACTTCATTGTATCAAGTTCTTCGATTTCCACACGGCAAAACTGGAGAAGACACTCGTACTATCTTGTTCTGTGCTGTCCATCACCTTGCACCGTGATAGTGGCCTGCTTGCGGTCGTGTGCGATGACCGCGTCGTCCGCCTGATTGACATTGAGACACGGAGAGTGGTGAGAGAGCTTCGTGGCCACCGCAGCCGTGTCCTGGATTTGGTCAGTGCCACATTATCTCCGCCAGTGTGGAGGTGAACATAGAAGCTCAATCGCATCCGAATAGACATTCTCGCCCGACTCGAGATGGCTTGTCACAGCCGCTATGGATTCCATCATTCGCACCTTCGACATCCCAACCGGACGGCTCATCGACGCCTTCCGCACGCCGAGTGTGGCCACGAGCGTGGCGTTCTCACCGACGAACGACTTCCTTGCGACGTCACATACAGATAGTGTCGGTGTGTACCTGTGGTAAGTAGACCTCAAGGATCAGGCAATCTCTTTCTCATATAGCTGCACAGGGCGAATCGCGCTCAGTACTCGGACGTGACGTTCCAGAGTGTATCGGACGACGAGGACGTTATGGATGTATCTCTACCGTCCATGCAAGGTACCGCAGAAGATGAGGGTACGTTGCACTCCCCATCTCGCCCTTTTTACATGCCACTCACACGCGTATGTAGCACTTGAAGCCTTGTCCTCTCTCACCCTCACTGGTCAAGACAGGCCCACAGACGTCTTCCTCATGCCTCCGCAACTCGATGGCGACTTGGTCACTTTATCCTTGCTGCCACGATCTCGGTGGCAAACCCTCCTCAACTTCGAGGTCATCCAGCAGCGGAACAAGCCAAAAGAACCGCCAAAAGAACCGGAGAAGGCGCCATTCTTCCTGCCGACACTACCTGGAGTCGATTCAAGGTTCACTGTCCAAGAGCAGCAAAAGCAGGAGGCGGAGAAGAGCAACAAGGAGACGAAGCGGTTGCAAAAGGCTGCAGCGGCGTCGGAGAGTACATTCCACAAGAAGCTCAGTGCCTCAGATCCTGATGGCGATTGTAAGTTCAGGCATTTCACTTGCGAAGCGAAGAGTCAACTGAACGATGATGTAGATGAGGATTTCTTTGCGTATGCGAAGACCCTCTCACCGGCTGCCGTGGACCTTGAGCTTCGTTCACTCGTCACTCTTGACGACTTCAGCATGTTCCTGGCTGCTTTGACGTCTCGTCTCAAGTCGCATCGAGACTTTGAAGCAGTCCAGACATATCAGAGTGTCTTCCTGCGCATGCATGGGGATGTCATTGTGGCAAACTTTGAACTGCAACAGGAAGTGGAGACACTCCAGGCGGTGCAGCGGAAGGAGTGCGAGAAGTTGCTAGAGCTGCTCGCGTCTTCGATGGGTACTCTCGGCTTCGTCAGAGATACTATGTAGTGTTCTGGAGTCGGCGAGTATGTGTCATACGAAATGTCGTGCTACGATTGGCGACAATTTTAAATATCCTGAGCGAAACACAGTGATCGTGACTGTGACCGTGACGGAAGGCCAGGAATCGGAGATCTCCTAGGGATCTCAGATTGGCAGCACAGATCCCGATCTTGCATGCCAGCTCGGTCTGTCCGAGTGGACCACCTCCGGGTTGCACACACCGCCGTCGAGCCACATACATTGTCCGGAAACCTTCTTTGTCACAACGTCAACACTGCATCGGCGAGGCAATCAAGTTGCTCTGTCCACATGGATCCGTCGGCCCCTCTGGCAGTCGGCGTGAACACATTGCTTACATGCGAGTTCGTCCTCCCTGCAGCTCACATGTGCACAGCAATAACTCATACGCCTGTATCACTCAGCCGTTGCTACCGGGACAGTAGCTGGCGCATATGGACTGTTTAAGGGTTCGAGCCAAATCGGGCCAATGATCACTGCTGCTGGTCTGAATGGCGGCATTGCGGGTGCTACTTTCTTCAGTACGTCTACGCGACACATGCGAGGATGTGGTGACAACTAACACAATACAGGTTTTCGAGAATACATCGCTAGTCCCATCCTCCTTTCTGCGCTGTCCGACACACACTACTCGAGACGAATACGGGAGCTTCGGGAGCAACGGAGGGAGAGCACCCACTCCGGAGAGAGGCTCACTTGGTGGGATGTGCGCATGAATAAGGTGCCTGATACCGCCGTGAGCGGAGCCTTCACTGGCGGTGTGCTCAATGCTTGGAAAAGTACGTCGCCGTCCGCATCTCACCTGCTGGGGACTCATAACATTTGGCTTCAGGAGGACGAGCTGGCATCATGCCCGGGGTCCTCACCGCGGGTCTTGCTTGCACTTTGTTCCAACTGCTCTACAACGAGCTGGACATTGCAAGGATCAAATATGTTTCGAGGAAACTGCAGACGCCCCAGGAGCCGACATCTGCGTTGTCGCAGCATGCATCCTCAATACCTCAGCCCGACATAGAGCCACCACAAACCGTGGCCCAGCGGATCTTCTCTGCGTTGGGATGGCACAAAGTCTCTGACGAGGAATACCTGGCGAAGCTCAAATTCAAACGGGAGATGTACCTGCAAAGAATCGCCGAACTGGAAAAGGAGAAGCAGGAAGCAGAACACCAGAAGGGGTCACACGAAAAGCCATAGTCATATCGTATCACCTGGATTTGGCTTAGCGTATGTGTTGTGCTGTTCTACGATCTATTGCCTCTGTACTGACGTCCCACACCTCGACGACACCTTTACCATCTGCGTCAACCCCCAATAGCCATAGTATGCCCACTGATGACTAGAGCGTTTACTTTTGCGATGTTATCTGTGTGACTGGTCCATCCCGTGCGGCATTCGATCGTTGTGTCGTTCTCGGCTTGTGCGTCACGATGATCAACGGTGAACTGTTTGAGCTCGCCCAGTAGCGTGCATGTCACCAGTTGATGCGGGTCAAGAAAAGCGCTGCAAGCGCTCTCAGTGTCACGTCCGTCGACAAAGATGAGATGAACGCGACGCACACTGCCACGACAGGCCCCTCTGCGACCTTGACCCATATCCCCTCAGTCTCCTTCAGACCTCCCATCTTCGTTTTCGCTTCTTCGACTTGGCGGGACCAAGAGGGCACTTCTCACCGCCCGCACCGACGAAGGCCAATCCATTCGCGGTGGTTGCTACGAACATGCCGGTCGATGATATGGCAGTGGATAAGACAAATGGCGGGGACAGCTGCAGGCCAGGCTCGTCGGAAGGCATGGAGGGCGATGATTGGGCTACTCAGAGCGTGCAAGGTCAGCCTGACTTCGAATTGAGGTGGGATGTACTCGCCGAGGTCAAAGTCCGAGAGTGGCGTGCGCTGCTGGAAGTCGTGGTGGAGAAGCTTGCGGTCGTACCCTCCGCTGACCAGCTCGCTTGGCCTGTCGGGTACGAACTTGACCGAACCGCAGATCTGGAGGATTGAGCCGGCGAACGGATACGAGTGAAGGAGACTGACGCTTGTATGCTGAGTTCTCATTTTGTGGATCTGTCCTGTGGACAACTCGAAGACACCTGCTACACCATTGTCCGTGCTGAATGCCAGATATTTTCTGTCGTGGCTCAGGTTAATCTAGCTGGATCTCTGTAGCTTAGATTTCGTCCTACTTCATCTGATAGATGGCGCACAGACCTCGTTAAGAACATCATCCTCTTCCCCTTCTCCTGACTTAGTTGAAACAAGCCGCACGCGTCTTTTGGTGTGATGATCATCTTGTCCACATTCTGAGGGAATCGGAAAATCTTGCTGCCGGCAGCAACGAACCACTCTGCGGGTTGTTGGCCTCTTGCTTGGGAGCAGCAAATAGAAGAGATCTCTGCTCCGAGTGATGATATAGCTTGGGAGACTTTGGTAGACGATTGATTATATATCCGCACGTCCCATCCTCTGTGATCGTTGAGTGACACGGGAACACTTCGAGTTTTGGTACGCACCACAGCCGACGAGTAGATGCCGTCCTCTGAAAGAGTGAGTGAGGACACTGCGCATGGCACGCCACTCTATATGACAGCGACATGTAGATACCAATCTTCTGAGGCGAATCTCGGTAAGATGAGGAGGCAAGCTAGCAGTGGTCGAAGTCTGTCCTGCGATGTTCTGCGCTGCAGGCGCCCCTTTCAGCCACAGGCGCGTTGTTAGCGGCGATTTGAGATCGAGATCTGCGCTGTCGTCCAGGTCGGCGCTAACACGACTGGTCTCCTCACCTCTACGCGGATGAGCTGGCCGATGAAGACTGCCTCATGCGATCCTCAACTGCCATCGCCATCGCCCTAGCTGTCCGAGTCTCTATAGCACTTCTCACGCGCACGTTCTTCCAGCCCGACGAGTACTTCCAGTCCCTCGAGGTCGCACATCACCTCGTCTTTGGCTATGGTCATCTAACCTGGGAGTGGCTTGCTGCTCAACCTATCCGGAGTATCATCTACCCTGCGCTCAATGCCCCGTCTATTGGGCTCTCCGACTTAGTGGCCTGGATGCCACCAAGCTATTGGTGAGTACATCTTCCCGTCATTCAGGCAAGTATGTTCACAAGTCGCATAATGCAGATATGGGGCCCGAAGATCGTGCATGGCATTTTTGCCGCATGTACTGATATATGGGTGTACGATCTGGCACACAAGGTGCTAGGTCTTCAGTACGCCCCTACTGTGGTACGTACCTCGACTAGGTGGTTCCTCGGTCCCATTAACCTGCCAGTCCAGTACTTCCTGTCACTCACATCGTTTTTCCATGCGCTTTCGCTCTCTCGCTCTATCTCCAACTCGCTGGAAACGACTTTGACTACCGTTGCTCTCAGTCACTATCCATGGGATAATACTGTTCCACCCAAGAGGCAAGTATGTGTATTCTGCGAACCCCGACATGCCGCTCATGGTGTGATGCAGACGAGACATACGGCGATTCTTGGCTACTGCTGCTCTAGCTTGTGCTGTTCGGCCCACCAACGCTGTGATCTGGATCTACATGTCAGCGCTACTCCTTTGGCGGCTTCGTCACCAACCACGCAATATGGTCGTCCTAATTCTCAGTGCCGCAGCCGTAGGGTGAGAAACACTGCTGAAGCGAAACATGAACGTTCGATGACATTGGTCTAGCCTGCTCGTAACTCTGGCTGTCGTCTTACTAGACTCAGCATGCTACGGCTCCCCAACATACACGCCCCTGAACTTCTTACGCACCAATCTCTCTTCGGTCTCACTATTCTACGGAATTAATCAGTGGCATTACTACTTCTCGCAGGCAGTCCCCATTCTCTGCACAACGGCTCTCCCTTTCGTCCTCCACGGTGCTTGGCTCGCAGCGCACTCTCCAAATCCGGCCTTGAAGGTGTTGCTGGGACTAATCGTTTGGACCCTCGGCGTGTACTCGCTTGCCGGCCACAAGGAGTGGCGGTTTATCCACCCGCTTCTCCCCCTGATGCACATCCTCGCTGCAAAGTCCCTCGTGGATACAACACCGCGTAGCTTAGGCCGCCCGGTAGGCGTGTCGATCCAGAAGTCTCGCCTGTTACTGCTCCTCGCCACGTTGCCACTGGCCGCATACGTCGTGCTTTTCCATTCGCGAGGACAAATCGAGGTTATGCATTACCTGCGAGACTTGCCGCCCGAGGAAGTCCATTCCGTGGGCCTATTGATGCCCTGTCACTCAACTCCGTGGCAAGCGTATCTGCACAGGCCCGATCTGGCCAGCCCGGGAAAACTCTGGGCTCTCGGTTGCGAGCCTCCCATAACGTGCGTATGCTCTCGTCTCTCATAGCCTTGCCTGTGCCAATCGACTGTGTTCTAGAGGTCAAAATTTGAGTTTCTACAAAGACCAGACTGACGTGTTCTATGAGTCTCCGGCAAACTATTTGCGCACCCGGTTCCCAAATACCGTTGACCCGGCTTTCCCTCCGTCACCGATGCCGTACACGCCTCCGGGGGCGACCAATCCCGAACACGGAGATTGGATACACGAGTGGCCTGAATACCTAGTGATGTTCGGGTCACTGTTGCACGATGGCGAGGTACGAACTACTTTGGAAAGTAAAAGGTACCGCGAGGTCTGGAAGATGGAGTCTGGGTGGGAGGGAGACTGGCGAAGGCAGGGAGGGGTCAGGGTTTGGCGGTTCCAGCCATAGCTAGAGTGTCGCTTCCGGGTATTGCAGAGCCGTTGTGATGCTATAAGACATGTTGTTGGGCGGTGCGTTTCAGCAGCACCCAGAGCACCGCCAGTGCTACATACACTCGACTTTAAATCCTCGGCTTCGCGCCACAGCCCGCCATCTCATTCTCACTTGTCTTTTCGCCCTCCTTCTCTCGATGTCCTCAGAAACCAACGCGCGGACGTTCTTACCAGTCGAGCTTTGGCTGCACATATTCCGTCTCTCGACTCTTTCGCCTCTGACGACCCGCCTGTATACTGCCTCATATAGGCCGTTCCAGACCATACCGCTGGTGGCCGAGGATGAGTCCGTGACGAAGAAGACCAAGTCTGCGCTCGTCCGGGTGTGCAAGCAGTGGCGAGCGTGGGCCCTGGACCTGCTCTTCGAAGACCTCTGGATAGAGCGTCCGGAGAAGCTCTGCTCGCTTTTAGGAGACGGGTCGGATGCCGCAGGGTGCGGACGCTGGGTGCGCCGTGCCAACCTCCCGTACACAAGCTCGGCGACGGTGAGCCCCCGCCCGCTCGAGGCGATCAAGGTGCTCGAGCGGTGTCCGCGGCTCGAGGTGCTGGTGCGCAAGGGTCCGAGCCAGAGAGACTTCGACATGCGCTTCGAGTTCGCGACCGAGTGCCCTGCGCTGCCCTCGCTGAAACGCCTCGACTGGTGGCACGTCAACGAGGCCGCCCGTTCTGGCGGGATCAACCTGCTCGGCGACGTCCTCCAGAACGCGCCGAACGTGCAGTACCTGTCCTTGGGCGGGTACGTCAGGTTCACGACCCTCTCCGTGAACGGTACCTCCATCGTGCTCCCCTCCCTGACGACTCTCCGCTTCCTACGCCTGAACGCGCAGCTCGTGCGGCAGGCGTGCTATTGGTCTATGCCCGCCCTGCGGCACATCATCATAGACACCGTGGAAGACGTAGCCGTGCTGGAGATGTTCTGGGAGTCCTTCGGCGAGCAAGTGCGCACCATCGAGCTCGGGCACTACCTGAGCTACTTCGTCTACGACTGGCTGTCCTTCATCCTCCGCGGCTGTCCCTCCGTCACGGAGCTCAACTACTACATCCACTTCACGGCTGTGCCGACATTCGATGATGAGAAAGACACCTTCCCCCACCTCACTACGATCGGCCTCCACGCCCAGCCAAACATGATGATCGCGCCGGAGAGCTCGGGATACTGGGGGCGCATCCAGTCTCACTTCACGATGCTCTGTCGCCCCTGCTTCCCCGCTGTGAAGAGGGTATTGCTCCACGGCGACTGGAACGGGATCATGAGTGACATCCGCTATCCCTTCCTCGTACAGCCACTGCTTGACCGCCGTATTACCATAGAACGCGTGGATGCCTAGACCACCTTAGATCTTGACGTAGGCTCTTGTACTAATGTAACGCGTATTGATGTAGACTCCCTACTGGTCGTTTGGATATCATGCTATTGTGCGTATGTATGCGTATGGACAAGGATCGTAATATCATACATTTAATGCTACATTGGTAGACCGCGAGATGTCCGGAACGGATGGAAGTGGGCGCATTAAGAGTGAATTGAGTGGATTGTACAGTACGAGAGGAATTTTGGACGATAGGATGCACGACACGGAGGGTAGGTATGAAGACATGGAAGCATTGGCACCTAGACATGGAAGTGTATTCGCCTGCAGGCCCATCCAGGCAGGCGGCATGTCTGTTTGCGTCGGAGATCAGGCACATCGCTACTTGTTCAGACAAGGATTACCCTCACGCTGCGGTGTCCTTCCCATCTGCCAGTGCCAATTGAGGCCTTCGCAAATGGCGCTGCTACCGGCGGCGGCGGCTTGGAGCCGGAGGGCGCATCGCACTTGATCGAGGCACGGAGCCGACGTAGTGTGTGACATTAGGTAGGTGAGCTGGTGCAATGCTCTCCAATATAGCGTCGTTGGATGCCCCTGCTCGTGCGGCAGGGAAAGGCCTGCCCATGACCCTGACGTCTGGATTGTTGTTCAGCCGTAGAAATACAAGAGAGAACGTAATGGCGGACCTCTGACAACAGGCTGTGCCGTAGGCGCGGATCCCGAGGGGTGTATCCCATTGTATCGAATGTGCTGCCTTGTGCTGCTGGGAACAGGCGGGGCTGCGGCTTGTGACTGGTAGCGTTGCACATCATCGCGGCGAGATTGTCCTCCACGGTACATTTGTGCAGCATATTGCGCCGGCAGTCGAGGCGGATCACGGCAGTAGTCACACATCCTTATTCTTGCGGCAGTATCTGACTGTGGAACAAAGTCCCGGCCACAACCGCTGCATCGCGCTCTTATAGTTGGGAACGGCGGTGGCACCACGTCTGTTTGCGGGAGGTAAGCTGCCGCATGGCCTCCAGCGTAAGATTGGTAGTGCGATCGCCGCTCGGGAGTTGTGGAGAGGTCCATTGGGAAAATTAGGTCTGACGAGCCGCGTGAGGATGCAGAGCGTGCACTTTCACTTGTATCGGAACCTTCTCTAAATGCGTACCGCGAGTTGCGGGCGTGCGACGCATTCGAGGATGGAATGGGCATGGGCTGGGAGCGCGGTGGGTTGAAGGATGGCAGTTGCGGCATCTATCCTGGTACGCGTTGTCGGCCGAAGTTTGACTGCCAGTGCGAAGTGTTTGAAGGGGCGGGTTGGGAGGTTCGAAGCAATGGATCGGGCTTTATAGCCCGCCGTCTGTTGCCCCAATGGGTGCCCACTGGATTGCTTGTCGTCGTCGAGACATTATGGAAGGAGGAAAACGTGAGGGTGAACACTTCTTAAGTCATATGCGAGAGCTGTGGAGGAATCCGAGTATGGTAAGCAGTACCTTCCGCGGAATCGTCCGAAAGGCACCGTCCATCGAGCGGCGGACAACTGCGCGAACGCGCCGATGTTCTATAACGGAGGATGAGGTCGAAATTGCACGAAAGAGGCAGGGGAAATCAACATACACCGGCGCTAAACACAGCCAAAGACGGCTGTGTTCGCTCAACTGGCAGGTGCCACTAACTGACTCCAGTGGTTCCCGCAAGCTTGATGCATATCTCAGGTAATACACGACAGCGCTGGCTGACGAGACATGAGTGCATGAACTCTAAATGCCGTCACAGAGGAATTAATTCGAAACGCACTGGACCGGCGACCAAACATCCAATGTTCAAGCTCACATGGGGAGGTTCCCGAGGCTGATAACCGGGATGTAATTTTGGTCACATTGTTTGATTACAGTACCTTCGGGGAGGAAGGTTACGCGTACAGTTGCTGTACAGCGAAGCAGTGCCATTGCCCACCACTGGGCCTTGGACAAAAGGGTAGGGTGAGGGTGACAACTTCTCCATATGCGGATAATCAATACGCAGCAAGACAATCACGGCAGTTTGTTGTCGTCTTCCATTGTATCCAGAGAGGAAATCCTCGCCGGAGTGGCGACCCATCAGCCAATACCGCTATTGTTCGCTGCAAACCGTCATACGTGCCAGCTGTTTGGTACCTCTCTTGCTGTCAGGCATAATCTGCTCGCGTCAGTGAAAATATCGTCCGACAGGCCGTGCTGAATGTGAAGCGTAGCACCTACCAATTGCGATCACGGCCCATACGGAAGGTATGGCTTCCGCCGCTATTGAATATTGACGCCGGACAAAAGTGGACAAGGACCGACCGCAAGAGCAGCGACGCTGGGGAGAAATGAGCTAAGGGGACATCAACTGTTTGACCCGCCAGCGTCCACTGACATCGGCGGAACAAGTTCGAAGTCTACTTCGACCAGCATCAAGAAGCTCTGTGAGGGCTCTATCGTCATCGACATGCACCTAAGACGCACGTTTATCAATGGCCGTCTCCCTCAGCGTCCCCCAAACTAGAAAGCGAGACAGGAAATGGCCACTTACCGCCAGATGGGCGCCGCTGATACAGCCTTACTACATGTTTCAAGCACGAGCTAGATGTTAAATAGGCATCTGATCATTGAAGATAATGCGACTCCAGTATGATAATCGCTCTGCGATGGGATTGTCCGAACAATCACCACGCCTACTTGAGCTGCCGAATCTTCGAACGCGTCAACTGGAACACAGGGCTCGTCAGTATGGGTGATGCATAGACGATGACATGTGGCTCGTACCCGTCGACGCTTCTTCAGTCTGTAAGGTACAATCAGCATCGGCCCTATGTCGTCAAGATAGAATGGTGACTCACTTATGCGTCCTCATCTTCTTCTTCCGCTTCCTCTTCGTGCTGTCCATATACACCTCAAACTCGGCCTCGGCCAGCTTGACCTCCTCCGCTCGTCCCTTGGTGACATCCAACCCAAGGCGATGCAATGTCTGCTCCCAAGACATCGATGCCCCAATCCTGTTCACCACCATGGCTCGTGCGAGCTGCCGCGCGGTCTCCGCATCGTCCTCCGCGGACACTTCTGGAGGCTCGGCGAAGCCGTCCACAGAAGTCGAGCTTGACTTAAGCGTGTCGGGCGGTGATGATGATGGCGATATTTCAAAGATAGAGGACGCCGGTTGAGAGGCGAGAAGGAGAGGCCGATGCAAGGAAAAGAATTGATGGAGCTTGAGGTCTTGGGGGTTGAATACGGGGTGAATTGGTGTCACCGAAGAAGGATGTATGGACGACAAGCCCTCAGTAGCTAGCGGTGTGCCATGCTGCTGAGATGTGGATTGATCCTTCGCGGATACCGCATCGCTAGATGGGTTTGATACGTCGACCTTGCCCTTGCCAGTGCTGGGCGAGACCTTGGGGGGCTTGGCCGAGTTGAAGTAACGTCCTCCGGGCTTGGAGAAGACGGAGTATGCTCTGCGCGCTGCAGGGAGCGGCCTGAGCAGCTGGCTCAGGATGGCCATGAAGGGAGAGGTGTTGCCTGCCGTATTAGACCGTCGAGGTGCGAGTCCTACGCGCAACAGAAAAGCACGTGCACGGTGGCGCTACCACAGCCAGCTCGCTCTCGCTCAGGCGCGTCCTTAAGCCCAGCTCAGGCCCTCGACACATTCGTCTCCAGAACAGCATCAATTCCAGCCACACAAAGAAAATGGATGGCTACAGCATGTGGCATACATACACTAGTCCATCACTATATGCGATGTATACTGTCCAGCTGACAAGCAGCTACATGTCATAGCGAACGATACGAGGTGGTCTAGGTGACGGTAACGATTTGTCCCTTCCCATCCTTCAGGATGACGAGTTCGCAGTCAATCTTCTCTCCTGTATCCCCACAGACAACGTCCGTTGTGTCAACAGAATCAAACTTCACTTGGCGTAATTCGATGAACGAGCGTCCGAGTACAACGTCGAAATGGGACTCCTCGGAAAGATAGACACTGTGCGTCGTCTTCGTACGGCCCACAGTGACTGGCCATTTGCCAATGCTACACATTTGTCAGAGTGTATTGAAGGGTTATGGGAATGGGGGACGCACTTGACCAACCCTCCATACCCATAATGGCCGGGAGCTGCATCAGCAGGTATGAAACCGTGCTTGATGGCAAACTTGCGGGATATGTATACATGGCGATACCCGGATTTGAGCAGCATGCGAACTAAGGCCCACATGAGTGCAAGTCGGGACTAGCAGTCCATAGAACATACCGGTCTTCGCGGGACCAATGCCACCCACGATAGTCCGCACTCCGTTCTCGTTATGGAACTGCTCAATTCGCGCTTGTGTTCGGCGGCTCATTTCTCGCTTTCGAGCTTGCACAGTTTTGCGTGTACGTTTGCTGGACTTTGTGGACCCCTTTACAGAAAGCGGAGGAGATGGTCCTGTGTCTTGGCGCGAAACATGTAGAACGAAGGATTCCGATATGCCGGAGGAGCAGGCTGTGGCTCGTCCGGATTCCGCACGTGTAGGACCGGCGATTGATCACTTTCGGGCGTAGCAGACTTTGCCTCCACATGAAGATGGTATAGTCGGAGTCTAGAAGCCATCAGCAGCAATGTACCAAGTCACTCGAGGACGCACCATCGTCAAGGTTCCAGATACTGCCATTCCACGAGTACTTCACCCAGCCTGACTTGACACGCCGACCGGTGAATTCGACGAAGGTCTTGGTGGTGAGCTTCTCGAACAAGGTTTCAAGAGTATCATCATCTGAAGCATCCAGGTGTGAGATTCTGCTGCTGCTGCTGGTTCGTGATCGAACGCACTCGTGTGGACTATCGAGAAGGACGAGACGGGCGTGTGCACATTGAGGATCGGCGGAGGAGCGTCCATGATGGAGGCTAGTGTGAGCAAGATGGAAGGACGAAGAGCTAGTAGGCAGGATATATATATCTCACACTAATCATCCCGAGTTCTGAGCCAGCCCTCTCAGACTCCACGACGGATAAGTATCGCGCGTGTTGGCCTTCCGTCGGCAGTCGGACAGGGATGGCGGAGGCTATATAGGAGAACGTCTGGTACGCAGGCGCCCGGGCAGTTCCCGCGTCAAAAGCGCTCCACGTGACCGCGCTGCAACAATTTGGCTTTCCTCGCCTGCCAGTGCTTTCTTCCAACTTGCTGCTCAATCGAGTGAACAGCCTGCCGACCAAGGATCCGAGGAAGTGAGGTCGTACGAAACAACCACACCAAAACATATGGCCGATCCATCGTCTCGCCCGAAGGCATGGCCTCTGGCCGGTGCTCAGCTCAACGACCAAGTAGGTCTTTCTTCGCATACTACACTTGTGGCTACCGTCTGAAACAGGGCATTGTAGATCCTAGATCTGGTCGAGAGGGCCTCTCAGTTAAGCAGCTCAAGAAGGGTGCTAACGAAGGTACGTAGGCTGGATATGCACTCTGGCCGCCTCACATTGTACTTCAGCCACCAAGACCCTCAACCGAGGTATCTCAGAGGTCATCATTCTGACGGCCGATACGGAGCCTCTGGAGATCTTGCTTCATTTGCCTCTGCTGTGCGAGGAGAAGGCGAGCCCTCTCTTATGTGGGCATCTTTTGAATCGTGCTGACGTATTTTATAGAACGTCCAGTACGTTTTCGTCGCCTCGAAGGCAGCTCTGGGTCGTGCTTGTGGTGTCTCGCGGCCCGTCATCGCTGCCAGCATCACAACAAACGAAAACAAGGAGCTGCAGAGCCAGATACAGACGATCAAAAGGGCCATCGACCAACTGATGTATTAGTCGAGCCCGCCTGGCTTCCCTGTGGAATTACCTGAATGTGTGTGGTACATATGTTCATGAAATGCACCCGATGCATTTTGTACTGTACTGTGCTCAATATTCAATGGCAATCTGAGCTGAGTGTTGGACCCCGGTTGATTGTGCAATACGACATGATATACAACAGCAAGATAGGTAAGGAAGAGAATACGACGAAACCCAACTCCCGTATGATGCCACTACTTTGGTATGTTCTCTCGTGCTTGCTGCCTGATTCTCCGCCTGTGTCATGGGAATCAACAATGAATCGCAAGAAGACGAAGACGAAGCGTGCGTACTCATAAGCGACTCTATCATTCCTATGTCCTCCATTCAGCGCAATACAAGACAAGACAAGACAAAACAGCGTACTTGAACATCGTGTAAGCATCACTTTGTGCGGGGTCGTTCACGTTTGGATCGTTCAGGAGGTCCTGAATTCCCAGTAGCACCTATACGAGATGAACGATGGCTCGCTGTGAATGGAGGCAAAGACGAACCTGTTTGATGGTAATGGCAGGCTTCCATGACTTCTCCTCATCGAGAATGGATAGACAGACGGTGCCAGATGGGTATACGTTGGGATGGAAGAGCGGTGGCGCGAACTTGCCTGCATCAGGTGAGCGTCCGCATCTACTTCTGAAGCATGCGAGGTGCTTACATTTCGGCGGCTTCGAGGGGTAGTCTGGGTTCTACTGTGAGTTCGCGCGCCATCTCCGACGTAAAACTAGAGCACTACCTTCCGGGAAGATCATCATGAGTTTATACACACCGCCTTCCCAGGGCGTCTGCATCCATCCGACGACCATCGTGTCAAACCTCCTGCTGGCCCGGCAATCACTCAGGACGCACCCCCTGTTTACCCGGAATCCCAACCTCCCACTCCAGGAGATTCATGGATCCATCCGCCGCTTTGGTTGGCTTGGCGTAGAATCCCTACAACCAGCGCGTAGTCAGACTTTGCCCGAGGCCACTCAGACATTCCCGCGCACAAATGGATGGTCTTTGCGCCACTGTTTGCGTTCTTCAGCCAGACGAGCTCTGCAGATGCCGGACATAGCGAGTAGAAGGGGACAGGACAGCAGGGCAGGAAACCGTTCGAGGTCAAGCTGCAAACGGCGGCAGACGATCGCACACGAGCGCCTTGACGCGATCACCAGTATGTTGCTTAGTCAGCGACGCGTCCTGCCATGCTAGGTTTGGCTCTGGCTGGCTCATGTGAACTACTTTGCAGGGTGACACCAAGCGCGCCAGGCCACTGCTAGCACCAGCGTTTGCAAGGAAGATACTCGCTTGACTTCGCTCGCAGGCCCCGGGTTAACGCCACCGACCGCCTCCTGCCTTGGTGGTTTTGGCTTAGGCCACATCGCCATCAAGAATCATTGACAGAACGCGACCGTCGACGGAGAACGGAGATACTGGTCCAGCTAAAATCGCCCGAGAAGTCTTATCTGAGCTCGAGACTGGTATCCGACTTGGTCACTGAGTCACAGAAGAGCTTCATTTGGCACCAAGCCTGACTCCAGCCTGTTCCCAGCAGCATCTTCCCATAACACACGCCCTTCTCCCATCCAAGCGCGCTCTTCTCCTCGCCGGTTTCGACATGTAGAGGATGTTGATAGGCTCTGCTATCAAATTGGACATCCCCGGCGCCCAGTGCCACTCATCAACAATGTACGTACGCTGACTAGGTCCTTCCGGAGTATATAACTTCGGAGGCCCCCAACTCCAAGATCATGCGGACACTCACCCATCTGGCCCTTCCAGCGTACACACGACGGCTGCGACTGATATGGACTCGAGCATCTCCGAGGACCGCGACGACGATACTGAATCAACAATGTCTGATGTACAGATCGGCAGTCCCGCACCTTCCCTCTACTCTTTCTCCTCATCGGTAGATGAGAGATTCATGGTATGTTTGACGTATATCAAGCCGAGACATGGCTATAGACTGCTCTCGATCTAGCTACGTAGCGTATACGGACGTATACTGAACAGTCAAAATGACGTGAGTGTCATCCAGGCTACCGTTTGCTTCGCACTGACGCCGTCATAGACATATTTCCTCCCGGCGGTGAGGTCCCCTCGTATGCTTCTTGTCAGGAAACACTGATGGGCAGACCCTGATCAAGGATCTCGAAGAGCACAGACGCCTGGATATACAACACCATCAATACACATTAATTCTCGGGCGGCTGTATCCTGCCCCGGACTTGGTATGGCGAGCCTTGAGACCGCGTCTCGATCGTCGACCTGCAATTCTCGATGTCGGCACGGGAAGTGGGAGCTGGCGAGTCATCCACGTTCCTTGTAAGTATGTACCTGATCCTACAATACGCACAGGGCAGTAGACATGGCCCGAGAGTTTCCCCACTGCGACGTAGTTGGCATTGACCTGGCACCACCAAGAATAGATGGGTATGTGAAGTAGGCGGGTGCATTCTCGTGTTCTGCTCAAATGACTTTTGTAGCAAAGTACCTAGTAATTGCCGGTGCGTTTCATTGACCCCGAACCTAAACCAGTCTATTGAACATCTTCAAGGTTTGAGATCGACGATGTAGGTTGATCATGTGAACCAGAATATGGCATACTGAAGGCCTGTAGGCGAACCTAGGGTTCCCTCATTACACCGAGTCCTTCGATGTCGTACACGCTCGAGCGATTTCGGCAGGTGTATGGTCTGTTTCAGCCACCTTCTCCCGCACCCACTAATTTTCCGCTTCAAAGATCCGCGATTTTCCTTGCCTACTTCGCGAGCTAGCGGGGACTCTCCGGCCTGGTGGAATATTGCTTCTAGGGGACGGCGAGCAGCAGTTGTATGACGAAAACCAGAGACCAATGGCCTTCACGGATCCAGACGCACCGAGTATTTCCTGGCTTCAAAAGGTGTTCTTCGCCACCTATAACGCGATGAAGAATCGCGGGGGGAACATCGATTCGCCATCCATGAGTCCGACCTGGCTCCGTGCCATCGACTGTTTGACAGACGTCGGCTGGCACAAAGAATTCATTCCCATAGGACCTTGGGCATACGGTACTTCTCTTCTACGTCGCCCGCAGATTACCCGGCGCTGACAGTCTTCGCCCAGAGGATGAACGGGAGCGCGTCCTGTCCGAACTATGTCGCGAGAATTGCCTGAGGTATATTTCTACCCTAGCTCCTCTGCTTCTGAGGTAAGGTTCCTACATACCTCTGAGGAGAGTAGATGTCTTACGGAGCTGATTACTATCCGATAGCGAAGGGTATCTTCCTGAGAGTGTAGATCAGATGTGTCGAGAAGCTACTGCGGAACTACGTGAGCTTCGCACGCGTATCTACACTCGCTGGAATTTTGCCTGGGCCGTGAAAAGACCTCCGATCGGGACCGGTGTCAACAACGTAGAACATTGACTCAGAGGAAGGGAAGGACACACGCTCCAGCTGGGATATGCTACTGCATGCCGGCATAGATTGCTCCGCCGAGTCTTCGGGATGTCGTACGTACATCTTAATCTTGACATCTGCTTGTTCAATGTTGTCGCAATACTGACGAATGCTATCGACAGATTATTGGGACTGTCTATTTACTCGTTTCATGTACCGCTCTCGCTGCATAACTTATTGTCGTATGGGTTGTATCGAACTACGAACTTGCCTGGGGTAGGTCGAAGAGCACAGAGAGCCCGGAGAATGGTTTTCCTGCCCCTGGGAAGACTCGAAGCTACGGTTATTGCCCCTGTCCTGTATCTCATAAGTACTCGAGTCCTGGATTGTTCCCCGGTATACGTCTGATCGAATCGTTACTTGCTCTTTGCAACAGTGATACCATTGGCGAGCAGATGTGAACCACCACCATTCACCTGATCTCTCCGTGCGGGGTTGCTGTCGCCGACGGAACCACTAGCACTTTAGAGTTGAGAATGATGGTCGTCTGATAGGACAAGCCTGAGGCTACTTGAAGAAGCAGGGCTCATTCATCAAGGAATCTTAAGCGCATAGTACTTAAGGCGTGAAGGCATTCTGTATGAATGCAAGGCCGCAGTTCTTTGCACAGATGGTTTCTCTGCATCGCGGTCAGACCGCTAACTCGGAGCCGGGGAAGGCTGCCAGTGGCCTAGTTGGTGCAGGAATTGAGCACCAATATGCATATGCAGGACGATGTAGCGGTCAAATATGCATGCCGTTTTGGGAGAGACAATCTTTATAGGACATGATGATAGAGAGCAGATCTAATATTGAGTCGATGCTAGGATCTTGAGACACAGGCCCTAGGCTCACGGTGGCGACAAGGTAGCTATTATCTATAGCTTCAGTATAGGCGCCCACAAATCGTAGCGAGCGATCGTGCGCACGTGCCTACGCGTGTCTCTTGGACTGGCGACGCGTCTGGCCGCGTCAGCTCCTCCTTCACGTATCTCTCGCCCTCTCACCATGAATTCCTTCGCGGATCGCTTCTCAACCACTGGAACCGCGGCGGGGCTACGAAGAATGAAAGAATATGTTGCTGATGAAGAAGACGTCTCCGACTCCATGTGGGGTTCTGAAGCCGGCTTTGGTGGCATGGCCAATGGCGCGCCCAGCTTCATGGTCCCATCAGTCCCGGATGTGAGCATTGCACGTATTAATCGGTCATTTTCCTTGCTCATACATCTTGATAGCCCGCAGCATTCTTGCAGTTGCACACAGATGACCATGCGGACCCGTCCTGCAAGATAAAGATCAAGCACGGAACGACGACCCTCGCGTTCAGATATAAAGGGGGAGTTATCGTTGCAGTGGATTCGCGGGCTACCGCGGGGAGCTACGTTGGTGTGTATCATGAATGCTCTGACCCTTGCAGAAATTGAGGACTCCGCACAGCATCCGGGACGGTGAAGAAGGTTATCGAGATCAACCCATACCTACTCGGAACCATGGCCGGTGGTGCCGGTACGTGTACTCTTGAATGACTTATATGAACCCGAATTTATTCCTTCACAGCCGACTGTCAATACTGGGAGACATACCTCGGAATGCAATGCCGATTGCATGAACTCCGCAACCGCGAGCGGATTTCAGTAGCTGCCGCGAGCAAGTATTTGAGCAATCTCGTCTACAGTTACAAAGGTATGGGGCTAAGTATGGTGAGTCACTCGGTCTCCTTGTATACTGCATCCCCTAAGACGTCTCTGAATAGGGCACCATGATCTGTGGCTGGGACAAGACGGTGCGTTTTGCCTGTGGTGAAGCTGTTTTGCTCCCTACTTAATATTCGACGCAGGGTCCCGCCATCTTTTACGTCGACTCGGACGGCACGCGACTGAAAGGCGACCTATTCTCTGTTGGTTCCGGTAGTACATTCGCATACGGCGTCCTGGATCAAGGATACCGGTGGGATCTATCGGACGAGGAGGCACAAGAGCTCGGGAGGAGGAGCATCTACGCTGCAGGGCATCGTGATGCGTTCTCTGGAAACACGATCAACCTGTACCATGTGCAGCAAGATGGCTGGAAATTCATTGGTACGCAATGTGCACATGCTGATGAATGCGGGCGCTCATTCGCGTCCTTGCAGGCAACTACGATGTATCGGAGATGCACTACAACGGCCCTACTGGAACAGCAGGCTACGGATATGGCGTCCGGGTTGAAGGCCGCTCTTCTGCCAACCCTCCTGCTTGAGCTTGAGCTTCGTATACCGTACCTACTGCCGCATTCTGTGCACGTTTGTTGTAGCCATTGTACCTTGATGAACAGAATTATCCACATATATCGTTGTCGTCGCATCAGCTCACTGAGTTTGAGGCGAGAGTGAACGAATAGAACTTCCGTGGCCCCGATACAATGGTGCCTGCCTGTTTGATGTCATCGCGCGTACGCGCCCACAACTCAGCCTGAGAGCGGGCGCGCGCGCTGTGCTTCCGCTCTCACCTCTGCTTTCCCCCATCTTCATGACTGCTGGCGGCAAATCATGAAACGATTACTTTCGTTCAACAGGGCTGGTACCCCCAAGAAGATCGTCCCCGCGTCTCCAGTAAACCCTGTCAGTACCGCGCCGGGAGGATCGCACGCGACTGGCCTGCAGCCGAAATATGTTCTGCCTCCCCTGCCTCACCCATGTCCGCACGAGCACATTGCGATCATAGCCACGGACCGCGGGCTACTGCTGAGACCTCATTTCTTGAGCGAGACTCATGTGGAGTCGTACGTCTGCATTCCCTGGGGGAAGAACGCTACGGTCGAGGAGTACCGCACGGAGAAGAATTCGACCATATTGACTGGTCGGAGAGCGTGGTCGTGTATGGGATTGTGGGGATCCTCACCCTATCTCTGGTATTTGTTCCATTATGTCAGATCGTGTTCCGAGCCATTGACCATGCTGTCTAGCGTCGTACTTGCTCGTAATTTCAGCGCGGACGGAGGTCGGCCACTGTGAGCCTTCCGCTTGTGACTGACGTAGACTTTGCTTACACTGGCACAGTACTTGACCCTAGACACGCCGTATACAGCGTAAAGGGGATTACGTCCATACCGCTTGCCGAGGACCGTGCTCGTCCAATCCTATCCACTCTCGCCGTTCGCAACAGCACCGATGCCCGCGGCTCTCTTGCACCTCCCTCCTCCAGGCCAGACACACCTTCTGTCGACGCAGAACTCCTCCATGCATCACAACGTACACCTGCTGAGACACTGTTCTCAGCAAGCTCAGTCATATCTCCCAACAACGGAGGGACGTCCTCTCCCCGCGTGACGTTTGCAGCAGAGCCCAGCATCAAGATCATGTCACCACAGACGTCTCACGAGTTTAAGGTACATGCTCAAGGTGTAAATGAAGGTGCTCCCCTTCGCCGTCCTCGTCTGTGATGTCCGTCGCGTCGTCCGCTCCATCTTCGACGTTTACAACGAACACCGAGTCGGTGGCGAAGACCCTAGCGGCGCGCCTCTCGTTCTGGAATCGGCTGCCCAGGCGGACTTCTGCTGCCGCAACTTCGTCAGAGCAACACGGTGCGGAGGAGGAGCCTGAGACAGAGACAGACGCGGACAAGGATCATGCGCGCCTTTCTCTGGACAATATGATGAAGGAGAATAATGACGAACCCGCACAAATCGTGGAGTCCATACTGCAAACGACTGCTCCCGCGCCTGCCACGCAGGAGGAGAAGCGCGGCGAGCTGGAGGACAAGGTACTGCGCGAAGTTATCCGGGAGTACACGAAGGGCGGCATGTACTTTGCGTATGCTTTCGGTAGGCACAAACGTTTGTATATACGCGGGATGTGTTACAGACTTGTTGCAGATGTCACTAGGTCCCTGCAGCACAAACACGAGATGATCGCGAAGGCGCACACGCAGAATGCGCTGCTTAAGGAGCTCAATGCCCTAAATGAGGAGAAGACGCTCGGACCAATTGGCGAGAATGTCGAGGTGCTCGATGAGCCCTCGCCCACTCTTCCTCTGTGGCGCAGAGTGGATCGTCAGTTCTGGTGGAATGAATGGCTCTCAAAGCCGTTCATCGACGCCGGGGTAAATTCAAAGCCCTATACAATGAATGACCGCTAACTGCGCATGACGCAGGTGCACCCATACGTGCTGCCTGTTATGCAAGGCTACTATCAAATTGCATCGTTCCACGTCCCCCGAGAACCGGTGGCGGCGGAGGAGGGCGACGCGGCTCTCGTCGACTATGTTGTTGTGTCAAGAAGGTCAAGGGACCGTGCCGGCCTGAGATATCAGCGTCGAGGGATCGACGAGGATGCCAACGTAGCGAATTTTGTAGAGACGGAGACCATCATGCGCGTAGAGGTCAGTCATGCTTTGACAGCCGTGCCTGATCTCGACGGTCTCATCGTTGCGAATCTCAGCGCGAAGGCTTCTCGAACGTCTTCAGCCACGTTCAAATCCGCGGATCTAGTACGTATCCTTTGTACGCAAGAAAGCCTATGACTCATGAGCATCGCGTTTCCAGTACCTCTGTACTGGAAGCAGGAAGGGTATAGCCTTAAGCCTGCTCCCCAGCTTGCACCTGACAGGACCCACGACCAAAACCTCGATGCCATCCGCCGGCATTTCCAGAAGACATTAGCGGTATATGGGCCTCATGTATGTTCACCCTTCCATTAGGACTTGTTGTTGATGTTCACATTCATCCACAGAACATCATCAACCTTGCCGAACAGCACGGCAAGGAAGCACAGGTCACTGACGCCTATCGTGACTATGTGAAAGAGCTCGATGACAAGCGGATACAGTAAGCAGCCTTCTATTTTGTTTTTCGTCAGGCGTGTGACGACGTGTATAGGTACCATACGTACGACTTCCATGCGGAAACGAAGGGGATGAAGTCAGTGCTTTCTTCAGCTTTTTCGGGCGCCGCTCATGAAACAGATATGAGAATATTTCGAATCTCATCGCCCAACTAGAGCGCGTGTTTGAGAATCAGGGGTATGTCGGTCAGACACTTTGACTACTGACTGGCATAATGACCTCGCTTGTTGGCCAGCTACTTCTGGATCTCGAACAACACCATAATGTCCCGCCAGAACGGCGTGTATCGGGTGAATTGTATTGACTGCTTAGATCGGACGAATGTAGTGGAGGTGAGTGACGTTCAGGCGCGTCAGGAAGCATAACCCCGGAGCTAATGTCCTGCAGTCGGCATTCGCACGCCACGTATTGAATCGCCAGCTCGGTGCCGTGGCGCTGCTTGACCCTTCAGAGGACAAACCACCCGAACAGAAACTGACATAGTCTTCAATGATGGTAGGCCTGTTTTTTGAACATATGATGATGCTGACCACGAGCTAGTTTGGGCGAATAATGGTGATGCCATTAGTCGCGAATAGTGAGCAATACGGAAACCCGTGTCACACCTGTCTAATTCATTACCTATCAGCGCTGGTACCTCTGCCCTCAAGGTCAGGCTTACCAAAGACATTGCGGGGCTTCTCATGTCATTTATAGGGCGACTACACTAGAACGGGCAAGCGCGACCTAACGGTATGTGAATGATGGTGTCAACTCCCTAGCGAGGTAGCATATCCTCGAGGTCACATACCTTGCGCTGAACTTGTGGCAGGATGTACGCCTCGACCTTCGCAGACTGGTTCAGTCAAGCGGTGATCGACTACATGCTGGGCAACCGCACAATTTCCGTGTTCGCGGAATTCTTGAACAAGCTGCAGTCGAGCGACCCGCGGGACCTCATACGCATCTCGAAGATCCGGGCGGATGCCATTGCAACATGGTGTCTCGTGTGCTATCCGAGGGGAGCGCTTGTGTCCGGATGGACGGTGTTCTCGCCCACGGAGTTGAACACAAAGGTCGGGGATAAGTTTGAGGAGAAGGTGTTATTGTTGGTGAGTGCCAACGTTTGTCGTACCGACAATGAACCTGAGGGCGGCATCTAGACGATGAAGGCTCTATATATCATAGTGAGCTGTCTTATGTTCTGAAACCCGTGATATCTGCTTATGCAGAATGCAGAGTTATGACTATACTCTGGAAAAGGTCAAAATGTATACCCGTGTACCATTGAAGGATATAGAGAAGGTCACAAAAGGTTGTTATGCTGTCTCCGTCTTTGAACGCTGCTGACATTTTGTGTTAAGGCGCCTACATATTGTCACCCCTAGAAGAGGCTAGCCGTGACCCTGAACAAAACTCCGGTTTCGTCATCACCTGGCGTAATGTAGGCCAAGACACTCGTGTCACAAGCTATTCAATACGCAACAGCCTCGATCTATCTTCTCCATTAGTACCGGATCTTCCACCTCCATCGCCTCGCTGTCAAGGCGAGCGAGCGCTCCTGTGCCCGAACGCAACCTACATTGTCGTCGCTGCTGTCAAGGGCAGCCGTTCCGATCGCTGAAGGCGATTCGTCGTTTGTAGCATTCAAGATGCTGCCCATCGATCCCACCCGCATGCGTCGAGATACTGGCAGTTTCATCGAGCCTGCCGACGAGCTCTCAGGGGCGACAAATTGCAAGCAGGCAACGGACCTGATTGTGGATACGATCCGGCAGGCTTGTGTGGAAGCGGGCGGCGCGCAAGGCGATGAATTCATCGCCGAGGAGGACATCGTCAGGTATGTTTTGTGACCACTGATACAGAGGACCCTGAGCTGACTGCGCATGGGTAGCCTGGCAGATGCGCAACGCATGACAAGCGTGTACGCTAAAATGGAATACGGCGTGAAGAGATTGCTGTGGTTGGGTGGCTCATGATGAGCGCTGTGCTTTATCGTACGGAAGGAAACTCGGAACCGTCGTAGTCCGTTGTATGGGTTGATCATGTAGTTTTATTGCACGGACATCTGAGGCTTTAGGTGCCATTGCGTTTCATGGTGGATGCATACCGGTGGCATGATATGATAGCATTAATAATCAAGTGTAAGTTTCGGAGTTGATTATGTAAGCGTGGCGAGGAGAGCTTCGGTGGGCGCTTGTGCGAGGTAGCTAGCCTGCATCCAGCACGCCGGCGGGGAGAGAACCCTGCAAAGCCGCTCGCAGCAACGTCTCCAGGCAGAGGACTTGCTTTTCTGGCCGTGTTTCCCAGAATCCAGTGCGTTCTGCTCCTCAGCCTCCTTGAAGCCATGCCCTGCCGTCACTCCAGGCGTTGTGCGAGCTGACGAATCCCGTTCCCAGGTAATCCTCGTGCCGTGCATGCACCAGCGGGCTCTTGGTCTTTAAATCGTACTTGGAGCCTGACATAGTCTCATCCACTTCTCTGACTCGCCATGGCGACACCACATTCATTACCAACTACGTCTCACCGCACCAGCCTCCAGCTGCCGTTCGCGCCGACCCCGAGTCCGAGCCAGCAGAGGTTCTCCATCAACATGACCCGACCAAGCAGCGGGAGCTTTTCGGGGAGTGCACCACCGAGCCGTCCAAGCTCTACAGATCTATCGCGCTCGCGTTTTACGCACAGCGTGAGCCACATTGGCGAGTCTGGGGTACCACCCACGGGTCTGCCTCCTTCCGTTTCTTCCCCTCCCCTCCAGCTCCGACCACCTGTGCGTCCTTCGTCTCACGCGGGAGGCATCCTTCCTCCTGCATCTTTCTTTCACCCCTCGCGCCCCAGCTATCCCCCACCTTCCCCCACCACTCCCAACATGCGTCCATCAAGTGTCGGGTCTGCGATATCCGCCGACCTACCAATGATCATGGACTCCGTGCGCCTCAGTCGACTCTCGGAAGATCATGATGCCTCTGAAGCCACGGATAGCGTAGGGCATTCCACCATGCAAGGCGCGAACGCACCCATGAGCCCAACGTCGAGGACAGCAACGGTGAAGGCCAGTAGAGAACCGCTACTCCCCATCGGACCCGGGCCGCGCAGACCCTCGTTGAATACCCAGATGGCCCCATATGGGACGCACGACGGGACCCTCAGCCCGAGCGGAATGTTGCGCGGGAGTTTCGAGAAGATATTCAAACGCGGGATAAGCAGCGACGGGAGCCGGCGCTCGCCGGCGCACACGAGCCCGACGAGCCCGCTTGGTCTCACCGTGCCCCAGACAAACGCACGGTCAGGCCAAACGTCCCCGGTCTCGCCTGCGACGGCTGCGCGGATGACGTTCGAGTTGAACGTGCAGACACGACGGAAACAGAGTCCGTCCCCACAGCCTGACGACTCGTCCTCCTCGCATTCGCTGGACTTCAACCCCGCTCCGCCAAATATCAGCCCGCCACTCGCCGCGACACCCGCAGTGGATGCGCGCACAGGGAAGCCTGTGCGTAATTGGCAGCGATATCCATCAAGAAATCGATTCTTCTTGAATGGACACATCCTCACGGGAGGAGACGCCCCCTGGGCGTTCGTGGCATCGCTGACGGTCGTGCTCGGGATTACTGGCGTATGGTTCGGGACGACGTGCGTATGGTGGTGGCAGAACGAGAGCGCGGCAGTAGCGATACTAGGCGCGTACATGTGTCTCCTAACGATCTCCAGCATGGCTGCTACGGTGCGTCGTGCGCGCGGCGGGTTGGTGGGTTCCCGGCTGATGCTGACGCGCGTTTGGCTGCTCAGGCGTTTAGGGACCCGGGCATTCTACCGAGGAATTTGGACCCTGACCCGCCGTACGCTGCGCAGATGTCGAGTGAGAGCGTGCGCGCACCTTTGCCTCGCGACATCAGGATCCGTTCGGAGACGTAAGTGGCGCACGTTTTGCGGGGAGGTGATTGCTGATCGCATGTCAACTCAGGGTGCGAACGAAATACTGCCAAACGTGCAGAACATACCGACCACCACGGTCGAGTCATTGTAAAATGGTGCGTGTTTGCGGAGCAGCTGTCCAGAGAGAAAGCCTGAGCCTGAGATGTTACGTTCCAGTGCGACAACTGCGTGGAGGGGTGCGACCATCATTGCCAGTGGGTGAACAACTGCGTCGGGAAACGCAACTATACCACTTTTTTCACTTTTCTTACATCTGCTGTGAGTTTCGTGTTTCATATATGCCTGCGATGTCTTTATCACGTCACACCGCCACAATTTCGACTACTGTGATGCTAAACGCTGTCATACTAACCTTTTGGGCACTGCCACTGCTGCAGGTTGCAACCTTGATCCTCGTGATCTGCTCGACTGCTATCCATTTGTACCTCCTTACTCGCTCACCATATCGGCTTAGTTTTCGGGAGGCGCTGCAAACACCTGACGGCGCTGGGAGCGCTGCAGCGTTCGTGATGTCGTTATTAGTGATTTGGCCTGTCATGGCTCTGTTGCTGTATCATTCGCGGGTAAGTGCTCTGTTCACAGCTTCACAACTCACATGTTGCCAAGTCGAACATAAGTTTGCTGATGGACATTTGTCACCGGGCGACAGTTGCTGCTGTTGAATGTCACAACTATCGAGCAGGTGCGTTTGGGTATTCACGTCCAGTGAGAGCGAATATACTACTGATCGCGGTCGTGCAGATACGCAACCAGGCGCACAAGTCATTGTTTCCGGGGCCGGCGCCTGTCAACCCGTTTTCGCATGGCTCTTGGCGACGCAACCTCGTGTATGTGCTGAGCCGACCAGCAGGGTACTCGTGGCTAGATGCAGCGGCGGTCGCGACTGAGGACAGGCGAGAGGTGAACCCGGATTGTTGCGGGATGCGGAAGGTGGAAGTGCGGCTGGTGACGCGTGGACAGAGGCGATGGAGGAGGGCCGGGGGAAGGTGCAATGACAGTGGGGTTCGACTCGATAGATATATGCATGGATCAAACATGGATGGTAATACGGCTCGCGCTGCAGTTCTGTGATAGGTATTATACGGTACATTATTTTTTGTAGTACATATGGTATCTTCGACTGATACTGACATTTGACATTTGGTTCTGCTCGGGCAATGTTAGCCGTGTTTTGTTCTCGACACGACGCTCGCTTGGAGGGGCCTTCTCGGTGCCTGAAGGGACTCTTCGACATCCATGCTTGCCGGATGCTCGTCTGCTTGCACGGCAAAGAGAGCCAGAGACCGATACATCCGACGGATGCTTGTGCTTGCGGGTCCGGGGCAGACTGAAAATGGGACTGCGCCGTTTCGAGGGAGCGAAAGGCGGGCCTGACGAGTCGATCTGGTGCCTGACGAGCGCCTGAGATTGATAACCGCCAGATGTAATTGAATGTTGCGATCAGGAGTGGAACGACTTCGGTGTTCTACGCGCCGTGGAAGGCAATCTACTTAGGGGCGTGTGGTACGGTGCAAGGACGCGCACGGAGGATTTTTCTGATAGCGGAATGCCGTGCAATTTTCTGGGGTGGACGGCGAGCATGCGTGCGGTGTACGTACGCGCTCGCAGGCCAGGCGGGGGCGCCGCCGCTGCCCACGACGGCGGATGGTGGGCGCGGGCGTGGGCGGCGGTGATCAGGAGCAGGTGGCGGCGCGCAGAAACGTCGGGGGCTGGCTGATGGATCGGGCTGGCTGGAGGCTGCGCTGATGTGGCCAAGATGCGCCCCCGAGATCGGGCGATGGGATCGCATGATGACACGGGCCGATGACGCGGGTGTCGCAGTGTCCCAGATCCCCGACGTTCCAGCGGCGCCCGACCGAGGATGTGCGTCGGCCCCCCGCCGTCGCGCGAGTGTTGGGCAGGCGGCTGCAGTGAGGGGTGTGGCCAAGCATGCGCGCACGCGGACGGGACAGGGCCGGGGACACGCGGGGCGGTGCATGCTCAACGCGCAGCACGCGGGCAGACGCACAACGGGCCCCCCATATCGGGCACAACGATCGCCCATTGGTCGTGGGAGACGGCACCGCTCGGCAGGACAAGAGGCAGATGACGTAGGGAGTGCTCACGTGGCGGCGCTGAGTTTGAAAGGCGTGTTGAGCTTGAAACGGAAAGGGAGGGCGCGTTCGGCATCGCGTCGCCCCTCCCACCCGACCTCACTGCAGAGACGCGCCAGACAGCGAGCAGCGCACAACGGCGCCGGCGGATCGCGAGCACGACGACCAGGTGCGTGTCTGCGAGTGCGTGTGCCGCGCGCGCGGTGTGGCGGAGGCTGATCGAGCGCTGGGCAGGCTTGGGGACAAGGATAATAATCAGTGACATTTATAATCTGGGATGGACCCTAGTCCGAAGCCGGCCAGTGCCCCTCCCCACAACTCTAACAGCACCCACGACGGCGCTGATACGCACCAGCCAAAGCCGAGGAAGTCGCGGAACAAGCAGCCGTCCGCTCTCCCTCGCACAACCGACCCCCCGGACAACCCGGACGGCCGCAGTAGTGCGTCTTTCATTCTCTCCTCATTCTCCGCACCAACCGCCTCCGCCCAGCGTCCCGCCTCTCCAACGTCCGCGACCAGCACCCGCCCGACGCGCCTCGCTTCACCGCCCACCTCCAGCCCTATCCCGGGCCCACCTCACCCGCATACGTGATGAACCCGTCCTACCCAGTAAATGGCAATCCGTACCCTTCCTCGCCCTCGCCCTTCAACCAGCCGACGGCAGCCGCGTCGCCGGCCAACGGCCAGAGCCCACACCTTCCCTCGGGCATGCCGAACCACGTTACCCATTATTCTTACGCCCTCCATCATCCCTCATACCCTCAGCATGGCTACCCTTCATACCCGTCCTACCCGTCCTCGGGTATGATGCACATGTATGGCGGCTCGCAGTCCGGTCACGCCGAGAGCAGCGCGCGCAGCCCCGCCATCCCATCGCCCGTCCCGCCGTCCGCGTCCACCGCAGGTACTAAGCGTAAAAGGAAGTCATCCGATGGTCCTTTAGATTCCAGGGCATCTAATCAAGGTCTTACAACAGATTCCAGTGGTGACATTGCGCGCTCGTCTTCGACCCAGGGCCCTTCGACCTCCGTTGTCGACACCAAGAAGCGCACCAAGACCCAGCGCGCATGCGACAGCTGCCGGAGTCGCAAGATCAGGTTGGTGTTGCGTTGTCCTCCCCGCCGCCCCCTTGGTTCTTCCTCGGCTGGTCCTCTTTCCTGCCATGTTGTATCTATTCCATACCCTCTACCTTCTTCTCGAGCGGGCTGACGCCCTCATCCGTTTCACAGATGCGATGTTCTTTCCGACAGCGAGCCGCCGGTATGCCAGCATTGCAAGCAGTACGGCTTCGAGTGCACGTTCTTCCTTCCGATCACCGAGACGCGATTCAAGAAGAAGAAATTGGAGGAAGAGGCCGCGGCTGCGGCAGCAGACAAGGACAAGGAGGGCGAGCGGAGTACACAATCGCCACAAGCAGACAACGCGAAGAGTGGGGATGTCAGGGTGTTCGGTGCGTAGCTAGCCACTACCCTCTGTGCTGTGTATTCTAATGCCGCTCATAGGCCCCACTTCCGCGACATACATGCTGCACTCGCAAGCGATGATTTCGTCGCGCGCGTATGAATCGTTCGACATGCGATACCACCACTCTTGGGACGTGAGCTCCAGTGGGGAGGGCGTGATTCGCGTGCATGAGCCTCAGCAGGGCGAGCTCCAGCTTGCGCTACCGAAGCCAGTCGACCTGCGGATTGAGCGAGACGTCGTCGAGAAGCTCGTGAACGCGTACTTCACTGAAATTGCGCCTATGCTACCCATCGTGACGCGGGAAGAATTCATCGCGAGCAGTCCTCCGCCGCCAGTGCTGATGTACTCCATGTGCCTTGTCGCGGGGGCCAGTCGGGACGTGCCCCAGAATGTTTACGAGTCGATACGGTATGCCGTCAATAGCCTCATCAAGGCAGAGGACGTCATGAGCACGGCGTCGACGGTCAACATGCAGGCCTTGCTGATCTTGGCGATGTGTGGTGATTGTCACTCTCAGTTCGTACCTAATGCCCTTTCCGCTCTGTGGATTCGTCTCGGATGCTCTATCCGTATGGTGCGTGCTCCGAACAGGCTCTCTGTGGGCAAGAGACTGACTATATGCGCGCCACCTGCAGGCACAAGACCTCGGTTTCCACCGCGCAGAGTCGGTGAGGCAAAACATCGAGCTCCGGCGACGACTGTGGGGCATTTGCGTGATAAGCGACCGATGGTGAGCTTCTCTCGTGCACCGACGTCAGCTTCGATGTGTGACCGCTGACCGATCAATGCAGGATAAGTCTAACTTATGGGCATCCGTACATGATTGACGTCCAAGACTGTGATGCGCGCCTGCCGTCATCTGGGGACCCGAACGACAGGTACCTTGATGAGCTCGTTCGCTTGAGCGTCGTGCTGGGCAGGGTGATGAAAACAATATACACGTGCGTATTGTCTGTGTGTTCCGACCGGGTCGATTCTTATATCGCTCTAGTCCTGCTGGTCTGACCGTCACCACGGACGAACAATTACATGCGCTACTAGCGGATATTGACGCATGGAAGGCCAGGCTCCCCGAGGACCTACGTTTTCACGGGCCCGACACCCCTCGGGACGCTGGTGAGTAAATCCAGCCCATGATTTCAGGGTGAGAAGTCAGCGGGGGCGCTAATGCCTTGACAGGCCTGCTCTTCATGTTCTACGTCTGCGTGAATATTCTATTCTGGCGCGTCTTCATGCGTATATCGTATGCGTGCCCCGCGCACCTCAAGTTTGCTCTGACCGTCGAGAAGTGGACGGAATTGGTGCAGTTGTCAGGCCAGGTGATTGATTGGCTGGACGCGCATGAGCGGCTGTACGATATTTGGTTGCTGGTCGCCTATTGTGCGACGTCGTGCGCGCTTGTTCAGGTATGCTATCCGTCTTCAATGTTGTATTCTTACATTCACATATTATTGTTCGGAAGTATCACACATGGGCGAGGCGTCGGGACCCAGAGGCACAAATGAAGCTGAAGAAGCTCCGGGATTGTATACGGAAATGGGAGGCGTCTCTCTCGCCTGACCACATGTCAGCACGACGAAAGGCCCGTCCATGAATGGTCACAGGCTCATATTTCACCGCTTGCTGACAAGTTCATACTTATACAGAATGCGGAGATCATCGCACTCCTATACGAAGCCACGCAGGGTCAGCAGGACCACGCCGCGCAACCCGCGTTGAACCCGACAGGCGGCGTCACGGGCAAGCCGCCCTTGGCGAGCGGGCTCATTTTCAAGAAGGACCCGTCAAGACCGGGCGGAGGTGTCTTTGTCGCACACACGAAGCCAAGGAGGGCGAGGTCGACGAACACTTGCCGGAGGGCACGATATTAGCGGAGATACCACTGAAGGTGAGGCGCCTGCGCCTGCGGTGTCGAGCGTTGGACCAAGCAATGACCGTGCCGTCTCGTCCGTCTCCTCCTCTGGGTATCCGGCGTGGTCGTCTGCGTCGGTAGCCGAGAGCTCGGGACAGGGCCGACAGCAGCACCAACAGTCGCATGACCCGTCGCAACAGCCCCAGGAGCAAACGCAGGAGAACGCCGCCATGGTACAGTACCCCCAGAGCGACGGGAGCTACTCGAACGTGAACCCGGTGCTGAACGATCCGTCGTTACCCGGGAACGTGCAGGTCATGAATGTGTTGGATGTGCCTCAGGCATCCAACACCCTCGAGCAGTTCGCCATCGCGGATACGGCCTTCATGGAGGGTATCCCGAACAGCATGTTCGAGTGGAGTGAGTGTTATTGACCGCGGTCGTTTTGCTATCCTTGACTTTGACTGATCGCGAACTCCGCAGACCAATGGGACCACTTCTTCGCTCGGTTCGCACCTCAGCTGCCCCAGTTCCAGCAGCAGCAGCCACAACCGCAACGGAACGATGTCGGGATGCAAAACGCGTCCTCGCCCCAAGCGCACACGCCCCAGCAGCAGTACCATTATCCTACTGGCATGTAGTGCGCATTATATTTAGTGTTTCTGTCTTGGGACCCGATTGCTTAGGCAGGGTGGGGTGTACTGGGTGAAGTCTTAAAGTACTTTAATTCGCTTTTACTGCACTCCTGCAATGTCGTACTCTGTGTGTTGGCTTTCCTGATGTCTGTGTCTCTATCATCGTCCCCCCGTTATCGCGATTGCTTTCGAGCTTATGCTTTAGCCTACATGGTCTCGGGATATGGACACAGCCACGCCGATATGTCGGGCCTCAGGTGCGTGTTCAACATCTGTCGGAGTAAGATTGACTGGTACCTTTGCGTAGATTGGCACTGTTAGGAGATTCAGCCCGGTCGGATGCTGTTGTTCGGTCCCGCCGGTAAGTGCCCGTGGTCATGCCTCTTGCTGTAGGACGATCAAGGTGAGGCAACGCGCATGACCAGGCCCCATTGTCAGACTTTCTGGGGCACCCCCTCTCCACGAAGCCTGTTCCTTGCGGTGCTCCCGCCGCGCACAATTCCCTCAGCCATGTGGAGTCGTCGACATGCATTTCAGACGATTGTTTCGCAGAAGAGCCCCGTAAGTGTCTCACCGATAAACAATCACATCTGCATCGTGGACTAAGCACAGCGCATGACTCCGACCAGAGTTCATAGCCGAAGATATCAATGCAGAACCAACGCGTCGAGGGCATGCGACTCATCGTCGGCTGCTACATCTTGTCATTGCTCAGGCCGATATGCCTGGAGGATGTTCCCGCTGCCAGTGAGATCAAAGCAGACCGATGTTAGCCTCAGGCACAAAGGTCAGACTTACGCCACCACTCGATCTCCGAGATCTCGTCAATCCGGTGTCCGCTCCGGCGAACGGCCCGCTGGACGGTCCCCTCGTCGGTTGGCCGTAAACAGTATTTCCACTGTAATTCCGAGAGGACGGGAGGAACCAACGCACAGACGCGTTCGAGGGTCCATTTCGCGCTGACGTTTCTGTTACTTGTCTTCGCTCCAGGAACAGGTTGATGACCCTTGGAGCAGCTTAATTGCTTCAGGGCCTCGCAAGAGAGGTGCTGCGCTCGCGGGGATTGTAGTGGGCCTGCTTGCGTAATATTGGCGTATTGTTGGGGGTTGGTCAGCCTAGCTGGAAGGTCGACTGGAATCAGACGACAGGATGGAAGAGAGCACGGTGCGTGTTCAATTTCTCTGTCAGATTGGATGTGATGTTCTAGACAAACCCACCGCTAGACGCCATGTTATTTTTAGAAACCTCTCCTCAGTCCTGTGCGCAATGGCTTTGTGGCTTATGAGGGGAAGGGCGTCTTGGTGAACGGGGTGCGTAATTATCTGGTTGCTATTGCCTGTGAAGGTGAGTCATCTCCTTTGCGTCCGACGCTTCAAGGTGTGGCCTCGCGGTTGGTATAGCACGTAATTGTGCACGAGCAGTCACACGCTCGCTGGTTGATGCGGCGGCGGTGGTTCATTGCGTACATACGTGCGTAATAAGTAGGTAACTGTGGCAACATTCGTGGTCTGTTAACGGTGGTCCCGCAGACGTCACGGACGGTCGTTCTTAACTTACCTGCAGTTCGGACCAGGTGACGCCCAGAGCAATGACGCAGGCGGCGTTTTTGAGAGTTCGAATGGCACTAGTAAGTGCCTTTGATGATTCCATATCTGCATAGATGACCGTGTCTTTACTCTTTTCATCACTACCAGTGCCAGGTGCTTTCACTGCTGCGGGATCGACATTCGTGCGCGCAGTCCTCCGGGGCTGTTGCGTGCGATAAGTCATTGCAGGAGAGGCGTTATGGCTTACACCGGTGCGGAGACCTCGGGGTGCCAGGGTGTAGACCAGTCGACGAAATGCCTCGGGCACCCGTTTCCCCCGTTCTCGCTCGCGCATGCGCTCATACTTGTGTGATGCATGCCAGGACGCCATACCGCCTCCACGCAGATCCGGTCGGTTTCTCCCATGCTCTCGAGAAGCGCTCCTCCGTGAGTATATTCCGAGCGTCCATGCGACTTCGAGAGGTTCTCTAGCTCCGGGCCCGAATCCCCATTCGCCGCCACGCTCCTCGCAGTGCTGCCTTCCATTCTCAACTCGCCGCTTCGTCGCGCGCCTTCCAGAATGAAACGCGTGAAGACAACAGGCAGAGAGGGTGTCTGTACGCTGATCCGCCGAACCTACGCATGATTAGGCCGTCTCATTCAAGCGTACTACGATGTCTCGATCCTCGAATATATGCCCCGTATCTCGAAGACAGGATGACCTCCGCAATCAGTTGACCTTACTCCACACTTCCTCGATGGTATGCTGTGCTGCGTGGGATGGCGTGCTGTCCAATCAGGCTTCTGCTGGTGTCATTCGGGACGGAGCATCGTATCAGTTTCTGGGGATCCCCTCACGGTGTAGATGAGGAGCTTCGGGTTGGTGGTCAGGACCGGACGGCCTCGTAAAAGCTCCGACGTTCTCTCCTCCTTCTGCTCTTCCAACGTCTGCGGGTGTTGTGCCACCCCGAGGGGAGGCTGCTCATCTTGTTCTGAGGTTCGAGTGCTCAAGCTCCTAAGGGGTGCTGGGGGATTGTCTCGTCCCTGATTCATTGCATCATGTTTTGCCAGTGTGCCAAGTACTACGTATCGCCCTCATATGCCGGCGTGATCAATCGCCTCACAGTACATCCTGTATAATTGTATGAGGACGAGCTGCTGCAGGCCGCCAAGAAAGGCAGGGCCGCAGTCGGAAGGCCCGGACACCGCCTGAGGCTCAATGTTCAATACTTAGCACGAGAGTGGGGTAACGGGTACTGCCTATTGTCGGCGCAGCGCAGCGCGAGGGTGTCGGTGCTCTGGGATCTCGGTGGCGCAGGAACTACGAACAGGCAGCGTGCTGATAGTCTTATATTGTACTTGTTGTGCCAATCTGGACTGGGACGAGGCCGATACCAATTGGCCAGAGAACTGATTTTATATTCCGGAATTAGTGCGTACTCGAGCGATACAGGGCGCGTGTTTTGGATAGTGACTACTTACAATAAGTGCCGTTCAATCGCAAAAGATGCTAGCGACGCGAATAGAAGGGAACAAACGCGACATCTGTTACACGGTCAAATGTCCATCGCCTTCGTTTTCTCACCGTGCGGTGGAGCCGGAACCGCTGGGAGTGGCAGGTATTGTTCGCAGGTTCCGATTCGGGTTCATAGACCGGCTAGGCTCGAGTGCTATTCATTGCTTTGACCCCGGTATCAGACATCATCGTCGCCAACGACCGCGTCGATAGTTCGAACAGGTAGCGTAAACATTCCCACCTTCCCTCTTGAGCATCGTATCGTGATCCTCGATACAGTAGTATCCATCTGTTCCGTTTCATTGGTGCTTAACGAGATCATGATACACTGCGTTGTAAATCTTCGTACCGTCCCGCCACTGACGCGCCATAGTCGGAGTCGGATGGCATGCCCTTTTAGACTTTGAGCTATATGTGTCAAACTAGTTGTGACCGAACGGTCCGTTGATCGGGGAGGAGGGGGCACTGACCGTGGCCATAAACCGGTGAGTCTATGCACCACACGATACTATCTGGAAAGAGATACGAATCCTCTGGGTATCGCTAGTAAATAGCTGGATAGAGACACGATACTGCATAAGCTGAACAAAATACGATGTAGAATGTCTAGGCAACTCACTGTCTACACGAGCACCAGGCTTGCCACCGAGTTCTTGCGTTCAGACCGTCGCTGCCAGGGACGCCCGCGGAGGTGTAAAACTGCTGTGCTATTCATGTATGGCACAAAACAGACGTCTCGCATCCGTCAGACGAGCACCGTCGAAGATTCTACCGCGTGGGCGCCGGTAGCAAGTATCACCGCAGACAGACAAGGTTCAAGTGTACCATTGACAGACCTTCCATTTATGGCAGGGGTGCGGATGCGGCGGCCGACTTCGAATCTTCTCATTCTCATCCTTCGAGGACATGACGTCTCTTCGCAATGGCGTTTCTGCGTGGGTAGCGACAGGCCCTCGACTGCGGTGCACATTGAGGTAACTGCACGCTAGAGGGTCCGTTGTAGTGCCACTACTTGGTGTCCTGCCTGTGTGCGCCGCTATTGTACTAGACTAAGCGCCAACCGTCGGACAAGGTTAAGTTACATGGTTGAACGGAGCGATCTTTCTCCGACGCCACGCATCTGGTTGCGATGGCAAATCAATCTTGGAAACGTATTGAATGTGTGGCACTCACCTGTCGCGCATCGCAGCCTAGGCCTCCGAGTCGGCGCTTCTATGGGCGCGCTGATAAGTTGTACTTAGCTCCTGTTCGCAGAGGTTTCACCATCGCACACAATACATTAGCCCGAGAGTCCGGCATGAGAAAAGATGCAGAGAAGACCAGAGCTTGATGGTGAACGTCCACATGCAATGGAGCTGGTTTCTCAATGTTCAACGAAAGTGTCATGCTCGAAAACATACCGTACTTCAACGCATGCATGGACAGTACTCGTGACAGGCTACATGCACGACAGGCAGTGCATACGCTCCGACGTGTCGCACGTTTGTGCGGCGCACAAGTGAGTATGCTCGACCAATGTCGAGCGAGGAGGCTATCGCCCACGGCGCCATCTGATTCGTCCACACTGTACACTGATCTGTGGGCTTGGCATTTCGCACATCATATGACGACGGGTCGCACGAACGAGAGGGCCACTCGAGCACACTGTGCCGGTGCGAGCAGGGTGCGGGGTGGTAGGAAGCAGAGGGACTGCCGTAAAGTGATCGGGACGTCGGGGTGGCAGCGAGGATCTGAATCTGCGGGGCGGGGTAGGGTCGACAGTCCGAATATTACAGGACGATCTCGATACGACTGGCCTTCTTGTGCGGGAGAACGGATCAAGTGGGCGAAGGATGGGCTTAGCCTGTTTGGGCGACGAGGCGCCATACGCTGTGGCGGCCTGGGTGGTATGGGAATGGCGCCAGGCCATGCGTGTCTCGACGCTAGCACCCGTCTGGCCGCCGCTGGTGTCTGCTCGCGCCCGCACGACACCCAACCATGTCTCGTCAATTGATCGACTGTTGGCGAGCCTGGGCCATGGGAGTCGGGGGAGGTAGAAGACGCGCTAGGCGGTGGCTACGGATTTTGGCGGGAGTGGCACGCACGCGCGGTGGGGTGCATTCTGATGCGACATGGCCATGTTCGCTCTCATGTTGTTGCTCTCTCCCCACATACCCGCCTAGACTACCCTACTCTCCCTCTCTCCTAATCCCCCTCTTCCCCGACATACTAGCCCCCCTCTCTCGTCCAGCGCGGCGCCGGGCCCACGCTCGTTATGGCCCAACTCCTTAACCCGGCAGCCGTGCCTGAACCTGGTCGCATCTCGCAGATCCTGCCCTCCGTGAAGTGCTCAAACTGCAACCATCCCGTCCCCATCCACGAGCTCGGAGACCATGTCTGTCAGCCTGAGCCTGCCATGCCCTCCTTCAAGTCCTTCGTTTCCCCCCTCTCCGCCATAGAGCGCGACCCGCAAAAGTACCACTCCAAGCAGTCCTTCACCTCCCAGAACACCATGCAGTCGCAGCAGCCCATCACTCCCCACCAGGTGAGCGCGTCGAACGCCCATGTCAGTCTCTCTGGCGCCCCGACTAGCCCCCGCACGCGCTCGCGCGCTCCCTCGACGAGTTCGCGCCGCAGCCCCCGTGCGCCCGAGCCAGGCTCAAGCCGGTTCGACCATGGTGCGTCCCGAACCCCCTTTCCTGCAGGGCCCGCATCCCCCGAACCGCAACGCATGCGGCCCCCTCTCGCTGGCAACACACCACCACCCGTGCCAACAGAGATTCCCTTCCCCCCTGCACGGAGCCCCTCTGTGTCCTCGCGGTCGCCGACGCCAGGACGTGGCTATCCATCTATAGGGGACGGTCTCTACCCCCCTCGAACACCATCAACGCCCACTTTCCGTGCTACCCCTCCACCTTCCTTAGCCAACTCAGCTCGCCCAGCTGCCCACTCCAGTCCTGCACCTTCGCCATATGCGTCCCAGCCCCAGCCGCCCGTTGCGCGACAGAGGACGCCGGGTCCCCCGACTCCGTCCCAGTTATCCGTCAATCCGGGACGCGGCAGAGCAGCGAGCAGCGCGGCGACGGACGAGTACGAGGTGATCTACTCTACCAGCAACAGCAAGAGCAGCCCCGCTACCGCCAGTGCGTTCCCACCTCGCTTCCCCCCCAATGCCGCCGACCCCACGATGCACCCCCCGCGCCAGCGCATGCCATCCACGTCCAGTCTTCCCCCCGCGCAGCCGCCGACCCGCGCACGCGCCCCCTCCACGTCCAGTGTCTCCGCGCACCCCTTCAGCGCCCGCCCGCAGACCCCCTCCACGTCTGGCAGGCAGTTCGACCGACGGCCGTCTAACCTAGGAAATGGACCTCCCCCACCAATGCCTACCTCCCCGCCCGGTCCCCCGCCCGTACCCACGTCGACGCCGGCTCCGGGTCCTATTCGCTCGCCAGTTCCTGACATCGACACTAAGATCGGGGGAGCGGCTGGTATGGCGGGCGTTGGAAGGCGGGGATTCGCCGCGGCGGCGCATGCAGCCATGCTGGCTACGAGTATGGGCAGGTTTGAGGGTGCGGCGTCGCCGTTGATGATTCCTGGACAGGGTATGGACGGCAGACGCGCTAATGCGCCGAAGTTTGTGGATGTCGTTTCGGCCGCGCGGTACGGTGCGTATTCTACATGCCATGACAATTCGAAGTCTACTAATGCTGCATACAGGTCTCAGTGCTACACCTCCTTTGTCCCCGGCCACCCTTTCCCCTCATTCACAGAAGTCCCCTGGCTACCCTCAGTCACACACTCAGCCTACGACCCCGACCAGCCCCGGTCCCGCGCCCAACGTCTCAACGTCTCCCAGTCCACGCCTATCGAGAGGCTTGTCGAACTCCTCTCAACGAGACCGCTACGTCCCTCCAGCTCTCGAGCCGCCGAAACTACCGCTACCTCCGATGCCCGCCACACCTACCACGCCCAGGCTGCCGTTCTTTGAGAAGTTCAAGGCGCAGCAGCCGCCTTCGGACAGTCCTGAGCCTATATCGCCGCGCCCGCCTTCGCCCCCGTCTGACTCTGATTCAGAGTTTGGTGGCTTGGCCTACGCGGATGACGACGACGACGACGAGGAGCTCCCCTCGCCGAAGCTGCCACCGATCAACACGTCCGTGCCGAAGCAGACCGGGCCCTCGAGCGGGGGCAAGATACGCTTCCCGTCCATGGCCTCGGAGTCTCAGTACTCCGTGTCCTCGCCGGCCTCACCGACGATGCCCCGCCGGACGCTCTCAGACTCGCGCGCGTCGCGCGGGCCTGCGAAGTCGACGGGTGCGCTGGACCGTGTGATGGAGACGCTCTTCGAGGAGGCACCCTCCCCGCTGACGAGCCCGGCACCGAAGTCGGCGCCGCTTGCGCCGGAGGGCCAGCGCGACAGCGTGAGTCGCCCGCCGAAGCTCCCGGTGCGGTCGCACACGAGCCCGACGCTGGGCAAGATCACGAAGGGCCGGCCGAAGGGGAGGATGTGCGCGAAGTGCACGCAGGTCATTGATGATGGGAGGTGGATCCAGATGGAGGGCGGGAGCGTGCTCTGCGACCGGTGTTGGAAGAATATGTATTTGCCGAAGGTGCGTTTATTTCTGGACGGTGTGCGACGGTCGGGGTCGGGTGCGGATAGGGCTGACTGGCTGCGCAGTGCCGACGGTGTAACCTCACGATTGAGAAGCAGGCGGTGTCCTCTTCTGATGGACAGCTCAAGGGCAAGTACCACCGCGAATGCTTTAATTGCCACAAGTGCCATGTGCGTCCCATTTTTCACTCGCGGGGCGTTCCCGAATGCGTACTGAGCTGAGCGGCGTGCGCTGCAGAAACCTTTCCCGGACAAGACGTTCTACGTGCTGGACGGCAAGCCGTTCTGTGCGTATCATTATCACGAAGCGAACGACTCGTTATGCGCCGCGCCGTCGTGCGGGCAGCCCATCGAGGGCCCGTGCGCGGTGTCGTACTCGGGCCAGCGGTTCCACCCCGAGCACCTCCTGTGCGAGCACCCGCGCTGCACGGAGCGGCTCGTGGAGTACTGGGAGGTGGACGGGCGCATGCTGTGCGAGCGGCACGCGCAGGGGGCGATGGCGGAGGCGGCGGACGAAGAGGGCGACGAGCTGGACGACCTCGCGGCGGTTATGGAGGGCGTGCGGGATAGCGTCGCCATCCGCGGTATGAAGCGCATGACGAGGTTCATCGACCTGGGGCCGAGCGAGCTCCGGTAGCGGTGGGGGTGATGAAGTAACGAGCTGCGCCGCCGCCGTCGTGGGATGGGGGACCGGTGCGTGTGACGTACTACGTGCATGCTCATGGCTTATGCTGGACGGACACGGATGCGGGTGCGGACATCCTCGGTCTGGCTCGACGCGCGTAACCTACCTAGTGAACACGGTCTTTGTTTTTATCTCTCTCTCGGGTCTCCAGTGACGTTCCTGGCTCGGTCGGACCATACATACCTATGCACACACATCTGTATCTCGAGCATCTCTAGCACCTACTTTCTCTCTGCTTATTCGTTCATGTCACACTACTAGTAGTCTTGCCGAACCTGTGGGCGGAGCGGGACGGGGCCGAGGTGTGAACACACAACGCACACGCGTTGAAGAGGGCGGCGTTTGTTGGGGAAGCAGCGGTCGCGCGGTCTGTAATTCATTGTACTTACGGAGATACATTGACACCTGGGATACCCTAATTGATACATTGCCACTCTACTTCTGCTTCCGTCCCGATTGTCCTTCTGGTGGGATGAGGCTCGTTACGTACGTGAACAGATCCAGAGGCCCTGGGATCTCGATTCCGCCCTGACCGGGACCCGCTAGCGGGGCTCATCCTGGGCTAAGACGAGCCCGGTGCTTCTGGCGATCTGCCCCTGGTCTGGACGATCCACTGCCGGATGAAGGTGCTGCTCATCTTGGTGTTCTTGAGTGCTTCCGCGTCCCGGTCGTCGAGGCTTGCCTCCGAGGCTGAGATCACGTCGATCACGAAGGTGCTCAGTGGGGAAAGGTCCTTCTCCTTGCGGAGCTTGTGGACTGTCAGGCGTTCGTCAGCGTGGAACTTTGTACGTTGCGCGGTGTGGAGGGAGAGGCAGGGAGGGACGCACTGGAGGCGGCACCCGGCAGGGTCTCCTTGCTCACGACGAGAGCTTGGATGTTCGGGTCCCATGCGGTCGGCCCGTAGACGTCGGAGATGGCGACGACGTCGTAGTAGAGCCCGGGCTTGAAGAGCTCGAGGAAGCCGCGGACGCGCGCTGTGCGTACGGCGATAGACTCCAGGACGTCCTTGAACGATTTGTTCTTCAGGAGCGTGTCGTCTGTGGGTGTGTGGTGAGTACGGGGCGTCGGCGGGAGATACGGACGCTAGGACGGACCTGTTACGCCGACGATGAGCTTGTCGCGGGCGATCCAGGCCCCCATGCTGAGGAGGATCTTGTGGCCCGCGTGTAGGTGGTCGAAGGTCCCGCCTAGCGCCGCTACTGGGAAGAGCGGAGGCAGCGTTGGCTCTGAGGGAGGGGCTATGACCGGGTGTTGAGGAATGTGTGGGTGACGGTCGGGCTGCAGAACCAGAATGTCTGGCCGGTCGTCGCCCTCCCCAGGTAGTGGGGAGACTGTGGGTAGAGGGGTGCAACTACACGGGTTCAATATTGCTGAGAGGCAGGAGAGCGAAGGCTACTCACCGCGATACGTGCGCTCTGCATCCCGGATGAGCTCCGAGTCGAATGGCTCGTGGGGAGCCTTGAGAAGTACATCGACATCTAGTAGCACTCTGTTCATCTCCTGCGCGACCCTGGTCGCCTGGACGTAGACGTATGTCAACAATCTCTGAACGTCGTCCCAGTGCCCGCTCGGCGGGAACTTGTGCTTCGCCTGCTCCTCGGCATCCGCCTCACGCCCGCTGGTAGGAAAGTCATTCTCCTGGTCGAAGAGAGGTGAGAAGAGGATGATGCGCAGGTTGTCTGTGGTATGACGCGCGACGGCAGATATGGGTGCGGAGAGAAAGGTCGGGGGTTGGCGCAGGTCATAGACTCTGGCGACCAATGCTGCCCGGCGAACAGTGTCGAGCTCTGGTTGATCGCTCATCGTGACGTATGATCCAACAGGGTAGTAGGCTCAAGGCAAGTTGTCGGACAGGGTTTCCTCATGCGGTCGTTGTGGGGAGGGCGCGCAAGCACGACATTCTATGGGCTGATGAGTGATCTGAGCACTGAGCACGGCCGAAGACGATTTCTGTGAGGAACTCCAGCAACCGAAGCCCATCCAGACTTCGCACTCATGCAGACATCCGAGTCGCGCTGCACCTTGCAGCTGCAGTCACTGGCGGTCGCGGCGACGACCTGGAGACCAAAGTGTCCAGGAGACCAATTTGACGGGAGACCCGATCGCTCCGCCGTGACGAACGTGCCTTTACGTTGTCACACGCGACGCGCTTCGGGTCCCGAGGCTCTCTCCAGCGACTCTCAGCCCGCGCAAGCAACGATCTCGTCCATCCGACGCTGCTCTCGCCCACCACGACGTCCACCAGCGAGGTATTCGCACCCTCATCATACCCACACTAACCGACTCTAGTAACGAACCTCACGAACTCACGACGCTGTACGACTTCTTACGACAATGAATCCGGACTATCGCCTCGACACCCCTCCGCCCTCTTCTCGTTTCCGACGTCCATGGTCTCCAGATCCTCAGGATCTCCTTCCCCCTATGCCTCGGGCATTTGATGATGACCATTTTGATGCCTATAATCCAGGACGACACCTCAGCAGACAGCGCGAGCCTTCCGACGTCTCCGTCGAAGCCCTCGATCTCGCAGACTACGCAGCTCACCTGCGGCGCGACAACAACCCATACCCACCGCCAGAATTCCATGCTTACGACTCCTACCCTCCGTCTCCGCGCGCCGCACGTCCTCTGGCGAGCAGTCCAGACTCATTGCAACCCCCCTCCCTCGCATCACCCTCCGCCTCCAGCGCGCCCTCTATATCCGAGGTCGGTCATCGCGTGCCCAACCGCAGGCCCTTCTCCCTCCCCCCACCATCCTTCCCGCATCGCTCGCCCCAGAGCCATCCCTCGCTATCGACCTCCGGTCGTGGTCCCTACGACCCGTATGTCCGCGTTGCAGGTACAGGCACAGACTCCGAGATCGACATCGCAGCCTTCCCATCCTTCTCGCGAACATGGTACGGAGCCAACAAGGCTCACTCACCTCTTCCCCCTCCGTCTTCCGCACCGGGTCATGGTCCTGGCGCGACCAAGCTCTCGCCCTTCGACCCGGCCTACCCTACACCCGACTACGACCCCGACCCGTACAACCCGTATACGTTCTCTCCTCCCCCATCCTACAACCCCCGCTCCTCGCGCGACCTCGTGCCATGGGGCTCAGATCCAACCGAGGCAGACGCGCCGGTCGACCCTGGGACGAAGGAGGAGCGCATGCGTATGTTGCAGGCGGAGTTTGGCGGGAAGCAGGTGGGGACACCGGGAGAGGACGAGGAGAAGGTGGGGAGTGTGGATCAGAAGGGGAAGTTGATCACAGAGGGTCCGACGAAGAGGTTAGCGGCGAGGTGTGTCCAGGTCTTGCTTGTGATCGCGGCATGTATCTCGTCGGTGTACACTGGTTTGGTGAGTCCTGTTCTCTGGTCGCACCCATACCTTGCTTCGCATTACCGTTCTGGCACTTACACACGCGATGTATGTCCCATGTGCTGACCGCCTCGCAGGTCATCAAGACGACTTCGACACCTCCGCCCAAGGGCAAGATGGCCGCCTACGTCCTCTACGTCTTCTCCTTCGTCACCCTCCTCGCCTGCATATACATGTACATGATCCGCCCCTGCTGCTGCGGCGCGCGCGACCGCAAGCTCGACACACCCTTTGGGGCAGAAGGCCCGGGCGGGATGATGGTTCTTCCGGTGCAGGGCCTGCCCGGCGGCGGCAAGAAGAAAGGGAAGAAGAAGAAAGGACGGGGAGGTGGTCAGGGGGAGGGCGTGCAAGTAAACCTAATCGTGGACCCCACGATGTTCGGCGGTGGTCCTGGCGGGAGGGATCGGGATCGCGACGAGTGGGAGGTCGAAGAAGAGGGGGAGGAAGGCAGCGCTCCGGGGAGCTTTGAGGGGAACGGTGGCAAGAGGAAGGGAGGCCCGAGGAGAAGGGGCATCTTTGCGGGGCTGGCGATGGAGGCCCAGTGGAAGCGAGCAAGGAAGCAGCTGAAGGTGCTGATGGCATTCGATTGTGTTATGGCGTTGGCGTGGGGGGTCGTATTTGTGGTGATATTGATGGGAAAGAAGTGTCCGGTGGGAGGATATCTGGGCTGGTAAGTCGTTGCGTCGCGTTCGTCGAGATGCAGGTAGTTTGACTGACGTTTGGTGTGCAGGTGCGACGGGTACAACGTGGGGACGGCTTCAGCGTGTCTGCTGTTCCTCGCGTTTTGCTTCAGCATCTTCTTCGATATCAAGGACCTACACGCGAGCAAGGCTTCACCTAGGACACGACCATAGTACCTGCCTTCCGTGCTGTGCTTCTTCCTTCCCGACGTGGTGTTTCACGCTTGTATCCCCGGTCTGCCGCCATCTTGCATCCTCCCGCATGGACTCCGGACTCTATCATCGCAGTGCTGACTTATTGGTATATTGGAAGCTAACGATGTACTTTAATGATCATTTTTGGACGAAGTGTTCTCTCGTGTGGAGTGCCCGTTCTTTTCTGGCGTCCAAGGCACCTCGGTCTGTTCTCACATTCACTTTCTGCGTCGTCTGCGTGCGACGCACGTTGTCGTGCTACTCGCCAATACGATGGCCACACCGCTGCTAGAGTTGCCCAGGGAGACATAGGGGCGCTGCTCTGGATCGGTACTTGGGTGCGTTCGGAGAGGAAGCCGATCATGTCAAGATCGCATCTCGCTTGACACTGCTCTTCCACCACCCCGCAGCTCGAGCTGAGGCCCTGGTCCCCTCCTCAGTGGTCTCATGTATTCGCTCTTCACACTATGCACGTCGTGACCCTCTTGCTGTCTCTCACACTGTGCCATGTCCGCGTGCTAGCTTCGTCTCCAGCCGCTGAGCCGACAACGATCTCCTTCACTCCGCAGGAGGAGTACACCCTCGCCCGGGACTTCGATCTCGATACTCCGCAGACGCTATTCGACGTCTCCTCTTTGCGAGACGGGCATGGCGGGGAACCGAGCTTCTCGCTGAAGAGCCAGCCGACGACGGTGTACCGGCCGCGCTCGCCGGAGGCCCTGCAGCGCGCGAGGGTGCATGCGTTGCGTGGGGAACCGAGTGAGGGAGAGGTGGAATGGGAGGAGGTGCAGGTGATGGGGCCGTACGTCGAGGACAAGCACACGCTCGCGCAGCTGGCGCGGATAACGGGGAACGCATACGCGTTGCCGGGCCAGAAGAACTGGTACGATATCGACGTTACTTGGAATACCGTGCGTCCCCTTCCCTCTACGTCCATAGTGCCCTCTTACCCGAACGCACTCTGGAATGTGCAGAGCTTCCCGTTCGGCTGGGAAGACGCCGCGGACGGGTTCCGCGGGCACGTCTTCCTCTCTCCGGGCAACGCGACCGTCGTGCTCTCGATCAAGGGCACGACGCTCCCATTCCAGGGCCCGACGTCGAAGAAGGACAAGTTCAACGACAACCTCTTGTTCTCGTGCTGCTGTGCGCGGGTGGACTTCTCGTGGACGTTCAGCCAGGTGTGCGGATGCTATGCGAAGAACTGGCGCTGCGATGAGGGGTGCCTGAGCAAGGCGCTGGTGGAGGATAGCTTGTTCTACAATGTTGGCGTGGTGAGTAGTGCGATGCTCTGTTCGTGCCTGCACATACGGTTTCCCTATTGTATGATCCGTCTGTCCGAGGAATCATGCCGCAACAGTGTTGAGTGTATGCAGCTAGCTGCCCGAGACTATTCGGGCTTATAGCTAACTACATTTAGTGCACACTTCCACGCCGTATTGGATGGCTTGCATGTACTGCATTGCCCCAAGCAGCTGCAATCAGTGCTGCAAGGGAGAACGCGAACGCCTGTCATAGATCCCATGTTATGCTCCCGGAACACGAGCCACTAATAAACCCTCTTGCAGAACCTCATCAACAACCTCACCGCGCTCTACCCTACCTCCACCATCTGGCTCGTCGGGCACTCGCTCGGCGGGTCCCTTGCCTCCCTCCTCGGCGCCACCTTCGGGCTCCCCGCCGTCACCTTCGAGGCCCCGGGCGAGCGGCTCGCCGCGCACCGACTCGCCCTCCCGCTCCCGCCGTCGGTCCCCGTCACGCACGTCTACCACAACGCTGACCCGATCCCGCAAGGCACGTGCACGGGCCCGCTGTCGCTCTGCGCGCAGGGCGGGTACGCGCTCGAGACGGGGTGCCATCTGGGGAAGACCATCGTGTTTGACACGGTGGGCAAGCTGGGCTGGCGCGTGGACGTGCTGACGCATACGATCAAGACGGTGATCACGAAGGTGCTGGAGGTGGATCTGGAGGGCGGGTGGGACTCCACGGAGGACGGTATCAAGCTGGACGTGCCGATGGCGAGGGAGGAGGATGATTGCGTCGTGAGTGGCCTCTGCTCAGGCAAATATCGTTCGATCGTTGACGTCGTTCTCCTGGTAGGACTGTTACAAGTGGGAGTTTGGTAACTACAAGGACCTTGGATGTGCAGCATCGACACTGTGATGTCACTAATGTGCTCTCAATCGCAAAGCATGTAATGTATGTACGGATGTATTCTTGTCGTTGTACAAATACTGTGTTCTGTCCTGTACTGGTTCATTCCCTATACGCATCTCAAATATCACTGTTTGGATTGAGCACCGGATAGATGTAACGAGTGAGCGGATACAGCGAACACGGCGGCGCTATCGTAAACATTCATGAGCCACCCAAGTATGCGTTGTGGACGAGCTATAGCCAGCCATGTCGGACTGACACGACCTCTTCACTGGACTTACTCATCCGGAGCAATGTATTCTATTGGCCATGCTGCAACCCTGCGCTCTGATCACATCTTATACTCCTTCCCACCGACCAATCTCCCCTGCACGTACACCCTCCGGATATTCCTGTCATCGCCACAGAACAGGAATCTTTCCAGCATACCCTCGAGTTCCTCCGTCTCCGTCTTACCCCTCCCACCCTCGCGCCCAAACTCACCACCGCTCGCGCCCACATGCACCTTCGCGTCGAGGTCCGCGCCCCACACCGCAGGGTTGCCGGCATCAGTACGGACACTGACCACTAGCGCGTCGAACGCGTACTCAGGCGATAGCTTCCCTATGGCCCGTTCCAGCCCACAGACATGCGCGCCGCCAAGCGTCGCGAGGTATAGAAGCGTCGCAATGGGGAGCTGACGATTCGCAAAACCGCGGGTCGGCTTGTCTGGTGCAGACATGGCAACCACTTTGGAGCAGATGCTGGCGTCCTGCACAGCGCGCAGAATGGAAGGCGCGAATCCGCCCGACACATCTGTCCCCAGTCCAACCTACGAGAAGTAGAGCTTCAGCTACGTCGTGGAAGATAGTAGTGGTGCATTGACCTTTATCTCTTTGTCCAGCAGCTCGCCTATCTTAGCACATCCGCTGCTGAGGTTGAAGTTACTCGTGGGGCAATGGCTAACGCCCGCTTTCCTCGCCTTGATTAGTTCCATCTCAGCCTCTTCTAGATGCACCCCGTGCGCAAGAATGGTGTTATGCCTCAGAAGCTCATATGCATCATAGACGCCTGCATACGTGCCCCTGGCCTTCTGGCTGACCGCACTTGCTGCATATGGCGGGGGTGGGAGAGTCTCCTTCGGAAAGAGCGTCTTCGTGTATGCAACTTCGGACGGGTTCTCGGATATGTGCGTTTGGATTGCGAGGTTGGGGTCCGAGCGCGCGAGTTCGCCGAGGGAGCTGAGAAGGTCGGGCGTGCAGGATATGGCAAAGCGGGGCGTGAGGATGGGTTGGACGAGGGGTGGTACGTTCGGGGGACAAGATGGAGGCAGGGAACGTATGTGGCTGATCAGAGAGCGCGTCGCTGAGAGGGAGTCCTCCGCGGAGGGTTCGATGTAGTAGTCAGGGCATTCACGGTTCATGTTGCATTTCTAGCAGATTTGATGTCGATTGTCAGGGAGCCGCCCCCGTGAGGTGACAGACGGAGACTAACCTACCCCGACGAATGCTCGTTGCCCTAGAGTGCGGGTTAGGTGAGTTGCTAATTCGCGGAATGGATAGGCGCACCATGACTGTGTACTATGTCGGCAAGCACCTTGGTCGCCTCAAGGTGCAGGGTGCCGTAGTAACAGCACGTCGTTGTCTGAAGGCACCTTCAACCACCGTCACTCATACATTGTGATAGAAAAACGTACTCCACAGTCAATGATGCGTCTGACGGCAGTCTCATATGCTGTACGCGCGAAGCTGAGGTCGGAGAATCGAGCCTCCATGGGGAAGGTAACCTCTGACAGCCAGTCTAGTAGTTCGTGTTGCTGTCCACTACCGCTCTTTTCAGCGACCGTCCATATCGCACAGATACAAAGGCTTACCTGCCAAGATTGGGAACTTGCGGTGCATGCTACGGTTGATGAATTAGTCTGATGTAAACAATGCAATGTCATCGTGGCTTACTGTATGTGTGTCCACAAAACCCGGCATCAGAAACTCGCCCGTCTTGAGCTCTACTATATCCACATTTGGATCGTCCAATAAGCCATGTCTTGCTAGCTCGTTCTGGAGCTCGCTCGGCGGGACGTCGTCGACAACCCACGCAATCATTCCAGTATCTAGAACACAGAGCAGCGCACGCGGCGAGGCAAAATACTCTGTGAGCGAAGATGGGGTAATCAAAGCGCCGTAGAAGAGTCGAGGCATAGTCTAGTCAGTGCTCTGGGGTCGTCTAACAAGACAAGGTCGAGTTTAAGGTACTGTGGGACCCGCGGTTCGAGTCGTGTGCCACACAGTGCCAGAGCCGTGACCAGAGGCGGGCCGACGTGGCGGGGCGCCTTCTACAAGACCTGCCATTTGTGGAAAGTGTCCAAGAACGACAGTTCCGTCTTCTCAGGCTAATGCAGATAACCACTTTCCCTTCCTCGTACGGTGTACCGCTTCGCGACGATAGGTTGTTCTAAAGTGGCTTGCTGAGAGCTTATTGATCGGTACACTAGCCATGGTCCTAATAGCACTGACAGTCTGACAACATCAGGTGGATTGATTAATACTGTCGTGACGGTTGGACTTGATGTATTCAGTTAGGCGTGAGGCTTGCGAGATTTCAACACCGTTGTTGGGGATAGAATCAGTTCATCCTTCACAAGACGCTATTCTAGCATGGTTTTATACCGAAAAAATTGAGCTGCATAGGGTCGTCCTACCTGTGCTTCACGACCAACCCTATCATATACTGACAGATCAACGTCAGCACACCAGGGTATGCCATGGTATGCGTCAATGGCGCGGCAAGTTTTCGGGGCTCGACCAGCTGGTTTGATTGGCCCTGAGCCATCGCGGACATTGCTTGGACGTTGACTTTGGGGAATGAGCGCCAGCTCTGTGATCATAAACACACGAGCCTAAGATGGGGTAGTGTGTTCATTGGCAGATCGTCTATGTATTGATGCAGCGTAGCAGCTACAGCTTCCCATGTGGAGTCAAGTAGCAGTGGGATTCTGTGACAGGCTACCTGGGCTAAGAGCTCGAAGTTGACGGTGTGCTTGTTCAGTGGCCTCGAAAATTCTTATCTTTGTTCCTTGTGCTCAAGACGTGCTTTGCGTTGCGACTACCCTCGTATCCACGGGTTCCTACCCGTGTGGTATGATGAAGCTGGTAACTTGTCCAAGGGTAAGTGGTGAGTTTCGAGTCGCTGTCAGTGACCTAGAATTCGAAATAAATACTCGAGCATTACGTTCTCTTGGTAGCGACCACCTGCAAATGCGAATCTGCCCCCAGCCGTCAGCCAGACACCGTCCATACATCGTTAGCACATTTGCGAACTGGAACCTTTCTACAGCGCATACCCAAATTGGAATTACACTGCGCAGAAGCGTCGGTGCCGCGCAGAGATCCATCGGGCGTAGAGATCATCGAACCAATCAACGTCGATCGAATTGACCGTCTGAAGCTGCGAATCCACTTCGTGTACAAGTACCTCGACGCACGCGATTCTGTGCGACAGACCGCCCACTCCAGCTAGAAGCTTTGATAATTAGGCTGCCAATCAGGGCCGGGATGCGCCAAAACCGACCACCAGCCATTGGCACTAAACAACGCACCAAACCATACAAAGAGCAGATCGTCGATCGTCGAGAGGTGGAGGGCCGCGGCTCAGAGCTCAGCCAGTTATCTGGTTCCATATTGCTCACCAGGTCAATCATTCCTGTGAGTCTAGACGGATGCATCTTATTGACCGTGCCCGGCGGCCTACGTGAATTCGAAATGCCACTTGATTCAGGTCCACTGAAGGCCCCCGTCGACGTCAGTCTCCTGTTTCTCGAAATGCGTAGTGTGGAGGAATTTCATAACGATGGTTTGGCAAGTAGGGACGGTCAAAGAAGCTGCGCTAGTGACAGAGCTTCAATGGTACTACCGCCATTGTTCTAGTGAAGTCACGAAGTGGTACTACTGGTGAATTGCAAAGCGTCGAACCTGTTAAAGCGACTTCCGTGGCTGTTCCAAGACGAGGTGGCGCGGACATATCAGCAAGAACCCACACGGCAAGGCACGTACAACGCTAGCAGAGGTTTTGTGAGCTATGTGACATTTGAGCAAGATGCACTAAGGGGTATAGTGCTGCAAAGACCTCAGTCATGTATGGGTAACGCGATACGATAACTTCCCCTTCGACGCGGTTCGATTGAACAACACCCTGAGGTTGTTAAGTTATCTGAACGAGTACATGACTGCTGTTCACTCCGAGACGTTTTGGCCGCGGAGTGGCGTGCCCAAGGCGTTTCCCTGTGTCCACAGACAGCGGCCCTTGAACGTCACCGAAGATTAAACACACATATATATGGAAGAAAGTCCGGGCATACACACGTCGAGGTGCCCCTGCTCCTATATAGAGCGCGGTACGAGAGCCTGCCCTCACAACCATGACATATCAGGGATGGACGGGTACAGTGGGCATGTCGAATTGATTGCAATGGAAGAGGAAAGGGAGTGTGATATCGAGCGCTCGGGGATAAGATGAGTAGCACAGCAGTCGCATGCGTTGCCCCGCTTAATCCTGCAAAGGCAGTGGCAACTCCACATCCCGGATTGACGCGTCGAGCGCGATTATGAGACATCAGAGAAACATATCAGCAGGGGTCCGCCGACATTGGACGGGATCGACGCGTCGAACGGACAGCGGGCGACGCGCTGGACGCGGTTGTGGCTGGCGGCAGTCAGGAGCACGACGTCGAGGGACGCACATGGTGATCAGCCATGACGTCGAGCGCATCAGCGCACGACCTGGGCTTGTCCGCAGCTGCATGATCAGTTCGCAACCCCGCGATAACTGCTGACCAGGGAAGCCGGGAGCATGGCGTTCCTGGACCGTGGAATCCATCTGCATGTGCGAGACAAGGTGTGCGCAGAGGACGTGATGGTTGCATGGCTCGGCGCACAGGAAGCTACACGGAAGATTCGCGGTGCTGGAGGGTATCCCCGCACCGGCAAGACAATGTGCGAGGAAGAACAAAGCACAACAAGACCAGTCAAAGACGACTCAGCAGACAAGGGTCCGGGCAAGCGCGCATGCGACGGTGCTCCGCTGTTTCGTAAGGCGTGCCGATGATTGGGCGGACGCTGAGGAGAATAGAACGCGCAGACAGCTCGTCAGAGTTCAGCGGACGATGTAGACGGTCGCATGCCCGAAGCAGCTGGGTGGCAACAGCGATATGAACGCACACGAGGAGCAGCGCCTGCCGCATCAGGCTCAGCGCTGGCGGGTGGAGAGTTGGGGTGCAGGCTGTCAGCGACGAGAGGGCGTCCGACGCGGCCGTCGACGACAGGGAAGGGCGGCTGGGCCAGGACAGCGCCAGGCGGAGAGCGCAGGCGGAGAAGCGAGCCAGGGATGGGAAGGAGCGTGCGACCGACTGCCTAATCGGGCGGGCGCCAGGCCACTTCACGCTGCACATCCGATTGCACGCGTTCGAATTTTCGTATATATCTCCCCCTCTCCTCCCACGTCCCTCGTCCCCCACCCGCCGCGAGCGTCGACTTATACCCATCGACCCAGTCGTCGCCGTCGCCGTCTTTGTCCTTGTCGCTGTTGTTGTGAACATTGTTGTGTCTTACGCCCCCCCTCCCCGTCTCTCTTGTTGTTGTTCGACATGCCGTCTCTCCGTCGCACCCTCTCGTCGCCCCCGGCGCGTCGTGGCCCCTATTCGTACCCCACCTCGCTTTCGAGCGGAAACCAAACGCGCGCTGGACCACACCAGCCCCGCAGATCGTCCGGTTCGGATGTCGGCAATCGGCGCGTGCTCGCTGACATCGACTGGTGGGTCGTTCAAGACGGCCAGCTCGACGTGTACGACGCGTCCACTGGTGGCCGCCCAGCGGCAGAGGCCACGGAAAATGATGCAGACCTAGAGTCTGTCACTGAAAGCGTGACTCCCACTGCCCCAACGCCGGGTGAGGGGGTTGACGCAGTCCTCCCTGCTTGGCAGGCGGCGTCGAACATTGGTGTTCCCGCGTCCGAAGTGTCGGGGCCAACTGTGCCGTACTTCGGGGACATGGCTATGGAGGGGATGATTGGCGTTGGTTCGCCTCAGGTTAGTGTCTTTGATATTGATGATGCCCATTGCCATACCGCCACTCTCCTCGCGTCCCGCACTGTTCCTGCAACCCTTACTCGAATGAATGCTGATTACTCTGCGATTCAATCTAGTCCCTTTCACCATTGTCCCATTTTGCCGACTTGACTCTAGCACCAAGCACGCCGCCGCGTCGGCGGCTCACGCATTCGGCCGAGTTTTCGGACGACTCCTTCTCCTCGGTGGGCAGCACGCCCGAATCCACGTCGTTCGCTCTTCTTGCGACGCCGCCACAGCCGAGCATCGGTCTCATGGACTTTGACGCGTTCTTCTCGTCGAACACCGCCTTCATCTCGCCCGCGCGTCGCCCGACCGCTAGCCCTGGTGTGGCCCGCTCCGCCAGCTATTCGTTCATCGAGGACGAAGTCTCTGGTGCGCAGCACCGGCGGGAGTCGATCGTCGAGGACCCTTTCGCAGACGTTGTCACCTGCGCACCCATGCCTGTTCCGCCTCCGTTCTTTTCGGAGACGCAGCTGGACGTGGACGACTTGTTCTTCTGAGCTCGAGCTTCCCGAGATGAAGGGATGTCTTGAGTTTGTGGAAGGAGCAAATGAACGATGATGATGAAGAAGCGGAGAGGGGCAGGAGTCGCCCCACACATGCCTTTCTCTTTCTTGTGTCTTGTGTCCTGTGTCCGCCTTCACGAACGCCCGCGATGACCTACAGCACAGACCAACTCTCGATTCCTCTTTTCTGACCGGCAACAACGTAACCAGCGACATACGCGGCAAGACTGCGCGCTCAAGGCGTGCAATGCCCGCCTGCAGGCGTCTCCTATTGATTTGAATGTACGCCGCGTTCTTAATTTGATGTGTTATTCCATCTGATCGTCTTGCTTTTCACGCAGTGTTACGTCCACGAATAGCGCTTACGAACGCGCCAAAGCGCCTAGCATATCTTCCAACGAACATTGTTCTGGTTTTGCATCTACTCGCCTCGATCCGTTGCCCTTTCCCCGTCTTTCCATCTGCCTGATCTCATATGCATCGCAATCACTGGCGCTTTTGCCTACACTGGTCGTTCAAAGTTCTGGATTCACGCATTCACCACCACTTGCCCAACACATTCACGGACTCTTGCCAGTCCCCACCCCTAGCCTAGATGGTCTTCACACGTTTTCCTTTCCCCGGCGCATTCCATTGATTCACGTCATCTCTCCACCCCCGCTAGCGCTTGATTTTACGCCCCTTCACGCTTCTTTACGTTTATCCACGAATGCTCAAAGCAGCGCAAAAGCCGACTAGTGTCCCCTCCTTCCCCGCCGCTCCTCCCGTCCGTACCCTCTGTAACGATAGACATGCATCCCATTGTTTGGCTCTCTATCCTTGTCGCGTTGCGTTACGTGTTGCTTTCTAGGCCTGGCCCGACCTCGTCTTGCTGTCTCGTGTTCTCCTGCGTCCCTCTCGTGTTCGTACGACCGCCACGACCTGCTTTCCGGACTCGCGCGTCATGCCACTGTGGTGATGCAACGGTCTGGGGCACGGCATTACGATTACGACGTACGATATCTGTCTGCATGTAGGGTACAACCGTGGCGCGTACGTACGGTACTCGAATCTAACGCGATCGTCTTGTGTTTGAATCTCATGTGGGTAAACCGACGATACGTCCCCGCCCCCAGCGTCACAGGGGCACGAGCAAGCGGTTCGCAGCGCCCCTCGCGCATGCTCAAGCACCGCCGCGCCGTACACGAAGCTGCGCCCGACGCCGATGACGCGCTGCTGCAATCATCGACACGTCCCAGCCATTTAGCAGGTCGTTTGGCCCCACCACGATCATCTCTGGTTCCAGCTAGCCACTGACCAACACGTCGCCTGCATCGACTCATCAGCTCCTCCGAATCCATCCATCGCGTAGACGTCGACACGCGGTTGCGCTTCGCGTGGTTTCGCGCAGAAAGGCCTCCATCAGCGCCCGCGTCGGACGTACGGGGAGGCAGCACAGACACGCCAGCGCACCAGCCAGAGGCCGACTGCTGGCTAGCCAGGTGTACGATCACCTGTACATCCCAGAGATCATTTCCGGGCCAGTGACTTTGCTCCACGGCGACTGGGCGAGGGCCCCGAAGCGTGGCTCTGCCTCGGGGCCGTGTGTTCGAGGAGGTGCGTGGCCGTTCGGAGGCTGGATCGGGTGTGAGTTGGCTTGTGGCGGCTTGACGGGCGGAGGTGGGGGACCGCCTGAACGTGGTTGCTGTTCTGGATGGCGCGCCTTCCAAGCATTCCGGACGGACGCAGAACGCGCGAGGAGCTGGCCAGAGAGTCAATCGAAGATCCCGAGCGACGGATGAGTACGTACCTGATCCTTCTCGACGCCATCGGCGATACTCTTGATGATGTTCTCGACGACTGTCTTGTAGTTCCCGGCCGGCTTGTCGTCTCTGAAGCGCATCATTCGCCAGTGCTCCTGTGCTAGGTCCCAATGTACTTCCACGATGCGATCATCAAGCTGCTCGCCGGACCTCTTCATGCTACGGATCTATGTCGGTACGACCCTCAAAGAGATGTGACATTCACCGACCTTTCCCACTCGTCATCTTCGACGTGCATGACGTCGTAAAACTCGTATCTGGGCAATCCTCGCTCGTCGCCGCAGAACACGTGCAACTCAAACACAGGCTTCGCGAAGTAGTCCGGATCGGGCGACCGACTGGATGGGGGTGGAAACCGCAGAACCAGCTTGAAGTCGATCGAGTTCTCGGAAGGAGGCTTCCACTTCAAGCTGCACGGCTCATGAGGAGGAATATAGCCAAGGCAGTATTCTCGTGACATACATGTTTTTATCAGTCCCAGGAATGTAAGGCGTCTCGGCACACGTATAGATAAGGCCATCATTGCCATGTTGCAACGCAGGCAAGTCGATATTGAAGACGTCGTCAACGTGATATGACAGCTTCACTTGCTTCACTTTGATCCTATATGGCGACATGCAGTCAGCGCTTGATCCCAACGTTCCAGCGGGCCTGCACATACTGGAACGGATGCTCTCTGGCTACCTGGGGATGATCACGCAGCATCTTGTTGTATGGTTCGTAAAACCACATCTGCAACCGCTAAGCAGAACAGTGAGACATGAAGCTGCGGGTAAATGAGTCTGACTCACACCATAGCGCTTGTCCAGCGGTCTTGCCATCACGTTCTGGTCGTCAACTGCCAGGCAGTCGAATGCGAGGTAACGAAGCGTCTCCTGGCCAGAGAAAGGACACGGTCTGAGGTTCACAACATGCCGGGAGGGAGACTGAAGGTACAAACTTGACGCGTGCGGGGGTCGACATCAACGACGAGCTCACCATCGACAATGGTACTGCGGAGAGGCTTCCTTGGGTCCTCGAAGTGCGGGAAATAAAAGCCAGTTAACTCGCGGTACGTGTTGTGGCGGTCGATCTGAGGGTACATGAGACTAAGGGACAGCCTGGAACCTGTAACCATGCACGTACAAGGAACACCATCTGGTCATTGGTTTGGGTGTCTGTGTAGATGAACAGCAGCACCCGGACGCCGTCCGACTTCTCGCAGACCCAGTAGCTGTGAGAACGCGTCTCAATTGCGCGCACAACTAATCCAATACACAAGACTCACTCCTTTGTGTCCAGTTTCTGCAAATCATCCACAGCGAAACTGACAGGCTGGCTGCCGGGGAAACTGTGGCGTCACGAAGGTCAGCCATTGAGCGTGAGTGGCGCATAGTCGCGCGTCTTACCGCTCATTTTCGAGTTGACAGAGCCTTGCGACCGCCTGCTTGAACCATTTTTCTTTGTCGGAGCGGTGGGGGATGGGGACGCCGGGGAGACCAGGTATTCGAGACATGCGTGCAGAGGCGAAGGAGAGTCGTGTGACGCGCGGACGTGACGCGTCGTTTCCCAACCTCGGAAAACGCGTGACGCGTACGCGCGCTGGGACCCCGCGTCGCGTCGCGTCACCAGTCACTCGACACGCAGCCGTGGAAAATGTCTCAATAACGCTGCATTTAAACTCAATCAGCCTTGACAACGACGGGACGACTGCCACGGGAACGTCCACTGGCCAAGGGCAAAGAGCAGCTACTACGAATCGCTCAATTCACACTACACGCTACAATACAGAACACGACGGCATGATGGAAAGTTTAGGACGAGACGACATAGGTGATGCTACAAGCGAAGTCGAAATCTACCGGTCCTCCGCCCATTCCTAGAGAAGATGTGTGATTAGATGACCGTCCAGTCTCTTGTGATAGTGGACGATACTCACGTTCTCCTTCTTGATTTGAGCCTGAGGGACAACATAAAGAGATCAGTGGCGATGTTACAAACAAAATCAATGCACTCACCTCCTCCTCGGGCGTGAAGTCGTTGACGATGTTGAACAGCTTGCGAATTTCCTCGGGCGTCTTGCCCTTGATCATGTTCGCAACGGTTTTGCAGCCGACGTCGCTGTGGCGCGCACGTAATCCGTTTGAGACCGTCTTGATAAACATTCGTGAATTTGACTTACAGGAGGGGCTTGATGTCGAGGTAGTTAGCGGCGAGAATGATCTCGAAAAGCATCTCCTGGTCGACCGTGATGAACTTCTGGTCCCACTCGCTGATGTCGGTTGTCCGCTTGCGGTTCTCATCCTGACTCTGCTCAGACTCAGCGGTCGGCAGAGGCTCCCCGCGATGGTGCTCGCAGTACTCGAGGACCTAGATCGATGAGCTTATGAGTACGCCACAGCACTCTCAACAAGGATCGCCGCGCGAGCAGCGCGGCGCAACCGGCTCACCTTCTTCAGGACGCTCGAAGAGACATTCGGTAGAGGGATGGGCTGGTCGCTCTCGCCAACATCTGCGCGCAGGCCGTCGCTATCAGCACCGACACGAGAGGCGCGCACTGAGTGAAACGACAAAACGCACCCTCGAGCATGTTCTTGATGAGAACGCTGCGCTCGGCAACTTCCTTGTCTACAACGAATTGCTCATTGTCGGAGGTGACGAGGAGAACCATGTTTGTAGCGAGGGCGTAGAGGAATCGACCTGGATGTAGGACGTGAGGTTTGCGCACTGCACAGGTCTGCGTCTTTATGTCCAGAAGCGTGCTTACGTAACCTCGTGATTTGTGTGGCTCAGTGGCGCCTCTGCGACGACTTAACCTTGTCCTTGCCTTGTCCTACCCGACTTTGCCACTCATCGTATTGGGCCCATCTCACTCACAGCATGTCTGTGCTCTCTGTGTTCCACTTTGTCCACGCAGCGCGAAACCCGTTCGTGCCAGCAGGTACGCCCCGCTTTGTCCACCGCACACATTAACGCTCATCCGCGAACCTCCGCCACAGGCCTAGGGTCCGTGCGGACGGCCACAAAACGTGCTGGCGGCACCGTTGCCAACCATGGGGGCTCGCCAGGAAAGCGGCTAGGCGTCAAGAAGTTCTCAGGTGTGTGACTCGTCCACCCTGCCTCACCGCGCCTCGTTTTACGCACGCCCAACTGATAATTATCATCTCCGCGTGGCCAGACGAGTACGTCGTACCGGGCAACATCCTCGTGCGGCAGCGGGGTACCCAGTTCCATCCCGGCCAGCACGTAAGTCCCAACACTCCCTCCCAATCTCGACAAGTTGACTCATGCGCATTGCCGGTTGCGACACAGGTGGGAATGGGCCGTGACCACACGCTGTTCGCGCTTGTCCCCGGGTACGTGCGTTTCTATAAGGAGACGCGCATGCGTGGCGACCGCAAGTACGTCGGCATCGTATTGGAGAGGGGCGACAAGCTGCCGAGGGACGAGGCGGCGCTGGGACGCAGTCGGCACTTCGGTTTCGTGAACCTCAACGCATCTGCATCCGAGGAGCAGGATGCGCCGGCACGGACTGCTGCTTGACGTACTCCGTTAGCTCTCGATGTAACGTACTTTTTCTCGGTTGCGCATATTGCATGTTTTCATCACTGTTATACAAGAACATACTATCTACATGACCGGCTTCGATACAGCACAGATGATACAGCTAAGGGGAGCAGTGAGGGGGTGATGTGTGGCTGAGGTGGGCTATGCGTTCAGTACTTAAGGAGAGAAGCATCCGGACTGCAAACTATCATACAAACGAAGAAACGAACGGGTACGGCCTCACCAGGACAGCTCTGGGAACCTGACTTTCATGACCGGCGGAGGATCCAGGTCGACGACTTCGATGATTTTCCTCAGTCCCGGTATGTCTGTGTCCTCGATGTCCTCAAAGTTCTCGTAGCACGGCAGGCGCATCGACAATCGGTTGATTGGATGGCCGTGCTGTGCTCGCTGCTGTGCCAGAAGGTAACACTGCAAGGTTGACCACGTCTTGTCGTTCGTCATGGTCAGCACCTCCAGATTCGGGCACAACAGCCTCCCGGTGACCTCCCCCGGCGTGGCTAACGCCGCAAGGATCGCCCTCGAGAACCCCGCGTCGTTGATGCTGTCTATGCGGATATGGAGCTCCTTCAGCAGTGGCATCCGCTCAAACACCTCGATCCACCGCCTCCGCGTGAAGCCCAGGTGCGCCCGGTGGTAGTACGTCTCCGAGATCGTGAACTCCTCCAGGAGGGACAGGTCGAGCGTGCGCACGATGCTCAGCAGGAGGTGGCCCGCGACGGTCGGCATCTCGCCCATGTCGCTGTCCTGCGGGATCGCGGCGACGATCTGGAACGGGCTCGTGCGCGTCGTGCCGTGGATGGCGACGACGTCGTTCGCGCTCGTGTACTCGATGTGCAGGCGCGTGATGCCTGGGAGGTGCCCCGTCTCCTCGAGGTTGTCCGGGAGGCCGAAGCGGAACGTGAAGTCTGCCGCGCGCTCGAGCCAGACGTGGAAGCGCGTCGCGCAGTCGGGCACCGCGAGCCGGCTGAAGAGGTCCGCGACGACCGACGCGGAGCAGCGTGCGATATCGAGCACGCGGAGGTTGTCGAGTCGTAGCGGGGGGAGGGAGTCCGCCGCTGACGAGGACGTGAACGTCGCCTTGTACGTTCTGAGCTCTTCGAGCTCGGGGCACGCCGCGAGGATCTCAAGGAGCCGCGAGACCTCCATTGTTATGGGTTTGCGTTTCTTGCCCTTGATGAAGAGCCGTCTGAGGTTGGTGAATGTCAGGCTGCCCAGCTCAGGGTATGCATACACCAGCCTGAGGGTGGTCAGTCGGGGCGTGTGACCATCGAACATGGTCGGTAATGCGAAACAGTCGCCGTCCATGCCGACTTTAAATACGTGCAGCGCCTCGAGCGAGGGTGCGGGGGATCGTAGCATGGTCTCGAGCGGCTCACGGAGATCCGCGTCCTCCATGAATATGGACGGGAGGTATATGTGGCGTATTCGTGCGGCATGTGGCATCGCAGCATTTATGACCTGGGATGCTGCCTCCGTGGTTGCTGAGGCGGATACTATGAGGGATAACGGGGCGTCTGCGGACCGTTCCAGACATGCCAGCGCAGCGTCTGGGTATTTCGTGCTAAGACGCGTCCAGAGAGCGGCACATGTCAGCGCGATCTCTCGCCAGCGGTGACAGACGTGGGCGAGGTATACCCATGGTGCAGAGCCGTAAGATGGGTGGAGGGGCCCGTCCCCTTCCTCCGCAATGTCATGGAAGATGAGCAGGAGTATGTCGGGCGCCAGCCGGTGTACGGGGCGCAGTGCATTCCGGTATCTCTGCAGCAGTGCAAGAGAGAAGTCCAAGTCTCCGAGCTGTATTCGAGTGTTAGCGTACGCGGAGGTGAAACACCTTGCAGTGCGATCCCACCTTGTCCACCACTCCGTTCAACTCGTCGGCGCTTTAGACCCAACGAACCAGTCCGCATCAGCCTTCGCCACGGGTCCTAGGAATGAATACACGCACTGCGGACCATGCCACTGAGGAAGGTTCCAGGCAGGACGGTCGAGGAGGTGAGAGAGGGATAGCCCTGTCGACGATGTGGTCGGCTGAGAGGCCATGACGGGCGACTTAACAGAGCGGGCGTGGGAGGGTGAGAGGCAAAGACCGCAGACGGAGTTGTGCTTGGGGCGCACCTATAAGGAGCAGCGCGGCGTGTTTGCGAGCGCCGGGCCAGTGCGGACAGCGATGGCAGTCTGAGTCGACCTCTCCGAGTCCTTGACGTACAAACCATCGCAGTCCCACCCCCTGCGATCTCGGTGGCTATTCACCTCAATATCGGCTACTGGCACTATAGCACTGCCGTGCATGACTGCAACCCGAGTCATCATGCATCACCCACGCTGCTCTTCCAAGTCCCGGAGTACTGCAATTCTGCACGCCTGTAGCTACGTCTCGAGTGCCAGACGACCCAGCCCGACAATGTCGCGGAACCGGCGGCAGTTTGAACAGACTGGGACCGCCACCTGCCTAATTATAGGCGTGCAGAACCGGTAGCCATGCTACGAAACTCACGATCCGGTTCTCACAGGTCTCCTCCTCCACCATCGCCATCCAGCCCTGTGCGCCGGCTTGAGCCATAATGTCGTCCGATTACCAGCTCTCGATAACGCCCGTGAAGCTGTCGCGTAAGTACAGCTCCAGATGAGATTGGACTTTCAGAGTTGACGCTGTCGGACCGGAACCAGAGCTGCCGTCGGAAGAGACGATCGCTGCGCTCGGCGAGGCCCTGCTGGACTCAACCAAGTCTTGGAAGCAAGGCAAGACGTTCCAAAAGGGCACCGTGAAGACGAGCTCGCGCCCAAAGGGCCCGCAGGACGGGGCGCCCTGGCACTGCCGGGTCAGCGAGCACGCGCCGGAGGACGCGACGTTCGACGAGTTCTGGAGCAAGCTGGGCGAGGACAAGGCGAACAACGAGATGCAGTGCGTGTCAGAGTTCCCCCGCCCCTCCATCGTCCGTCCTATGTACCGCGACCCCGAGATCGATCGTGCCGTGCCCTGACATCGATGACGATGCCCCATAGGTACGTCCCGGAGATCAAGAAAGTGACCCTCATCAAGGAGATCTCGCCGACGCAGTCCATATGGTCGCTATACTACACCTTCCCGCCGCCCGTGTCCCCCAGGGTCTTCACGGTTCTGCAGACTAAGCACTTGGTCGCGGAGTCTCCGAAGAAAGGGTGTGTACAATGTCTACGGTCGTATACCTGCTCATGTTTACGCTCTCTGTGATCCTACCAGCCTGATCATCTCTACGCCAGTGGATCTCTCCGAGGACACAGAACTAGCGAAGCTCGAAGAGAAAGGTGTCAAGGGACGCTACGTGAGCGTCGAGCTCCTCCAGGAGCTGGATAACGGTAAGGTCGAATGGCGGATGGCCACCTCCAGCACGCCCGGCGGCAACATTCCGTCTTTCGTTGCTGAGTCTACCATGGACAGCACCATTGCCAAGGTACGCGTGTTCTTTCTCTCGCGGGTGATTCGTCTTACATTGTGTACCCTCAGGATGTAACGCATTTCTTGCATTGGTTCCATACAGTGCGGGCGAAGCCTCAGGAATCTGCCGCGGCCGCATGAGATCGTCTTATGAACTTGATGTCCGCTTTGTCAACGTGACTGCGCTTTGGGTTACGCGCATCAGACTTGTATGTACATTACTGACACCTGGAGGGTACCGGTTGCAATATACCCGACTAGTGAAGAGGAGCATTGCACCCGAACATACTTGCGAGCCTTGCCTTGCAGGTGTACTGTGTGTGTGTGTGTGACGCCTAACTTAAGGCACTGATACACATTGACAACGTGTTTACAATAGATCCTTGGATCGGTGAAACTGCTCCCTCTTCCTTTCCATTCAGATCGCGCAATCCGGAAACACAAACATACGTCCTACGGCGAGACACTGGCGCTGTGCCAGATACGCCTACACATGTTTATCCACAACAAAATCAAGCCAGTTCCAGATATCTCTCCACTGGCGACGCCTATATTAGCAGACAAACGATACGACGGAACAACCGACAGCTCACCTTCCCAGTTTGTGACTGCCTGGTTCCAAAGCTGCACTTCGTGCTGGCGCGTGCCTCCGAAGTGGTCCACGAAATCGTTTCCGAACACCGCCTCCTCGCGCGCGATGCTCTCAGCACGCATCATGCGCTCCGTCGCCGCCTCCAGCGACTGCGGGAGCATCTTGACCTACACCACAGCAGTCAGCGTCATCCTCCCCACCCCTGACAAGCCCGAGCGCAACTACCTTGCCGTTCTTCTTATCCTCCAACGTCAACTGCCCCACCGGCGGGCCGGGCAGCGCCATCTTCCTCTCGATGCCCCGCAGCCCGAGCGCGAGGACCGCGCTGAGCGCGAAGTAGGGGTTCATGTCCGCGCCGGGCACGCGCACCTCCAAGCGCGTCGCGGCGGGCGGGACGGAGGGCGGGCCGATGATGCGCACGGACGCGGCGCGCGAGTCGTAGCCGTACGTGACCGCGTTGGGCGCCCAGAACGCCTCGCCGCCGACGAGCCGCTTGTAGCCGTTGATCGTCGGGACCAGCTGTGTCGTGGTGCGGTGAGTGCGGACTCGGAGGTGCGGGTGGGTGGGAGGCGGTGGGCTTACCATGGGCATGACGTCGGGGAGGCCGTCGAGAACCCCGGCGAGGAACCACTCGCCTTCTTGGCTGAGGAACTTGGTGTCTTCGTTGGCTGCGTTGGCGCGTCCGGTCTTGAGCTGCGCTTCGGAGACGGCGAAGATACTCTTTCCATTCTCGTCGCGTAATGAGACGTGGATATGGCTTCAGGTGGATGAGGTTTGTAATACAGACAAAAGCCTTTAAGAGTACATACCCGCTGCAGCCTGGCAGCTGAGGCATGGCAGTGTGAGAACTGTGAGCCTCGGAAGTTAGACCCAAAGAGACGTACGTTTCCCCAAGGCTTAGCCATGAAACTCGGGACTATCCCGTGCTTCATGCCTATGCTCTTCAAAAGATACTTGAACAAGATTGCGTTGTCTGCCATGCGACATGCGGTCGTGTAAGCTAGCGCGGTCTCATATACACCCGGCCCCGTCTCGGTGTCTATCCCAAGCCTTGATCAATGATCAGAGTGGATTTGCGCATCAGACTTACGGTGGCCTTCGAGCGGCACGTCAAACTTCAGACTCTCGTCGAAGATGTCGTGAAAGTAGTCGTTGTTCAGTTGAGTGCGGAGGAGTGAGTAGCCATGCACTGCTGCATATCAGAATGTGAGGTGTGCGTGCAACTGGCGGATGCTCACTTCCAGGAGTGAGCGGTTGTAGGTCTGTGTACCTTTTCTCATTCAAACTGTGCGGTGTCTCTGGCCGGTACATACCATTTCAATGAAGTCTGTTAGACGAGCGAGCAAAAGAGAACTTCACCTTTGAATTGGAAGTACTAGATGTATGTCTCAGCTGTGCATGAGTACACCGAGCGGATGGGTGCTGACCTCGTATTCACAGCCAGCGTAGCATTGCCACCCCTTGCTTGCAGCCTTGTCCACGACGCCCTTGAGGACGCCGCGGGGATCCGCACAGATGGGTTCCTTGGTGTCCGGGTCGAGGAAGGACACGAGGAAAAAGGGGACATTTTTCTCCCAAGGTATCCGTCGGTATGTAGACAAGTCGATGGTCGCGAGAAGATCTCGGTACCCGTTTGCCCTATTAGAGATCAGTAGTTCCTTTGAGTAGACGGTGTCATGTAGATCCCATCCGCTGGGACAAGCCTGCTTGAGCGAGCGCGACACAGCAACCGTTCTTGATATGTACGCACAAAATGACACTGCAGAAGCCGAATCCATCGGACGATGCGGCACTGAGGAATTTCTCCTTGGACTTTTAACGGATGGATTGGAACACGTCAGGACCCCTATGCCAATGAGCATAGCAGTGCCTTACCATGAACTTGCCCCTCAGGACACCATCAACTGGATGTGTTCATTCAGTCTAGCAATATCCGGGCGCGGTAGCCATCTGCCTGCTTACCGTCGATACCTGTACCACCGGCATCATTAGTTCATCACGCGAGACGGACCTCCGCGAATCACTCACCAGCCACTTTCACTTTGGTGTCATCCCGAAGCAAGTCCTCGAGTTCGAGGAGAGACTTCGGAGCATGTTGCGTTGCTGATGCGCTTCCCATGATCGCAATGCTTGTAGATTCCTCGCTGTTGAGAGGAAATATTGCGTTATCGCCCAGCGCCGCAGTCGACAAGTGTGGCTGTTCATGGGCGCTTGCGATACATACTTACTGCATCTGGAAGGTCAGCCACCGTACTGACAGTCATTCTTCAAGTTGACAGGCACGCCTTCGTTTGCACTCCAGCAGTCGTAGTGAATCCCAATGCGAGTACTGTTTTTTTCCCTACAATGAATATTACTTGGAAAAATACCGAGAAGTGACCCTACTGCTGGCAAACTGCTGGTATACCCCCTTACGTGCACTCGAGCCTCGTGCTTAGTAGTACTTCGACCTACCATCAGATACCTGCTTTGTATCTGCCGAATCATGCACGCCACCTCTGGGATAGAAAACATAAGGTCTGGATCATTCCACCCGGCTACGCCGCGGTAATTTCGGTGAGATCGTCCGATGTTGACCTCTGCCAGCCTGAGGGCACCGGGGACAGAGGGTGTTCTTAAATAATCCTTGGAAACCGTTCGCGACGGGAGCATAGAACCCTCCGAATGAGCTCGTCCACTCTCCATTCCTACGGCCTTTACCTGCCTGCGCAAGCGGTCGTTTGATTGCATCCCTAAGTCGCGTAGTAAGTAGGATCGACATTTTATCCAACCCTACAAGTAACCGTCATTCAACCGGCAGAAGGACGCTGCAATCTGGAACAGTCAGAAAGCCAGCATCCGGTCTCAGGCTGCAAGCCTCGCTCTGTTGCTACGAACGCCTCCGATCAGCGGGCCCGGACGGCTGTCTAGCGAGTGGTATGAGAACTGCTTGTGTTGAAACATGAATGTGGTCTCGATGCGCAACCTGAGATGTGTCATATCGAGTCCGAATTCCGAGTGTGGTTGCCAGTAGTACTTAGCGCAGCTAGTTCCTTTCTACAAACGATGGTCTGCATTTGGATGTCCGGGCGTAGTATGTAACGAGCGATTATCGATTTATCACTAATAGTAGGGAGCAGAGACGGGGAGCCAGCTCGACGTTCATGTATGTGTCCCAGAGATGTCTGTCGAGACAATCCATAGCTATCGCGATTGGGGTCCGATGTCTACTGCGGGCATACCGTATCCACAGAATACAGTATGTCTACAAATTTGAGCCTCAGCTCTGACATTTCGCCTACTACATCAGCAGACAAGGTGATGCGACGAATGCCTACACCGGCAGTTCGCTCTTGACTCCCATGGGCAGCCCGTCGTCGGTGTCCACGACCTTCGAGATGTCGACTGCAACCGGGCGCATGGCGAAGGACTGCTGCTCCTGCATGGCAGTACGGCGAGATGTAATCCCAGAGGACGTTGAAGGATGTGCCCGCTGCGCCCATCCGAGACCAACCCGTACGTTGATCATCATGAACGCGATACCGGCGATAGGGCAGAGCGTATCCACAGCTGTGTACTGCAGGTTACTCTGTGCCTGATACGAACCGAAAAAGAATATAGTGTATGACCTGAAGGCAGAACAAGACGTCAGCACCCAGCATAGGATGGACCGGGACAAACACATACGTATAGAGGGCAGCACTCTCGACGATGGTCACAAGAACCCTCTGGGGGAAATATGTATGCGTCAGCAAGTCACCGCGCAGCAGCTGTACAGGGAAGACAGACCATGAGGTTGCCGCCTCCGTACGAACCGGTACGTTGTCGAGCACGCCATACCCTCCAGCCGATGCCAACGGAACTATAGACATTCGTCCTGCGCGGGATATTAGCTTCGCGTATATGTAGACCAGATCATACGTACACAAAGGTGAAGGCGTAGTCTGCGGATATCCATCGACTGAGGGACGCGATGAAGACGGTGTTTCCGCTTCCGACTTGGGTAAGCTCATAGACGACACCAGGACCCGCCACTAACGAAATTTCAGCAACATATTCGCTGATCGTGAGCCAAGGCGAAACAAACTTACCACAAAGACCTAGGACGGTAAAGCACGGGAGGATGATAACATAGTAGTTATATCCCCAGACAGTCCAGAGACGATAGATCTTGGAAGGAGCGCTTCAGGGACAACATTTACGAATCGACGACGCAGGGCTTACGAATAGGATGTCGCAAGTGATGATTGTGGCGATCAGGAACCCAATTTTGACGGCCTCCGTAGTGAGAGCAAGGTCCGAATAGTAGAGCAACGGCACTTTGCCTCCCATGAAATTGACGAATGCATCGAAGAGACGATAGACTGTCATCACCCAGTGCTTATACAAGATTTTCGTCAGTCAGCAAATGGGATCTACATCACTTTGAAAACAGAACTCACCCCGGTGACTGTCAACATGACGAACATTGACCCGAACAATACAGGAGTGAAATACGCAGAGAGCACGGGCGTCCCACCAGACCGTTGTGACCCAACCCGGCTGAAATGAAGGTACAAGAAAGTCAATGCCAGTACCAGGAATACGCCATAGAGCATGCTCTCTAGGGCTACCGTAGCCAGGTTGACGCTGATGAGGGGGAGCTGCGCCATCCTGCTGCAAGTCTCAACCCGAGGTGGCTAGCGACTCCGGAATGCAGGGAGCTAACACGAAGCTGGTTGGGGGTTCTTATAGACTTCCGTAGGTGGTGCGCCAGGCAGGGAAGTACAAGCGTGATCTTCTGTAGGTGATGACCTTCTCACGTCTCGCGACCCTATGTACTTGCGGGCACCTCCAACGGGCTTACAAGACGCTTGGTGATGGGATGCCGCTCTCGACCGGCACAGTCGCCATGGCTAAAATTGTATTCCGACGATCCCGTCGCCGGTTGAGAAAATCTGACCTTGGGGTTGTGCAGCGCGGGTTCCCGCTCATATGACGATACTGTAGACACCGGCACCAAAAACGCGGTCAAGAACTGACGAATCGGCAACGAGGGGTACGGTGGCGCAGCGTGACACCGTGAACGCGCCCCGCAAGAAGCAGCGACCGATCATCAGGTTTCAGAGCGGTGCCAATGTTCTGCGAGCAGACGTCGCAAGGAAACTTCGCAGGCCAGATCCGGGCCAGATCGCGCAATATCTTCGGGACCGGCCAGGGCCTGAAACAGTCTAGATCGAAGTTACAACGAGGAAACCACAAGGCCTCAGATTCACCTTCGAATATGAAACGGATGCCATAGCCTTGAACAGACGAAGATTCAGCATTGTGACTAGTCGACACGTAGCCTCGAACGAGGTACGGGGGTACGAGGGCATAGCTGCCAGGCATAGCCCATGTGTAGCCAGCCATCCGCTGATCGCCCCGCGTTGCGAGCACATAGTCGATTATGGGTAAACTTTGACGACGAGTTCTTCTAAATGAATTTCAATGACAGGCCGAGATCGGTGGAATGATGTAAAAGAATCTTAGCTGAATACGGAAGCCTCGCCCACGCTAGGATCGGAATCGGAGGATGAGTGTGGGCCATCGTGGCTTCGTACGTTGCACTTCGTATTGTCGTAGACTCGGAGATGGGTAGGTAGCACGCACGTTTTCATAAAGCGGGACTACACCAATGCACAGCGGCGTACGCTATAGACGGTTCCTGTCCATCAGCCTAAAGTCAGTAGCATACTATGCCGTCTGAGCTAGGCCGGCGCGTTCCATATGCACAATGATGCCACGCCGGCACGCCCAGATTTAACCAGCGGACAAAAGTACCGCTCTGCCGAGCTATTTGTGGGGGGTGACATCTCCGCGGTGAAAAGGGCGGTAGTGAGGTTCGTTGCCCGTGAAGCAAACTAAATGTTCTGGTGGCCTGCCATGACGAGAACGAGAACATGGTGCAGTCACGACGGTTGTTCACATCGACCCTCCTGCCTGCAGCGCACGGTTGCTGGAGATCCAGGGCGGCTTCAATTTTCAGTTCTCGCCACCCAGAAACATGAGTAGGACAACTGCAATATATTGTCTCGCACCGTTACATCCGCTCTGCCTTGAACTTAGATACCCTCCTCTCCCTGCCAGCCTCGCCCGTCTCGCCCTGACGCGGAGGTGCAGACTCCTTTACCTCAGCCGTCATGACCACGCCTGGACGCCTCCCACCAGCTGTCACAGGGGTAGTAGGCACAGACATAGATCGCGGAACTGGCAGCTGTTGTGGTTGTGCTGGGGCGGGAGTTTGAAAAGACGGCGAATCGAGTACGAACGATTGGAAGGGCGGAGGTTGTACGAATGATGGAGAATCGACGACCATGGACGGCATGAAGGGTGCAGGCACGCCTGGAGGCCTGAAGGATGGTGAATCGACAATCATGCTGGGCATCTGGCCTTGTGCCGCCTTCCGCTGAATGGATTCAGGGATGACGGTGGGGCTGTCGTTGTTCTGTCGCTCTGTGGGGCGTGAAGTAGCGGTGGGCACAGCTATGGGCGTTCCCGGAACTGGCGAGGTGAGTTTAGGAGAAGAACGACTCTTTGTCATCCGAGGTGTCTCGAGGCTCGGAGAAACCGGGGAGGGCGATTCGCGTTGCTCCGGCTGTGCAAGGCTTAGTTTGAACTTCGAGATCTTCGACCTGGGCTTTGCCGGAGCGAGCGAGTCTTCTGGTAATGGCGATTTTGAGAAAGGCGCATCCGCAGATGCAGAGATGGATGGTCCGGATGGAGGAACCCGGGTGCTTGGTCCTGGGTTTGATGCGGTACTGATTTGTGGACCTATATTCGTCACGTCTCCCCGCGAGAGCAGCTCTATGATAGCTTTGGCCTCCTCCGTTACGTCATCGTCGCTGTCGTCCCCAACGAGCTGATCGTTTTCAACTTTGCCCATTCGAACAGCCTTCTTCAGCCCAGACGACTGAGAAGAGGGCAGTACTGATGACCCAAGAGAGTGGGAAGCGAGGGTACTCGAAGACCTTTCTGTCGCACGTTCAGACTTGAACCGTGATGACGAGGGCTTGGGAGGCAGACTTGCAAGGGTCGCATCGATGGGCACTTCCTGTACATAACATGAGCTAACCGTCTGCTAGTGTTTATGAGCGCATTCATACCGGTTGATCCCATTCATGGGCATCCTCGTCATGGGAGTGTGCACGCATAGCACTGTATGCTTCCGCGCCGATCGCTGCCCGTTTTTCGTAGTAAGCCAGTGCAACCTCCCGCTGATGTTGAGCGTAATCGAAGTCTTCCTCTTGCCAAGTTACAGGCTCACCGTCGTCGCTCATCTGCTCGACATCAGTAGTATCGGAATCCGATAACGGTGGTTCATTTGCCGTCTGCTCTTCCAGGTCGACGTCTGAGGTTATCACGTCACCGTCGTCCGAGTCGGCAGGCATCGGCGAGCCTGGGACAGACTCATCATCCGAGTCTGGCTCCACAGACTGAACAGGGGATTCTGCTCGCGCGCCTCCTGGAAGTCGTTCAACGACATCCATTTTCATGGGTTGCTTGTCCATCTGCGCTCGAGTCAACAGAGACGTCTTGCCTTTTCGTAACCTCGCCAATGCAACATCGCCCCATCGCCCTGAACCATCATCCGATGTCTCCCCGTTAGCATCGCTCCCACCACGTCCGTCCGCGAACGAAACGCTCTTCTTCGACTTTCCTTCCTTCCGCTCCTTCGCGTCAAGTTGCACCTCCTTCTCGGCTCTCTCCTGTGTTTCGATCACGTTGCGAAACAGAGCCTTTCCCATCTTCTTCTGCAGTTCCCTGGCCTTGCGCAAGCTTTCCAGCTCAGCTTTCGCTGCCTCCTTGCGCTTCTCTAGTTCGGCGCGCCGCCGCTCTCGATCGACGGCCTCATCTCGCTCCTGCTCAATCCGCTCCTGTTCTTCAAGCTGGTCAAGAATACGCTCGCGTTCGGTTTTTCTGCGTGTCTTCTCTGCTGGCGACAGAGCCCAGTGCGGTAAAAGGTCTGGATCATCGAAGATTGGCGGCGAGGCTACGGGGGCAGGAGGACGAGCTGGTACGACGTCCTCCTTGACAGGCTCTACAATGTCGATGATAGGCAGCCCCTCCTCATTAAGAAGCTAATATGGATATGAGTGCTGCAACCTGGAATGTGCATGACAAGAAACGTACCTCACCCTTCTCGTTCCGCCTCTGGGTCCCAGCAATCGCCTCGATGTCACTGTCTCCTAGAAGCTCCCCGAGCTTTTCGGAGATCTTTTGGGCTTGGTCGGAAGACAGCCCCTGGCTCGGGCTGCTCGCATCTCCAGGCGAGATTGAACTAAGGAGTGCCTGCAGGGCTGCAGTCATATTAATCTGGCGGGCATGACCATCATGCAGGGGCAGGTCACAGACCTTCTACCCTGCCCTCATTCAGATCTTGTTTTGAGCCTGCCACGGTGGACGAGGTCATGGCGAACGTAAGAGGTCGGAGAACAGGTGGTTGCAGAACTGTTGTAAGGGTGGCACTGAACGGTTCACTGAACGCAGGTCCGCTCAAGCGATCCGTCATACGATCGAGATCTGGGTGCCCGGCTGATGCCGAACACAATTTCTGTACCGCAAGGCCGAGTCGGCATTGGCAAGGTCCTCCCTCACCCTCGCCTGCTCCTCACCCTCAATCCACGATAGCATACTCGCAACTATCTGGACCGTCAGCATGGTGGTCATACACTCAGAGCCTAGCTCGTCCTCAAATTTGCACAAGAAGAATAGGCGGAAGTTGAGCAGAAAAGTGTCTGCGAAGGATGCTCCCGTTCAAAACGACATAGACGATGAGATGGGCGGCGAGTCGGTCGATATCACGGACGTTATTCACGATAACTCGGGTCAACAAGAAGAACAGCAGACCGGGGAGGACGACGAACTCATGATCGACATGGATCCCTCTTCACTGCCCGCCCAGACATCCGCCCCTACATTCCCCCCTCTTCCCGCTGCTGCCCAACGGACGACATTGAAGTCTGAGATGAGGAGGATACCTATACCCCCACATCGAATGACTCCGCTGAAGAAAGACTGGGTCAACATCTTTTCGCCTTTGACGGAGATGCTGCAGCTGCAAGTGCGGATGAACGTCCAAAGAAAATGCGTCGAGATCAGGGTGAGTATGCCACGCTTCTCCATATAAGTCAGTGCCTTATAGACGATCACCCAGACGTCAAAACATACACATGATATAGGTGCCATCCAAAAGGGCGCCGACTTCGTCAAGTCATACGCTCTGGGCTTCGATGTCAACGTGCGTATACTTGTTCCTCGACGCGCGACGCTCTCTTACCAGACTATTCCGCAGGATGCCATCGCTCTTCTGCGGCTGGACGATCTCTACCTAGATTCCTTCGAAATCAAAGACGTCAAGACTCTGCATGGCGACCACTTGTCTCGTGCCATCGGTAAGATCGTACGCTTGGCCATAATCCTCTTCGTCGCATAATCAGTGTGGCTGCCGCAGGTCGAATCGCTGGCCAGGACGGCAAGACAAAATTCACCATCGAAAACGCTAGCCGGACCCGCATCGTTCTTGCCGATACGTGAGTTTGGAGTTCTCTGTCATAGACACAATATTCACGTTGAGTCCCCGTAGCAAAATCCATATTCTCGGATCATTCCAGAACATCAAAGTCGCCCGGGACGCCATAGTCTCGCTCATCCTCGGCTCACCGCCTGGTAAAGTGTATGCTGGATTGCGTACTGTGAGCAGCCGCATGCGGCAGAGGGCTCTGTAGTCTGTATCTCTTTATGTATGTTTCGTTGGAGCTCATTACATGGATATTCGCATCAATACAACCCGTAGAGCCAAGACATAACTTGTCAGACACCGGGAAGGCCATTGTGTACGTGGATCAAATCGGCAAAGAGCTATCGTAATTGAGCTGAATCACCAACACATATGCTGGACTTCCTGTCACATCGGCAGTAGCGCAACGTACGCTGGTAACACGAATTGGTTCGAGTCTTTTATTCGACACGGACCGGATCCAAGGCCCCTGATTCACCAGGGCCTGCAATTCCCATCGCTGTCCTTCTACACCTGCGCTACATGGCATTCCTTAGTACTCAATTATGTACTTGCCTCTGCTCTATCTCTACCGCTTCGAACCCCTCCACGTCTGGCGTTGTTTGACTTCTTCGGGCTAGTCTCCGTTGCTGACCGAAAAGGGTTAATACTCTTCGGGCCCTCCTCTGCCTCTTCCATCTTCCACCTATCTTCTACTGGGACGTCGAGCCTCACCGCTAGCTCCTTCAGAGCGTCTTGAGTTCTTGGGAACAATGCGAACCCACTTCCTTCCCTTAATCTTGCCCTCGCTTCCGCCGCTGCCGCCTCTCTCCTCGCTCTTTCCTCACTCTCTGTTTGTGCCACTGCCACCTCTCTCCTCATTTGTTCTTCCCTTGCTCTTGCCGCTGACTCTGCCGCTGCCTCCTCTCTCCTCACCTGCTCCTCCCTTGCCCTCCTATCCGCCTCAGCTGCCCGAGCCCCTGCCTCTGCTTCAGCGGCCGCCGCTTTCCTCCTCGCCTCTTCTTTCTTTGCTCTTGCTTCCACCTCTGCTTCTTGAGCTCTCGCCTCCTCCTCTCGAGCTCTCGCTTCCGCCTCTGCTTCTCGAGCCCTCGCCTCTGCTTCCTCCGCTGCCTCTAGCTTCGCCTCCCTCTCTACTTCCGCCGTCTCGGCCTCGTAGTCCATGTCATCGTCCGTTGTCTTATCGCAGTCGCTCGAATAATACGAGTACGTCTCGTCGCTGCTGTCGGAGCGATCGTCGCGCACGCCGTCCCACCATTGCTTAGGATCCTCGGCCTCTGGCGTTGTACGGCACTCGGTGGCAGCGACCGCGCGGAAGATATGCATGACGAGAGCTGTAGCATAGGGTCGCTCCCCGCGCGCCATCTCGTCGATCTTCTCTTCGAGCGCGGAGTCTCTCGTCAGCGTATCCCAGTTCTGCACGAGGAAGGTGACCTCCATCGTACGGACAGGCTCATGTCTATAGATGGGTTTTCGATTCGTAGTCAGTTGAGCTGCAAGATTGCAGCGCACGCGTCAAGGACGTACCGTGAAGTAAGCGGACTAAAGAGCTCGTCGATGATGTTCTTCTCATTGAGTTGTCGGCGCAGGAAAGAGAACGCCCGCTTTTGTAGGTCGTTGAGACCAAGCTTCGTGGTTCAGCGTCAGCATGACAGACCTATGTGTGTAGGTCAAATCATGGGAGACTCACCTTCACGGCTACGTCGTATAATGCTTTGCAAGACGACGGCGTTGGTCTGTTGGGATATGACTTCTTGTAATCGGCCAGGAACGAGTCTCGTGCCTCCTTTCCGTTGCTACTCAAAGGGGCGAATACGACGATCCCGGTGTACAGATAGTAGATGAGGGCCTGCCAGCTATATGCGGTCGATGTGAGGCGAGGCCGCATACACGTCGACAGACGAAGACGTACGTTCGATGTGCAACCCCTCTCAACAGGATGTCTTCCAGCTTCGTATCGTCACCCAGAGATAGCGAACTGAATCCTGTGCTGCTCCCTTCGCTGGCCGTGGTGGCATTGGCTTCGCCGTCAACCAGGACCAGTGGTTCCTCGGTGATGTCGGCCTCCGAATCGATCATGTCAGGCAAAGAATGAACCCCTCGAAGCGGCTTGGTCCCGCTGAGGTCCTCTTCGACATTGATATCGTCGTCGTCATAATCGCTCTCGTAGTCGCTGAAGGCAGCTAGGTCGTCGATCGCGTTACCGTCGAGACCTGGTGGAAGGCTCTCTGAGTCGCATAGCGCTCCATCCAGCAACGCAAGACCCTCCTCCCATGCTATGCATTTGAATCAGTACAGCCCGCAATCCCCACAAACTAGAGCCCACGCACAATGTTCAATTTCCTCGCAAGAAGAGACTAGGATGTCACGCGGAGCGAATACGCTTTGCGGCCTAGTCAAGGTACCGTCGGGCCTGCGCGCAGAGAACGCAACCCAACGCACGGTCGGGGGCTCCTTGCTCTCGAGAGACTGGTACAAGAGGTCCAACGCGTCCGGGGACAACCTCGCAGGCGGTGGCGTTAGGCGCGTCAACTTCAACACGGCCATGACCACCAAGGCATTGTCGCGTCGCAGATTGACGCAATCGTCCAGAAAGCTTGCAGAGAGGACGTTGTCCCATACAAGAACATCACCAGCCGCACGGACATCCCGAGCATCCTGATAAGAAAACCAGGCAGTCTCGTTGTCTCGAGACCGTCCATCGACCGTCACCTCCACATGCACGGGCTGCAAGAGGTCGTCACTGGCGCATAGGCCCAGATTGAAGCATGGCCCATGGTCATCGCTCTGGTACGCAGATATTCTGAAGAAGAAGCCTGGTCCAAAGACAGCGGTGTCGTACTGGTCAACACCTGAGTCCGCGTCGATGAGATTGAACATCGCGCGAAGGTTATCGACGCGAAATTGGAAGACCAGGCGCTCTTCGCAATGCTGAGACAGGATGCTTGCCATGGCGAAAGACACAGAGAGTGGTCACAGAACCACTTGAACGTTGATAGCGTTGAGCGAGCCTGAGCCTGAGAGAAAACTTCAACAGGATGCGAAAGTCAGGATGACTTAATGGTATCGTGCCACACCGGAAGGTATATGAGGGCACTGTCCTCATGCACAGTGTGCAGGATCGAGGGTCCTGTCTAGCGACTCTTCGTGAGGCTCGTGGTCGAGGCGAGGCTGCCACGAAGCTCCCATCCGAGCCTTGCCCGAAGCGACCGAGCCCGAAAGATTCTGATGCGACGCCACAGACGCGCTGTTGACGCGTTGTTTGGCACGCGGCCGAGAGCCGCACGCTCGCCAAACCCAACATGCCTGCGCTGCCCATTATCACCGCGATGACTGCCTTCGGGAGGGCGTGTCTCGTGCGTAAAACGGTCGTGCTCGTGCTCACCGCGTTACTATTCTCCGCTTTCCCTGTGTACACTGCAGACTCGGAGAGGGCCTGGAATGGATTCGTGACGCCTGGTTCGACCGACCCAACAGCGTTTGTGCCCTACTACGTCCCTCCAGGCGCTCGGAGCTACGATTCGTCGTCTCCGTTTCTTCACTACTCGGGGAGATGGAAAGACGCGTACTCATCCGCGTACGTCCAGAACACATTGCGGTCTACCTCCGAACCAGGCGCGTCTATGACCTTCAGCTTCACTGGTACCGGGATCGAGTGGTTCGGCAATCAGGACGCAAGACACGGTATTGCGCAAGTGTACATCGATGGCAGGAAGATGCAGGACGTCGACACGTGGAGCTCCAAGTCCAGGAAGCAGCAGCGCATCTACTGGAACTTTGACTTGTATCCTGGCAGGCATACCATCAAGATCGTCAATGCTGGGCAGAAGAACGTCGACGCGACCGGCACACTAGTAGACATCGATGCTCTCGTTGTGGTTGCTGGCCCCCCGCCTGAGGATTCTTCGGGTGCGGAATACTTGGACACTGCCGCCCAGCCAATCCCAGACTACCCACCGCTCTTTGACTTCGTATCTGAACCTGATCTCGATAAGGAGTGGACTTTGGCACAAACTGGGCATACCGGTGTCTCGGCCATGCAGCTCTCAATCATCTCCGAGTCTCACGCGCTCATTGTGGACAAGGTAGAACACAACCCTCTGACCATCGACGGCCATCCTGCATGGGCTGCTCTCTACAATCTCAAGACGCATTCTGTGACACCTCTGGCTGTGGAATCTAACTCTTTCTGTGCTGGCGGCACCTTTCTCAGCAACGGCACTCTCATCAATGTCGGCGGAAACCCTGTCGTTGAAGACCACACCTCTGCCGCTGATTTTGGTGATCTGGACGGGCTACAAGCCATACGTGTCTTGGACCCATGTGAGTCCGACGACGTCTCTGGCTGCGGGCTCTACGAGAACCATGCTCGCATTCGGTTGGCTAGTCCTCGCTGGTACACCACTGTACTCCGTATCGCAGACGGAAGCGCGATGATCATAGGTGGCTCGCGCAAGGGTGGCTGGATCAACAACGTCACGGTCAACAATCCTACGGTGGAGTATTGGCCTTCCAAGACCATCGCTGGCTCGCGTGGAATGCCCATACACCTCCCGTTCTTGGAAGACACTGTCGGGGCGAACCTCTTCCCGATCGCGTTCTCGCTGCCAGATGGGACAGTGTTCATGGCCGCCAACCAGGACGCAATGATCTACGACTGGAAGGAGAACACCGAGCGTCGGCTGCCACGCCTCCCAAACGGCGTGCGCGTCACCTACCCAATGGCCGGCACCGCCGTCCTTCTTCCACTCGCGCCCGAGACGGGGTACGCTCCTGAAGTCCTCATTTGCGGTGGCTCGACGTTGGACGACACGCAGCCAGGTTACACGATCACCTCGCAAGACCCTGCCTCAACGCAGTGTGTACGCATGCTTCTGACCGAGGCGGGCATCGTCGCTGGCTGGGTCATCGAGTATATGCCGGAGGCTCGCCACATGCCCGACGCGGTCCTCCTTCCCACAGGCGACGTGCTCATCGTCAACGGCGCTGGCTCCGGTATCTCTGGCTATGGCAACGTCGTCGGCCAAATCGGTGCGTCGAACGCGGACAACCCCGTCCTCACGCCTGTGCTGTACCATCCCGCCGCTCCGCTTGGCCAGCGGTTCTCTCAGGAGGGCATGCCGACGAGCGACATACCGAGGATGTACCACTCTGTGGCAACGCTTACGCCTAGCGGGGAGGTCATGATCGCGGGGAGCAACCCGAATCTCGACCGGAGCGAAATCGAGTACGGGACGGAATATCGTGTCGAGTGGCTGGGTCCGCCTTACGTGACCAAAGCGAGACCTGAGATCGTCGAGAAGCCGGAGATCATTGGATATGATGAAGTCGTGTCGTTCAACGTCGCGATCCCGGACAGCTCGTCCCACAGTGCAGACATCAAGGGTAAGTAGTTGCGCTTGGCCGCATCCCCTCTGTTGACAGTCATCTGCTAGTGGCACTCATGGATCTTGGCTTTGTGACGCATACTGTTCACGCCAACTCTCGGCTGGTGTACCTCACATCGTCCTTGTCTGAGGATGGGCAGACGATCACGGTGGCTGGTCCTCCGGATGGCGGTGTATATCCTCCTGGCCCCGGCTTTTTGTACCTCGTCGTGGACGGTATCCCGAGTGTCGGCGCGAAGGTCATGATCGGCGATGGAGAAGATCCACCGTTTGACGAAGGCGCACTTGCCAAGTAAGTTGTGTCCCACTACCCTATATGCTTGCTGACGGGCCATTACAGTATGCTCGCTGCGACGGAGGTCGATCAGTACGAGAAGAGCAAAATGAAGGGCAAAGGCAAGCACAAGACCTCGAAACCGCACTCCGCGTGAAGTTTCAGGCGACGACGACTTCATGTGAACACTTCTACTTTGCACAGCCCACTACTCATTCGCTTTGTTAGCTATCTCCGTAATGTGTCTACCCTAATGCACAATTCTATTGGTATTCTATCGATCGATGACGTCTGCGTTGGTCTGCACCAAGTCAACCTTCAAATGCGCAGTGTCCGAATAGCTAACCAATACCGCCTCCCCACTGTCTAGTATGTCTATCACCGATATCGACGCGTTCCAGCACTTGCCATTTACCACTACTCCTTCAGCGCATTTCATCTTACCGCTCCCGAGCAGGTTCCCGATAAGCCTCGAGATGTAGCCTCCGTGCGAGACGACGAGCAGGTCTGCCGGGAGCGATTTCCCGTGCACGGGATCTTGCTTGACGAGGGACTCGACGTAGGCCAGGATGGTACCGTTCCACCATTGTGCTGCGCGCAGGCTAAAATCGCTGAGCTGTTCTGCGTTTGCAGGCGCAGTGGGTCTGCGTCCTTCGAGCTTCTGACCCTCCCAGTCTCCCAGGTTCTGCGCGATTTGGCACAGATCAGAACAGAAGTTCGTTCGACCATGATCAGGTGTGCTCACTCGTTCTCGCAATGCTGCGTGTTTCTCCAGCAGCACTCCTGGGTGCTTCTGCAGTATGATCTCTGCGGTCTGCGATTGTCCGAATTTGTATCAGTTGCCCCCTTCCACGGTCGCTCCGAAATGCTTCGTGCCGCACCTTGGCTGCCCGATCTAGATCACTACTGAACGCCCTCGCAAAGCCCACCGTCTCAAGTGCACCCGCCGCCGCCTGGGCCTGGTCTAGCCCGGCGGCATTGAGGTGGGTATCGCGCTGTCCTTGCATGATGCCCAGCCTGTTCTCGTTTGTCTCGCCATGGCGGACGATATAGATCCTCGCCAGGACCGCCGCCGCTGCCATCGATGTCAAGAGGCAACCGTAGATAACCCTAACCCGCCACACACGGTCTGTTATTAGCAGCACCGCGGCCGTAGCTCGTCCATGCATTGATAGCCGCACGCATGCCTGAGCTGTGGAAGGACAATACCATACGATGTCTTCTCTTTCTACGAATTGACAAGAATATGTGAATCTGCTACAGTCTGCGGGGCCACTGCGGTCCATGCGCCCACCCATTGATACAAGTTGCGACTGTCCGTATCAACTGTTTTACACATATTACATCGACGAATCCTTCCACTGGTCTCAGGGACAAGAAACTGCCCTGGCCCCGCGGGCGTTGAGACCGTACGTAAGACCTCGGGGAGAGCGCTCGCATCCAGTGGCTCCACCCAGCAAACGGCTCTTCGGTCATCGTAGCAATTCCTCAATCTCTGCGGACACGTTCTTGACGCGGTCGTCGGAGAACGTCGAGCGGAGTGACGACATGCACTGCTTGACGGCGTTGACTTGTGCTTCGTTCGGCTTCTCGCCTTTCTCTCTCGCCGCATATAGCTGAAGGACGGGAGTCAGTACGATGCATGGGACGCTCACCAGAACCAGCGAAGCTCACGATGTTTCCCAAGGCTACCAACGCGCGATACGCTGCCTCCTGGTCGCTTGTATCCTGCTGAAGCCCCGTCATGATGGAATTGTACAAGAACATCGTCAACTCGGGCTCCAGCGGCTCCCTCAGCCCGATGCAGCTCAGACTACCCAACAATTAGCCTCGTGTAAATGTATGTCGAAACGAACGCGAGACTCACTTAAACAGAATGGTCGCGCATGCGACCCGCTGAGCCTTAGTCAGGTTGTTGTAAGGTTGCTGGGCGATGTCTTGCAGTATCTACCAAGCCAACCTTCAGAACCGGCGAATCCCACAAGTACGGCCACGCTTACCGTCTTGACCCACGCCCCATCCCCGTAAAGATTATCCTGGAAGGTATTCACGAGGGCCCTGAGGAAGAACAGCGTGTTCGTCTCTCTTGACCGCGACAGTGGAGTCTCCCAAGGGTCCTTCCAAGACGAAGCGTGCATCATAGCGCTGAAGAAGCGATGCTTCAGCTGTGTGTCTTGCGAGTAACTTGAGCAGAAGGCAAGCAAGAGCCGACCAAGGTCCATGACTGCGAGCGGAGTTTTCATGAGATAACAACTTCACGCGACCACGACATGGACTACGCACCAGGGAACAACGACTCCCGCGGCCACCTATCAAGCAACGCGATGATGGCATCTAGGTGGCGTGCTGTGGGCGGGTTTGTACCGGGCGGCGGATTGTCCCAATGTGCGAGCTGAGAGACAATGGCGGAGAGGTACGCAAAGGCCTCGTCGACGCGGATGCGCTCTTGGGGATACATGGCTAACGATGATGTTGACTAGACGAACGCCGCGTTGATGCCACAAATCCTCAAAACTCGTGCGAATGTACGTACGATCTCGTTCCGAAGGCTTTGATCGATCTGCTGCAGCTTTGCTTGCATCGCAGAGACGTTCGCCTGACGGAACGCCAAAGGCGTACGCTACGAAGAAGAACGTATGAGCATCAAGTAAAGGATACGCAGCTTGCAGACGTACGACTGGGATAACTTTCGACGATGTCGCCGGGGTAGCTCGAGGGGGAGGCGTAGACGGTGTTACAGCCGAGGAGTACCTTGAAGATCCTGTCCAAGGATCGGCTTGGTTTACAGCGGGAGCTGGTGATGGTGAAGTAGGTGCCGCACGATACCGAGACGCGCCTTGACATACAGTGAGGACACGAGAACACCAATCGATGATGTGACATACCCGTGAAAGGATCCATGTATTCCTGCGCGCGACCTCCAGCCGCAGCTTGCGCGGGCTGGTACCGAGACGCACCTGGAGCAAAGTCAGGACAACACAGATAGCGGCCGCGTATGTTCTTACCAGTGAATGGATCAGAGTACTGAGCCCCGCCACCCAGGGTCACACCACCGGTGTTCTTCTCGATGAATTTCACTACCTCGTCCAAATAGGTCAGGGGAAGTTCGTGAGCATTCAAGAACCGCTGCGCAGCCGCGTATGGGTTTTCTGAGAACGATTGAGCGCACAATCCCCCCGCAGCTGGAGGCTTGTCTCACCGGCAGCGTTGTAAGGTAGCTTCAGCGGCGGCATGCCTTCCTGTACGTCCACGTCGAAGACGTAATCGTACTCCTTCCCCTCGTATAGCTGTTTTCGCCCGGAGCCGACGGCGTCCACGACGTCGCCTATCTTCTGCCAACTGGACGACGCGCTGTCCCACTAAAGACGTCGACGTCAGCACATCGCCCACACGGTACAAAATGACTGCATGCCTGATGGGCCTCTACGTTATCACCGTTCCTGATCATCTTGACTTCGCCAGGTTTGTTGCCTATTCGTGAACGTTATATACGAGTTTGGTCGAATACCTCTCAGAAGCAAGCTTACCCGGCGTCGACAGTACCTCCAAACCTGGCAGATCCGACTTCTTGACATCGCCGATTTGCTGCGCGGGCAAAGTCTGGCTCGCGACTTGATCTTCGTATGCCTTCAGCTCTTCGCTCGGCAGTTGACGTGACTCCGCGTGACTGAAGATGCGTACGACACCGTCGCTGCATCCAGTCACAATGTCACCGTTCGGCATGGTCGACACCGACCAGACAGAGATGGCAGGATGGACAATCGTCTGGTAGCACTCGCCATCTGCGCTGGGTTAGGCGAACAACGCAGAACGACAAGGAACTGGGTAGCACTTACCTCTCCAGATGCGGACTGTACGGTCCTCCCCTCCGGATACGATGTCACCATTCTCCAGCACGGAGATGCTGTACACGAACGATGTATGCCCGGAGAGTGTGTGAACGAGGTCGCCTTCCATGGTCCATATCTTAATCTCACTGCAGGGACCACTTACCATACTGCACAGTAATGAACGACACTACCACATACCTATCGTTTGAGCATGACGCAAACCCAATGTCTGTGTACAGCGCTAGGCCGCGAACCGCTTGTGTATGCCCAGGATATGTTCGGACGTTCTTGTGCTGGTTCCATAGTTTGATGGTGTTGTCGGCAGAGCCTGTATCATACGTAAGATACATATCGCAGTGGCAACTCACTGCGCAACGCACCCGTCAGGAACTGTTCGGAATCTACAGCCAATACAGCCCATACGGACTGCCGGTGTCCGGTGAGATCGTACAAGAGTTTGAAGTCCTTCCAGACCTTGGCCGTTCTAAGACGTATTACACCTGTGTTCGCGAACCTCTTCGAAAGAGATAAACATACCGATCCCAAGATCCAGAAACGATCAATCCGTCGGGCGTACAGTCCAGTGCACATATATTGTCCGTGTGGCCGATGAGGGAGTACGCAGGCTCGTTGGAGTTAGCCGAGAGGGCGAAGACGTTGATCACAGTGTCTTGACCGCCCGTCACCGCAAATCCTAGGTTCCCTCACCTGTCAATGCATACATGCGAAACAGGACGTTCCCGATGGATCGCTCACCTAGCGGTTCTTCAGGTGTAGGTGGGAGGTATGTTACAGCATTGATGTACCGTGAACCTGCGCGCAGGGTTACGGACTGGCCGAATCCTGGGGCATCCCTGTTCCGAACCCATGAGATCGCGGTGCTGTCGCGCGAAGCAGAGAGGACGAGATCGTTCGTTGGTGAAGCGACGGCCCGCACCTGGAAGGGTTGAGCTAGCGCGAATATCGAGACGAAGAGACGTACGAACATCGGCAGTGTGGCCAGTGAGCGTTGCCGAAAGCTTGTAGGGCATCGCAGCAGGGGTCGGTTCGAGTGAGGGAAAGAAGAGAATACGCGCGATGGCCGGGGCCGGGGACTTATCTGGCAGGAGGGGAATTGAGAGGCAGCGAACTCGTCCAGACCTGGATGTCTTCCGACGCGGCCGAACGCGAGCGCCCTCAGTGCCACCGGGCCACCGCTGTCTGCCCTCTACGCTATCCCTCAATCACTCTCTTCTTACTGCTGCGCTAATGGCTAGCTATACCAGTCGGCTTCAGTACACAACAGCACGTACTGCTGCGGCCTGCACTGGCAGCGCAATATTCCGTCGTCCGAAGCCGTGGCAATCCAGTCCCGGTCCAGTCAAATACATTCTGCATCGATTGATGAGGACTACGAAACACTCTTCCTACGTCGTACAAAAGCATTCAATACTGCAACTCGTGCGATCTGCGATGCACCTCCGGAGAAACGTCCGCATCTACACACAGCAGAATGATCACGATCGTGGAACCAGAGAAGAGATGTACACCACTCTAACGAGCCCCGGACCCGTTCAACGGCAAGCCCAGGGAGATACGGAGGTGCGTAGTCTATGCCGTGCACCAATTTTCATCTCCTGCGAGGGCCTCACGAAACACATCGTCGCCCGTAGAGCGAGCGAGGTACGACGACTTGCCAAATCATGAGGGGATGGCGGAGATAAAAGGCCTTACACCCTTATATATATCTTCTTCAGGGCAGGCAAAATCACCCGAAGATCGCACAGCCTAGATCTGGCCATGATTGCTTTCGCACACGCACACAATCACTATCATTGGCCCGTGCGTCCACATTTCCACCTCTCAGGATCTCCAGTTGTTCGTATCGCCGCCACAGCTGTCTAGTCTTTAAACCCGGGCATAAGCCTTGGCACTCGTTGTTAGCCAAACCCTTGTTTCGACCATGAGAATGATCATTGGTATCCGCGAGAACTCTCGCTCCAAGCCATCCATCCAACTTACCCCAGACACGCTCCAAGACCCTCTTTCCAGGCACATGCGTCGAGGATACCTTCTGAACCTGTTCTGGATGAGCTAATACACGAAACTTGTGTAGACGCAGTGATATCACTGTGAGGGCGACAACTCACCACAGGCCGCTCACTGCATTCTGTTCTCCTCTTCGTCACACTGTCGACTCTGGCGGAGCTCCAGGCCACACATGATGGCAGCCGTTGGTATAAGTACTGGGCCTGCTCATGTAAGTGTTGGCCGACGTTGCACATAATGTTCCACGACGCTGATTGTCTCCCGGCCCGTTTTCTCATCCAGTGACCAGCCACTCGCTCTGGTTCGATACCTTTGTCCCCTCTTCAGTTTTCCGGCCCCGACAAGTCGGTCAGGCTCTCGCGGCAGACTCGCGGAAGAACTCACTGGTAGGCGTGCAATCACAACATTCGGGGGGGCTGACTCCGCTTCCCTCGGGGGCTCACCGGCTCTGGGCCAAGGTCCGCTGTACCCCATATCCTGTGGCAGGCTTCGCAAGCGAGAAAAATGTCCTTGTCAGGTAGGAAGGGGCCTTAGCCTGCTGCGGATAGTACTGAATGCTCTCGGGAAACTCCTATCCGTAACTCCGACCACCGCAAGCCGTCGACAGGTGTGCACTCTGCATCCCCGCACACCTCACATCGTGGGTGCGAACAAGGGCTGGAATGCTTGGCTAATACAATGCTCTACAGCTGCACTTGACATCTGTTGACATCCTCGCCTCCGCGGCCAAAACAAAACACAAGAACCCAGACGACTCATCGACTTGCCGAATTTTGGTACGATTTCCACGGATAACTGCCATCTGGGCGGCCTACGCACTCAGCGAGTACACTCCTCCCGGGATCCCTGTTGCGGTGCTGCGGCGTCAGGTGCAAATCTGATAAGACCTGCCGTTCTTGACCAGCCTCTAGGTCTTTTCGACTGCTGCTACTGCAAGCGCGATGGGGTCACGCTGATTCAGCGCTTCAATCCGGTCCTAGGCCGACAGTTTTACACCCACAGTACGTCTTACTCGCTGTATTCACATGCGCAGCTTGTCCTGCAAACCGTATATGCTAAGGCAAGTTGCGTCGGCTGCAGTGGGGACGGTTCGTTGTATTGGGGAAACATACATAATTAGCTCGACGGAGGACTCACGTACCGTAGATTGAACTTAGCCCAACTGATAACTTCATTTCACCTCGCAGGTTGGGCTTACCACACTGATGCTATCTGCCTAGGCAATGCATATGCCCTATATGTACCACCTGGCGTCTGATCGGAGCATCCGCCGCCGTCTCATTATTGTTGGCAAGGCACACAGCCTTCACGGTGGTGAGGCTTCGGCCAGCCAACATAAGAACACTTCATCAGTCATCTCAGCCCGTGGGTTGCACACTGTATGGTGACATGACATGACATTCACAAACAGAATAATACAGAGCATTGCACGTAACAGAGAGGATCGGAGCCATCGGCGAATTGCGGACAGACAAGCCTGGGAGAGAAGAGAAAGCTCAACAGAAGGAGGCTCCAGAGCGGTGGTCACAAGCAGACACGAAGCAGAGACAGGCAAGCAGGCAGGAACCAGGCGAGTCGACACAAACAGGGTCTAGTCTCCGAGGTCAACGGCAGGTCCAAGTGAGATCTTCACCCTCTTGCTCGGTCTGGTCTGGAGCTGGTTCGGCGTCTTGCTAGTCTTCCTCTTTAGTTCTCCGCTGGCAGCCTGGTTCTCGGTACCATCAGGCGGAAGGGTTCCGGCCAGCTGACTCTCTTGCTGAGTTTGAGACCCGAGGTTCGCCTGCTCCTTCATGCCGCTCAGAGACCGATCCACGTACGACACGGCTTGCGAATGGCTTGCCGAATTGTCTGCTCATCCCTATGAATGCAACGCCTCGTCAATATAGCAGCAGAATCAAAGATGCTGCCTTATACATCTCGATATCCTCTACGACCTCTTCCTGTGGGATTTGCGCTTTGGTTTCTAATCCACCTAACCGCATTAGAGAGCCGCTAGAAGTCCGACGGATCACTGACCAAGTCTGAGAGCCCCAGTACTCTCTTCTCGACCTCAGGGTCCGGGTCGAAGTAATCCTTGTATGCTTGGCTCAGGGACGATGCGCTGACGAAGACATATCGGGGCTTCTGCGGGGCCTTCCGGCGTGTGCCTGTCTACCCTTGGCCTTGCTCTTCCCATTGTTCTTACCCTGTCCATCTTGTATTCGGTGTCCAAGGTCTCTCCCGCCTGCGCAATGAATCCTGTACGAACGACAGTATATCCGTGGCATGATATTGCGGTACAAAATCAGCGCACCTTCGGTCTCAAGTCTCTTGAAAACTTGTCCGGCGACTGTCGAGTCGCACGCTACCGAACCTATCAACACACCGAGGATACTTCGAGAACCCCAGGAACATACCGATAAGTTTCGTGAATGCAGACAGGCTATCTGGCTTCATCTTTTCAAAGACTTTGATGGCCCTCCTGCATTACAGATTCCGGCGGCCATACAACCGCCACTCTGATGATGAGCTCACCTGAAGATCGCCAAGTCCTTGAACCTCTCTGTCATACGAGGGTAGAGGTCGTGGACCACGATGAGTTCCCAGTTCTGGTCAGCTCTCACGCGACAATCGAAGCAGACGAAGCGTGCAGGAAGCCGCTTGTCTTTGGCTGAATGGAACCCCATGCACCTAAGGGGCAATTTCGGTGCACCACCACAAAACCAAACTACCGAAAACCTTACCACATGTGGAACCATTTTTTGCAGTCGCCTTCACACTTAAGGCAATCGCAGTCCTCCACCTGCATACATCTGTCAGCACTGTTGAGAAAAAGGAAGTCGCACGTCATACTCACGGTCACTCCACATTCACATTCAACTACGTCTACGGATTCTCCCACCGTCTTGTCGGTTTGAGCTACTGGGGCGACCTTCCATCAGCACTCATGAATGAATGGATGGAGTCGACGCTGGCGGGAATAACTTGTGTATCTAGTTCTTTGAGGAGATTAGTGAACAATGCCCCCGCCACGAACGTGCTCACCAAGCATGTCTGTGTCTTCGCCCGTCGTACAAGCGTGGATTATGAGGTCTTTGACCAGCTGCGTGTCGATGGAGCCGGGCTCGTGAATGATAGGGGATCCGGATGTCATTGACTCGGGCAGCATGTCGGAAGGAGGTAACGGGCTATCAAAGCTCGGGACTCTTCTAGCAGTCCGATTCCGAGTCCTAGGCTGTGGGGTCGGAGATGGTGAAGGTGATGGCGACGAAGAAAGCGGAGAAGGAGCTATCGCGGGAGAATCGATGACTTGGGTCTCTTCCAGCTGCTGAGTCTGTTGTATGGGCTCTTCTGAGTGCTTTCCGCCCTCCGCCTGTCGAATCGAACGGTTCAATGAGATGCAAAATCGTCGCAGGCCCAACGGAAATGTCACCAATTGTGCGATTCGGTTGGGTACGCTGTCCACACGCCCAGTGTAGCGAACTTCCCCATCAGGTCCGCTCTGTTGTTCATTCAACGACTGAACGTTTCCTGCTTCATCTCTGACGCCAATGGGAGCAAAGAACTCGACGCCCGAATCATCCACTCTTCCCCCGTCGCCGCTAGAGCCTCCATTTGGACAGATATATGAGCCCAATATCCGAGACCGCGACGCAACAACGCACCTGGAATATAGTCTGGGTCCTCTTCGCCATCTGCGTCTGCGTCACACATACCGTCGTCTGCATCCCACACAACCCGCCGATCGATAGCATCCCGACGTTGTATCTCCATCTGCTGCACCCTCACTGACGCCTCTTCTGCAGGTGTCAAAACTGGAGCTGCGTATGTGTGACCGCCCGTCGTCCCCAAAAAGGGAGCGCTGTTGTCCTCCGTAGATGGCAGGTAACCGGACACCGAGGCTATGCGAACATTGACTCCGTGATGCCCGGTCTGAAGCGACCCGATGCTGCATTTCTCTGGGACTTCTGACCTCTCATGCGTAGTGAAGAACCAGCGGTCCTTTTTGGCGTCCCCTGCGTGGAATGCATTGGCTCATATCGTCCGGAGTGAGATCATTGTAGAACAGCTTGAAGGTTGCAAACCGACGCTCTTGCATTCGTTGAATTCGATCAATCGGGTTCGACAATCGAGCACATACAGTACTCACTCGGTAGAGCATCCATCTGAGTGGTCGCCTGAATCAGATTTTGATCAAGGTCTAATCGTTCCTACATTTGAGTGGCTTGTTATCATGTGAACTGATCGTGACGTACCTTCAAGCTTCTTTTCACCTCCCCGAGAGTCGGTACCCTCCCTTGCCTCGTTGCGTCCGACACAGGATCGAATGTTTTCTTGCCATTCAGTGACAACCTCTCCAAGTCCGCATCTAGCGACATGACTGGCACAGTGATATCCGTCCCAGGAATTTTTTGATACTGTTGCCAGTCATTAGCAGCGAAACGCGGAGTGACCACGGAGTCCTCACGTCGAAATTGAACGTGTAGGCTTCGACAATGCTACAGTAGCAAATATCTCATTAGTGTCATGTTGCTAGCCGAGATACTCATGTACTTATTGGGATCGTCATTGTCCTAAACACGGAGGCGGTCAGTCGAGTGTCCGGCATGGACAAATGCTAAAGACACAGACCAGATATATGCCGAGGATGAAGCTACGAAGGTACTGTTTCTGAAGCGCATCAAAGATCCCATGCTCCTGTACACCTGGTGAGTCTCGCGGCTCGACGCATACATGAGAGATCATTCACCATATAATCAAGGAGCTTATCGGCCTCTTCAGTGAAACCGCGAGTGACGGACATGATTTTGAACCCGCTGACGTTCCGCCTTCCATTGTCAGACGCAAAAGACCCGGGTGTCATTGAAGGTTGAGAGGATAACGACGCAGGTCCTGAGGAAGTCAAATAGGCTGTCGCGCCATCTCGTTCAGCCATAGCCGCCATGCAGGACTTAGTATGCTTACATGTCGAGAAGTTCTCGGAGGGAAGTAAATTCCTGGTACGTCGTAAAACGTCCAGTAAGATTGAGAAACGGCGCATATATGCACCCATCACCCACCTGAGGTATGTGATACAGCCGAGACTTGCTTTCAGTAGTGTCTGTACCGACTGCAGACTTTGTTGGGCAGTAAGGGAGGCCTTAACATTGACACGTCAGAAACCTAGGTAATAAGAAAAAGTGAAGGCCCACCTGTTCTTGATCTGGTCGGACTGCTAACGCCTGCATCATGCTAAGTACTTAGAGACAGTATGCAGGAAAGGGAGCGCCCGAGGAACGCGAAGGACTTGAGGCGCGTTCGAGCGGAGATTGAAACGCGATCGTGTCGCGTCGCATCGCGCTCACATGGTCGCTTTCGTCAGTCATGGCCATCTGGGGTCTTTGGGTGAGTACACTTGGCCCAGAAGCCGTACCATTGACACGCCAACTCATGAGCTTGCGTGTATTCAGGTTATAAACAAAGCTGGAGGTCTGGTCTACCAGCGCAATCTCGGAGGTCTTAGCTCGTGAACTCGATCCATTTGCGCCCGCTGACGGGACCGACAGATGGCTTGCCTCACTTGACTTCGAACGAGTATCTCGTGTTGGCGGGTACCCTGCACGGTATTCACGCCATCACAGCGAGGCTGTCTCCTACAGGAACGAGTTCCGGAGCGAATGTCATCTCCAGCGAGACATTCAAGTTAACGATTCTCCTTACCGCCACGGGTGCGTGCCGCGCACTCTCCGTGGTCCGAATCTCACCTCGCATTCAGGGACGAAGTTTGTCCTTCTCACGTCCCTTGCTGAGAACACGGCGGATGCAGTGCTTCAGAAAGTGTACGAGGCCTACGCAGACGCGGTCATGAAGAATCCCTTCCATACGCCGGAGATGCCCATCCGTACGGAAGGTTTCGATTCGCGGGTCACTGCGATAATGACGGATGAGACCACTCGGCTGCTGTCGCGTCGCTTGTTCAAGTCACTATCTCTCAAGTCTGAAGCTAGTGCCATAGTACGCGTGTGCTACATTTGACTCTGTATGTATACAGCGGCTACTCCGATGTAATTGTACGAATATCGTCGACGTCCGGTTCGATCCAGAGGCATCCGTCATCGAAAGAGAAGTGCGCTATCTGTCAACAGCTGTCATGATCAGAGCAATCGAAGGAAGCGCCCCCTTCTCAAGCTTGTAGTTGTACCTTCCTTGGGTCACGGATCGCTGCTTTCGCTCTCCTCTCATTCACATTCATATAACGAACTCTTGCCCCTCATTGCACTCCTCAGTGACCCGACATGCCAGCGCGGATGACAGCGACGAAAGGTACTCACTTGACTGGCGGAACCCATTCGCTGATCTAATACCCATTTGCGTAGGTACTGCGACATCCGCGGGTGTCAAGTCGGCTATGCGTCAGACTGCTCGCCCATCAGTGTCCAAAGGCATTGACTTCAACGAGGACCAAGTCGACGAGATTCTAAACGACGAGGATGAGCAAGAAGGGGATGAGAAGTAGGTCTCATGCATTGACTATATGCGCCCTGCTCACAGCCACCTAGTGGCATGTTGGAGATGCTGAGCATGTTGCAGGAACTCCAGAGTGCGTATCGCCGTACCCACTACGGAACTACGGGATTGATGACCTTCGTCGCTTATGCTGGAACGATCTCCAGAACGCAAGGCGTCCAAGTCCTCGACGCGTTCGGTGGCATTCCAGACGAAGAAGAGCGCACTCTTCACCGACGTCCGGGCGACCGTCGACACGATCGTGCGCGATGGCGCCGCATATATGCGCGTCGTTCCTAGCTACACCGTTCGCTCTTCGTAGATACTCACCTCGATGTGTTGTGTAGTGACCAGTGCAAGACGCGCCTCGTGGAGCTCAAGGCACAGGAAGTCTCTCAAGAGAAGAATTTGCAGAGCCTATCCGCGCTCCGGAAGAACCAAGAAGTAAGAAAGCGTTGGCGTAGTGTACCCTCTGAACGATTGAGCCATCAACAGGATACCGTGCGCAACTTGCTCAAGACGTACCCTACTTTGATCGAAGACCTCTCCCACCGTCGATCCGCCCAGATCAATGAGGCCAGTGCACTGCGTGAGTACTGAGCTGTGTATGAACCGAACGTACCATGCAGTGAACTCAATGTGAATTCTGGTAGTCGAAGGACATGCCCAGGAACGTCAAGAATCTCGCAAGAGACTCATCCAATTGGCGAAAGCAAGGGCAGATGAGATACTCGAGAGGCAGAAGGTACGGTCCCTCGCGATCATTCTTGGACTGAATGATAGCGGATATGCATGGATCTTCAGCTGGCGACGGATGCCAGCGCTCTTATCAAGCACTACAAGGCCCTGCTATTGGCTTGACCTGTCCATGTCCAATGATCGGACACAGCGTGTCACAGCCCGCGATGCTGCCGCGGAGAGAAGAGACCAGGATCAATATGTAGAATTAGTGTACATCAATGTGTCCGGATTCTACTGGATAGTCATCAGAGGAGTGCTTCGTGCAAGGCCGAACGGTTCCTTACCAAGTCGTCGACCGATCGACCCAAATGAGCTGGGGGATCCTCCCGACTCCGTAGGAGGTCAGGCCGCAATCCTAGATACTCAGACATGAGGACGCGTAGGATCAAGTTCCAGCGCCGCATTGTCGGGACGTCCAAAGCAGTTGCATCGTCCTGCAGCCTAGCGCGTCAGCCACGGCATGCTATCTTGCAACTATACAACACACCTTAATCGTGTGCCAGACACTGGGGAACGGGCTCGCAATGACATGCAGGATGCTAACGCCGAGATGCAAGAACGGCAGGTGATCGTCTTCAATGCCGTAGCTATTCAAGTTGCCCCTGCGCGGGACGAAGAAGCTTTTCCATTGAGCGTTGGACTCTCCGCCATAGTTGAATGATCCGCTCTCGCCAAGGCGACGCTCTGCAGACGCCATTGCATCAAACAGCCATGCCGTCTCCGAGAAAGATGAGCGGATCCGCGGGTTCGCCGCACCGAGCAAGTCGAGGAGGATGAAGTCCTCTATGGTGTCGATCTCCGTGTACATAGATGGTAGGAGCCTCCGCTTGGCGTAGGGCTGTATGTAGCTACTTGACCACTTCTTCGCCAAATGCCTGCAATCATTAGCGGGCATAACTAAGTATCGAAGCCGACAGAAATACCTTGCACCGTAGATAGAATCTGTGTGAGTCCAATCCTTGAACGCCTCTTCGCCGTCGAAGAAGACGAGCTGCAGGGTCGCCTCGGCAACGTCCTCGTCATCTTCCAGTCCATCCTCAAGACGCTGCTGTCGCAAGTTGAGCAGTGGGTCCAGGGCTTCCGCAAGGTCTAGCATGAATGCACATGGCGCTGCAGAATCGGTCGCGCCTACGAACTACCGAGACGGAGGTCCATAACTGCTGATGACCTGACAGCCAAAGGATGCGGACGCACTTGGCTCTGGGGATAGGTCGGGAAGAACTTGCTGTCGAAATGCGCAGCCACGACGACCCTGCGGGACGCGGACGGGTCCTTGGTGGCGATGACATTCGTGAAGCGTTTCTCTCCGTACGGGGTCGTGTCGGTGAAGGTATCTTCCTCGACATGCCAGTTAAGGTTCTTCAAAGTAGAGACGAGGTAGTCCTTCACGATAGTGTTGTTCTCTGTATCTGGGGGACGCGGGATCAGGATCCTGGATAGGTGCGAGTGCGGGTCCGCGGGGTTGACGTTGCGAACTGGATCCGGAGAAGACACGAGCGCAGCAATCGCGGGGGCAGACAGCTCGGTTAGATCGCGTTTACCAAGCTTGGATGCGCATACGAAGGACCGCGAGGCGAACAGGGCTGAGCAGGCGAGGAGGCACACGTAGAGCCATATTCGCTGGCCAGTGGTACTGGTCAACATCGCCCGCCACCGCCGTCGTTGCAATGAGCTATATTGGCTTGGTGGAACGTGGGTGGGCGGTACTGAGCGTCTCACTGCCAGTGGACCTTGCTTTTACCCATCATACACAGCCCAGTGTCCACGACTCACCGGAGCGTACATAAGGCCGTGCTGCACACGCAAGGCCACTCAGTTGCGACGGTAACGATGCCTCCCACAGCCTCTGGCAACAAGAGTATCAATTTGAAGCGCATATACAAGGTCTTACTGCTTGTGCGACTCTGTTTTGCACTCTTCGGACCTGGGTACATACACCCCGATGAGCATTACCAGAACGGAGAGGTCATCGCAGGTCAGCATACGAGTGACCATGTTTTGTCCAGGGATGGTTAACTTCATGTGCAATGCATGCTCTCCAGGCAGACAACTTGGAGTATTCACTGCGCGAACATGGGAATGGGAGCCGGACTTCGCCTGTCGCTCAATCATTACGCCAGCAACCAGTACAGGCATACCATATACGATGTTCCTGAGGTGGATCTGGTGGAAACGTGAGTCGCGCAACTCGTTGTCCTGGGTAGCCGAGCTAATGCGCCATAGCGGAGAACATACGTCCCCTTGTGATGTTCCTTGTGGAGAGACTCACGTTTTTCATCCTATCCCTGACGCTCGGTAGGTCAAAATATACTCTCAGCCAGTTCTCGTCATTAATTGTGTTCCAGATCACACCGTATGCCAGCTAGTGTCAAACCCTGCAGATCGTCTTCGTGCTCTGGTCCTATTGGCGTCCTCATACGTGATGCATACCTTCCAGGTCCGGCCATTCTCGAATTCGATCGAAGCCATTATCGTTGCAATGTCTTTGAGCTCCTATAAATCTCTCATCGAAACTGAGTGGAACCGGAGTGTAAGTGGCTAGCGTCGCTCGCAGTAGTCAACGCGATGTTCATTATCCCTACAGCTAGGAACCTTTTCCCCCGATCTCATCAGCCTTGCGATCTACTGTGTCATGGGAGTGTTCACGAGGCCCACATTCCTTGCGTTTATTCTACCTGTTGGTGTCCAGACTCTCGTGTGGACCTACCATCATGCCTCCTACGCCACATTGGGACAGCCACGACGAGCATTCTGGGCATTCTGGCTTCGACTTGTCGGAATGCCGGTGGCGGCGATGGCGATGTACACCCTGTGTTTCTCTTTTGTCGACACTGTCTTCTTCCGGGAAGGACTTTCCGGCTGGGTGTTCACTCCACTGAACTTCCTGCGGTATAATCTCTCGTCGAGCAACTTGGCTGATCACGGTCTCCATCCCCGCTGGCTGCACCTTCTCGTCAATCTGCCTTTGATCGTGGGACCTGGACTGCTCTACTATGGTATTCGTGCAACCCGACAACTCTGGTCGCCACTTCCTACGCCTCTAATTTCGGAGAAGAGCGAGAAGGAGACAAGTCTCGTTGCACAAACCCATGTCTTCAAAAGTGCGTACAGTCTGGCCTCAGAAGGAATGGGTAATAACGTTGTCTCCGCAGTGCCTCTATTCGTGATCGTCTCCTCCGTCGCGATACTGTCCGCCTTCCGTCACCAGGAGCCTCGCTTCCTCGTCCCGCTATTGGTCCCCTTCATTGCGCTCATCGCAGAAGGCTCGCAGCTGAAACGATTGGGAAGTTTATTCTGGGTGAGCTGCTTGCCCATCAATAGGACGATTCACTGAACCTCTGCTACTATGCAGATCTCTTGGATCGTGTCCAATGTGATTCTGGCAACATTGTTCGGCGTCTTGCACCAGGGTGGAGTCGTTCCCTCGCTCATCAACATGCACGATCGCCTGGGTGCCCTCAGCCACAACGCACCTCCGGAATTAACGGAACCCTCGCTGGCGTGGTCTACTGGAAGACGTACATGCCACCGTGGCATCTGCTAGCTGTCCAAGCAGAAGGTACGCCTCCCTACGTCACACCCGGTCGTGCGGTCACTGACTTCCGCGCAGATGTCGCTTCTGGTAAATACGTCTTGTCGGACCTCACAGGTATCCCGAGCGAAGAGATGCTCGAGCGCGTCGTGGACACGCAGGCCCAGGAGACGTTCTTGGTCGCTCCTTGCACGGATTGTACGACGTCCCTGATGGACAGCGCGGATGCTTCGAGCTTCAAGAACGTTTCTTCCCCCACCTCGACCTCGACCACGTACCAGAGGCGATGGCGCTAGGTTGGAAGGAGGGTATGAGCCTAGGTATCTACTCCGTTGACATGACTTGTCTGCGTTCCGAGAGTGTGCCTGTTAAGCAGGGTAAAGAATGAGTGGAATGGGGTTTGTTTCGTCGTCTCTTGGTATCTGATACCGCTTTTGTCGGACATTCGCTTTGCTGTCGCTTTGTATCGTTTCTTTCTTGTACTATGACCTGCGCTCCCACTATGCTGTAGTATGTACGACGATCGCCAATTTGAATCATTGCAAGATTACTATTGTTACATGAGCACGTAGTACAGTGGATTCAACACGTTTCCAAGCTTGAGAGTACAACAACGAGAAAAGCTTTCCGGATGGCACAGATGCGCAAGACAATCAAGCAAAGATGTTGGCGTACTCCTCAGACTCGCTACCAGAATCCTCCGGGTTCTCCTCTACCTGTTGCTGCACGATGGTAAGACCGCCGAGCTGCTCGAGCGTGTTGAACATCACCCTCAGCGCGATTAGGCCAAAGATGTTCGCGCCGAAGGCCGCCTTGTTGCGGGCGCTGAAGTCCCACGCGAGCCAAGCCTGCGAGAGGCCATACCGCAACTCGCCAGTCGTCGGTACTCAGTCTGCTGGAACAGCTTGTTGCCAATATCGCGTCCCAGCATTGAGGCATGCAACTTCATTGTCTGCGTCCGGTCGGAGCGCCACCGCTTCTGCGAGCACTTAGCGACGATGGTGCCAATCGCAACTTCCTCCTCCGTGAGCCGCATTTCGGGTGCTTCGGATAGCGAGTGCGTCATGCAGATGAAGCGCAGCTCCTCCACGAAGGCCTGGAACAACGTGGACATCTCTCCGACTTCGCCTTCGTCGTTGTCGAAGTGGCGAAGCTGCGCCTGGATGTATGGCTTCAGGTGAAGCGAGATCGCGTCCGACAGAGGCCTCGTTTTCGAGACCGGACCAGCGAGAGGTGTGGCGGGTACCAGAGTTGATGGGTCAATCAGGGCAATATTCCGGAACATGTCGCCCAGCGCACGGGCCGAGATGTAGTAGTCGGTATCACGGGGATTGGGGTCCTCAGCCTTAAGTGCGACTGAGTAGGAGGTCTAAGGTAGGTGTATTGATCTGCATACCTGATGCCAATCTGGCTTGTAAGGGATCAATCGTCGAGGCGAATCGAAGATGTCCACGGGTTCACCGTTCTTGGGATAGTCGACTGCTTGGCTGCATAGGCGGGCAAGCTCCAGGCACCGATCGTCCTTCGTACCATGCTGGTGGACATGTATCAGCGCTTGTAGGGCCACACCAAATTATGTATTTACCTTCGATTGATCTGCCAGGGGTACTGCATAAGCATCTGTTTTGAAGACACTGCGAGAACATGAACACACCTGCGATGATGAGATGATTGTCTGACAGCAGACCCTACACATCGATGGTCAGCCAGGCTCTTCGGTAAGTGCCATTCAACAAACGTACCAGGACATCTGAATTCAGATACTCGACGACGAAGTCACATATGTCGTCTACTGTGCTTGGACGGTCGAGGAAGTGCCCATTCACGCCTTCATATGATGCCGGTTCCGCGTGCTCAGTAGGAAGCAATGGACCGTAGCGAACGATCGAGTACAAGTCCCTAAAACAGGGCAGCAAAGTAAGTCAGGCATGTGAGTGCTACAGGGTGAAACCTCACCCATCAAGATCGCCACCTCCAAGACAGGATGCAAGGGAACGGGTACCTACGCGAGTCGTTGTATCAGCTGAAACGAATCTCGCACTATTGCTTACCGGTCGACGGTAGGACTACGACGTTCTTGGAATTGCGGAAGAAGCACACCTTGTCATCAGGGGATTTGCCTATGGCATAGACTCGCTGGACTGATGAAGATTACACTCGTCAAAACGAACGAGATGACTGATTACATCCTGAACTTACTATCTCCAGGATGGACAACAGGACTTCGCGAGATGACGACTGAGCCTAATCCAAGTCAATTGCGTTGGAGAGAAAGTGTAACAAATTCTAAGTTGCGCTTCACTGACCTTTGATGTAGGTCGGTTCGGGATCATCTGGATACTGGATGCATGCTGAATGGGTGAGATAGCATGAGTACTGGGATAGCTCGAATAAAGGAAGACCGTACCATAAATTTCACCCTCCTTGAGGGAGTAGACATTCTCGACACCCTCCTTCTCGTATGCCGGCCCCTCGTCTGCGACTCCTACGAGCAAGTAACTATCCGGTATGGGGATCTTTGCCCCATGCTTGACGTCTCTGAGCACATGGTTCTTTGCGAAGTGGATCAGACGGTCGATGAACGGGTCTTGCAACACCTTGACATTTTTCTCGTGCTTGAAACCCATTCCAATGGAGCGAAGGCCTCGCACGATGAAGTCAAGTCCGAAACTTGTTCCGAGCTTGTGCGCTTTGAGCAGGCCGACGAAGCGTTCCATGGAGTCGCTCGCAGTATGAATTTCCATTTTTGCACGTTCTTGGAGGGTGATGAAGATTTGTTTGTCCACGCCACGGTCTTCCAAGAGCATGATCAACGGCCTTGTGAGAAGAAGGTCAATTAATCGAGAGGATATGTAGGACTGATGCGCGCACCGATTTAGGTATGAAGTGCCAGGCCGGTCGAACGCACGGGCGATCTCGACCTCGCCATTTTCTTCATCAAGCGCCTTAAACTTGTTCATCGAAGGCCTCAGGCGCATCTTGATACCTTCTAGTCGCTCATCAATCACCACCATGCCCTTGAAGCCTGTGAAAGGGGTATTGGGTATGAGTATGAATGTTCGTCAAGCAATAAGACGGAATGAACCTAGGAAGCGGATTTGATACTACAAAATCCCGTCAGTTATACTAAACGGAGGATACAGCAGCTTACTCACAGCAGACGGCTTCACCGACTTCTTATGTCGGCCCTCCGGCATGGCTCTACAGAGGGCATCCCAGATTCTGTCCCCGAGCTCGACTGAAATCGTGCCAACGCCATCTGTAACAGGTAAGGTTTGTCACCCAAGTCATCGACCTGTTCCCACTGCTGGCGGGTGACAGTGACCGAAGGATCTGTTGCAGTGAATGCCTGGGCGATGCGCGCTGCGTATTTGGACGGCTGCATGATTACCCCAGAGAAATCACCGAGACTGTCGCGGATTGTCTGCGCGTCCACGTGTCCACGTACCGGGTGCCAGAAAGGGTTAACGAACCATACAGCGTGCTCGCGCAAGGCCGACTGCGAGTAAGCGAGAAACTCGAACTGACGCCCCGCAAGCTCAAAGCCATTCTTGAGAAGGCCACCCACACGGTCCACTAGAAGTGACGTGCCATCAACCTGGGTAACAAGACGTAAGCCACTGTTCCTCTCGGGTATAATGAAGTCTCACCTCTCGTGCCCAACGGTACTGCAGGCGGTCCTCGTCCCTGAAATCGACTCTGATAAAATGCTCCTGGTGGTCTGGGTACTGGCGGATCACACGATTCGACTGGATAACATACGGACCCTCCAGGATCATTCGCGTAGGAGTGAACGTGACATGATGACAGGGGAAGTAGCCAGGAGGGAGGGGAAGTGGTCTGAAATCTACACGGGGCTGCACGCGCTGAAGCACGCCACAGGGCTCTCTCGTGCGTCACGACAGCGAAGCGCTTCAGTGAAGTGGCGAAGAACATCGGCAGCAAGCGCATGGTCTCGCGCATACAGGTTGGCAATGGGTGTCTTGAGATGAACGAGTAGGTCTTCGGTGTGCAAAAGCCCATTGTGGAGAAGTGCTTCGATCTGGAACGCAGATGACCAGTCAAACTGGCGCACCCACTCGCGGACCTGGTAGAGTTGTCTGGGGGAGAAGAACCCGCGCGTGAAGGCATCGACCTTCGCATAAATGGGTGCCTGGAGACCCGCAATTTTGCAGAGGTCTACAAAATTACGAGCATCCTGGGTCTCATGCATGATAACGCGCATGTGATAGGCATAAGGTGCGACAATGGCGTGCGCTTCGTTGACGCTACTGAGGCGTTGGCGGAACTTACGGTTGTCCCGCCAGTCGTCTCCCGTTAGTTCCCGGTTGAAACGTTGCTTCTCCAGCATCGGTGGCGTAAGCAATTCGAAAAGAACAACTGCCGATCAGAGCAATGTTCAGCATAGCTGTGAACGGTAAGAAACTACACTAACATGGATTGCCAAAATCATTCCCCCAAGCAATCTTGCGTATGTTGGCAAAGGTGATGGCAATATTGTGGGCAAGTTCCTCAGTCATAGGATCGCCCATCTACGCGGAGCGGTCAGTCAATTTGACGTTACGACCAACACATAATCACTCACCTGAATGCGAATCAACTTGTGCTCGTATTCGAACCAGAGAATACCTGCGCCCTTCTCACGGTGACTAATCTCAAACTCGTTCGAGAATTCGCGCCCCGAAGTCGGTGTGGCATCAACAGGGCGATAGAGGATACCAAACTGTATCTTGTCGACGTGTATGGAAAGATTAAGTTGTCGCAGCTTGTCCTCTCGTTCTTCTTCTATCTCTGGTGGCAGATATGGTGCCTTTTCCAATATTTGGACGAGGTTGCGTTGAGGTCGGCTTTGACCCTTGAAAAATCGTATTTTTTGACCATTGAGCTCAACGTCGACGTCGGTTCCTTGGTTGGCAGGGTTGTGTAGCCACTTGAAGAACCTATCGCCGAGCTTGCGGCTGCCGAGAGTCAATACTCCTGAGCCATTGTGCGTTATACCGTTCGGCCCTTCGTTTAAGGTGACTTGGAAGTTTCTATGTATATGTGCGCCTCTAGTCAGTATCGGCGCCGCGATGGCTTGATCGGACGTACGCAGGGCGATCTTTTGGATCTGTCGGGTTATAGAAGTAATCACCGTGGAGGATTGAGCCGATCTTGCGCTTGACGTCCCAGACGGTGGCGTCGCGCGAGATGTTGCGCAGGTCAATTTCCATGAGGAGCAGTGATCCTAGGGATCCTCCTCGGTTACAAAGAAGTTTGTGCGGGAAGTGGTGGTACGGAAGGAAAGGTGGAGGCTAGGCAGGTACGGGGAGCAAGAGCAGGTATAAGTAGGAGACAAGATGGTCAAAGCGGATGATAGAGTTCGCGATGCATTGTTCGCAGCTTTGACTGTGGCATACCCCGACACGCGCTCGGTGGGAACGGAAGCAAAACACGCGGCGCGCTTCGTCGCGATCACGTGAATCGCCACACCCGCGTCCCTCCGCTGCCTGAAAGTTAAAACCAAATGTGCGAAGGCGGAACATAGGCGGAAAGCATCGTGCATCAAGGAAAAGCATGCAGTATAGATTAAGAGATATGTAAGAGACCGGTTCACTACAGCCAATGACCGCCATGAGAGCATTACTTGTATGGAATCCCTGGCGCAAGGTGAGTATAGAGAACACTTCGTAGTACCGAAACGTACCGTTTTGCAACTGCCAGCATTATTGTCAGCACGCAAGTAAGCAGAATATAGCACTGAAAACTTGCCCTTTGAAACTCATCATATGCTGTGCTTCTCACGTTCTCGTGTGCGTTCCTCACGATGGCCATCATCCACTCTGCTGCCTGCCTTTCCGTGAGGCCAAGTGCGAAGCGGTCCTTGAGTCGCTTGATCGTCGGCTCGCCCTTGAACGACGGGAGCTGGGTATCTAGCATCATCTGCACGGTGCTCACGATTTGATCTGCATGAGGTCTGATGGCCAGGAACGCCTTCACCGTCAGCTGCTGGAACATCTGGTAGCCCTGTGAGTTCCGTCCTCCCATGAGAACCACCATTTCATGGGTGAGCTTGAATGAGTTCGGTTCAAATTTGACACCCTTGATACAATATGTCAGTAGCTAAACCGTCATCGGTGTGGAAGTACTTACTCCTGGACGTAATGGGACAACATAGATTAGCTATGTCATACGTTGCAGCAAGAGCTTTGAAAATGAAGACTTATCTATGTCAAACAAGAATCCGAAGTCTGAAGCCAGAAACCAACAGGTCAACGACTTCTGACAGAGATCGTTGAAGCACCTACCGATGTGGACGATATGACCCTCCCCGTCGATCATGATGTTCCCATTGTGACGGTCCTTCACTTGCAGAATATAGCAAACCACCGAATATGCCGCCATTGACTGGATGAAATTCAAGCGAGCCTTCTGGAACTCGATGGTGTCCTCACCGCCGTACTTAGCGATGAAGAAGTCGAGCAGGTCGTTCACCTTCGCGCGTCCCATCTCATCCCGAGAAGTCGCGTTCGGCACCACATCAATGACGCCGCACTGCGCAGTTGTCAGCCTGGCAGTCCCATCAATCAATGAGAGCGTACCCCGGGAGCAGTAGCAGTAACGCGATATGGGTAGAGATACAGCATGAGCCCGACGCCGGTGAAGATATTTTTGAACATTGCGATGACTTGCAGCGCTAGCACATCCTGTCGGCAGTCATCGCCGACTTTGAAGATGGCCTGCTGCCAGATGTCATACATCTCCGTTCGAATGCCTTCTCCTTCGCCTTCAACGACGTTCTCCGGGTCAGATTCGATCACTTCGCGCTCTTTCCGTACTTTGAACGTCGCCATGAAGGGAGCCTGGCGTTAACCAGTCAGCATCAGCGTTCATACATAGGCTGTGGCACCGCACCTTGGCGTGACTCTGCAATGGTCTCCCAGACTTCTTGTCAACATCTACGACAATGCCGTCGGGGTTGCTAGGTAGATATACGCCGACTTCCACCTCGATCTTGGCCATCTCTTCGTCAATCTTCGCCTATATAGACATATCAGTGCAAGCTCAAGTCCGCACATCACAAAACACGAACCTTCTTCTCGGGTTTGGGCCGTCTGATGAACGGCTTGAGCTTGCCTGATATCGACGTCACCTCATTGAAGAACCCAAACTCTCGCTCGTAGAACGCCTTAGCTTCACCCGAAAGTGACGTGACGACCCGATCTGTCATATCATCTAGTATTGGCTTCATCGGGTCTTCCTAGAGTCTCCGTTAATGATGAAAAGATGCCGCAAAACCATTAAGACTCACAAGCTCTCCCGCATCATCCTTGTAGCAATTCGCCTTCATGTTCCAGATGATTTGATGACAGAACAGCTGAGATATCTTTGCTGTCTCGAAGATGAAGCGCTGCACGTAGCCTACGCGCAAAGTCAACATACATGGGATCGAAGCAAGCAAGGGGAACATACCCAAGGCATCATGACGAAGCGCCTGCACGATTTGAGGGACAAAAAAGAAGGTGAGGTCGACCGGGTGTTGTTCGAGGACGCGGTGGGCAAACTGAAGCAGTATAGGATCATTGTTGTACCTCCTCTCGAAATAGTTCACTGCGAGGATTGGAGGGATTGGCTCCCATAGCAATATGTACTACACCGCACTCGTCAACGATGTCCCAGTCCAAGCGGAGTGTAATCACCTTCAGGTCTCGCCGCAAAGTTGGATCTAATTTATCTCCGACCAAGTAGCGTAGGGCCTCCGGGCACTGCATTGCATCCAGCGTACTCGAACGTACGAGATGGCCTACTTCCCTGTCAACTGTTGGATGGTTGAACCGCTCAGCGAGGCCTAAGGCAATCGCAGGATCTAGTTCCCAGGTTTTGCGAACAGCACTGATCCAAGAACTCTGTAGACAACAAGGGTGTTAATCACATACTCTTCGTGAACTCGGACGACTTACATCTAACATAGTCTTCTCGATGGATATAAGATGGTCCGGGCCACGCTTGGGGTCATTTGTCGGATTTGACCATACGGTCAACCGTGCAATTTCGTTGTCTATCAAAAGTCGCAGAGGCAGATTGAGGTTCTTCAGGAACGCGATATATTCTATAGGGGATCAAGCTCAAGGACCGAAAGGTCATCACATGCCTGGCAACGTACGAGAGACTTGCGAAGACGACTGCCCAGCGTTCAAACTGGAAATCGCTTGGTAGCCCCTGACCGAATCCGTCTGTAGATGGTTCAGGAACTCTGAGAGTAGCTTGACATCGGCGTCGATCTGCACTCGGTTAGAACCATAGGACCATCTGAAGTCGGATGAGCGGATACTCTGACAGTAGAGCGAAAACTACGCACTGCGGCCGGGTACTGAACCACGAGAAGGCTGCTCGATAGAGACTACAGCGAAGTGAGTGCTCGCAGAATACATCCAAGTGAGAACTCTTGAGGGTTTCGAAGCCAAACAACAGGAATGAGAACCGTGCTTCGCGCGCGAGCGGGTGTGTGCTGCCACATAGTTCTTAGTTGTGCCACCAGTACGTGAGTAGCATTTCACCTCACCTATAAGACCTATAGGCACGAGCCGAAGCCAGTGCCAGTCGTTGAAGCAGGAGCATCAGACCCGGCTTGCGGTACCTAGCAGCCTGCATCCTGCTAAACAGCAGTTGAAGGATGAGAGTGTGCGGAGTGAGAAGCCTTCGAGCACTCGCAGTACTCCGGTCGATGACAGTCTTGTCCGTTGGATTATACTCTACTGGATGAAGGAACGGATCTGCGTAGCTTCAAACAAGAAAGGGTGAGCACAATAAAGTCTGCGAAACAATGTCATACAAGTGACTTACTCGAGTGTCTTGGAAAACATGCCCCTCTCGTGTTTGATAGTCGCAAGCCAGGCGGATCCTATCTCGGACATCAAAGCCACCTCGTAATCTGGCTTTTCCGCAATCACCCAAGACCACGCCTCGATACCAGCAGAGATGCAGATGGTGTGAAGGCCTCGAAGGGTAGTGCCACGAGGTAATGTAGCAAATCATACTCGTACTGTGCCATCCCATGAGTACGCGTGCCAACGTAGGAATATCGCAATCACCTTCTCAGCATAGATGAGAGTCGCAGCGCATCTGAAGAGGAGACGTTTGAGATCACGGATGGCCATCGGATGCCTTTTCTCCCGGATGTCGTCAACGGCACTGATGATCTTCAGCTTCAGCTTCTCTGCCTCCAGGTCCGCGACAGACTCTGAACTGGTGATATGATGCTTCTCCAGCCCTGTCGACAGCGTTTTGACTGAGTTGGTTGATTCAGAGGAGATAACACCTACCATCCATGTGCCCTGCCCTGTATCCATTGACTTCACCCGCAAAATAGCTTTTTGACGCCACCTGACTGGCAATGAGCTTGGCGCTGTCGGGCTTCCAGCTTGACATTGTGGAGATTGACACTGGCGAACAATTGTCAGCGACGCCATGGAATGATCTGGAAACGTACTCAATTTGCGATCAATGGGACCTACGGCTTTACCGTATTGTAGCGCGACAGAAGCGCCTAGTTCCGAAGCCTCCGTTGCAGACATTACTTGGTTGACCGCAAGGTATTTCTACAGTCATTGTCAATGATACTGTCAAATTTTGGAGTTGAGGTGCTCGCCTGCAATGTCGAGTGCAACTCTACCGGAGCTCGGCTAAGAGCTAGTTCCAACCAGTTGTTTGCATTCCTCTGCAACTCCGCCAACATGTAGTTGCGAGCTTCGTAGTTGTCGGGCAGATTCAACGTAAGGTCCGCACGATCAGAGTGATACGTATACTCAGGGTTATCCTAGACAAATCGGTCAGTGCGGGATGCGGTTATGTCACCGTGCATGTACCTCGTCTATGAATTCGTTCTCACACGCCCGGCGGAGAAGAGTCAAGACTTCCAGGATAGCAAAGACGAGCGGTGGATCGCACATCAAGGATGGGAATGAGGTGATGAGACGATTGAGGTATCTAGACGCAATGTCACGAGCGTTTGCGATACGATGTGTGCTAGCAAGGAGCAAGGAACGCAATTCGAATGGAAGCTCCTGAGGAAGAGCTTGCTTTGCAGCCTGCACGTTGAGTTCGATGATGCAGCCTCGAATGACCTAGGGTCGAAAATTAGCAAATGAGGTTGTGAGGGGTGACTTGTCCCACCTTTTCCGCGACAGACTCCATACAGGCGTGCAGCGAGGCGTTCTTGTTTAACCCATTGTTTACGAAGAATGTGACCAACGACGAAGGAAGTCCAGCCGCAGAGCGCATATTTCCCAGATCGTGCATGCAAAGCAAGAAGATGACCTGTCCGGGGAATAGATAGCGAATCTCGCTCACGCGAATTGGTATATGTTTTGCTAACAGAGTACGATGCTTCGATACGACCTCCACGAGCAGAGGGATCAGTCTCCAAGGTATGACCAATGGGCGCCGCGCTTACTGTTTCAATGTATTCCTGACGTATCACCGTGTTGTACTCGAGATCGCTGACGATAGTATCCTGCGCCTCTTCCAAAATAAGGGGTGGTGTTTTCATAGCAATGCGAGCCAGGGCAGGCTGTTGCCAGTCCATCGCGGATTGTTGCTTCTGTTCGCTAGGCGTCGTGAACTGGAACAATACACATAAGAACCACATGTTGCGGAACAACATCACGATATTCGAAGGGGTGGCTGAGAGACGGAAATCGTCATGGGTCAAAAGCGCGTCAATGGGCAGGAGCAATGACGCCAGTTGCTCAACCATGTCTTCCATCTGTGAAGACTTGATCAACTACAGAGCTCAAGTTGCAAGTGCGATATATCTCACCTTGGCCAGATGATTGGAGATGGCGACGTTCTGGATGGCGACGCCCTTGTCCGAAAAAAGCGTGAGCAGTTCAACAAGGTATAGATCGTAGAATTCAGGCCTCCGATGCAGTTCTTGCGCAAGGCGAGTCTGAGCGGCCAGGACCTGCAAAGGAATCAGTACACACATGTTGAGATAAATTTTCTCCACGTACCTGATTGTTCGAGAACCTAGGATCGTCCAAGTTCGCAGAGCGATTGACGCTAGAGAACGCGCGGATGATGTCCAGGAATGAACTTTCGGGCGCGACCAGGGCCAGATCCACAAGATTGTACGCAATGGCGGCTTCCACAGTCGGTTCGGCCGTGCGCAGGCGTTGCAGTAGCATAGATACGTGAGACGCGTGACCTACGTCTTCTTGAGCACCTTGGGAAGTACCATACAAATCGCATCTCACCTCCTCCGACCGAAATTCTAATGCCAGGCGAGTCGCAATGGAGATACTGCTGATACCGACCGTTCTCTTCTCATCCTCCGACAATCCGCGCAAGCCAATCTCCACCGAGTGCAACGTCGATATGTCCGTCATGTCCGTCACTGTGGAGGCATGAGAGCTTGACCCTTCAATAGTTTCTTTGCTCGTAGCGGCAATGTAGTTGAGGATGGAGTACATGTACGACATGACCTGATCGTCTCCGGGTGCCAGCTATTGCTGCATTAGCTTCGTGGGCGACAATGACGCACTGCATACATACGTCAATGCAAAGAGCCAGACATTTGGCGGCTGCTACCAACGGAGGCGGTGTCCTTGTGCCCGAGATGAATTCGAACTCGAATATAGACAGTGGTGACGTGACCCAGCGGCGGAGATGCCCGGCCATGTCTAGCGCAATTTCAGGGAAACTGACACAATGTCAGAATTGTTACTGCAGCTCATGATGACTCTGACGTACTTGCGAACTAGGATGGCAGTTGACTTGAGAGCAGCTTCGCGTACCATATTATCGCATGCAGGCGATTCAATGCCAAGCAACCGTCTCAACCTGTTATAGAGACCTTTGTCGAGCTCTCCCAAAGCGGCGGAACATACAGCCGCCAGTTTCTAGAATATACGCGTTTGGTAGATGAGTGCATTGGGAAAGCGTATGACATACCAGACTCTCTGACATGGTCTCCCAAGCGTAGCTGTCTTCCGAAGGCTCCGTATCCATCTCTTCAATTTGTAGGAGTAGGGTAGAGAAAGATTTCATGCATAGTCTCGTGTCGCCTTCAGCGTTTGCCGGTAGTTCTCGTCCACAACTGCGTTATCGGCGATGGCGCTCCGCAGCAATGCCTGCCATGCCTTGTTTGCAGCAGCAGCTTCCACGAAATCGGGGTAACCGGGGTTGTATGACGTGGTCGCATTGCCTACTGCCTGCGCAAGAATCGTCCACTCTGCCTCCGTAACGCAGCAAACGATGAAGTAGCCGCTGAGCGGCCTGCCGCGCGACACATACCGAGTGAACAAAGTCTGGATATACTGTATTTGGTCCATGTCTTCTTCCTCGGCACCGCTCGGAACGATGTCGATGAGTAGTCGATTCAAGCGTTCGGCGACGCCAACATCGAAAAGCGCGTTGAGCAGTTGAGAGAGAGTCGACCATTCGTTGACAGACCAATCAAATGACACAGATATGATTGCCCTGTAGAATCCGTGGAAGGCCGGTGCGATTTGAGTGAGGATGTCAACCGCTGAAACGGGGGTAAGGAGCGGCTGTTCGAAACTGTCACGTAGACCTACCCTCGCCAGTTTTCAACAAGTTGACGATGCTGTCCGTGAAGCGCACTATCGCATCGAGTGCGTGTACACGATACTCGGAATGGGAATTGGCGATCCGGAGCAATGCAGACACGGTGGAGAATACGAGCTGGTCGGGCAATGACCACTCTATAGCCGGTTGCGTTAGACAGCGGATGCAAGGAAGAGTACTGATCTCACCTTCCCAGAACAAGCATTGATCAAAGTCGATGTAAGGAACATCGCGCAAGATGTCCACAAGTACGGGGACTGTTTGCTCCACGTGAGCATCGGGCAGACTCACAGCGAGCTCCGCGAAGCCGATGTTGCACTGTACTCTGGAGTTTGACTGCAAATGGAGGTTACATCATCAGATTGAAAACCAGACCGAGATGCGATACTGTCCTTACCATGAATACTCTCGCTTCCTCAGTATTCTCTACATCCGCATCCTCCACATCACGCGTCTCGACCTTCGACGTCACCAAGTCGATTGCGGTCGCGACGCCTTCGCCATGTATGTTGTCCTTCGCGTCGCTAACATTAGATGCGAGGTCGGACAGTATGAGTTGACGAATATTCAGTTCAAGGCTACGCAGTCATGGGTCAGAGCAGAATGGTCGCTTCCGAGTCGGGCAGCGCAGTCACTCACCAGTCCATGACGCGTCAATAACTATGGTGCGGGAATGAGAGACGTCTGAAATTCAAAGCAGTAGTGTTCTAGCAGACAGAGTGGTTTGGAGGTTGCAAACGAATGCCTGCTCGGGCACCGCGAGCATTAAGGTATATGAAGTGGAGACTTCGGAGACTTGGGTCCGGGGAACACATGGAGCGCCCATGCCGGCGATCAGAGTCTGGTGCAAGGCTGCTTTAGGCAACCGAGTAGAAGTTGGTTATGTTCTCAAAAGCGATATTGTTGATGGCAGTTGAGGATAATGGCACGTATTTCTGCCTCAAGGACTCGGACAAAAAACGGGAGAATCACTGAAGCAACAACGCAAAACCGTACAGGTAGGGCGCAATCTCGGTCCGAGCATCGCATGGGGTCTCAGGACCGTCGTAACGTTGACAAGAACAACCCTGCAGAAGATGCAAAACCTGTTGAAGGCGTACATGTTCAGCATGCATTCATCTGATGCAGTGACTTCGTATACAGTTTCCTTGCGCTAATATACAATGGTATCAGCCAGCGTAATCCCACATAGTAAACCGGTGGTATCGCAATCAGTAAGTCAGTGTCTCAACAACACCATCAAGTATCCGCAGAGAATCAGGCATGTAGAATTTCTCGAATTGCATAGGAACGGGAATGCTGGGGATCCATTAGATGAGCATTGCTGACGACTAGCACAAAAACACGTACTCCCATCCCGTGATAAGCTTGACGGGTGCGTTGAGCTTCAAAAAGCACCTCTTCTGTATCTCGGCACCAACCTCAGCACCGACTCCACCAGTCCGACCGGCTTCGTGGACAACGACAAGTCTGCCCGTCCGGTTGACGCTCTCGACGACAGTATCGACGTCCCACGGAAGTATGGTGCGCAAGTCTATGAGTTCCACTTTCGCGCCACGAATCGATGGTGGCACATGAGGCGAGAGAGCTCCGGAGGGGTTCGCGAGCATATGCATCGCGGCTTCGCAGTAGTAGATAGGCGTGCCCCATGAAAGCAAGGTTAGATCGGAACCTCGCACGAGCGTTTCTGCGCGCGCCAGAGGTAATTGGTAGTCATCCACAGGAACTTGCTCGACTATACCGAGGTGAGCAGACCTATAACTGACGAGATTAGAGAGGTTTGGATGACCTACCGGCAGAACGGTAAAGAATCTTTGGTTCCATGAAGATCACTGGGTTCGGGTCGCGTATAGATGCCAACAGCAACCCTTTCGCTTGCGTAGGAGATCGCGGAATGACGATCTGGAGGTACAATCGGTCAGACCGGACGTACATAACAACGCAAAAGTAAAGTGACCTTGATTCCTGCAGCACCCATGAAGAAGCCCTCTGGACTCTGGGAGTGATAGTGAGCGCCATGACCAACCGCCATAGAAGGGCACCGGATGGTGAGTGACCCAGCATGGAATTGACCGGATGAGCGGTAACGATACTTGGCGGCTTCATTGACGATCTATCCTTCCGATGAAGCTCTCTTCTCAAGCAGAAGTATTGAATGTGACTGACCTGGTCAAATGCGGGAAAGATGTAGTCCGCGAACTGAATCTCAGCAATTGCCGTCTGGCCCATAGCAGCAATTCCTATCCCGAAACCAGCGATACCTTGTTCGCTCAATGGTGTATTGAATACCCTCTCTCTGCCTGATATCTCATGAATCCAACCCGAGTAAATCCGACAGATAAACATACCAAACTCTTCCGCCAACCCCTGTAGTGAAGGACATGAACCGAGCGACATCTGAGCAGCATCGCAGCCACTTACCATCGTACAACGGAACACCCCCCCAAACGCCACGTCTTCACCGAACACTACAGCTGTGTCATCTCTCATCATGGCATTACTGCAGGAGTGTGTTCCGACGTGGATAAGCTCCGGGAATACACACATAGCAGCCAGCCACAGACCTCAACGCGTCTCGGACTGCCTGGTACATGTTCATCTTGCGCGTTTCGCGTCCCGCGATGAGAGCATCGGACGAGCCTGTCTCCTGTTCGTCTGTCCAGTGTATGCCATGCGTGCGGAGGGCTGAATCGCGTGTTGACCGGAGAAACGAAGAGGTGGCTATGGATGGGAGGTGGCCGCCGGCGGGGTGGGACACGGTGGCCGTGGAGTTCCATCTGCAAAAGCGCTGCTAGGTTCGTTCAACAGCGAGGACTTGAATGATGCGCTTGCTCTTACATGCAATGGCGCGATGTCTGCTGCCCGCCGCCGTCCGGTCGACCTGAGAGAGATCATGGTGGCTCCTGACTTGCCGCGAGCGAGCTCGTTCAGCGCCGGCCGCTCACCCGCTGACACAGGCTGACACCAAGTAGGACGCAGCACAAACCGGATCAAGTCCCCACCATCATCGATTCATCGCCGAACGGCAGTCTCAGACTGAAGCTCGCTCACTGTCGTCGCAGCCTCTCGCGTCGAGGCAGGATGGAGAATGAGTCGACCTTCGTAGCCCCCGAAGGCGTGTACTCGTGACGGAGGAACACAAGACGACCGTCTCGGCGGGCCAGCACACAGTCAACGCGGTACCAATCCTCTACCCCACACGCCTCTCTGCTGTCACCGTCAGGTACCCTACGAACAAATCTGTCAACTCGCCAGTCTTCACGCAACTCCTGGGAGGGAACCGAGAGAGGGAGAGTAAGAAGGACAAGGACAAGGACAGAGTTTCCCCTAAGGCGGAGGATGGTCTCAGTGTCTCGAGCAGCGAGGATCCAGACGATGCATCCCCCGACGTCTCGACGGCTCCCGGGCCAGAGAACGTCAAGACATCGCCCATGGTCGGGCACGACATACCCAATAACATATTCTCGCATACCCCTGCAGGCAAGAAGAAAGCTGCGGCGCGCCCCAAGCACAACATGAGGACAACATCCTCCACATTCATCACCCGCTTACAGAATGCGGATAACCTGCATAGGAATCTGCAGTCGAAGCAAGGGGAAACTACGTTTCTCTTCTACAATTCAGCGAAGAGCTTCATATGGACCGAAGCAGGCACCAAGGCTAAGGTGAGTGCCCGCAACGCTCGACCGCCACGGTCAGTATTGGAGGTTGGACTAGGAAACATTGGCAAGGATCCACTTCTCAGCCCATCCCACTTGCCACGATGTGAATCTCGCTACAGTGTGTCCTGAGCGGATAGACGTCATCATCGGCTTCAACACCGGAGATCTTCTGTGGTTTGGTAAGGCGAGCACCATTCCTGCCGTTGTCTTCTAATGTCTTCTAGACCCCATGTCTTCCAGATATGGCCGTTTGAATAAGCAGGTACGTTGTAGCTCTGCGGTTCTCGTCTAGCGCACGCTAACGTTCCCAAGGGTCGCATATGCACCTCCCCATGCACAGCGGTGCGATGGGTTCCGGATTCACCCAACCTATTCCTTGTCTCACATGCAAACGGCACCATCGTTGTGTATGATAAGGAACGTGAGGATGGCGCATTCGTCGCACAGGAGCCAGGAGCACCCTCTGGGTCAACTCCAGGTTCGCCAGTAGAGGGCGTGGCTTCGAGCTCCTCGATCGGTGAATGGGATCCGCTGGACAGTATCTATGTGACTATGCCTCCTTGGCATCCTGTAACCGTTGGCGGCGCTATGGCTGGTGGAGGAAAGCAGGACAAGGACAAGACCGCGAAGAATCCTGTCAGCCACTGGAAGGTTTCCCGTAAGCGCATCGTAGGTCAGCAATGCAGCGCATCTGTCTCGAGCGCGCAGCCTGATAACATCTGTTGTAGACTTTGTTTTCTCGCCAGACGCAAAGTTTGTAGCTGCCATCTCTGAGGATGGTTGCCTCCGAGTGATAGATACCATCGCTGAACAGTGAGTAGTCTCGACGCGCTTCATTCCGTTAGCCAGGCTTACACCGTACGAAGGCTAATCGACTGCTACGCGTCTTACTTCGGTGCTCTCAGTTGTGTAGCATGGTCGCCGGATGGGCGTTTCATAATCGTAAGTTGTTATGATGCTGCTATGCTTAGAGGTGCTCATGCGCCGTCAGACCGGGGGGCAAGATGACCTAGTGACGATAATCTCGCCATGGGAGCAACGTGTTATCGCTCGCTGTCAGGGTCATTCGTCATTTGTCTCCGCCCTCGCGTTCGACGACATTCGTTGCGATGGTCGCACCTACCGGTTTGGTAGTGTGGGCGAAGACAACAAACTTATCCTGGTATGTTCGTACTAGCGGTATACATACACTCAACTCATTGTGCATGTAGTGGGACTTCTCAAGCGGAGCGCTTCATCGACCGAAACTACACGTGAGTTCATTGGTCATCGATGCTTTCTCATCTTGAACGTTACTATGCCATAGGCGTCACACCAACAACGAATATCAATGACCTCCTCGTTGTCTCTCGCCCTCCGGAGACGAGGCGAATCTACATTATTTCTATCGCCGAACGGCGCGGAGGCTATGCCACGGTACCACCCCGCGCCATCCCGTAACGAGGTCGCTGTAGTACAACCAGTGCTTGTGAGTATTCGCGTCGTCTTCCTGATTACTTGCTCATGCGGATGTAGGTAAAACATATCGGTGCCGACATGCTGACAGACATCATGTTCATGTCTCGAGGTATCCTCACGGCGTCCAGAACAGGCCACATCAAGCTGTGGATCCGGCCACTCGTGGTCAAGCCACGTCATCTACGGAGTCAGAGCACATATCGGAGGGACTCTTGGGTGGACGTCGCTGCTTGATGTTCGCTCTGCATTCGATGCCGTTATCATTATTAAACTCTTGCTGTATTTTAATCCTCAGTCCAGACCATGTTGATGAGATTCGCTATGGTTCTGTCATCGTGTATCGTGAGAGTTACAAACGCATATGTTTGCCGCCGGCCGCAGAGTATGCACACGCTTATGCCTACTGATCCTGTTTGCATCACCTCCGCACTATGACAGCCCATCTCTCCAATAGCTTGTTCGTGAGGCATGCGGCCTCCCAGCTTGCAAAGAACCGCTCCGCTCGCCAGTTGGTGACACCCCGCTGCTGGACGAACTTCTCCACAGCAACTCTGTTATCTTCCAAGTCTTGCACATACGCATGTAGCGAACTGGCGCACGCGTCCGAGATGTTGAGGATCGAGTCGACAGCCAGAGAATTTGGACCCGAGGTCAGGAGCTGCACGATTTGGGGCATAGACGAGAAGAGTGGGGCGGGTGCCCATCGGCCACGTCGCGGTGCGGGGGACTTCTGGTTCTTCGAAGACGGGCTAGACCTGCTGTGAGGAAGGAAGGGCAACGCGGCGAGAACAAAGTTGCTGCTCGGAAAGGATGCTGAGGTCCCCGTAGTCGTGAAGATTAGAGTCAAGCTGCTTCCCGGTACCAGAGACGATTGTAAGTCCTTGATCGAGGTTTCCATGAGGGTATATGCGATGTCATCGAGGGAGACAGTAGGAGGGAAAATCGCGGAGGCCATGGTGGGAAGTCGTGGTAAGACATCGTGCTCGGGTGGTGGGGCTTGGGCAGGCATGTACCCTTGTTGTCGGGAAGTTCGCCCGTCGTTCGGAATTGACTCTGAATGTTTGTCAGCACTCAGACAGGGTGAAGTCGTGCATATAGTCACCTAGTAGGGGCTTCGACAGTGCGCTCTGTATCAACTGCTGATTGTATATCAGCATCTACATTGCACAGAATCATTATGCGCACTTACCCGTGTCTTTGGCGGTGCCAACTGCGCAGAAAGGGTCCATCCTAACACGTCCACCCACCACGCGCGTTCCACAGAAAGACCAAAGGTCCAACCGTCGACCCGGAATTCATTTCGAAGCAGGTCAGGAAGATCGAGCCTCGGGTCCCTGAGTTCTATCCGCCCACTAAGGACATCGTCCACCAGCGCACGTAGAGGAAACCGCAGAGTAGTGTCGTGAACAGTGACGGCCTGTTGCGCTAGCTTGACATAGGATGCAGGCCAGAGGGAACAAGTCGGCGTCAGGATGTAGAGCAAAGTTTGCAATGCCTTGCGAGTCTCTGGAGCACGGCGAGCACGAGCACGAGATCGCCGAAGAGATGTTGTATACAGAATTATGCCAAAGAGAGCTGCAGCGCATATAGAGACTGGGAACCAGTGATGGAGGAGGGAGTCTCTTGAGACTGTGATGTCTACTCCGGCCGGAAGTTGAAGAGAAGAATATAGTAACACGAGTTCATCGCGTATATTTTGAGCTTGCGCTTGTAGGAATGCAAAGTCGACTTGTGAGGCCATGGCATCCGCCGGTTGCTGTTGAAAGACGACTATTACTAGTCAGAGCTCGAGACCGCGGCCCTACGAGTGGTAGTACCGGTAAGAGTCTAAGTAGATTACTCTGAGTAACTCTCCGCCGGCCGGCCTCACACCGGCACTGGCCACAAGACGCGCTGTGACTGGACGCGTCGCGTCGTGTCACACACTCAAGTGTCACCCTTCGTCTCGCGCTCGACTCTGCTCTCGACCACATTGCCCGCGATGTCTCTCCCCGTTGTCACCATAGACGTCAACTATGAAGACGAGAAGGGTGCGCGTGCATGTTCTCTATGCCACGTTTGATGTGCTTTCTGACACGCCGCAGAGAAAATCCAGGAGTTCCTGTCTTCCTTCGTCAGTCAAGACAAGGACATAGCTCGTGGCATTGCAGACATCAACATCAACAATGACGATGATACACCAGAAGGTGGGAGGAATAAGAAGTACATGGAACAACTAGTACGTGTCCAACATTGTCTCTCTTCTCTAAGAGGTTCGGAAGTTGTGGACGGCCTTCGGGGGACGCGACGAAGGAAGGGCTAAAGACGCGTGAAAAGGCATCAACTATCTGCATTTCACAATTCTTCTGTGTCAGCTCTCTGGCGCGTTGTCTGGAACTCCTGCATGCCGTTGGCCCAGGCCTTGTTCTAGGCGTAGCCATCCCCCACAAGTGAGGGGGGTGAATCGACCGCGCAGTTTATGCAATAGGGAGCAGCATGTCGTCGCGTGAACGCTATCGGAAGCTATTGGACAATGGCGTACACGCTAATCCGTACAACGTGCAATATTGCGACGTTTCCAGGGCATCACGTCGATACGGCAGCCATAGCCTCCCTGACTCTTCCTTCTGTCACACTCGTCTCGCCTACCTCAAATGTCTGACAATCCCCTAGCAACGAATTGCGAATCGTGAACAACAGATGTTAATCATTGACCTGGAGGACATCTCGGAAGTGCGTCGTCAATTCCTCGCCTCACTGTTTGCATACTAATGCTCGATATAGCAACAAAAGACAGTATCGGAGCTCGTTTCACGGATCATTCGCAATACTCGTCGATATGTGACACTCTTCAGTGAAGCCGTCGATCGACTCATGCCTGTCCCGACGAAGGACATAAGCGAATACGACGAAGTCATCGATGTAATATTGCATCAACGAAGAGAAAGGAACGAGAGGCTAGAAGGGACACAAGATCGCTTCCCAGAACATCTCCTGCGACGATAGTGCGTCCTCTTTCCATGCCCTGACCTTCATCGCTCATGTGGTATTTAAGCAATCTGTACTTCCGCCCTCTGCGTTCAGATATTGCCATGGCTGTGCGCGAAGTCAAGGGCGTTCACCTAGGCAAGCTCATTACTGTCCGCGGCATCGTAACGCGCGTGTCGGAAGTGAAGCCTCTGCTGAAAGTCAACGCGTACACATGCGATGTGTGTGGCTCGGAGACGTTCCAGGAGGTCTCAAGCAAACAGTTCGCGCCTCTCTTCGATTGTCAAAACGAATCGGAGTGCAAAAAGAACAGTATCCGTGGCTCGCTGCATATGCAGACACGGGCGTGTCGCTTCAGCCCGTTCCAGGAAGTGAAGATTCAGGAGATGGTTTGTTATCACGCCTACGTAATTATCTGGTGCTGATGTATTGTTAGGCCGACCAAGTGCCTGTTGGCCACATCCCGCGATCTATGACTGTGCATGTTCATGGCAGCCTCACGCGCCAGATGAGCCCGGGTGATGTTGTTCATCTCGGCGGTATCTTCCTTCCCATCCCCTACACTGGTTTCCAAGCGGTGCGCGCCGGTCTACTCACGGACACATACCTGGAGGTGCACCACATTCACCAACTGAAGAAGCAGTATAGCGAGATGGAAGTCACACCCGAGATTCAACGGCAGATCATTCAGCTCAAGGATGATCCACAATTGTACATCAAGCTTGCGCAGAGCATGGCGCCGGAAATCTACGGTCACCTGGACGTGAAAAAGGCGTTGCTGCTCCTGCTGGTGGGCGGTGTGACGAAAACGCTGGGGGACGGCATGAAGATTCGTGGAGACCTCAATGTCTGCCTCATGGGAGACCCCGGTGTTGCGAAGTCGCAGCTGCTGAAATACATTTCCAAGGTCGCCCCGCGGGGAGTGTACACTACTGGCAAGGGTTCTTCCGGCGTCGGTCTGACCGCAGCCGTGATGCGAGACCCCGTCACAGACGAGATGGTTCTCGGTAAGAATCAATTCTTCTCGTTCCCCTCACACACGCATCTAACATGGCTGTAGAGGGTGGTGCGCTCGTGCTGGCGGATAACGGCATTTGCTGTATCGATGAATTCGATAAGATGGACGAATCCGACCGAACGGCCATCCACGAAGTCATGGAACAGCAAACCATCTCGATCTCTAAGGCCGGCATCTCCACAACCCTCAATGCGCGCACATCTATTCTCGCGGCCGCAAATCCACTTTACGGGAGGTACAATCCGAAGCTCTCTCCCGTTGAGAACATCAATCTACCGGCGGCTCTGCTGTCGCGTTTCGACCTGTTGTTTTTGATTTTGGACAAGCCGACGAGAGACGACGATGAAAGGCTCGCTCAGCACGTCACCCATGTGCATATGTACAACACACACCCAGAATTGGACTACGACTTGGTCGACCCCACTCTCGTCCGGTATGTGCTTGCGATGCCTGATATTTGAGTCGAGCTGATCGTCGCACTCCCGTAGTCATTACATCGCCTTGGCCCGGCAACATAGGCCCACAGTGCCACCAGAAGTGTCGAACTACGTTGTCGAGTCTTACGTTCGTCTGCGTAAGGTATCGAAGGACGACGAGGACCAGAAGAAATCGCATACGTACACCTCCGCGCGTACATTGCTGGGCGTACTGCGTCTTGCGCAGGCCCTCTGCCGTCTGCGGTTCTCTGACCAAGTAGATCACGAGGATGTGGATGAAGCGCTGCGACTGATGGAGGTGAGCAAGGAGAGCCTGCACGAGGATGAGGACGAGGAGCGGGATCAGGACCAGTCCGCCACCAGCAAGATTTATCGTCTCATCAAAGACATGGCGGCGGACAGTAGAGCCGGCGGAAAGAGCAAACGGCGCAAGCGGAGAACTAAGCGGCTTGGGAAAGGTTCGAGTGGTGAGAATGACATGGATGTTGACGATGAGCCGGAGAGCTCGGACGAGGAGAACGCGGGCGAGCTGTCCATGATTGACATTCGGGCTCGTGTGCTGAGGAGCGGCTTCACGGAGGCGCATCTGATGGAGACCATCGTACAGGTGAGCCTCATGACTATGTTTATATCCTCGTCTGACCACTGCCACACAGTATGAGGACATGGACGTTTGGACCCGAGTCGCAAACAATTCAAAATTGCGCTTCATCGATTCTATGGACGATTGATTCTCGCTGCTCGATGTATTACGTACTTTCCTGTCTCGTTGTTTTCGAAGGGTGCTCTGCTGTCTGTACTGATATGTAGCACATAAATACCACAATGTCCACATTAATATGACGATAAACAACAACACATGAGAACGAGCGTGTCGTACAACGAGACTACCGCGTCTCAGAGGCATGCTCCCAGCTACCATCACCGCTACCGCTGCCGCTCGCTGGACTATCTGACCGAGTGTGTCCGTGTTCATGACCATGCTCCGTCGCAGGGTCTGGCTCGTCTCTGTAGGGTGCTGGTGTCACGCCCGCTGTGGACGGATCGTCGTCCAAGAATCCAGCGTGCAGGTTGACACCTGGCGATGCGCCACGCGCATGTAACCGCGTTTCCTCGTCGGCTTCGTCGTCATCGGAAAGCTCGCCGAAGGCATCGTAGAGCTCCTTCGTCCTCTGGCCACCCGCTCCCCCGCCTCCCCCGCCAATCGCGCCCATCGCTACGTCTTCGCTGGCGGGCAACGTGGTGTAGTGCTGCCTCATGCGGACGCGACGCCTCCAGAAGTATACGCCGGCGGAAATGGCGAAGGCAATGACGGCACCGACAGCGATGAAGAACCAGAGCGGGTTCGTCACGAGGTTGGACAGGTCCGCGAACCAGCCCTCGTCCGGCGTCGGCGTGCTCGTCGCGCTTGCCTCAGCATCGCCGGCGGGCTTGCCACCGCTGCCTGGGAAAGCAGGTTTGCTGGCATCGCCCTGTGATGTGTCGTGGTCATCGGGGAGATGATCAGTCGGTTTCGAGTGTTGCTTCGTCGTGGTCGCAGAAGGGAGGGAGATGACAGTAGACGGGTAACTGTGCTCCGTGGAGCCAGGAGCCAGGACGGTGTCGACGTGAGGTACGTCGTAATCTTGACGGGTTTGCTGATGTCCTTGACGGAGCCCCAGAGCGTCATTGTCCAGCCGAGGAACACACCCGACTGGCCCTCTTTCGCCTGATCAGAAACACGGATGGTCCACGTGCCAACGGGATTTTCGTCCCTGCCAATGCGTTGATAAAGCCAGCAATGGAGAGAGATGGATAAACCTACCAGTGCTTGACGGTCATGAAAGTCCAGCCCGGATAGCCAGTAATCGCAGCATCTCCATACCGCCTGGAAGCGAGAATACTGTGCACACCGTTCGGGCTGACAAGCTCGACCTCGACGTCGCCTCTGCGCGAGTGCGTGATCCAAACTTTGATGGTAATGTGCTCTAGCTTCTCGAGGTTGTCATTGTCAAGCTCGCCTGGGTGACGATCATAGAGCTCGTGACACCTCCAGCGATGATTGGGATTCCACCCTCCGCCTTCTGGAACACGTCCATTGATCCGTTGTTGATTTGTACAGCGGGCATCTCGACGAAAGTCTGAGGTTTGACGAGTTGCCAGTCGCGTGCGGCTTCGATGAGCTTGTACGCGTCGACAGCGCCATACCCGTACTTGTAACTGAATAGATTGCCAGATGTCGTTTCTCCCAGTCGGGATCATCTGGGTTGATTTTCAGCGCGGTCTTGACGCATAGGTGCTGCACATCACGCCACGTCAAATCGGGCCTGGCAATACATCAGGATAACCCATGAGGGGATACTATTCCGCCGTACCTCACTTGCAGCAACAGCGCGAAGACACCGGCAACATTGGGCGCCGCGGCGGATGTACCACCATGTGTGTGGACACACTTGTTGAGTCCCCTGTCGGTGGTAGTCTAGACATGGCCTCAGCCGCCGCTAGGGGACCAGAAAACATGACACGCACAATCGCACTTCCACCACCAGATGAATATGCCACTACCATGTTGGCAGCGCAAGCCTCGGAATAATCAGGATGAAGACCTTGGTGATCCACGGCGGCAACAGTGACTGAGAAGATACTATTGGTGTAGCCATCAAAGTTGCATTGGTCGTCTGTTCGCCCTCCGTTACCACTGGCGAATACGAAGATCGACCCTTTGCCTTCGCGCCCCTGCTGAATGCCGTTCACCATCGCTTTCCTGATGAGATAGTTAGGCCCTTCCATGGATCTGCCATCGTCCGGTGGACCCCAACTGCACGAATAGATAGACGTGTTCTGAAAATCATAGTTCAAGGCCGCCGCTTCATCCACATCGGCAATGGGCCCCGACAATATACGCAAGCCAGCGACTTTACTGTCGTACGCAATCCCAACACCGCATACGTCGTTCTTCGCAGCGGCTATTTGCCCGCGCAGCGAGTGCCATGGTGATCGTTGGACAGCACGGGGGTAGGCAAGTCGGTATGGTCATTGAAGTCATATGAACCATAGGCATACTGTACATGCATCAACGTCACGTCGATTGAACGACAATCGGACACTTACGAAGTTCGGTGCGAGATCCTCGCTGGTGTAATCCAACCCGTCGTCTACCAAGGCGGTAATGACGTCTCTGCCCGTGATGCCCGCCTCCCATAGACCGGTCACGTTCATCATGTTCTTGGGATGTTTCTCGTTACCAGATGCCACTGCCGAGGAAACTCTGGGTCTGCGATGGCCATCTTCTGAGATACCTCAGCAATCGTTGGGAAGCCGGTATCCGCGACCGGTGGGGTGGTGCGCGTTTTACACGCTGGCGGAGGGTCTGCGGGGAGAGATGCTTCACCGCAGAAGCTATCCGCTTCGCGTGAGGTGCGTCCGGACTCCTGGCTGAATGTGCTGAGGATGCACGAGACTGGATCTCCTCGAGTGTCTCCATGACAGGGTCGGCTCGCCGTTTGTCCAGCGGCGAGGTGGCTTTCGCAGCCCGTACGAGCCAGTGGTTTTGTAGCTGTCCCGCCTGCTCTACAACCTCGACACCGAGCGCTCTCGCGCAGTCGGCCAGCGAAGCACCCGCGAGAGGACTGTGTTCTAAGACATAGTAGTCGTGTAGAGAGTAGTCACGCTTTGCATGGGTCGCGAATACCGAGTCGAAAGCAAGGAGCGCAAGGATCAAAGAAAAGGGGAGGCGCATATCCGCCTGGTCGAGAGGGCGGAAAGGGAGATGGAAAGAAGCCAGACGGAGAGAGCGACGTGGTCACCGCTGCCACCGGCGCGCTCTCTTCCTGCCCATATGAGGAAGGCGCCCGTCCATCAGCTGATTGGCACAGCCGACTTGATCACTGCGAAACATATTCGCAACAGCCACCCGGCCACAGCTTCGAGGAAGAGCAAGAAATAGGTACAGCCAGAATCTATGCAGCGACGGTACAGTCCAAGAGCACGTATTGCCTGGCAGAAGGATCTGCCCCATCTCCCGGTGTGTAACTGCCAAGCACCATGAATAGCCAAGGACTCGAGGAAGGCGACTCTTGCATTCGTCGTTGTGCCACACCTTCGCGAACTTCAAGGAGGTCACCACACAGAGGTTCAAGGCGGCCTGCAAGCGCCCGTACGGCACTATCGTCGTAGTCCAAGTCTTCGGATCCAAGCCCTTCAAAATCGGACACTGCAAGTGGTGCCTGTTGAGCTGACGTCCCCTCCAAAGACTCAAACTGACCTTGTCATCGCAGGAAAAGATCTGCAGCCGCTCTTCCTCGTCGTCCTGCACCTCTAATGCGAAGTACCAGCAAGTGCGGACCGACGTTGTGTTGTCAGGATCCATGGCATCGTCGCAGATAGGGCAAACGCGCTGGCTGAAGGATATCCTAGCAAAGTCCTGAGCACATAGTAACGGCAAAATAAAACAAGAAGGCGTACTCGTCCTTGCACCGCGTGCATTTCCGCATTGTGAAGTTGGACACCTTTGGTGGGAAGAAGTCGACAATCCGCGCACGGACGTGGAATTTGTTTGGACAAATGGCGCTGGCCTTGACTGCCTTGACGCCAATGAGTTCCGCCACTACATTGTATGGGCTGGTTATATCGACTTGTGGTGCAGGTGGCCGTGACGGAGCTGCGGCCCCGTTTCCCTGGGGAGTCGATCTTCCGGGTTGCTGATCTGCTTTCTTCTTACGTCTGCCGCGGTCAAGGCCTCCTGTGACATTCTTTTTGATTCGAATTCCTCCTTTCGCCTGCATTGCATCAACGGGCCCATTCAATAGACTCCCCTTTTGATATCACGAATGGCTCACATAAGCAGCGCATTTAGCTCATGGTTGTTCGGGCTATTCGGCTGCAACTTGCTCAGCAATCTTTGGCTCCCTCCTAGCCGTCCGGTCAGCTTCTTTTCTGCGCCGTGGGCCTCAGGCGCAGATTGCGGATAGCTACAAAGTCTCCTGCTTCGAGTGCTTCGCTGTTTCTACCTGGTCATCATGCAAGGTAATCTTGACAACCCGGTCTTGGAGTTCTCTCGCTCGGGGCACAGTAGGTGCGACGGGAGCCAGGTCGTCCCGGCGCGTGTAGTCCGTGACATACAAATAGGTCATCTGGTCCTTCGGAGACATGAACAACACCTTGCATCGAATACTCGATGAGCGAGTGACACAAGAGTGGTCCCCAACGTACCTCCGCCGTGCAACGAAATGCTTATTCTCCTCTGCCTCTCCAAATAGCAGATGGGGAAATTCGTGCGCGCCGCCATTGGCCTCGACCTTGGCTTGCCACTCCGCCTTGCGCCTATACGCCCTCAATCATCTCGCCAAAATTTGCTTAAAGCATACGCTTGCTTACTGCAACAATGCGGCCAATCGAGGCTCGTCTTCAAGTGCGTCGTCGTCGAGCTTGCGCATCTTGTTAACCTGCGAGAACGTCGCCTCCAATTGCCCCCCGGTGCTCGTCTTCATGCGACAGTTGCCTATGAAGTAGTACTCGCCCGCCTTCATATCGGGCCCTTTCCTCGCTGCTTCTTGGAACAGCTCCAGCTTGAGAACCTTGTCGGATAACATGGGCGGACACCAGTCCCGGTCTATGGCGTCCATGACCGGGTTATGGGTGTAGTCGGTCACATAGAGACTGTAGACGCCGTTGTTGTTCTCGTGGCCATACAGTACCTATAGCAGACCGTCAAATGGTATCTTGTGGACGATAGACATCCTACTTGCCTCCACTGTACAGTCGAAGTAGCCGTTAGGCTCACAATCGGGGGACGCTTCGCTGATGAGACGGTGCAGCCTGCCTGTCCGTACCGGCCTGATCTGCTGTACGACGCCCAGATCTTGCACCGGAGCTACGGAAGCCCACCACTCGCCGAGACTCGCGCAGTGCTGCAGCTCGGATGGCGTCGGTTGGAAGTTGTTGGTGTCGCCCTTCTTCCGTATGGACTCCCGTGCACGCGGGTCGACGATAGCCCATGTCCATGATCTGTACGAAGGAGCGGTGCCGCATTTCCGTCCGTAGTAGTCGCCCTGGTATGCACGTTATCCGTGCGGCCGCTTCGACGTTAGAGGCCGGCTCACCAGTACGCCCCGAATCAATATAATGTCTCCTCTTGCAGGCTCGGGTAGGCACACTGCTTTCTTGGAGAACAAGTTCACGGAGAAATCACTGAGCTCGTGTACAGAAGGATCCGTCAGACCTAACGCGGTCTTGAATTCTGTGGCATCATGAATATTCGCCACATCGTCCGTCATGCCAACTTTACTCACCGCCAGTGGACGTCTGTGAGATGAAGCCGGGTGTTGTCACGACTGCAGCGATGTTGTACGTTGCATTCTTTGTCTCGACCTTGGCAAGAGGTGTTAGGATGCCTGAGGATAAGGTGTCAGCCCCATGTCTGAACGAACAAACCATACACACTGCGTACATGTTCGCTGCGGAAATCTGCTCGATACAATGGCGAAGCGTCCACCGACTCTGTCTTCGGGCCAACGCGAGAGGCACGGGTCTCTGGAAGCGGCTTGGACGGTGGCTCTGAAGGCCGGAGTTTGGGAGAACTGGGACCCGGGTCCGGAGGACCAGGTGCTGCCGGAGCATGATGAGGTTGAGGTGCCACAGACACAACCCGAGAATCAATAGGGGGCTTCGGGGATGTCGAAGCGCTGATTGGCCTTCCGCTCTCATTCGATGCACTTGGGCGGGCGTCGGGGATGACTTCTGGCTTGTCGCTGGGCTCTACTTGCGCTCTTTGACCAGTATTGGTCTGCGCGGGAACATTCGCTGATTCACCATGACTGTGGCGCGTAGTTGGTGACAATGGCGGTGCTTCAGGCTGTTGTGCTTGGTGCCGTTCGCCTGCAGACGCACGCAATAGCAGCTTCCTCTGTTTGCGCAATCGGGCCTTCTCGCTCTTCTTGCTGCGGGGACCGTTGTTATCTTGCCGTGATTGGTTCTCCGCAGGTCGCGACGGAACCTGAGGAGGACCTTGCTCAATCACCTTGGGGGCTACTTCTTCAAGCAGAGGGGTATTTCTGATAAGAGAAGCCTGGGTTGCACGGGCCTGGTGGCTTTCGTTATTGAAAGCGTCGTCTGCGGGCACCTCGGAAACGACAACAGCAGGACTGGGAGAAGTCGGTTTGTTCGGTTTGCCGTCCGGATCGCGGATCGGGCCGTCAGGATTCGCCTCGGTGTCTGGTCGTACTTGTGTAAGAATGGAAGTGGATCTCCTGGTAGCTGCAAGCTGTACCGAAGGCGAGAATCCACTGGTGGAAGCAGCCAACCTCAAAGGCATAATGTCGTGAGACGGCGCGACGGAGTCGCGGTTCGTTGCCCCTCCTGAAGCGGGAACATCGACGTCCGTGGTATCGATCGTGTGTACAGTTTTGGATACCGGTCTTTGTGGCCGTGATGGAGTCCCATACCAGTCGTCGGTGTTGACCAGCCCAGGCGACGATTGTTCAGCGTCCTCATCGACTTCCGTGGCATATGGAAGAGATTTCAATTTTTCAGCTTTAGGTCAGCATCAATATGGAAATGTGCTTACGTCTCCATGTATCGACGACCTCGCCATCGCGTATATTGTTTCGCGTCTTGGTGAACATCAACGACGCGCCTTGTTCGTAAAGGAGAGATAGAGCGACATTTTCCTCCGTTTCAGTCACAACAGCTCCTTTTGTACTAAGCTTCAACTCCTCTCTGAAGTTGCATGCAAGCACTTTGATGTGTCGAGCACACTTGCCGGTGAAGGTGACGCCAACGCTCAGCCCTGTGGAGGTCTTCAGGACGAACCTCATTTTACCATTTCCGGGAGGCCACTTCATGTGCACAGTGCCTGAAATGTAACGGTCAGAGCGCAGTCCATCACGGAGAATCTCTTCGGTGTTGTATTCATGGTTTGGGTCGGAGAACGTGGCTTCGCCAGTGGGGACGCCGCCGCGTCCCCCCGGGCCACGATCACACCTGCGCTTTGCAGGCGAAGAGGAGCGAGCATCCGGAGAGCGCTTCATGCAGAGTCCAAGTAATCCTGGACAAGTTGGCAGCCGACAGTTGGTGCGAACTAGAACACAGCGGCGACTGGACGCGTCGAGGGTGACTGCTAGACGCCGGTAGACGCGAAGGAAGTAGCGCGACGCGGTGCACGTGACTTACCGGCCCTAGATTGCGATCTCACGCGACGCCAGGGAAGCGGACCATCCAGCTTCTTGGCCACCTACCACCATGTCTGACCTCCCGCTTTCAGCTCTCTTCCACCACGCAGCCAATGCGGTTGCGAAGGCGAACAACCTGCCTACCATTCAGAACGAGACTCAGGTGAGTACACATGCGGCAGCACTCTCCATGGACTCACCCACGCCAGGCTGCAGGAACTCGTCCACTCTGCTGTCACAGACTTACAAACCCTCCAATCGCGCATCGCTGCGCTTTCGCTCTTTAGTGAGAATGAAATGTTAGAGGATGTAGCGACCAAGGATCTGGTATATCTTCTCGTGCCATACGTACTGGCGGAGGTCGAAGGTCGTGTGAGGACTGTTGATCCGGTGGAGAGGTTAGAGCGTGCCAGACGCTCGCAGGTGCGTCGGTGTTTGCTTCAAGTCTGAAACGAGACTCATGCTCTTGATAGCGATTGTACCGTGTCTTCCTCGCAAGTCTCGAAACATATGGCATCGTGCCTGAAGCAGAGAAGGCTCTGTATGCCCAGTCTGTCTCATCAATCACAGATGCGCAAAAACGGAGGGAGTTGAAGATCAATCAATACCAGAAGGAGAAGGAAATCAAGACGAGAATACAGGTGTGTCTTGCATCAACTTGCACTGTCTTCTGCTGACCCCGCATGTAGGAAGTACGGAAACATCGTAATCATGGAACGCCTGTCAGCGATCCTTCGTCAGACTTCGATCTCATCGTGTCTCTACTTCCTGACCCATCCATCAAGTCTGGCTTGCTTGACGACGACGACGACGAAGACGATGCTGACACCGAGGATATCCTTCGAGAAACAATCCTTCTCCTCCTGCGCCTTACATACGGTCAAGCGCATGCCCAGTTGCAGAGCTTGGAGCAGGAAATACAACTGCTCCGTAATGCCCCATCCCGCCCTCCAGAAGCTTTTGAAGATCCTCGTCGTGCGAAGGATCGCGAGATTGTCGATATGTGGAGACTAGATGCACCCCTACCGCAAGGTGGACCTGATGGCAAGGGCCCACTGACGGATTCTAGTGGGAGGGTGAGATACTGCTCTTACTGCGCGTGCCAATACATGCTGATGACAACCGTCAAGCCTCTACGACCATTTACAATTCTGCCATCTACAACCAACCGCGAGCAACTTCGTCAGCAGGTCTTCGGTCCAGATCATCGCCTCCCCACTATGACTGTCGACGAATACCTTGAAATCGAGCAGCAACGCGGAAACATCATTTCTGGCGGAGGGTGGGTGCACTTACGAATTGCCCGCCAGTTTGCGATCAGACTAACGTCCTCGTTGTAGGCCTGCATCTGAGGCTCGTCTTACGACTAAAGAACAACTCGCCCTTGATTCCGAACGGGACGGCACGTTGTTCGCAGAAGAGAAGGTGGAGGAGAAACGTCAGCAGGATGAGAAATGGGCCCAGTATACAGATACTCATCCCAAGGGCGCGGGCAACACCCTGAACAGAGGATGAGCAACTCTGAGGAACAATTTTAACGCAGCCGGATGGATGTAGATCTATTGTACCAGTACACTAACGTCAATCAAGTGTCAATTGTCCTCGAAGCGGTTGTTTTCGTTACTTATGGACTTCGTTACTTATGGAAAGCGCGTTGAGTCTCCGATTTGCCCGATTATATCCATGGGCTCGCGGACACATCTCCGGAATGAAGAGGAATGTAATAGATATCAATGCACACTACTTACAGTGCAACATAGCCAAGAACATCCAGCAGTTCAGTGTGATACAAGGCGTGTATGACCAATCAGCAATTGCAAGCCGAAGCATCAGGAATGTCGTTTGCTGGTGGTGCTGTCACGTCGATTTCTGTGGGCCGACATGGTCAACAACGAAATAGTGAAAGATTGACCAAGGACGCACTGGTATTTTGAGTATCGGCGACTTCTGTCTCCTTCTCCATACCGACGAGCTCCATAGCGATCTTCTTGAAGAGACTCTTTACGTTGTGCCCAGCCTTTGCGGACGTCTCCATGAACATTATCTCGAGCTGTGCCGCCTTCTGGTTGGCCTCTTCAAGGGTCACTTGCCTACGGGACAATTAGTACAGAAGTCGCGAGCCTCGGACGGTATGAATTACCGTTTGTCAGAAAGATCGGCCTTGTTCCCAACCAGCACAATATGACATCGTTCCCCCGTTCTGACCGTACGTCGTCTATCCATTTGGACGTTGACATGAACGACTGCCGGTCTGAAGCACGCGGTGAGCATAGATCACTCAAGCAACATTCAATAATGATACACACTTGTGATGTCAAAAACGACGATAGCCACGGAACAGTCACGGATGTAGGACGGTATTAGCGACCGATACCGTTCCTTAGTCCACGTCAGAGCTCTTCTTGGGTGCTAGCGACTACATTCTACTTACTTGCCCGGCGGTGTCCCACAGTTGTAGCCGTACTGTCCGGTCCTCCAGATACATGGCTTTGCTCAGGAAGTCAATCCCTATTGTTGCCTGGTACGTGTTGTCAAAGGTGTCGTACATGAATCTACACAGGCATGGTCAGCCGCCGCGGTGTGGAGTGGACAACAGTAGTTAGCAGCCATATGAGCGACCGTCATACCTTGTAATAAGACTGGTCTTTCCGACACTCTGGTCCCAGAAGGACGATCTTGCTGCGCTTCAGCGGTGGGGACGAGAAGTCGGCAGTTACGGGTGAGGTTGCCATAGTGTAAGTTGTCTATCGGGGCTCGTTGTTTAGGCAATTATGGGGTGTAGAAGAAGCAACCGTAGCAGACAAGAAGTTCGCTCGCTGCCTCTGACGGTGAGCAGAATAGCAGTGGTCGGGAGGTCGCAGGCGGGAATGACTGCCGCGAGGAACACGATCGGCGGGGTAAATGGAAGCACGTGATAGGCGTGCGGTTTCAATTTCCCGGAGGACTTGACCGATTGAATGGTCCGGCTCGCACACGACGATGGCTGACTCGAGTCTGACCACCATCGCTCCCTGTCCGCGCGTAGACGTGAACATGATGAAGCTCACGGAGAAGATCGCGAGATATGACAAGGATCGCCCCTGGTTCAGCTTTGAGTTCTTTCCGCCCAAGACAGATCAGGTCCGTGTACCGCGACGTTCGCCAGACTCGCTCCTGATGCGGTAGACGACAGGGATTTGAGAATCTGCTGTCTCGTATAGCTCGCCTGGTCACCCTTGCCCCCTGGCATTGAGCATAACATGGGGTGCTGGTGGAAATACAAAAGAGAGGAGTCTCGAGCTTGCAGGGATAACTCAATCAGACCATGGTGTCGACACTGTTCTCCATCTGACATGTACCAACATGAAGCAGGGCTTGATTGAAGATGCATTGCGCGTACGTTCGCGTCTCTATCACAATGATCGACATGACGCCGAGGTGTCTTTTCAGGACGCAAAGGCACGTGGGATCGAGACAGTTCTAGCTCTGCGAGGAGGTACGGAGAATGACTAAGTGAGATTGCTCAAGATTGATGTGTTCGTAGATCCTCCCCGTGGTCAAGAACACTGGATACCTACGGACCCACGCTTCACGCATGCCGTAGACCTTGTTCGTTTCATCAAGTCCACGCCGGAATTTGCGTCCGATTTCTGCGTCGGCGTGGCAGGTCTCTTATGCTCTCGCACTGTATTGGAGCAATGCTGACAGGCTGTCTATGCAGCTTATCCGGACGGACATCCCGATAAGGAGACCAGCGAGGAAGGAGAGCTAGACTTCCTGAAGCAGAAGATCGACGCTGGCGGTGATTTCATTATCACACAAATGTTCTACGACGTCGATGGCTTTTTATCCTGGGTCAAGAAAGTGCGGGCGAAAGGTAGATAACTCGGTTATCTTCGACGTGACAATGCTTAATTAGTCTAAAGGTATCACAGCACCTATCATCCCGGGCATCATGCCCATTCAAACGTATGCATCCTTTCTGCGCATGACCAAATTATGTGGGGCGCGGGTACCTCCGGAGCTCATGGCTGATCTTGTTTCAATACGAGTACGTTAATCAGTTGAGTGAATTGGCAGTCATTGACTCTGCGGCGCGCGGTAGAACGACGACCAGAAAGTCAAAGATTATGGCGTTGACCTCGCTGTCAAGATGATTCGACAGATAACCGCCAGCGGTGACATCCGTGGATTGCTCTTCTGCACGCTCAATCTGGAGAAGAGCGTTGTTCGCATCCTGGAGCATCTCCGCTGGGTTGGTGGAAGTTCGAAACCTGCAAATTACCTCATTGCGGTACACCGATATGTTCTCCCGCATTCATGTCAGTAGACCTAACAATTGTGCCAGGATACGCTGGTGGGACCGGATGAACGTTCTATTACTCCTCATCACGCAGCAGATTCTGCAGCAGTCTCCCTCGCTGTGGCAGGCCCACAGCCTGAGGGCGAGGCTGGCAAGGGCGAACTGAACAATGCCGTCAGCTGGGACGACTTCCCAAATGGTCGTTTCGGAGACTACAAGAGTCCCGCCTACGGTGAGACTGATCTCTGGGGAAGCTCGTTCCTATCTGTGCGTGTCTTTTCCTTGACGGTGCTTGTTCAGTCGGGTTAAATCTCCTCGTCAGCGCAACCAAGCACTCGAGCAGTGGGGTAATCCTCGAACGCTTGAGGACCTCACGACCATGTTTCTCCACCACCTCCATTCCAAGATTGCTACGACACCATTTTCTTCTACCCCCCTCTCTCCCGAGTCCCTCATGATCATTGAACATCTCGAACGGCTGACAAGGCATGGTTGGTGGACCGTTGGCTCGCAGCCTGCGATCAACGGCGCGAGCTCGGCGGATGAGGTAGTGGGCTGGGGCCCGCGAGGTGGATATGTGTATCAAAAGTGCTTCGTAGAATGCTTTGTCGAGCAGAAGGATCTTGAGAGGATTGAGCGCAAGGTCAGAGAGAAGGGTGAAGGGTGGGTTGGTTACTACGCGGGGAACGTTACGGTACGAGATATCTACTTCTTGGGTAGGGGGCGCTCGACCTCATAGCTTTTGCCAGGGTGAACTGCACACTACGGTGTCACAAGAAGGCAGGAATGCCGTTACATGGGGTATCTTCCCCGGGAAAGAGGTCGCTCAAACGACAATAATCGAGGAAGAATCGTTCCTCTCCTGGAAGGTAAGGTTGTCTCACATCTACGGTAGTACTTCTCATCAACGGGTGGGATCATCCAGGACGAGACCTTCGCCATCTGGGAAGAATGGGCGTCGTTTTTTCCTCCGGACTCCGACGAACGCAAGCTCTTGGACAGTGTGCGGAATGAGCGGTGGTTATTGACACTCATTCATCACGATTATTCGGATCCCTCTGCTCTGTGGTCATTCCTGTTCAAAGATGATCCTGTCTTCTAGTCTGTAATACCAATGTGATTCTGACGGGCGACGCCATTCATACCTGACTATTGTACCACCTGTCGTAAAATGTCACAAGAGCATCAGGAGGCGAGTTACTAGTCTCCCGTAGGCAGAGTCTAAACGCGACCTCAGAGAGTGGGACTTTGGGAGGACGGTCGCATAGCGAGTTACAGGCTGAGCGCTGAGCGGTGCGAAACGGGCGCTTGAGGACTCGTTTCCTCGATCCTCTGGATACTAGCATCGCGAGATAGGTAGTACAACTACATGATAGAACAGCATATTTGGACAGCTAGATAGCAAGTGTACACAACATACGATTAAATACAGCGGAAGTAGCGCTGCATTATATATACATCTCCGCGCCGTGCTCAAGCCAATGCAAAGCCTCGCGCGCCTTCTCCCTCACTTCGTCTTCCATAGAAAGGTTCAGCCCCGCTGAATACCTTACTATTGGACTCATACTCATCGCACTACCAGCATAGTCGCCGATATGCCGTAAGGTAGAATCGATGCCGACATCATGCAACGCCTTATGGCTGCGTGGGTTCGCCTTGACGAGCTCGAGGATGCAGCCGACGGCAGGACGCCGAACCTCCACCTTACTGTCCGTGAGGCACTGCTTCAATGCCTCTAGAAGCCGCACGTTGGAAAGGATATTGTCTTGTCGCGTTGGACTGTTGGCTATGTTAGCTAGTACGCAGATAGCCTAGTAAAGTCAGTATCAATTAGTCAGGTAATACAACTGTTGAGGATTCCTTCACGTACTTGGTGCAATACATCATCATTTTCCGACTGCATGCCCATCGCTACAAGTCCCAACACGTCACAGCCTAACTCATGGAAGAGTAGTTCGACATCATCGGTGTTATCCGCTATGTGGCGTGCGACATGGAAGGCCTGCTCCTGAATCGTAGGATCCGGATCCATAAGCAAGCTGCGCAGGACAAAAGTTAGCATTTTTCGAGTATATAATTGCAGGAATAGACGGACATCGCGAAATTATGCCACCCGATGGCATCCATGACTCTGCGTTTCACATCCGAAGAAGCATGGTATAGTAGGTTCTTGACGGCCCACAACGCGTTCAAACGGAGGTTCGAGTCGCCTGAGTGAAATAGCTGCACAAGCCTTGGAAGCAGACCTTGGTCTATCAATACCTACAGTGACCGCTTGTCAATCTGACGTATATTATTAACAGATCCGGTACCCACGTTGCGCAACGGCGAACATTCATTGACAAGGTTGCACACGACAGAAGATGCGGCGAATGTGACTTGACGATCTTCATCTTGCTTCTGGAACAGTCTGTACGCCGCCATGCCCACCCCACTATCAACGATGTTCGTGCGCAGGACAGCGACTGATCGGCTGATCGAGCGCACGCACTGGCACGCGGCGTAACGAACTCCAAGGTGGGGATGCGAAAGCGATACCTGTATTGCTGGTACTAATCCAAGTCCATCCGTCACCTGGCAACGGATTTTATCGTGGAAGAGCGAGATCGCGGCAACAGCCATGAAAGCAGCCTTGAGTGAATGCTGTGAGGAGGCGGACAAAGCTTTTGCATGGAAGATCGTACCTCTCGGAGACAGGATATGCTCTCGAGCTCGTCTTCTTGCCATTCCGGGCTCTGATCCGTGGGTGTTATGTCCTTGATGAGCTTTGCGAGCTTGTCAAGGGCTCCACGCTGCTCAGCAATGTCACAGAGTTCCTTCTTGTCTCGTACGAGTCTGTCTACAAAGCCGGTGTAAGCGAGATCTCGACCACTCTGTCAAACTGTTCCACTTACATAACGTGAAGCACGCTTTCGTCCTCGTGTGCGGCGACTCGGATTCGGACTCGATGCAGTGGTTGACTGCATACATCACGGTCAACACGGGCGAGTCGTCCACGGCCAATGCATAATTCCCGAATCCTGCCCGTATGATCTGCGTAGCGCTGTAGATGAACGTCAGGTACTAGCGTGACGCTACGTGAAGCCATGGACTTCTTACCAATGACAAGCAGACAGACGCACTTCTGTGACACGCGACCGACAGAAGGAAAGTATGAGTGTCAATGTTGCTGAAATCACCGCCGCAGTCAGTGAGTGAATTCGAAGCCTTTGCAAAGATGCATTACCTTCTCGGTCAGGCGATGCTTTCGCCAACCCTGCCGCAACTGTAGGATTGTCTCGCGCTAAACACGCGACAGCTCCAAGAACAGCTTCTTGCACCTTGGATCGCGGTACTATCAGCGATGATCACCCGGTGCAGACGGCTGAGCAATACCTTGCTGTCCTTCCTCTGCAACAGAGCTGTCAGCTGGCGCGTCACCCAGCCTCCTTGTCTGCTCGGTGACTTCGTGGCGTCCAGCTTCTCCCATCCCCGTTTCCCTTTGACCTCTTTCAAACGCTCGACAGGCGGTAGCCAGTCGGCAACAGCAGCCTGGTGCTCCTCATTCCGGACGGCGGATCCTAGTAGCTGGGCGATAGGTGTGCTGGTCTGTAGCGAGGGCTCTGTGAGGAGGGGCAAGTAAATGTCTAGGATATCAACCTGATATCAACAGTCAGCACTATTCAATTCAAAACGATGTGGCGCTGCTGACGAACGCCGAGGTGGCCCGGGAGGTGATGTAAACAGCGTCTCCTCTGCTCACCCGTTGTCCAGACAGCCGAGAGTGGGAGCACTCACCTGAAATAGGTAGTCAAGAGCCATCCTGGCTTCGTTCCGTACATCAACCGGAGCATCATTGCGTAGCCCCCATTGCGAAGGGCCTACAGCATCTGCGATTGCCACCGCAAGAGCTCGCAGTGCACGCGCGAATGCGGCTTTGAGTCTCGGAGGTTCGGTAGGCTGGAAAACCGAGATGGCGTACAGGAAAGCTTGGTGTGCGTTGAACCTCAAGAGAGTGCGCAGGGCATCCGAGGATCCTGTGAACACTATCATTAGTCGACCTCGACCTCACAAACTTCGGACGATACGCACCGTAAGACAGGGAGGCGATAACATGCGCTGCCTCTATGCGTACTTCATCGTGCGCAGCCAGAGCCTGGGGGTCCCCCGTGAAGAGTGGGTTGCCGACGCAGTCTACAAGTCTGGCATGCCATCAATTTGTTTGGATGGCCCACAATAGCTCGGTTACTTACGCAGCTATGAACGTATCATCGTGTGCCAAGGCAAGTTTGGCCGTTGGGTTGCCAATGACTGAGTTCTTTGCGCGCTTCAGCAGGGCAAGATTTACGGCGTGGACAGTCATGATGAACGGTTGCTATATGGGAGGCGAATGTTCATTGCAGATGTATGTACACAGTACTCGGGCTAGAACAGCCGCTTGGACTGTGGATAGTGGACGCTCAGGAGGTTCAGCCACTCGTTGAGCGCGATCGAGCGGGCCGACGCGTGAGATGAGATGGGTCGCGCTCCTCCCCTGAACCCCTCGACCTGGTTGACCACACATTCGCCATACTATCACCAACAGAATGACCCAAGGCGAAGATCTTTACGCCGTAGCAGGTGCGCGGTACTCGGCGTAGTCGACGTCGGCTCCGATGATTGTCCTGCGACGTCTAACCACGGGCGGGCAGACTTCTGCTTAGTGCCAATGGGCACAGGAGAGCCATCGGTACGTGATGCACAAGACTGCACTTCCAGCGAAAATCGCAGACTGATGTGTGACGCGCACGTACATTTGCTGTAGGTCGCTGAGTATGTGGCTGAGTGCGTCAGGGTGCTCGAGAAGACCGGGCTGAAGTTCAAGGTAGGCGTTGGCTTTCATTCGCCCATTTGAGCCCCGTAGTTTACAAGGAGCCGCGTTGCAGATGCAGTGAGTCATTCGCATGACTATACGACGAGGATGGTGTTCAACTGGCCTTGCCTCACTTAGCGGGTACGGAACTAATCTAGGTGGGTCACCGCGATCATGCACAACATCTTCACCTTCTCATATCGCAATTGATCACAGAAGGCCCTTGGTCGACAGTCATGCAAGCTATTCACGATTGCCATGCCGCTGTACACGCCAAGGGTGCTCCTCGCATAGCGACCGACATTCGAATCGGCACTCGCGTGGACAAGGAGATTGAGTTTGGTACTGGCAACGATTCGAAGGTCAAGCGCGTCGAAGACATCCTCGCCCGAGACCAGAAAGCCTAATCATCTCAAGGAGTGGAAAGTAGAGTGTGTCCGAAGCAAAGTTCGTTGTACCTTGTATGTGTACGCGCTACTTAGCCTGCAGATCGTAGACTTCATGATGTAATGGTAGATGCGCCGTGGGGGATAAGGCGATCCGCTTGGAATGCGTATAGAGTCAGAACGGTGCCTCGCTGAATGTTTGCTTGCACATTTTTCTCAGCTGGGTGGGAGTGGTTTGAGAGCGGCGGCCATGGATCGACCGAGCAGTGAAGGTGGCGTGACGATTTTACCCGAAGCGTTTCTCGGCACGCGTCCCGCGTCTTGCCCATTTACCTCTGCCAGCGACACGACCGCCATCCCCTTTCACTCCTTCCACCATGGCCTCCCTTGCACGGTTACGGACTGGCATCGCCCGTGCGCGTAAAATTGTGCGTCTCTCTGAGACTAAATGGATGTGCACACGCTAACACTGGCCGTTCCCAGCCCTTCGCCCGCACCCTTCAGACATCAGCGGACTCAACCACCCTGCAGGAGGATGCGTCGCACTCCGAGCCCTTCGCGGTCAAGCTCCACGAAGACTCCTTCCACAGCTACAGGACCGAAACTCCCGACCTCGACATGACCGTGACGAAGGAGTCGCTCCTCAGGATCTACAAGGATATGGCTACTGTCCGTCGCATGGAGCAAGCCGCAGATGCCCTCTACAAGCAGAAGCTTATTCGTGGGTTCTGCCATCTTGCCATTGGCCAGGTATGTTCATGACCAACTATGCCCGGCTTCAAAGATGTATTTACGCCTGGACGCGATACGATAGGAAGCCGTTTCGGTCGGCATGGCCAACTCCCTGACCCCCGACGACAACATCATCTCTTCCTACCGCACACATCCCTTCGCACTGCTGCGCGGCGGCAGCGTCGTCGGTCTCATCGGCGAGCTGCTCGGCCGTCAGTGTGGTATCTCGAAGGGCAAGGGTGGCTCCATGCACGTCTTCACGGAGTCTTTCCAGGGTGGGCATGGTATCGTCGGCGCACAGGTCCCGCTTGGCGCGGGCCTGGCGTTCGCGGCTAAGTACTTAGAGAAGCCCGTCGCGACGTACACCATGTATGGTGACGGTGCGAGCAACCAGGGTCAGGTGTTCGAGTCGTTCAACATGGTGTGTCTGGAGAAAGCTCTGCAACTTGCTGGGGCGCTGACGTGGATATGTGAATGTAGGCGAAGTTGTGGAACCTGCCGTGTATCTTCGTCTGCGAGAACAACAAGTACGGTATGGGTACTTCCGCGGAGCGTAGCTCGTCCAACACCCAGTACTACACTCGTGGTGACTTGATCCCGGGTATCCAGGTCAGTCCAGTTTGCATCCTCGGGCGACGCGTCTGACGTCTCTTTCAGTGCAATGGTATGGATGTCCTTGCGGTCATGAAGGCCGTTCAGCACACCAAGGACTGGGTGGTGAACGGCAATGGACCCATTCTCCTGGAGTTTGTTACCTACCGTTACGGTGGTCACTCGTGCGTCTGCTTGCACTCTTTGAGTGAACATTGACCTCATCTTACACTCCCTTGTTTACAGGATGTCCGATCCTGGAACGACCTACCGTACCCGTGACGAGGTCCAGCGCATGCGTAGCACGCACGATCCCATTCGCGGTCTCCAGCGCTACATTGAGGAGTGGGGTCTTGCGAACGAGGAGGACATGAAGGTCTGTCGAGACGTTTTGCGCCTTGACTGAGCCCCTAACTGAATGCGTGGTGCAGAAAATCGACAAGCAGGCGAAGGCGGATGTCGACGCTGCTGTTGAGGAGGCGAAGGCTTCGCCGTTCCCTGAGGAAGACAAGATGTGGACCGACATCTACGCCAAGGGCACCGAGCCCCCGTTCATGCGCGGTCGCGAGCGGGAGGAGGTAAGCACAGTCCATCGGTGTCATCCGATATTCGTCGCTGACCGTCATGGCAGATCCACGTCTATTGATTGGCACGATGGTGGAGGTGATCTGGGTCGGTCGTCGTTATGTTGTCGTTATTATGGTACAGTAATATAGATGCCATGTGCTAGTCTTGGACTCTTCGCGTGCATCCTTCCGGCTAGCGAGGCATTGCCTGCGATTCTTGAAGCCTGGTGTGGCACGGCCGGATAATTTTCAGTGGAGTGCGATAGTGTAGTGGTTATTATGGTTGGATGCTACAGGCCGCCTCCTGGTACATCGACAACTGTGCCATCGTCCGCGATGACCTTGAATCGCACTGCGATAGCTGTAAGCGGCATGACAGGCTGTGAATACAAATGCACTCACGAATTGTGAATGGTTCGCCCTTCGCCTTCCTAATACTCGTGAAGTAGAGCGTGCCGGCGCCTGGCATCACTGTGAGCTACCTCCATATAACAGTGGCGACCAACGTACGCTTGTGACCTTTCAGCCTGAAGCTCAGGTCGACGTTACCCTGCATCAGGCGAATCTACACCGGGTATGAAGGGCATTCTCCCCGTTCGCGAAAGCATAGACGTACCGAGCCATTGATCCAAGGGTCTCCATTCAGCCACCAAACGGGCTCAGGGCGTATGGCCTCGCCCAGGATCTCCTTGAGTTCTGCGCTGTCGCGGACGGTCTCCATGACTTGCCGCATGACAGAGCTCGAGAGCTTCTCCTGGTTCTTACTCCATGCTAGGAACAGCGCCCACGCACCCACTCCCACCGTAGCGAAAGCGAGGACTACAGGCCATCTTCTCTGCATTTGACAGTTTGTTAGTCTGAGTGACTAGGAGCATACGCATGTGAGCTTACCTCAAGTGGAGGGAGATCTCGCTCAGGTCGCTTGTAGTATTGCCTTGGTTTGGATGCTTCGGTGAAGGACTCTGGTGGAGGAAGGTCCTTCAGAGGAGGAGCCTTTGGGATTTGGGAGGTATTCGCGTAGGACCTCGCACTGTTCGCGAATGAAGACCTATGGCTGGCTAAACATCGCCGGGCAAACGCGGACGTGAGAGGCTGAGAGATCGAGGACATGGTAACTAGAGAAAGCTGCACAGTAGAGTCCCAAGTCGTCGTTGCCTATTAGCAGTCGCTTTGGAGATTTCAGTACTCAGTTCATAGGCGTGCTTTTTGAGGAGAACTGTGTCGGACGCGGGTCGGACGTCCTCGACGCGCCAGACGCGTCACGCGCACATCACGACGCGTCGCGGCTGTGGGCGCCTGCATCAATCGCGTACCATGAGTGCAGCCACCGTGTCTTCCTCTCCCTCCCGGCACGCTTCCACCTCCTCTCCTCAGCCCCAGAACCCAATTGCTTTACGACTCTACAAGGTACTAGGCGCGAACTTCGAGGATGGAGCTACCCGCGAAGCGCTCCAGACGCTCTCTGAGCTCTATGCTCCATTGCCGGTCGCGTATCCGCCCGCAAAGGGCAGGGACGTGAGCCGAGATGGCGATGATGCTCAACTAGACGATATCGAAGACGGCGACGTGAAATCCAAGCCCGCAGTAAACGGTGTGCGTGTTGCGGACCCTCTTCCTGGTGACATCGCGGCAAGGGCACGCAGGAACCTCAGACGTGACGTCGAGAGCAGACTTGCGGACTCGAGTCGCAAGTTCCTGAAGGCTTTCGGAGAGGTAGATAAGGTATGTTGGGCCCATTACACTTTTCTGGATTTTTTTGGCTGTGAAACGATTCGTGGACGACCTCCCCGAGCTTTGTATCGGACCGTACACATATAAGCCTCCTGGGACAAGGCAGGGCCCATGCTTGCATGTCGTGCGACTATCACTCTCGACTTGATGGTTTGCGCTTCCAGGCGGCGAGAGGTTGGTCTGCTGGTATGTACCAGAAGAGCGAAAGTACATCCCTACATCCAGTCCAGAGCATCGGCACAAGAGCACGAATACAAGAGGATGGAAGGCCTGAGTACGTCTCAGAACACTCCTACTCTGCTGATGTTGAAGCTCAACTGTGTATAGGTCAGCATTCTCTCACCCAGCCTGTCCGGGCTATACCTTCGAGAGGATTCTCTGAGAGACCTCTCGAACCCACTTAGCCGCGCAAAGGCACTCCTTGGTCATCGGCCCACTTTCCACTTTCTGCCTTCCGATATGACTGTCCTATCACATCCACATCGTATGTATCACTCATGCTCATCACTGTAGCAACTAGACACCTTACAAGAACACCTGAGCGCCATGCGCGTGCGCTGTGATGAGGCGCAAACACAATTGGACGATACCAATGACGCGTGTAAGTCCCTGCTTGACCGAGCTGGAAGTCTGCGCGAGGAAAGGTCAATGTCGTGTGCATTCCCCATGCGAAATCCTGCTCATATGATTCCAGGCAAGTCATCACAACGCGCCAGTCCATCGTTTCGCTGTTGTTAGGCCGATTCACGCTGGATGAGGAAGAGAAGGAGGCATTGACGTCGAGAGATGTCCCCGTCGACAAACGCTTCTTCCGGGCAATGGATAAGGCGGAGAAAATTCGAGACGATTGCCGTGTGCTGATGACGGGGGAAGATGGGCCGACCCCAGCAGGGTGCGTCTCGCCAATTGTTCGTCCTTGTTTAAGGAGAAGTCCGAATTGATCGACCGGCCGTCTGGCGTGTCTAGGGTGGATATTCTGTCTGCCACATCCAGCTACCTGGAGCAGGCGTATCAGAAGATATTCCGCTGGTGCTGCTTCGAGTTCCGGCAAATGGGGCGTGATGCCCAGCTGGAAGTCGGCCCTTCTATGCGCGAGGCCGTGCGCAGGCTTCGAGAGCGCACAGAACTTATAACGTATGTCTCAAACCAGTGATTGTTTATGGCCACTGAGCATGGCGCAGCGAGGCTCTCACGTACCTATCCCATACGAGACAAGACACACTACTCACGGCCTTCACCAACGCGTTGACTCGCGGTGGGCCTGGCGGGTTGCCACGCCCCATCGAGATGCATGCGCATGACCCGCTCCGGTACGTTGGCGACATGCTTGCGTGGGTTCATCAGGCTATCGCGGCCGAAAGAGAATTTTTGGAGAGCCTCTTCGGTGTCCGAGGGGACAGGAGAATGGTCGGTAGTATTCGGAGATTCGCTGCGAGCGTGGAGGAAGAATGGATGGGCGAACTCATGGACGCTGCGGTTGGAAAGCTGTGTACACCGCTGAAGGTTTGTGAAACGAAGCTTACGATGTCATAAGATGACGGATTTTGATCGTAGGTCAGAGTGCAGCAGACCGTGCGCTCGCAGGAAAGCAGTATCACATCCTACAAGATCGCGAACCTACTGCAATTCTACATGCTGACGATGCAGCGGACCATCGGGGAAGAAGCAGTCTTGTCAAAAGCCTTAAAAGAGTACGTCGCGTGTCATACATAGTCTATGACGTATACCGTCCTGACTGCATGATTGCGTAGAATGACGGATATGGCATTTGAGGTGTTCTTTGATTCAATTGACACTCAGGGCAGGTCACTTCTTCGTGTTCCACCTGTAGGTGCAATGACGCCGATGCATCGGAATCAGCTGAATTGACCAACGTGTAGGACTTAGACGACACCAGCGTCTCGCCGCCCCTAATTATCCTCGACCATGCACAAGTGCTGCGCGAGATAATGGTCGTGTACGACTCGTCTTTGATGGGGGACGAGACCGAGGAACAACTGGTCGCGGGGTTCAGGGATATCATGGACAAGATGGTCGACCCCGCGATTGAAACGTGCATGACGTCTTCGGAAGAGAAGAGGAAGCATCGACCAACCTGGGACAAATCAGTCTTCGTGCTGAACACGTTGGCATATCTGCAGGGCGTCATCGAGCCGTTCCGGTTCACCGCAGAGAAGCAAGGCGTCATTCAGGGTCTCGTCGAGACTAAGGTGCTGCAGCTGACAGAGGAACATGTGGGTATCTGCGGTGCACTGTTTAGGTTATTGGACTGACCTGCGACGCGTGTTGGTCGCGCGTGGCCGGATCAGTATAGGAATCTTTCAAAGGAGGCGGGGCTACACGACGTGGTCGCAGCGATTGAGGGTCGTCATCCGAGTGTATGTTGCGCCAAAGATTTGGGAATCACCATACTGATGAAGTCATGCTATCTCACAGGAACCCCTGTCGCGCATCCCCGCGACACAGACCTCTCGGCTGCAGACAGCACTGCGCGAATTCTCTCGCTGGCTTTCCGGACCGGGCGTCGTCGAGTCGCCACGTTTGTCGCAGCTGACACTGCAGAGCCTGGCGACGCGAGTGCATCAAGCGGCATTGCAGCGCTTGGCAGAGGCATATCAGCGCGTCTGCGAGGAGGTGCGTAGGCCGGAGAACAGGTACGAGGCGGCGGCGACGCTGCTAGGGAGCGAGCGGCCGTTTGGGCAGGTGCACCTACTCTGGCAGATATTTGGGCTGCAGGACGACGGGCAGGGTGGGCGGACTGGCTAGGGCAAGTAGAGATCTGCCAGGACGTGGCGCGCGGTGTGAGAGACGAACCCGGACGGACGGCGAAAAATATCAAGGGTGGTTCCTACGTCAGACGATTTAATAGGATTTTAGCGAATCGATGGCTGGTAATAGGCAGCCTTTTGCGCCTCCTCATGCTGCCTCCTTGACCACGCCGAAGACCGAGTACAGGGCGCGCTAACTCTCGTCCGAGCGTGTGAGTTGTACCCTATTTGGCAGTGGCGGACGTGCCCTCCTCGCCGGTGGCTATCGCCTGCTCTCCTCCCTCTTCCTCCGCTGCAAGAAACACAGCTCCAGTTCTGCTTTTCCTGTCATGTCCCTCGACCAGCAGGTCGCCCTTGCTCGCCCAGATCCCATCCGAAGCGAGTCGTCCCATCTTAGCAGGGCCGCGCGGCAGGTTGTACCGCCGTTCCTTCAGAAACTTTACGAGTGCGTATATCCTATGTGTTCCCCAACCTTTGCTCAGCTGTATGCCTCTGTATTTCAGGATAGTTAATGATCCTCGCAATGACGAGTTGATTCGGTGGTCGGAGAATGGCGACTCTTTCTACGGTACGTCCGCTCAGACTGATGTCACCTATGGATGCCGTAATACGCGCACTAGTTCTCAACCACGAGCGCTTTGCCCGCGAGGTGCTCGGTCGCTGGTTTAAGCACCAGAAGTTCACCTCCTTTGTCCGGCAGCTCAATATGTACGGCTTCCACAAAATCCCACACCTCCAGCAGGGAGTCCTTAAGAGTGACACTGACACCGAGCCTTGGAACTTCGAGCACCCACATTTCCATCGCGGACAGCCCGACCTGCTCTGCCTCATACAGCGCAAGAAGCAGCCGGCCAATAGTAACGCCGAGGACGGCGATGTCCCAGACACCACCAATACATCTACGTCTCATGTCCCGCCGTCTGGGCAAGTATTGGATATAACTCCGTAGTCAACGGGATCGCGGCTATCAAGCGTCACCAGCAAGCCATTTCAGCGGATCTGAATGCGTTGAAGAAGTCGAACGAGATGCTGTGGGAGGAGGCGACGCTTGCGCGGCAGAGGCACGACAAACACCAGGACACGATCAACCGTATTCTGAAGTTTTTGGCCGGAGTGTTCGGCCACTCGACGGATACACTGAACACCAAGAACGACACCGGTCGTTCCCCCAGCGTTGCTCCCCGTGCACGACAGAGACTCATGATTGGTGACGGGAGGGCTGCTAAGGGGGCAAAGGCTGTTGAAATCGCCGACGTCGCTGACGACGACGATGTCGATTTGCTTCACTCGGCGCATCCGCAGGAGGGTGCAACTACGCCACTTGCTGGTAAGTTCCCATACGACATCTTGCAACAACTCGTGTACGAAATACAACGCCACGCAGGCCAGCTGTCTTCTATCGAGTCTCCGTTGATGTCTCCGACGCCTTCCACCGCCCCTTCGGAAACATTCTCCCCTAGCATCATCGAAACGACATCGCCAGGATTCGCTGGCCGACCGACGCGGCCTACAGAGGTACTGTCGAGGACAAACACCAGCAACACCTCTAACCACGGTTCCGCGACAGACGTCCCCTCACGAACTACTCCTCCGCCTCTCGGCACCGCGTCTGAACCCACTGTATCACCCTCAACATTAGCTGCTCTCACAGCGAATACAGCAGGCTCTTACCTCCCGGACACCGCGTGGCAGACGGCGATTCAGCAGGTTCTCAACAATCCCCAGCAGATGCAGCGCTTGATGCAGGCTCTTGCTACGCAGCAGGGCTATTCTATGGCTCCCCCTCCCGACTCTACCTTCATACCTCAGCAGCCTCCCTCCGCCCAGCTGGCACCATATACTCCCGCTCCCTTTGATTACAGCCGCTATCGAACGGAGCTACCCGTACAGGTCCCTCCTTCGACATTACCATTGCTCAGTCAATCCATCCCAGCTCACGACGAAGCGCCATCACTGGAGCCGTTGCTAGACAACGCTTCACGTCTGCAGAAGTCGTATAGGGATGCCGTGGAGATCGAGGCCGATATGGACCAGCTGCAGTCGAGCCTGCACTCGCTGATTCACGACCTAGGCATGGACCCGCAAGCTCTTCTCGCCCAGAACCAGGAGCAGGCTCGCCAGTGCAGTGGTTCGTACACGAATGGTGCAGGCTCTATCCAGTCGGCTGGGAACGGGATGCAGCAGAACGGTATCGGAATGTCGAACGAACCCCTTTGCTTAACGGCTACGACAGTCATCCCGGAGACCCGTCGTCGGACCTCTTCCTGGAGTCGCTGCTGAACGGGATGGGGTCGACAAGTGATTCAAACCTTGACTATTCGGATGTCACGGACCGCTTCGATCCCGCGACCCAAATCGACGGCACCACCGTCGGTGACGCATCTACGGAACAACTCGCGGCGTTTCTGGACGACGTCTCGGACACGGCCTCTCCCATGTCCAATCCTACTGACGTCGCGCCCGTGCCGCAGAAGCGCAAGTCGGATGCGGCGGGCTTGTCATTACCTTCCTTCAATACGGTTGATCATGTACTAGCGGGCCCAAAGACGAAGCGGAAGAGATAAATATCTGTATTACCGTTCCGTATTAGAATGTACTTGTATCAGTACTGGCATAGTGTATCCTATAACCGCGAGAGGAAAGGAGAGTGCGTAGCTAGCGAAATCCAAGCGCAGTACGTTACTATGTATAATCCCATTACTCGATTGTGACAGGCGAGTTTGTGGGCTGAGCCAGCGGTGGGGGCGGACCGGGGGATGGTATCGGGTTGCCATTAGCGTCGACCAGGTCAGCGCTGAAGGAAGACAGAATGACTTCCGCTTTCAGAGGTGCGCCCCCGGAGATCTCTTTGTCGATAGCTTGCAACCGAGCATGCGTGCGCATATCTTCCTCTTGGGTTTCCTGTATGTATTCCTTGGGTGGCTTCGGGGCCAGAGGCGGCGGCGGCGGCGGAGTGACTGGTGCTGCATACCGTCCCGCGCCGTTGACCAGAGGAGGGGTCGCAGAGGGAACAGGAGGTAAGGCCACGCCATTCGGCGGCTTCGTCACAGGGTCCTCGACTTCGTACATCGCCTTCAATCGGGCCTTCTCCTCGGCCGCGGTCAGCGGACGAGAGCCCGAACCACTAACAGGCGGTACTGCATGAGGCCGGGGTGGTGTGGGCATAGCCCGTGAACCAGCACCGGCACTGAATGAACCAGAACGTGGTGGTGGTGTGGGTGCGCCGTTAGACGCGAGCGCCGCATCCTGAGCCTCAAACCTACGCCGCAGCATTTCCTTCTCAGCAGCAGCACTCGACATCGCTGAGGAGGCTGCTGGAATCGACAGGGGCGTGGCTGTCACGGGTGCTACGGGCTGGTAGGCTGGTGACCCTACGGCGCTCATGGGAGGCAGAGCATGCGGTGGGGGTGCAGGCGGCGAAGCCATCGCCGCCGCGTCTCGAGCTTCGTAGTCGCGTCGCAGTCGCTCTTTCTCGGATAAATAGGCAGGCTGTGAAGAAGATGGAGCAGAAGGAGGGGATGAATCACCGACTGTCGGCGGGGATGTTGGTTGGGAAGGGTAAAGAGCGTCATAGGGCAACGGTGCAGCAGGCGTTGAGGGTGATACACCGAATGCGGTTTCCTGCGTGCGATCAACGGCTGCTTTGGCTTCGTAGAACCGACGCATGGCAATTTTTTCCTCTTCCGCAGACATATACGTAGGCATGCGGCCGCGGACGGAGGAGGGCGGGGAGGCATGATAACCTCCCGAACTGCCTTGAGCAGGCGGCGGAGTGTGAGGCGCGGGGCCGGCTGTGGGTTCGATTTGGGCTCTCATTGACGGCGATGACATTGGTGAGTTTGAGGCGACCGACTCGCTCCTGTTGTGAATAGATGCTGGCGGGGAGCTCGTGACAGAGCCGTCAAGACCCTGAGCACGAGCCACAGCTGCCTGTGCGTTCTCGAAAAGCCTGGCCTTCTCTTCTTCAGCTGTCAGCCATCGTTTGGCCTTGGGCTTGGGCGCAGGGGTCTGCGTTGCAGGATTGGGGACTGGCAAGCTCACCGTGTCGGGTGCGGGCGTCGAGGGAGCAACAGAATCTTGCACAGACTAGAACGCCTTCATCAGAACAGTATTCCGTAAGTGCTGAAGCGTAACTCACCCCGACGGGACTGAGAGGCCGAGGCACGGGCACGCCCTGCACTCTCTCGACATTCGCAACAGCCCTCTCGTACAGCCGTCGTTTCTCCTCCTCGGCGGTCAGCCAGCGCGAACGTGTGGTATTCTGGCTTGATGCAGTCGAAGGGCGCTCAGCGGCGGCGGTGCTGCCCTGCGCGCGACTAGCGCTGGCCCTCTCCGCCGCCCTATGCTCCGCGAGCTCAGCCTCGTTCAAGTTCGTCACAGTAAACCGCTGACTACCCGCCTTCGCACTTCCTGCTCGCGGACGCGCAAAGGCAGTGGTCTCGCTCGCGTAAGGCGCGATACGGCCAAGTCCTGAACCTGAGCCCGAACCGCCCAGGCCCGGTGTGCCGCCTATTGTCTGTGCACCATAGCTTTGGGAGCGCTCCGGTGAGTTGACATTCGACTCCTGGTCTTTAGCCACAGCCTTGGCGGTGACACCGAACTCGTCGGGCTTGCCTGCCACTGCGTTGCCGTTGGACCGCTCCGCCGGCGCCGTGTTATACTGCCCAACGGACGGACGACTGATCACGACGTCCACTTGAGAGTCTGTGCTCTGGGCAGTGGACGGCCGCGCCTGGTTCTTTATGATCGGCTGGCCGATGAGAGGCACAGAGGACGCGGATGACGACGTGACTGCACTAGCCGCGGGAGCGGGGCGGCCGGGCGTGGAAACATTGGGCGCCAGGCCGATGCGCCTGGACGAAATAGTCAGTCTCATGCCCCAATCATGTCAGGGCCAAACCCACCTCATTGCCTCAATCGATACAGCCCTGTAAGTCAACGCGACGTCAGATATGTTTGGTGGGATAGACGGGACGCGTCCAAGACGAACCTTGGCCAATTCGATACGAGTACCGGAAGGTCAAAGGAGACGTGCTGGGTGGTAGCCATAAGAGCCTTCACGACAAGGTGGTAGGTGATATCGATATGTCTAGCAGTATTGAGTGTCGTGGAAGTGTGCTGAGCCGGGACTGTGACGAAGAGGTCTGCTTTGTGCTGCATCCCGCCGAAGAGCGCGGCGTTCAGCGGCACCCTCTGCTCGGCGATGTGCACCACCTTGATCACTGGTGCTCCCTTCTTCCCGGTGGTATGTGGGCCTCCGCGGTAGACAGTCGTCTCGCGGAGGGTGAGTTCGAAGCCCCGGAGGGTATCCTTGTGCATGTTGTCCGCTTTCACGGTCGCACTGACCGCGATGCGGTCGCCGGGCCCGAAACACGTACGACCGCGCTCCACAATGAGGGTCACGTCGCCTTGTACGTGGCTACGCGTCTCTGGCTGCTGGTAGATAGGCCAAGTCGAGTGCAGTTCATGCTTGTCGATAATGATCGTCGACGAAGCTGTGGTGATCGTCGGCTTGTCGCGTCGTAGCAGGCCTCTGCGCCCACCAGTAAGGCATGATTCGCAATAGTTAGCGGACCACGTACCTCTTGCCCTTCAAACAGACTGCTGCAATGAGTTCGTACCTGATGCCGGCTGACGTTGACGTGTTTAGGATTGGTTTGACGCGCGACGTATCAAGTGAGGACAACTCACCGCCTTTTTCAAGCGCAATGCTGGGGGGTATCGATTCAGGTATCCGGATGTAGAAAGGAAAGTCTTGCTGCAGGGTTGGTCAATCGACCGTGTCGCCCTCATAACTCGTGAAGAGCGCACCGTATGCAACATGCCATACTCCTCGCTGGCTTGCCATACGTTGATAGGGCTCTGGCCGACATAGTCATAGAATGTGCCCCCGCCGGGCAGTACCTCAACTTTCTTGAGCTCGATGCGAACCCACTTGGCCTTGACTCCCTGGCCACCACGCGCACCTCGATTGCCTGGCCAAGGGAGGCGTTAGCCCGTGCTGTGCTCTAGCCGGGAAAGTATGCGTACGCCTTTTACTGCAGCTTGCGGACGGTCAGCGCCGCCAGGTGGGATGCCGGGGTAGCCTAGGCTGGCGGTGAGGGGCGCGCGTCAGAAGTCTGGACAATCAGACGCACCTTGGACGAAGTCGATATTCGGAGGCGGCCGTAGTGTTCTAGAGACGCCATGGTGAGTACTTGGGTCGTGCGAACGGGGAGAGCGACGAGCTCACAGCTTTGCGAGCGACATGGGAGCAGGTGGGTATAATATGGTACAGGAGCAAGGACCGTTGGCGCTGGTTGGGAACAGTCCGAAGATGACGGTCCTCGCTGTTTCACGCCAGGCCTGCAGCCACGCCGCTGCCCTCCCGCCGGCGCTCTCTCCCCTCATCATTCCCATCAATGCGCCGGCCTCCCGCGGACCACACGTCCCCTTTCGGACGCCTGGAGACCACCCCGGCAGACGCCGTCCCCGTGTACACGACCGCATCAGGCTGCACGACGCGCGCAATTTTGAACTCTCTGTCCACCTCACTGCACTTCTGCTCTACCATGGCATCCAGCTTCATCGGGTTCGCTCACTCTCCCTAGCCCTGCTGCATAGCAACTGATGCCACTCGGCACAGAAAGCCTATTTCTCTTATTTCTCATTCAGATGTACGATACCGGGGTATCCTAGCGGGCATCGACCCAGCCGCGTCGACCATCCAGCTCTCCAACGGTGCGTGATACTCTGCACGACGCGTTGCCAGCTCTGATGATGTTACGCCAGTGTACTCGATGGGGACAGAGTCGCGGCGGTAAGTGTCTTTACCCGGTTACCATAGCTCTTCGTGATGAAGTATTGCGGATGTCAACGAGTATAGCTCGACTGTCCGAGAGCGCATAACAACCGTGTGGATGTTTCCGCTGCCTTCCTTCTGATTCGTGATTTCGATGTGCCTTCTGCATCGCGGGCGCTGACGTGTCTTGTCTCTAGCCCGCCAGAACAGTTCATTCCGCCTGTGCAAGAGCCCTACCATACATCATCTTTCGCGCTTCAGAAGTGAAGGATCTCGCAGTCGATGAACCAGGACCAAGGCGAAACGTTCACGATGACCCGGCTGTCCTGGGGTAAGTCTTCGCCTTCTGTTGCAGGGCATTTATGCAGTGATGAAACCATTCACGGATGTAAACGAGCTTCGTGCTCACATAACCGAGAGCGCATTTCTGTGTGGATAACCCGTTGCCTTCCTTCTGACGCGCCATTGCCTTGTACAACGAACATGATGCTCACGACGACTTAGGCCTCGGCACCGATGCTGAACAATGGATTCTCCACTCCTTACCAGCAAACTTTCCCTCCCCAATCCGCGGCTTCCCAACAATCTCAACCCTCGCAGTCTGCAAGGCAACCACCATATCCTGTCCGGCAGCCATCGGCGCAACCCTCTGCTCCACAGGCAAACGGTTCGTCACCTGGAGGGTCGTCTCCGCAGAGCGCGCAAGCGGCGGGCAGCCGTCCCACGCGGAACAATTCGGTCCATACTGCCACAGCATCCCTGGAGACGGTCGAGCGTGCCCTCGGTGACCTACGCGTCTCTCAGGCTACCGCGAACGGCGCACCTGTACCGCGTTCCGGCGGCCGACGCGGTGGACGGGGACAGGGGGGCGACCTCCGCGTTCCCGCGACGGACTTTGACTTCCAGAGCTCGAATGCGCGGTTCGACAAGTCCGCCATCTCGCCGCGGGGGACACCGAAAACTGACGGGGGAGCTGATGGGGAGAAGGACGAGAAGGAGAAGGCCGCTGAGGAGGAGGCCGCGTATAACCCAAAGAGGTCGTTCTTCGACTCGTTATCCTCGGGGAGCAACGGTCCTTCGGCGGATGCAAGGGGCGGTGGACGTGGGGGCCGTAGGGGAGGCGGGAGGAATAGGAGAGAGGAGGAGAGGGAAAGGAACGTTGCGACGTTTGGTGAGCCTGGTGGTGTGGGTCTTATGGGCCCTGGGCAGTACGTTGGCGGCTGGGGAGGGTACGGCAGGCGAGGCGGAGGTAGGGGAAGGCGAGGCGCGGCTGCTACCGCTGTAGCGCGTTAGCTGTGCATGGCCTTCACATGGACTCGTAGTGTGATTGTTTGGTGTGGTGTTCGACAGTAGGTTGAACGAGGTATCGCTTGTGGTCTGCTTTGCCTGTTGGTCTTTCATCCTGTTTGTTGTTCCTGACTGCTCGGCTGAGCCGTTTTCCTGAGACACAAACTTCTTGTATCCACTTGAGTAGGATGAGCACAGAGAATACCCGCGTACTGCGAATGAACACGGTAGCTGGTCGAGGTATGTCGACGATTACTGAGTATGTACTGAGTAGATGGCATCATGCATAGCGAGGATGTCTCAGACTGCCAAGTATTGCGGGACTCATCGAGCTTATCGACGAATCATTCTACATATTCTTGACATTAATCACGACTGTCAATGTCGCGTGAAAGTCACAATGTAGGTGTGCGAGGTGTGCGCCTGTGCGCGATGTGTCTAACAACGACACCTTCCATCTTGGGATGCGCCCAGCGTGGGAACATTGCAAACTTAGTGATCGGGACCGCGTACATGTAGCGTTCACTCCCACTTGCAACATGGCTCAGCACATTCCTCTCATCGCCACCCGGTTGCTCTCACTGCCCAGTCTGCTCACGCAGATATCCAGGAGCCTGATATAGGTGAGTGGTGCTGCAGTACTTATACTTGTGTGATGAAACGCACTGGGCTCTGAGACATACTCCGAGATGTCACGCACTACGTCCTCACGAGGATGGCGGCCTAGAAAACCGTTAACTGACCTATTCTGTGATCCATTGCATGTCCTCATCATGAACTGACACATCACCCTCAGGACAGGCGAACCTACGACATCGCCTCCATGGCATCGACCGGCAACGAAAATGCCACCGTTCCCACTACAGCTGGGAGCAGCACGGACGCGCAGGTAGAAGACTTCGTCGATGTGGTGAATGACATGGCAAACGGATTAGCGTCCGTCAGAGAGACGATAAAATCACTACAACAGCAGTGCGTACGCCGCGTCACGTTCTTACGCGTTAACTCATTTTCGCCTTGGCAATTTGTAGGCATGCAGCGGCTCAACTAGAGACGAAAAATGGCATTTCGCTGCTATCCCTCAAGCACCACATGATGCTGTCATACATTCAATCGCTGGCACTGATCTCTTCTCGACGAGCCGCTGGAGACTCGTTGACTGACAAGACACCGCCTGCAATGCCGTTCGGTGCACCTGAGCGTACTGCGCGAGGATCGGGAGCGGGTGATCGTGTCGACTCAGTCATCGAGGCCCGTGTTGTTCTTGAGAAGATCAAGGTGCTTGAGGGGCGTATGAAGTACCAGATCGAGAAGCTGGTGCGCGTTGCGGAAGAAGCACCCTCTGCCTCAGTAAACGGCGAGTGATCATCAGCTCTGTTTGCGAACAAATGGGCTTATCCGTGTCCATAGACCCTCTCGCGTTCCGACCCAACCCTCAAGCCCTCATGGATCAAGAATCCGACTCAGAAGGAGAGGACGAAGGGCGCGAGCAGACTCGTGAGCGCAACGGGATCTACCGTCCTCCCAAGCTCGCGCCCATGCCCTACACCGAGCCTCGTGCGGAGAAGGACAAATCCCGCCGCCTCCCCATCCCAAATGCTCTCTCCTCCCTCGCGCACCTTGATCCATCACAACCGTTCGTAGAGTCTAACTCTGGCCTTGGCGCGACCCCCGCGCTCATGTCCACCCGTGCACGCGAGCTGCAACGCATGACAGAGTTCGAGGAGGAGAACATGATGCGGTTAGTGATGAAGAAAAAGGACGCACGGAAGCGGAAGGTGGACGAGGCGGATATCGCGCTGGGTGGGACGGGCGCTGCGTCGAGCAGGCGCGGGCGTGGTGGCGGATTCAACGACGAGTTCAGTGATATTCTCAAGTCTGTTGGGCGCAGCCGCAGGAGCGCCGTTGGCGACGGGTATGAGGAGTTGCGGGAGAGGGGCAAGAAGCAGAGCGCGCTTGTTCGCTCGAGAGCCCGGTCGGCGGACGTGGATGATGTGGGCGATGATGGGCCGAAGGCAAGGAAGAGGAGCCGGTTCGAGAAGGAGGTCAAGGCGTCAAAGAAGAGAAGTTCGGTGAAGCGCAAATCGTAGTGTAGTGTCTGCAGGCAGTTGGCGGTCCATGGTGTTACGCTTCTCCCGTCAATACACATATAGCTCTGTCCAGGCTCGACCATCTAAACCTGAATGAATAAACCAACTAAGCTGCCGCAGCACATTGCGGACGTGGATCGTAAAGTAGCTTTAGATAAATCCATGAGGTGCCTGTCCGTGTATGCAAGAGTATCGGTCCATGCAATGCCAGCCAACCCCAGTCCTCCCTCCAGCTCGACTCACGCCTTCCCCGCCGCGAGCATCTCCTTCTTCATCGCAATCTCGTCCTTCAGCATCGCGATCCGACTGTCCAGCCTCGAACTCAGGTCCACCTGCTGCGTCGCGAGCGCCAACGCCTTCTCCAGCAGCCCCTCCGCCTCGCCCATCGCGCCCACCCACACCTCGCGCCTCTCCGCCTCGCCCAGTTCCTCCTTCCGCACGTCCGCGTGCGCGGCATCCACGCCGGGGACGCCCTCCGTGCGCGCCTGCGCCTCCTTCAGCGCGAGCACCGCGAGCTCGAAGAGCGCGACGCCCCCGACCCACGTGCTCACCTTCACCTGGGCGTGCTGCGCGTGTGCGTCGGCGAGGAACTCGCGCGCCGGGCCGTACGCCCCTGCGGTGCGGTGCGTGATCCCGAGGATCAGTGCGCGGATCGCGAGCTCGTCGGGCGTGTCGAGGTCTGGGGGCGCGGGTGTGGGCAGCGTGGGCGTGGACGGGGATAGCGTGGGTGTCGCTGTGGCTGTGGACGGGGAGGCCACTGTGTCCGACGGGATGAGTGGGCTTTGGATGGTCGGTGATGGCATGAGGGCGCCGAGCTCCGTTATGTGGGCTAGAGCGACGTCGCGCGTTATCCGAGAGTGCGTGTTCCAGACTGTAGACGGTCAGTTTCTCAAATACAAAACAAACCAGGTAGTTAGGCAGTACGCACATATTGCAAGCTCTGTCAGTCATTGCACTGTGAGCGAGAAAATCGGGCAGCAAGATGAAAGCGGACATACCCTCGGCAGGACTAATCTTCATAACCTGGACGTAGCCGTCCTCTGAGCCAGTGAGCCGTGTCGCCTTCTCTTTATAGAAGGCCACTGCCACAGCACAGATATTCAGCCATGGTCTGCAGACTGACGGCACTAATCAACGCACGCTTCTTTTTGATGAACACCTCCGTGGGCAAGTCCTTGCCCCCAATCTTCTTCTTGTCCAACAAGCCGGGATCTGCTCGAGCAGCTCCTTCGCCCTGTCGAGGTTACCTAACGATACATAGCAGCCTGCCCACCCGCCGAGGAAGTGAGCTTTCCGGATGCACGACGCTGGTGGAAGATCGTGCGCACCAGCAGCGATGAAGTAGTACGTCCCGTGGCTCCAGCTGTTGACCTTCGTCATGTCGATGAACGTATCCGCCGCTTCTTGGTAGCGCCGCTGCGAGAGCAGCGTCCAGGCCAACTCGAAGATTAACTACCGCAGCCGGTCGCATTTGTGTGAGTACGCGGAGTCCCGTGCGGGGAAACAGTGGGTCGACTTACCAGCCCGTCAGCTTGTGCAAAGGTGTGCGGGCGCTCAGGCTTCAGCCCATCTTGGAGCACCTTGATCGCCCCTTGGGTGTCGTAGGACATCCGGAGGATCTTCGCCTACATGAGTGTTAACCACCGCACACGCATACTGTATACCAGAATGAGTGCTCTCGTACCCGATTGAGTATCCATAACGAGCCGTTCGGATACCTCGACGAAAGCCTATCCGCCGTGATGAGCACCCCCGCAGGCCAGCTCAGCCATGACAAAAGCACGTACTTGTCGACGATGGCACCGTACTGCCGGAGGATGTGCTGTTCATCCGCCTGGTATCCCGAGAGCAGGAGGACGACGCCGTGGTAAGTCATGAGCGCTAACCTGAACGCATCCGAATCCCCAAATCGGAGCCGCGAACGCCGAGCCGTCAGCGAGCTTGGTCATGACAAGAGGGGGCGCATGCCGAGTAACCGGGGATGCAGCTGGAGGAGGGGGAGGGATAGGAGAGGGGACGCACCCGGCGAAGACACCATGTACGTCGGTGTAGTTGGCGGAGACCGCGAGCGCTTGGAGGGCGAGCTTGCGATCGCTGGTGAACCCGAGGAAGCCCACCACTCCTCTGTTGCATTACAGGTCGGGTGAGACACCGATGCATCGGAGTGTCGGCGCACGTACCGGATCTTAGCGGGTAGGAGGGAGAAGACGAGGTTGAACAAGCTGTGTGGGTGGATCAGCGAGGCTATACGGGCGCACGACGACCGCTCATCCAGCGCTCACCCATATCCTGCGGGGGCACGTACGTGTCAACTTCCTCGAGGCGTCAGACGGGGTGAGTGAGTTACGCACCGAATGCAGTCCCTGACAGGATGAGCTCGTCGACGGAGCCGCGCTCGGCGTGGACGCGGGTCTCGAGGGAGAGCGACGTCATGCTTGAGCTGAGGCTCGACGGCGCCGACGCAGTCAACCCACCCGTGAACCGGCTGAAGAAGCCGGAGCGTCGGGAGATGGTGCTTGCGGGCGTCGAGGGCGTCGTCGTGTTGTTAGTCGCGACGCTGAGCGTGGACGACGCCGCGGAGGACGCAACGGACGGCGTGTTGCTCCGCGGTGGGGACGTGGCGGGCGTCGCATAGGCATCGAGCCCGTGCGGGTAGACGGTCTTGTAGAGTCTGTGGGCGCGGCTGTGTGAGGATGTGCAGGCTCGGACCGACCTACGCAGCCAACGCACTTTGTGAATTTGGAGTGGGCACTGTGGGAGGGTCAGATAGGCTAGCAAAGAAAGGGGAGGCTCTTGACCTGTTGAGAGAGTACAGACACTGCAGGTACCCCATGTAGGACTCGCTGTCGACAGCGGCATGGTAACGGTTAGAGGAGCTCGGCTGCAGCGACAGGCTGGACAGACCTGAGAGCATGGTTGAGGCCAAGGAGGATGACGGCGTCGGAGTTGAGGAGCTCCCATTCTGTGCCAGGCGGGAACTGAGTGGTGCGCTTCGCATACTTGGACGCTTTGAGCTGCTTCTTGGAGCCTGCCTCGGAGAGGGAGAGACAGCGCTGGGCCTCGGCAAGCAGGCCCGTCTGCGAGAAGGTCAAATCACGGTTGGCTGCGCAGAATATATCTACACTGACCTCCATGCCGAGGGCGGCCTCGAGAAAGGCGCATACACCCAGTCCAAGCTGGTGGAAGGGGCTGTCGGACTCGGAGGCTGCGAATATGTTGCGGGAATCCTCAAGCTCGTTCTGGAAGAGCTGGTCAAAGCCGTGGGTAGCGTCGGTGAGCTGCTGCTGGACGTCTTCGTCTGCGGAGGCCATGGTGGGGGATGTGGGAGGGGAGATGGCAAGTACTGGGCGAGAGATGGTAGGCAGCCGCCGGACGCGCATCAGCCACAGGGGCGACGACGCGTAAATAGGCGCGTCTCCCAGGAGCGCGTCACGCACCCGCGCTCGTCTCGGCCATGGCCGCCGAGCCGGTGGGCGCCGGCGCGTAGAGAGGAAGCTCAGGCCTGAGGCCTGAGGTCGCTGCGAGCGGCACACGCCCACCGACGATGAGCGACGTCCACGCCCGCATCTCCGCCTTCGAGGCCCTCGCAAGCAGCCCCGCCCCCCGCCCCTGCACCCGCCCCCTCTCCCCCGACGCCGCCGCCCGCTTCGACCCCATCGCCCACTCGCCCTCCCCGTCTCCTCCCGCCCTCGGCCGCAAAACATCCCTCATCGACCTCCACGACTGGGTCCTCGACGACGGCCCCCGCAACAGCCCCCCAGGCCTGCCCTCCCCGCCAGGCCTCGCTCCACTGCGCCCAGCCTCAGTCCGCGTCACGTCTCTGCGCCCCTCATCCACCTCGAGTCCGCACCCTCTGCACACCCCGCGCCGCCCCTCCCTCCCCGCAAGCCGTCCTACACCTCTCTTCGCTCCGTCTCGGCCTCAGCATCTATATCGCCCGTAACATCCCGCCCACCACCCGCGCCGCCCAAGCGCAAACCTCCACCACGAGATTCGCTCTCTGCAGAACACTCTTACCCTCCCGCCCTCAGCCTTGGACTTGCCCTCCCCGCCCCTGCCTCGCGCCATGCTCCCGCCTCATCCATATCTTCCTTCCACTCCGTATCTCTGTCTGATGGCGGAGATCCCGCCTCGCCTTCGACGCCAAATTGCGTCGCACCGTCTCCCTCTGACACGGTGAGCATAGCAGAGTCCTTCGAGCAGATCTCCGTCTCCTCTGTCGCCCCCGAGCTCCCTCGCCGGCCCCCTCAGAGCCCCCAAAACTCCCCCAGCGCCCGCCTTCCGTCAGTCCCAACGTCACCACCAAGTCGCTCGGGTCCTCTCCCCGCCCGCCCTCCGCAAAACCCTCGCCCCCACCGCGCGCCGCGACCACAAAACCGCCGCCTCCCCCGCCCCCACGCGCGCCCTCGTCACGCGCATCCACAGGCTCGTCCGCCTCCGGCACGTCGACCTCGCTCTCCTTCTCCGACCGCGCCTCCATTCTCAGCCTCAGCACTTCGCCCTCTCCTCTAGCTCCCACCTCGCACCGAGCAGCTCCTCCCTCGCCACCTCAAGTCCAGCCCATCTCCGCCTCCCCAATCCTCTCCAGCTCACCCGCTCTGCGCCGATCCCATCTGTGGCCCGCCGGCGGTACGAGACGCTCTTCGCGCGGAATCTCTACGCACAGAACGCAGCGCGGAAGGACGTCGCATCGCCGCCGCCCGGGGCGCGTGCGCGCAAAGCAGCCGGCTGGCGCGGGCTCTCCGTCGATCTGCTCACGACCCCGGAGGCACAGCAGGCGGGGGACGCGGACGGCGAGGAGCGCCTAGACGGGGAGACGGTGCGCGCGATATGGGTGCGCTCGAAGCTCGAGCGGAGGACGCTCAAGGCGATATGGTGCGTCGCGCTCTTCTCTCTCTCACGGACGGACTGTGCTCATGCGGGATGCGGGATGTGTGCAGGTCGGAGTGTGACCCTGCGGGCACGGGCTCGCTCGACCTCGAGGGCTTCATTCGCGGGATGTGGCGGATCGACGAGGAGCTCCGGCGCGCGCAGTTGCGGAGCGGGCTCGGGCTCGCCCTCGGCCGTCACGGCTCGATTGCGAGCATGACCTCGCGGGGGAGGGCGCGGGTAGCAGAGGCGGGACGAGGCTGCTCCTGCGATAGCAGGGCCGTGCAGGTGATGGACTGACGATGCTAGTGAAACGTGCTTAGTGCTTCGATGGCTGTGTGGCTTTGTTAATGTGGTGGTGCAATGGACTTCGTGGCTGGCTCTTTGGTGTGTGAAGATGTAGCTTTATCCTGGTTCGTGTGCAATGGACGTATACCCGCGCATAGTGACAACACTTCTGGAGCTGTGCATGTGTATGCAGATCGTGGACCAGTGGGAAGATGCAAGGTGGCATTTACGTTACTCTCTACCGTGACGATGACAGGACTCAACTCGAATACTACGAAGTCAGACAATATTACGCTCCGAGGCTAAGTCCCAATCCTCCTCGTGTCCTCTATCACTGGGGTTCTGTCATACTGCCGAGGACCATATTGTACAACGCCGCCATCCGCATCTCGAAAACGCTCACAATGGTGTGCTCCAATAGTCCGCGCTTAGGCCGCACGCCACCAACGCGTTACGCAGAGACAAGAGTGCTACGAACAACAGCCTGGCATGAATTGCACGTTACAAGTACCTTAGGGCAGCTCTGGGCAGGTGCGTTTTTCATTGAGAGTCAGTCCCGATTCTATCGTCCTCATAAGGTGTCCCTCCACACTCAGGCTCACAGTCATCGTCAAAGACAGGGGTGAATTCTAGACCGAGATCGTGGTCGCTTGGTGCTGTGCTCTGCGGATGCTCAGGAAAAAGTGGGAGAGGATGAGCGGTGTGAATCTGGTGCATAATCCGCGAGGGTCAGGTGGGCGCATGGGAATAGCACTGTGCATACTGACATGCCGTTGAAGATTGACGTGTCGTCGAAGACCTGGGTGTTGCGAGACGCGGTTATGCGCGGTATGGTATGGATACATCCGAGGCCTACCTTGGTCACGGTCAAGACGGCGTCGGCGACGTTCAGGAAGAGATGCACGCTGTGTACCACAGTAAACGCGTCAGAAATACGCAGCGCGATTGCGATGTGCACCAACATGAAATAGATGGCACCTTTGGAATGGATCAGCCCATAAATCATCACATGGAGGACAGTATATAATTTGCGCTCACCATTCAGAAGCAGTCTCGTAGAGACACTATCATCATCTTCGGCCTTCCGCGCGAGATCCCGCAGCATACCCCTCGTCCTGTACCAGGTGAGGAAGAGGATAAGCGCATCGTGTATGATGTTGAGTATCCTCATCAGAATCTTCACTGCCAACATGGACAACTACGCCGTGAGTGCTGGTCAGACTCACAGGCAGAGCGTGGCTTACACCTGTACCATAAGGGTTCACTAATGTACAGGCATAACGGATGAGGCACTCACGTGTCACCAAGGCCGGCGGTCACCGTGCTGTGCAACGCACAATTCAGAGGCGGTGGCAAGGCTTGCTGCGTCGCGCGTGAGTAGGTGTACTGCACACCCATTTACATCATTTACGTCAGCGGACCTGCAGTGAGCGTCACCATCGGGGGGATGCTCACAATGCTCGTGGTGAACTGGAACAGGACCAAGGACGATACTAGCGCGGGGAGCTTCCAGTCAGAGACGGAGAGCTCGAGGGCGTGACCGGATCGCGGAGAGTACTGTTGAGGCGGAATGTCAGCTACGATCTACTGCGCCTATTGTAGATGACAGAACGTCACCTCCACAGATGATGAAGAGGATGCAGGTTATGGCGTTCACAGTCTGTGTCATGGCGTATGCACTGTCAGCGTGATACCGTGGTTGCCATACGATTCAGCGAGGTGAGCAGTATATTGATACAGATGCCACACGCACCTCTGTCTCGCAGTGTGGATGAGTGACATTGAGATTATGAGAGAAGCAGGCGCAGCACTCAAGAGGGCACTGACCTTGCAATCGACGGCACTGAGAGCGATTAATTCAAGGATCAAGTACGGTATCATCAGGTGTCTGTTCAAGATGTACAAAAGGCTCGGTCCTGTGATCTTGCTTTGCCATATGAGCTCGACGCTTTCGGAAGTCGTGAGTAGAGTATCGTAGAAATACAGCGCTTCCCAAAAGAAAAAAAAAGTATGCGTACTAATCACCACGACGTTCTCGGCTGTTAATCAAGGTGGAGACGCACCTGCCGCAGCGGCGGTGCAGCGGTTCGTGGTAACTCTGTGGACAGATAGGGATGCCACGTTCGACTCGTCAGCTTCAGTACTTATAGGTGACGGGGAGCACGTACGCTAGAAATACAGCATGGTCCATGCAGGCGGTGACAAGTAGAGGCGGTCCTAGAGAGATGGTATGAACATGGACTGAATTTACCCTTGCGTTTATAAGGCCGCTGTCTGAGGATGCATCTGCAGGTGGCCACAGACCACCGGCCAGTGGCTGAGAACTAGCTCAGGATGTGGCCTCGAAGTGTGGAGCACACTGGCAAAAGACGCCAGGGAATTAGAATACAACGACCACATCGATGATCAATCAATATCCAATAGTGGCCAGTACTATCAGTGCTCACTTGATCAGCCACGTCGGCGTTGACTAGACGAGGTTGTTATTACGAATGAGCAGAATTTGTATGCGCAGACAGCTTGTGTATCCATGCACATGTCAAGTTAGTCCAGTAGCTGTGAGATTTCTATCATGATGTAAGCTGTTCGTCAATGAGGATCGATGATAGTACTAGAACCGTGACGGTCAACCTGGGCATTGCACGTACAATCGCAGTCTGTTGCGGCCAGAAGTGGTGCGGTTGTGCAACGTCCAACCCACATCGTAACTCAGGCTACACACTACAACGAACGGGTACTGCATGAGATCATGCGCTGACGTTATTGTTCACCCTGATGTTGAAAGGCAGGTCCATCGTCGCATTGCTATGGAACACTGTCGAGCCAAAGCACCCGCGAAGGAGGCATTGATACTTCACTATGATCAACAGGGCCTGGTTCAGTATCCGCGGCAACAAGAGTCAAGCAGAGGATACCGTTATAAGGTCGTGTACATGACCGTGTACATGTACCGCCACCACGACACCACCAATTATTCTAAAGTCTATGGTAGAACGTAAACTCGTTCCGCTTCGTTCTCGTGTGTCTGGATCCCGCCGAAGTCACCGCCATCCTCGTTGACACAGGGATTGAACTCCAGAATCGACACTGTGCTGGCCTGTGTACACACAGGATCTTCAATAGCGTACAGCGCTTTGCGAATGCTCAGGAAGAGATGTGAAAGGATAAGCGGTGTAAATCTGTATACAAATTGGCCACATGTCAGCTAATGGGTATTATGCAGATTTACAAGACGACGAACATGGCGCTGAAGATCGACGTATCGGTAAAAATCTGTGAGCATGGGAAAGAGCAAAGCTGTAAGCTCGACCCAGATGGGCGTTGTGCACGCGCACGAGAACGCAAACTCACCCCGGTTGCGGTAAGGACGGCATCGACAACGTTCAAGATTAGATGGACTCTGCAGACGTGCATCATCAACATGATTCGGTCCGGGCCGACGAAGGCCTATGCACGTACACGAAGTAGATGGAACCTTCGAGGTGAAATGAGCCTACGGAGCAATGATACCGGAGGATGTCTCCATCTTACACTCACCATTCAGGAGAAGTCTTGTGACGACACTTTTCGACGACACTGTATTACTTATGAGGTTGGAGCCCTCGCGTCTTGTACCAGATGAGGACGAGGATGAGACCATCGTGGATGATATTGAAGACCCTTGTTATGATTCTCACTGCATCCAACCGACGCAATGAGTACGTGTGAACTTGCAGCGCAGTACACTACGCGAATAAAGCGGCCTACATCTGTCGGATATCACGGTCGATTATAATATCCAGACCGATTGATATGGATGTACATGAGCCTGCACTTACGTGTTGTTGAGGCCAACGGTCACTGCGCTGTGCATCGTACAGTTCAGCGGCGGTGGCAAGATTTGAGGCGTAATCTGCGAGTAGCTGTACTGCATAGTTATATATCCCAGCACTCAGTACACGGATGGACTCTAGAAGGATGATGGTACTCACCAGACACGCACCGAACTGAAAGAGCACAAAGGATATACCAACATGGGTAGCTTCCAGTCGGAGACGTAGACATCGATGCTGTAGATGCGGATCGCGGAAAGGGCTACCAGATGGCCAAGGATTGGATAAGTTGAGGAGACATCCCTTAACGATAGGACGATACCTCCGTAGACGATGAAGCACACACACGTTATAGCATTCACCGTCTGAGCCATGACTTATGTGCTATGACACGGATCGATCAGCATACAGAGACGTAGCAGTCTTCCTCACGTACCTCTGCAAAAATCCAACACACACGTATATCAGCACAGGCTTAGCAGTTCGAGGAGACACTGACCTCGCAGTTCGCAGTGTCATTGATAGCGATTAACTCGAGGATGAGGTACGGAATCATCAGGTATCGGTTGGCAATGTACAGCACGCTCGCTCCGGCTATCTTGCGCTGCCATATCAGCTCAACACTGTCGGAGAACGTGAGCAGGGTGTCGTAGAAGTACAAGGCTGTCCAATTCTGCTCGTCATCCAAGTATTCACAGACTGTCATTAGAGTGAGAACGTACTGGCCGCAGCGATAGCACATCGGTTCGTGATTACGCTGTTCAAAAGTTCTGAATCAGTTGTTGGCACCGATTACAACGTTCACATACGTCAGAGATACTGCATGGTCCATGATCCATGCGGACGAATAACCGTGGAGCGATGGTGAATGTCTGTGGAAGAGCCTTTGTCTGCATAAGCGGCGATGCCAGCGGGTCATGGCAGCCACTGACACCCATTCATTGCCACGGAGCGCCACTGGGCGCGAGTTCGGGCCGTCGATGTCCATGGACATCATGACCACGTCCACTTGTCGGGGACTCTGGTCCAACTACCATTCCAGTCTGCCTCAAGCCACTGTCTTTTGTGCAGCTGCAGTGACTGGGATAACATCTGCCGAACCTGATCAGCACAGTCGCAGCGACGCTCGCTCTCAAGTAGGTTAGCGCACAAATCCGACTTCCATCGGGTTCATGATGTCGATAACCATTTGGATTGACAAGCACGACACAGCATGGCCCTTGTGCGAATGGGGACGACTATTCAGTCACAATCCCGTTGAGTCGTTAGGCCACAGAACGCCCCGATCCAGTACCCAAGACAGCATCCTGTGTGTCAAACAGCTCGTATCAGCGACAAGGCCACCAGCGACTGAACGTGGGCGCCGTACTCGTCGAGCGCCAGTCCACCAGTGTTACAGAAGAAATGGATACCACTTCTTGTCAAATACTTCATTGCCTACACCAAGTCTATGCCAGCTCTAACTCATCGATAGCCCAGTCTTCATTGTCCTCATGCCCCTCCGTGAGTGGCGTGCCCGCGTGAGGCCCGACCCCTTCGGTCACGCCTTCTCCATCCTCGGGCGGTTGCGTATGTCTGAAGTTAGATCCGACATCTGACTCGGGGTAGAGACCAGCTGTTCCTTGGCGTAGTGGGCTTTCCGAATGCTGAGGAAGAAGTGGGAAAGGATAAGAGGCGTGAACCTAGAGACGGCTTAGTATTCGTAATATCCGATGCGGACGACTGGAACTTACACGGCGTTGAACACGGTAATGTCGTCAAACGTCTGTGAAGGTATTACTGGAGATGTCTAAGTAAGCCTTGGAAGCACGTACTCCCGTCACAGTGAGAACGGCGTCTAGGATATTGAGAACTAGATGGACTCTGTCATATGCATCAACAGTGATCTCGTCTACGTCGGGACTGCGCTCAGCTGACATGAAGTAGATGACACCTGCAAATCATCTTGGTGTCAATGCATCATAATGTCAAAACGAACGACAGACCATTGAGAAGTAGCCTTGTCATGAGGGTGTTGCGCATGTACAGTGCACTTCCGTACTCCCTGATCTGTCCCCTTGTCTTGTACCAGGTGAAGAGCAGTATGAGAGCGTCATGTATACAATTTAAAACACGGACGGCGACTTTCACTGTGGCGGTTGATTAGCGTAGAATGACGTTCTCCTGAGCACCAACATACGCCTGCATCACTCGTCAGCATTGCCTCGTATATAAACAGCAATGCAACTAACCGATAATCAAGATCAACTGGGACCGTATACTGCATGGTACAGTATGGTGGAGCAAGCAGAACCACCGATCTGCTCCGCGAGTAGGTGTACTTCAGCGTCGGGAGCTTCAGGGTCAAACAATTTTAAGCACATAAAAGTTGATACGCACGATATCAGTTCCAAACTGGAATAGCACTACAGAGGACACCAGAGCGGGAAGTTTCCAGTCAAAGCCGTAGAAATTGAGGCTGAGGACACGAATGGCGGAGAGAGCTGGGCCGACTCTCAGTGCAAGTCTTGCAATATAGAAAAACACTTTACCTGCGAAGACAAATATCAAGGAACACATGATACCGTCCGACACGAGATGTAAGACGTATGCCCTTCATGCGATGAGAATCATGAATGATTCGTAGCTCGGGCCACTAAGGAAAGGGGCCGCGTACCTCTGTCAAATGATGCATCCTGATCAGCAATAGCTCCTTTCGCGGCATGGGAACGAAGATCTTACCGAGCAGTCCTTCTCTGGCATCAGCACGAGTTGCAAAACAAGCCACAGGAGGATGAGATATCTGTTCAGGAAATATAGAACGCTCGCAGGGCTGATTTTGTGGCACCATATAAGCTCGATACTATCAGAGGAATTGAGCGCCATGTCATAGAGGTACAGCGCTGCGACGTTGAAGCTCAATGAACGGTTCTTGACTCTGGTAACCTGATGAGGACCCACCGGTGGCAGCCACGGTACAACGACTAGTGATCGTCCTGTAAGTAGAACCAGCGGTTAGACATTCGTAGACGGTAGACGGTCAGGACTGTAGCACCATACCCTGTCAGTACGGCTTGCTCCATGTTGCTCCTCTCACGCGCTGTTATGGCGAACGGACGTCGTGGGGAATGTAGTACCGCGTCAAAGCTATTTTATACGCTTCGATTATCATCTTGTCGTGATTCTGCAGCCAATGTCGACAGGCGCAGATGTTAGTGCGGCGGCGAAGACATAACAAATTTCATATACCGCGATAGTGCTGTGTACTGCCCGGGATTCGCTCAGCAGCATGGCTCAGGACCACACAGACTCTATTGGTCAAGCTTCGTTGAAAATCTTCACGAGAAGGCTGAGGCATCGTGAAACGCAAGATTGGTGAGATCAGCTCACTGAGGTTCGCAGCAACAATAGGGAATATTGAGGAGGGCCAATCACGCACCGATTCTAGGGCCCAAAGTTGGACTCGCGCGGCTGTGTGTGGCTTGTTGCACGCTGCGAACTCCATGAAGAATACAAGGGGAACGATCGATGCACGTTGGGGCTGCACTGCTCTTTTCATTTGGACCCTTGTACCTGTGCTGGCACACACCACACAGCGCCGCAGTAGCTGCATAGTAAGCCTAGAGGAAGATCGGCGCCATCATCCGATTTGAACCCAAACCGTCGCATGTTACGTGCGTCCGGTCAACATACGACGGTGTGAGTTCAGAACGAGAGCCCGGAAGAATATGTGTATCAAGCCATGCACCAAATTGTGTCCACAGCTCTTGCCTGGAGGACGAGGGCTTTGGCGGTGAACGGCTCCGCATGCATTGACTCGGACGTTGAGAGAGGACCGTGGTACACTGCGCGACGGCGGCGACGCGCCTGTTACAGTCACGTGGACACACCGACACGCGAACCGTTCCTCGTTCGCGGCTCGCCCGACGCCCGCCACCAACATGGCCCCCTAGAAGTGAAATCGTGTACACTTGCATCTTGTCCTCATCGTGTTAGGAATGTTGGGTACGCGTCATGCTCAGCACAGACCATAATTGCAGCCTGACAAGCTACTACTACAGTTGTGGGCTTAACGGGCGGTATCGCTACCGGAAAGTCTACAGTGTCCACGCTCCTGCGTGCACACAATATCCCCATTATCGATGCCGACGTCCTCGCACGTCAAGTCGTACTCCCCGGAACGCCAGCCCTGCAGAAGATAGTCAAACACTTCGGGGGAGACATCCTCCAACCCGACGGTTCGCTCGACCGCGCGAAGCTTGGCTCGGTCGTCTTCTCGGACGAGCGCCAGCGCAAGGTGCTGAACGGGATTGTACATCCTGCCGTACGTCGGGCTATGCTCTGGAGCGTCCTCAGATGCTGGTGGCATGGCGAACCGCTGTGCGTTCTGGATGTACCACTGCTGATAGAAGGCGGACTCTGGCGGTTTGTTGAGACTGTGGTAGTAGTATACTGGTGCGCTATTCTACGTTTGCGTTACGTGGTATCTGACCACACGTTGCGACATGTCCTCAATTTGCCTACTTGTGACCGGCAGCTCTCCGGAAATCCAGCTTCAGCGACTTATGGCGCGCGACCGCTCCAGCCGCGAGGCAGCCACGGGACGCCTGAACGCTCAGCTTCCCATAGGCGAGAAAGTCGATTACGCTGATATCGTCATCGACAACTCTGGCTCGTTGCAAGAACTCGAGGGGCAGATCGAATCATTAATCACCAAAGTTCGCCGGAAGGCTGGCTGGTCATGGAGGATAAGTTGGCTCATCCCGCCGTGGGGCCTGTTATCTGCGCTGTCTGTACTTGTGTGGAAGGCTATCAGAGGGAAGAAGACGGCGAAGATGCGGACCATTCGCCCATGACAACTGTATGACGCGTACCCGCTGCTTGTATGCATGCAGACTTCGCGACGGTGCGAGATGTATTACAACCACGGGAACTCTACCTCCATTTTCGTTATGGTTTATTGTAGTCGTTCAAACACCAGATGTACACATAACAGGCCCGACTCACGCCTCTTAACACCGTATTCATTGCACATTCGGTGACATCCCACTCGAGGAGATATGATCACACCGAGGACTGCTGAGAAATATCTCCGCGAGCCGGCGAGCTGACGAACAGGAGAAGCTTGACCCAATGCACAGCTAAGTATATATGTATGATCATTTCCAGCGTAGCTCATGACATCAAGCTCGTGAGTCCCGTAAGTGCCTACGTACTAGATCAGCTCAAATCGCCCTCGGTGGACCCCTCCCCCGTCCCTTCACATCCGCACCAGCGCCGTAGATCTGCGCCAACAGCCCAAGCACACCACCATCAGCCATATCTTCCTCCTCCTCTTCCTCCCTAACCTGGCTGCTCGACGTACGCCTCCGCGTGTCAACGTATGACTCGCCCAGCCCACTGCCCACGCCGCCGTCCTCAGCGAACTCCTCCTCGGGTATCGTGTCCTTCACGGTGCCCTGGGTCGCCCGTGCAGACGGAGGTAGCGGCATGATGCTCCCCTGCGAGTCTCCCAGCGCGACAGTCTGCGCCATGTCAAGCCCAGCCGCGCTCTGGAAGATGGTCGACGCGCCCGTAACCGCGCCTCCACCCACTGCGAGTGACCCAAATCCGGGCCCGCGCGTGCTCTGCAACAGTGTACTCCCTCCGCCGCGTCTCCTTGCCATCACGCTCTGGCGCGGATCCTGCAGCGTTGCATCCAGGCCGCCCTGACTCTCCTGCAACTGACCCAAGGCAGGAGCACCAGTATCCGATGGTCGGCGGAGGAGCCGGCGACGGCCGAGCCCGATAGGGTGCGCAGTGCTGAAGTCGGCGATGCGGCTGAGGTAAAGCGAGCCTGTGGGATCGGCGGGCATCCACTCTGGGTGGGCAGCTTTGAAGTTCAGGAAGCTCTTCTCCATCTTGCCCTCCTTGGACATCAGACGCTCGTCTTGGACTTGCGTGGGGGCGCCGAACTAGCGGAAAATCATTAGGATGGTACAGTCAAGAAGACAATACAGCGCGACGTACCTTGATGTTACCATGCCGCTGGAAATCGAACACTGCGAAGCTGCACACGTAGCCGAGGCCGTCGATGTGGACGGTGAACTCGCGGAAGAAGTCCACGATAGCGGGCGCACACGGCGGCAGCGAGTACCACAATACGAACGGCGTGAGGATGACCGACAGCAGCTCCTGCGCGAAGATCATGACCTTCATCGCGAACAGTTCGCCGAACTCCTCGTGCACCTATGATGACAACAATGTCAGCAGTCTTGTGGGGCACTGCCACTCGTTGACGGACCTTCTTGGAATGCAGCTGGCCCTTCCACTCGTCCGGCATGTAATGAGTGTACTGTATCACGTCTGTCATGAGCAGCTCCGGGTCGAAGACGCGGGTCTCCTCCGGGATCATTCCTCGTGCCACAGCCAGTATGGAACCGAAGATGGTGATGTAGAAGAGGACAGTACGGTGAGGCGTAATCTCGAAATGAAGAAAGAGGTCAGGATCGATTACAGACGCAAGCAAGAGCACAGCCGCGAAAGACCCCGCAATGAAAGCGACGAATCTAGTAACATGTCAGAATCGCTGAAGAGATCTCACTCGCATGACATACCGAACGATCAGCGTAAGTTTCTCGTTTGGAAACTGTCCGATATACATCGTCGCGCTTGGGTAGGACTCGTTGAGGCGACGTTTGAAGAGATGCGGCAGCTCGTTGAACTCGCGGAACTTCCACTGCGCGAAAGGCGTGTAGCGTCGGCCACCGATGTTCGAAGGATTGTTCTTGTACTCCTGTACGAGAAATTTAGTCAGTGGATACATGTCACAAAGGTGGCATGCGTGACTCGCCTCGAAGTATCGGAAGAACGAGTACATGATCAGGTACAGGACGATGAACGGTGCGAAGATTGCGTTCAAGATTCCCATGAAGATGAGCCGTCTCCTTAGCCTGTCACCTCATCAGCTACTACTTCGAGGGATAGGTACTCAACAGCGTACCCTTCGATCAGGACTGCTCGGTTCTTTGACTTCAAGAACATTTTCCTCACTTTCCCACTCTCGTCAAAGAGGTACTCCATCAAGCAAAACCGTAGGTTCCACTCAAGCGCTCTTGTGAGCACCCGTCCCTTGCCGTCTTCAGGAGAGTCAACGAATCGTTCTAGGAGGGACGGCAGTGGCACGCGGAGGTCCAGAAGCTCCTTGTTGAACAAGGCGATGAGGTAGTTCTCCTGCCGCATGATACGGTTTGCTACATCGTGCGCATCAAGCTTGGCGGTCACTGACTGACCTGCGCCTGTAGATGACAGTGCCGTCAATGGATTGTCTTCGCGTATCGCGCCAATGCGCCGTACAATCTCTGGCCAAGAGATGGTTTGAATGTCCGCCTATGTAGTAGGCTCCGAGGTCAGCTACGTGTACGGTGAAAACAGAAGCCTACGCTTACATCTGGGATGTGCAGGAGGTAGGTGTAAAATCTGTACATGTCCACGAGCCGCAGAATCCCTAAGGCATAGTTGACGAGTTGCCACGCGAAGAATGCAGTGAACAGGAGGAAGAACAGAAAGGTGAAGCCCGAGAATCTACGCAGCCTATGAGACTTCATACATGAGAGAGAGACAGCGTATATACCTCGAGACACAGCGGTCTACGATGACGTTGCCTAATCGTGTGACCTTATCCGGTCGTATGCGGGAGTAGTCTACGCATCCCAGCAGAAATGTTGAGAAGCCAATGACGAACCCGGCTGTGCTAGTCGCAACATTCAGCTCTCAGCATGTAGAGTATAGCTCAAGAACGACTGACAGGAGATTCAACCCTCGAGATAATGCGATGCTGTAGATGCCCTTGCCCTCATAGTAGTAGTACGCCTCTTGCAGGAACGCATCAAGGTTGTACACATTGACCCAGTTCCACAGTGCGCGCTCATGGGCGTCGAGACCGCGCATCTTTTGTGGTTGTTCATAGAGAGGTTCAGACGGTGGCGTATCGTCCACGTCGAGTTCTGAGGGTCGTGGAGGGATGGACACAGGTATCCCATTCGAGGTTGTAGTGGGCAGCGCAGGAGGTACGTGCCTTCTCGAGTTCGAGTACAGTGGCTGCCTCCTCGTCTCCTTTCCTTGCCCTTCGGACTTGTAGGTGGAGATGTTGTTCGCCTCGCCGTAGCAGCAGGCGCCGCCTCAATCATGAAGTTCTGCGGTTCCTCGTCTGACGAGTCCTCGTCCTGCTTCGGGTCGGCCTGCCGGACGTTCGGCCTCAGTGCATTCATCTCTGATTTGTCTCCACCCCATGCCACGCGCCGCTTTCCATTGGACTTCGCCTTGGTAGAGCGCGACATTGTACTGCGGGTCGCATGGCCGGCCTCGAGGTCATGGTCCCCGTCCGCGTTATCTTCTTCCCCTTCTTCTAGTACGGACTGGTTCGCTGGTACGTAGCCCTGATAGGTCCTTCCCATGGGATTCAGCATGTGAAGAAATGGCCGTGAATTGCTTGTTCCGGGGAATATAGATTGCGAACCGTGAAGAGATCGTGAAGACGACAGCGGTCGTGAGCTGGAGGGATCGGGTGGGCTTGCCATGGCTCGACCTCAAGTGTTAGACTAGCGGCGACTGTGCATGCACGCCGTGGTACTCTGCAGACTCGGAGGAGAGTCGCACAGGAAGGTCGGTATTGGACCCGCTGCCTTCCCGCCTCGGGCTCGAAGACGTAACACATAAACTGCTAATATTTGGCCGATAAGTCCAGAGAAGGCACATGTAACCCTGAATTGGCAAGTGCTTCTATCAACCCTCAGGACAGGTCGTTCTCTGCCCATGAGCTTCAGCTTGGGATGTCTCTGACACGCTCCTTTGCTCGGGTCCTTGCTCAAAGCCACGCATGTCCGGTGGTCTGCTCCCGCTGTGTGTCATGTTCACGACGACTGTCGACATCCGCGCTCGCACCTGCTGTCCAGCGCTTTACTCGTGAACTGGTCAAGCACCAGCCATGCTACGCGATTTCTGCGTCCAGTGTCAACATTGTGACCGAGCCACGCCAATTCTACCTATGCTTACTGGTGGGCACTCCTCGGGATACCAAGACATGCAGATCAAACTCACTTATGCTTTCAGGATCTCATACGCCGAGCGCGACGAAGACTCTTCATCTCTTCCCTCTACATCGGTTCAGAGGACCTCGAACTGGTACGCTTCTTGCGTGAAGCATTCCCCACACACACTTACATCGCAATTCCAGATTGAGACCTTGGAGGCATCATTGCACGCACAGCCTTCCCTTCACGTCTACATGCACCTTGACTATAATCGGTGCACCCGACCTGAACGTCTATCTACCGCGAACTTGCTTCTGCCTCTGTTGCAGCGCTACCCGGACCGCGTACACGTCTGGTTCTTCCGAAGTCCAAAACTGAAAGGGTTGATGGCTAAGGTCATGCCTCCTCGCTTCAACGAGGGCTGGGGCGGCACATGGCATCCGAAGATATACGGCGCCGACGATGACCTGGTAATATCTGGGTAAGGAAGTACGTCTCTTGTTTCCGAATTCATTGCCCGTTTATCTGGAACCAATTGATTCTCAGTGCGAACCTGAACACATCGTATTTCACCAACCGCCAAGATCGATACGTCCAGCTGACTGGCCAGCCCGAGTTGGCTGACTACTGTTTCTCGTTTCTGGAACAGACAGCTAGCTTCTCGTACTCTCTGCGGCCGTCCTCGACAGACAAGATGCTTACGAGTTGCATTGGCCTCACAAAGACCTACATCCTCATCAGTTCGAGCCGACGGCACAAACAGTTCTCAAGACGTTCCAAGAAAGACAGAGGAATCGTGTCTCCAACAAAATCGCGTCTCTACTCTCTGGGTCTTCTGAGTCGCAGAACCATGAAGATGTTTTGGTCATACCCATCATTCAAGCCGGGCAGTTCAATGTCCGCGAAGAGGAGCGATGTCTCGCCATGCTTTTCCAGCACCTCGCAGAGCCTGCATCCCTTTCGTCGCATTATGAAGGACCACTGGTAGATTTGACGAGCGGATATTTCGGCCTCTACAAACCGTACCAAAACCTAGTCATCAACTCGCCGGTGGCGTGTCGGGTCTTGGCGGCTAGTCCAAAGGTGCGTCAGCTTGCATAGAAACTATGGCAGGGTGTTAAAGCGTACGTTAGGCAAATGGATTTTACGGCTCGCGAGGCGTGTCTGGCAGAATCCCAGAAGGCTATACAGTTCTCGAACGAAGATTCATGACAGCTGTCCGGGCGGCTGGACGAGCATGGCCGTCTGAACAACCCGTTCAGGACCGGATTGAGTCGGGTGTCCAGCTGAGCGAATGGGCAAGGGAAGGATGGACATACCACGCCAAAGGTCAGTATCAGGCTGACAAACATGCTGGTCTCTAACCTCTGCGTCAGGCATTTGGCTCCGACCAACACCCTCCGCACATCCGTGCCTCACACTCTTCGGCTCCACCAACCTCAACGCGCGCTCCGCCAACATTGACACGGAGCTGTCTTTCATGCTTGTCACGACCTCGCCAAAGCTACGCGCGCGTCTCGCAGAGGAGGTTGACGGTCTCAGGTCGCATGCGTATCCTTGGATGGGCGCAGAGAGGAGAGTGCGGCCCTTCTCCTGGTTGCTCGCCAACGCACTCTCTAGTCGCCTCTAATCTGGGACGTTCATGATCTTCATTAGAGCGTATCTTCAAGTCCTTTAGTATTTCGTAGTTTAGGAAGTGTCTAATAGTTCAAGACCACACGTCTCACTACACATACAGTGCTAAGATGTTCTAACAGTCCATCAGCCGTGTGATCACAATAACCATGAAAATTAAGTGTGACACATCACCTTCTCATGTGTCTATCGCTGGAGTCGTACAATGTCGGTTTCTGTTTCTGGCTGCTTCAACTTCGTCGTATTTGGAGCCTTGCTTGCGGATCCTGCCGTGCTCTCCTGCACGTATTCGAACTTGCGCGAGTCCAAATTGAATGTGACCGGGCCCTGGACGACACGTTATCGTACATGTCCTGTTGGTCGCCGAGGGCAATTGCATCTATGTAATCAAACGCACCTCGTTGCTTAGACTAACACTCATCATAGCACCGAAACGTCCGTCTGCTCGCAAGATACGTCACTACGAGAAACAGCCATCGGTCGGAGGGCTGACCTTTATCTGTCCGGCTTGTACAGTGCTTGCATTCTTTCCAAGAATGAGGTGTACATTTGCCGGCCCGCGTCTGTTCCCTGAAGAAAGGTCAGTGTGCCGGCAGTTACTATAGATCGAGAGCTCCCACCATGGTCGGTGAAAGTCTGGCTTGTTCCCCTTGGACGTGTTGGCAAAGAGCGTAAACTGCGAGACGCATAGGACCTCCCCATCTATGTCCTTGACGCTTTTCTTCCACATCGCTCCGGCGCCGTCGTCGAATATCCGTAGCGTCAATCTGATCCATACAGTGTAAGCTGGTCAGCTGGTTACGCTACGCAACGGTGGAACACAGCTAGTACATTTTCTTGCAGATCGTCTCAACATCGGCAGGAGTGGATGCGTTTCCGTAAGGATTTACGGACGTTCGATTGACTCTAACTGGCTTCAGGCGGAGTCTGAATGTGGTTTATAGCCACACTCCAGATCCGTAACACATCTTCAGAAGCCAAGTCGGTGCTGCTAACGTGGCTTCCCTTGCGTATACAGGTATACCTTACATGGCAGGCATGCGTGTGCAATGACACGAGGAGCTGCCAGTATACAGTCACTTCCAGCCAAGTACTGAGTACTTTGGTGTCGCTGTAAGTACTGTACGTATTCGGACTCACCAGTGCACAGACCAGGCTGATGTCGTGAGCATTGCAGCTTTCGAGCGCCCGTTAGATGACCCGTGGCCCCGGGCGCAATTGGTGGCAGGTGCGGAAAGGTATAGTTGTCTGCGCTCTGCCAAGGAGTTGTCGATTCCGACAGCAAACGCTAACCAGAGAGCCTGTGACGACTTCACCAGTGGCACTTCAGTACATTGGTGAGTCTTCCCTCGCGAGTTTCTAGGCTAAGGCGGCAGCTAACGTACTCCGGATCCATATATCTTCGACCAGCAACGTGAAGTGTATGTAGTGGTCAAGCGACGCCATAACACAGTAACTACAAGAGAAGTTCACACAGCTGTGAAACTGTCGTGCCCAATATTAACGGTCACTCCAGTTACTTCACTATGGGATGGTGGACCTTCGCCGTCAGCCGCTCCGGATCCGCTCCACCGACCACCGGCACGCCACTGGCAGTACCTGTCGTCATCATGTCATTAGCGTGGGCTCCCTCGATTGCACCCCTCTGCGGATCCGATCGCTCATTCCTCCACCGAAACCGCACCTAGGACGGGTTCTGCGTCCCGTCCGTTCTTGCAGCCTCGGAGGCTGCTTACTACGGGTCTTATGTCTTCTCGCTATCTTGGTCTTACCTCGCTGCCGACTCTCCGCGTACCGTACCCCATGTATATGGTACCCTCTCCGTACCTTGCCTCAACTCTGCCGTCTACACGGGCAGTCCTGTCGTTCTCGTCATCTCAGTGCGCATTCCCGCCCTCCACTTGCCTCTGTGCCAATGCGACATGTCCGCGGCTATGTCCTCTCCCGCGCTGGCGACCACCATGCTGCTCCTCGCTCTCCTTTGTTCCGACGTCATAGAACGGCGCGTACACATACCGTGACGTGCGTGCGCAGGGCACCGTTGCCAGTGATGGATAGACTACAGTGCGCACTCAAAGGGCAGCATGCACATTCTGCCTCTTCTGATGTTCTGCCCACGTCGTGTCTCGCCACTTCTCCTCGGCAGTATTGGACATTGACAGTGTCCCGCTGCGTGCTCCGAGTAACGCGTGCATCCTGACACGGGTTACACATGTCCTGTGCTAACGTGAGCAACGCACCACATATGGACACTACAGGAATACTTACGTCGACACTTTCGCACCCTCACACAAGATCCCTGACGTCGTGTGCATACTATCGGTTGCATTCGCTTTCTCACAGACAACACGGAGTCGACATTCATCGCTACCGTCACGACTCACCAGCAAGCACAACTCCCGGCCAGTGGAGTCCTCGCCACCGTCACTTGCTGAAAATCGTCGTGTCGCATCTCTGCTTTGTCCAATGCCGAGCATCCTGCGTACCGAGGTACTTGATAGCCACTCACATCCACTTGATATGGTACACAGCACAGTAAAATTTGGCCTTCGAGTCCTGATAGGCCATATGTAGGCTCTCACCCGGCTCGCTCCCCAGGCGACGAGCTAATCTTCCTTATTATATGTAACCTAATTATATTGAGCATCTGTCAGATACTGTACAGTATAAAGTCAACAAGCATACGCGAACGCGAACGCGTCACTGTTTGCCATGGCTCGGAACCCGTACAGACTGACCGGAAGACTGACCGGAAGAGGTAATCCGGCAGATGCCGAACCACAGTGAAGCCTTCTAAACCGACTCTAACTGCCCCGTCAAGCAAGGGGGTCCAAACCCCCTTGCTTGATCGTCGTGGTTAGAGCAGCGTTCACGACGTTTCAGAGCTAGAATTGCGCGCCTGCGGCAAAACATCTCTCCCACTATCTCGATCTCAACGCCGCTGCCGGCACCACGGCCGCCTTTCCTATTGCAGTCGTCGGACTTCAGCGTATTCATGCTCAGCCTGTTTACGGCGGGGCTCACAAGCGCTTCTTCCAACTGATCTGAGGTTTGGAGCCATCAAAACGCGTCTAAATCCTTACGGAAACGCATCCAGTGTCGTCTAGGCTGCTATCATTTGGCCAGATAGCGCAAAGCAAGTACATGTTCTTACCCCTTCCTATTCCGACAAGAACCATGAGACCTTTTGAAATCGAGGACACAACTTGGTCGCCATCGACTGCGTCCCGAGATGAGCAAGCCGACTTGCTGTTGTCAATGTGATCTTACCGGTTACCGAGGCTGAGCTCACGCGCTGTACGACGGCTCGCATTCTTGACCTGCTAGACTGTATGCGTAGCACGAGATAGCAAGATGCCCGCAAACCCCCCGGGAGGGCTCGTCGTCGACGAGCCCTGTGCAGACCTTCTCGTGGTCCGGGGGGTAAGTAACCCTCTTGAGGGTGAAACGAACATGCACTTTAAGGCTCGGCGTCGCTGTTCAGCACGCCGACCAGGATCGAGCTCAACGCTACATCCAACGGGACAGTGGACAATCCATCCCCTCCCTCTCAACACTCTCAGTGTATGAACCCATCCATGCTCCTACACGCCTCTAAGGCATACTCCCAAGGCCCTATTTCCCCCATAAGAGATAGAGAACAGCGTAAAATAGCCTCGCCGCCACTGCGCACATTCCACACACAAGCGCTTAAAATACCTCCGCCACCCGAGTGCGAAACGGACACCACGCACCCCCTTTTTCGCAAGATTTGCGCAAACGAAAAACGACCTGGCCCCCCAGGAAGAAGACCTCGCTCGATTCTGTAGGAACCCCAGTCCAGTGAACAGCACAAGTCGAAACTGCGCAACCAAAACCAAAAACGGAATCAAAAACGAAATCTGAGTGACTACTTCAAACCCAACCCATGAGACCGGCAAATAACCGTGAACCAATCAATACAAAACACGTACGCTTGCTTCCAGACTCGACAAGCAACTCTTAGTCGACCCTCGCCCGCACTGTATGCCACACAATAACGACGAGGCGCTCCTTGTCAGCGCACTGATTAAGGTTTGCAGCCACTCCGCCACACGCCACAACCCATAAACAATAGCATACAAACACATGACGTCTGAGGACTTGAGAGATAACCAATCACAGCCAGACTCTCTCAACCGCCGCAAACAGTTTATTATACACCTCACTACCTGCACATCCTCCCAAATAAACCTAATCTTCCGCTTTACGTCACGCTCCCTGAAAAGAACACTAGTGGCAGTTCTGAACGCCCATAAAATCCAATAAAGCACTTGCCGGTCAGAACGGTCAGAACTCATCAGCGCTCATCTGGAACAAAAAGGCCCTGACATAGTAGACGCTGGCCCATCCCTGTTAAAACAGACCTCAGCCGTCACAAGAATCTCTCCAAGCAAACCCAATGACGCCCACCAGCAACAACACTCTCCCAAAGGGAACGAAGGGATACGGGATACGAAAGCATCCCAAACCACGATCAATCAAGCCATGGACCCCCACAGTCCTAAAGTTCGATCCGCCGCTCGAAATGCCACCCCCGCTTCCCTCTGTTCCACCCATCCTCCCCATCCTTCAACTACCGCCCAACCCGAAACGAACGGCGACAATAGAAGTGGAGAGCCGCCCAGAAAAGAGAGGCGAGAGTTGGACGTGGGTCGTCCGCAAACGCCCGCCCTGCCAAATCGGAAAAGGGCAGCTGATCTCCCTCTCAAACGGGATCCTCCGATCGGGTGTCGGACGTATCCGCAGCGTCACCGAATCCAGACGTCATTGGATCACGTGGTCGATTGAAGGGGCCCAGACGATTATGACGTTCAGGTACCAACGTCATGGTCCAGGCTCCAAGGCCAGGACCGGCGACTACACACACAACTGTACAAAATCCTACCCCCATCACCTGACCCACACCCATTTTTCCGTGCCGATACTCTACTTAAAGAAAGCAAAGACAGTCCTTACGAGTTCGATTCCGATGATGACAGCGAAACCACCTCATAGCCAATGCCCCACGATACTGCATAGGAACTACCTAATCACAGTAGAACCGAGCACACCCGGATGTACAGATTGACTTTGAGATCAACAATATCCCCCTTTCTGCCCTTCGCCGCTGGTCTCGGACAACCATCCAGACAGCCAATCCCTGCTCCCGATCTCCCGCAGTCAGCGCTCACCCGGCCTCGCCACACCGTAAAACCGTAACTAAGCCCGATCAGCTTCGAGCTACCTCCTAAAAAACACAGCCCCCGCCGGTGACCAGTGAGAATCACCCGAGCCCCGGAACAACACCCGGCCCGGATCAATGCCGATGCTCTGGACTATTCACCCGTCAAACATAACCGACACTCTCGTTATCCCGCGAGCGGGCGCACAATTAGACTCCGCGAAGCAGTTACCCCGCGAGCCCTACCCCCTGCCCGTAACCGCCTGTCAGAACAGTTACCCCACTCACAGCCCCAAGCAAATGAGCAACCCAATGCGGAACAGAAATCTACTTCCCCGAGATCGAGGCCGCCACGCGTAACAAACCGCCCAGGGCGATCGCACTCACGCTGGCTCCACGAACCTAATACGCGACGTCTTCCATTTCGAGCACGTCGCCACCTATCATCCCTCACACAGCCCCTACTGTAGACAACAGCCAAACGGTTCAACCAAACCGGATACAAAGTGGATGCTCGTCGGAGCCATACTGATCCACCCACCAGCAAAGTACACGCATACCCACTGTACAGACTACGCTCACTGGCAGACTGCCTTAAACAAAAACACAAATCTTGATTGAGAAGCCGAAGCCTTACGCGACCCGCCGAAAAGACTCCACAGGGCACAGCATAACAAATGGCTGCATCAGAGCGCACAACTGCCACCGAGACGCTCCCGTCAATGTAAAAACGGGATTACCCAATCCGGTAATCCGATGGTAAGCGAACTCACGAACACAACACAACGAACGAGAATATACACTACCACCAGGCGCTACCCACCACATTACTGGGTTTGTCTCCTCCCAAAACCAACAGAGCTAACGAAAAGACACCCGAACGTGACCAGGAAAATGAAAGCCGGGACAAGGTCAGAAATCGAGATTGACAGAGAATACATCTCACTCACCGACGCTCGACGCTCAAACGAAACACGCGGCCACCGAACCAAGACCGCACAACGGCAGCCGCGAGAACATTACCAAAATATCTGAGACATCCCAAGAAGCTGCGCACATGTTGACTTCGAGGACAGCGAAACGGACGCGGGAACAAATCGACATAACCAATCAGAGCATGTACTCCGACAGGCTTACTTCATAGCAGGCCATGAGGTTAAAAGGAGGACCTGAAGGCTGCGCTCCCCACCAAATCTAAATAACTCACATCGACGCCTTTGCCTGCCCACCATGCAACAGCCCCAGCCCTCCACTCCTACGAAAAATGGGACCTCCACGCTTCCTAGTGTCGTCGGGACCGGTCGACCGCTCTCGCGCCCCCCGTCCCGCGCCCTCACCAGGTCCCCGCCGCGTCGCAGCCTCAGCGCCATACCTCACACTTCCTCGAGCGGCAACCCATGGGTCTCCCCAAGGGCCACCTCGCCCGTCGAACGCACCGGTATCTCTTACGCATCTATGGCAGCGAAGCCTCGCCCGACTACGCCGATACTCTCCTCCGCCTCTCAGGCAGTCCCCGCCTCGACCGCCAAACCAGCCGGAAAGATCGAAGCCGTCGCCGAAGCTGGAGCGTCCGCGAAGGATGGGAAGGATTCGGGATTGAGCAGCACGACGACCCAGGTGGTCGTCAAAGGTACGCAATCACCACTCACCGTGTCGCTCCAACCCTCATTTTACGTAGTCGAGGAAGAGGAAGCAAGCCTCGACCCCGAACGCACCCGCTCCGGAAAGCAACCCGCAGCTTCCAAACTGAAGAACAAAAAGCAGTGTGCCAAAAAGAGTGCCAAGGCGGCGGGTAAGCAGCCTGCAAACATCGGTATCGGCCTCCCCGCCCAAGACGACCAGCCTGTGTCCAACGTGGGACCCTCTAGCAGGTCAATCAGCGACGTCAGGAAGTGCCGTAGAATCTCCACCGACGTCGACGGTGAGAGCGCCCCCATTGGCACGATCCCCAAAGTCCAGGACACGCCGACAACGCCGGCGCGCCCCCCTGCTGCTACACAACCCACCGTCATCTCGCTCATCTCACCGGCGGGGAGCGACAATGACCCACCCGCCGTCACCACCTCGGACCTAGAAGCAGACGACGTCGAGATGCGGGACCCGGACGATTTCGAACTCTCCACGGCAACCATGCGTATGTTCTACGGACTCGATCCCAATTACACTGCTGATAGTTACCATCCTCGTCCCATTGTTGCCGTACCTGCCCACCTATTCCCAGACGACCGCACGATCCACCCGCCGCACGTCTGGAACGTCCCGGGCAGCTCTGAACGCGTCCAGCAATACATAGAGAGCCAACACGTCCGCGAAAGGAACCCGTATGTCCTAGCTGTAGCTGAGCAGGTGGAAGGCGATATTGAGGGTGAGACCTACCTCCATGCATGTCACCCACCGCCTAAACTAGTTCTGCAGACCTCTACGCTTCTGCTGCGCCGCCGGATACCTCCGAGAGGCACCCGTCGCGTCACTTAACCTCCAACATCGCCGCCCCGCAGGCGGTACGCCCGCCCCCTCGCTCGTTCCCGTCGGTTGGCATCAGCATGGGTGACCACCGGTCCCCGTCCATGTACGTTGCGAACCTTGAACATCCAGCACGCGACTCACCTGCTCATCATACCAGGCGAAGCAACAATATGCGACGCGAACCCACCGCAGGCCCATCTCGCAGCAGAGCTGGCAGCCCACGCATGATCCCGCCACGCTCGCCGCCGAACCGCCTCCACCCGCACCCAGTCCATTATGCTCCAGGACCCTTCCCGAACTTCCCGGATCCGGACGTTTCCCCCGTCCCTGCCTACCGTGCTGCCCCTCCGACGCACGATCACTCGGCCGCGCCACCCGCTCCTTACTTCCCCGCCGGCCCAATTGCCCCACTAGAACCTGCCCATGGCCCCATCGCGCCTCGCTCGATGACGCGCACCCCCCCAGGAGGCTGGCCCATCGTCCAAGGCGATGACCCGTTCTGGCCGTACGCCAATATACAGGCCGAGCAGCTCGTCGAGTGGACCACGAAGTGGGAACCTTGTGTCCTCATCCACTTCGTAGGACGAAGCGCAGGCGACAAAGGCAACTACGCCAGGCAATGCACGGCAGACACGATCCTAAAGAAAGTCTTCGACATCCCGGACGCGGTCGTCACCCAGCCAATCCCCGCGAACCCACAGCCCCGCCCGAATGCAGAACCGATTTTCTACCGAGTCGATAACATCACCGTCGCTCAGCGCGACCGACTTCTACGGAAGCCATGGGCGTCCACGATATACGGAACTTTCGGCGTTGTCCCTGCCCCGCACGAACCGCCAACCTTCATTGGAGGATGGCGCTACCCTCAACGGCTAGGCACCACCTCAGCCACTGGCATGGCGGACGTCATCCGCAAGGACTTCGAGGTAGGAGTACTCGCTGATCATGCTCACTCCCTGCTCGTCTCCGACATCCGAGGCGATGGACGATGGCGCCACCTCACTGTCAATGAAGCCCACACCCTGATCGTTCAATCTGTACGCGTCAGGCTTATAACGGTACGCGAAGGACGTGACGACGACGAAGAACTAATCGCCCTACTATACATCGAGTCACCAACCTCCGATGCCGCCGAGTGGATCAACTTCCGCGACGCGATACGCCACCACGTTTTTGGCAGTGCTTACGCTGGACCTCCTGAACTCGTCACATCCTCTTTCTACTGCATGTACTGCCACGCGGCAGACCACCCGACCTCAGCCTGCACCCTCCCGTCTATTCCAGGTTGGCTCGGTCCCTCGATGGACGAAGTGAGGACGATGCTCGCGAACGACAGACGCAACCAAGGCGGTGAGCAGAGAGGCCGAGGAGGACGCGGCGGCCGCGGCGGACGAGGTGGTAGAGCTCGAGGAAACAGTAACTGTGGACGCCGCCCTGGTTCGGACACTGGCGCGACTATTCGCAACGCTTAAGTTCGTCTCCCTCGCACATATCATCTATCGCACTACCTAGCATGTACAATCGTAGCCTGAATATCACGTACCTTTCGCTGAACCACGAAAGAACTACGCCTGAGATAAACAAAATCACACAACTAACTCTTTGAATCATATGTACGGTCGAGCTGAGCGCCCACATTTACTGACTGCACCTGCAGGACAGGAAAGCCTTGAGCCCTCCGTAACATTTTCCCCCTAGCTAACGGGCACTGTTAGACTTGCCCCGGTTGAGAAACCAAGTGATCTCGCATCACATGTCACCTGAAAGAACCAGGAGTGTTCTTCGCCCCCGGCGGATCATTGTAGCCGGGACGTGTAAAGCAACGGCGAATATACATGAAACAAACACCCCCCCCACGGACGATAATTTGGCACCCGGACTACCTCTCCTCTATTCGAGAGAGAACAGCACGTCCCCCGCCCATGCCGATCTTGATGATCGAATGGAGGAACTCGGAGACGGGGCTCCTTCCGATCCATCCCTCGGCTCGTCGCACCGAGAACAGAGGACAGAAGGTTGCTTTCTGAGGGCATCACCCTCCACTGCGACTAACCCTTCCACCCGTAATAAGGGCAGGAGAACTAAGGCAAGCATCCGCTGTGGGGTGGGCCCACATGGGAGCAGCGGCACGACCTCAATACACCGCACGTACAAGTCAAGACGGGAAGGGGCAGCAACCGGCATAGGGCAACATTGACTGTCGAACAAGCGAACGCAACATCGATTGTCGCACAAGCGAACGCACACGGCGGAAGAGCTAATCGAGCACCCAACCAAATACATGCGGAAGGAGGAAGGCTACTGTACATGAACGGCAGGTCCCTCCGCCACCTCATCCTCGACCTCTCCCTCCTCCATGGCCTCGACGTCGGGAGGGCGTGCAAACTGCAGGCGACGCGGTATTCCGGAGTAGCCGTCAGGCACGTACACTCCCTCCGACAAGCGAGCGTGCAAGTCCCGGACGCCGGCCTCAACGGAACCCAGGCCTCGGGCGAAACGGACGGCTTCAGAACGAGCGTCGCGGTTGGCGGTCCGGCACTCGTCGAGGAGGCCTTGGAAGCGGGTGAGCAGACCATCGAGGCTGTCGGAGGAGGCGCGGAAGGAAGATAATTGCATGGGCCGTTCCATGTACCGAATCGGAAGAAGCGGGCGACCAACCTCGGCATCGGATTGCTCAGCGGCGACGCGGTTTGGAGCCCAGGCGATCAACGGGTAGGGCTCGCCGACGTAGCTATGCTGGGACGGGAGAGTCAGGAAGACCTGGTCGAGGTACTCGATAAGATCCTGGACGTCCGAGTACCGGCGGACGAGCGGAAGGGATGCGTCGCCGTGGGCAACCGCGCGAGACCGAGAATCGAAGAGCATCCGCTGTGCGGAACGAAGGCAGGTTGGCGAGACGAGGAGGACGAGGCGGAAGAAGGC